TGTCGAAGAAGGTGTCCCTATTGCAGAGCGCGACTGAGACGGACAAATGGTCCTGAATCAGACCTCGCAGGGGTTTGCCTGCCGTGCCGGAGAGGTACTGGTGATCGGTGTCTGCAAGTCGCATAGCCTCAGCCCGAGCGAGCTCGTTCTGGGGAAAGTGCATGTTCATTTCGTCACCGTCGAAATCCGCGTTGTAAGTGTTGCAGTTGGCGTAATGCATACGAAGGGTCTTTTCCCCGGGAAGAACCCTGACGCGGTGGCCCATGATGGACGGCTTATGTAGAGTGGGCTGTCGATTCATGAGGACCACATCACCATTTCCGAGGTGGCGATGGACTTTCTTGCCTCTCATGCCATGCTGATTGTGGCTCGTAGGAGCCAGCAGCTGGTTTGCCAGGGCAACTCGATCTTCTTGCGACTTCTTCTTCAGATTGACGATCTGGCCGTTCTCGTTCTCGATTGCGACAGCACCTGGCCACTTGTCGGGGCCGTTAATGACGGCTTGCTGCATTTCTCGGAAGTTGTGGCTGGTGACAGGCTCGGGGTATGTGAGCTTCTTAGCAAAGACGGGGGGCACACCAATCTCGCTGGTCTCGATATTCGGATCTGGAGAGATAACACTACGGGCGGCGTAGTTGACACGCTTGCCCATCATGTTCTTCCGGAACAGACCCTCCTTCTTCTCGAGCTTCTGTTTGATACCATCCTCGTTCCTCTTGCCGGCGGCGCCACGAACCGGGTTGCGGTCTTTGTCGATAAGAGAGTTGACACAGTTCTGGAGCGCAACACATGCCTCATGCAGCTCTGAAAAGTTTCTGTTTCGGCCCTCAAACTCGGAACCGGCTCTGGCAGCGGCAGCAATCTCACGATGGATTTGAGCGATCTTGGCGGACGCGTTCAGTATGTTCTTGTAGAGGGAGTTTTGCTGGGCCTCAGCTATGCCACCGTCACCTTGCCGGGCTTCGGGGCGGTACTTGTTCGGTGGGACCATGATGGTTTGCAAGAAGAAAGACCCCGGGTTGAGGGGTTCGGAGTGCTTCGACTGAGGTCTAGAGTTGTACAGCAGAGCAACCACTTCCTGCTCCTTTTCGAACAAGAGTTCTAGTCGCGCAAGAACCTCGCTGGTGCTGACATAACGATGGGGGGCGACGTCCTTCTTGCTTGCTTTGGGAGTCTTGACGGCGGCGTCGGTCATGACAACGTCGCCATTCTCATCGAGCTCCTCGCCCGAGCCTTCGTCTTGATCGTCGTCATCCTCCTCTTCGAGGCCGGCGTCGTCGTCGTCGTCGTCGGCCGGGGAGAGCTCAATGTCGGCAATACCCTCGTCCGTCTCGAGGGCCTTCTTCTTGTTCGGGGCGACCTTGGCTTGCTGTCTCACAGTCAGAGCATCTCGTCGCTTGAAGCTACCCTGGGCCATCTTGGCGGCATCCTTTTGCGGCAGAACCTTCTCGAAAATCTTGACAAACTGGTCCTTGCGGTAGTTTGGGGAGATTCCCTTACAGGTCTGACAAGTCCTGCCCTTGGTCATGTCCTGGAGGAAGGCCTTGATCAGCTCTCTCCTGGCCTCGTAAGCGCCCTCGTGTTTGCCTTTCCTGATCTCGACAGTGCTCAATCTGTGTCTGCGGATGGCATGCTCCGTGAACTTTTCCCTAAGAAGGGTCATGTGGGCGGCATCTTCGGTCTCGTCGTCGTCCATTTCGACAGGCTCAACACCAGCAACGTCTCTCGTCTTGGGGGTGATCTCGTCGAGATACTGGGCTTCGTCGATCAGACCAAACTGCAGGAGGCGGAGTTTACATTTGTAGAGAGCAAGATCGGCAGCTCGCATTCGGAATCGGTTGCAGTAGATGCATTGGGACCTCAGCAGTCGCATGACCTGGTCGAGGAAGACAGGATGGTACACGGGTACAGGCAGATCAATATGGCCGGCATGACCGGGACAACTTGATCCGTTTAGGTTACATGTTGTACATCTGTTTGGAGAGAGGGAGGGGTCAGCATGTTTGTTATCAGGTTTGAGTTATGAGAAGAGGGTGGTTGAGGGTGCCAATGACTTTTTGACTTACAAAGAGTCGCCCCAAGCTCCAAGAGCCGGGTCGTATAAACCACCAGGGGTGGGATTTAAGAGGCTATCAAATGTGGTAGGGTTCTCTATCCTCTTGACTGAGATTTTTCTGATCTCATTGGGCGTCAGGAAGTCGAAATCGACACTGTCGATGGCCGACGATATAGGGTGAGAGACGTTCATGGCGAGAATGAGAGGGGCAACTCTGGATGCGCCGCGACAGATTCAAATATGGGATGTGAATGATGAAACAAAGTGTTAGTTGAGCACTCGAATGTGGTTATTGTCCTCCCAGGCCAGCAACAGGCCTGGAGTTTCAGTGGTGCATAGCCTTTCAATAGCAAAAGTTCTTTCTACTGGTAACCCGAAGAGCCAACAGAGCAAAGAGCAAAGATGTGAAAAAGTTCACGGGCGGCAATCGCAATGCCAAAGTTCCGGGCGGGTTTTTTGGCACTGGCACTGGCTCTGGCTCCGGGCGAAGTGGGGGGGCAGCAAAGCAAAAAAAGATAGACTGAGTTGTACTTGCGTATTAACTTGGGTCTCTCATCTGCAGACGACTGCAGTTAAGCAAAGCCAAGAGAGCTGGGGGAGCTGCAAGCTGCAAGCTGCAAATCGCAAGCCGCAAAGAAAACTTTGGCGGTATCTTGTGGCAGAAAAGATATGCAGTTGTCAAGACAGAGATACGCTGCGCTGCGCTGCGATAAAACCCTGCCTGATATTGCATATAGAATGTGTGGTCTGTGCCGCACGCTGCCCTTCGGGTCGAACAGATGAATAAGCCCCCACTATTAACCTCGACGCCAAGAGGGTCGGGAGCGTTTGTCGTGCATTTGTCGTCGTCGGACCTAACACAGTACTGACCTAAACTAAAGTGGCTGCTCTTCTGCCTCTCGAAGCCTTCGAACGTCGCTGTAGCTCCAACGTCGTCACCGCCACCACCACAAACAAACAAACCGTCGAAGGATCTGCTGTTTTGCTTCTGGTACTAAATAATCATCTCAAACCAACTGGTCAAACAGCGAGGCGCCTCTACATCACCCCCTTACATATAGTATCTCTCCCTCCCTCCCTCTCGATCGATCTTCCTCTTTATGGATCGACACGGCTCGCCCGCCCTGGGCCCTCAGAATGCCTCCTCACGCGTCACCAAAGGCGGCGAGACGGCTGCTGAGAGACTCGCCGCCTTGAAAGCGAGAGTTGCCGCCGCCATCAACACCACCGCAACCAAACCACCTCTTCCCGGCAGTAGCAGCAACAGTCCCTCCATCGCCAGCCCCAGTTCCGCGCCCTCCAACCCAAAGGCAACCTCGGGATTGAACGTCCCACTCCACCCGGCTTTGATGGGAGATCTTGGAGGGCCATCCAAGCCGGCCACCCGAGTCAACCACGTCCAAAGTAGATCTACACCCATCCGCCATGATGGCACCAAACCGCCTCCACAGCCAAAGCCAAAGCCGCTCCATCCTTCCGGCCCAAACCAGCCTGACCAGGTCAAAGCCAATCCCTACTATGACCCCACCGTCCAGGACCCAGCACCGAGACAGCCCAGGCAGCTGCAGTTCAACGAGCCCGGAAAGTACATTGCTCAAGCCAACGCCATTCGCAGGCAGGAGAAGCTCGAGGAGCTCAAGAGGAAGATCGCCGCAAGCACTCAAAAGGCCGCCGACGAAGACGCAGACGTGCAGAAGAACTTCCTCGTCGACGCCCCGCCCGACGTTGAGTGGTACGACGAGGGCTTCGTCAAGGACAACGACTACGACATTATCGACCTCGCCGAGATTCACGCCCTTGTCCAACATCCTGTCCCCATCGAATCCGACAGTACCAGGCAGGTCGCCGTCAAGCCAATGTATCTGACTGCCAAGGAGCAGAAACGCGTGAGAAGGTTGCGCCGCGCCGCCGTCATGACCGAGGAGCGCGCAAAGCAACGTCTGGGTCTCCTGCCCCCACAACCTAACAAGGTCACCCTGAACAACATGTTCAAGGTTCTCGGCGACGAGGCCATCATGGATCCCTCTGCCGCCGAAGCGCGCGTGCGCCGTGAGATCAACGAGAGAAAGGATCAGCACCTGACAGAGAACGAGGAGCGAAAACTCACCAAGGAGCAAAAGGCCGACAAGGTTGCCAAGAACCAGGAGGCCGATATTTCCCGCCAGGTCCACCTGCTCGTCTACAAGATCAACAACCTCTCAAACGGTAGCATACGCTGGAAGCTGTCCAAGAATGCCGAGCAGCTTGGATGCACAGGAGTTCTTGTCTTGTGTCCCAAATTCTGTCTCTGCATATGCGAAGCAGGCCCCTTTGGCGCCAGGAAATACCGCAAGCTGGTTGAGGAACGCCTCGACTTCACTCAGAACACCCCAGACAAACACAAGGAAACAAGCCACGAACTCAAGGAGTGGCTAAAAGCCACAGAAGCCGATGGCAGTCTGAAAGACTTGTCTTCCAACGCTGCACACTTGGTGTTTGCAGGAGAGGTAAAGTATCAGGCTTTCAACAAGTTTTCAAGCCGCGTGTGCGAGACCGAGCAGGAAGCCAGGAGCTTTTTGGCCAGGGTCAAGATGGAGAATTTCTGGAATTTGGCCAAGAGTATGACATGAAGACCTCGAGTTGTTGGAGACTTGGAACATATTCATAGCACAGTCTTCTGGTGTCAAGACTTCAATAGGTTCTGATATGTTGCAAAATGATACCCCCCCCCCCCCCCCCCCATATACGGAAATGAATGCCTACCAGTATATGTCCACGAGGACCCCCGAGTTTCGTGCGCCGGATACAACAAGCTGGGCAAAGGAGATAGTACACATCTCATGTATTAAACACTGCGAGGTCGCAAGGCAAATAAATGCTCATTCACATCGTCTGTTGACACAAGGTGCCATGCTCAATCCGTCCAAGAATGGAGAACAATATCTTACACACTTCTTGATCAAGCCATCCCATCAATCTCCATCATCTCCCTTTCTTCATCCTCGTCCATGTCAAAATCGTCGTCCAGCGCGAAGGTTTGAGACTGCTGCGCGCGTACTCTCTGCGCCATGCTCTCTTCCTGCTCCCTTTGCAGCTCCGCGATGCGCTCCTCGTCCTGCTGTGCTTGGTGCTTCCTCAGATCCCCAATGCTCCAGGTGCTTATCCCCTCTTGGTCTCTAGGCCGGAAGGGCTGCGCCATGTCGCGCAGAAAACGCTTCGCAGATAGAACCGCCATGTCAGTGGAGAGATTGACATCTACCTCCTGCATGGCCTGCTCGATCCACTTTGGCAGCTGATCGCGCTTCTTCTGGAAGCGACGGTCGGCCAAGACCATGATTCCATAGTCATCTTTACCTCGCAGCACGCGTCCCAGACATTGCGCGGCATGTCGCATGGCGTCGAAAGATAAAAAATCGTTCTCCCGGATGCGGTAGGTCTCACGCAGGAATTCGAGACGCGCCTTCAGAATACGCGATTCCGTGTACTGGAATGGTACGCCCATGCATAACACGGTTCGTCCGTAATGGTGGTCGAAATCGATACCTTCCGACACTTTACCTCGAGCGACACAGAGCAATACAGCACCGCGGCCATTGCAGCAAGCTGTGCGGTACGTTTCCAACGCAAGCGATGTTTCCTGAGCATCGGGTGTCTCGACTAGAATCAACTTGTACTTCCAGACCTGGTCGAGTATCCCCATTCCTTGCCACATACTAATGATGGATTCCATATAGAGGTAGGAAGGAAAGAAGACAACCATACCGTCCGGGGTGACTCTTGCAAATTCGGTAAGGAGGTTTCCATAGTTTCGGACCACACTTGGTTCATTGCGAACCTGGAAACTGGTTGATACTGGAGCTTGATCACTGCCTCGGGTGACGATCATCGGTAGGAAGGACTTCCGTGCCAACGTCATTGCGTACGACTGCATGATAACTGCGCTAAACCCAAGCATCTTGGGATACATCTCCAGGGGAGAGATAGTACCTGAGGTGATGATGACAGAGCTGAACCTGTCAAACACGGGCTTTATGGCGATGGCTGCGTCGAGACAGGTAAAATGCAAAACTGGATTGGGTACCTCCGCCGTGTCTGACTCGAATGGTTCTAGGATCAACAAGAATCCTTTCTCATACGTAGCCACAAGTGTAGCAAATGTGGCAACTTCTTGCAGAGTTTGATAGTCCTCGATATTTGTGAGCTCCAGGGTTCGCACCAAGGATGTCAAGCGCTCAGCACAGAAGCGCAACGGCTTCTTTTCTATGAAGGTGTGTTCCTTCAAGTGGTCGAGGAAAAACGTCGGTGTTTCCGAGGTGACTCGGCGTGTTTTCATTCGGCTTTTGAGATATTCGATGAATCGCTTCAAGAACGCGATGAAATGTTCCGCTCTGCGAATGTTACCTGGCACAGCCTCTTTTAGCAGGTCATCCGGCAGTACTGGATTCGCCATGAACGCGTCTTCTTGTCGAGCATCGTCCTGATCACGTAATCCCTCGACTAGCTTTTGGTATTCGCTTTCGAGTTGTTCTCGGTCCGTCTCTCTCATCTCATTGATTTTCCGTTCGAGATTTTGTGCACCTCGTGTTGCCTTGCGAAGCGAGTCCTCCGTAATGTCTTGACTCAGCGACTCAATACAGACGTTGTCAATGTTGTGAGCCTCGTCAAAAACGACGATGCAGTCCTTCGAAAATTCTTTCGATACTCGTTCTGCAATTTTGGGGTCGAGTAAGTAATGGTAAGAATAGATGATCACATTGCAATACTGCATCATCCGTCTGGCCGTGAAATATGGACACTGCTTATGATCTTCTCCGTATCTCAGAAGCCCTTCGAGAGTCCACACGCCGTTGGGAATCAGATTGTGCGGTTCCAGGAGGTCTAGGTTGTCGTGGTAGATGCATAAATCCACGTTCTCGCCCTTCTCCTTCTTCTCCTTGACGAAGCCAGCTGTCAGACTCCGACACCGAGCGTCCACAATAGCACCGCTCTTCTCGCGCTTGACTGAGGGATGCAGACAGAGGTTCTTCCGACTGGTCAGACCTAGGCCTCGGAAATCTTCAACATGACCAAGTTCCTGGGCACGAAATTTCATCAATGCTTTCAATTCTGCCAATGCTTTCTCGATCTCAGACATTGTACGAGAGCAATAAATGAGTTTCCGATGTTCTGGGTAATGTTGCTGGTAGGCCACAATGAGCGAAAGAAGGGAGACGGTCTTTCCAGTACCCGAGGGCATTTCCAGGACACAGTGGCCGCCGGCATCCAGCGTCTTCTTCAGGTCGCACATGTAGGCATATTGTTCAGGATAGATCCGCGGATACGGAAAGAGTATCGGTAGATCGTCGATGAAGAACTTCATGGTGGCGACGGTCCAGCTCTTGCGATCTGCCGAAATGACGAACTGGTGTAGCGTCTGTCAAACAACTTGACCTGATGTAGAGATGACGCTGCGAATTAGGCAGGCGCGGAATTGGCACCACGGAAAATTCGAGAAGCCGTCACGTCCGCAAAGCCGGATGTCTTGGTTTGTCAACCTTTTGCGTCAGACGTTTTCTAACGTATCGTCACCAACGAGCTTCAGCCACTTTAGTCCTGGTGATGGGCCCCGAACGGCCAGGTGAAGGTCCTGCAATTCCCATTCACACTTGAAGACCGCGAAATTAGCACTCTTCTTTATGACTTGACCAATTTATATTTGCGACTTCCGCTGCTCTCCCTGGTAAATCAGATTTGTTTTTTTCGTTTTGTTTGGAACGAAGAAAACCTCAGACAGGAATCACCGCTAGTCCAAGCACCTACCTACATAGGCGTGTTTACGCCACATTTCCAGGCAGTAGCACCGCCACTTCGGGTTTTAGTACTGGTCAACATTATGGCCTGTGCTCCCGTTCACTGGAAAAACAAAAACAAAAGATACTCTCCATTGTACATAATCAGTACGGTTGTTCTTGTGGGGTTACACCGAGTATAGACATTGCTTCTAGACAGCACCTGAGGCTTGCGTGGCTAGAGTTGTATAATCTGCAAAACATCTACAACGAATGATTGCTTACTTGTTGGAATGTGCACCTAGGTAACCGACGGGCATGAAGACTGAGGCCGGCGTCAAGACAATGTAGCTTGCTTAAGACACTGTGTTTCCTGTGCTTGAATTGTGCATAGCTGGAAAATTCTGTGAACAGTGTTCCAGCGCATATATGTGTCTCCTTGGTATATACCGGGCCGTTCGTTGGTAGTCTAATTAAGCTCACAGAATATCACAGTCCGTTACAGACATGCGATGTGTTAATAACATGCACGCGTCGTATACAGACCGCATCTGTGCACCTTGATGCAAGATCGATCCGAACAACAGGTACCAGGATTGCTGCTGATGCTTACCAACTAGAGGCGGCCCGACCCTGTCCGGACTTTAGTACGGCTTGAGCCTATGTTCTCTGCGCGTTTTCGTCATCATAAAGGTACACGACATTGTCTCGGAACGAGAACACCGTGTTGTTCTGCTCATACTCCCAGGGTTATTGACTAGAAGAGCGAAAGAGTCCGCCAGAGCCGTAGTAATAGCAGAATCAACCGGCCCTCATCTGCGCGTACCTAACTATACCTATTCAGTGCCTCTGGGCCCCCCAGGATATTGAATCCTTCGAGAACTCAATGCTAGCCAGGATGCAAAACGGTGCATTAACCATGGGTCCTCTTCATGACCAGGGCATAACGGTCTTGTCAGCACAACACCATACGAATATGGAGCGATTCTGAATAACAAGGTGCCCATCCACGTGGCACCCCATTTCAACCTTGGCATATCCATTGCCCAGCCCTACGACCATATTAGTGATCCAGGCCATCATGCGTGCAGTTTACTTGGTCGGCAGACGAGTATCCAGTCGTATGGTGAGTTCGTCGAAATCTAAAAATAAACAACATGAGATTTGAGCTTTGCAAGGTTGGGCAAACAAGTCCACATTTGCGGCTGTGGTAAGCTCGCCGGTTTGCTTCAAGGTCCCCAGACATGAGGCCAGTGGTGTATCTAATCAAGACAGTACCATAGAAAGACACATCATGGCATGAGTGCTAGATTGGATAAGTCACGGTGTAAGAATGATCTGTCCAGTAACACGGGCTTCTATTGACCCATAACCTAGTCTAATATCCGATTGTGCTCGTTCCTGTCCAACATGACTATTATAGCATGGCACGGCATTTGAATATATATATATATATATATTAGACAGTAGTCGAGAGATGTAAGCATGTGGCAGGCTCCGTTGGGGTTCTGATCATCTTCATTTGAAACTCACTCCTAATCTAACATCCCGCTTGTTGACTTGTAAGAAAACGAATTCTTAGGGTGTTGGTCCTTTTTCTGCAATGGATGCTAACAATCCAAATTAGCCGTGCATAATGGTTGGTCTTGCAGCACAAGGCCTTGCTACTTAAGTTAGGAGGAGTAATGACGTGTGACTGATTTATCAGAATCTAGCAGTCATTGTCTGAGAAGAAATGCTAAATGGTGGACTGTTCTAATATACGTACTCGTATCGCTGTTGCTCGTAATGCTGATGTTCTCCGACAGATTTCGGGACGAGCTTGCAGTATTTGCCATGCCCTCACTTAATGATGTGGACCAACAATGCTTAGCATGTATGTCAGTCAGTATGCCAAGCAAGTCTCTATGCTAGCTAGCTTGCACTCTGTACAAGAACGTCCTAGCGTGGTGAAGCGAATGCGCATGTGGACCTCCATGCGGGACTATTCCTGCGCGGTACTTTCATGCTAGCGCGGTTTTTCCTCGAGGTCGGGTATCCATCCCAGTGGGGTCATCAAGCACGGATACAGTGCCCACATATCGCACAAAGTGTTGGAACAGTGAACAAGATAGTCCCCAGTCTCGAAAAACCTTTTATTTTAGTGTAAATAAAACGATCTAGTAAGCAGATGTTAAAGCCAGCTTACCGACAAACGAACAAACAGACAATAACACAACATCATGCGACGTGCGCATGAATTGATCAACTCTTGTTAATCAGGAAATTCAAGGGGAGAGGGTGGTCGATAAAAAGTACAAGGATCACTTTGGAAATTGAGGCGCCAACATGATCTGATCCAGATCAGTAATCTTGGCAGGGCCCTTTCACCTAACTAGCGGCGGAAATCCTCCAAGTCGCGTTTACAGTAAAGCCAGAGCTACCGTACGCTCAGTATATTGTTTGTGCCGTGAGAAGGTGCGCTTGTGATCCCCAATTTCACATGCTCTCAAGCTTGGAGCAAGAAAAATGTTTATATGTATTATTGTCCGATATAAGCCCCTGAGAAACCGCAAGGCCTTCCTAGGGATGACGGTAAGCATATGGCCGCATCAAAGCGAGCACCCTCAAGTTACCGTGAGGCGATGAGCTTCTCTCCGGTTTGCCAGAAGCAAGGGATATGACATAGTACGATATACGTAGGAGATGTTTGGCATACATCATGCTTGGCGTGGCTGAGCTAAAAATGTGTCAAACCCGTTGCCAACGGTCAGGGGCTCCGATCTTCCCCGCCTTCACAAATCTGCCTTGCAGGACCGACGATCACAGCACCGCTGACATTGTATTGAGTTGAACTTGTATGGGGTATCTAACCAACTGACTTGCCATGGTACGAGATAGTCACAGCCGTCGTGGTGCAAGGTATCATGAAACCTGCTTAGTACTTCACTCTCCCAACGGTATGATCTACTGGGACTTGCAGGTTTACGGTTGTATTCACCCTAAAGCTCATCTCGCTTGGTTAGCCCAGGAAAATAAATGTACACTCGCCAGCACGAAATCACTCCCACTCGGTTGGTCGAGTCTTGTGTGCGCTGAACGACTAGGTGTCTCCATATGAATTGGGAATTGCCGAGTTGGCTCGGTATAAAATTAGTGTATAATATCGTGCTATGTATCGCGGTTAAAGATATCCACTATAGTCTAAGGTTAGGTTAGTGTGTGTGTTGGATGATGTCTTGGTCAACTACTGTATCAACATAGTTAAGCGCGATTTTCGGTTCCGTAATTCCCGTTAGCTAGTCTACAGTAGTCAAAAATCCCTGCCTAGTTTATCATGCCACTTTGTCCGGTCTGGTTGTTCCTGCGAATCAGTCTAGGGGTGAAAATGGTTGTTTGCTCATTTGCTCCAGGTCAATATTATACGGGCACATGCGCACCCAGACAACCAGTACAAAATGGAGTCTTGCCGCGCACCAACACAACTTGGTCGCACGGATTTCGAAGCCCCCAACGATGGGCTGGGATTGGATGAGATTCTTGCTCAAACATCGCCTGGAATCCACCAACACTACTTACCTGATATGATGCTGAGCAACAATCAAGTATGCACTATGTAGCAACCAACAGCACCGGCCTAGACATCTTGGGATTGGGATTGGGATTGGGATGGGTCGGGGGCCGGGGGGGCCTGGTAAGGCTAGGTCTACTATGTACTTTGTATCAGGGGGGCCTGCCTCCCAGCCTTATTAGTCACCAACTGATGCGACTGTTGGCATCCTGGTCTTCCCATATCCACATGAGACCTGTTTACGGGGCGCGCAAACCAGCGTTCCTGCTCGCTTGGGTTCAAGTACCTCACATACAGTCCTTAGGTATTCTCGGGGTCCAACAAGAGAAGAGGGGCGGCCCTGGATACCTGTTCCACTTACCTACCTCACCATAGTTTAATCATATGCCGCTCGATCCAAAAATTGATGAACAGGCAGAAGTCTTGCTAAGATCAGAACATATGTATACACCAGCTCGCTGTTGTCTGCCTCGATGCACCGCGCTTAATCTAGTGTCCTGCCCTTCCAGTTTTGCTAGCTCCTACATATATTTGACAAGAGTCGCTACCCACCCACGGAATCACAACCTAGCGTAAACAACTGGTGTAGTCCCTTGTGTTCCCAGGACTCGTATATCCATCCGCTGCGGACCTTGCTTATCGGCGCCATATTTAGTCGTGCATACGCCGACTGGTATTAAGACGGGATAAACAGCGACGAGCTTAGCAACGACGTGGTCGCTGCACCTGACATCCTACGGACAACTGCAACTACTTATATCAGATCATATCACCTGTCTGCTGCCGTTGCAGGTCGGTAAGACTGCTAGCTTCGTGATGGATCTATCGCCTCCGCCGCTAAGTAGATCACCCGCATCTTCGCCGAATACCGACTATCCTTCGCCAGGTCTGGTGGAAAGCCACTACAAGTTGAGTTCGTTGTACGATCAATCCTGTGTACTGGACCACAACATGGACTCCGAGCCTCTGTCACTGGATACAGCCTCATCTGCAGAGTGGAGCGCACCGCTATTGCAGGCCACCACATCAACCGACATTCCCAACATACTCGCAGCGCCCTACGATGCTTTCAATGGCTACGATGCTTCCATGCCTCCATCGTACCCGCATGATATATACGTAAGCGGGCACACACAGACGCATGCCGGATCTATGAGCCCACAGCAATTCCCAAGAACACTATCGCACTCACCAGACCCGTCCCGGCCGGCCTTTGCATATCGCTTGAGCGGATCTCCACCGCCCCAGGTCAAGATGGAGAACGGGGGTGAATATCCAGAACTAGATTACTCGCGGTACCCTTCGCCTCATCTTGGGCCTGCCGTGCCAGTTGAAATCGGCGGTTATAGCAGCGCAGCCAGCAGTTCGGGGTACTTGTCGGATGCTCCCTCCGGCTCCTGGCCAAAATCTGAGTACACTACGCTGGAGTCAGACATGTTCACAGCCAACGGCACGGCGCCGGCGGCACCCTCACTGCTCCAGGACAGGCAGCCATATCGCATCCACAGAGCACCGCGGTCAAGACCCCGTAGGCTCACCACGAAGGAAGAGGCAAATTACCAATGCGAAGTAAAAGGTTGCGGAAAACTATTCAGCAGAAGTTACAATTACAAGGCACATCTGGAGACGCACGACGAGAACAGGGAATACCCGTTTCCATGCGCGGCAATTGGATGCTCCAAGAGATTCGTCCGCAAAACAGATCTCCAAAGGCATCACCAAAGTGTGCACATGAAAGAGAAAAACCACAGGTGCGATTATTGCAGCCGGATGTTCGCTAGGAAGGACACTCTCAGAAGGTAAGCCATATCTCCCTGATCTATAATTATTTCCAGCCCACTGATCAATCCCAGACACATGGAAGATGGCTGTTCCAAGCGCTTTGACATTGGCACACTCGACGTGCGTTCCGAGGGATACGATTCGTCCTTCAGCTCGCACTCTACGTCCAACCTTCTCGCACCACCAACACAACTACCCCCAATGACGAATTCTCGTCCACGGACTACCAATCCAAACTTACTCGAGCCAGCCGTATCGTTAATGCGGCGGGGATATTAAGTAGATATCAATGTGTACACGCACATGCTTCTCGTAACATATCATGATTATCTTTCCACGGCGCATAAAATCTCATGGTCATGTTCGAATCGGGACGGAGATGGACCAAAGGGACAAGCATTTTAAGACTACGCAGAGGTCGGGCTTGTATACCATGTATTATTACAACCATGGCGCATTTCAATTTTAGATACCATAACGCGAAGCAATTTGAACACGAGCTCGTTAACCTAGGTCAGCTCTAGCATTTGTCGATTGCGCTAACATGAGCCGTGCTCACGGTGATGTCAGCCCAATCGTCCACACTATATTTGCCCATCTTCGATCACGGGTGTGGCGTTCTTCACGGATGCAATAAGTTGGCGCAGGCTCACGACGCACGCCAAGTTAAGACGTGGGTGGGCGGTTTTTATTTTATTTTATTTTCCACGCTAAATGCTGGGATGTCATCCATGATCTGACACTACGTAGTAGTGTAACACGTACAGGACCAACGGCTCTCGTTGCTCATCCTTTCCATGCTGAATCCTCCGGCATCTGCAGGCTGCGGGTCGTCCAATCAGCGCTCAATATGCGTAGTGCTTTTCATTGGACGACCGAGAAGGATGTAGTCCCAAATTGCATGTTACCTCAACTCTGGGGAGTGTTCATTCGATGAGATGCGAATGCGAAAGCTTGCAATGATCCTCAATCTCTCGTTGGAATTCGGATCGCCGCTAGTCGCCTGAATCAGGTAGTAAATCAATGCAGCAACGGTTGCGGAATGTCGAATCAGATGCCCACTGATGCTGCCGTCTTGACCGGGATATCATCATGCCGTCCAGGCAGAAAGGTCAATGAAGCGCGAGGGGACTATAGATGCCCAATCAGCGAGAGGTCCAGCGCCGTGGTTCTGCCACTCAGAGGCATAGCCTGCGACAAGCATCGATGCAACAGATAGGGCCATCAACAGGACCTTTCCAGGACAAGACAAAGCAAGTGACTCTACTCCACTCTCAGCGTTACTTGATCGAAAAGTGCAATGCAGATGACCCCACTACAACAAGGTCAGGTTATCCTGGCAAAAATAGACCCTCAACCGTTGGCTCAGGGGTGGCTCCGACGGGAAGCTCACGATTGGCTCGCTATAGATACCATGTTGGCGGCCCTGTGTCCGGCTGCTTCCAACCCATATTTTGGGGCACCACGATCCACCCATCCAGCTGCACATTACTATAACGGGACTAACCACAGATCCAGGGAGTCATACGGAATGCTTCTATCGTCGCTCATGCAGGCCCCCAAGGTTTTCAGTCCCCATCCTCGGAAGATTGTGAGTCCTGTTGCATGCAATCTTTCAAGTCGCAATGCAAATCTGACCCTACGTGACATTATCTCCATGCGGGCATATCCTTCTGCTTGGTGTCACCAGTTGCCAAATACACCTCGTAGTAGGCTGGCCTCTAAATACCTCTCTGCCATACATACCATCCCATACCATGCCGAGTGTGCAACAGCGAGAATCGGTTTTCCTTTTGGCTCAGAATCAAGTGCAGCGCTTGACGAAGGGGATCGCAAACTATTGCCTCCCCAGTAACAACGGAGAACTCAAGAACTTTCGGGCCACCTACATCGAGCTTCTTTTAGAAGCTGGCTTAACCTTGTTGGGCGACCCCGGGTGATGCTCACAATCTGAACAAAGACTCCGAGCGTACTCAAATTGCGCAAAAGTGGAATCATGACACGCAGACTTTATACTATGTAACGTTCGCCGGCGATTCTAGGAAGTGGTTGGGCTTTGATCACTTCAACTCCATCATAGTAATTGCTAAGTAATACGGGGTGGTTAAGGTGTGGCTTCTTGGAGCTGAGGATTGGTACGACGGTTGCCCCCAGCCAGAGGGACTACTACCTCTTCAGGCTGCGCATAGTTAGTGTTCATGAAAAAAACCAACGTAAAATCGCACGCAATCAAGCTTCACATCCTGTCAAACAATGGGTACCGTCGACTGGCTCCAAATCCAATTATAGTTTCTATGGAATGCTCTAATAAAAGTGTGACCATGACACCGTACATGCCCGATAAGAATCGATGGCTAAGTGGAGTTTGCATTCGACTGGGACATGGTCTGTGGATGCGCTCCAATCCTCTGGTGAATGAGCACACATGATAGGTATACTGTGTAATGTAGCATTTGCTGACGCGACGGCCTTGGTCGTGCCAATCGATTTTGATGATCTAAATGACCTTGTTCGTGTTGAACTCTTCCCTCGAAAAAGAAAGTGCTGACATTGCGTTCAGCCTTACGCCCTACTCCCATCCTTACCCGCCGAACGTTGTCACATTCGGGCAACCTGATACGATGCCTTATAGGGCCTGTTTGCGAAGCCTTGGTATGACTGAATCTGACTTCTTAGAATTACATTCTATGTAGTACTGCAGGATTATTACGGGCACGGAGCACAGCATGTTAGATGATAGAAACAGGATGCCTCTTCGACCAACCAGATCTAAACGCAATTTCTTGCTGTCAGTGAGCTGTCACTACGGCCGGATGTGAAATGAAAGTGGAACTCCAGGATATGTAATGTGTTTGCTTTCAGATCCTGGGAGCCGCCATTTGAATTAGTTCGTCTAGCGGAATAGCGGTCAGCTTATGATTTCAGCATACCCCAGTCTTGAAGCAAGATCTATGCCCATTGATTGGGCAGCTCGTTTTTTGTGTCGGCAATTCAGCCAATCGGAAGGAAGTATTGCCTGGAGTCAGCGTCATAGCTCCCTGCCAACGGTTTATTAGAGCAAATCCACCTGTGAGTTTGAGCATCTAGCGGTGACCTTAACGCCTGGTCGCGTCTCATTTACAGAGTCCAAGACACATCCGGATCGGGAGGCTTCAGTGACAGCAATATACTGGAGATCGAATCGCTCGGACTATACGAGGCCATAAACTGCGCACGGCGATTGTATACACATGCTGGGCAGCTGTTCTCCAAATCCGACACCACGAGAAAGCCAAAACACCCGTTGAGTCCACCTTGTCCACCCTGTCCACCAAATAATCTTTTCCACGAGGCGGCCTACCTTGAAAATCCGGGGACTGTCACATACTGCTCCAAGATTAATTAATCTTCAGATCACCCGTCCTGTCTATACGAGTTTCAGGTCCAGGCGACTTCAATAAACATCACCTCCGTGGGCAGCTATACCCGCTAGCAAGATCTTAATTCTTTGCCCTAGCGCCCATACTGTATGCCTATACTCAAGGGGCTCATATTTCAGGCACGAGCGTGTGCTTTATCGTCTAACCTCCGTCCAATACGACAAGCCGCGCTTCTACGACATTGTTGTCCATCCATTTGATTACTTCTAGACTTATGATCGTCGCAACGTGAGATGAGGTGCTATCTAGAAACACCGCCACGCCATGGCTAATGCAAGTTACGGCCGGTTTGGGGTGGCTGTTCTCCATACCATAGTCCTATGAGCTGTAGTAGGAGATTATGAGTATAGACCGGGGGGTTTTTCTTTTTCTTTTTACCGCCCAACTGCACTAGAGTTACTCGAATCATTCAGTATAGCTTAAGAAACGTTAAACATATTGGGAGCGGTTCATCTGAGAACCAAGTCCGGTTTGCGCAAGTCTGTGTGGACCTCTTGTTAGGGACCACCCATGCACGTTACCTTCGGCTCGTATGGATGGCTGTGGCCGTACCTATTGCGCTCTCGACCGCATTTGTGGAATATGCCGGTCGCGTTTGTGGAGCACCACCGAAGGATGCAACGAGATGAGTTACAAGTAACTAACGAAATATATACCAAAGGGGCTAATTATCGTTATTGCCTGTCTAGTCCTCCGTGGACGCTCTACCTTCATGATTCAGTGTCGAGGCTATGCTGCCAACTTTGCTGCATATGTAGTAACGTGTCGACGGAAGATGATAGGTACTATACCATCAAATGAAGGACCACGAAGCATCTTATTACGTCGTACAGTCGGGGTTCCAGCTTCAACTTACATTATCCACCGAATAATGTTGAGTTTGAGTAGGCTATGCCGGATCCTGGCAACGAATCATTGCTCTCACACATGCACCACACATGCAGGTCGATATATGCACGTGTCTAATCCTTCGACACAACTGTTCTATGCATCTTTCATGCACTCCAGGTGGAGCCGCCTTCGCACGCAGCCTGAAGCCAGGCGGACACGTTTCTCGTTTTACCGCACCGCCATATCGATGAATTGACGCATTGAACAATTAAACAGCACTTCCGACCAACATCTTCGCACCAAGCCGTGTGCAAGAAATGAAACTTCCTCCCACCAGCTATTTGCGTGGCGCTCAACATGACCGGTGTGCGTTTACTCTGTGTTTCTGATATATAAATTGACTATCTTGTAGCAAAAGCACTGCAAATCCATGTCATATTTCTAGAGAAAAGGTAAACATGTTACAATGATACACTACACTCATGTAAAGTGAAATAGGAAATAGGATGCGTTGTGGCAACATCTCTGCATAATTACACAACCAACTTACTACCCTCCTGAGCGAAATTTCATTGTCTAGGGACTGTCAATGTGCCCTATAGGGCTGGTTTGAAACGCGTAGGCATTTGCATGCAATGGTTCCTCCCAATAGTCTCATACATTTTGATTCTCCACCACTCGGTTCATTGTGAAAGGATTCAGCTCTTGTGATTAAATTATAGACCTTCCACATTGGATATGTGCCGAAAAGTGTGGGAGGTATTCAACTGCGGAAACAGCACTGCCGGCTCAGCCCACGATCCGCTCGTGGGTGATAGTTATGCTGTTCAATGGTTTCCATTGGCCGTTGTGCAGAGACCCGGCTACCTATGAGAATCAAAAAAATTGACATAAAGGTACCCATCGAATGAAGGCAGTATCGTCACATCGTAGACCAGGGTGTAGAGCTTTCAGTCATACCACATTGCCCGCTCAGGATCGAAGATTAGGAGCTGACACAGCATTGTCCAAAACGAGAAACGGTTCAAGCACGCGAGTCAAGCAGCCATACTAATTCATGTTATTTCACGGGGGTAGTCATGTCGCGATGTTAGGCCCTCCTGGTCATATCATCATATCATGAAATAGATCTGTCATCAATTACATACAATGTCTCAAGTTTAGTGACTTGCTTGGTTACCGGTTGATTCATGTCATCCCAACAGACACATGGCAGAGCACGTCAATATCGGGCCTGCTGCGCCGCACATGCAGGTGCGGCTGTGGGTGTGGAACTGGCAAATTGGTAGCATTCCTCTACGTTCAGCCATTGGGCTTGAAGGGTCACATCAGCCAGATCCTTCCACTGACCCTAGCATGCCATATGTTTCAAGGGGGATACCACGTTCTCCAAAATCGCATAATAACTGTATTCGCAGTAGGCATGCATACCTAGGATCATGTACCAACTTGAATGACATGGCATTTGCTAGGGGTTTATACACAGCTTGGACGTGTCGTACTATTGGCCAAAGCAGCCATATTGTGAGTGAAGTATTACTGTAGGTCTACTGAACATCACAGGACTCATAGCACCGTGGGAATCCTGGTTCTCTACAAAGGAAGAGCAGTCAAGCCGTCTTTGGTATCGGAATAGAAATGTACCCAGTTGAAGAATTGTTTCCGGTGTATTAGGGATGGTATTAAAGAAACCGAACCTCCATAAACTCATCCTACTTAACACAGTACTGGTTTGGGTAAATAGATAAGCAAAGATGTGGAAGAAAATCAAAATTTTAGCCACGACTCAATTTGCACCAAAGTCGCAGGCGGTAATATGCGAGTCATCAAAGGGGAAGGGGGGAAGAGGGGAAAGGGGAAGAAAGCTATAAACAAGCTATCCGAGAAGCTCAAGACAAGCTTACTTCTTCAAATAACGAGGACTACTCTGAATGAAAATAATTGAAGAGCATGAGAGTAGTAAGTGCCCTAGCGACAGCAGGTTGTCAACGGCAATTCCGGAAATGACAGAGTAATTATTGCTCAAATAGGGCATTCATAAATCCTTTAGACGTATGTATAGTTAGCGCCTAATTTCCTTCTACGAAGAGTTTCCATTGCAAAATAATTACTAAGATCAAGTTCCCAGCATCCCTATCAGTGATTTTAGCTGTCCAGCAATGTAGCTAGCTATTACTCCCTGCCAAAACCGATGGACAAGCATACTCGGGGGGGGGGGGGGGGGGGGGGTTTGCCAACACGCTGAACGAGCTTAACGATGGTGCATACATCCTTGGATCGTATCTTCAGGCAGCATAGATGGACTGAGTAGTAGTCTACTTGATCACATCTTCAGGATGGGAAGTCAAAAGATTTGATTGCACCCTCTGCTATTATTCGATTCAAGATGTGGAATCTGCGCCAAGGTGCGATGCTATTCAGTTCATTGTCAGGAAAGCCTTGATCATCATGGCGCATATAGATATGCTAGAGATCCTGTCCTGAGAGACCGAATCTGGTCATTGCTCCCTGCTATCAGGATGGCCAAGCGTTCAATCGGCATGACAACCATCAACCAACCTCGAACAACCCTCCGGGCAAGGAGTTCCCGGAGCAAATTGCCAGCGGAAATAAGGGTCTGTCTCGTTCGCCAAAACATGGCCTATCAGCACTGTGGAATGAGCAAGCGTGTTAGATCGATCAAAGATCTCTTGTGAGGAGATATTCATTTGGTGCCAGCCACTTTTGACCAGCTTATCGATACTTGTGCCGTAAACATATTCCTTAAAACCTGCCCATCGAATGGCCGAAGCACACATCGGGCAGCTCTCAGCATTGGTATAGATTGACAAACTAGTGAATGCCTCCGTGGCTTCTCTAGGAGACAGTTTATATGGCCCGTTAGGGTCAGTTAAAATGGTCGTGCAGTTATTGATTGCTGCCACTTCACCTGGCTCGAAAGACACATCAGTAGTGATTTCTGAACACTCTGGTCTTGTGGCCATACCATGAAGTATCGGGTTTCCAGTTTCCCTATTTCCATTCACCCCTGAACAGACCAAGTCGCCCAGTCCCGCGTTCGCGGTGTGGTTTACAATCACCGAGCCAAACCCAGCGAATGGACAAGGTGCACCAAGGGCAATGTTGGCCTGTCGCATCCAATGAGCTCTTGTACTGGGAGGAATCGGTTCTTGTTGACCAGCCATTCCGCCGATGTTGCCTTGCAAGACTGGCATAGACATGACGTACTGCTGCCCGCAAGCGCTCGCCAGTGCTATATTGAGAATTGTCAACCACATCGTTGTGCTGAGCGGCATGCGACTATTCGTGTGACAAGGCTCTTCGGTCATGTGGCGTCGAAGCTAAGGATCTGGAGTTCAGCAGAGGTGATGAAATCAGGGTGCATCGTGCGCACGGGATAGCCACCGATCCTAGGATACACAGATATTGCCGCGATCGCGAACTCACAGCGAAAGTTACAACGAGCTAGATCATATTCCATCGGGACATCGGGACATCGGGCCCCGCAGGCTAATCCTCGGCAGACGGTATACTGATTATCTCCCCCACCGTACCATTCCCGGCTTGTCTACTGGCTGGATTTTGTCTGGCACGTAGCCCAAAACTCCGATATGGACGGCCCTCATGCCCCGGAGACACGTTCCCGGCGGTCTGCCGTGGTTTGACGTCCCTTTAAAGACGGGACGGATGCAAAGTCTGGCGGTGACTGACATTATTTCGGTTACGAATCTTGAATGCTAAATCTATAAGAACTTGGCACTTGACCAAGACACCAAACCACTGCATTTTAATTATTTGGAGCACAAAAGTTGCAACTCGGGCTTTCCCTACGCGACCATGGCCGCGACCGTCCAAGCTAATGCCATAGAAGAGCAGCAAACTACACAGAACTCTAAAGTTCTGGATACTACGACTGTCGCGCATCAGAGCCATGACGCCGAGAAAGCCGATGAGCAAGAACCGCCTCCAGCACAGAGTACCAAGCCATCGCTGGAAAGATGGAACCATCCGCGGATAAATATGTTCCGCTTCTTGGTCACCAATTATTCATTCATTATCATGGGCATGAATGATGCGTGCGTTGGTGCGCTGCTTCCCTATATTGAGGCCTATTACAACATATCCCATACTCTGATGTCTACGCTCTTCCTCGCGTCCTTCGTTGGATACTTCCTCGCGGCTCTCTCCAACAACCTCATACACCACCACCTTGGCCAGCGTGGGGTTGCCATTTCCGCGCCCATCGCCCGCCTCATCGGGTATATTCCCATGTGTCTGCACCCGCCCTTTGCCGCGTTGCCGCCTATAATGCTGTTTCCAGGCTTTGGCAACGGCATCGAAGATAGTGCATGGAACGCGTGGATCGGCAACATGGAGAATGCTAACGAGCTACTGGGTTTCTTGCATGGATGTTATGGCTTGGGTGCGACGATTGGGCCGCTCATTGCCACGGCCATGGTGACGAAGGCTGGCTTGCCTTGGTACCAGTACTATTACCTTATGATTGGGCTGACAGGGCTCGAATTAGTCCTCACTACGACTTCATTCTGGGGTGCGACGGGCGCAGTATATCGGGCTGCGCATGTAGGTGCCAATGGAGGCGCAAGGATAACAACGCGAACAGTCATGAAATCTCCCATAGTTTGGTTAGTGGCTTTCTTCTTCCTGGGCTACGTGGGGGCAGAGGTGAGTCTCGGAGGTTGGATCGTGACATTTATGTTGGTTGTCCGGGGAGCCGAGGCCTTTCAAGCTGGGTTAACAGTAACTTTTTTCTGGCTCGGATTAACTGTTGGTCGGGTGACTTTGGGATTCGTCACAGGGAGAATTGGTGAAAAACTTGCTATTACGGTATATCTGATGCTGTCCATTGCGCTGCAATTGTTGTACTGGTTGATCCCAAGCTTTATTGCATCGGCGGTGTTTGTGGCTTTTGAAGGCTTCTTTCTCGGCCCTCTCTTCCCTGCTGCTGTTGTTGCGGCCACAAAATTATTACCGATAGAGTATCATGTCTCCGCCATTGGATTTGCAGCAGCATTTGGTGGTGGCGGGGCAGCCGTTTTCCCATTTGCAGTTGGCGCCATCGCATCTACCAGGGGCGTCCAGGTCTTGCAGCCAATCATCTTGGCCATTTTCGTATTCATCCTCGTCCTTTGGCTAGCATTGCCTGGTGGTCTTCGGAGAGGCGGGCTTGAACACGCTCGAGACACTGACGAGAAGATTGGTCATCAACTTGAACGTGTATATAAGTGGTTAACACAGAGATCTGGGAAGAGGGAGAGAAGCTGAGCTCATTCATATAACCTCTGTACCAGCTCCCCAGCCAATCTTTTCACGTAGAACTCCCGCATGTCTTCTGGGAGCTTACTGAAAGTATTGACAATCCGGGCAACGTCATGTCGGCCTTTTTCGTATACCGCGAGATCGCGGTTACCATACACATCTCGACCAGCTGCGTAACCATCTTCTAAGCTACGGAAGAAAACATTGACAGCTACACCAAGGTCTGTCTTTGGGTTTGCCGTGTGAAGCCATAGTGGCGGCAAGAACAGTACGTCGCCTGGCGTAAGAATCGCCTCACATGGATGTGTTTGGGCCAACGCCGCTGAGTCTAGCTCTGCAAACACGTCTAGGCTGGAGCTGGAAGCTCCTGGGGAAAACGAGAGTTCCGTGACATCTCCTGGTGGGAATAGAACCAGTCGCTTCGAGCCAATGATCTGACAATAGATATTTGCCATGACCTGAAGGTTCGTGTGAGCTGTTGTAACACGAGTCGTAGAGGAAGAAAAACTCACATCGTAGTGGAGCCACATGTTGACAGGCCCAGAAATTCTCAGCACTGAGCTGAACGAGTGCTCTGCAACAAAAGACAGCTCCGCCGGTAATCTGAACTCATCGGCTAGATCTGGGAAGTCGCGACTAAGACTAGCAGGCTTGTCGGCTGGGTTGTCTTCAGAAAGTGCTCGCAGGTACATTTTCCCACCTTGCTCCGCTTCGCTTAGGAATGTGCCGAATTCTTTCGTCACATACTTGAAGTTCTTGGAGTTAAAATCCATCTTTGCCGACCCTGCTTCATGTACAACGACCTTGCGTTCTTTGCCAACTTTGGAAACCAGGTGATCAGGAGTCCACAAGCTGACGCAGCTACCCAAATCGGTGCGCTCGATGACGACCGGCTTACCGGCCTTCATAATTTCCGCAAACGCTGAAGAGGAATTAAGCTTGACTCTTGGTATAGTCGTCACTGTTGGCCTCTCAGCATGTTCGCCTGAAGTGTTCTTTTGTATAAATACAGGCATATCTGTAAGCTCCATTGTCCGGCGGAAAGACCAGTCCATTCGGCACATGGTATCTTGGTTTCTTGACTCATCGAGTTTCAAGACATAGTGACCTTTGTTCCAAAATGTTCCCGCGGAGAAGCAATTTGCGCCGCCTCCACTAAGCACAACTTGTCCACACGCGTCCTTTGTCGTAGATATTCCGAGCAGCAGTGGTCGTGGTGCCCCTCGAGCATCAATTTGTCCAGCAGAGGTAACGGTCAAAGTCTTGTTTGAGACGTCTACGAACAGGATCTCGACGCTACCTGCCAGGATTTGATTCTCGATTATTCCGCCTATGACCAGTAGTTGGTTGCTTTTGGTCATTATGACATTTGCGCCAAAACGTTCCAGTAGATGGTGCGATCGCAATCTGTCTTGCGGCCCCTCGACCACAAGTGAAGTAAACGCGATGACCGGCTTATCCAGATTTGCCACTGAGAGCTCCCATCGGAGGATCTGTTTGGATAACGTGCCATCGCCCAGGAGCCCACCAGCCAAAATACCTTCAAATACGGCGGAAGGACCGCACAGAGAGCGATTGGTACTTGCTACCATGGAACCAAAAACAGGAACAAAGGTTTGCCCCGTCGCTTCACACTCAACCCAGCCCCTTTCGGGGACGTACAACAGACATTTGTCGGACATAGTCGACGGTCCGACCTTGCCACCAACGACAAGTGCGAGACTCGACTCACCAAGCCTAACGGCTGCATGCCGATATAGTGGCATGGGTAGGTCATGAGTTTTCTTCCAAGACTTCAGGACTTTATCCATCACCCAACAGTCCTTTAGAGGAGCTGATAGAGATCCCCGACCGCCAACCAGAAGATGACCGGAAACCCCAAGGTCGACGACCTGGTGGCATATTCTACTCGGAGGACCAGCTGGTTTGAGTGGGATATCAGTTGTGCCAGAGGCATAGAGATCCAAAGACTTTAAACGACTGGTGCTACCAAGACCATAAATATTGGCGATATATTGATATCCACGTGAGTCCTCGAGCAACAATGGAGCTCCGAAACGTCGTTGACATGTCCGTAACCCCTCCTTGAAGACAGTCTCGATGGCAACATGTGGTAGCTCCTGCTTGGTGGGCGTCGAGAAGTCTGTCTGCTGTACAAGACTAGATTGTTTATGAGCTGGTCCGGTCGTGGCAGATACAACGCAGTAGTGGCTGCCAAATATGGCAAATTCCTCCCAGTCGTCGAAAGGTTCAACCTCATTGATTTTACACCGGTCCTCTGACGAAAGATATTTCTCAGATGACCACGTACTCCACAGGGTTTCAACATGCACGCAAGACCACCCGAGACCAGTAAATCGTTGCTTTTGGGCGTGAAGTGTAGGGTATGCGGCCACGGACTTGAGTGGCGTATTGAGCTTCTCAAAATGACGTAACATGGTCTCTGCAAAAGGATGGTCGGCACTATCAGGTAATATTTGCTCCAACAAGCAGAATTCCGCTATTCATATCAGCAATTTGGGGGGGCAGGTAGAATGATCAAGGGTCCTCCAACCTTGGCCTAGAGAGCTCGCCCATTTGATGACAGCGTCGGCCGCCACCGTCTCCATATATGTGATCGAGACCTCTGCGACGAACATGAATTCGCTTTCGGCCATGTCGACCGTTCGTGATAACGACTGCTGTATTGTGTTGAGGTCCCGTAGGTCACATCCTATTTGGATATACTGATCACTCTCCAACAAAACCAGAGGGTCTTCGGGGACCCGTAAATTTGTCAGCATCGAGTTGAGCCCTGAGGTCTCTTGGACAACTCTGGACTTATTGCTCATCAAATCAGGGAAGTCAATATCAATGAATTTGGCATCCTTGCACGCAGCGGGATATCTCGTCAGGCACTGCCATGGGAGCACGTCACTGCGACGATTAGTACAGCAAGACCTGCAAGTGAGTCTGGGAGGAGCAAGTCATACTATCCAGCGCCGAGGTTGACGACAACCTTCCGCTTCTCGGAAGGGCTTTGGAGGAAATTCCTGACAGCTACATTTATAACATGCAGCTGAAGATGGTAGCCGCGGTTGATGAGGGGCGATCGTTTCTGGAACTTTTTGACAAAGAAGCGGTAGAAATAGGGCTCATCTGGATAATACATGCGCTCGACACTTCTTTTGGAGACGATACTGCTAGTGCTTGTCTATAAGATGGAGATTAGGGACACTACGTGTCACTTCAGGGTGTAGACTTACAGACATGACCGAGTTATCTTGAGATCGGCCCTCCACAGATCGTCCCGTCGATTGCTTCTCTATTTTCGACATGACTGGGACAATCTTGTCAAGATATGCAAGTGACGGCAAAATCGAGCTGCAGAGACGTGTGCATTTGCAACGATGAGTTATGCAAAGCAAGTGTAAGGAAGATAAGTTGTGAAGGCTGGTAGTATGGAGAGCATAGGTCAGGTACAAGGTCCTTCTTCCCAATCACAACTAGACAAATCAGTGTTGCTTGCTCCTTTGAGCCGTCAATTAGCACGAGTGCATAACCATGAACGTAAGGCTGTATAGTCAGTTTGTGAGAATTGCACTGAGATGAGCACTCATAAGACTTAATACTAAGTTGCCTTGGTATGTACTGTACTGTACATGGGGTTACATATGGATGGGTAGGTAAAAATGCTGCAGTGCAGACCCCACCTTTTTTTTGTCGATAGTGGGAAGAAACATGCGAACTTGAGCTTGAGCTTGAGCCCTTGCGAATCTATGTACTTGGTACTCGGTGGATCTCTTATGTAGTCTACATACAGTAGTTTCTAATAAAGCCTCACAGTACTGAAGCTGCGGAAGTGTACGAGTGTCAGCAATCAACACCGAACTTATTGCTGCGGATGCTCTAACCTATCTATGTAGTGATGGCTGAGGATGAGTTGCAACCTGGAATAGGTAGCAGGGACTTGATTGTATTCTGTTGATGGGGATCAATTGGTATGGTAACCTTGGACTAAGGTTAGAGACCAAGATCAGCACATGGGCCAGGGTCAAATACCTTTTGTCAGGGCTTGTAGTCTGAAGTGTTAGCGGGCTGGTGACGCTGACGGCGGTCTTTTGGGGGTGGGGGGGTGTCGCCTGTAGCGAACGCCCAAGTGCACGTAGCACATCACAAGTCGTGATCAATCTTCAAGGCCAGGCAACCAGGGCCAGAACTTTGCTTTTACGGACCTGGAACTGACGCAGCAAACCAGCATTCAACTCTTCTTACGTAGTGAGAGGTGGACATGGGACTTGGACATGGACATGGACCTCGGGATCTTTGACATTTGAAGCTCTAGACTACGGCAGGGTTAGAATAGAAGCTCTCCGAGCTCTCCAAGCTCCTCCAGCCCACCAAAGACCCCCCGAATCTCATGCTTTCCTCACATCATATCGACGCAGCCCCCCCCCCCACTCCATCGCCAACCACCCGCCCGCGCGGGAATGAGATTGAGCTCGACCATAGCGGCAATCATTCACCCTACGGACATATTGTATACAGTAGAAGGAAGATGATGCAAACCCTCCCTGCCTCATCAGTTTGAACACCGCTTTAGCCCGTACATCACGCTATATCATCATATCTCCGTTTGACTCACCTCATTCCACCGCGTCGGCACCGGGCCCGCCGCAACCCCAACCCCAAGCACAGGCACAAGCACAAGCACAAGCATAAAGGACCAGGACAAGAACAAGGACAGGCACAAGCGCAAGCACAAGCACAAGCACAAGTGAGGGCGACAATGTCCAACTCCAACTCCTCGCTCAACTTCATCACCTTCAACCAAGACCACAGCTGCCTAGCCGTCGGCACAGCCAAAGGCTTCCGCATATATCATACCGACCCTTTCTCCAAGATCTTCAGCAGCGACGATGGCAGCGTCTCCATCATTGAGATGCTCTTCAGCACCTCCCTGGTCGCCCTGATCCTGTCCCCGAGGCACCTGATAATACAGAACACCAAGCGTGCCTCCGTTATCTGCGAGCTCACTTTCCCCTCTGCCGTCCTCGCCGTTCGCCTCAACAGGAAGCGTTTGGCCGTTGTGCTCGAGGATGAGATTTACCTATACGATATACAGAACATGTCCCTACTTACGAGTATACCCACCTCGCCGAACCCGAGCGCCATCTGTGCCTTGTCGCCTTCCTCGGACAACTGCTACCTCGCCTACCCACTACCGAAACCGCGCGAGGACGGAGCAGGAGCAGGGGCAGGAGGGGTCGCGGGGGGAGGAGTAGCCGCAGCAGCAGCAGCCGACAGGCGACCGGCACATGCGCCTCCAGCTTCCCTGTACACGCCTGTCACGTCGGGCGATGTCCTGATCTACGATACCCTGACCTTGAAAGCGGTTAATGTCATAGAGGCGCACAAGTCGCCGCTGTCCTGCATCGCCCTCAACCACGAGGGGACCCTCTTGGCAACGGCGAGCGAGACGGGCACCATCATACGCGTCTTCAGCGTCCCGAGGGGTCAGAAGCTGTTCCAGTTCCGTCGCGGCACCTATCCCAGCACAATCTCCAGCATGTCCTTCAACGCCACGAGCTCGCTCCTGTGCGTCTCCTCGGCCACCGATACCATCCACATCTTCCGTCTGCAGCAACCCGGACCGCCTTCCTCCACCGAACCCGCCGCCCGTGATCGAGATCGTGATCGCCTGGCGAGAGGCAGGAGCTACGACAGCGGCAACGACTCCCCGAGCAGCAATACCGGATCCCCTCGCAGCGATATCGCGGAACTGGCCAACCCACCAGCCGTGAACAGGAGGCAGAGCGGCTCCTTTAGCAGCATGTTGCGGCGGTCCTCGCAAATAATGGGCAGCCGTGTCGCCGGTGTCGTGGGCAATTATCTCCCCCAGACCTTCAACGAAATGTGGGAGCCCCAACGGGACTTTGCCCACATCAAGGTTCCGAGACCACCCCAGAAGCAGGGCGCGGGGAGGAGCGTCGTCGCCATGTCCAGCAGTAGTCCCCTAGTCATGGTCGTCACCTCTGACGGCGGATTTTACGTCTTCAATATCGATATGGAGCAAGGTGGCGAGGGGTATCTGGTCAAGCAGTTCTCGTAAGCTACCCATGTCTACTGTCTAGAATGTTCCCAACTAATCTGCTCGCGATAGGGTTCTCGACGTCGACGACAACAGGGATACGACAAGCTAAGGACCGTGCGGCCCAGGCCGGTCGTCTGCAATCTTTCGAGTTCCGTCGGCAGGTGACTGCCGACACACATCGAGTGTGTTGCTTCAGAGAGCGACAGCTCGAGGCTGGTCTCGTCCGTTCATACCTGTCTGCTTCTCGATTACTATATGCATTAGCGTTTGGCGCCACAGTCGGTCATGTTTTATTTCTGCCACGGAGACGGAGGCATCATTATGGGTCACATCGGGCTATACCTTCAGCTGTTGATGCTAAATAGTCACATCTACTTTAATTCGTCATTGTCGTTCTCTGTTGAACCGCTTCTAGCTGTCTTCTTGGCTGTCGCCGAACCTTGATTGCAGTGTTCCTAGTGGATAATCACGTAGGTCCAACCAGAACGCAAGCCATGATGTGATATATTTCCTACTGAATAGGGCAATGCCCTTCCCTGACCGGTAATCCCCAACGTTGTAGACTTGCGTCAACACAAACAACTCAATCCCCAGTTCTCCAGATTTATTAAAACGAACAAATGCCCCGTAGACTACTAGGCCACGGCTTTAGCAGCTCAACACCGCCCCGTAGCGCCAAACCAACCAACTTCCGTTTGATATGACCCTCATGCAAGCCCTTATCGTGGGTGGATTGGATATTAACACAGATGATGGGGTTTAAACTTCGTTCAACCCAGTATGCTTGCCTCCAAAAATGCCCCAACATGATATGTAATGGCGCCATCCAGGCCATTGAGAGCCAGCCTTGAAACCAGGAACGTGACAGAACCAAATCAGCCCCCAAAACAAAGTCGTCCGGAAATTCAAAGTCGTGTCGTCGTGTCGTTGGTAGTGAAAGTATGTAACTCGTAAATTATGTTCTAATCATCGTCATTGCTTCGGCAGCGCCCCGTTCCTCGTCGTTTGGGACTGCATTTTGCCCTTATCGCGCGTAGGGACGGTTCATCAGAGCGATCTCCCGCGATATCTCCGCCCACTCCAGCTCTCTTTTGAAGTCTCCCCTTCGCCGTTCAGCTGCAGATCCCCTTTTGGACTGCAGTAGCTCTTCCCACTTGAGCAATTCGTAGGCAAACCTCAGATGAGGCTGGATGATGACGTTCAGTCGTCTTGCTCTTACGAAGCAATATGCCCGTGGAAGCGAGAGATTCATTTCTCGCATGACTTCAGCAATGCAGATGGTAGCACTTCGCGAGACACCGACCCGGCAATGTACCAGAGTCGATGTGCCGTTGCGCCGTCCACGCTCTAAATCGTCAAGTCAGTCTGGGTGTGTCGGGCAAGCTTGCACCAGGGAGACGTACCAATGAACTTTAAGCAGTTCTCGAACTCGTCAGTCAGCGGGTCGATACCGTTATCCTGAACGCCCTGGACGATTTTGACATTCTCGGGACCCCATTGCTCCAGCTCACCATCTCTCCACATCGGCGTCTCGCCAACACTCAGAATCTGCCTGATCCCCAACGCCTTCAAAAGGTCGGGATTGTTGGCATGGCCTAGATTTCCCAAGTACATATAATCAAGAACACGGCTAGGAAATGAGCCATCCAGGCTCGCCAGCCACTTCGGCTCATCGCGAATCATATCTGTGATCTCGGAAAGAGACTTGTCGGCACAGAGCGGTGATTCTTGAAGCAACCGAGTAGAGATGGCTGTCAACAAGGCAACGTCGGTTGGATACGCGAAGAAGTTGCGTTTCTCTGTGGTGTGTAGATTTAGCCAGGCATCTGGCACGGGTTGGCCGGTGCTATAGCTGTAGTAGGCAATACCAAGCATTGATGACTCAGTATAGCCGTCTGCGCAGTGAATAAGGATTTTCCTTGGTTGAAGAGGCTTGGTTCCGCTAGCATCGTCCTCCATCATACTCAAGTCGCCGTCGAAGTCAAACTGATCCTTGGGCGGCAGGGTTCCATGCGAGAGGTGCCAGATCCATTTACATGTCTCCAAGATCCCATCGGCATCGGCTTGCGACCATGTCGGGGGAGGAATGCTGCCGGAGGATGGGAATTCGATGTACTTGTGTATTATATTGCCATCTGCAGACTCGGCATTCTGGCGCAGCTGTAAATAGTTGAGACGTCCCAGGTCGCTGCACTCAATCAATATATCATACTGCTTTTCTTCGTCGCTGGACGGCTCTGGCGTCGGCCCTAGCCATACGTTTGGCGAGATCTCGGAGGCCTTGGTCATGGAATACATTTCTAAGCGCTCTTGTTGAAAGAAGTCCACAACATCGCCGGTCAGATCGCCGGCACTGTCAATTGAGACTATCTCGGCGTGTTTCTCTTCGAATATGCCAAATGGCGTTGTGCAGATGAATGTGTTGTAGGTGGGAATGGTGTAACCCTGATCATAATGCTTTTCGCGCCATTTTGCTTGTGCAGATGCGATTCTCCAGCCTAGCTCTCGCAGCATGCCGGCATTGTCACCGTAGACGATAATGTCCGAGGTCATGGCCGACTTGGCAGGCTGTATCTGAAAGTTCCTCACTGAAAAGCCCTCTTTGGGATCTATATCTAAGAACTCGCCCTCGGGTGCCGCTTGCAAAAACTCCGAGGGGGCAATGGCTCCCTTGAGCTTGGCGACTGATAGGTCTCCATCAGCCTTGACCACAGTGACGCCCCTCAAACAGGAGGGGGTCTTCTTGAGGGTCCGCCTGCGAGCAATAAAGAAGGCCTGCTGGACGTGGTTGTTCGGATGCAAGCCATGGAACCAAGGAAAGACATGGCAAGGGTCGGGCAAAGGCTGGCGGGAATGGTAGTCCAAGGCAGCGGCGACATCTGCAGCATTGATTTTGTAGAGCGACAGCGAGCCCGATTCGATCCGAGTGAAGTTGTTGGGGGGATAGAGTAAGGAGGCCTGCCGCCACTCGACCTCCTGCAGAGGAGAGGACGGCGGGGTGTTTGGTTCCTGGGCAATGGCGGGCCCGGTGGGACAGACTGGTATGTGTCTATTTGGGATAGGCGGAGAAATAAGGTGTTGTGTGTTGATGGTGTCGAGGGTGATGGGAGATGGTAAGGTGACCATGTCAGAGGAAGATCGGTGGGGCGCGATGGGTCTGGGGAGAGCAATAGTCGCCATAGCTCCAGCCAAGTTAGGTGCGAGACGACGACCTCGACTTCGACCTCGACCTCTGTGATATCCAGCCAGCCAAACAAAGCAATTCGACCCTTAGACTAAGGGTGTTTACGCAATCTGCAATAATGAGCGCAGGGCAGACTGGATTGGATGGGCAGTGTATTCGGTTTATCTTTTATCTTTCTCTCCTTCCTGCGCCACGCGGCCGACCTGGTCTGATGGTGGGTTCGCGGGGTTAGATGGCAGTGTAAGCGTTATGCTGGAATCTTGGTGATGGTCGCGGGTAAGCTGTGTCATGTACGGAACAGCATCCACGGTACGATGCTGGCACTGAGGAAGTGTAAAAGGTGTTAGTGGAACTCAATATCAATCTGCGATAACCCAAGACGACACTGGGGAAATGAAGAGAGAAGCACGAGAGAAAGGACAGAGAGGTGGGGAGGGAATGTCAACAAGTTTCATACATGTCGAGGAGTTATTGATTGGAGGTGCCGTAGTCTTATCGTACAGGACAGGACAGGACAGCAGAATACAGTATGTAGGTAGGTAGCACCCCTGTATATGCAGCGGCGCGGCAGATAACAACGGGGACAGACAGTGCACACAGCAACTGTGTGTGTGTGGGCAGATCCGAATCGGTAGGAAAAAGAAATCCGACAAGCACTATCCTCGTCCCAACTTGTGCTAGGCAGTACCAGAATGCTGAAAAATAGTACGCTCTGTCAATTGAGAAGGAGATAAAAATAAGAACTGGCTACATATGAAGATGGAGTTTCTGACGTTTCCATCTCCACCTCCATGTCTGAGACAATGGGGGGCGTTTGCACACCATTACCCTTGACGAAACCCTTGACGAACGGCGGGGGAGGGGTAGGGGGGTATGAGGGCCAGATTCCAGTAGTGTCCGTGATGGATGCCGTTCCCTGCTTGCAGCTACTTGTACTCATGTCATGTAGGTATAATAGGCATATATTGCCAGAAAGGCATATGAGGATCCAATCCTTGACTCAACTAACACGTGTAATACCAATTCCGGCCCAAACAGAACACGAAACATCTCTTGAACGGCAATTTTATAAAACAATTAAAAGATTAAAACAAAATAAAAAAGTAAAACATCTTGGTTACATCGGATTCTTCTGACCTCCTCGTCTATGTTTCTCCCAGCGAGGCCCGGCTCACAACAGCCAGCTTGAGACACCCAAGGTCGTGTACAGGCGCGGGACCGTTAATAGTACCCTTGTGTTACCTGTGCTTTTGCAGCTTGCCTCTGCCACCAAGTAATCAATGAGTGCAGCAAAGTGAGTTCAGCTAGGGCTCGTACTTAACCATGAGCATATCGATGGCAACCTACAATGAACCTTGATAGGCTACCTGCCGCCACCTAAATCGTGTTGGAGGAGCTTACTGGTCAATTGGCTTGGTGACGAGAAGCTAGACGAGGCGGACTAAGGCAAGTTGGGAACGAAGGGCGACTAGCAGGATGCAGATAATGACCAATCACCATTCTGAGCGAAGTCGAGATATGCAGCAAGGCAACCATTTGCAGCGAAACAACTTGGTACACCGGGCCGTGGCAAAGTTGCATCAGGCTTGCAAAGTGCTTTTGACCAGCAAAGTCCCTCCAGATTTATCAAGCCATCAAGTACTGTTGGAGCGCCGAATTATCTTGTCCAAAATCAAAACATTCACTTGCTTGACTCAAGAGTCTCCCACTATACGTCCGTCACCATGACGCGGATTGGTCCGGCAAAGCTTAATGTCGCTTTCCAGTCACTCTTCGAATTTGACTATCGTGCAGGAGTGTGGTGCCAAATGTGATACAGTAGCTCTCATCGTTGTTAGTACTTGGTATGCATTAGTCCATCCATAGATCGATATAGCTTCCCCACTCCGCTTTTCGAGAGCTCTCCACATGCTTTGTATATCAGACTGATCTACATCAAGTACCTTGATAATGTAGACTAGTAGCAGCAGTTTACTTGAGAGTCTAGAACTTATAGTCTGTTCACTTGATGATCTGTACTAGGATGGATGTGTGAAGTTTGGGTATACTCACTGTGCTTGAAGAGCGCCTATGGTCTTCTCTTTCTTTGTAGAATCCATAAAACCATTATCTAGTCTAGCATCAACCAAGTATCATGGCAATAAGACAGCCTAACCAACATTTGCGATGACAAATAATAATCTGCGGACACCTCGATTCGAACCATCAGGTGATAATACAGCTGCTATATCGAGGTATTGACGGTAGTTTTTGTACCACTGGTCGGTGTGATGACGTGAAACACTTCTCTGGCGACTGAACCAAGCTCCACCATACCCGCCAAGCTTGAGGCAAGCGCTGACCCAGATTCCCGGATCTATACTTGTACCAAGACGATGTAAGGCTAGGTGCGACTCCACCTACCACACCTTGAGAGCAAGGAGTATACGATGCTAGGTCTTCACCGTGTGCGTACTTTACAAGTTCGAGCCTGGGAATTCAAGCTCTCTGTGGTACCTATGCAACAAGTGCCAAGCTTGAGAATTTCGGGAAGTGATATGGCCTGGTTCTTGTATCTCTCTAGCCTATGTAGCAACTCATTTGCAGAGTCACGAGACCGTGACTCGACAGGATGATTCGATTCCTAGGAGCTATCAAACGCAACAGATTATTAGTATTGGGATATTGGAGTGCTCGCTCCTGTGTCTCAGCCATGACCATTTAAGCAGGTCCTTCGAAAACTCGCAGGGGTCTTTGGTGTAGCGTTATATAGTATTTCTCATATGCAATTTTGAGGGCCTAATTGAGACGCAGGACAAGCCGAATTATCGTGTTCGTCGGCTGCCCACAACGGCGGTAGCTATCGTTTTTTCTTCTTTTTTCTTTTTTTCTTTTTTCTTTCTTTTTTTCTTTTTTCTTTTTTTGTCGGAGGACGGGGGTTGTCGGAAGCACATTGGGCGTCTACAAGCTTGTCAGCTAACCTAGTCTACTCCAAGCGCTGAAAAGGTCAAATTGCGGCCCAAAAATTATATTTTGAGAGGGCAAAAGTTCATCACATGCCTGAAATCCGTTACGATAGCATACCGCAATAACAATGGCGACCAGCAAGAGCGCCGCACAGCCACAGCCACACCCACGTCATCGATCCTTTGTCTCACAACTTTGCGACTTGGCCCCAGGTTCGGTCTTGGCCTTGGCCGCCGCCGGCTTGCAACTGCAAGCCGATAAGAGGCAATCCACGGGACTCTGTACATTGCCTAAGCATGTCGTGGACTTCCTTCCATGCGCTTCTGCCTGCCTGCATGCCACCAAAAGATATTTCACGTTACAGATGCTGCAGGTCATTGTCCGTCTAGCTAACAAGATCGCTTATTGCTTGTGACGTGACCATTTGTCTTAAAATCCATCTCACGTTACGTATTCCCGTGTCGGCGGCATCTGCCTAGGGTATTGCAGCTCGAATCAGTTCACGCCCAAGCTGTAAAGAATCATGTATAGGCTGCTTTATATGCACTGTGAGTGAGGACTTGTCGACTCATATCTCTTATGCATAGCGACAGCGGATTTGGCGCAACACCGGTCATCTCGCAGTCGCATCGGAACAGTACTCGGCATCCATCGTAGCGGTCAAGATTTCTTGCGATGCCTTCCGCGTCCGCTTCAACGAGCTATGCCCAGACCCTCGAGCATGACCTTGGGCCGAAATGCAGGCTTGCACCTGTTGTTCGCCCATTTACGCCCTCACCACCGGAGGCGGAAGCTGTGCCGCCGGTCAACGCTCACTACTTCTACATATCACCGATTCCCATAGACGACCCTCTGTCGACGGTTACCATAGCCGGCTCTTCCGATGCCAAACTAGCCAACTTCAAGCCGCGACCTTTCTCTGAAGGGGATAACAATGCTCTGGAAAAGGCATGGCTAGGTTTGGCGTCCGCCGACTATCGCAGGAATCACAGCCAAGCCAGGCGCAACCGCAGCCCAAGTCCATCCCTCGCCAAGATCAACGCCGAAAGACTGCAGGAGATTATACAAGATTTGGCGGTCAAGCACAAAGAGAAACATGCAAGAGAAGGACCCGGCCACCAAGTTACCCCTGCGCATGTCGATACCCTCCCGGAAGCCGAGACTGCGTTGCCGTTGTGCTGTCAAGAAGTGCTCGCCGATGTGGGCGTGCAACTGCGCACCTCCTTTTGTGCCGTTGCTAGGAAGCGCCAACGTGCTCTGAATCGGGAGAGAGTGGCGCAAGAGGTTATGGCCGAGATGGAGACGTTAAAGACAGACTCGACTGCGACTGTTACTGTTGCCGAGCAACATAAATCCGGCCTGAATGCGTCCACCAGTCGACGGAGAGGAGGTTCCTTCGCCGGCGTCGCCTTCCAGCCTAGTTCCTTCAAGGACAGCTCTCACACGCCACTCGAGCGAATTCCCCGATCCGATTCCCGGCCATCAAGTAGGAGGGGCGTTGACACGGCTAGCCGGCAGAGCTCTCATGCTAGAGCGCAATCTCTTCGAACTAACCCCAGTTCGTTGAATGAGGGTACCCCCATACCTGTACGAGCTGGCGGCCAGGGTGATGGGATCACGGGAAAACCTTTTGTGAGGGTCGGAACACCTGACATGGTTGAGTTCCCCATTTCCGGATCACTACCTAGTGACAAGGGGGACGTTAAGCCTGCCGAAGAAAAGTCGGCTCCCGATGTTAGAGATACACGGCGTCCCGTCCCGGAAATGCCTTCGACATTGCCTGAGCGCGGCAGAAGGAGATCGCGGCAGGATACGGCGAATGTTCCGGTTGGTGTTTCACGGCTGCACGAGGTTTCTTTACCCGCACTCCAGATGAAACCCATCTACTGGTCACCGGTCAACGATATAGCTGCAGTTCTTCGAGCCACGTGGTTCTACAAGGACAACATGGAACCGATTGACCCTGCCGTGGCGAACCAGCTCGAGGCAGGATATCAAGAACTCAAACCATATACTGATACCTGGAACGTTGAGCTTCGGTGTGCCATAGAGGTTGGGCCCTTGGGTGAAGAGAAGGTCTCACATCCGCTCTGGCCTAAAGCGCTAGATTCCAAGGCTAAGACCAAGGAGAAGGAAGTTATCCAGGAGCCAACGATTTCAAACAATCCATTTTGTGCAGCTCGCTGCTTCAAGGGTGAGGCAGCAGCTCAGGGTAACCTACTACCCTCCTCCCATGAGGATAACTCTTCTGAGATACAGTCCCACCGAAAATATGACCAATACCATGTGATCTACAAGGATGAAAACCATGCGTATTTGCTTAAGCCAAGCTTACGACCATCTGCATATTATGGTCGTCGCCCGGTGGCAAAAATAATGAAGAGCCTGGATATTGGCATCCCCGTCGTGAGAGGCTTTGATCGAGCAGCCTACGACAAGATACATGTCAAGAAGATCGGATCGCAGAAAGCAGCTGCTGCTAGGTCTGCCGCCAGCGAATCTCAGGAAAGCACCGGTCAGAATGTCTGCATGGCTTGCAAACGTGAAAAAGAGCGCGCTCAGGTGACCGACCTAATCCTTGTGGCACATGGTATTGGACAGAAGCTGGCGGAGCGTGTGGAAAGCTACCATTTTACATATGCTATCAATACTTTCCGAAGGATGATTAACGTCGAGCTGGGTTCAGATGCAGTCAAGGAGGTTCTTCGCGATGGCCAGAATGGTATCATGGTTCTACCCGTTAACTGGCGGCAGAATCTTTCATTCGAGGAGGGTGGCCCTATGAGAGAAGGGGACAAGGCTGAGTATATGCCAGAAGGCTTTGGCCTGAAGGACATTGAGCCCAAAACCATCCCGGCAGTTCGAGGCATGATCTCCGACATCATGTTCGATATTCCCTTCTACATGTCGCACCATAAACCTAAGATGATCTCTGCCTTGGTTGGTGAAGCAAACCGTGTCTACAGGCTCTGGTGTCGCAATAACCCAGGCTTTGCGGGAAACGGCCGCTTACATCTGATCGGTCACTCGTTAGGCAGCGCAATGGCACTCGAAATTTTATCCAAGCAGCCAACCATAACACCCCACCTCCGCCTTGAGTCAGATATTCGACTAGACCGCTTCGAATTCGACGTCAAGAACCTTTTCCTACTTGGGAGTCCCGCGGCTTTCTTCCTCTTACTGGAACGAGGCGCCCTTATCCCGCGAAAGGGACGACAGAAGCCAGGAGCCGAGACGGCAGACGCGGATTCGGAGGGTGTTGTGGGCGAAGCCGGGCTATTCGGCTGCCTAGCTGTAGACAACGTCTACAATGTCCTGGCACGCGAAGACCCGGTCGCATACCTACTGAACGGTACTATAGACCCAAAGTATTCTGCCAGCCTCAAGACTGCCTACGTGCCAAGCTCCACCATGACGTTTTTCCAGTCCATGGGTAACGCTATGCGAAGCATGGTGCCCGGCGCCTCGTCCTCTACCGCCCATGCCGCCGAGAACTCGGCACTCATCAAGCCGCCCACCATGCGGTTGCCGAGCCAGCTCGAACTCGAGGTCCATGACTTCACGCGAGAGGACATTGCCGAGAAGAAGGCGTTCTTGCTCAACGACAATGGGCAGATCGACTACTTCCTCCGCTCGGGCGGCGGGCCCTTGGAGATCCAGTATCTCAACATGCTTGGCGCGCATTCGAGCTACTGGGCCAATCCCGACCTTATTCGCATGCTGTGTATGGAGATTGGCCGCAAGCCGGGGAGGGCACATACTCTGCCCGCCATGAGAGCGGCGAAGGTGGGCAAACGGGCATTGCCGAGTACGCCTGCGTGATGGCCGGATCTTTCTTGTAACAAGATGATGGAGCGAGCGTCATGTAACTATCGAAATGCTCACAACGAAACAGACATGTTATGCATATAGGAGAAGCGAGCCCAACATGTTAGTGTTGCACTCGAGATATATTATGCAGTGTACTTAGATTCTTAGGTAGCGAACACCCGAATTATTGGCTTTCCCCTTGTTCGCTTGACTACATTATTTGTTCGTCACTCCTAGATATTAAACTTTGTTAATGCTTATGGATAAACATACCCGACGCAGACGGGAAGCATGGAGAGATCTTTGACAAAGGAATGTATGCATTACCCGAAAACGAGGCCCATCCCTAACCTCGCATCGATATTCTTCTATCAAACCTCGATCTTTGTTGTCTTCGTGAGGTCGAGGCCACGTTAATACACGATATACAATACAGCACACAAAGAGCAACCCGCACCTATGCTACAGAAAACCCTTCCGATGCCTTGTTTGTTCATTTCTCTACTCCTCACTCGCCCTTGAGCTTGTCCTGCGTCACGGAGAAGGCCATCTCAAGAAGGTCTTGCTCCTCCTTCTTGTGGGAGGACTTCAGACCGGTAGCCACCGAGGCAGATGGGTTGCGACCAGCGTACATGACGTGCTTTCGGTTGTGGTGTTCTGTGTTGTTGAGAAGAGTCTCAATACGGGGCTGGACAAAGCTCCAAGCACCAGCGTTCAGGGGCTCCTCTTGACAGTAGACAATAGTCTTGGCGTTAGGGTACTGGTCAAGGTTCTCCTTCAGTTGTTGCCAAGGGAAGGGGTTGAGTTGCTCGATACGTGTGAACGCAACGTTGTCGATCTTGTTGTCGGCACGGTGCTTGGACAAAGCAGCCCAGACCTGGCCAGAGCACAGGATAACACGCTCAATCTCCTCGGGCTTCTTGATGGCGCCAGTCTGGTGCTCGGGATCAGGGATGATCCACTGGAAGCCAGCATCTGGGCCGTTGAAATCCTCAATGCCCGAACGAGCGAGAGGGTGACGGAGAAGAGACTTGGAGAAGAAGATAATAAGAGCTGGTTTTTGTTAGCAGGAGCTTCACAGGTTTCATGGATCGAGAAGACTTACGCTTTCTGAACTGTCTGTGCATCTGGCGACGCAGGATGTGGAACAAGTTGGCGGGTGTAGTCATGTAAGCAATCTGCATGTTGCAGTCTTGGTGTTGACGGTGAAGCTTCTCTTCGCTTGGGAAGATTCTGGGGTCTTCATTCGACAACTGCAAGTATCGCTCCAGACGACCGGAGGAGTGCTCAGGTCCCTGACCGTCGTAACCGTGGGGCAAAGACATGACCAGACCGGTCCTCTGCATCCACTTAACCTCACCAGATGCGATAAACTGGTCAATGATGCATTGGGCGTTGTTGGCGAAATCACCAAACTGTGCCTCCCACATCACCAAGGCATTGGGCGACGACAAGGAGTAACCGTACTCGAAACCAAGAGCGCCGAACTCACTCAGGGACGAGTTGGAGATGACGAACTTGCCCTGATCCTTGCTGACGTGCTGGAGAGGGGTGTAGGAATCCTCGTTCTCCTGGTCGTGGAAGACGGCGTGACGTTGCGAGAAGGTACCACGCTCGACATCCTGACCAGAAATTCGGACGTGATGACCCTCGGTCACCAGAGAACCGAAAGCCAAAGCCTCTGCGGTTGACCAGTCGATGTTCTTCCCCTCGACGACTGACTTGGTACGGTTTGCAAGGATACGCTTCAGGTTGCGGTGCACTTGGAAACCTTCAGGGGCGGATCCAATGACTTCACCAATGTGCTCCAAGGTCTTCTGATCCACCGAAGTGGACTCGTGGGGGAGAATCTCAGTAGCCAGTTCCTTGGGGGACTTGAAACCATTCCAGGCTGACGTGGTCCACTCCTTGGAAGATGGCTGATAATCCTTGGACTTGGAGAAGCTCTCCTCCAACATGCCCCAGACCCATTGCTTGTGTTCTTCAACGTCTTCCTTGGTGAAAGTGCCGTCCTCGAGCAACTTGTCGGTGTAGATCTTGATCTGGGGCTCCTTTTCACTGATTCTCTTGTACATGAGAGGCTGGGTGAAAGATGGCTGATCGGTCTCGTTGTGTCCGTACTTTCGGTAGCAGACCATGTCGATGACGACATCAGACTGGAACTCAGCACGCCAATCAGCGGCCAACTGGCAGACGAAGTTGACAGCCTCGACATCATCAGCGTTGACATGGAAGACAGGGGCATCGATGGCCTTGGCAATATCGGTACAGTAGGCAGTGGATCGGGCGAATCGCGGGTCGGTGGTGAAACCAATCTGGTTGTTGACGACCAAGTGAATGGTACCACCAGTGGAGAAGGCAGGCAGAGAGTGGAAACCGAGACATTCGTAGACGATACCCTGGGCGGCGAAAGCAGCGTCACCGTGCAGGAGAACGCTCATGGCAGTTCTGTGCGTCTTCTCGTCGTTGTTGTAGTGCTGGATGGCCCTGGTCTTTCCCAACACGACGGGGTCCTCGGCCTCGAGATGGGATGGGTTGGCGACTAGGGAGAGCTGGACACGCTTTCCGGAAGGAGTCGGCCGCTCGAAGTTCATACCCAGATGGTACTTGACATCACCAGATCCCTCATCCTCGGCAGCGGCAGTACCGGCAAACTCACTGAAGATGGACTCGTTGGGCTTACGGACAACGTTGCTGAGGACGTTGAGACGACCACGATGCGGCATGCCAATGACAATGTCCTTGACGCCGTAGTCGACACTGCGGTCAATAAGAGCCTTCATGCCAGGAACAAGTGTCTCGCAACCCTCGAGACCGAAACGCTTGTCGTTGGGATATTTGGTGGCGAGGAAAGACTCGAAGCTGGAGGACCAGATGAGACGGTCGAGGATGCGGCGCTTCTCATCGATGGAGTACTTGAATGGCTTGTCGATCTCGACGCGCTCTCGCAGCCAGTCGCACTTGTGTCGGTCGGGGATGTGGATGAACTCGACACCGTAGGAACCGCAGTAAATCCTTTCGCAAGCGGCGATGATTTCGCGCAGAGACATCTTCTCCCGTCCTTCGCGCTTGAAGCGAGGGAGAATACCGGGGCCAAGCTCAAACTCGGTGTCCAAGTCCTTCTCAGTGAAGCTGTAGTGCTCCAGGGTCAACTCCTTGGGCTTGATGTCGGTGTAGCCCTTGGTCTCGCCACGAATGTTGAGGGGGTCGATGCGAGCCTTGTGGTGACCTCGGGACTGGTATGCGCGCACCAGCAGCTGGACCTTTAAGTGGTTGGTGATGTCCGAGCCGCGACCGGCAGCGAGGCCGCCTGACGGGGAAACGACGCCTCCCGTAGCTCCGGGGACCAAGTTGGGGGGAGGAGTGAAGGCTTGGGCAATGGGCATATCACCGTTTTCCATGTTCTTGAAGTAGACCTGCCAGGAGACGTGGACGCTCTTGGGGTCCTCCTTCCACTGCATGTACATCTCGTCAATGTAGTTGGCGGTGCTTCCGGACAAGAAGTTGTCGTTGGGGTCGGGCGATTGAGCCTGCGCCGAGGCATATCGCTTCTGGGCGGAGGACAGGGCGAGAGGCCGGCGAGCGGCGGCGATGGAGTAGCATCGTGACGAGCTACGTGCAGCGCATCGTGTGGTGGCTTGACTGCTGGCTCGTAACAGCGAGCTGCTGCAGCTGCGTAGTGAGCTGCTCAGCATGGCTCCAGGCTAATGCTTTTCTTCTTGACAGCTGTGTTGTTGCTGTGCCGTGTGCTGTGTGCTGCGTGATGTTTATGTGTGTGTGTGTCTTGGCTATTCAGCTTCTCTTGTACCTCGGGAGGGATTTTGCCAGAGGACGCAAGATTGCTAGCTGAGCTGGGCGGAGCTGAGCTTGAGCTGAGCTGCCAAAGCAGTCAGATGAAAAATACGATTAAAAGTAAACTCCCCACCGAAGACCTCGATCCTCCTTCTCGAAAGAACGAAGATGGAAGAACAAAAGGAGCGGCGGAGTAAGTCGTGATGTGACGTTGGTGACGTTTGTTTTTTTTTTTTGGAAGAGAGAAAAAGACAGGAGGCCAAATGGATGTCACGGGAGAAACAAATCAGATCAAATGCATGGAGAAATTCTGTTTAGTCCCGGTCGGGTGCCACTGTAGCGGGCTGCATTGAGCCTGCTCTGATGCCGAGCTGTTAGTGGTCCAGCTGTCACCGTGACCCCCTTGTCGTCGCAAGTTCCCTGTTCTCTCCGATCCAGAGGTCTCTATTAGCCGAACGTCTTGGGATGAAACTACGTTAAATCTTCAAGGCTTTCTTTCTGCACAGCTGGAACCACTGCAGAGAGGCCACAGGGTTGAGGACGGCAGTGCTCGATCAATACATCTCAAGCGTACTCCCAGCGTGTCCCCGTCGGCAACGGAAGCTTTCGTCCTTACTCGTAACTTACTTGCATGTTTGTTTGACGTTTGGCCTGCGACTAACACCACTGCCAAGATCCAAGATCCAAGATCAAGCTCCATAATTCGCGGTACATGTTCTGTTACCGGTAACTGCGGGATGCTTACGCCGGGCCTTCTGTGATTCGCGGGAAGCCCCGAGAACAGTAGAAGGCCAAAGCCTATCGCCAGGATACTTACTGTACGGAGTATGCTCGAGCAGCTACGAGACTCTTTGAAGTCTGGGAGTTCTCGGCAGTGGATCGCGACAGGTTTTGGACTGCGAGGTCTGTTGCAAGCCAATCTTGGCTTGAGACGAGGCATAGGAGAGCTCCAGAACCGAGAGGCTTGTGTTTATTTATTTTTAGTTTTCCTCTCTCCTCTTTTCAGATCCATCTATGCTTGCTTAAGGAGAGGGGGGGAAAAGAAGAAAACCGGTGACGTCGCCGTACATGTGTGGACTGTTAACTACATACGGTCTTATGCAGGTAGCGCAACGGATACTGGCAGCCAAATATGAGCTTGTTTGCTACAGAGTCCCCTGCGAGCAGCTTGTAGGCATGCGCGCATCGCTGCCCGTGGATAGCTGCAGTTGCTAGACCCAGTCTGCTTCTTCGATGCCAGACTTTGGCACAAACACAATTGACGTGTTTCACCACAAGTCAAGGCAAAGCTGGTCCATTTTAGCGAGCCCAGCGTTGGCAAAAAGCAGTGCTCTGGACTAGACTAAACCTAAACAGGAGGTTTATCGGGGCACCAGCCACAAAAGCCACTCCAAGACTCAAGACTCAAGACTCATCGCCCGGGGTCATTCCAGACGGGGACCCGCTGCCTGATAGATATTGCGGCGTCGTCTTCGACGTTTGGAAGCTTTCTTCAGTTCCATGTTTCAACGCGCGTGACCTCAATACCACATAATTAATGATACATGTAGCCATGGGAAAGTAAATTTCTTGCGCTCGATCACACATGGATGCTAGCGCTGAGAACTAGGCAAGGAAGGCAAAAGGTTTTGATCAGCAGGGTCCGAATCCCCCACGACTCCAACATCTGAGAGTAAGACGTCTATAACAGCTCTTGCCAAAGGTGCGGCTTGCATCTGTGTGGAGGGGGGCACGCAAACACTCATTTCAATCACTGCGTGCTACGCCATCTACGCATCTTCTCAAAACCTCATCGTCGGGCTTAGGGTCTACCATCTCACGTCTTCGCTGTCACAATGGCCACGCCGCAAGGTACTGCAGCCTACAAGAAAAAAGATGGTGTCCTCACTGTTAGCGATGACCAGAAGTCCGTACTTTGGACTCCAGCTGCGGCTCCAGGAGGACCGCCCACCGTGACTCTGGCCGTCGCCAATATCACTAGTATGATTTATTCTTGCCAGGGTTTGGCAGGCAGTGCGATTGCTAACAGCTACCGCTAGACCTTCAGCAAACGCCGGACTCGTCGCCCAAGGTGATGCTCAAGATCTTCGAAAAAGCACCAGACGCAGGAGAACCCACCGCTTACTTGTTCCACTTCAACTCGACTGGCGATGCCAGAGGGGAGGCAAATGCTGTGAAGGACCTTCTTTCGAGATTGCTCGCCGAGTTGCGGAGCAATGATCCCAGCGTTCCTAGACCAACTGCTGCAGCCGCCAATGCTTCAGCCGCTGGAGGCAGCGGCTCTGGTGCCATGGCCTTTGCCAGTGCAGTAAATGCCAAGCCGGCAAATGCCCGTATATTTGATGATAGCCAGCTCAAAAACGATATCGCACTCCAGCAGTCGCTTATGAAAGCGGATCGAGGTCTTCATCAGATGTACATGGAGGCGCGCACAACCAAGCCTGACTCCATGTCCGATGCTACCTTCAACGCTCAATTCTGGTCGACGAGGACCAATCTTCTACGTGCTCATGCCATCGAAGTCGGCCAAAAGAAGGGACCCTATAACATCCTATCCGTGGCGAAGCCCGTCTCAGAGTCGAGCGCGGATCCCAACCAACCGGATAAGCAGAAGTTGAGCATCACCGTGGAGCAGGTTCAGCTTATCCTCAACCAACACCCTCTTGTCAAGCGTATCTACAACGAGAATGTGCCACCATTGACGGAGAATGAATTTTGGGAACGATTCTTTCTCAGCAAGCTTGTGAAAAAGCTGAGAGGAGAGCGTCCAGCCGGGAACGAGCAGCCTGACAAGGTCTTCGACAAGTACAACGAGTATGAGAATATCACAGCCTTCTCGAATAAACTATTAACACAACATGTACCGCATATTATCGACCTGGAAGGCAATGAGGAAAACCAGGGTGGTTTCAAAAGCGGCAACGGTAAAGATGTCGAAATGCGACCCAGAGGCTGGCAACAAGTGCCTATCATGCAGACTTTAAACAGTATAAGTGGCAAACTGCTCAACAATGTCGCTCCTGCCGACACTGACTTGATGGATCCCTCAAGAGTGGAAGAAGATGAAGTATATGGTCAACTTGCGCTCCGTGATCTGCGTGGTGACGCCGAGGAACAGCGGGTCATTTTGAATATCAGAGAGCAGAGCCGCTTCTTCTCCGCTCAAAAAGATGCAAGTGCAACATCAGACGATGTCTACGGCAAGCAGGATCCAACTCAAGCCTTGAGAGGCGTCAAAAGAGACTTGAGTCAACTGTACATTGGACATGCAACAGGTGTCGACCTTCACGCAGCAATTGGCATCGACGACGAGAGTGATAGCGACGACGAAGCAGCGAAGCGTGTCCATGTCGGATCGCGCGCCTCAAGAAAAGGCGCACAAAGGCAAATACTCGACAGCATGCTGCAGAGACGAACCCAGCTTTTTGGCCATACGTCCGATGATACTACGCCAATGGGGTTGCCGGCAGAAATTGCCGCGAAATGTAACCTGACTCATGCTACTACCATGGAATTCGTCAATCAATTCTGGTCTGCTTTCCTTTCCGGAGACCCGGACCGAGCTGCGGAAATCGGATACCTGGTGGAGTCGCTGAAGCGGTGCAAGGAGCGTATTGCTGTTGTTGCCGCTGAGGCAGAAAAGGCACGGGAGGAAGTCATTGCAAGAAAGAAGGACGATATCATCAGAATCTATGAGCGGACGAGAAAGAAGATCAAGTTTAATCCAAAATCCGTCCGGGGTGGTCGAGATGCAGTGGAAAAGTTGATGCAGCCAGTCACCCAGTCGCTCGACAGAGCCACATCAGATTATCAAAGAGCGCTAGCTGCAGAAGGCCTGCAGTTTAGTACGGAAATCTAAAGGTAACACTATGTATATTATAGAGAGGGCACACTGCGCGGGGGCATTCGCATGTGGCTCGTCAGGGCGTTTGAGATACTGAAATCAATTTGGAGATGGTATGTATACATATTTCAACGAGATGGCAGATCGGCTACGTCTTATCTGGGCATGTCTCGCAGATACATGTACCTGCCTTCCGTTAAGCCTGAAGCAGAGGTCGTTGGTGGTGACTGCCAAGGAGTTCTATCACACAAGGCAAAACTAGTCGATCGTGGCTGCAACCAACATATCAACTAAATCCTCCTCAACTCGCTTCAAATCATGGTGTTGCTAATGGACTTGACGCAACTTCTGCTCATGTGTATTTCAGCATATTCGTCGTGGTTCGTAAGCTACCGACCCTAGGCAGTAATCTTAATGGTTTATCACCATAATCGCAGTTACTTACAGGCACATATATCCTGTTGATTTTCTCCTGAGATATGAATATCAAGAGCGCAAAGTTCGATGGCGCCGTTCCATCACGGAGGCGGGTGCCTCTCGCCGAAAGAAGCAACACTGTCTCTCCCCGTCGTTTCGCTCGCTGGTCTCGCAAGAACTCAGATGTTTCAGCTTCGAGTCGACACGATTCATTATACGACGCTGAGTGCTTATCGGCTACAAGGGTCCAGAAAGTCTCTCCACGACCAATCCAAATACTCCCGTATCGTCGACCTAAGCAGATAGAGGTCGAAGATCTGCGTACAGAATCCCCTTTGTCGCGCCTCGAGACTACTCCGTTCATTTACGGTCATGGCACGGCACTCCATCCTATTTCTGAGCAGCTCAGCGTTACTACTCTGCGAACAGCTAGCTACGCAACCTCTGACGTGTCCTCCCTAATGCACAATGCACCAGGTCCCCTGAGTAGGGCTGACGGTAACCGTACCATTCATCAGCCTCTACGGAACCGTCAATCATACAGTCATGACGATATAAACTGTGCAGAGAGCTCTGTGGAGCGCCTCAACGTTACCGTGGACGTCAGTGTGACTCGGCTGACTGGGGAGGAACCAAGATCATCGGTTGCTGGACTGTGCAGGAGGTGTGATAAGCCTACGGTCTTCAAAACTTGGAATTGCGGACGCTGCACTACGGAGAGAATCACTTCAAACTGTTGCTTTGGGTTTCTGAGACTATTTGAACCGTCGTGAGCCACATATAAACATGCACAAAGCCACCGGATATGTATAGCTAAGAACAAGGCGTAAATTTCTGAGAGGCTTTGGCAGATTCCCAGGTACGATGGTCTTTGAGTTAATTAAAGATTTGAAAATGATGTACGAGACTCGTGGCCTGTCTTTTCGACCCCAAATTTGAGCAATAGACGTGTTCGCCGAGCTATACAGACCGTCTGGAAGTCGTTCTGCGGATTTGTCAAAAGGTGCACTCATATGATTGCCAGATACGAGGAAATATGTAGTAGCAACTATCCACTGCTTACATACCTACTTGTCGCTGGAGAACTGGCTGTCCAGGATCTGATTATCAGAGAACATCTAGCTTCTCATAGCACACTCCATTTTATCTTCGGTGACCGCGCCTGTATCCTGTGCCAGACTAGTCCCCCAATAAATTGCGCCTGCCCTCTAATTATGTGCTCAGAGCCAGTTCATATAACCTAGTCCAACGTCACCATCCAGCCAATCGTTCTTATATGATGCTAGACCCTCCACCATCGAGTGCTTTGTGGTAGTTTATAGTATAGATATTCTGCAAAAGTAGATACAAAAGTATCTCAACTTCTGTGCTCGCCAGTCCCGCCAGAGTGATGTTGCACCAGTGTCGCTGCAAAGGAACTAGCAGCCAGCCTTTGAAGCTTGCGGATCTCACGGACCTTGCGGCAAACTCTGGTCACGACTTTTGCCACAACAGTTGATTTGAGCAACATTGGAGCTGTCTTACTCGGCCTTGGCTTTCCCATCGGCAAGCAGCAAAAGCTCCCAGTAATTAATTGAACTATAATCGGCCCATATCTCCGACTCATGATGGCTTGAGTGATCAGAAGTGACTGGGTTTGTTGTGGGTTCTTCCTCAAGATCGGTGAGGATTCCAGACATCTCCGCTACCCGGGGCACAAGATCAGACTCCCCTTGATCGCCGGGCAGCATCTAACGCTCTGAACTGCCGTCAATGGTCTCCGCTGGGGTCGATCTATTGTTATAGTCCCCCAAGGGTCTCCGAAAATAAGACGCCAGAAGCTCCTCGAAGTCGTCTGGGTTGAATGGAGGGTCCGCGTCGACTTCAATATCCAATATATCCCGAGAGTAAGGAGGCCCTTCAACCGGGGCTGCGTCGTTCACATGAGATGTCCTCGTTGCTGTGTCACTATTTGGCTCGTTTATCTCCTGATCAGGCTCACGTGCAGCCAAATCAAAATCACCAAGTCGTTCTCCGAGACGACGGGCCGATTCCTCAGCATTCTCCGCGAAACTGTTCTCCCCCGAACCCGCATATTCCCTCTGAGCGATGAGACTCGATACATCGCCACCAGCAGGTAGCCGAGGAACTTGGAAAGGGAGGCGGCCTTCTGCGTTGTCTATGCTTCGCCGGTGACTCCAGTATTGCTTCATCTCCTAGTATGTCATAGCATCAAAACCATAGGTATACCCATCGTACACTGTGGCAAACTTCATCTCGAGCGCCTCCACCTCCAATTGGTCGTGGATTGCTATTGAAGGCATGTTGACTCTTCCCGGTTTAGACGATCGTGATACACTAACGAGCACGGCTACGCTGAATCGCCCTTCTTGATTTCGATGAACTTGTATAATGTAGCGACACGAAGACCTGGATTTTATTTTTCGGCATAAAAAAAAAAGAAGAATAACGGAAACAAGATATTTTTGACTGTTTATCTACATCGATTACTCGTTTCGGAGATAATTTTGTCATGAGCAAGTTATTACGGCTGTGCAACCTCAAGGAGAAAACGAGAACTCTTCAACACAATTTTGATACTCGACTAAAGAGCATCAGCTTGCAACTTACAAGGCAACATTTATTACATCGTGATTCAGCAACAGAAACGCGTGGTTGGAGCGTTTTATCGAGCATATTTCCGAAGCATGCCCGGCAAGATGATTGAGTGGTGTATGAAAGCATCTGATTAGGCCATATACTGGCTCTCCATGGGACTAGCTAGCATCCCAGCGCACTTCCATCTATTAGGAAAAAAAAAACACTATGCCTTGAAAAGAAATGCCAACCATTTGCTCCGCCCAGCCGTCTAAGAACCCTGATGCTATTGACAAAATTACAAAGTGGACAAATTACTGCTCAATTGCAGCTGGCTTGTCGTGTCTCGAGTACATCTGCCATTCGAGCGAGTTGGTGAAGTCCAGCTTCCGCTGCTCGACATCCTTCCTCGTGGCAGTGAGCATGGGCTCAGGGAGACCCATGGACTGAAGGAAGGTAACAGCTAGTTGCGCGTCAGTGGAGTACTTTTGCTGTCTACGTGGAGTGACTTACTATCTTTCCATTCCCTTTCCTGGCGGGAGCTGCTCCACTTCAATTCCTCGCTCATGACGTCAATGATCTTGGGCAGAGCATCGAGTGCCGCTTGGGCATTCAAGAAGGACAGTCTCGTTCTTCGGGCCAAAACATCCACGGCAGTTTGAGCATATTCGTGTCGAACAGCGTAACGGATCTCACCATCGACATATGGGTATAGGGCTGAGATACGCTCGCCTCTTGCGGGGAAGCGCTTGTCAGTAGGTTTGCACAGAGCTGCTACTACCCACGCTCTGTCACCGTAGCTCTCAGTCAGGTGCTTGGCAACGTCGGTCTCGACGCCGAAGTGCTGGACAACGTTGATGAACAGCGTCCTACTGAAGCCGTGCGCACCGACCAATCGGACATTGTGAGTTTGACATGAACCGTCCAGAAAAGCACCATCGTCAACAGCGTCCGAGCCGCTGACATGAGGTGCATTGGGGAAAGGCTTAGTAGTGAGCTTGAACTGCTTGACAGCTTCATCGACGCACTCTTCAGCCATTTGACGGTAAGTTGTCCACTTGCCACCAGCACATGTGATGAGGCCGGAGTCGGACACGTCGATCAAGTGGTTCCTCACGAGAGACTCGGTGTTCTTGGCCTTGGGATCCTTGACTAGCGGACGAAGACCCGACCAGGCAGCCAAAACATCGCCGCGACGAATCTTGATATCCGGCGACAAGTAGTTGCTGACCTCGCTCAGAATCCACTGAATGGACTTCTCATCAGGAAGCGGGTTGGGAGTCACTACCGCGGGCTCGTCGGTAGTACCGGCAATGGTGTTGCCCTGCCAAGGCAGGAAGAAGATGACACGGCCATCGGAAGTAGAAGGATCAATCATGCCCATCTTGGCAGGGCTGAAATATCCAGGGAGGATGACGTGTACACCAGAGGCGGGCGCAACAATCTCCATACAGTCCTGGTCATCCATCTTCCGTACTGCGTCGGAGAAGGGACCTGTGCAGTTGATGATGCATTTGGCCTTGACCTGAAAGTCTTCAGTGCTCTGGCCGTTGAACTCGGGAATGCGATCCTTGATGGTGGCACCGCACAGTTTTCCATCAGCATCCTTGAGCAAGCTGGTCACTTCGGCGTGGTTAACAACAGTAGACCCGTAGATGGCAGCAGTCATTGCCAGTGATACGTTCATCCTGGAGTCGTTGTGCGCTCCATCGTAGTAGACGGTGGCTCCGACCAGATCCGTCTGCTTCAGCATGGGGAAAGCGTCAATCGCTTTGCTCCTGGTCAAGAAGTAAGAGCTTTCGATGCCCTCGCTTCCGGCAAGAAAGTCGTAGGCCTTGCACCCTGCCCAGTAATAGGGAATCTTCCACCACTTGTCCAGAGGCACCATAATAGGTAACCACGAACTCAGATGCGGCGCAGTCTGCAGGAAGTACTTGCGCTCCTTCAGGGCCTCTCGCACGAGCATGTATTGGTTGTAGTCGAGATTCCAGACAGCCTTCTCGAGGTATCTGACACCACCATGTACGAGCTTGGTACTCTTACTGCTGGTGCCACTGCTGAAATCATCCCGCTCAACCATTGCGACTTTCAGACCTCTTGTGGCGGCGTCTAGAGCGACACCAGCGCCAGTTGCGCCTGCGCCAATGACCAAGATGTCATACTCTTCGTTGTTCCTGGTACTCTTCTTGAGTTCGGCGATCTGCTCCTCGCGCGACTTGACGCCCGGGAATTTGGGCAGCGAGAATGAGCCATCAGCGCCGAAGGTAGGTGGAGGGACGGCGGCGCCTTGGGAGCCGGGGAGGTTTCGAGGTCGGTAGGAGTAGTACAACAACGCACCTCCTCCAATGGTGGCAGCAGTGGCCGGAAGAGCCACGCGCCGGGCTGTGCCAGCTAGTCGGGAGAACCTAGGCATGGTATGGTGATTGGTTGTGCTCTACACAAAGCAAGACAGTTGGCTGTTGCTCGACTTTCAAGAGCTCCGTGGTTCGGAGGAAATCCTAGCTGCGGGTGATGCTAGCTAGAAGCGCGTCGATGGAACAAACTAATCGAGATCTGCTGAGTTAAACTTCTCAAAACCACGACTGTAGTTGCCAATGTGCGGAAGAAACAAACTCAGAATACGAATAAATAAAAAAGCCCAATGGGTCAAGGTGGTATCAGGAAGCGAGGAGAGCTGGCACAAGACGGACCGAAGCTACACGGAGAAATCGGGGATAGACAAATGTGAGCTCGCTAATATATTTATAGTGACGTCGATCCGGTTCCTGGTCAGGGAACGTAACGAGCAAATATCACGTTGAGAGGCAAGGAGTACAGGACAAAGTATGCAGAGGTGAAGTAGGTAACACTGAGTCCCATTGCTATCTAAGAAGTAAAAGTAGGCGCGAGGATAATATTGAGTGAGAGAAAAATGTGACGAGGCAAAGCTTAGGGAATGCGGGATCGCTGTCGGTCCACAGTACGGATCTGTGCCTGCTGCACAAGTATTCCAGCGAGTCGTTCGTTCCCCACGCTGAGCAGTGAGGGACCCGTAAAAACCCAAGACTGATGAGCTCACGCGCGACCACGACCAGTATCTTTGCTCGGCAGAATTCGAGGAGAGCTGCCCTGCAGGCCCTGCAAGCCCTGCTAGGCTCAGCAATGGTCCCATAATTCCAGGTCAACTGAGAGTCTGCGACCTGGGGGGTTCCACGCCAAAACCGGGCCCCGGAAGCAAATAAGACCACCAATTGGAAGAGAAATATGGGGGGTCGTGTCTTTTGTGGGTTGATGAGGTTAATCCGCGCTTTGGGGAGACTGAGACTGGGCAAAACTGGATACAGATGTCATACTGGGGACGATAGCGGAGCTGTAGTGAGTGCAATAGTGCCACACCAAGCCGCCTATCCTGCAATCTGACCAGATCAGTTGGCGGGTTGCAGTGCCGGTCACTGACTCTCTGCACCCAGGCTGCCAGGGAGCCCGAACCCCAACATTCGCTCCCCGTCTTTCTGTGGACTTTGTCTTTGGGTTCTGGGTTTCGGCGACGTTCTATGAACGCACTTTGAAAATCCTGCCAATATGCATCACGTCACCATTCCGTTTCATCTCTTCGCGGGCTTTTACTGTACTACATCATCAACTACTACACTACGTATCATACTACTTACCGAGCAGAATGAAAGTCGAACCTCATCTTCCTTTGTTCCTGTGACGTTCAACACGTTCAACACGTTCAACACGTTCAACACCCAGGGTTGCTTGGGGAAATTCTTGGGGAAGTGACTCCAACTAGTTTAGTGGTGCAATACGGAAGAAGGAAGAGGTGGAAATTTTAAATATTAAATTATCAACCTTCAGGAAGAGCTTCATGTGCAGATCAGGCGCTTGACGTTCAAAGTCTTTTTCATTGGATGTATATATATATACATATTAACAACTATAGGTGCCGCGTAGCTTTAACGCCATCTAATTCCGTGGGTATAACATCAAATCCATCCCCATCATTCATACGGCCATATCCAAACAGATATGCTAGATATTTTACAAGGTTTCAACTGTGAAGACAACAAAAGCTATCGCCCGTCCAGACAGACAGCAAACAACTCATCCACAAACGTGCTGGCCTCGCCTGCTCTTCCGCTTTCCACCATGGCAGATCCGGTTGTCTGGCCGCTGTGGAATTCATCTCTGCCATCTGACATGGACGTCATCTCAAAGCCCGATTTAGATGCGGCCGCTTTCTTGTGCCCGGAACTGACGGCTGTAATCACATCACCAGGTGTTTTCCTGCCGGTTTGGGCCGGTTGGGGACTTGAGGCTGTCCGGGGATGCATGGAAAAGCGTCGGCCCACGTCGCTCGCTTCGTTGGCCTCCCGGACATCGACCTTGATTTCTTGCGAGATCATAATGCCACCGAGGTTGTTGGATGGATGCGGAGTCTCCGCCCGCAGGTTTGTGATCCTGTCCGATCCAGCATCGCTCGTCGGCATTTCACTGCCAGGGCCATTCCATAACTTGATGGTTGAGCTAGAGTGCGCAGACCCTGCACTGGCCCGACGACCAAACTCTGTGGGAATCGGATTGCCATCTGCATCGACCGGATATGTCGAGGTGGTAGACTGGCTGCTCTTCTTGAAATGAAGGAACGATGGTTTTCTTCGATGAGGAGAGCTCGGTGGTGCCGTCACCATCGCGTTCAATACCGGTGTAATATCACGGTGCACCGACTGTGAAAAAGCGGTGTGGTGAGGAGAGTCTCGGTAAACTAGTTGGTGTACCTTGAAGAAGGATAAAGGCACGAATTCGCATTTGGGACTCTGCACGTTGACATGGATTGGAATGACCATCTTCAGAGTAATGAGAGTGCAAGTGGCTGCTGACGACAAATCCATGGGTGGTCTACAAGGCACCTGGACCACCTTGGATGTGAGTACTGCTTCATCAAAAATCGGATCGTCGACCCATGCTCGCAGAGCCTCAATCGTATCGTACATTTGAGAAGCGAAGAGCATTTCTCGAGGTGACAGTTTCTTCATGGCATCAAGTCGCTGGCAAACCGCTGGCACGTTCAGTCGATCAATCTGACGGACAAAGTCCATCTGCCACGACTCAAGGTGATCCAGGGGCATCTGCATCGATGGCAGCAGATTCCGGGCGCCTCGTCTTACGAGAACGTCAAAGCCCTGGCTGCCAACGCGGGCCTTTAAGCCGAAGAAGCTTAGATGAACGCCGGGTTCCATCATTGTATTTCCCTCAGCATACGTCGCCATATTATTAAGCTTCTGGCTTAGATTGCGGGTCTTGATTTGCATGCTACTGCCGATGATGCCAGACACTTGGTTGACCTCTGCGAACCTGAAGCCAGCGGCTTGTAACTTCTCTACATCACGCGCGTTCTCGAGGCGACGCACCAAAAACATGAGCGATCCGCGACCATACTCTTGGTGCCGTGCCCTCCAACCCTCTCCCTTTTCGGCAAGTACGTCTGAGTCAGGGCCGGGCGATGGTCCATGGCCTTCACTTGCAATGTGCGCACTACTTTCTGACTGCAATTGTTGTCGTCTTGACAGACTTGCTCCGGTCGGCAGTATCTCATCCCAGAGTATTCCCATGTCGGCAACACGTCCTTTCATTCTATCCGCTAGATTTGAAGCCGCGATACAAAAGAGTTCTCGAAAGATGATGTCGTAGTTTGCAACAAGTTGACCGTTGTCGTCGATGAGCCGGACTTTACCGTCGCGGCGACCTTTGCGCAGTTGAGTAAAATGATTCGTCATGTTACTGATAACGCCACTCATTCCGCCCCAGTTTCGAGAGGCACGAAACATCCAGTGAAATAGCGGGTGGGCAATACTGAAGTGATCGCTTGGTGTTTTTTCAATGTACGTATCCGTAATTCTCTCGCTGGGCAATAATCCGTCAGGATTGACAAGTATACAGCCTGTTTGGTCAAAAACAGCAGCGGCCAGCACGACATGCTGCGCCTTGTCAGCGTAGCGTCGCATGATATGGTTCGTATATATCGCGGTTGCGGCCATGGTTAGAGCCGCGGTGACAGACAAGCAAATAACCACAATAACCGTGATGTTCCGAGAGAGTTGGTTTCCTCCTGAGCTCAAGCGAACCAGACGGTATTGTGTGCCAATAGCAGCACACCAGTGCATCCCAGAAACCGCTCCTGCCAATACGATAGCGCAGAGCCCTCGTTTCCACCAGGAAGCTGTCCATGCTGCCCTGAACACGAAGAATAGTGCTAAAGAAACAATACTGGCTGCCACAGCTATCACAGCGGCGCCAACAACGTTGGCAATGTTGTATGAGCACACATAGTTATCGATCGACGCGTTGCCCAAGTAATGCATACCGCAAATAGCGCCACCTGCAAGAGCGCCTCCGACAACAATACGCCACCACGATACTTTGTTATTGGTACCTACGGCGAGAAACGCTGTGAGGAGCACCAGAATTGGAAGGAAGAATGAAATCGCGGTGAAACTGCTCGAGTACACAATTTGAAGAGCTGCCTGGCCGTTTCCAAGATCGATTGCCCGGTTTCCGATAAAGTGCTGCCTCGTGGTTAGTTTGGCATGGTCGTAGTGGACAGAAATGCCGGGCTCACCATGCACCAAATCGCAATGCCACCCATGGTGACAGAAGCGCTGAGCAGAATAAGATGATTAAACAATCCACTGCGAGACGTCCGCCGATTGATCAACTCGAGCGTCGAGGCAGCACCAATGAATGAAACCACATAACTCAGAGTCACGAATCCAGCGTTAAACGAGCGTGGGACGATTTGGCCCTCGTATTGGGCAAGAAGCTGATCCGCTGCCGACATGTTGACTTGGATCGGTTGTTGCTAGGTGGAGCAACACCATGAATGAATGTCGAAGTCGTAGGGCGATGCTGTTGCTGACTCTTGGCTAAAATACCATTGATGCCCGGCCGTACTTTTCGCTAGATTTACTCGCGGATCGAAGAAAATCCAGCATGAGTAGCACTGGGCAGGCTCTGCTTCTGTTCATATGTCAAGCATATGGGAGGTCGGACCGTCTGAATAGTTCACGCCAGTCCGCCCAAGAATCCGCTTTGACAGATACTCTATGGCCAAGGCCACCTGAAGGAAACGCCGTAGCGGAGGACGTTTCTTTCCAGGTTAGGCTTGACAGATCTCTTTGCTTTAGCCCAGGAGGTGGAGAAAGCAAGTTCAGCTACCAAATCCCTGACTCTGTGGGGAGCATGCGAGGGGATCCCTAGATATGCTGTGCTGATTGTCGAGATCTTGTTGGCCATCAACGCTCGTTCCTGCTTAAGCTGGGGGTGCTACTGAGAACTCGGGCCGCACGCTATATTAGTGATGCATTGGTAGAATACACCAAAATGCGGCATGCTCTGTGTGGGCGGTCCAACATAGCAAAGTTACATAGAAGTCAGAGCAGCGCAAGTTTTTACAAAAGATCCGCTCATTTGCTTACTTGAAATAAGGAGGAGATCTGGTAGGAGAAGCACTCTCCCCGAAAAGCAAAGACAGCCAAGGTAAGTCTGCATCATCTTTGAGACCACCCTGGTGTAGTGAGGGTTGAGTATCAATTTTGATGTACACAAGCCGCCAATAGTACGCGATCTGGGCATCCACAATACGTGATGTCCGCGCTGATTACTCTAACATGGCAGAGTGGACAACGCTAGTCCAAGCCTTGCTTCCGCCACCATGCAGTGTAAGAGGTCAAGCATGAGGACGATCAAAAACCACAGCGCCGCCAGTGCCGAAAGTGACACCAATGAAGGGTCATCCTGACCTCGGTCTTGAGTTCTGGTTGGAATGTCTTCATGTAGTGTCGTAACAGCAAAATAACAAAATATTGGAATTGACTATACATCATATTATATCAGTAGACCTATGTGATGAACGAGATTGCATCATCACAAGTCCCCTGTTCAATTCGATGATCTGAGCCAGGTTGTGGCAGATCTGCCGTTTCAAAAGCAACTCTACATGCAAGCCCTGCCAAGATCACCCGAAGCGACATGCCCTCTCCTCCCAAGCGCCAAAAGAGACACGACTCACTCCTCAGCTGATTCGTCGCTCGATACCTTCTTGAGTTCTGTTAAAATCGAATCAACCATTCTAGCAAATTTGCCTACTAGTTAGCCACAGTAACGAACGCGGGTTTTCACATTGCTCTATGCCACATGGAATGTGCAAAGCAGCCGGAAGCATAGCTTTTGTACTCTTGGGCAGTGGCCCAGCACTTATGTCTCCGATACTCGCAATCGAGGGCATGTGTAGTCAAACATGAAGGCCGCATGCACAATCTGCTATCTAGAATTTGCATTTACATCGCGGTGATACGCTATCCTGGTTTTGTTTGGAATGTTTTAGTAGCGAAGATTTCAATCACGGTCCACTTGAGGACGTGCTGCCAACATTTTGCCCGCCACCCTGCAGTGGTGCACGGAGTTTTCCTTATTGGCTGAAACTCGAAGCATCCGTGGTGTTAAGATTTTACCCCTAGTCTAGTCTAAATGAACAACTGCACAGTTCAGGTGCATGTCGCCCTGTTATCCAGAAAATCATCACCTTGGTTTGGTAGACAAAGTACACCAAGCCTGATGCTATGTATTCTTGTTTCATCCAATCTTTGTCAAGGGTCAAAACAAGATAAGCGAGTCCCAAATAGACTGGGCCCCGGCGATCTCGATTTGCTATTTGAGAAAGACGTGCTAAACCCTCATCTTGAACGAAAAATAAATTCGGGACGTGCTCCGGCGCGATCCGGTGTTTTGTTGTATGAAGGCAATACTTTAACAAGTTACAACCGACGGCTTCGCAATGGACCACGGCACTTGAACTCTGATCGGATCTTTCTACCGCTTTAGCTTTTTGCGCCGTTCATTGCTAAGAAGTAGCTTACAAGGGAACTAGCCATCTACCGGCTACAATTGGGCGCTCCAGGCGTTGAAAGCTTTGTCGCAAAAGAGTGCAAGCAAGTTGAGCAACGCTTCTCATTTCGCGAGATCCAATCACTGATCTCTATGGCCTATTCCTGAAGCCTGTACCAAACACGCAATGGGGAACTCCTCGTCCGTTGCGTGGACCTGAGCGTAAGTAGCTTGAACCGCCGAAATTCCCATGATCCGGAAATCGTTTATCTACCGTTGGTGGTAACGGACTTAAGCACATACCAATTACGCCGGACCATAAGTTCCTGGGAACTTGTCCATCTATTCGGATACTGCGGAGAGTACTGAAGATATCTTGCAGATTGTTGAAATCAATAAGATAGACAAGTGGAAACTCGGACACTTTGGCAAGCTATTTTCACTTTGATGGAGCTGCGCCGAATCTTCCAAGAGAATTGTCAGCATTCAGAGTGTGCCATCCCTCTGGATTGGATTAGACTTTGGTAGGATTGCCCTAGTGTAAGTGACGGTAAACTTGTGCGATACGAAATGTCGTTTTCGGGATCCCAAAGTGCTTGACTGGGTCGTAGTATGATTTGGAGTGTACATTGCACTGCATGAACACTTAGCAACTGCATGCAGCCAAACTGGATTGATTTTATAAAAATAAAAATAAAAATAAAAATAAAAATTAATTCCCCCGCCGCCCCTTCGGACTTCTCATTAACCTGAGTGTTTCATCCAAAAGGTGGACCGTAGGACAACTTGTTGCCGAGGTCCGGTTGGCAAATAGTGGGCACACCCCGTTGACGACTTGCTCGGGCACCACGTGGGAAGGGGACGGACTTTCTCCAGTTTTGCGACGCTATTTGCCTTGCGCCGTCGTTCTGTTAGCATCGGAGTAGATGGCCAGAACAAGCCAGATCTTCGACTCGTATAGCCGGAGCTGTATGTCAGTGTCTCAGTTGTAGATGAAACGAAAATTATGCATTTTACAACAGATTCTTATTTCCAGGCTCCTTCGATAGCCAAATAGTCAAAGCGCGCGGCTTAGTCGGTAGAAGGTCTACAAGTTCTGTTAAAATTACATCATGGCTTAGAGCAAGTGTAAAACTCAGGCCACTCTAGCTAGTCATACTACCAGTTACACGAGCCACATGGAGGAATGGTATTTAAGAGAGATCATACGGAATACTAGGGCCAGTCCAGCACGACATAACAACAATAAAGAGGGTCTATATAACGTCCCAGGGTGGTTTGGACAACTGCAACACCGGTACCGACATGTGTATCATAAGCCCCTCAGAAATGCTCCGAGTATCCCTTGACATATTCGGATTGTGGGTGTCAGCCAACCCGAATAAATTTCCTCCTGCTACGAATCTAGACACCCTGAAAGTGCCAATTTCCCATTTATTATCTGTAAAGCCCTCTTTAAGGAAGCGTTGCCATGTTCGACTTGTTGTTTATTATTTATAGACGCATGGTGAGGGTTTACCAACTGAAGAAGCAAAGATTTGGTTTCCGGTGATTGTCAAAGCAATTTTTAAATTGGTCCCAGACTAGTCTTCTGTACTCCAGTTCCAGCTTGACGCGGTGAATATATCCCTTGCAAATTTCTCAGCTCCCATTGTGTGCTCAAACCGCAACCTTTGATCATTTGACAAAGCTCTAGTGAATTTGAAGGACTTGCTAGAAGTATCAACATCTGCTTCCTCCTCTTCTCGGGGTAGCCAAGCTATTTTCTTCCTGTCGTTCTTCCATGGCAGCCGACTAAGAGGCAGTGAACTCGCAGAGAGCAAAGCCTGAATAAAATCCAGGATTGGTAGCATCCGAGTTCGCAAACCGCAATTCATATGATATTTGTCAATTTGATAACCTGGACACTGCCTCAAAGTTGCTATCAGGCTGTCAACTTGGAGCAGAGAAGTGTCTGCAATCGAATTCAACGAATTGGGAGAAAAGTCCACCAAAAAGAATAAGTTCTTGCTAGTCAAAAACTTGATGATCTCCCCGAGCTGGTAAGAGTCACAGGCGGCGCTCGAGTCGTAGCCAAGCTTACACTGTCGCGTCCGAGAGATATAAAGGTCGACGAAGTGACGTGGAATTGAGGCAATAGTATTCAATATACAATCTCGCCGAAACTGAAGCTCTTCTACAAACCGTCATTAATCTACGCTGATCTTGCGAGGGGAGGTAAGATGTCAACTTACCCTCGATCCCGTCCTGCAGATGCCACCAAGTGGCTTCCTCTTTTCCCTCATCTTGCTCGGGAAATGCACTCCAGTTCTTCGAACCATTCATGATCAGTTCTTTCGTAGAAGCTTGGAATCGCGTAGGCTGATTCAAGAGCCACGACACCAAGACTTTTTCGCGCAAGGTGTTCTCGATGTTGCGACTCATCTTGGGATCCTCGCCCGCTACTCCTTTTCGTTGAGTAATTGGCCATTTGAATTTGAAGCCTGATGCCATGATCTTGGAAACTGGCGCAGCACAATCGAAGCGATCTGCAAGCACTGCTAACGTGGTAATGAAATCCAGAGTCGGCGCTTCGGTTGCGGCCTCTTTGCCATGTAAAACCCTCAACATGTCACCAAACGCTTCCTCGCGGTGAGCCAGTCGGGTCGCCTCGTCGTCGTCCACAATCCTAACCCAGGGGAGGTCTCCAGCATGAGCCGATGCTGGATTAACATTCCTGAAAGAAAGCGCAGCGAACGCTGCCTCAATGGCCTTAGCTTCTTTGAAACGTAGGTCTCCGAGAAGTCTATTAAAGTATTTTGAGTGTTCCTTCAACACATTTATACTAACACGGAACCCAACCCGTGTCCTCAGCTTCAACGCCTTGGGGGCAGCTTGTCCTGCAAATTGGGGTGTGATCTTCCTGGCAGTTTTTAATGTGGTCTTGGAGTTTTCGAACACACAATCAAGGACTATATCTCCTGTCTCTGCAATTCCAATCACCCTTGGTAGGTCGGCTAGATGCGAAGCCTCCGAAGACTCCCCGTCTGGACATCCTCCGTAATCGTCCATCTGGCCGATCTTCGGTGTGAGGCAACCCCTTCAAAATGCGCGGACGTGATGCAATCATGAGCTCTGAGCCCAGTAGCTTGGCTTGTTCAGTATGAGTATCTCAACTTCAATGCGTCGACCTTGCATTCAACCGTACTCATTGGAGTAAATATTGTCGGTAGAAAGAGATATTCTAGGCAGCTAATGACGTGAAGGTGAAGGCGAACCCAACGTGGAGAAGTCGCTCGCGCCAATTAAAGCCCGGCTTCTGAGCTCCACATCTGCTGACTTAGAATTTTCGAAATCAAAATGCTTTTGAGCCTCTGAGATGACAATTTGAATATTTCAATTTCACATACAGTAGAGTTTTTAGAAGTAGGCTTATTAAATCGGTGCATGGCTACTACAGCGTAGCCCGCGCGTCTTCGTTTTCAGGCGTAAGAAAAGCATAGTAGTCGACACAAAACGACACAACAAACGGGAACAGTCCAGTAACAGAACCACAGTGAGTGTACATTATGAAGTGGGTAGCTGAGCTAACGATCTTGAGTGAGGCATAACTGAATTTTGTTGAGTTAAAAGGAGAGGAGCTTTTGGCTTGAGTATTCCAACTCTGTTTGAACAACAACTACATGCTGCTTCGTTTCGGATCCGCGCAAATAATGTTGGCGCTGGTAATGTCACATGATATATCGTTTTGTAGAAAAGTAATCTAAAGACGTGGGATTCTTCACCTAGAATTGCATCGACCGAAATACGGAGACAGTAGGTAAAATAACTTTGATCGTCCTCGAGTATTTGAGTTCGGAAATAGTCAAGAGCACGCCACGTTGCCTGACTCTCGCCTCATCAAGTGCGGACATGAGTTGGTACCCCATATCCGTGTAGAAAGACCACCAAGCAACCACATAACTATCCAGCATATCGCGTATCGTTTGAAGAAGGCGAATGCAGTGCCTCTAGGCGTGTAGGGCGGCTGCGACATGCCTCCTCGGTCATGATCGACGGATTGTCTATTTCTCACAGCTAATCAACCGCATGGCTACCGACAGAAGTTCGTGGGCCGGATTCTGCCGCAACGAGTGACGTCTATCTACCTTCCAGAGAGGAACCCGGAGACGTATCGACTACTTGACTCCTTGTTAGTGGAAGCAATCTACCTTCAACATGAACGCATGGGAAGCTATCCCAACGGTTAGCGCCTCAACATCGCCGCGAGAGACGAAGGTTGGAACAAGTTCTGCCGCTACCCCTTGATCACTCTAGGACAACGTGCTCGCTTCCAGGAGCTTCATCAAGTATCAAGTAGAGCGGTATGTGGCAATTCGCTGTCTGCGATCGAAGAACCACGTATTTTATGGAGGAGCTGTGGCGGTTTCTGGTGGAGCAAGATTGAGACGACACACAGTGACCGTGCATTTATGACCTACATGTCCAGAAGGATGTGGCAAAATTTGGGCTATAGAAAGGGAAAATGTCTTCTCGATTTCAATTTTTACGCGATACAACCCCCTACTAGCCGCCTCAGTTGGGAACTTGTGGCATCCGTGTCTCCTGCCTTAGAGCAAGTAGAATACACCCCTACTGGACTATAGCAGCACTACTTTCACGGGAATTAACAGTGTCATGACAACGATAACTTGGTCAAAAGTCAGGCAATTTCTGTTCTAGTATTATGTTTTGGATTCGACAACCTCTGCCACTGGCTCTTCAATATGGCAACACAGGAAATGGCTCAAATATGTCTGCCTCTCAAGCCGCTGCCGTTGCCTCCGTCGTCCGAGTCTTACCTTGGGTGCTTCCATCCGAGGTGCCTCCATGGTTGTCTTCTGAGGTTTCCGCGTTGTCCGAACTCTTTCTCGCTCTCATGAGTGGCCAATGGCCGTTGACCTCTTGATAACGCATTACGAAAAATCCCATCATGACGAAAATCCAATACACATTATACGAGATCACGGAGCCATACGTGGCTGAGTTTGTCCAGCCTAAGATGGCATTGAATATTCCCCAACCACTACCATCGTTGGCTTCCGGGTTGCAACACTTCAAGGAAAATTGGTTAGCAAGTCGACATTTCGCTTGTGATAGACAGGTGACCTACATTCACATGCCAGACACTCTTGTCAATATCATACGATCCTGGCCCATCGCCAAGTTCTGAAGCATCACCACCAACGGTCTTGTTCCATTGCTGAGTTTCGAGATACCATACAGCACGAGAGAAAAGGCCGGCAGCAACAAGATACAATAGACATGTAGAGGCTACCAAGAAGTATTGAAGCTTTGTTGAAGCACCTCCCCTTTTTAAAATGCATTAGATATTGACAGTTAGTCGGGTATGCTTCACTTACTTGTATAGAATATAGCCGACGATAATACCGACAGCAAGACCGACCACGACAGCCAGGGGTATGGCTGTGGCAGAAGCAGAAAATGTGACGCCAGCGACAAATACGATCGCTTCAATGCCCTCTCGCAGGACCGTGACGAATGGAAGAATGAACATTGCATACTTTTCAGCAAAGCGTTTGAGCCACCCACTCCTCGAGCCGCTGGTCCTCACGGGTGACTCGATGGCCTTCGCCAGCTTAACGCGCCACTTTTCTTGCATCTTGCCTACGCGGAGCAGGGCAGCTCCTAGTACAGTAATGATAACTGCGGCGACCAGTGCAAATGCGCCCTCAAAATTGTATTCGCTGGACTCCCAGCTGTTCGTTCCCAAAGTGTAGAAAGCGCCAATCAAGCCACCTGCGACGATGAAGCAAATAAGGAAGCCAGATCCGATGCCCATCCAAACCTAGAAAATGGTCAGCTCGTAAAAGAAATTCTGGGTATTATCAATACGCACTTGTTTTACAAGTTTCTTGTATACTCTTGCATCGCGATCTGGTCCACCTAGAGTTTGCTTCAGGAAGGCCAACAAGATCGAGACAATGATCACTGTCTCTAAACTTTCTCGAAAAACGATCAAGAAGACGGGAACTGAGAAGACGTCCGGCATCTTGACATAGATGACCCACGTCAACTATTTTCAACAACAAAGGTTATCAATGAAGAAAATGTTGATGATTGGGGAAGAGTTCAAGGCGCTGTTAATGCACTCCTTGATGGATCAGGTAGAAATCTATTTCACAGCCACGAGTAGAAAATTCGGAGGCGGTGACATTGACTAAAGATAACCAGTTGAGATCAACCTAGCTGCGCAGGTATATCAAACCATGCCAGGAGGGCCGATTGCGGATTGAGACAACCTTTTGAAGACCCTGTCCTCAAGATTGAACAGTCGTATGAGCGATGGTAACACCACATGCGGGCTACTCGCAAGAGTTTGCTTGACACACCGACTGCCGCAACATGTCTTAGTTTATCTAGTGGTTGGGCTTGAACAAACCGGTCAGCCCACCTGCTCCCTAGGTGGATTCCTCAGAGAGGTCTGGATTTTGAAATGGCGCTTTCTAGGGCATTGATCCCGATTCGCAGACCAAGCTTTTGACAAGCTTTTAAGCTGTTCCATGCTAATGCGCTACGCTCAGCTCCCATGTCGTCTTTGTGGAGATGATCGACATTAATACATGCAAGCCGACCAATCTTATCAGATTGAACTGATAAGTCGGCAGTCAGAATGACCTTGTGTTCATGCAGATTTTCACCACCAGAAGTCTTTAATCCCTCAAATAATTTGCAGGATCGAGGGCTACCACAGATGAAACGCAAATTGACTGCCAAGTTGGGAACATTAGTATGGGCTCCTGGCGAGAGCCGGCCAATCAAGCCTAAATATCGTATGACCCAGCCCTAATGCATGTTGTTAGCTTCAGCTGTTGTAGTCTCGTCCTTCTTGGAATGGCATGGCCATGGAACTGTGCTTGGATACAGTCCTGTACCGCAGTGTCAAATTTAGCCGAGCAAGGTAGCATCACGCTACACCTGCGTTCTCTGCTTCTCGAGAAGTTGGAACACGAAATCCAAATCGTCACAATCAACTACCGATTTGCCAAGTATACGACGTTTGTATGCCGTAGTCCACACGGCACAATGCCACCTGTGATCAAGGTCTAGAGACCTCGCAAATATCTGCAAATGTATTTCCCCTCATAAAAAAAATTGAAACGCAGACTTTTCATACCAGTCATTAGTGGGCGGGTTTTATCTCAGCTCGGGTCCAGAGGCCTTATCAGATGTAGAATGCGCACTAAGGACGTGGATTATGAGCATACTATAATGGCCGGAAGACGCCACATTTCTGGTTCGGACCAATCCGCTGCTATGGACAATACATAGTACCCCTAATTGTGGGCTGATCAGATAAGTGAGGCATTGTCGTACCGACCGGTTGGGAAGCTGGGCGCGCCCACTGTCTCAACCCCCGCTTTATCAGATGTGATTGATAGCAACGTACCAAGTACGGTGAGCCATGTCAACCTAGAATTCTCGCGGCTGTCGAGGCGGCCGCCGCTGCGTATGGCTCCCCTAAGCTCGATAATGTTCCGTGTAGTCAACCTCGCCGATTTCGGGAATCTCAGTATGCATGTCTCCATAGCTCGTGAGGGAAATTCCAGGAGAGTTTTCCGTGCATAGTATCTAGGTTTCACCGCGTTGAGCGATTCTTCCACCCGACATAACAGTCACAGCTCTACCATAACTTTCACTGCATGTTCGACGGGAAATGTGAACAATCCCCGAGAATGGCATTGTCAAGACTCTTCCTCGTCACTTTTGCTTGGACGAATTGCCTTGTGGGCATATCGTCCGCAGCTACCGTCACATACGACTTCAATGTCACTTGGGTGACAGCAAATCCAGATGGCGCCTACGACCGACCTACGATTGGTATCAACGGCCAATGGCCTATTCCGCCCATAACGGCAAGCGTGGGTGATAATGTTATGATTCACGTCACGAACCTGCTTGGGAACGAGACGACCTCGCTCCATTTCCACGGTCTGTACATGAATGGCACTACGCATATGGATGGTCCAGAACAAGTGTCACAATGCGCAATTCAGCCGGGGTCGAGTTTTACTTACAACTTCACCGTGAGCAAAGTTCCGGTGCTGATGCTGAAACAATATTAACCCGTGTTCCAGATCGACCAGCCAGGCACTTATTGGTACCATTCGCACACCCGCGGGCAATATCCAGATGGTTTGCGAGGTCCCCTGATCATTCATGATCCCGACTCCCCATTCCTAGGCCAGTATGACGAGGAGGTGGTCCTGACCGTTTCAGACTGGTACCATGACCTCATGACCGATATGCTTCCCGGCTTCATTAGCAAGAGTAATCCCACAGGAGCAGAGCCGGTGCCCAACAATGCCCTCTTCAACGAGACCCAGAACCTCACCGTACCTATCCAACCGGGTAAGACGTATCTTTTCCGCATGGTCAATATAGGGGCCTTTGCTGGTCAGTATATCTGGTTCGAAGGGCACAATATGACGATTGTAGAGGTCGATGGCATCTACACACAACCTGCGGAAGCCGACATGATATACCTGTCCGCTGCACAGCGATGTAGTTTCCTGCTGACAACCAAAAATGATACCTCGGCGAACTATGCCTTTGTGGGAAGCATGGATACCGTGAGTGGACCTGTTTGTATTCTGTGCAGACGTTCAAAACTGACTTGCAACAAGACCCTCTTCGACACCCTACCAGATGACCTGAACTACAACGTCACGGGATGGCTGGTATACGACAACACAAAGACGTTACCCGATCCCGCGCTGGTGGACGAGCTTGACCCATTTGATGACATGACCCTTGTCCCGTACGACAACCAAACATTGCTCGGAGAGCCTGACCAGATCGTTCAGCTCGATGTTATCATGGACAACTTAGGGAATGGCGCCAACTAGTAAGAAGACAGTCCCAAGTCGGCCGCGAGCAATCCAACTAACACGAAACAGTGCATTCTTCAACAACATCACTTATACAGCACCAAAGGTGCCAACGCTGTACACGGCTCTGACGACAGGTGATGAAGCGACAAACCCAGCCGTTTATGGTGGATACACAAACTCGTTCGTTCTGGAGCAAGGCCAAATCGTTCAGATAATTGTCAACAACTTGGACTCCGGGCGCCATCCATTCCACCTTCACGGTCATGCGTTCCAAGCACTTTACCGATCAGTTGACGAAGCAGGGACTTTTGAGGACTCGAACGTTACCGAGGCCGACTACCCAGCAATCCCAATGCGCCGAGACACGCTGGTGCTCTACCCCGATGGCAACATCGTTATTCGCTTTCAAGCCAACAACCCAGGTAAGCCAGGACAACTTCCGCGCCCTCATGCCACATGTATATGGCAGACTAACATGAGACCATAGGTATCTGGCTCTTTCACTGCCACATCGAATGGCATGTCTCATCCGGACTGATCGCAACTTTCGTTGAAGCACCTCTGGAACTGCAAAAAACGCTCGTCATACCTGAGGAACATTATGACACCTGCAAGACTGGCGGCATACCAACAGCTGGCAATGCCGCCGCCAACACAGTCAACGTTCTCGACTTGTCTGGGCAGAACAGCGCTCCTGACCCGCTGCCAGAAGGGTAAGTCATTTTCTGTTTACAAGTAAAACTACGCGCGAAACGAGATGCTGATGGCCTGAAACAGGTTCACCACCCGCGGAAAGGTGGCGCTGGCTTTCAGCTGCCTGTCGGGTATCTTAGGCGTCCTCGTGGTGGCATGGTACGGTCTAGCACCAGATTCTGGTGCGCATCCCGAAGTTGAGCAACGAGTTGCGGAAGCGCATATGGTCGATGCACCAGTCGTAAGCCCGACAGGGGCGGCTAAGAACAATGTTGGAGCAGAAATAGTGACGACAGCCTCAGGAGGCACGGGTAGATCGCGAGTATAGCCTCGTTCATGGCGAAGAGTTTAGACAACGATTATTGATTTTTGGTACAAGCCGGCTGTAGAAACCCGTGTGGCCTTCAGTGTCCTGTACAGTTTCGGAGTTAGCCATTCCGTTCCTTGAAAGACAAACGTTGCTATCATTATGGCGCCTTCATACTGAGATGTCTACATGATGGAGGGTTGGAGAATAGTGGACGCAAGGCCCGACTGAGCATGGCCGCTGGTTTGTCCTCGCTGGCAGATTAGCGAGAATGCGCGATTTTGGAACTCTGGCATGAACGGATGAGCCCAACACTACTTTGAACTGAAAGGATCCTGAAATTTGCATGCTGGGACTGGCATTAGCCCCATGGCCGCCCTTGTATCTGTTAAGCGCCCTCGCGACTGGGCGTTGCTATTCTTGGACAGCGGTCTTCGATGCAGTCAACGCTCAGGACCTTGACGAGTTGAGAAATGACATGGTGATTGCTGGATCAACATGAATCATATGCGAAACTTTTTTTTTTTTTTTTTGTAGAAGTCTGCTACCTGCACCTATACGGAGCAAGCTCATGATGGTTACATGTGTTCGACAAGCCGTCCACCGGCAGCAGCCCTGTTGAGAAGACAAATGGTCAAAAATTGTCCTGATCCTGGCCGCAGAAGACGATATCTTTCCTACCACCCCAAGCGAGTATGGTGCAGTGTTCGTGAGGTAGTGAATATTGATTAAGTGCCAGGACTATGGGGGATCCTGTCCTGACACCACTAAACGTGTATTTAGGTATGAAAATTCTGATTATTGTGACAGGCGATGTGCTGTTGGGAGCTCTGGTATCCAGTACAGCAGACAGAGCTAAAAATGGGCAACTCGAATGAGTATGTAACTTAGCTGATGGTTGCGAATGAAAGACGTTTACGCTCCAGCTCTTTGGATTTATTGAAGTTTTGGTAAAACATAAGGATGCACGGATCCGTCCAATACGCAGTCACTTAACCTTGGAGAGTACAGGGGGGTGCTAGGAAGCGTCTTCCGTCCCAGGTATCTGTTGGCGTTAGAAGTGGAGAGGCGGGTTAAAATGCGGATGCTGTCACACATGTGGACCAACATACTTACCTAGGGACTGTATACATACCTACCACAATGTCTGGTGTGGGCAATCCAGGCACTTTGATTTCAGACTCGGGGCCTAGTGGAAGAAGGGAAGAGGCAATACGAAGGTTGAGTTGTGTCTGGCTTCGAGGATACTTCTCTGGGTTAACATACAATAGCAGCGTCCAGAAAACTAACCGTGAGTGGTGTCTCACAATATTGATTGAAACCAAAGTTTAATCGGGGGGCTCTGAGCAGTCTGGCAGGGATTTGAAAGTGATGGAGGGAGATCAGCTGTAGGGGCCCGTATCTGGAAAGCACCTGGAAATACATACATACATAGACGGGGTAAGTTAATTCCATGTCAACATTTCATGACAACAATGAGTGTGCTATCATTACCATGGATCACACGCTCCAACGTTCCGAGGTGCTCGACAGAAGATTGAGATTCATGGAAGAAAGGAGAGCCGTACGCACACTGCAATTAGATTAGACTTCTATTAATAACGGACGGGTGGGCATGTCGAAAGTCAGAAAGAGAGAAAGTCTGGTGCTTCCAATCTCATTGAATGCAGGCAACGAATGTGTGTGGGACACTCCCCAGGCTGCACCTGCACCCGCACATGCAACTGCACCCACTGAAAGTGTGGACATTTATTTTCATCCCTGTCGAGCGTGAAGAATAAGTGGACACGGACGCGCTACTGCAGGTCTTTCTACGGGGAGCTCTCCACTTTATTTTCTGGCGGAAACTGCCAACCGGAAGTTTAGTGAATTTCAATCTGAATTTCAGTTCAGCGACGAAAAGGAAGACGAAAAGGAAATTCCATCGCCGGCGACGGGGACAGAGACACGAAAATCATTCAACGCAGAACCAAGACAAGACCACAGGGCACACACGATAAGACGTGACCGTGGCACTGCGCGACGTCGCATCAAATCAAGCAAACTGTTCATTGCAACGCGTTTGTGACAACGTCGCCACAGCCGTTCGTCCTGGATAGACATCCAGTAAGTGCTAGTATTCTTATCGCCTTGGTCTTTGTTCTCGGCGGAAAGGCGATCAGGCATTTGCATTCGTGTTTGCATCTGCATGTGCCTGCGCACTTGTGGCAATCGCTCGCAAACCACCACCGTCTGACCAGATCCTTACCAGTTGGGATCCGAATATACAGCACCGAGGTTCAGTCCCTGCGGTTGCCTGTCATTATCCCACCATTCTAGGTAGTCGCCACAGCATTTTCCCTGCTGGCGACGACTTCATCGCAGGCGCCTACTCCCCTCGACCACCAACACACGCTTCATATGCACAAAAACCACACAAATCCAACCACCATGGATCCGAGAATCGATCCCAGCATGGTGGCCTCGGTCACGGATTTCGTCCCCCGCTACCGAACATACACTGCCAATAGAGATACCACCGAAAACTTCATCAAGGACCTCATGATATACGCCGAGCACGTCGAGGTCACCGCTCGACAAGAAACTCTGGCGTTGAGTTCCCAACTGCAGGCCGCCCAGTACGACTACGATGACTCTGTCAGTGCGACAAGAGAGCTACGCACCCGAATTAAGGAACTCGAGAGCCAGCTGAGCTTCCTCAAGACAGATAGCAACGTTCTGAAACACCGCAATCCCTACGCCTTGGTCCTCATAGATGGCAACGGCCTGATTGTAAGACGCCTCGAGCACCAAACAGATGCCCGCCTGCTAACTCGTCTGCCCACCTCAGTTCAAAGACCATCTGGTCAGACAGGGCCTTGAAGGCGGCAAGAAGGCCGCATATGCCCTGCGCCAGGCCGTCTATGCCCAAGTCGAAGCCCCCGATGACACCGAAATCCTGGCCAAAATCTACGCCGATCTCGACAGCCTCTGCCATGTCCTGGACAACCAAACCCTCGTCAGAGACTTTATGCTTGGGTTCACTCAGGCCAAGTCCACGTTCGAGTTCATTGACATTGGAGGCAACGACAAGCTGTGCGCCGAGGCCAAGATTACAGAGAGTGCGCGATTCAATCTAAAGAACTACAACTGCAAGCAAGTCTTCTTGGGTGTTTCCGACAAAAAGTACGCCTCTTTTCTAGACGACGTTGCCGATGACGCCCAGCGAGGCCGCGTATCGGTCATCGAGGCGTATCCAGTCACAGAAATCACTACTACCGGCGTCGTGCTGCGAAATTTCGACGCCATTTTCAGGTTCGAAAAGCCCAAGCCCATGGTGGAGAAAAAGCCATTTGAAAAGGTGATCTCGAATACGAATACAAGTACAACCTCGACTTCAGCTTCGGCTTCTTCAATAGCAAGCACACCGGTATCGGTCGCCGCTACCCCTTTTACGTATGCTACTATCACGCAAAAGGTCAGCCCGCCACCGCAGCTGGTCCTGCCTTTGGCACCGAAACCGACTACTACCAAATCCACAAGCGCCCGAGTCACAGCAAAACCCGCCACTCCTGCTTGGAATCCTGGCCCCCGAGGGGTAGACCCGCCTATCCCTCTCAACCAGAACGTCCTCGATGTCGTCAAGAAGCGAACTGGTCACGACAAATTATGCAACAACCACTACCTGCGAGGTCCCTGTGCCAAGGGCGACGCATGCTGTTTTGAACACGTCTACCAGCCCAATCCGGATGAGATAAAAGCTATCCAGTTTCTGGCGCGCCTGAACCCTTGCACTAATGGTCAGGATTGCGACGTTGATAACTGCATATATGGCCATCACTGCCCTAGCGTCAAGGACGGGGTTTGCACACATCCCTTTTGCAAATTTCATGTACATGAGCACCCACCGGGAACCAAGATTAAGGCCAAGAAGGCACATGACTGATCGCCACTGCTCAACAGATAGTAACAACAGCACTAGGTAGAGACACGATGAATTACGATCGCTACTCCTAGAGGAATCCGTGGCTTCCGCGTGACATTTGCTTTCTGGTTCGATAAACAGCTGCAGCTGTAGATATGTGATTCGAATGTGCCGATACCATTTCCTGGAGTCAGTCCCGCACGGCAGGCACTGTATGTCTCTCTCCCCACATCACAGCCATGCCGTTGGCAGGCCTATGCTCGCCCTCGTATAGTACGATCTATCGACTATTAAGTCAGTGCTGTAGCATCGGCACCTGTCGTGTGCCTGATTGAGTAGATTGCTTATACTCTGATCACGTTACCGCATTTTGTGATCAATTATGAGACGAGTTGGAAGACGACTATCGGCATAAATTGCAATCAGACACGGTTACATTTACAACCACTCTTCACAAGAGTTTGGTAGCTTGACATCCGGCGAAGCAATAATATCCACGGATAGTCAACCCGAACATGTGTTTTGGGTACAGTAATGGAGCCAGTTGGTAGTAGTTCGCAGACGAAAAGGAAAAAGAAGGCTAGTTGAGAGCGGATGCTGCTTCACGGCCTAAAGCTGCCTCTGCTGACACAAGATGGGTAGTATGCAGCTGCAGAAATGACGCGAGCACTGGTTTAAAATCATCTTTAAATAAACCGAGAACGAATACCAGCCCCGGCTCTTCGCCCCGCGTGATGCACGGGTAAAATGCCCCGTTGGCGAGGTCGATAGCCAGATATCGAGCTTTCTGGAACCAGTTGGTTACGACGATAACTTCGGAAGGCCTTTGCGTCCAAGTAGAACATGCCACTTTCGAAAATGTCCAGAACGCGGATATCGGTGTCAATCCGTGGTTCCCCGGAGTATGCTACGGGTTTGACGTCTTCGAGGGGGTCCTCGAATCTCCTATACCTTGACGACGCGGCCGCATAAGTCTCCCTGCCAAACGAGTGGCCGGCTTTGGACAGCGTGTTCATCGAGCTGCTTTCTGCAAGGTCTCGCGTGGTATCCGTTGCTTAAACTGACAGACTCGCGGCATCTGTGACAGAGGGTGTTCGGCGCTCTTGCACAGTTGCGCGAGGATGAAGCTGGGAATGTGTGAACCATGCGTCCCCCTGTTCGTACCTAAATCCAACAAACGGGGGTATTCGTTGTGCTCGAAATAGACATCTTCTTCTTCACCTAGCTCGGTGTCCCCCGATAGCAGCCTTTGGGCTTCTAACAACAATGCCCCGGGAGCTTCATGACCGCGGACTTCATGAAGATGTAGATGCGCGTAGATAGTGTCGCCAAAGGGCAAAAATGGGTTTCTGCAGAGGGGAAGGGGCTGTTTTGGAACAAGAACATGCTCTGTGTAGGAAGTTAGTCATATAACTTATATAAAGCTTAGATGGTCGCCATGCCTTTGGTAGTGGTGACTTAGGTGCTTTGCAAACTTGAATCTATGTTGGCCGGTGGCCTTGTGCTGGTAATCAGGAAAGAGACGGTGAAAGCGTGACTTCCAGAGTATATAAATAATTACATCTAAGGATTGTCGCCAGCTGATCAAAATAAGTTTTCTCTTATTCGAAGCTGTATCTTTACAGGCAGGCGACTAAATTAGTAAAAGGTAGCCGAACCAACGACACCGGCTTCCATGGCGCTGTACGAGTTGGATATTTAGTCGTCGTTCTTGCAAGATAACGAGTTGCTAAAACTGCCCATCGATAACATAATGTCGATTGAGCCATAATGTTTCATCAAGCGCCATGGCATCATCGTTTGCAATGTTAAACTTGCTTTTCTCGACCCACCCTCCCGCAGGCGATATTAGTCTTCATGTTTCAAATGCCTGAACTGTGCTGCGGGAGTCTGAATGCTCTCTACAAATAGACTTGGCAACAACCACATACAAGTAGTGGAAAGGAAAACTCTGAAAACGCCAGGACCGATTGTTGGTGAACTCTTGCGGTTTCAAAATAGAACAAACTGAAATTTGACTTCACTATAAGTAGATATGTCGGAAGAGAACAGAGAAGCAATTGTATATACTGGGTCAGAAAATTTGTCATAATGTGACGGAGGACTCCTGTGTTGCATGGCTCACATATAGAGGCTGCACAAGGGGTACGTCTATGAACTGGATTATTGCAGCTGTTGCTTTCGAGAACAGGAAGTCAACTACACGCATCCCTATAAAGACGGAACCACCTTTCTCACATTAGCAAGTCGGCCTCTAGGACTGGAATAAGTCCCGGTGCATTCTGTTCATTGCAAACTGTTCATGACACAAACGAGTACGACGTCTCAGAGAAGATCTGCAGCACAAACCTCTCCCCCGCATATTTTACAAAATAGTATATAAAGATCCCTTGGTAACGCTTTGAAATCTTGCCGTATTGGTGCGCAAACCTTGTTTGAGAATTCCGGCTAATTTCACGGGAGCTTGAAATGTGCGATTGATTGCCTATGAACCCCGTTTACAAAAAGGGGTTCCTCGCGTCGCCGCTGACGCGGTGAGACGAACGGCATGTACATTCGGAAAGCATGCCAGTACTGGCAAGAACTTCTCCAAGGATGATGGAGCCAGGAAATAGCCTATGGTATCAACGGTCCTCCTGGTGAATAGCCATTGGAGCCTGTAAGGTTGGTGGCCAGTTCGTAGATGTTGACGGACCATTCTGCCTGGTTAAGAATCATCAATAAGCACGAGTCGCAGTTGAACACATCGTATTCCTAGTTGACCCGGCGCCGTGCCCCCATCTCACGCCCAAAATCCTCAAAGACCCGTGGATGACATACGACTGTGGGATTTTCCGTGTGCCAAGAAGTTGTTCATTCGATGGAAAACGTGCCCACATTCCGTGCAAACATGCACTCCGGATTCTTCCCCTTCCGGTTCAGTTGCAGCCGCTGAGGGAGGGGCTGAGAGCAATCTACTGTCGACAAGTTCACCTCTAGCACCATGCGTAGCAACATATGGTAAGTATCGATTTACACGCCATGAAATGTCGCTTCGACTGGAATGCAGGACTGCTTTGGATGGACACCTCGTGATCTCTTGATTGTATTATTGTTATCTTGGATGTTGCTTAATGTGGGGGGAACTGATTCAGCAAGTTCCATATTGTGTCATTACCAAACTCGCCTCCAAAGTTGTATCCTACTTCACCTTGATCGTTTGTAACAGCACCCATACCACTGCCCAATAGATTAGCATCTACTGCACAAGGCCACTGACTGGGTATACCGGCGCCAGCAATGAATCCATCTTCTCTGATGCCAGTGAGGTCGTTGTAGGCTACGTCGCCCATTGGATACATAGGTGGTAGAGAACCGAAGTCAAAGTTTGTTGGAAATGACCAGTCTGGCGAGGCAAATATGTCTGCGCCAGGCGTAAGCCCGGTACCAGTGCTAGTCGTGACCGTATTGACACTCGCGCCAGACTCTGAAGGCTGTATTGCTGAACATACAGATGTAGAAGCTACCGATGGGTGATGGTGGGAATTATTGGGTGAAGTATCAGACAACGTTGTCTGCCTGTCTGAATCGGTACCATCACCACCGTTGAGCTCTTCAGTTCTTGGGCAATCTTGAGGGCAAGTGAACGAGCGAGGACAGGCCCTATTTAGAAAGCCATGACCTATAGCCTTCTTAAGGCGGATGTAAATGGCATTCAGTACGCCCAGCGCCGCAGCTGCTAGCCGATTGCGAGTTGCCATGGCCTCAAATCTTTCCACTCCCCACAGGAAATGCTGCAGCGCATTACTGAGGAGTTCGGGATGCTCCTTGGGAAAGAGGATGTAGATACTAGCCATCATGACAATAGCATCAAATGTTCCAAAGAACAAGCTGAACGTCTTGTACTGTTGGGGGCTCAACGCTTTGAAGTGGATACTCTGCGCTTCTAGCATGTCTAAGCTTGCCTTGAGGGCTTTGTGTCGGCTATCTGCTCGTGTGAAGATGTACGGCCTGTGCAAGGCCATGAAATTGAAAGAGATCAGCTGAGGCAACGTTGGTCGAGCGAACCGTAGCCAGGCGCATTCCGGGAGATGGTCGAAGCGGGTGTCTGGATTCTCGAGGCGGAACTCGGGAGGCGTTTGCTCCTGCAACTCCAGAAGCTCCTGGTGAAGTTTCTCCACTTTAGAGAAGTCCTTGGGAAACGGCCCCTCCTTCTCCAGGTCTAGAATTTCACGCAGAGGCCGCATAATCTCAAACGACCATAGCGCTCTACTCAGCGGCGTCGGAGGATCGTTCTCACCGCGCGGAAATATGGGCGTTTTCCTCCTATTGACAGGAATTGGCGCGTCGACGGGGAGGCTTCTCTTCAGGGTCCGCTGGTCCACGCTTGTTGGCCGTCCTAGGACTGCACCCGTGTGTAAATCCCACAGGACCAGAGTCATCCAGATTTTGCGTCGACTTTCTGCTTTCCACATTGCCTCGAGAGCCTGCTCCGTATTGTCGTCTGGACCTGGTTGTGGATCAAACTGATCGCGATGCAGGCCTATTTCTTGCGCATCTCTGATAGCAGTGCCTACTTGATGCCACTATGACCTTATTCTCAGCGTACAACGCCACATACACATATATGAATGTAGACACTTACCGCTTCGGTGACCTGGCCGGTGTACTTGAGAAAGGCGGCGCGTACCCAGCCAGCCAGGACAGTAGGCACCGTCATTTGGCGCTTTCCAAGCAAGCTCAATATTGCGACACCTGTTTCGCTGTACTCTAGAGCCAGATCCTCAAACGTCATGTTGCCGGCATATTTCAAACCCACGAACTTCTCGTCGTCTTCATTGAAAATACCGAGCAATGACGTTGCCAGCATTTGGAACAACAAAGCCGGGAATGATCTCAGTGTCGGCTCAATGCCCTGCGGTCCAGCGTTAGACAGCAGGTGGAAAGGTAACTTGTACCAATTCTCGAGGTTCTCGAGGAACTCGGCCTCGTCGATGGTGTAGTACATCCAGTTGAACTCCCGGAAGTATATATCGACGAGCTTCTCCACGAATGTGCGGGCGGGCAGATGCCGGACCAGACTCTTGTAGCGTTCTCTTGATCCAAAGTGATCGCCATCCTGTGTTTCTCCGACGCCGCCTACACTGCTCAGCGGCTCGCCGGAGCCTGCGCCCTCGATCTTCTTCAGGAAGCCCAAGGTGCTCGCACCGTTGCCGTTGCTGTTCGAGTAGCCAAAATCCGCAGGCTTGATCGTAATGTGCCCTCCACTACCGCTTACGCCGCCTTCGTTGTGATTACTGCCGCCGTCCATTGGCGGCGAGTCATCGTTGTCGGTCTGATTTGAGCCTTTGCGACCCTGGTGGTCCCTGGATACGGGGGCGCCCGTCTCGTAGCGGCACGTCGCTTGCTTCCCCCTCGAGACGCAGTTGGTACAGGGCAGTTTGCGATCACATTTTTGCTTGCGCTTGTGGCAGTCGAGGCATGAGATGACAACGCGACGGCGCTTGCGTGGTGGGGGCTTGCCGGATTGCGAATGCGCACTGCTGTCGTTTGGCGGAGTGGTGTCCTCCGTCTTGGCCAAGATGTCGACACTGTTGTCGTCCGTCGCTCGGGGTTCCGCCATCTGCATAAGCTCGTAACTCGAGTTGCGGTATCCTCTTTGGGTTCTTATTCTTGCTGCAAAGCGCCAATTGATCGGACGACTCGAAAACGGCCAGAACCGGCGGTAGCTGACGCTGTGCTCTGACTAAGCAGCAAGAAGGTTGGAGGCAAAGGTGAGAAGAGAGCTTGGAAGCTCGAGGGCTTCTCGAATCGAAGGGTGCGGCCTAGTAACTTGATCACCTCCTGTACGGGAGGGGAGGGGGGCTTTCAGACCTTGACCTCAGGCCTTGCTTGCAGTACGGATCCGTAGATAAGTACGAATACAGTTGGTCTGGGATGGGTTCCGGTCTGGGGTCTACATACTGTCTCGCCCCCCCACCTCGACATTGTGGAACTTCTACCTATCTTAAGCTCTAACTTTTGTCGCTAACAAGGCCCTTGTCACCGCTAATGCCGGGAGTATCTCCGTGGGTTGGCGTTACCCGTTTGCAGGGTAAATACTTTACACCACAGCTCATAATACTAGTACTTGCACAAGCAATTCTGGCCGAGCCGAGTGTGTCGCATGGAACTTGTGTAAGAAGGGCAGGTCCAAATTTGCCATTTCAATTCATCACATTACTCATTGCGTTGCTGAAAGCTGTTCCTCATTTCTTTCGTGTAAGAGCCGACTCTGTAGCCTTAATATGGGCCCTGATATCGTTGCTATCCACGTCTCACGTACGATCCTATTCCCACTAGCCACTGATTGCATGGCTTTTATAACCCCAAATGTAGACAGGAAATCGATGTCGATGGCGTGTCAATTCTGTATATTCTGGCCGCTGCGGACATATGGTATCCTTGTATAGCTATGTTTCCAGAAGAGGGGAAAGAAGAAGAGGAAAAAGAAGAAAAAAGAGTTGGATTTGTTTTGGATATCTCCTCAGGTCCTCCTGGATTGCAAGTCCAAAACTGACCCGGCCAACACTCCGTTTGGCGGGCACTGAACATGTTTTTAATGCCAAAAACTCCAAGCTTTTGATTCAAGACAGAATGGTTATATTTAGCCTAAACTCAGTTCTCTTTTCATTTTGACTATGCGCCAGTTGTTTATTTACTTCCTATCCGGCTCTGGTATGCCTGCCAAGCTTTCCGTCTGTATCGCTCGGCTTCGTTTGGCGGATCTCCCGCCTTGATGATACCCCGGCCCACGATGATGATGTCGGTGCCGCAGATTTGTACCAGTTTCGATGGGGTGTTGTATTGTTGACCAAGCCCATCGCCTTCCACCACGCCGTTCTCCTCCTCGCCCTCAGGAGGTAGTTGGCAGCCGGGCGTCATGTGAATGAAGTCGTCAGCAGGTTCACTGTTCAGACTTTCTTGCGAAATGAACCCCATGACGAAGTCCTTGTGTTCTCTGGCCGCCTCGACACATGCTTGGGTGTACCTGGCATCCATGAAGTTGCCCTTGCTCGACATTTGTGCCAGGATCAAGAGTCCTCGGTCATAAGGGGGCTCCTCGATGCCAGCGTACACGAGCTCGTCTCCTTCTTCCGTGGTGGTGGCAAAGCGCGGTGAGTCAACCGGCTCGAACGATTGTGTAACTGTGGTGATGGATACAATGCTCCCTTTCCTGCCGTCGGCATCTCTGTGGTGTGGTGCCTGAGTGCCATTCGTCTCGAGAGGCGCGAGTTTGTCCTCATCTTCAGAGATGCTGTTGTCATTGTCCTCAAACGCATCGGCCACGGGCGTACCCACCGTGACAGACGTCTTGACTTCATAGTTGACCCGCGATCTCCACTTGGCCGCAGCCTCTGCCAACGCGCTCACCGCCGCCTTGCCTGGTACCATGTTCACGTTGACTATGTGTGCCCAATCAATGATTCGGGCCGACCCAGCCGTGTATTGCATCTGAACTGTGCTGCCAATGTCGCCAAACTTGCGGTCTTCGAATATGAGGAAGCCATGCTTTCGCGCCAGAGCAGCGAGCTTGGCACCGGTGCCCGTCTGGGGATTGAAGTCCCAGCCAGCAACTAGATCATAATGTGTCTTGAGCACAACGATGGAGGGTCCGACCTTGTCGGCGAGGTGAATCAACTCGCGGGCTGATGTAACGTCGGCGCTGAGGCATAAGTTGGACTTCTTCAAGTCCATGAGACGGAGGAGATAATTCGTCAGAGGGTGCGAAACCTTGCTTGCTCGATCCGAGAAGCTGGCTTTGAGCGTACTGTTGCGGGTTCGGTCGGACATGGTGAAGAATTTGTTACGGGATTGAGACGAGGTGAGGAAGGGCGGAGGGAGTTGCGATGGAAGGGAAGGATTGGGATGGCGAGGGATGGGGTTCGGCGACGCTATATCGCGGGATTGCACTGGACACCGCTATTCAAGTAGGCTGTGGCGTCCTAAAATGAATCGAGTATTTCATGCGACGGGGCAGTGAGTATCAGAGAATTCAAGATTGTCGTCGAGACTAGATCATAGCCTAGATGCCCAACTGCGCAGGACTGGCGGTGCGGTGTCGATTTTCTCAACTGGCGGAGGACGGCCAGACCCTGGACAAGACTGGTGGAGCAAGATGATGTCAATTTACCGTCCCTAGGATACCGCTGCTCCTTCTTGGTGGAAATAGACGAGGCTGTGGCCCTTGCTTGTTGCGTAATTTCAAGAAGTCAAGGACGCAACATGAAAAGAGGGTGGACAATGCTATAATTAAGTCGATGCGTCGTCTCGAAAGGTCCAAGAGGGACAGGAATGTCTCTCCCAAATTCAAAGTTTGAGCCTGCAGGAATACAAGCTAAAATATAGGGCCTAAAGTGTGGGCTGTTACGAATAGGAGGGAGCAGGAGTGCAGGAGAAGGAAGGGGAGAAAAAAGAAACCTAGCAAAGTCTACAGTAGCTGGCGTTTGGGGAAGAGGAGACTAAGCTAAGAAGAAAAAATTAAGGGCTCGGCCGTCGCACATGCAGATGGTGGACTTGGCATTTCCATCCGTGTCTCTTGACCATTTTGACAACGAGACTACGAGGTGTCACAGAGAGTCCGGGGTACTTTAAAGTATCAGTGTTGCGCATTGGGGCGATGAACAAGTCCCGTCTGTCTTGATCGAGCCAGAATGAAATGCTTTTGTGACGGACTATTGAACGTCAGTGCTGATTTTGCAAGTTACCCGTGCTGTTGCACTGGCAAGTTGAAGCCGTACAAGAGCTCACAAGCTGCATCAAGTCTGCTCAATGGTCGTACCGCACCATCTCCCTAACCTTAGGTATCGTGCAATTTGGCACATCTGGTCTCGCAGTTGGGCTTGTGATTCCTGCAGCCAGCTTTGCCAGGTGAGGACGCAGAGCAACTAGGAAGCGGACCGAGGCCTGATTCAATTTGTACAATGCATACTCGGTGGTTTGACTGGCCGATATGCTCAGTCGTGTCACCTCTCAGCACTTTGACAAAGACAAAGTCCGATACCCTTGAATGGATTGGTCGATGTGAATGGCTCCTGGCTTCCCCTGCCAGATTGCCAACTCCCAGCATGCAACACAAAATGATCTACTTTTTAGCGGCTACTAGGCTTCGTTCGTGACAGTCCAACAACGTCAATTGAGTTCACGACGGCTACAACTTAGTGCCAAGCAAACTTCATCAACATGATACCGAACAACTTCCAAAGGTCACTACGTAGACTTCGATATGTTAAAAGCGTAGATGCCAGTGTAGTATAGGATGGAATGGGTGGTCTGTCGTCCCACCAGCAGATGTCCGATTCAACAGTTAAAGCCCGCCAGCAAGCGTGAGTGTGATGTTCGAACTCGAACCCTTGGCGACGTGTTGTGTGGTGCTATGCATGGGAGCATTAGCTTCCCTTCTTAGACGAGAAACCGCTCTCGGCATGTCCTTGAAGGACACCAATGAGACGCTCTTCCGGGTAGATCACCCCACCCCCATTTTCGGCTGCATGGCCTAGATCTCGGCGACGCCCTTGACCGGCCAGGGTGTGAAGCGAATCTGGCAAGATTGTCCATCCCAAGCCTCGTCTCGGCTGTCGTCGTCTGATCTTGCATCCAAAGTCTGGAGATCCCACCGTGACTATTCCGTGCACAACCGAAAACGACAAACTTGCGTCTTAAAGAGGTGCTTGTCCCGTTGTGACTCGTGCCGCTATTTATCAATTCACAAGTGCGAGCACCTAGTTCTACCCGTTCTCGTGCAGGTCAGGTGGAGGAGCGAGACACGGTCTCGTGAGCGTGCCCAAGTACAAGCGAGCAGATTGCCCCAGTCAGAAAACCAGCCAGCTTTCCGTTGTACTATGTACAGAGATCAAGGACACGGTGGGTAACATGACGGGTTGCTTGGGATATATCCATGTTCGGCAGCTCTTGTGCCCATGAAGATCTGGGGACCGATCTTGACGCAGTGTAACGGTCGTCCGCGACATCGGACGCCCCAACAATGCTCATTCTGCCAGAGGCTTGAAATACAATACCGGTAGACTACTGTATAAACGGAGATTAGCGTTGATCTACAGTACATGGTGTGTTTGAGATAGTGCTTGTGCTCACGCCATTGCGTCTGTAGGGCTATCTCTCGCTGCCAACACACATAAGATGTGGCGTTATAGCTTCGGTTATCCATGCAGCGGGACCTGACGGTGTGAAAGACTTGTACGAGCCCCGCATTGCTTGCTATGAATTTGGCGATGAAAGATTATACCGACCGACCCAGATCAAAATACTCCAGGCTGGTCATTTAATCAAACCTCAACTGCACCACTCGGCAGGCTACCACTTGTCCAATGGGAAATATGCTGGGTAGACGTGGTTTACCCAGTACTAGTACTGTATTAGAACGTCGACGTAGAAATGTGCCGTCACAACTGGCTCGGCAAGCAGCACACCATTGCTTTTACGAGTCTAACTAACTTCAGCGGACAACCAGAGTTTCGGGAGCATCTAGCGTACTGCATTGCATCTGCTGGGTCCGGCATGGTAGTCCTTGCAAAGTACGGAGTATGCTGGCAGGACAGCGTAACGTCATGATGAGAAAGATGCTTTACTCGTGCATTTTTGGGCTGTTGATTGAAAGTTGAGCTGCTCCAACACAATACCTGGGGGGCACCAAGAGCTTACGATACTACAGTAACTTACGTACTCCGCACAACCCTCTGCTTCCATAAGCAAGCAAGCAAGCCAGCAAGTTTGCATGTGTGCGACCTCGAGCCTAGTACCGGCAGTGAGCAAGCAGCCTTTGAATCTTGCTCGCTACCGTTCTTTGCCCATTACCAACAGTGCAGTAAATTACGTACATAACAATATTCGGGGCCAGCGCTGGAAAGGGGGTCTTGGCAAGCTTGAACACGCGCGGCCAGCAATGAAATTTCAATGGGGAGTCTCGTTGACAACTAGCAATAATGACATCGCCCATTTTTATTTGTCTCGTCTTGTCTCCTTAAGAATGGAGTAGTAGCACTAAAAGTAATGCCCATGCAATCTGCCATGCCGACGATCCCGAGCTGTCCTTATCTTTTTGCTCGGATCGTCCAGCTCCCCTCCTGCTATCCTATCCGCATATGCACCTGGCACGTTCGGATTGGCTTGGGAAGCTCTGCGATTCGACAAAGCTACAACTCGATTGTCATTCCTTCTGTGGCCTAATAGCAAAGTGCCCACCCCATCTGCCCCGCGTTCACCACGTCGACCTTGAGGTTCCTCCATTCGTCCTCGTCCAAAGGTACATTGGACTCCATCAGAAGTACTTCGCAGGTCCCTGTAGTTACCTTGCTTCGCCTCGCCCGGCATCATACGGCTTGGCCACCGAGCGAGTGAGTGATTGGCAGCCCATTTGAACCCTCCCGACTGGAGCTTCAATTACACTTCGCCGGCCGATCCGCGTCGCAGCCTACAGTACACAACAGGCACCATCTCTTTCAACGACACACACTCGAGATTGACCAACACTCGATGTTAGCTTCCGACGCATGAACAGATTCTGATACTTTGCTACAATGTCTGCGCGACAAACCCGACGACAGGCAGCTCTGGCTGCTGCGAACGAGACACCCACCAAGTCCACATCACCAGCGACGACGTTCCAATCCCCTGACATTGGCGCCGGCAATGGTGCCGCTGGCGAGCCTGCAGCAGCCTCCGCGGCTCCAGCAGAGAACATTTTCCTCTTCTGGCCCAACATTATAGGTACGACTTGTCGGAAAAGAACAGATCAAAAGTGACCAGAACCTCAGCTGACATACTCTGCGACTCATAAACAGGTTACGCAAGAATCGTACTCGGAGTTGCTTCACTGTACTACATGCCACTGCACCCCCGAACCTGCTCCATTCTCTACAGCATCTCATGCCTGCTCGACGCCCTCGATGGCTACGCTGCCCGGTACTTTGAGCAATCGACCAGATTCGGCGCGGTCTTAGACATGGTAACCGACCGATGTAGCACCTCTTGTTTGCTGGTCTTCCTATCCTCAGCTTTTCCTCGATGGGCCATCATCTTCCAGGGCCTGATCTCGCTTGATCTGGCCAGTCATTATATCCACATGTATGCCACCTTGGCCATGGGCGGTTCGAACCAGAGCCACAAGTCTGTCGATAAGTCGAGAAGCTGGCTGTTGAACCTGTACTATACCAACAAGGTTAGTAACTTCCTGGAAACAGACTCCTCGCATTCCTTTTGAGGCTTGTGGACTGACAATTATCCTCTCCTCTCATAGACCGTTCTCTTCGTTGCCTGCGCCGCCAATGAGCTCTTTTTCATCGGCCTCTATCTGCTCTCCTTCTCTTCGCCCCTACTATCGCCGCAATTGCTACAGACTGTTGGCGAGGCGAAAGCTGCAGCTATTCAGAGCGGAGCTCAAGTTAACAGCTCGATCGTTCGCCAGCTTTTCACCAACCCGTACAGCGCAGGTGCCCTGGAGATGGCCCGTGCCAACAAGATGGACTCGTTCTGGCCCTGGGTGCTCACTGGTGTCAGCTTCCCTATCATGGCCTTCAAGCAGTTCACCAACGTCGTCCAATTAATCAAGGCCAGTAAGTGGCTTGCTGAGGGCGATGTCGCTGCAAGGAAGGCGGCCGGCTTGCCTAAGCCAAAGCCCGCCGGTAAGGAGTTGTAAGAGTAACTCCGAGTTGTTCCTGGCTCCTGGCTGTATTGCCCATAAGGCGAGCGATCTGTGCGCAGCGAAGCTGCGACCTAGTCGCTGAAGAGTGAATTGTCGGGGTTGGGATCTTTGATAAAATTACCCTATCATTACTGGTAAATGAGGTTGCAATGGCTGCATAGCGTTGTTCATGGAGCTAGGATAGGGCCTATCGTGGATATACACCATCTAGCTGCCATTCGGAATTTGGTATGCGCAACAACAAGGGATGTAAGATAGGATGCGGAAACAAGAAAATTTCTTGCCCACATTATACGGCGACGAAGGGCCGGGGAATTACGGATCGCATGGAACGGCGTGAGACTATAGATGGATTGGGCATTTGTTACCCTGCAATCCTTGCCACACCGGGTGGTGTGTGAAACCAACCCGTTGAGTAATACAATATGGATATGAGACGTGGAAACCCAGCTGAGGAGGCTTTCTCGCGGCATAAATATCTGTTTGACTTGCTAGTCCATGGTGAAGCTACGTAAGAATACCCCGTCTTCCTCTGGTCCATTCGCTAGTCTACACCACGAAATTCTGCGTATTGTGGCTCAGGTTTATACTGAATCCACTGATAGTATTCAGACGTTCAAACCTAAGCCCCGAAGTAGCCCGTGAAATATGTTCACATGGAACCATGGGGTTTCGAGACAAAGACCGTTGTGGCTTGAACTTGAAAGGCTCGTTCCACTTGCGCGGAGTCATCCAAAACTAATCTCAGCTTCGAATTGGTGTTTCTTTTAATGGTAATGTTATGGATGAGAGTGATGATATTGGTGCTTTGAGACAAATCTAGATTTGCCGTAAAAATTTTAAGATCCATTCAAATGCTCAACGACGTGAGTATGCGGTATGGTGTGTAAGCATAACTCTCCCTGGGCCATGGGATAGTTTGAGCTGAGTAATTCTACACAGTTGATCCCTTATCCATTAATTATTTTGATGGCTGGGAGACGCACGACTCACATGGGCTTTACTGGCGCATAATGAAGAGTCATCAGGTGCCATAGGACTTAACAAAGAGCTGAACTCCGGTGGGGTCAACTAAAACTATGATTTGAATATGTATGGTCACCGCATTGGATCTGAGATCTCCAGGGATGGCGATACCTGATGCGTCACTAGCATCTTAGTTTAGGGACTGTCCCTGGCCAAGTATACTCATACCAGGTGTGTACATAGCTCTCGCGATACTACTGGTTACAGTCGTACATGTGACCACTCTGATTATAATGATCCAGTTGATATAAGAGTAGAAGCTCCGTATCTAAGCAGACTCAAAACTGGGTTTTCTTTGACATAACTGCACAGGAGTCCTTACATACAGATAACATGGTCATTCGTCTTGTATATAGCCAATCTACTCGACGGAGCAGGCAGCATACCGACAGCAATCTCGCGACACGCCTACAGACATAAATATAATACTAAATTAAACGTAGATTTAGGTCCACCGCTGACTAGGACCTTTTTCGTAAAGATTTGCCTGCCGTGATTCATAGACACAGAAGTGTAGGCTCGAGCAACGCCTACGAAGCCACAACATAGAGCAGTCCGGAGATGGAGAGCCATACAGAGCATAACCCAGATAAAATACTGGACCAATTGCTTTACAGCTCAGCTATCATACGTTCTGCAGATAGAATCCAAGAAATATGAACATCATATACTGGTACGATATTCATTACAGAGCCATTGTACGTGATGACCTTGCCATAGGCGACACCGCCTGGTGATACTCTTGAGCTCTCAGCAGTATACGTTATGCTTGACTTGGTTCAACTAGTGGGTAAGAGCGCCACAGATCCGTGAACACGATATCGTGCTTATGCTGTTTGTCAAGTTAAAATCACTCCGTACCTGATAGTGTGTCAGTTGAGGCAACGGCTTCCAGCCGCGTGGTCGATGATGTATACCAAGTTGCTGTCAGGTGATTGAGCTAACAAGATGGAGTTGCCATTAGACTAGCGAAGGAACAATATGACGAGTAGGAAGCGCCTCGAGGTATGGGTTCACGAGGCCCGAGCACAACCTATGAACAAAGATCAGACATAGAATAAAGCTACACAAGGCACACTAGAACCGATTTCATTAAGGAACACCCATTATGACCAGGAAGATTACGGATAAAGCATTAGCTAATTGCACTATTATAGTGGTTTAACTCGACTCTGGTCTTCTTCTTTTTTTCCCCTTGTTTTTGGGTTTCATTTCGGCTAACATTCAAACAGAGAGCGCGTGACAATTGGTTATTGCTCTTGTTTCGATAGACGAGCCGTGTTGGAAAGCCGTCTCAATATCACCAAACTTTGATTCCATGTCGCGCAAAACACCATAAACCTGTGGCCAGTACTCGAGACCGATGAGTTGAGATGATGCAGTTATCCAGTAAGAAAGATCTCAGCCGGTGGTATCTCGGCCGAGAACGCAAGCACTTCAGGTCGTAACGGGAGGCTTACTTGGCTGCTGCGAACGTTGAAGCTTAACAAAAGCCAAGGACCACCACAATGGTATGGTGCCCATATATTGGGCAAGGGAACTCGGCGTCGACTGTCGCAGCCAATGGAAGATCGCGGTTTCGATTGGACGGCTCCTTTACCGGCAAGACCCGATTTACTAATTTGTTGCCATTAGTCCCTGGGATGTCGTGATCCTTGGCGCAGCTGCTTTCGGGGCACGATATACCGACAATATGGAGCTAAATTGTCGAAGAGTTGAAAATGATATTTGGCTACGGCTCCGAAGCGAGCTCCGTGTAGGGCTGCGTTATTCCCGCGTACTAGATCGAGTAACGTATCATACATATCTAACCAAATCTCGCCGACAGGACTTGGTCCAAAGAAGGAATACATGGGGTTGAACTCAATGGCACCATTTTAACCCAGAAGCACGATCGGCAAAACTGGTATCGACGATAAAATAGGTGTCGCCTGGTTGGGACTGGCTATCAATGTTCTTGGCTTGGCTTGCATATTCGCTTATTTCTTATAGCATGCGGGACTTATTTATATATGATGCTGGGCATGCTTGGCTAACATCTCCTGCTTCTTGCACTACATACAGCTATCTCTCGGCGAGCGCAGCTGAACATAGGACAGCATGGGTACTTCAGTTACCACAAGGGATGTGCATGGCGTCAGTTCTGTTCAGCCCGTACAACAGTATGCGACAGATCAGAAGAGCCTCGCCCAGGAAGACAATCTGAAAGACTTTGGCGACGATCTTGCAGACCCTGAAGACACAAGCAAGCCTCCTGGAATATGGACAAGTCTTACCACGCGCCGAAGACCGACAGACCTTGACGCCACTGCTACGGTACGCAGTGTCTTCGACGATCCGAACCTCGCTGGATACTATGTACCTCATTCGGACTACGAGAATATTCATCGATTTGACCCTGCCGAGCGATGGACTCACCGGGAAGAAGAACGTGTTCGGAGGAAAATCGACTGGAAGATCTTCATCTGGGTTCTGGTCATGTTCTTCGGTCTTAACATCGACAGAGGAAACTTGAGCAACGCAGTTGCCGACAATCTGTTAGGGGATCTCGGCATCAACACCAATGACTACAACAACGCACAGAACATGTACCGAGTTGGATTTCTGATCTCGGAGATACCGTCACAGATGATTGGAAAGTGGCTCGGACCAGATCGCTGGATTCCCGCTCAGATCATCTTGTGGAGTCTTGCTTCTGGCGGCCAATTCTTTATGCACAACCGGGCTGGTTTCTTCGCATGTCGGTTCATGATCGGCCTGGCTATGGGCGGTTTCATTCCCGATGCTATTCTGTACCTGTCTTACTTCTACAAGAAGTCCGAAACACCTCTACGCCTCGCTCTGTTCTGGTTCGTCGACTCCATGTCGGGTGTCGTCGCGTCCTTCATCGCCTACGGAGTTTTGCATATGCGTGGCGTGGACGGCAAAGAAGGATGGCGATGGCTCTTCCTGATCGAAGCTCTGATCAGCTTCGTTATCGGCTGTCTCAGCTTCCTCTTCCTAGTTCCCGGGCCCACTCAGACCAAGACATGGTGGAATCCCAAGGGCTACTTCACAGAGCGAGAGGAAAAGATTATGGTCAATCGAATCCTACGTGACGACCCATCCAAGGGCGACATGCACAACCGTCAGCCTCTGACCATAGGAATGTTATGGCGCAGTCTGAAGGACTACGACCTCTGGCCAATCTACGTCATCGGTATACTCTTCGAGATCCCCACCGCGCCGCCCAAGGCGTATCTCACACTATCCCTCAAGTCGCTAGGCTTCAGCACTTTCAACACTACCCTACTGAGCATCCCTGTGACAGTATTCGCTGCCCTCAACATGCTCGGTGTGACGTGGCTCACGGAGAAGACAAACCGCATTGCCATCATCGGTCTTCTGGCTCAAGTCTGGGTTTTACCTCTGCTTATTATCGAGTACACCTCCGCCAAGAGCCTGTCTGCTTGGGGCCAGTACGCGCTAATATTCATCATCTTGGGCCAACCATCTGTGCACGCCGCTCAAGCGAGTTGGTGTTCTCGGCTCAGCAATGCCGTGAGAACCAGAGCCGTCAGTACTGCCATGTACAACATAACCGTCCAGTTGTCGGGCATTGCGTCTTCAAACATCTACAGAGAGGACGACAAACCGGTGTATCACCGTGGCAATGGACAATTGATTGGTATCACCGTGGGTACTATTGTGGCTTATGCGCTTGCCGAGGTCTACTACGTTATGAGGAACAAACATAAGAGGAATACATGGGACAAGATGAGTTCGGAAGAAAAGGCAAGGTATTTGGAACAGAACGGACACCTTGGAAACAAGCGGCTAGACTTCTTCTTTGATCACTGAGTGGGTTAGATAGTTGTGATTACTGGTTACATTTAGAACTAGTTAGTGACGGGCGTGATAGACTGGATCCTAGAATTTGTGCTGCCATCCCTACTTCATATTTATCATTCCCAGTAGTAAGATCACCTCATTGTCATTTCACTTACCATTATTAGTATATTCCATGTGTCTTTCTAGCCTTATCGGTGCTATAGGAAGATACTGAGTAATGGGTACACCCCGTTGATGAGATTCAATGGTGTGGCCCTGCCGATATGATCTATTGCACCGATCAAACCAACAATAGATAAACCGCATATTCGAATCACAGCTCCGGAAGAAGAACTCCCTCAGGGGAGGGAACTGGGCAACCTACGTTAGCTAATATTTACTAGTTTCTCACCTCGGTGGGACGGCTTAGGAGTAAGGGTTTATGATGTTAAGGCCAACGCCAGCGCCACCCATGCAGTGAGTTCCGGGGGCCAAGGGCTGGGGCGTAGTCCACTGGCCTCCTGTGCAAGTTGAGAACTTGTCTCCATCCACGCACAGGAGATGGCCTTCTTGGCAACCTGTTTGTTGGTTGCTACCAGAAACCTGGCTACTTACCGGGGCCGAAGTCACTGCAGATGTAGTGCTTCCCTGGCTGGTGAAAATCGGAGGTGTGGACATCATCTGCGAGCTCACCGATGGAGCAGACATTGAGTTTAGTGATGTGGTCATCTGCGCTGTAGTAGTGGTAGTCTCTATTACCGAATCGACCAATTCCAACGATGAAGTGGACTGTCCCGACAATGAAGCCGTGGTTGTAGACGACACGGACGTAGCAAGTGGCGCCGTAGTAGAAGCCGACGCAGCCGTGCTCGACTCAGAACCTGAGCCGTCCCTCAGTCGAGGATTGCCATCGCACGACTGTGGAATCAACTCTTGACCTGGGTTGCCAATCTCGACCGACTCGCCTGGGTTCGGATACGCAATCGGTAGCTGCGCCTTGAGTCCTTCTGTGTGGGTACAACCGCCTGTCAGATCGCCGAGGTCTGCCATGAAGAGATCTGGGAAGTCCTTGCGCTTAGCCAACGAGACTTCTCTCCGCTCAGACAGTGTTTGACGCTGCGTCGTCGTTGCTGGCGAAACAATGATCGGTGCACAGTTCTGGTAAAACTCGGGGCCGCCCCCTATCCGTGGGACCCAGCTCCAGGATAATACGTACTTACCGGGGTCGACGCCTGCAGGGATCCTGAAGTAGTACTTGTCCGTGTTTGGGCCTTCGAGATTTCCAGCTTGGTTTCTTGCCGGACATCCAGACTCGATAGAGTGGATAACGAAGAAACGGGCGTCCTTACGGGGTTGGAACTCGTGGTCAATATCAGATGTGAGGCTGATTTGACAACTTCCGCCACCATGGACTGCTTTGCCCTGAAAGGTTAACAGTTGATCATCACCGATAGCCATCTCCGTGGGAGCTCCATCGATCTGGAGCCTGGTGCCAGCTGGCGCCTTGCAAGGGAAAGTGGCTTGGGTGACCGGGTTCGACGGGCCGTCCTCTGCCGGCTTAAAGGGCCGCGGGTTCTCGAGGACCACGTGGGCATCGGTTGAGGTGATGAGCATCGCAGTGAATGCGAGGAGGAGGATTGACGGCATTGTTGAATGCATTATTGTTAGTGGTGGTGGATGATGTTAAGTAAGTTGGCTGGTGTTTGGTTTGTTCTCAGATTTTGCTGTTGTAATTGGAGTTGTCCAATGAGACATATGCCAACCGGGGAAAGGAGCTGATATTTATAAAAAAATCTTTTCTTTGTTACAATTCACTGCACAGTAGTTGACCTTCAGCAAACAAGTCTCTTTGTACTCGATTATGAGTGAAAGACGCCTTGAAAACCGAGCAACTATTGATTGCAAAACTGGCACAATGGACAGGAAGGTAACGAAAAATAGAGGAAATACCCGCGATGTCGATATCCTGGTCGAAAATCAAATGTTTTATGGCCGCATCACGTTTTGAACAGCTCCTTTGTCAAGCTAATCTGGAGACATGGGCCTATATTTCGGCTACGAAGCACAAATGGAACAATCTGGCTTTGTTGCAAACAACGTTAGGTCGAGATGCTCTTCTCCTATTTAGAATCGAGGCGTTACAGGAAAAGGCAAAGTGGGTGTCGCGGGTCTGGATAGATAACAAACATAAGAAAAACCCCATTCCTGGCTGATCCAAATGTTTAACCACAAGCAGGACGTACTCTCCAAGTACTGCAAGCATACCCACAGGAACGTTCCATGGTCCCAACTTTCCTCTCTACGCCGGACAGTTAAGTGTCAGCCATGTTACTATAGTTCTCAACATGACCAAATCTGTTTGTTATCAGCTTTAGAATTGGCTGTACGTTTCATACGTCCTGTTAATGCTCTATTAGGTTCTCATCTGTTCCAGGACATGATGGCAAGCCCTGAAATGATCTGGCAACTCATCAGGTTCAGAAGCATCCACCTAGCCAAGCCAGTCCTGGTCGATGGGGCAAAGCATTTGGTATATAGGCCCGGCAAAACTTGAGCAATTTGATAAATTGCTTGTTGCATGACAATAACTTGCGACCCAATGTGTTAAAGAACCGACGAACTCACGAATTTTGGTTTATTTTCGAGGAGACGCGATGAAGTAAAGGGATATTTCTATCGGCAGAATATCTCTGCTCTTGTAATTTGATTCGAGGCGGGTCTCGTGATCGGTCTGACTCTTCCCCGCAGCGAAACGTCGACTCAGCCTCATCTTCCAGACTTGCATTTGCAGCCACCACGTCCACAACGATATCCTTGAGCAATACCCGTAATACGGCCTTGACCATGAATACATCTTTCTAAGCGACGTGAAATCATGGAGCTGTATCACTGGTGCTATTCCCTCGTGTGATACCAAACTGCCGAGACGCCTACACTATACGATGAGACTACTGCAACGAGGTGATGATGGCAGCTACAGCCTAACCCAGAACCTCTCCTCCGACAACATTGCCCCCTACGCAATTCTATCCCGCACTTGGGGGCAAGATGAGGTGGTCTTCGCTGACCTGGCGAAGGCGGCGAATCATTGGCAACGGAAGGCTGGTTACAGCAAGATCAAGTTCTGTGCGGAACAAGCGGGACGCCATGATTTGCGACATTTCTGGGTCGATACTTGCTGCATCGACAAGTCCGACAGTATAGAGCTTCAGACTGCGATCAACAGCATGTTCCGATGGTATCAAAACGCGAAAAGATGCTATGTCTATCTAGCAGATGTCTCTAGCACGATAGAGTCTGGTACACAGCAAAGCATAACGCCATAGGATATGGCCTTCCGAAACAGCAGATGGTTCACACGTGGGTGGACACTCCAAGAGCTCATCGCCCCGACATCAGTAGATTTCTATTCGAAAGAAGGGGTTTGGTTAGGCGATAAGCAGTCACTAAATCATTTAATCCGCGATGTTACCGGCATTCCTGCGCGTGCTCTCTATGGCACCCCATTGTCTAACTTCACCATTATGGAACGTGAAGCATGGGTCCACAATCGCCAAACAAAATTTGAGGAGGATATCGCGTATTCGCTCCTTGGGCTATTCGACGTTCACATGCCCTTAGTCTACGGCGAGGGGCGAGAGAAGGCACAGAGACAGCTGCGAGAAGAAGTCCAGAAAGCTGTAAAGGGTAAACGTATTCCATTACCTATAAAAGGGTGGAATTAGTAACTAACAGAGTTAGGAGCGCGAACAAACGATTTCTCTGTTACCTTTAGTCTGTCTAACGTCCCTGAGACCCAACATTTCGTCGCACGAGAAAGTGAAATAGCAGAAATACGCAAAGCATTAAGCTCGGATGGAAGCCGTCGCGTCGTTGTCCTCCACGGTCTCGGCGGTATCGGAAAGACACAACTCGCCGTCGCATATATAAAGCGGTATCGAGATGAATATTCTGCCATATTCTGGTTTAACATTAAGGACGAAGCGTCTATCTAACAGAGTTTTACTAAAGTCGCAAGGCAGATTCTACAACAACATCCTGATACTAGCCGCTTAAGTGTACTAAACTTACAACAAAATCAAGAAGAGTTAGTCGAAGCTGTTAAGGCATGGTTTAGCTTGCTATACAATAATAGATGGCTTATTATCTACGATAATTACGACAACCCGAAATTAGCTGACCGCATAAATGACACAGGAATTAACATTTATCGCTTTCTTCCTATGGCGTACCAAGGCTCGATCATTATCACGACACGATTGTCACAAATCGATATAGGGCATCTAATTCGAATAAAGAAGCTCGAATCGACGGACGATAGTCTCGAGATTTTATTATCAACCTCAGGCCGAGATAGTTGACAAGATGGTAAGGGCTCTCGTAAATAATCAGGCTCTACTAATTATTACCATAGACAAAAATGCTAGATGTCTTGTAAAGGAGCTTGACGGGCTCCCTCTTGCCCTTGCTACGGCTAGAGCGTACTTGAGGCGCGTTTCAATTAGCTTAGGTAATTACCTTCGCCTTTACGAGAGATCATAGGCGAGACTTCATACAAGCACTCCAGGTTTAGGCTCTTATTAAGACCGTATACTCTGCTCGACGTGGCAGCTCTCGTACGAGCAAGTCTAGGAACGAAATCCACTTGTAGCTTATTTGCTTCGGTGGTGGGCATATTTCGATAACGAAGACATTTGGTTCGAACTTCCCTAGCTCGCGGTAAAAATGGCCCTGCATGGATAAATAATTTAACTAATAAACTTAAATTTCACGGCGCAATAAGCACGTTGTATGACTACGGGTTTGTCGAGCCGTACACCTTAACCCTAGACGTGGTCGGATTAAGGGGCCATAGTATTTATAGTTGCTTACACTCTTAGACTAATCACGTATTAAACCAAGAGAAAGATAGCTATCTAAGTAAGGTTGCGGTAAAATGTGTAGCCTTGTATATTCCATTAGAAACCGATAATTAGTTCTGGCTTATTCAAAGACGACTTCTTTTACATGCGATGAAGTCTTACGCAACCATTCAAAATGATTTGGACCTTACTTAGGCATTTAACAACATAAGTGCCCTTTACGCCGACTAAGGCAAGCTATTAGAGGCGGAAAACATGAATTTACGGGCGCTTCGAGGGTATGAGAAGGCGTGGGGACCGGATCACATATCGACACTAGACACGGTAAACAACTTAGGGAACCTTTATACTAACTAAGGCAAGCTATAAGAGGCCGAGGACATGTACATACGGTCGCTTTGAGGGAAAGAAAAGTCGTGGGGATCGGATTACATATCGACACTAGACACGGTTAACAACCTATGGATCCTTTACGAAGCCTAAGGCAAGCTATAAGAGGCCGAGGACATGTATTTACGGTCGCTTCGAGGGTATGAGAAGGCGTGGGGACCGGATTACATATCGACACTAGCTACGGTGAACAACCTAGGGAACCTTTACAAAGACCAAGGCAAGCTACAAGAGGCCGAGGACATGTATTTTCGGGCGATTCAAGGGTATGAGAAAACTATTGGCGCGCAGAACATGAAAAGATACCAGCCAGCAATCACCACTATGTGGGGCCTCGGAGCTTTACTATGGGAGCAGGGCAAAGCAGTCGAGTCCAGAATATATTATCAACGTGCTTACGACAATCTTGAAGCGATACTCGGACCTTTACATAGAGACGTTCGATCATTACAAAATGTTCTACGAGAATTGAACGAGACAACAGCGGGTGAGTCCAAGGTATTTAGTCTGGTCTCTGTAGGTTTACCTAACGATGAGTGCAGATACGACAACGCCAAGGCAAGCCAAGAAGGAGAGACGCCGAGATTTCTTTAAAAGATTCTTGCACATTTCTTGAGGTGAAAACATTTCTAAGTAATAGATGTCTACCGGTTTGGACGAGCCGTTTCCCCACCCTTTTCGCCCCTTGTTCTTCATCTATTCAAAGTGTAGGTCGATCGGGGATAGAAGATTTGCGCCCCGGTTTATGAAATAAGGAACTTTGCTCTAGCGTGTCGCTTCAAGGGCACCGGGCTTTGCAAGATAGAAATCAATGTTATTTATTCTAAAGAAAGTGTTGTCTTTCGAAAGTGCGTATTTATGTGATAATGTAGACTTGACCGCGCCATCGTAATGGATCACTAGCTCTTTGAAAACAGACTGCATTAACGAATAAATAAAAACGATGAGGATGTATTGTGATGTAGTGAGATGAGATGCGTCATGCAGTAATGCACTGGTAACCGGGAGAGGTGAACGGAGAGGTTAGACCCAGTGCCAAGGACGGTGACCTTGGGTACCGGTACTTACGGGTACGAGCGATTCGGACCGCCGTTTGCCACCAAAGCCCAAAATCGGACCTCTGTTAAATGTCTTGTATAAACAGAACCACGGTACAGATTTCGCCGTTTACTGTACAACGGTACGACACAAACTAATACAGTTCAAGCATGATCCATCGATGCCTCGTCCTACAACGCTGGATGTTTAAATGGGCCATACACGGAGTAGAGCTCTGTCCTGTGAGTCCGAAAACTGGGGTTTCTTTCTCCAAAATTCTTATATATGTAGAGAATTGATTCTAATCTGTGGCGCGATTTTTCAAACGAGTGATATAAATAAGTTCCCATGTAGTACATACTCTAGACGCCCCGTTAGATTGTCATGAAAATAGGGCGGATCTTCACATATCATTTCATGATCTAACCCTGCTTCAAAACATCCGTACGCTTCTATGCCTTTTTGGAGGGACATGCACCATCTCAAACCCATACGTGTTGATGTTATCACTCTGGCTCATGGACCTTCTTTCGTAGTCCACTCTCACGGTCTCGAACTTGACAATGTGCCTGGGATCTTGTCTCGGCAGTCCGAGACTTGTGATGCTATCTGCATCACCACTACTGCCGCTCTTCAAGCCCTTTCGCGAGCTTGTGATGACAGAAGTGTGTGTCGTGCCATGAAAATCGCCGTTGCCACCGGACTGAGAGTACGATCTGTGGGTGACGATGTTCCGAATCAAGATACGTAAAACTGGGATAGACGCCGCGATGATGGTCACTGACATCTCGGCAGCTGTCCACATGGCCAAAATTCCGGCCTCGAAAGTGAAATCTTCTTCGTAAAGAAGTCTCACATTGATGCAGCGAACGATTGATGTGACTCCAGCTCTGCGGGCTCGGTTAGATGAAGCCTCGGCGCTTTGATCGCAGTGGATGACTTACACGACCGCAAGACTCATACAAACGGCAACCCCCAGCTTCTCTTTTAACGCCATATTCAGCTTCATGATGACGGTCCAAGGGATGATGGCGAGAATAAAGTCCATGCCCGCCGAGTAGCCGGCTGCAAACATACTGTAGCGGATCGTGACTTTTCTGTCCCAGCAATTGCCGTGAATGGTTGGCGACCAGCCCTTGGCCGCTGGCGTACACCACACGTAGGGCAAGACGGCATTAAACGCGAGAGAGAGATTGAGGGTAATCACAATGAACCACAGCCCAGCTTGGACGAATCTGTTCGTAATGCGGAGCAGGGTTATGGCGAAAGATGTTTTGGACCACGCGGCGCCCAGCGAACCGAAGGTGATGGAGATGGCAATCAAAAACTGCATGGTCGAAGGGTCATTGAGGCCACTTCCGTCATGTGTGCCGAGACCTCTGGAAACGGCATATGTTATCAGAATAACATATGCTAATAGCATAAACTTGATCAACATGTTAGCGTCGGTGTTCCAGTCGCACTGCTCGGTTCTTGACTTGCCCACGACGATACCAGCAAGTGATCATCCCACCACATGCCCCGATGCGCTATGAACTTTGCATACAACCTCGTTCCCAGGAATATCGTGGCCAGCGCGACCAGCATCCAGCAGACACCCACAACTTCTGGCCCATTCGTGCTCAGGTCGCCCTTGTGCGTGTCGTGTCCATGGCCGTCGTCCGGCGGGGGCCCAATCAAACTCCAGTCAATGTCTTCGCCTGTGCCTGACATGATGTCTCCTGTGCCGTTCCCTCGGAAGCGACAGAAACAGTAAAGACAGAGGCTCTGCGAATGTTTGATTGCAGTAGAGCCGGTAGTGAGCCGGGACGAAGCAAGCGAGATGAGCTCGTGGCAGCCACAGTTTCGCCAATATAACAAAGCCACGACATTGTGCAAGAATGGAATCACGGCGCTTTATGGGGCAGGTCTCTCGAACTTGATGTCGCCATATGCAGCAGTAGCCTCCGTGCTCGGTTCTGGCCAAGCGAGGATATCTAGTTGCGGCGCCGCGGCGCCGGGGGTGAGGTTATTGCACATGGGCACTCGACCGGGACCTACTTGGAAGTGTGTGTGGGTGGGATTGTATTCTGTATGGCTATTTGGGCTTATCGAATCTCGGACAGGGAGAGATCTGTGTTAAACGGTTTCTTTCCACGGGCGGAGACCGAGGGGATGCCAGGGGCATAAATTTATGCACAGACGCGAATACTTCTCTAAATTGGAAGGTTCTTGGTAATTGTGTTGTTACTGATTGGCACAGGTCTGCCAAGGACATGGAGACTCGCATGGGAATAAGCGGGGTCCTCAGGTCCCACCAATGGATTATGAAGTGCGTGGCTTGCTACAGCTTCATATAAAATACATTATGCTTAAAGCTCGGACTGGTGAACTCGGATAAGAATAATCTGAACTGCGTACTGTACCTGTGCACGCGACAAAATAAAGCTTTTGAACCTCTCGGTCGGTGGAGCTGTGACTTGCATGCGTTATATCCATTTAGGATTTCGGAGTCGATTACCGACATTCGGGTGCTACGCTGCAACGGCTGGCAACGCAATATGCCATGGGTTGACTAGTAGACTAAGGTTGGTCTATTCTAACCTAGCCCTTGATGAAGTATCAGGGAGTTGTCAGAACCTCCAAGACGTGTTTCCAGAGATTACATAGCTGCGCAAGGAGAACTACGATCTCCTGTATTATCGCAGCGAAAAGAGCTGGAAGGGCTCGATGTCCCTTGTGTGAGCTTGCCTCGTTAACCGACATTCGTGATCGGGTCATGGACTCTATTCGGTAACAGCCGCCGTAGCCGAACATGATAACACTGAATATCTACGGATCCGTCCATAGGGTATGAAATGTCTGTGCCCTGCAGCGAGGCCCGTTCGCCTTTTCCATCAAAAACTTGGTTCAGGCTACTGGCAGATCCCGCGGTCTATACATGTGAAAGCGGCGCTAGCGATTCTGTGTGGCGGAGTTCATTTATACCTCTATACCGATAGGGTGGTTGTTGATATGGGTGCCAAGTGATTCTCCGAGATTTTGAGAGGTCAAAGCTCTTTTGACATAGTAAACCAAGACCACGCTTCACCACCATGCTCAGTACTGCAGGAGATAGCGACTTCCTGGATGCTACCTCACAGACCACGTGTTTGAGTTGTTCGGCTTCCCTGAGTTCTGTCCATAAGCACTCGGGGGTTCTCACCAATCTGCCGCCAAGATGGCTATCAGACCTCGATGCTCGCTATCCAAAACGATTGGCCGAAGGCTGTTCGATTTGATTACCAGCCGCGACATGCACATGGTGGCGGTTTTGGACATGACGATGACGCTCATTTGATATAACAGGAGAGAAATGCAAGGTTACGACAGGATTCGGCTTCATTGCGAAGCTGCCATGTCAACTGTTCTGGCTACCGCCGCCACGTCGGCCGTTCTCCACGGTCATTTCCCTTCGTCTCATCTCATCTCATGCACACAGGGTATGAGCATGATTTCAAGGGGTACACGACCGTCAACAGTATGATCATCATTAGCATCAGTCAATTGACCATTAATCGGCGTTTCAGGCGAGTTCCGGGCGACGTCTAGAATCTACACATGCTCAGCCAAGAGATCATGCAAGTTAGTATAGTACAAGACGTAATACTAGTCTTACCATAGTACGGGATTATAGCGGGAAGAACAACCCCCCCCCCCCAGCGATCATTACCCCACACTGAACAACTACTGGCGGCCCCACATCAACCTTACCCCCACCAAATTCCCAATTCACCGGCATTGTCGAAATCTCTCCGACAAGCAACAACAAACCCCCAACAGACCAGCTCACCACCACCCCACGAGAGCAAAGAGCCATGTCGCACGCACGCATCGAGGAGGTCTCCGACAGCGACGACGGCGACTTGTCCGACCCCTCCGAGGGCGACATCGACGACTTTGTCGAGACCGACATCCTACGCGCCAAAGCCCCCTCCAAGCCCACCCCCCAGCCGCCATCATCACAGCTACAGCAGCAACAGCTTCAAGAAAACCCCCTGTTCCCCGGGACCACGGCCCCCGTCCCCGGCGGCCTGAAGCAGGAAGACGTCGCCGGCTACCAATGTCTGTACCCCATCTACTTCGACGCCTCCAGGACGCGGGCCGAGGGCCGCCGCGTGCCGTCGCACCTGGCCGTCCGGAACCCCCTGGCCCGGGAGATCGCCGCGGCGTGCGCGTCGCTGCGCGTGTCCCCCGTCTTCGAGGCCATGAAGACGCACCCCCAGGACTGGGCGAACCCGGGCCGCGTGCGGGTGAACCTGCGGGACCCCGCCAACCCCTACGCCCGCCAGGTCAAGAACAAGCACCACCTGTACGTGCTCGTCGCCGAGCACCTGCGCCAGAACCCCACCGGCGAGCAGTCCGCCGGCCTGCGCACCGTCCGCATCCCCGGCCTGCCCGGGCACCCCAAGCCCGACGAGAAGTGGCCCAAGCCCGCCGTGCCCAAGTCGTGGAAGATCAACGAGTACGTGCCTGCGTACAGCAGCGCCATGACGGGAGGAGGAGTCAGCGAGAATGCGCTGGGGGACATGATGCGGGAGATGGGCGGCATGGGCGGCGCGCCCGGAGGAGCCCCGGGTGGCATGCCCGGCATGGCGGATATGATGAGCATGTTCGGAGGTATGGGTGGTGCCGGCCCGAGCGGAGGTGCTGGTCAGCTGGAGCAGGGCGGCAAGAAGGACAAGAAGAAGGGGAAGAAATAAGCCTCCTTGCCGGTCGTCTGACAGCAGGCAAGCTTCTTTGCCGGTACGGCCCTGGGTCTAAAGAAGATGGACGAAGTCAGTCAGGTGTGGGTTGAGATACGCGACTTGAGGTTGCTTTTTCTTTGGGATCATGATACCACAACCTTCGGAGACGAGGTCAAGAAGAATTCCAAAGAGCATACCGCGCACCCAAAGGATTTAGCTCAGTTTACACAATAAAAAAACGGCACATTTGATGCTCAATTGTATGGCAAGAGTTCTCTGTAGTGATACATGTCGCATCTCTTCGAAGCAACAACAAATGATATTGGGTATCAATAGCTAGTCTACCGCAAAGTTCAAGCAGCTAAGCTCAGCACAAGGGCCGGCATATCTGCACCCCTGATATGTATAAATCATACAAACTAATAAAAGTTGGCCTCTTCCTCCAGTCCTCCTCCTGTCTCCCAAACACAACAATTACACAACACCTAACCGCCCCTGGAGGCCTTCCCACTCTTTGCTGCCGACAATCTGCACATCGCCGCGGCCGGGGACGACTTTGCCGTTCTCGTCAGGGAGCTGGATCCGTAGTCTCGCGGCTTGCTTCCTCATAATCTCTCTCTTCTCGGAGCCTTCACGCCTTCCGGCATGCGCACCCGCCACGATCTTCGCGTCGCTCAACACGGAACTCCGCCAGCTCTGCCACGACGCATAATTCTCTGCCTGCATATTGGCATGGGATTGCGGCGTTAAGCGATAAGGACGCCATGCCAGCTTGTCTTCCGGCAAAGTCTTGAGGTTATAAGCCTTGGCACTTCCGGCCAGCTTGAGGAGTTCGCCCAGGACATCTTTCCCTTCGGTCGCCACCAGATTGCGACGCTGCTCGGCGACCGGAGTTGGCTTCCTCAGCGGCTCGGTCAGCCAGTCATAAGCAGCTTGCTCTGTCGTTCTTGCACGTCTGTTATCCTCACGCAGATATCGGACGGCAGCCTGCAGACTCGAGATGTCATCACGCAGAGCGTCCATCTCGCGCTGCGTCGCAACAGCCTGTTCGCGCCCGGCCTTGGTGGTCGCGTCCGTGTTGATCACGCGGCTGTCGCCCGCCTTCTTCTTCCAACTGTCTCTGTCCGACTCGAGGGTCTTGAGCTCGCGGTCCTGCTTCTCGATGTCATCCTTGAGCTTGGCCATGTTGTCCTGAGCAGCCAGAACCTGGGCTTCCATTTCCGTAATGCGAGATGCCTTGGCTTGAGAGTCGCGGTAGCGGGCTTCAAGCGTTTCGATGCGGAGGGCTGAAGTAGACAGGCTCTCGTCTCGCACGGCAATAGCCAGGCGGGCCTCATTGTAGTGATCCTTGGCTTTTTGCAGCTCTTCTTCAATGTCGACGGGCTTGATCTTGAGCTTCCTGATCTCTTGCGCACGCAGCTTCCACGGCGCCTCGGAGCCGTCGTATTCTTGAGTCTGCGAAATATCGGCGCACAAGGCTGCAAGCTCAGCGACTTGTGTCGTAAGGGCCTTCGCTCTCGATCGATAATTCGAGAGCAGTGTGGTTTCGTCTGCCTGGAACTCATCTCGAACGATTTGGTGGATAGCCTTTGAGACATCGGAATACCTGAGAGGCTCGGCACGATCCTCGTTAGACGTGAGAGTGTACACAGCGAGAGCGACTGCTTGTGCCATCTCCGCAAGTCTCTGAGCCGTATCTGCGGATTCTTCAAAGGTGCCCGCCTCATCTGGGTTGAGCACAAGGCTTCGCTTCTGGAGATCCTCGAGGGAGCGAAGTGCCTTGCTCACAATAACCTTGGCGCTTCTCGTTTGGTTGATGACGTGATCGACATTGGCATCGAAACTTTGCCAAGGCTCGTCAATCTCAATATCAGCGTCGAGCGGTATTGCTTTCTGCACCATTTCCTTCATAGCAACGAAAGTGGTTGCTGCTGATTCCAGGTGGCCTTGCATGAGAACCGTCTGCATCTGCATCTTGTCTGCCACAGCTGCCGGGTTGTCTGAAATGTGCTGTTCAGCGAGATGCTCCAGTAATTTGATCGAGCGGGAGAGCACTTCGGCGTAGTCCTTCAGTTGCAGCTCACCGCCTCCCCTCTGGAGATTGTCAATCCATGCATTGAGCTTGCTGTCCACTGGCGCCAATTCCCACGTGGCGCCTTCGTATGCAGCGAATTCCTCCAAAGAACAATGGTTGATATGGTTGACGAAGCGCTTGCACATCGACGAGACCCACGTGAGCTTGTTAATGGCATTGCAGCCTGTGAAGATGTCGTCTTCATGGCCAGGATGTCCCTTTCCGCCGATGCGCTCCTTGACGAATGTGGCAAGGAGGTCGGTCTTGACGCCCATTTGCATGAACTTGAGCAGTGCCTGAACGGAGTTCTTGTCCTGTTCGTAGCTCTCCGGCAAGAACAGAGTGACGATCTCCAGATGTAACTTGGCTTCGGTGGCGTGCATGCGCTCCAGCTCCAATTCGATAGTCTTGGCCTGGGTCTTGGCAGCGTTGATCTGTAGTTTCTGGTTGAGATCGAGAAGCTCTCTGGACTTGCTGTTGATCTGCTCGGACTCGGCTTCGTTCATGGCGTTCGAAGCTTGCATGTCCTCCAGATCCTTTTGCAGGTTCGACACGAGTTCCTTGAATCTGCCAATAGTATACTCCATGTCGTCGATATCCCTGTTCTGGTCCGTAAGCTGTTGGCTCAGTCTGAAAATGTTGCTGTCTTTGGACTCGATGATCTTTTCGAGTTCCTTCTCATGCTCGAGGTGGTTAACCTCGAGCTCGTCGCTGATCTCTTTCAGTTCCTCGAGGTCTCTGATGTTCTCGCGGAGTGTGGCAATGGTGTCGCTTTGAGCGGCATTGTCCTCGCTGAGTTTCTCGATAATCTCTTCCGATCCCAAGGCATTGTCGAGCTGCGCTTTGAGATGTTCGGTGCGAGTTTCGGCATCCACCAACTTCTCCTTGGCGATCTGGAACTCTTGTTTGACGTTGTCGTACTCCTCGAGGTCTTGCTTCAGGCCTTTGATCTGCTCGCTCGTCTTCTCGTTCACCTCTTCGAGCTTCTCATGGATGGTGACAATGGCCTGGTAATACAGCTCGTTCTTCTTCTGCAGGGCAATCCAGTTGTCGCTTGTTCTCTCTTCAGCCGTGACGTTCTGTTCGAACTCGGTGTTCTCGAGTTTGAGGACTTCATTTTCCAACTGAAGTTCATCCACTCTGGCCTTGAGGCTATCCAGCTCGAGTTTGTAGTGCTCGGACTCCTCTTCGGCGACTTCTTTGTCCAGAAGCAAGAGCTCCATGGTTGTTTCGTGCTCTGCTTCCATGTCGTCCACTTTTGCCAACCTCTCCTGGGCGTCCTCGAGGTTCTTCTGTGCATTGGCAGCATCTTGGGTGGCCTTCTTATACTTTTCCTCGACCGTCTTATTCACACTCTGGTATCTGCTGATTTGCTGTTGGAGTTTCTCCAGTTGTTTGAGCTGCTCCTTATCCTCCAACCTCTTGGATTCCAAGATCCTGAGTTTCGTTTTCAAATCCTCATTTTCTCTCAGGGCGGTGCTATTAGCAGCCGGCGATGGTCTAGCAGTGGTTGTTGACTTTGTCCTGGAGCTTGGGGTAGCAGTTGCAGAGCCCGAGCCACCAGACGTGAGCCTGTTCAGTGCCCGAGTCCTCGCTGCGACGGGACTAACATCGTCGTCACTCTTGTTAGGCGAAACAAGAGCAGACCTGTTGGCAGGGCTATCGTTCCCAGATGAGTCCGTGGATCGTACCCGGCCGTTAGCCGGACGATTGAAGCCGCCGCGGCTCGCCGGTGCTAACGACGTGCGGCCAGAAACCGGCCTCGAGGTTGTCGGTCTCGTTGCAGATGTGGCAGCCGCTGATGCCGCGTTTGAAGGTCTCCGTTTCGAAGGATCAGGTGCATTGGGAGGGCCCATGGACGATCTGGCTGCTCCAACCGGCGGTCGACTTGCGGAGGACAGCTTCCTGGCTGGCGCGGCCGATGGGGTTCCGGTCCGAGAGTTGGCCGTGGTGGATGCGGTGGTGGTCAAGTTCGGCCTCTCCGCTCTAGTGGGAGACTACAGAACACGACTGGTCAGCAGGCGGCTTTGGCAGATAGCAGGCTCAGTGGGAGAGCCGATTCTACTTACCCGGGCAATACTCGAGGGCCGGGACCTGACGGGGCTCGGACTGGGCGCGTTCAGGCTTCTTCTTCTGGCAGCAGTCGGGTCAGCGTTGATGGAGCTCGGCCTCGACGGGCCTACACTCGGCCTGCCGGTTCTGGTAGCCGCAGCAGGTTTGGGTTTGGCCGAGGCCGAAGCTGACGCCGGGGTTGGAGCTGGGGCAGGAGCAGGAGCATCTTTGATTATGGCGCCTATGGCCGAGGGCTGGACAAACATGCCGTGCTCGTCGTCGCAGTCGAAGTAGTGCACGCCGGCGACGGTGCCATTGTTTTTGCCATTCGCGGTGGGAAGCTCGACACCTATCCAGTCGATGCCCGGGCGGAAGGTGGTCTGGCCGACAAACCTGATGACGCCCTGTAGACCGTTGTTGAGCTCGATGGTCTGCCCGACTTTGAAGTATTTTGCCGACATGGTGGGCGCTGCTGTCAGATTAGTACATTATAGAGTTCCGTGGCAGTCGGTGCCTCATTGCGCGCACAAGCCTGGAAGCCCGTCGCTGTGTACAAGTCGCTTGTCGTGATGTGTGTTTTGTCTGTCGTCACTCGGATTCGGCATCAACCGCGTTTCTTTTGTTGAACTTGGGAACCCCTGACGCGACCCCAGCCCAGAGCCCAAGGCCTAACTGGGGGCGCCTAACTGGGGGCGCCGCACTTGTACAGTGCTGGTGTGGAGTAGTGCCAGCATGCACCTACTGTTTAGCGTCAGGAACAATGTACGGAGGACGAGTGCATACTGTATGGAAGTTACTGTGGTAACCTCAATCAACTCCAATCTCCGCACCGCCTGTTCGCTAGATGATAATCGTGTCTGCCACAAAAAGCATTTCCTTTACTGTAACCACAGAATCAAGGACCCGAGGGTCATGATAAGTAGATCAGCTCTCGTGTCCGCTACAAATTCACTTCCATAACTCCAAAGCCAGCCTATGGTGTACATGATAACCGTGTCCGCCGCGAAAGTATTTCCTCACTGTAACCGCAGAATCAAAGACCGAGAGTCATGTTAAGTCTGACTCTGATATCCACCAACTTGCAGATTCACTTCCATGAACCCGGGGCCTGTCGTCATGATAGACGATCGTGTCCGCCACAAAATTATCTCCATACCCCACGAGGTATAAGAGAGCCATGATATACTCTCATGTCCGCCACGAAATTACTTTTATAACCTCGGGGCCTGTCGTTGCTGTTAGACAACAGGGCCCGTCACATCTGTGCATCTATCAGCCTTCGCCTCTTTCACCCACAACCGTGTCATTGCTAAGAAGCAAGCCTGAATTTTATCGTTATTATCAACCTTCTAGGAACGCTCCTACGGTCCTTATGCCGATGTAGCCTTCTTCCATTAAACGCAGCACGTGAGTCTCCTCAAATGACAGCCATGAGTCCCATGGGCGATCAGCTTCATACATCAGTAGCCTATAGTTGCTCCAATTCAAACGTCGAGGCTGACCGGTTGCAGCTGCTTCAGAGCCTATCCCACCCCAGCCCCAGAGATTTTTTCTTCGCCTTGTTCAGCTATTCAGGAACCACAGGGGGGCTACTACTTCCTCCATCGCGCAGATGACTATCAGGATGCTTCGCTCGTGGGAGGCGTGGTGCTGGGTACCCTTGCTGGGTATCTTGAATGCTTTGATGGGAGACCGATACTTTTGGTCTTCCTACCATGGTGTATACTTTTAGCGCTGTTGACAAGTTCTCTTGCTCATCGTATGTATCTGTTCCAGGTATCTGTGTAGTGAAGGATATTGCCAAGTCACAGGAAAAGTGTAGTGTAGAGTACCTCTAAACCCCTGTTGTAGGACAGTTCACAGTAAAGTGAGTTTCAATGATTGTGTGTTACAACGACAAATTAACGATTTAATTTTTGGCTGCATACTTTCAAACTCAGCTCTGTTGCAAGATACACAGAAGTGAATGAGCTGTCATGAAATTTGATTCCTTCAGAATATTTGATCACTGGGCCACACAAGGGCAAAAGAAAATTATCTCGGTTACCTATTTATACAGGTCTAGCTTTTACACTGCGTATGACCACAACCGTCACATTTCCTTCACGAACCCATACCGGCGATCTGCAACCTGGGCAAATTCCGACATGGAATATTCGCACAAAAGCCGACGTCCTCACTCATGTACAAGTGCTGGCCTCAAACCGACCCCCTCCCAAACTGGCCACCTCTAACCCACTCCATGATCTCAAAGCCCAGCCGCCTTTCCAACTTCTCGTCCGCTACCACCATCGCAGCCCCGCCTTCCTTGATCTCGGGCACCCTCACGACCAGCACGCCCGGTCCGGCAAACTCCACGACATGGTTGGCCCTCAACTCATCATCCGCGCACGGCTTGATATAAACCGTCAGATCCGGCCCCACAATCCCGCGCCACATAGTTGCGACCCACCGCCAGTGGTCGTCCGGCCGGTACGCGTCCGCGATGTGCAGCTCTGCGGCACAGCGGTCTGTGATCGCGAGGGAGTACCCGGCGCTGAGCACGGCGACGGGTAGTTTTTGTGGGTATAAAGGGGGTTGGCTAGAGGTAGGCTCGGTGGAAAACGACGACGATTGGCTGTTATTGTCTGGGTCCGCCGTGCCTGCCGATGAGCCGGAAGGGCTCGGATGATGTGTGATGTACCTTACTAGCTCCTCCGATGTGCGGTGCCACTTGAGCATGCCCGCCTGGAACCTGGCGATGGGGCTGGCGAAGCTGTCGGTGTCATTCTCGCTCGACGTCCCGGCTTGTTTGCTGTTCTGTGCCTGGCTCGACTCGTGATCTGTCCAGGTCTTGACGGCACATTCACCGGATACCGACAGGGCTTTCTGGACGATAGTCGTGACTTCCCTAAGGACATCGGGTGGGGCACCCTCGAGTGCAATGATCGGACCTCGTGTCTCGAAAGATGGGACGCCAACACCTAGAGCTGCTAGAGGAGGACTGATGGCGCGCAGCATGTCAAGTCTGTAGAGCCACTGCGGCCTTTGGCTTGGCGACAGCGCATGTCCCCGAGGCGGCGGAGGTGGTGCGTTTGGGCTCATGATGATACCAAGGCCGACACCATGAGTGGCCGCCGTGGCTGTCGTGTTGCCAGACTCGGGATTCATACTTGGCGAGTGAGGCATCTGCGTTTGCAGGGGTGGTAGGCGTAGAGTCTCGTCGAAGCCAGGACCGTAGTTCGTGTTGTACGAGACACTTGGACGGGGAGGAGGTTGCATATGGGTCGGGCGGTACGTGCTCTGTTGCTGTTGCTGGTATTGCTGTGACTGCGGCTGTTGCTGTTGCTGCTGGTGTGGTGGTAATCGAGGCAGCGGACCTGGATCTAGCATCGGCGGTCCGTTCTTGCTATGACGGTTCTGTGCAAACCCTGGTTCTGCAGGGTGTGGTGCGCATCCCATGGGCGGACTGGCTGGTAGGTACGCTGCATTGGGGGCATTGTTGTGACGCTGCCTTTTGTGCGGTGGTGCTGACGGGCTCATCATGGTGTAGTCCTCTTCGACATCCCTTAGATACGGCTGAGTATATCGTCGTCCATGGTAATCCACACTGACCATGCTGGCATTGCTTCCACGTCTCATCAAACGATCCGTGTCCATGACTCTCGAGTTTGGATTATGTATTCCCGATCCAGGCGCCATGTAATTTGGCCCAGTCCCCATCTGGGGGCTTTGAGAAGGTAGCCCGGCCGCCATGGGTTTCGCAAAAGCAGGGGTCATAGCCGCACTGAAGGGGGTGTTTGGCGTGCGCGGTGTAGCGATGAATCTACCGCCACACTTCTGGCAGCGTCCCGGGTCGTCCCCCGCGGCAGTTCCCGGAGTCGGCTTGCCGTTCGCCCCGTTTTTGCCGCCGCGTCGCGGCTGGTACCGGTAGTCTGGGTACTGGCGCTGGTGGCGGAGTTTCTCTTCCTCTGCGAGGCGCTTCCACGATTCCTTCACCTCATCGGGCTGCTCGCGCCACTGCTCGCCTATGAGCTTGGAGATCTCTGGGTTCGCCAGACCGGGATGCTGAGCTGCGACTGAGGCCTGGTGATGTTGGCGATAAAGGATGAATGCTATTAGAGAGACAACAGGTATTAGTCAACCTGGCCGGAAGCAATAAACGTTCTCGTGCTGTATCACGATGAAGTAGAAAGCTTTTAATAGAAAAGAAAAGATGTGAAATACAGGACCTGTGCCCCTTGAAGAATTAAGGGGGATTAAATTTGACAAGAGCGAAACTTGATAATGGATATAATTCCTCTAGGGCCTCCAAGCGTCTTTCACCGGGCATCGACAGTCTTTGATAAAACACGACGGGAAGTGGGACAAAGGGGTATCCATGAGTTCGCCAGTGCCTGCGTTTGGGACATGGTACAACGTGCAGCTCATTGCGAGACAAGTGCCCCTGCTTGCCGTCAAATCAAATAAGAACATTTCAAAACGGTAACGAGGCCAGACGGAAAATAAAAGCGTTCAAACAATTGGATGGCAAAAGTGGGAAAAGTGTGAGGAAGCCAACTTGGGTTGGGAAGCAATACTGGAAAACGAGGAGAAATACTATATTTACCGTTTCTCGGTCTCGGAACTTTGGGCGCCTTCGTACAGAGGCATATCAATTCCCTTGGGTCGCCGGCCCCTCCAGGAAACGCTGATGAGTGTGAGCTACTTGGTGTGTAGAGATTGAGGTCTTGGAGGCGGATGTCCTTATTTGCTTCGTCGACGCTGATTGGGGCTGCCCTTTTGCGAGATATAGGTCCGTTCGGATTGTTCGTCAAAGTCATGGAGTGATCGTATTCCCGAAGAGGATCATGTCCATTATATGGTAGTCCTGACGTCGAAGTGACTGAAGGCGTAGGTCTTCGAGGTACATCTCGTTGGTCTGATACATACTGTTGAGACCGATATGGCAGAGATGGAGGGGTGTGGAATTCGTCTCGAAAATATGGTCGTGATGTTGCCTTGTGAGGTTGTAGTGTGCGCGAAGAACTATTCAGTGCCATTGCCGACTGGCTCACGGGCGGCTCAACCTGGTGAGCTGATTTTGTCGTGGTTGCTGTCGTGGCCGATAGAGCCGTTGACGAGCGTTCCGAGTCCGTAAGAGAAGAAGCAGATATAGAGTCTGATAGGCGGTGATTATGACGATTGTTGTGAGAGGAGTCGGGCGTATTAGGAGCATCGGTCATAGTGTTTGACTTATTTTTGTCCATGGATGTAAGTATTTATGAGCAAAGTCGGAAAAGCACAGATAAAACACGGTCTCTCTGGCAAACGGGTCGACAGCACAATAGGAGATGTGATAGGACAAACCAGCTCCAGGGGTCCGGACCATCGGGAGATGCCAATTGTAGTTCTTGACAAGTTAGATAATGTAGAGTTTAAAATTATTGACTGGGAGGGAAAGAGAGATAAATTAATGAGAAAAGATAAGGAAGGACCGCGAGATAGGCCGTTACCAAGGGCTTGTTGGCGTATGGTATTGTTCCTTCGTCTCTTTGTACATACTGGCATTGCCCCCATTCATGGAGCAACTGGACAATGATTCTGAGGCTCAGAGGTCAATGACCTTATGCTTTTCCTGCACTGATGGGGATATTCCTTGACCATTATGTGACAAGAGAGAGGCAGGCAAACTACAACCATAGGCAAGACGCAAAGAAAATATGATAGAAGGGGTATCGGATACTAGAGTTAGTCGTGTGGGCCACATGCAGACAACGCAACGAAATGCTTTACGATCAGTGGTTGACACTGGTTGGTGTCTCGGGAAGTATACTAGTGCAGAATGAAACCTCTTTTTTCTTTGTCCAGGGTTTGCACGCACGACCGTTTCCGGTCTGAATTGCACGAGGGCTTACAATTTCTCAAATTTTTCTTTCTCTCCACAAGAGCGAAGTGACAAGTAAACAAAGTCAAAGCTCGGCATTATGCAAAATGGAGAGCCATCCTTGTTGATGGAAATATCAATCGCATTACATCCACGGTTAATGCCTGGGGAAATACAATGGACAGTATTGGGGTTTGTTCGTTTCATGATCTCAGAGGAATGCCAGCTCCTAGGAATAAACGGCGTGGTATGCTCTAGCTCTGTTCGCCGCCTGGCATCTGGCGACAAAGGGATAATTTTCAGACGATATTTGCCAGCCATCAATTATGTATTGTCACCCTTGATTGTTCAAATTATGGTTGGGGACGTCCATGAATGTCTCTGGTGCACCGCGAGCAACAGACCAAAATGCGTTTATTGAGCGGACAGCCAGTCCTCAACGACGCAACAACTATGCATTAGACTCCGAAACACCGTACCAATTTTTACTCTCCATAACCAGGTTTCCCTTTATTCGCATAATACATTAGTAGGCTTTTGTGTCGTGGTGGGCAAATTTTGATGAGGCTCCTTCCCGCCCGTTGTCTCGGACGGTTCCATCGACAAGCACCAACAAAACAACAAGAATTTATATGAGGTAGCCTCGTCCCGTCTCGCCGCTCAGTAAGCTTGCGCTGCGGCGTGCATCAAGGAATAGTTCCTCGCACTCGGCGACATCTTTCAGATCGATCTGGCTGCGGCCATTTACGCGAGCAAGAATGCTGTGTTGGCATATCGGTTAGTACGGGGTGCATGGAATGAGGCCAAGTTGGAGGTGTTACATACCTTGCAGGGGTCAGCAATTGCAGGCAGTATCTCAAACTAATTCGAACACCGTGCTCGGCGATCTTATCAATCGCGGCATCGGTGATAGCAACGCCTTCGGTGGTGGACCGGATGCGCACAATCCTCTTGATTTCATCGGCATTGTAGGGCGTAGTGGGGATGATGAGCAAACGGGCAAGGAAGTCCGGAGGAATGCCGTGAGCAGCGACGGTGCCGTCCGTGCCACGAATGGAACACATGCCTCGGTTGGACGCGAGAACAACAATCGGAGAGATGGAAGTCTCCAACGCCTTGTTCAAATATGTAAAGCACTCAATGTCGAGCATGTGGGCCTGGTTTTGTGATATGTTAGTTGACCACCTTTGCCGCAAAGCATTTTCTTGGGGAAGGTTGTTCTTGTTACCTCATCGATGAACAGAACGCCGGGAACGAGCTCTGCGACACCTTGATCAATGTACTTGCTGACAACCTTGTTGATTTCGCTGCGCAGCTTGTCGGTGATCTCGGTCAACTTGGGCTTCATGAGCTGACCCATCATACTCATAATATCTTGACCTCCTTGGGGTCGGGCGTTGGCAACATCAAGGTCGTGCAGGGTGACGTCTTGGACAATCTCCTTCTTCTTGTGCACCTCTCCCTTGGGGATGGGCACATATTCCTCGGCCTCGAGATCGAACTCGGTCGCATAGGCATCTGACCTTCCCACTCTCTTGCAGGCGCCCGTGTTTGCTTCGATGTAGATGACATCGCCAACCGTGACTCTCTCCTTCTGAATGGCCTCGTAGATGCTGGGGTCTAGTCGGAGCTTCTTCTGGCCCTTTGCGCTCTTGAGTCCGATGAGCAGGGTGCTGATGGTCTTTCCATAGCCACCCAGGGGGTTCTCTGCCTCCTCGGGAGTGAGCTCGGTGACCTCGCCCTCGTAGACCTCTTTTGTTTCGCGGACTTTCAGGCCGATGGCTCTTCTGAAGTTCTCCATGAGGACCTCGGTCTTCTTGACTTCGGTCGAGTAGATCTCGCTGCCAACAATGGGGCAGAAGGGTATCTTGGTTCCCAGTTCGTGGCTGAGCGCGAGCGCGAGTGCCGTCTTTCCGGTGCCGGGTCCTCCTGCCAGTAACACACCGCGGCCTGCCATCTTCTGAGCTCGGATCAAGTCGACAACAACGCCAGCAGCCTATGGGTCAAAAAATACTTGTCAGCCTCGCAGTATGGCTTGGGAAGCTGTGATATTGCAGTCAGGTTGCACCTACTTCTCGGGCGCCGGCCTGGCCGACGAAGCCGCTGGCTTGCTTCTCGGCTGTGCCATCTGACTTGAGTCCCAGCCCCTTGATGTGGGTGTGCGCCGCTGTGCGGTTTTCGCGATTGTTGCCCTTGACTTCACTGATTTGGACCATGGTGACGAAGCGGCTTTGTCGATATCGAGATGCGGAAGGGTCGTCGACGATGGGAGAAGAATGATTGCAAATAAAGCGGCTCGGTCAAGGTCAAGAAATGCGACGAAACTCTGCGACCGTGGGGAGGGGAGAGAGGGAAAAGGCTGGAGTGAAGTGAAGCGAAGTTCTGGTTTGTCGCAGAAATGCTACAGTCCGTCAGTGAACTCTCAATGGCCGGGCCCTTTTTTTTAGGAGCTCTAATAACGTTACGGATCCGTACAGTAGCAGGCAAAAAGGCGACGGAAAGCTCACGGAACTTTTGGCGACGCGCTTAATTTAGTGTGGCTCAACCTGCAGCTTGAGTAACACTACGAGCATCAAATGCATGCTGGTCAATAATAAATATGCTGCGCCACATCTGCTAAGTTATACTTTTCTGACTTTGCACCAAGTCAAGACCCGCTTTAACTACTAATATCCGTTGGAAAACAAACATCCACAACAATGTTGAGGGTATACTCTTCCCGTAGATGCCCCAGCTTGACGTCCTTGCGTAGGCATTTCATCATAGGGGGGCATTTGTAAACCATTTGTGTCAAACTAGTTCTTGGCATTGTTTCCATATCACAAAACAGGTAGCACGCAAACTCTCAAACGTTCCGCAATCTGCTCGTCGAGCAGCATCCAACCATCGCTTCTTGTGCTTGGAGATGGATTGGTTCGAGGATGAAAAATAATAAAAAGAGACTTAAAAAAAGAATTTGGTTTGAAGAAAAATACAAATAAAAAAAACCTGTGTGTTGCTAGTCACCACGCGAACCTTCTCCATATTATTTACATGAACTTGGCGAGGTCAACCTGCTCCTTGATGAACGCAGCACCAGAAGGCACGCTAGGCCTGTAGTTGGTGTGTGCCGAAGTAATATCCAGCGTGCCATTGCACACTAGGTCACCCTGGTTACAGAAGACCTTGGTCTTGCTGGCCGCGATGTTGGGGATCTTGTTGCCATCCTGCTGGTAGTATGTGTCACCAAATGTCACGGCGGCGGTGATATGCGAGATGGTGGAAGCCGACAAAGTTTTGATCGCCGCGTGAACCATGGCTGCTCCCTGGCTGTACCCAGCTATGACGATAGCCGCATCGGGACACTTTGTGGCGGCCTGTGTAAGCTGAGTGCCCCATTGTTTAGCATATGCAGCCGGGCATCGCCCATCTTCGTAGTTGCCCCCTAGAGTGGCTGGGTACTCGACGCCCTGCACGTAGAGCTTCGTTCCGTAGTAGGCACTAACCGCGGTGGCGAGTTGTTGTCCAGGCATGTCGCCCTATAGTTGTAAAGTCAGCCATGGGCAAAAGTGACCAAGCAAGTAAACAGATGATCGACGTACAACATTGCCAGACTGAGTAGAGCCACGGGCGAAGAAAAGGAGCACATCGTTGCAGCCGTTCTGAACATACTCGTCGGATGTTGTTCCGTATGTCTTGCGCTCTTGAAGCTCCTGATAGTCAATGGGGCTCGCGTCGGCGACAACCAACAACAAGCTGGCAAGGACTGAGAACGAACACTTCATCTTGGCTCTGTTGGTTGATCCGCGAAGACAACTCTGGCACCTTATTTTCAAGTAACACGGGGCTTATCAAACTACCAGACTCAACTGTCCAACTACTCGGACATAACCCAGAAACTGGTGCAGCGCGCGACTCATATAGTGCCGTGTTGGGAATTTACTTGACGGTAGAACTCGCCTTGCTGCTGTTCAGATGCACATCTGAGAGTTGTATACTCGACCAGGAAAGTCGATCGTCGCATGGCTTGGCGCCTGCCCCATCCGGACGGGACCGAGGGAGACCCGGGTCTGTGGGGCCCGGTGACAGCAAACCATTAACCAAGAAAGTGGTCAGGCTGGGAATTGGCCGAGATGGTTGAAAGGTGTCGAAATAAGCATTGGGTCAGGTTAGATCGGCATTTCCCCTTCTGGGCGCTTTTCCATGCAGGCCAGGATCCGAGCATTATGGTAGCGTTGTATTCTTGAATCTTTTTGGAAACCACATCGTTGGGCGTAACAGGGATAGCACTAGGTTAGGATAGTCTAGTCCCGACTTCCTGGTCACATCGTGACTATCAGTCGTCCATTTGAATAATATAAACTAAATTAACTTATACTTCAATAAGCGGTCTTTTTATGCAATAGTAGTTATAATAAGCTGCATGTTTGTTTTATTTATGATCAAAGTTAGTATGTTTAGTTTCTCTAATGTTCGTCACTTCTTATACCATGTTGCTCTTTCATACAAATTTATATCCTGACTTAAATTCCCAATCTTCAAGAGAGTCTCTGAACATCTCGATTAAACGCACGACTTCGACCGTAACGCGTCTTGGCATGCAGATAGCCAAATATACTGTGCATGAGTCAGACTCTGAAGATGGATTTGGGGTAGATAACTTTGATGTAACTCAGAGATAACATAAGCACGAACTCGAACAAGCCGAAAGAGAATATCGGGAACAGACTTCCGCAGTCCTGAAATTGTGCAATTCTTCGGATCTGGAGTACCTCGGTATATGTAATGAGTTTCGAATGTGACATCGACTAAAACAAAAGCTATATTATGTACTGAGCGGATGGCGACATATCCCCGCCGAACAACTTGTCGGATGAAAACAAGTACACGAGGAAAAGGGTTTATGAGCTATCCATCAAATTCATCCTAGGTGTCAAAATGAATTTCCAGGAATATAAACATGCTTGTGGCATTTTGCTATAGTACGAGTATCCATTCAGACCAAATTTAGCCAAAAGAAAAAGACCAGGTGTGCAGATATGATTGCATGTAAAGTTTTACCGACGGCGAGATCACTGGCACAGCCTTCGCTGATCCTGCGGTCCCGTCTGTATCCACTGGGCCGCACTAAACAGTGACAACACTCAACATATCTTGGATAAGCCGTTTCGACAAGGTGTTGGTCTCCCTGCTGCAACGGCACTGTGGATGTGAACCCATCTTTTACAGGGTGGAAGCCTCGTATGTTAGCCACCATGTTCGAAAGCCAAGATGCCAAGGAAAGAACTCAGGCAGGTAGTTACCCAACGCCGATGGTGGTGGTCCCTTGGTTTGGCATGTTCTGTGCATTTTTGGCCAATATTGTGTTAGCTTGATCCAGGTCTGCCCAGTTTTTGGATGCGCGTCCGCTGCCAGTCGTAGAGCATTTGCCGTATGGAACTTTCCGTAATTGCTCTAGGTGGATAGGCTCTATGCAATCGAGGGAATGGGCTGCAGGACTTTTCATAATGTTGTCTTAGATGCTTGCTATACCCAGAATAATGGCTACGAAGAGAACGGCGGGCCCAAAACTTGTGTCCTTAACACTGGGTATGTTTTGGAGAAATTAGGTAGAACTCAATTATATTTTGTACCTTCAGCTACCATTCTTAGAGCTAAAATACACAGAAATTAAGAGAGAAGATAAAACAGAGAACAGGTTATGAAACTTAAGGATGATTTAGACAGTATACCTGGCCCTTTGTCTATAGTCCTTTACCTTATTCCGCTCCAGATTTTTGATCATTCGTCTCATTATTGCACCTGATCACCTATACTAGTTACTCGTAACTTTCAAAAATTATCAAATAAGCCACGAGTGGTTTCAAGTCATCAGCTGGAAGTCTTACAAAGTACTACTCCAAAAATTCGCTAACCGTATTAAAATACCATACGGGCTTTGCAGGAAACCAATCATTCTTGGCACTGCGTAGCCGTTCGTGGTTTCATTCTAAATTTCGCCAAAAGGCCCTTCTTCGCTTGCCATCGAGGTAACTAGTTCATGAAATTTTCCCTATCCAATGTTGCATACGAACCTTGTGCCCCGAACTGGAATCTGACTTGCCAGGTGCACATGCTGCATACACGGGGCTTGCAAACGATCTGACATGATGCCGCCATAACGTCTTACGGGCATTACGACCGGCAAGCGCCAACGACTGGCAACGGTACTTGGTCACTATGCTCCTATTCCCGACAGCCGGTAGACGCCATGATTATGAGTTTAATATAACCAAATCGAACAGTGGGTTCTGTTCTACGCCGTGTTTGCATCATAAGTGCGCTAATTAACATCTTCTACACCTAAGAACCGCATGGATTACAAGCGAAGGCTGTGTTCTAGGTATAGCTTCTTCATCAAGGGCTGGCGTTACTGAAGACAACATACTATATCTTGATGTTAATTTAGTGCCTAAATTGTAAAGCACAATAGATACACTAGCAATACGCAGATAGCTTGTTTATTCAATGCCGAAACCATCCAGATATAGAGTATTCCTTTTCTGCATCATAGAGCTTTTCGCCCACCATTATCAGAAATTGTTAAGATCATTTCACGATTGTTGTGGTTATAATAACAACAATAACACTACATAAGCTGTATGCTGTGGCATAGAGTTCCTCCAGGGCCTACAATGAAAGGAGGCCCTCACTCGCAGTTTCCATCTCATTTGGATGCTTGGAATGTCTAATAAGGGAATACAGTATAAAAGTAACTTTGGAGCTATAGTCGAAATACACAATATAGTACGCCTTATAGCTAAAGATGGTCCCAACAAGACGGCCACTATATGGGCGACAGCTAAGATTGCTACTCCGATCTAAAAAATCTCATTCTGCCCACGATCAGAGGTAGCACAAGGATTGAAGATTACAAAAACCCTGAGATCAACAGGATATGAAGCACAAACAGAGATATTGAAACATAGAAACACACTTTTTGAAGATCAATTTGCCCTCTTTTCTATTAGATAATATTGGAGACCATAGCAGCGCACAAATGGTCACTCGTCAAGTAATTAAGGCATATAAAAGGGACTCTACAAGTAATTACCGACAGACGCAAATAGGCGATTGTGGTCACACTTCACTGTCCTGGGCCTCGAGTTACAGGTTAATAAAGCAACATAACAACGTTTTGAAAGGTAGCGCTAGTGTGAATTCATAGGATGCTTCAATATTGAAGACTGTCGTTGTGGTGGGTGGCTAGGGGTGGGCATAATGATATTGTCGTGCTCTGCTCAAACAGGCAGTTTTAAGGTCGATTCGAAGAATATACCGGGGCAAATACCGCTGTTAAGGGCGACTAAGGAAGGACATAATCGATTTCCGGCTGTTAAAAAAGCATAACAGGACCCAAAGCGGCCGATGTTATTTTATCATTTCGGGAATATAACATAATCTGTTCTGACAAGTTCGTGCTTTAATACTAGTCTAGCCAGAAACGATTCTCTAATACTATTCGTCAGGTTGTTATACTAATGCAGACGCAGAAAACTTCGAGGATGAGACATTAATGTTATAATGGGACATAATAAGCCTAAAGCAACCAGCTATCATCTTAGCTATAGCGAATCTATCTTCTGCAGATTATGCGTAGCAGGTCTATGAAAAGGTTTTTATTGAGATTGAGTAGTTCTGGGAGAGGGACACCAGGACACGACAAGGAGCATTTTAGAATTAGGAACAATCCAGCACGCTTTAGAAGCGATACTAAACACAAAAGATCACGACTTATAGCTATAGCACTCTCGTAAAACTAGCCATAAATACAGTCATTGGAGTCACCGGCATTACATAGTGATTTGTTTTATCTCATGAGCGTTTCGTGTAACATAGTACTCCTTAATACTGTCTGCTCAAATCGAACATTTGTTGATTGAATAAAGGCAGGCACGGGATGTCGAAGTGAGCGTCGTTATTGTTCCTCGTATATAATTCCAATACATAAAATGGCATGTACGGTACCGTTTCTGCTACAAAATGGTTGAAGTCAGGTACGGACAGAACTAATGTCGCACTGCCCCTTATGGAACCCGCCTGGCTACAGGATCATATTGTCTTAGGGATAGCAACTAGTAAGTGTGCACACAGTGTATGTTTGTGCCTGATTATTAACTAGACATTTTGATTTCTACACCTACTAAGATAATTCACTCATGACTCTGTTCGTCTCCTCATGAATACGATACGTCTCAAAGCACTCGCTCCACGCGTAGAAACAGAGGCGCGCAGAAAAAGTTCTCGCTCGAGCATACGCAGATCTAAGTATTTCAAACGCTTTCTTTACACACATGATCATGAGGTTACCCATCGTCTTGCCGAAATAACAAAGACAGAGGGATAAAATACCTGGCATTTTGCACTGTACTACCCGCGTCATCAAACCTGTCATAGACCACGGCCGGTCACTCTACAACTCTGAAATCCTGCCCAATATTGTAACGGTCGACGCACAAGGAACGAGAGTTGACAAGCTAAACCTCAAGAAAAACCCGCCGTAGAAACACGCCTTACTATGCAGCACGACTAAATGAGTGTGTTTCTGCTTCAAGGATCAAGTAGCCAGCCAGCAAAGCCTAAGGGGCTGAAGTAGCAATTAGACATCGTGGCTGTGAATCATCAAACGATGCGGTCGCTTGTGCGGCTTATAGCCGTCCCCTCATTCGTGCATGAGGCTGCAGCCACTCGGCCGCCGATCCCGCGCTCTGGCCTTTCCTTCTCGCCTGCAAACATAATCCGTGTGAAGCCACTGCGTGCGTTCGTCCGCACTATCACGTACACAAAGTGCGTGCATGTCTCTAATAATAACCCTTTTTTTTCGTCCCTTGCCGCTAGCAATCATTAAACCGAAGTTATACCCCGCAATCCTGAACCTTGATTTTCCTTTGTCTCATTGTAAGTCTTCGTTTTCAGTGGTCGCATATGTCGTGTGAGAATGGTTCATGCATGTGGGGAACACACTCTGCTTCCTTGCTTACTTGCTACCATAGTTTGGAAATAAACAGGCAAAATAGTGGATAGAGTAAGTAGGGCGAACAAGAGAACCTTACGAAAAGCAGAGACATATATCAGCTCATATGTGATAAGCAGGTAGGCAACCTTAAACAAATGGGGCGAAATGGTTTCATGCAAGCAAGGGCGAGTGCGATAATTCAAATATCATATGGAAAGTGTGGTGGTAAGGTCAGAAACATGATTGCCCATTTGGATTTTTGCATCTTCTTAGGCTGAGACATTTATGACAGCCCGATCCGGGGTTTCAGCCGCTCCGGCAAGGCCCAGTTTCTTGCCTTGCCTGCTCATAACCCATTGAAAAGGGCACTATGCAAAAAGTATCAAACGCCATCACTGCCAGCCAGTTCGCACAGAGGCGCCACCAGATCACTACCACGAATCGAATGGGACAGATATGGATTGGTGCGGGATATGCAATGAGTTATTAAGTATGCAACGTGGTCTATTGGTATCTAGTTCTTCCTCCCGAATGAAAGCACACTGAATGAGCACCGCGAATCGTGTGCGCTACACGCACCCAAGTGCCGAAGAGCCATGCAGTGGCGAGCTCCTTTTGTTATTCAATGCACTCCAGTATTTCGCCAGAACGCCCCATGGCGGAATATGCTTCCCAGTCTCGAAACAAAATCCGCAAGTCTAATCTGATAATCTGCGCTCTCCTTGTGAGTTAACAGAGGGAATCCAATACTCCTTAAACCCCGATTTATGCCAATGAAAAAGAAAGCCAATGATGCTTGATTAAAGTCGACTATGACCGGGTATTGATGTCGTGTATGTTGTGAATGAAGATAATGATGCAAGTGCTCCAAGAACGGCCTGCGAATTAATGCCCGAACTCTCTCGATAATGATCGCCTGGATGCTGTTGAGAATGAGGTAGATGGTATTAAGCGTTTGGTCCAACTGAAAGGCCTGTTTGCTGGTTTAAACCGATGTGTCCATTTCGTCGGAGACTTCGGTTTGGTAAACAAGGCCTGCCCAGACTCTCCAATGGAGAATACCCAGATGTGTTAGCCTCGTAGCCATATCTTCGATTCCACCTTCCTCCCGTGCTTCGCGCAGAGAGCTTTCTAGAGTGTCATGCTCTGAGCTTCGGTCCCGTGGGCCGTCCCAGGCGCGACCAGGACCGTGGATGCGACCACCTGTGGCAATTGAGAACAGGTTGACTCCTGTATGGGCCCTGAACTCCTTTACACGCTCTTGCAGCTCTGCGAGCAGGCGAGCGTGGAACTGAAGCTCAACCTCCTGGAAGATTCGCGAATCTGGCTCACCCAAATGTTGGTCAAGCTCATCCTCAAATTGTAACAAGACATCTTGAGGGGCATCTGTGAATCGGAAGATCTGTAGCGCCAATGAGTCCTTCATCGCCTTCCACTTAAAACCTGGCCTGACGGTGGCTGGAGATGTGCTGAGAAGAGCTGTGAGTGAGTTGTAAAGGTTTTTCGACTTCGTCCTGAAATCTACCGGACTCGAAGTCGAAGCGCTAGGCAAGATCATAGAAGATCGAGGAGAGGATGTAGCCGACCCGGCTGAGGAAAAAACCAGACTTGAGGGTCTTGAGCCATTAAAGTTGAACTCAGAATCGTCGTCGGAACCGGCGGTCAGGAAGCCCAAAGCATCGGAGAAAGGGGTCGCGAGGTAGGGCGTTGGGATTGCGGATTGCCTGTACTTTCCCTCCAACTCTTCAAATGTTCGCATGCAGACCTCGAGATTGACCGCATCCATCATATCGGCTCGAAGTTTCAACATCCGCTCCTCATCAAATAGGAATGTGTTTGGGAGCAAATCGGGGTTTGAAGGGAGAACGAGCTTGGAAAGAGCCTCAAAGAAGATGGCCATCTCCCCGAATGCAGCCCGGGAGGCAACATCCGGCTGGCACTCGAGAGTAGCTAAATGGTACCATTGCTGAGCTGGTAGTGGCTCGAGCTTGCCAGACTGGATCTTCTTCCGGAAGAACTTTTGCTCAAAATGCACAGTATCCTCAATCAGAATTGGTCGGAGACATCTGATCTGGTGGTTTGCCACGTCCAGCTTCATCGCCTCCAAAACACTAAGCAGACTGCGCATACCCTGGACGAGCTCCTCCATATTGTTTGTGCGGTTTCCATTAGTAAGTTGAGTGTACATCTCCTCGACCCACTCGTCCCGCATAGGGGCGCAGTGAGACTTTAAGACGCTTGACAACCATGACGCGAGCTTCTCTAGATCTGCAACGCCCTTGTTGAATTGTTGCATAAGCAAATCGACATTGAGCCCTTCATCCAGATATGCCCGGTCCCTCGCTGGCACAAGGGTCTGGATGATTTCCTTGACGGATCTCAGCAGGAGTGGTAAACACCAATCACGATTGTGGAACTGCTGTTGAAACTCGATGGGATTGGATATGAACTGCTCCAATTGTGAGCGAAGAGTCGTCCAGAATTGATTGGCTTTGTCTTGTTTCCTCCTGCCCTTCTCTCCGTCAAGGTTGGGCCTGAAGTGAAGCTCTGGGTCGAAGTTGATATCGTGCCGTAATTTTGGGTTATGGACAATTTTATTCACGTCCAATTCACTCAGGGTAGCTTTTGTTACAGGTGGCTCTAGTGGCCGGGAGGATTGAGGTCGACGGGACTCCTGTGCGTGGTCCCGGGAAAGTCTCTTTCGTCCATCTTTCAGGCTTTGCGTCCGTGGTGGCCCATACTCTGATGTGTTCGATCCTGTGGAGGGATTACGCAATAGCTGGGGAGCCTGCGCACCAGGTGCGAAGAGGTGACCACGGGGGGAGTCATTTTGGGTATATGTCACTTGCTCCTCTACCTGAGGACTTGGTGTTTCCGCTTGGCTAGTCGGTTGCTGGATTTGATCGTCATGTGTGTTCGGGTTCGGCTCAGAGAACCTCCTCTTCCCGCTGCTCTCGATTCCTCCGGCGCCTTGGTCGCCCATTCTCCTATTTGTCCAATGGCCGTATTCCTCTATTCCCAAGATGTAAGAACGCGCAGGATAGCGTTTAGAAAGCGAAGCGAACGGTAGGATGTTCCAATAGCTTCCAAAAGTAAGACCTCCTAGATCGGCAACCTGGAATGGCGGATGATAAAGGAGTGTGGCTTTCTGCCCAAGGTGGATCAGCTTAGGACTCTATATGACAAGTTACAAACACGATGCAGCTTTCAAGTCTCGGTTACATATGGGAAGGTCCCGTGAGTGGACTGAGCGGATACTTGCAGCATGTGCGCATATGTAACCTCGTGTGATTCGAAGGAGGTATCGAGAAAGTGGTTTGTACTTCTGGAAAGCGTAATGGCTTTGGGGGCATCACATACAATTGGATACGTGTAAGTTGGGCAGTGACTATGAGTCAAACCTAGCCAACTAACAACTGGTGAGTTACAGCGAGACTTGATGTTTGCAGGTATGCTTGAAGGAGCGTTCAGACAAGGAGCTGTCCGTGCCAAAGGAGTGTGTGGATTGCAAGCGAACAAAGGAAACCACCGCAGACAACTCAAGCTTGCTTGGGATGGCAGATGAAGACAGAAATAAGTGATGTATGTATGTATGTATGTACGTGATAAATTGGCAAAAGGGAAGGAGAGGGAAAAGAAAGAAGAAAGTAGTTACGGGAAGAGAGTGTCCCTAAAAGAAGTAATCAAAACCGCAAAACAATTTACCAGAATACCCACGGGCGGGTTAAGGGGTGTGCAATGTGGACATGGTCTGGTTGGGAAATGAGAACCATGAAGCATGAGACTTAATGCGCCGCCGCCATTGCGCCCACACCACAACGGATCTTGAGGTGGCTCGCAAAGCAATTCCAGAATGGAGTGGTGCTATGGCATTTGCAGCGCTTGGAACGCTGGAGCGCACGCCCTGAACGCAACAGATCCCTGAGTGAATGGATCCCTTTCGGCGCCTCCTTCCCGCAACCTTTGTGATGGGTCTAGCTTGGCTACTTAAGCTATGGCTATGTATGTACGGATATGTACGTACGAGTCACGGACCGCTTCGAGTGAAGGGGTAGTGCTGTTTGGGTACTGAGAATCACTATCGGCTGCTCGGAGAACAGCGACAGGAAACTCGTCCGGGTTTTTCTGGCGCTCAAGACCCAACCCTGTATGTACTGGATGGGGGAGAACTTAATAAGATCAGCGATGATTGCACACGATATGGAAAACTGCATGTACAGTAGAACGGCCCCCTGTGCTGGTCACTCTAGTCATGTTGGAGGGCACCACTATTAAGTGGCGTGCAGAAGTACAAAAGTAGACAAATCTTACAGCCCATACTTCTTAGACAGAAAGAGATGACAACTTCCGGGTGGATGAATCAACGTGCCGTTCGCCCCCATAACGAACTTATTCTCCGAACATGCGAAGCTAAGCTGGCGATGATGATGATGATGATGACTACACTGCTTCATCGAAGTACCACTGAATGGAAAGAGCGATGCAGTTACTGACTGTATCCGGTGCCGTGGGCGGTCTTAAATTAGTATTGGGGGTAGTGGCGTTGGAGCTGCCACTACTGTACATCAAGCCAGAAGCAAAAAAGAACAATGTGGGTTCAGTTTTATGGTCCCTCAGCTTGTGATCCTTGATCCTTTTTTAGCAAGTTGAATCCTCATAACGGGGCTTGACTTGCTGAATGGGGGTCGCAGGGGGGGACCGAGGATTCGTTCCTGAGAGGTTCCATCGAGTCGGCACAAGGAGGGTACTTAACCATGTAAGCTAAGGATTAGCAACCTCCCTCCACAGGGGTTCTAGTGGTCAATGCCTGCCCGCTTAGTCGAATTCCCTACCATAGTAGAAGTCCCTTGGTCCCTGCATGTCGCGTCAGCTCCCAAATGGCAACCAGCCTCACCATGAAAGGGATGCCACTGACAATTTGAGGTATGCACTAGACTAAAGTTAGCAAGCTGAATAGTACTTTACATACCGTACGAATGCCATCCGGTGGCAATGTATCCTTCGAAATCAAGGCAAGAAGCGTCGTGACCTTGAATTTGCCGTTCGCCACTTGTTAAGTTTGCTTATGCATATACGTAGTACTCATCTAAGCGACTGATGCGTAACGATGCATGTGAGATAGTTAGGGTTCCAATACCGAAATGTACAGACTCGGGCTTCTGCTTCTTTTTCGGCATGCATCATGCACTCACTAGTAATCTACGAAGGCACCGACCAACATCTATTGTAGTTTACCAGCCGCGCGATGCTCTGTACCACGACGAGATACACGGGATACTAATCTATTACGTTGGCATGCAATTCAACGTGCGTCGAAATGTTTTATTCATTTACTGAACACGCAAGTCTCACTCAAACTTTGGTACCTTGCACTCAAGGGCCACCTCCCCAATGTAACATCACTATCGATTTGACAAGCATGCCACGTTCACAAATCTCATGAAACGAGCGTTACCAAACAAACAATAATCCAGCCCTGGGCCTGCGCACTCTCTCAGAAGGCTCTTCAAGGATGGTGATGACTACTCTGATCAGTTCCTTTTCACTTGTTGTTTTGTTTCATGAGGATAGCGATTTGTTTCCCGAAGCGGCACTGACCAATATGTAGAAAAGGCACCAATAATCAACACGCATCGCCCACGAACCTACTACAGCAAGCGGGTGCGCGAGGCGAGATTGCGATTGCCCATGGTGGTGTGTGACCTCATCAAGGCATCGCAGCTAAGAGCACCCATGATATAGCCCGGGGAGCGCCTCATGGCTCTCAATGCTATCACTAGATTGTGGTCACACACTCATGATCCCCGTAGGTATACTACTAACTATCTCTAATACGATACTGATCGCCGCCGACTCCAATAGAAACAAAGCGACGAAACCTTGCAGCTCTAGTATATGTTCATCGTCACCCAATAGCTCCTGCATTTTCCTTACGACCAAGGAGCGTCAGGTGGTGAACACATTGCTGGGTTTGCTGGGGGTTCGTCGTACTGATACATACCACTATGTATGGTACTAAGCGATATCTGATTCCACCTTTACATGCAACTGAAGCCAGCGATACCCAGTTGCCCACATATTCTTCTCCGTTCTCACACAACGTGGTCAGCTGGGATGCTCCCTTGCCTACTGGAGTGGGCTCAACTACATAGTACGAGGCTGTTGCATGCGTGGCATACATACCTTGGTTAGTTTGATCCAAGGCTGCCCTCAATTTTTGCGAATCACAATGCGGTGAAGCAAGGCGACTCGACTTCCTCTTCTGAACTTCCCGGTGCTTCATTGTAACAATGAACCTAGTTTCCTATACCTTGCTTGCATACATACGACATCAACCAGCTGGCAATTGCAATAAGCCCATCATCAGCAGATGTGCCATCAGCCTTGAATACATCGGAAAAATTTTGCTGGGCCACAGTCTACGCATATCTTAATGTAATGCAATGTCAAAACAGCTGCATGACCTCTACGGCCTAGATGGTCTTGGGACTAGCCTGTGGTGATCGGCTACCGCGCCGGCACTAATCAAAGCCATGGATGAGTCGTGATCAAGCCAACCACGGAAATTTGAAATCTTGACTGCACGGCGACGGCATGCACTTCTTCAGCATCTTCCAGTTTTGTGCGTATTGCTTCCGACGTTGAAGCGAAGTGGAAACAGGAACGCATATCATGATGCGGCAACGCGGGTTGTCGCATGCTGAAATCGACATGGTGAATACATACAGTATTGAATACTACAACCAGGATCGGACCCGCCAAGGGAGCTAGAATCTCTCCTACTATGTATGTAGATTGATCCTTTCATCTTCCGGACCCATCTTTCTTTTTCGAACTCGTGAGTTTTTGGACTATTTCATCTGGAATCATCAAACACTTGTCCGCGTGACAGGAAACAACTAGCTTGTTTCCGCATAACACGAAGATCCTGGGTTCCTGGGGCACCAACCTTTACGCTGAAAAGTCAGATCAAGGGAAGCAGACAACCGGTCGGCTGCAAATGTTGCGATAGCGGCCACCGCTTTCTGGCCACTGCTGCGAGCCGCATCATGAGGAGGCACAAGTTGGGACTATTGGCGTCGAGAATCGCTTTGCGACACCCAACTCATCCGCTCTGCAGCGTCGGGCATGATCTTCTTTTCTTCTTCTTCTTTTGACGCTACTATCCTTGGAGCAGCTGCCGTAATTCGCCCATTTGCGATGCCTTACCACCAGTGCCGTTGTGCTCTCGGTTTTTTATTTGCGTCATTTGCTTGCATACATCTGTCGGGAGGCATGCAGTATCACACCGGCTTCAGGGTATTGGGATATCAACAACACACTCTGTGACACAATGTATACTGGTGAGTCATGCTGCAGAACAGTAACTAGGCACGGTACAATCAATTCGACCAGCGATTATCAGTTGGGACTTGGGTCAGTTCGTCACAATCTGGATCGGGTAGAGAGATCCATTTGCCGGCTTTCTGGAATCCTTCTACGACACGCACTAGAGGCTCTTTCTCCGCTGAAGCTTGCGAAACTGGACGGGCTGGCGTTTCATCCCATGCAGCCTTGTCACGCATAACGGACTTTGCATCGTGTTTTGAAACTCGCAGAGGGCGGCCCCAAGCAAGTAAATTTGTTATGGGTATGATTCTTTTAGCAACGCTTGCAAGGTGTGTTGCAGCTTTTGCATGAACCACAATCTCCAGCCCTGTATTAGGCCCCCTTGGCTGGCGCGATTGTGTAATTTCCGGCAACGGTATCTTATACGGATGTCCTTGCATAGAAGCTGGATAAAGTCCAAATAATAATCGGAATCTCCGTTGCTGCGCAGTGGTACGTATCGATTCCACCAATGTCCCTCCGACTGGGTCCATGCTTATTACACGCGCGAAGTCCATTGCTTGCTTGCATGCAGTGTCCAGAGTACGAGAGGCGCGCCATCACATGTTGCGGAGGCAATCTGCACAGGGACTCAACAAGACGCGTCTGTCAGACTGGTGGCAATGATCTGACGATTTACAGTAGAGGATATTCTCAGCTCACCGAGCTGACGCAGATACGTAGCGTTGGCATATCATGCAGGACTTTCCCTGCTTTAATTGTTACTAGTATGGAGTATCGTCGGATGCTCCCTTCACAATACGTAGGGGGGGCATGCTATTGCAGGTACATCCTTGGATCCGCGTAGACGGTTGAGGAAGGATACGAGCGAGGAACGACTCTAGAGTAGTCACGCATAGGTCAGTTAAGTACAGCAGTCGATCTTTGGCATGAACTCGACTCTCGAAGTTGGGAACCGACTGTAATACTTTCATTTCGAGAACCCGTGTCAACACTCTCCGTCCGATCATCTTGACGATTGATACAATAAGCACGACGACTAATCACTAACAGCTGAAATGGGAATCATTGGTCTCACGTAAGGCAACAGCCTGCAAAAGCTAATTGGCGGAACCTTGACCTACATTCTCCCATAATATTGCGAACATTACTCATCACTGTTTTCCATTGCCCATTAGAACTATGTCGCGTCACCGATGAAGAAGCAATGGCAGGCACGCTGGAATAGTGTGTCGTTGCTCGCGAGTAATGCATCCCCTAAGAGCCTTGCTTGCAGTCAGCCTCGTTCCCCTGCTGCGTATGTCTGATTTGCAGTTCCGCCCAACTGGAATGCTCGATTCGGCACTCATCCTTTTCTCGAGAGAGCGAGCAATCTCCGGGCCGATACGAGGCCACGTTTTCAAACTGCACAAGGTTTGTTTGTTTTACACAAGCCTCGTCCGCACACGTACGAATGACGTTGTGTTCAGACGAAACATGCTTGCCATTCCTGGAGTTTGTTCCTGAAGAGTTTGTTCCTGAAGGAGGCCAACCTAAAACCCGCATTCAACAAAATGCTCGTTGGGCGTACGCTGAGCAGGTGAGATCGTTGCAGCTACGGACAGGTCTTTGCGACAGTGGAATCCACGGGCTCCGAAACCTCATGTTGTCGGGGTTGGCAAATTCGCGTTGGCCCAGACACTTGGAGTCGCTTTGTCTGTTTCGTTGCCGGGCCTGAATCCTTCCCTGCACGTCGAGCGAACAACGTTACGTATGAACCGTCCCTCGACGCCATCCAGGCCGTACACAGAAAGCTCACGCAGTCATACGAATCGGCCATATACTGGGGTAGATGCAATGGTCCGTTTTGTCCTGTACCATCCTGCTGACCTTTCCACTCAGGACACGGACTGAAATCTAGTGACTTTTGAGGTTGTTGCATGTTACATGAGTGGAATCCTAAAGAAGTGATTCTAGCCCCTGTGTATAGTCTTTTCTGCCTCCCATTCGATCATTTCATGCGTAGACATGTGCTCCTGGTGTACCGGGGCTCCGACAGCCTGTGTTGGCTCTCGTTACGGTGCCGAAATCCCGCCCTGTCTGGTGTTCCCCTATGAACCAGCCGTGTAAACATATGTTGCCCCGTACGCCGTGCTCGCATGCAAACCGTCAAAATCCCAGCACTTGTATAACACCCCGTCGTGGAGCGAGTTTAACTGCCGATCAGCATGGAAACCTGCGCAGGCGAGTTTGTTAGCAGCTGGGCTGATGGTTTCGCATTCCTGGGCCATGCGCAACATACCGCCATGGCGACGCAACACAGGCTTATGTAGGGACTTAGCCGCTCGCCGACTCTTGCGGCCTTCCAGAAGGGGTTTATGATGCTGTTCGTGACATGTTAGCCGGCGGATCCAGTCGGTTCTTGTTTTGTCGGCCAAGCAACCACCCCCACATACCCATCCTTGCGGTTGTTCATGAAAGTCGGGAATATGGCATGCACGTATGTGCTTGTGCAGATGATGAGGAGGACGACGAGGAGTAGCGACTGGAAGTTGAAGAGAGCCGTCTGTGTGTGTATGGATGGTTAGCTGATTGTAGCGATAGTGCAAGGTGGGAATCGCTGATGGCGCATACCATTGTGTACGGTGGCCGCGTGCGTGTAGGGCGATGCAAATGAGGTGGTTCGGTTGCCTCGGGTGTATGCGCTGGTGTCTGTGAGAGTCGTGAGGTGGATCGAACAAACTGACTGCGTGGTCGATAGAAAACTGGCTGAAGGGGAAGAAGCTCTCAACGTCACATGAACTGAACTTAGGGGCCAGCTGTTCAGCCTGCCCGCCTGCCGCCTGCTAATTACTCCGGACCAACCTGCTGTACTCAACTGTAGGCACCCCGGGGACCTCCCGTCAGTGCCTGGCCCCCACTAATCCAATGGACGCGGGGAGCCCTGAGTGCTCAGAGAGGCGCTAAATGGAACTTTTTGGTACCCAAACATTGAAGCTCTCCCCAGCTCCAGAGGCGCTTCCCTCACACCTGACCTCAGACCTTAGGAATATGTAGCACTGTAGCACGTAACTCATTCAACTCACTCACTCGCTCACTCGCTCGCTCGCTCATTCACAGGGAAAATTGGCCAGGTTATTCTGGCCTTGCCATCATTTGATACCACCTTGATTCCATCTTGAACACATTGCCGGCCCTCCGATCTGCGACACAACCAAATATACAACGTCACGGTTCATTTCATCCGACTCCATCCCATCGCGTCCCCTATCGCACCGCACATCACTAGCATCGCCATGGAACCACGCGCGAGAGCTGGTAAGAACGTCGGCAAGGAGACGTTCCCTGCCAAAGATCGTAAGTTGCTCCCAGCTCCCGCAACCCTCATCATCAGCTCGCTGACCTGACTCTACCCCCGTCAAGTTGCTGCCCTTATGTACGCTTATGGCGATGTCATCAACCCGATTCCCGAGACCGTGCGCGTCATGGACGAGATCATGACCGAGTTTCTCGAGGGCATCTGCTTCGAAGCCAGCCGCCACGCCACCGTCGCCGGCCGCCAGAAGCTCAAGTTCGACGACTTCGAGTTCTCCCTGCGCCGCCAGCCCGAGTACCTCGGCAGGATCCGCACCATGTTCGAGAAGCGCAAGGAGATCACCAAGATGCGAAAGACCTTTGGCGGAGACGACGACCAAGTCTTGCAGAATCAGGGCAAGGAGGACACCGCCGCCAACGGCGCCAACAAGAAGCGCCCGGCCGATGAGGATCTGCTCGACGATTTCGACGATGACGAGGATATACTCGAAGCGAGCCAGAGCAAGAAGAGGAAGATCGGTTGACCAGCTTGATATCCTGCAAGACGCATCTCTGTTCGAACAGTACCGGCGCTCATCTCGTTGGCTCGTTCCTATATTAACCTAACCATGCACAACTTCAACGTCATCGAGCAATTTCAATAGGACGCCTACCTCCGCCATAGTCCTCTTGAGAGAGTCTACTACTCTGGATACCTTTCCGTCGTTTCATTGGGAGTCCGGTTGCAACTTTCTTCTAATCTGAGTCACTTCTCCCATGGATTCCATTCGCCAAGATTGAAAGCAGATCATGCATGGATTTTGAGTGGGCCAATATACCTTCTGCGGAAGCTACGTGGAGTAGTCTCTGCACAAAAAGCATTAGGGCTGATCTTATACAGCATTTGCAGCCTTCTACCAACAGCCCGGCCACCGCTGGCTTCTATAATGGTCAACACCAGTAGGACATGGCAAGGCGCTCCTGTCGCCATCTACGCTCCTGTACTTCAAGACTGAGGACTCGTCCAGGTGTAGTCATCGCGCCGATGCACCCCCTGTGCGGCCTCGGAGGAGCAGGTTAACACTGGCGACTTTATGATTTTGACCTCTTGAATAAATGGGTCAAGCAAGTGCAAAGGCAAGCAGCTGATGCAAAGTGCCACTGCATCGATATATCAACCATCAGTTACGTGCGAATGGGTGCCCTTTTCTTTGGGTTCTCAGTGAAGTTGTCTGGCTAAACGGCTCCATACGGATCTTACTCCGCAACCCCCCAGCACGTGAGGGCTTCCAAACAGAAACAACTGCAGTGTTCATCTTCAGGCCCATCCCCAGTTATATCCGGTATGGGGGTTGCAAGGGGGTCAATAGAGTTATTTAACCTTCGACTACTTGCTCCAGCCTTTCCATGCGGGGTAGCCTCCCGATTCGCTCGGCAGAACCGCGATATCGGTGCAACAGCTGGCCTTCCTGTGTGATACCAAAGAAATCAGCCTATCAGACTCGTGCGATACTCCGATTACCATGTCACGCCCCGTCCTGGGTTGACTGTTTGTCAACGTTTGCGGAATAGATCGATGATGCCGAGCTGCAGGTGTATTGTTATGCTTCTCTCAGCACACCTATCATTGCCGAGTACAAGGCTGAAAATGGATCTAATGTATCCTAGGGCCAACTGGAGAATGCATTCCGGTGACAATGGCTCCACTGTTGCCGAGTAGATGATTCCACCTAGAGAAGGTTGCGTGCAGTGATGTGATTATTGCTCTTCCAGACCGCTGCTGTTTCCTCTGCTGTTTCCTCTGCTGTGCTATTCCTTCTCTCTCCCTCTCGCCCAGCTATAGCTAACTCCTTGCTAGACTTTGCGTTTTCTGGCTCAGTTGTCAAGGTGTCTTCTTACTCAAAGTCCCTGGTTCATATCTTGTATGTTTTAATCATAGCAGTTAGATGACCATTTTTCTAGGACTTTCCCAAGTGTCTCGTACTGTCCACCCTCAATATATTCCATATACAAACCATTTGTAATGGCTATAAGTCATCATGTCTTCACCCCTAGTTGTACCACATACTTCACAGACCAAGCGGCAACTTCAAGAAAATGATAAAATATCCCTAGACATTCACCCTAGCATTATCCATAAAGCCGGAAAGGCTGACTCTAACGCGCCTGATCTTCCGGATCCTGATGACCTACGACGATATTCGATCAGCCCCTTTTCGGAAAATGGACGACTTACACCACAGGGATCCTCCAGAGGACTCTCACCAGGACCGCCACCTTTCTTCCAGCCATCATCAGCGACGCCACGGCGTGGAGGAGATCTCACCGCGACCGTGAGATCCTTTCTGACGTCACAGTGGCTACACAACGGCGGGCCCATTCTGATCGTCTGCGCCCAGTTCTTCGGCGCCGTCATGAACCTCTCGGCACGCCTGCTCGAGGTTGAGGACGGCCTGCACCCCATGCAGATCCTCTTCGCCCGCATGGCGGCCACCGTGGTCTGCTGCTTCACCTACATGCGGTACCGGAACGTGCCCGCGGCGCCCTGGGGCCCCCCGGAGATCCGCCGGCTCCTGGTGCTCCGCGCCTGCGCCGGCTTCGTCGGCCTCTACGGCATGTGGTCCAGCATCATGTACCTGCCTCTCGCCGAGGCGACCGTCATCAGCTTCCTCGCCCCCAATGTCGCCGGCTACCTCTGCCGCGTCTTCCTCGGGGAGCCCTTCACCAGGCGGGAGCAGCTGGCGAGCTATCTGGCCCTCGGCGGCGTCGTCCTGATCATGAAACCCATATCGCTCTTCTCCTCTCCCGGCCCGAACGACCACGTCCCTGCAGCGGATGACGTCAACACCACCACCACCACCACCACCACCACAGCCAACACCACTACCCCCCACATCGGCCTCGACTACGACCCAACGACGGCCGAGCGCCTCGGCGGGATCGGCATGGGCCTCCTGGGCGTAGTAGGCGCCGCCATCACCATCACGGCGCTGCGGGCGATCGGGCCGCGCGCCCACCCGCTCATCAGCGTCAATTACTTCGGCGCTGCGTGCACGGCTGCGTCGGCCGCGACCCTGTCGCTGGCGCCGCTACTCGGCTATGGGCAGCCGGACCTCGGGTTCGCCCTGCCCGCAGGCGCGCGGCAGTGGGCCCTGCTCCTCCTCGTCGGCGTCTGCGGCTTCGGCACCCAGTTCCTATTCACGGCCGGGCTGGCGCGGGAGCGGACAAACCGCGCCGCCGGCATGATCTACACGCATGTGCTGTTCGCCGCGGGCTTCGACCGGTTCGTCTTCGGGCAGACCATGGGCTGGGCCAGCGTGGCGGGGTGCGGCATGGTGGTCGGCAGCGCGCTGTGGGTGGCCATCGGCAAGGGCGGCGGTGGGGGCGGGGGGCGCCGCAAGGAGCGGGACCTAGAGGTCGCCAGAGGCGTCTCGGCGGTGAGCATCGGTGCCCTCGTCGGCGGTGAAGATGTACCTATGCTTACGGATGTCGGTGATGGGGGAGGAGGGGAGGAGTGACGCTGTTGATGTTGGGATGGAGCGGCTGACATCTGGAAGGGGGTGATGAAGACACGAGGTAGCCAAGACGACTTTTGCTGACTCGTGTTAGTGTGTCTCTATAAATCTATTCTATTTTCTGGCGTTCGGGAACGCCAAATAGATGCTCTGTTCTTCTATGGTAATTAGCCACGACACGACTACTCACGGCACATCTTTTTTCTATCCAGATTATCCATTACATCCAGCACTTTCACTCATACAAAAAAGACCATGCGCTGGCTCAAGAGGATGTCAGATGCCCTTCGCCGGATATTTCACAAGAAACGGAAGCGTGGGGTCTCGCATTACACCAGTCAAGGTGTACCGGGAGACGTATTCTATGCCCACCCTTATCAGACGGGGGGTGTCACACCAAGTACTTGGCCTAATGTTTAGAGGCGCGCTATCCACTCAAGTATCACAACTAGAACTTCTCGACACTTTCTTCTATTAGAGCAAGGCTAAAGGGTACTCGACTAGGAGTACACCTTCACGGTAACTACTAGAGCCCAGCCACTAGTACTCTCCCAAATACCAAACTCGTTCTCGCGTCGGAATGCCAACTCTTCAGTTGTGACGTTCATTTCCGCTGTTTTACCACTGTCCCGCTGGTCTCCAGTAGCACCGGCTACATCACCTCCCTCAACAGTGCCACGACGCCCTTTGCTGTTATCGGCAGATACGGGTAGTGAGACCGTCGACGAGTCTCCGTTCGGGGTGGAGGTACTCGAACGCCGCCAGCCTAGACCCCAGCCTTTCTTCGGTTTCTCAGCAGGTATGGACCGTTCCGCGGCGGCCTGTACTGGACCTCGAGCTGTTGCTTTTGGTTTTGGTCTGCTCGGAGGTTGTAGGTACGACGCCAGACGCCGCGCGAGCTCTTCATCCTTCCACCATAAAATATCCGAAGGTCTTGTAGAAACGGGGTCTGAGTCGCCCCATCGTCCCCAATCCGTGAACTCTCGGTAACTCGATGTTTCCTTCCCGGTGGATAACGATGCCGGGCTCTTAGAGTCCATATTTTTCTTCTCCTCTTGCTGTATGTCGACTCTGAAGATTCTGCCTACTTCATCTTGACGTTTGAACATATCCTCAATCCCACTTAGAACAGCATCCGTAGGCACAGCACTGTTTGGAACCATGATCAACGTGGCCAATGCCGGCGCTGTCCGATGAGCGCTTAGATCTGTGAGGAACGAGTCGATGATAGGTGTCAGGTGTTCCAAGATCCATACATCAGTTTCGACCTGTTGTGCATTACGGGCTTGTCGATTCTGCCTTATGCGATTTGGGAGTGCTGCAATATGGGAGTTGAGATATGACGTAAGAGATCGCGGGTTCACCTGTGAGGACGAAGAAGAGGAATCTGCACAGGTAGACTCGGTCAAGGAGTATGGAGGTGGTGCTTGATCACCCATTGTCGCTAGAAAATGGTGGCTCTCGTCGCTCCTCGCTGATGCTTGAATATCTGTAGAGCAGTAACCCGTCTACGATGCTGGTTGAGCGCCGAAATTCAAAACAGACCTGGGAGGCGCGTCTGAGCCCTCATAGGAATAAAGTTGGCAAAAGCTTGGTATAGTTTTCGGGTGCTGATAGGCAAAGTATCAGATGATCAGGCGGGGACGACTATGCCAACAAGCTAATAGTGAATATGACTTGGCAAGTTCTTCTAGAAAGTGATTCTGAATGTGTCGTGATGAACGTAATAATTCTACGAGAGCAACAATATTGACAGAAACCATAACACTACCACGATTGTCAATGGTTCGGTCTCAGAAACATGGTGCGATGGAGATGACGGACGGTCAACCTGGAAGTCAACCTAACTTACAAGGCCACTATTACGCCTCTTCATCAGCCTTGTGATCTGATCATGCCAAGTCTTGGGCAGATTGATGGACAAAACCAAATTCGGAAATGAATGGATTTCGTTTTTAAGACGCCCCAGAAGTATGGGCGCGGTGAACAAATCTCCCATGCATAGTGGCTGTGCTTACCTTAGTTGCAGTTTTAGGCCGATTTTGTGGAAAGCTTGGCATCAACGACGTTGAAGCGCATGGACTTGCGGGATGTAAGTTAAGTCTATTGAATTTGTAGTTGGAGATGCCTTGAGTAGGACCTGGCGGATACTCTCAAGACAGTAATGTGCCGCTGAAGGAAGTGGCCGAGCGCGAACGATGCCCGATTCGAAAGAATCCTGATTAGGCACCGAGGCAGTAGAACTTCCAAGTAAGCCAAGAACGACTAACATTTGCCAACCAAAGAATCGATGCCATCAAGACACGGGGCAATATACTGGCAGTCTATCGGCACTATTGTGGCAACTACTTGTAATACTTGACAGAGGTGCTCGCCGTTATGTTATGTGATGTGGCGAAATAAGGTCAGACAACCCACGGATATGGTATGGTGCATCCGGGGTGCGTCGAGTGACATGAGGTTATTATGTACGGAGACTTGGCCGCACGAACTCCTCATCTTGAACTGCATTCTCGCTATACGTAGAATCGAAACGGTTGGGTTTCAAAACATGTCCTTGTTGTCGCGGCTGTGAGAGTTGTCCTTACCAATGTTTAATTAAGGGATTGCCCACTTGGGACACCGAGCAATCATCAAGGTTGCTGTTTGTGATTCAGCAGGCGGCAGAGCCATCCAATAGTCAAGAATTGGCGCAGCTCTTGTTTTCCTGGACGTGCCTAGTCTGTTGAAAGAATGTTGCGCCGTTCGATCCGTTATAACCGAGCATAGTTCCCGCAATGTTTTCGTCCAAGACCAGGAATGAAACGCTGCTGTTGAAAGCTCATGGTAGGATTGTCGACCATGATCGCTAAAACGATCTGCTTTAGGGTTGGTTGCCACTTAGGAATTGGCGCAGAAGGTGCGCTAGAAAAGCGCTAGAAGCTCTGAGTGGAGTGTGTCAGTCTACCATCCATGGAACTATGGATCCGTATGAACACATAGGAACACTCGTGACTTCCAAAAGGTACACAGCCCCCAAGGCGTTTTCATGCATCAAACTCCACTCTCAATAGCAAATGAGCTCAAGGCTGAGATACCAAGCATGTGCTTTATTGTGTCAGCCCTGTAGATCTTTGTTGCCATGGAGTTTCGTGTAGTATACAAAAGGGGAGGTAAGACGGGCATGAGATTCGTCCTTTCCTGATTGTGAGTTGTCAGTCGACTATCATACGAAGTTGAGCCTTCCTAATCTTGACATCATAACACAAACATATACCCCTCGGAGTCACCGACGACTGCACTTAGGGATTTGGGCATACTTTTGCAGGCTTCACGTCAAAGCCCCATTAACAAGATCGTGGCACAGCAGCTCTACCGTGGAAACCTCAAACCATTTTATTGCTCATACACAAGCAACTGCTTGAACGATCGTTTCTCTATAAGAAGCCAACTCCAATCATCCTCAGAGTTTGCGACGCTACACTCTTACACGTTTACCCGATTCTTGCATCGCCTAAATACCTTTTTAAACACACCTCAAATCAAACCACCCTCGTCACAATGTCTTACAGAATCGCAGCTCCCGATGAGTATCTGGCCATCACTGGTATGGGCATTAAAAATGTCCATATCACCAAAACAGCTTGGGTACTTCCATTCCAGAGGTGTAAGCGCTTCAGGTAAGCCACGACTCTCTTCTTTGGCAAAATTATAAGCACAAGATGATGTCCACAGGGGAATTTCTCAAGATTTGCCCCGAGAATTGATACCCGAGATTTCTTTAGTATTACCGCACGGAGATCGCCTACGTTGAGCTAATCTGTTTATAGTGTTCAACCTCATGACTATGGTATGAACCTCCAGGCTATGACCAAGGAAAAGTTGCAGTTTCTCTTGCCTGTTGTCTTCACTATCGGCCCGGATGTCAATGCTCGAGGTGCCAACTCAAAAGGGGCACCGAAGCATGCAACAGCATCCTCTGCCGGCAGCCATCCCGCCAACTTGGCCGATGAAGAGGACCGCGGGGATGCCCTTATGAAGTTTGCTATGCTGTTGGCTGATTCAGATAACAACAAGAAGTCCGTCGACAAGCATGGACTCGAACAGATTGTCAAAGGTATCATCGAAGGTGAGACTCGTGTGCTGGTTTCATCCATGACCATGGAGGAGATCTTTACCGAGCGCGAAGAATTCAAACGCCGAATTTTCCGTAACATTCAAGTGGAACTTGATCAATTTGGCCTCAAGATTTACAACGCCAATGTCAAGGAGCTGAAGGACGCGGTTGGCTCGACCTACTTCCAGTCGCTGTCACAGAAAGCACACGAGGGTGCCACCAACCAGGCTCGTATTGATGTTGCTGATGCCCAGCTCAAGGGTAACGTTGGTGAGGCCGAACGGCACGGTAGACAGGAGCAGGAAATTGCCAAGATCAACGCCGAGACTGCCGTGAAGAAGACGGAACGAGATGCTGAACGTGCACGTGCTGAGGCCAAGTTGAAGACCCAGGAGGCTGACCTGAACCGGGATGTCGAACTTTCCCGGATTGAGGCTGCCCGTGCTACACAATCCAAAGATGAGGACCTGAAGAAGCAAGTCGAAGTCAAGCGTGCCGCAGCCGAGCTTGAGCGCCTGAGAGCCACCGACTTGGTAAAGGCCCAGATCAAACGAGAGTCTCAGCAGCAAGCTGCCGACGCCAAGGCATACGAGATCACTGTCGACGCCAAAGCCAACTTTGAAAAGACGACCCAAGCCACTGATGCGGCGGCCTATAGGACGAAGACGGACGCCGAGGCTTACTCACAAGCAGCAGTGAAGAAGGCCGAAGCCCGTCTCCAGGAGACGCTGAAGGAAGCCGAGGGTACGATGGCGATGGCCGAGGCTTATGCCAGGATGAGTCAAGCATTCGGTGGACCGGCTGGTCTGCTACAGTTTATGATGATCGAGAAGGGCACGTACGTCGAGCTCGCTCGCGCCAATGCTGAGGCTATCCGCGGCCTGCAGCCCAAGATCAGCGTGTGGAACACTGGTGCTGCCGGGGAGGGCGCCGGGCAAGACAGCACCTCAACCATGCGCAATGTGTACCAGATGCTGCCACCGCTCATGACGACAATCAATGAGCAAACTGGCATCACACTCCCTGAGTGGCAATTTGGCCGCCTCGCTGGAGAGATGAGCAGCGGCGCCGACAAGAACGTCAGTGCGCCCAAGACAAACGGCGTCCATGGGAAGAGCGACTCCAACTAGAAGAAAGGTTGCCACTGGGATTCCAACGGAACGATAACTCCTCGATGATCGACTCAACACGTTTTACTGATTACAGGCACTAAGATTGTATTTAAAGCCTGATGACCCTCTCCTTTGTTCTGTTACGCGATTCTTTCGTTGCTGCTTGGAAGTGAAGTGGCGTTCCGGTTCAATACCCATGGCGTAATGATAGAATTAGGATTTTAACTTTAGTCAATACACTATACATACACTGGGTTGGGGTTTTATCGAAAGCGAATATTGAGTCAAGCAAGAGTAAGAAGACCATTGGGCATACACATCAATCACGCAGGCATGAACACATGTTTCAAGTGAAACCAAAATTATCGACAGTAAAACCGCATATGGGCCTCTCTTCTCCGCCACTACTAGCCAACGCCGAGCTAAGAGTTGATGCGAGACTACGGTAGCATACAATGCATGGAAGGTAGTATACAACGCCAAGACCAATGCTCTCGACACCCCCACATCTAAAGTAACAGCGGGGTCTAGCGCGAACAACTTTATTTCGACAATCAGAGCAGAGAGGGCTCAAAATTTTTGCTTCAACTTACACGCTGCAGCATTATTTCCTCGCGACAAGGACCATGCATTCACTCGTGCAGCCCAATGCCTGGGTGGCCCTTAAGTTACCCAATGGGACGCTCAGGGTGCTACAGGTGACACCAAATACGTAAGGCTATCCTCCGTGATTCCTAAAAATGCTCTCGTTTTCGCTGATCGTGGTGGTCCCACAGTACCATCTCGCTTGGAAAGTATGGGTCATTCCCGAGCAACCTGATCATATCTAGACCATATCACCTCACGTACGAGCTGCAAGATAAGCGCGAGCCCGAAAACTTCAACCGGCTGCGAATCGTACCCGCGTCGGAACTCTACGCAGACATCCTCACCTCCAGCGACGGCTCGTCCTCCTCGCCCGGCTCGCCCGCCGCAGCAGCTGACGGGGACGACGAAGATGGCGAGGACGGCGCCCTACCGTCGAGCGCCGAGTACACGCTGGTCGACGAGTCGGGCGCCGTTGTGGCGAAAACAGACGAGGCTGCCGTGCTCCACGAGGCGGCTGTCGCTTCGGCCACCCAGACGCTGAGCATGGAGGAGATCGAGGCGCTGAAGAAGGGCGGCGCCGGCGCCGGCAAGGACCTCATCGCCAAGCTCATGCTCTCGCACACCGCCCTCGACCAGAAGACAGAGTACTCGCTCGCCAAGTACAAGCTCTTGAAGACCAAGAAATACATACGCAGGTTCTGCGTGCTACCGCTGGACATGCCTCTGTTCGACCACTGGCTGCTGGAAGAGAAGGACTCGCAGAAGATCCTGGAGATGCGCGAGGAGATGTTGGGCCTACTGGGTTGCTGGGCGAATGTGCACTGGGGCGGAGAGGACCGCGAGAAGGAGAGCCACGAGGATGGTGGGGCCGATCCAGAGGAGGCGGACAATACCCAGGGACGGTACCTGGTCATCGACGATACTGGAGGTCTTCTGGTCGCAGCCATGGCAGAGAGAACGGGTATCCTGTACCCGCCTGAAAACAAGGGAGAAACGCTGGAGGCGTGGCTGGAGGCACATAAGAATCCGCAGCAACGAAACTCCGCGAGGGAGCTACAGGACACTAAGCACCGACCAAAGGCAACATCTCAGCAGGACGGAGAAGAGGACGAGGAGGCGGACGCTGATGTGGAGGCTGAGGATGTCGAGGCCAAGACCGAGGAGACCGATGGTGCACAATCACAGGCTACGGAAAAGCAGAAACGCGGACCAACGGATGTCGCGCCCAAGAAGTACCCATCCGGCCCCGGGAGGCGCGCAGACGACTTGAGCGTGCCTTACGCCAAGTCCAACACGTTGACGCTGGTTCATCCCAACTCGCAACCCAACCTCAGCCTGCTGAAATACTACGACTTCGATATCACGAACCCGTCACAGCCGCTCTCCCACCCGCTAGCCAGGAATCTCATGACGCTCTCATGGCTTCAACTGCTGGATCCTGCCGCAGACACGACATACACGGCAGAGCCAGAAGCGATAACGCCCGAGGAACTCCGAACCTGGAAGACGAACCGGAGAGGCAACTATCACCGCAAGCGACGCCGATGGGCCCGTGTTCGACATGTGGTGGACACTGCACGGGCAGGCGGCTTCTCGGGACTGGTCGTTGCAAGCACGATGGATCCGATTTCGATCATGAAGCATGCCGTCCCACTGCTGGCTGGCGGTGCGCCGATCGCCATCTACTCCCAGAACGTGGAGCAGCTGACCAAGCTGGTCGACTGCTACAGCATAGCCAAAAGAGGAGCTTGGATCGCAGACCCGCCGGAGGAGGCTGTTGGCCGGACCTTGGAAGAGCTAGAGAATTGGGAGGGGTCCGAGGAGTTCCCTCTCAACCCGACCCTGATACTAGGCGCCGCGTTGCAGACGAGCAGAGTGCGGAAATGGCAGGTGTTGCCCGGCCGGACACATCCTCTCATGACCAGTAAGGGAGGTGCTGACGGTTATGTCTTCACAGCATCGAGGGTCAAGCCGGCCGAGGGCAAAGTAGAGGCGCGGGGCAAAGGCGTTCGAAACAAGAAGCGTAAGGTCGGCGAGTAAAAAGCCGTGGTTGCACATTTGGAAAAAAGTGGCAGATAGCATCTTGGCGCATCCCACGGCATCATAGACTACTAGAGTGGCACCGGCTGCTGGTATGGCATTACTTCATTGATACCCCTGAATAGAGCTCTTCTATCGTGCACAAGCTCTTTGGAGGCTTGACCTTTCCCGGTGCTCCCTGTGGGCGGCTTGTTGTTCGGAACTGCCTCCCGTCTTTGTACAATCTCCCGTAGATCCTTGGTCTGCCTCTACAGGCTCTTGCCCATGAACTTTCTCTTGGTGAAACTTAACCACCACTTGCTCGGCTTGCCGTCGCCGCCTTCCTCGTACACTCTTGCCAATAGCCTGGTCGCCAGCTCCTGTCGCACCTGGGCGAGGTATTGCCGTAACTGCTCGGCGTCCTGTCTGTCTCGTGGGGGCTCGAACATCTGTGCCGTCCGGTTAGCCCCTGACCGCCCCCACAACTCGTCATAGGATCGCAACCCAAGCGGTCGTCCACTTCCGCCCGCGTATCTCGTCTACCAGACCAAGGGGGCACCTACCTGGTTCAGAGGGAAGCCGGGGTCGCCGGGAATGGCAAAGTTGAGGTCCAGGGCCGTGTTCAGGACCTCCTTCTGGGCCTCGCGCACGCCATAGGTGGGGCGTATCTTGCCGAGGACCTCGCTGGTGAAGAGGATGCCGTAGATGAGCAGGCGGTCGGCGGGGCCCTGGATCTCGAAGTTGCGGAAGAAGGTGTTGGCCCGGAACAGCGACAGCACCTCGTCCAGGATGTCGTACGACTCCGAGTCCGGGTCCGGCGACTCGTGGGCGGCCAGGGCCTCCGCGGGCGCGGGCAGGGTGTAGGCCGGGCCGCGGGTCTTGGTGCGCAGGGGCAGCAGGGGGAAGTTGCCGATGATGCGCGGGGTGTTGGGGTCGTCGTTGAACATGGAGTTGTAGGCCTGCAGGGCGAGGCGGTGTTTAGCTATCGTCGTGCGTTGTGGTGCATCTGGTGCTCGTTCCATGTATGCAGCCGCGGGGTGAGGAGGGCTCTCCGTGAGCATTGGGACTTACCGGCATGATGGCGGATATTTCACCGAAAAGAGTCGGCGATGCTCTAGGTACTTCCAAGCTGTGTTCGATTGCTGAGCAAAAAAAGGTATCGCGAGGCTTGTCTTTTGAGCTGCCTACTGTCCAGGTGCTTGCTCGCTACCGACGTTAGTACCAAGTTAGTAGTTATTAACTTAACTTACAGGGTGTGGAGGGGCTGCCCGTTGCGACTGCGCCTATCGCTCAAGGCTGACGTCTGCCCGGGAATTGTTAGGGAGGGACGTCACTTCGCTCTGGCTCAACTCTTGGGCCCAAGCTCAGTGCACCGGATCGAGTGAGCACAAGTTCTGGTCCGTGTTGTGCGTGCTCTGCATAGTTCCTGATGCATTTTGCACAAGCTCCGCATGAACTCTTGGCATTACACAAAATTTGTGGTTCTATCTCTGCTCCACTTGTGTACTTTGTGCATCGCCCGGCATAAACGGTCCGCCTTTACACAAGTGAAACTGCATTTTGTGTTTGCTGTGCACAGTCTGCCGAGCACAATGCCACACAGTCTCCAAATCGGGTAGGCGCACGGTTAGGCAGCCACTCGTGTATGATGCCCCGAGACTTTCTCATCAATTGAGGTGGAAGATTATATAGTATAGGTACGACCAATGTAACAACAGAGAGGTGTACATCCATTTATTAAGCATGAAGAGTGAACTAATCGGGATCTTTGCCCACTAGACTCACTTCAGATACTGTATGTTTGCCTGCTGTGTCCCCCGCCTTCTGCCCCAAGAGAGCTCACACGCTCCATTCGCCCCTGGATGTAGCCCATTTCCCCAGTAATACCTCCTGCAAGGTGAAGTCATTTCACAGAGAACTCTGTCATAGTAACTGATGGCATAACTTTTCCAGACCAAAGATACACCTGGGCCGGTATCTCCAGGGATTTTGAAAATAGAATAAAAAAAAATATGCGCATCGTCAATTCAGCGGCATGGAAAACATCAAATTTCTGGGTCCCACTAGTTGTAGACCAAAGGGGATCCTGAATCGATGGAGTTGGGCTTCGACAGCCAATCGCGACTTATCAAAATCCAAGTTGGCCCAAGGTCGACACTGAAGAGGTGAGCTATCTTTCGTCCCAGATGCCTTTACATCTACCGCCTGCGCCAGGGTTACGCTATGGTAATTCTCCAGAATCCCCATCTCCTTACAAGGTACGGAGAGCCCAACGCCCTCGAAGAGTCTCACGGTCAAGATGCCAGGTAGGGACAGACCTGAGGGCTACGCACAGACGGTCTCTGGGCCATGTCGCTTTTGAGAAAAGGTGTTCTCTCCAGATCAGACCAAGCTTCAGTGTCGAGCGCAATGGGGCCCTTTTCAATATCTAGGACTAATGGTCAACTAAGCTCGTATGTTTTGGTAGTAACAACAAATGTGTTACAAAGGGTGCTTACTTATCATCACTTTCCAGCGTTGCATCTTGACGCATGATCATATACACAGGTACCGTAATGGGTGTATCCCAAAAGTTATATTACCAGAACTGTGGGATGAGCATACCGCTATGCGAAAAGGGATGCTCGTCATCAATTATGAACCTGTTGCGGTTTGAGCTTCATGTACATCTGAAGCCTAGAGGATGAAGTTTGAAGCTCATATTGTACGAACTGTAATCATGAATTTTATTTTATTTTGTAAATTGTTTTCTTGTTTCCTCTTTCGACCTTAATTTTTCCTTTATATTGATAATATTCATTATATAATAAATTGATTAAAAATTATATTAACCATACTTTTTAACAAAAATATGTTATTGATGCGATATATCTTTCAAGGCGTCTTCCACATTTATAAGTTGCCAGTCATACACAAGTCGTCTCAGGCTCTAATATTAAGCAAATATAAGGCTGACGTCAACACATCCACTCTGGACCCAAGTCGCAGTAGCCATGTAGAGATAAGCGCCACAGTTGTAGATGTGGTTAAAACCCTGTGCCGTCTGGCAGCTCAGCACGCCAGAGCTGGATTTCGTACACGTCACGGCGGCATCCGTGGTACCAGCAGATGCCGCGGTTTCGAAGTACAAGACGCCGACCCTAGTGCTCGCTTGATGGACGTGCAGCGTGAGATCGGGCTGGCTCGCCTGAGTGATGGTACCGGTGGCCGTGTCGAAGACAAATTCGGGGCCGGTGCCGCTGCTGGCGAACTGTACATACTGGTTCACGACCGTCAGGTATTTCCCAGCTCTTGGGCCGGAGCCAATGGTGATGTAGGCCGTCTCTGTGGGGACGGCGGTCGTCGTGGTCAGTGTGGCGACCGAGGTGGTGGTCGAGGTGAGCGTGGCCGCCTCGGTCGTCGTGGTGTCAATCTCAACGGTGGACGTGCTGAACACCGTGTTGGTGACTGTCACTTCGTCTACTACCGAGGTGGTAAGAGTGAGGGTTGACGTTTCCGTTGCGGTGACCGGCGACACTATTGGGTATTAGTCAGCTATTTTTTATCAGATGACTGTACCAGGCTTCACTCACCTTCAGTCGAGATCTCATTGTCGGTAGCTGTCGATGTCACCACCGTCGTTGTTGTCTCGGTGGTGGTGGCGGTCGTCGTAGCTGTAGCGCCAACAGTCACGGTGGCCTCGACAGAAATGATGGTGGTAGATGTGGATGTCTGCACCACAACCGTTGTACCTTGAGATGCGGTCACGTCCAGAGTCGCAGTCTTGATAGCTGTCGCGGACTGGTCGACTGTTACCGAGGCAGCTTGGTCTACAGTAGTGTAGATCGTGGTGTAGACCGTTTCATATGTCTGAACGCTTGCAGTGGAAGTCGCAGCCGATTGGGGATAGCCAACGAAGCAAGCACAAGCGCTATGGAATTGTTCGGCACCATATGTTGAGATCCAGTCTTCCTTCTTGTCCGCACTTGATGTTGTAGCGGCTCTCTTCTTATTGGCGAAGACTGTCGTAGTGGTAGAAACGACCTCTAGGATAACTGATGTTTGAGTAGTGGCTGGAGGCAGAGTTAGTCAAGGTCAAACCATGAGAATGTGAGAGTCATACTGAGAACCTCTGTTGTGGTGACCACCTCACCAATCGTTACTGTGGCCTGATCGGTCGTTTGTGTCGTCGAGGTCTCTATTGTGGTGATAAATTCGGTTGCAGTCGCGGCAGTAACATAGACGGTGGCCGTGGTTGTATAGCTCGTAACTGTGGTGACATAAACACTTGTAACAATGGCGGTTGTTGTTTCTGGGATGGTTTCCGTGCTGATAGTATTCAAAGACGTTTGGGTTGCATCAGTGGTGAAACTTGTCACGATAGCTGTTGCTTGGCTAGTAAGTGTTGCATCTGCTGGCGTATGTACATTGGTGATGGTAGTGAGGTCGGTCTCAGTTACACCATTTGTGAATGTTTCGGTGCCGGTGACATCAGAAGTAGTGGCCGTAACAGTATTGCTGTATCGGTCAGCAGGGGTCCTCGAGACCTGTCAGTGAGGGTCTCACAATATAGTTGAGGTCGTCGTGACAGTCGCAACGGGATAAGTGGAGTATGATGCCAACTCGGCGGAGCAAACTTTATACACATAGCATTTTGCGGCAGACATAGAAAGAAGGAGTTCATCGCCTTGGCTTTGATATGTTGTGCCTAAGGACCATCAGCTACTGCCGTTGTACACTCGTTCCTGCAACACTCACAATAGCTTGGTTTCGCATAATTGGATGAGATCGGAGAAGCTTTGGCAAGAAACCCTAGCAGAGGGCTTACCCTCAGAAGAGAAGTGATGAAGCCCATGTTTAATCTCAGTATCATCAAACAGCAAAGAACGAATAGGAGTCGGTTGTTTATTGAAGCGAATGTGGTGAGAAACTGTAAAAGAGTAAACTGAAAGGTGATTAGGTAAACAGGCGTTCGCCAACATGCATTTAATAGAACCAAGGCATCTTTCAACATAACGGCCCATTCTCCTATCTGCGTGCGATCCACGGATCCGTACAGCTTTGGCTGAAGCTATTGTTCGAACTCGTCTATATTCTAATTAAACTATTCCCCATTTGTGCTTGGGCTACCTAGCTGAAAAGCCACATTCAGCGCGCTTGTGCGTCTGGCCAGAGACTAAGAAGCATTAGCGTCCAGCTGAAGTATAAGTGCAAATCAATGACCAAACTACTATTGACAGCACCCTAGCAAGCTAGTCCCTTCGGTCTTAGGGGGAGGGGGACTTCCTAACTTAGCGCGTTGCGTACCTCGACTGGAACCAAAACGAACCCGAGTGGATATGGGCCGGTGGACTCGAGAGTGAAGCTCTTACAGAATACGCAGAAGAGGACTGAGCTGAGAAAAAAGTACAGCATCATCCGTCTAGAGATAGAGGCGGCGGGAACTATGAATCGAATTTAAGTGGGCGTCATTCTGGGGTAATGCGACTACGCCCCAAAGTAATAAATGACAACCGTATACCAAAGCAGTTTTCAACGAGATTCCACCCACGTCCATCGCAAATTGTGCAGCTATGTAAGCGTATCAGGATTATCTACATAAAATATCGAATTGTCGACCCTTTACTACTGCTTTGCGCGGTGACCCAAAACTCTGGTGAAGCGCACATATTCCTATGAAGCTGGAGAAATTGTTATCACAAGCAGCCAAGGAAGCCCTCTTCGTGTCGCGCCTATTCAGGGAGCCAGCGGTTGAACTTGATTCAGCAATTTTACATATGTGGTGTGCCAACAAGCTAAACATCCGGCTCGTCAATGTCGAGGTTATCTCCCTCCAGATCAAAGGTGCGGCATGTGGATATACCCAACATTTGACTTGACACTCTACACTCATTCATCATCGTTCACCTCGCCCAAATGGACAGCCTTCCTTTTCGAATCCTTGATTAAGGACTAATATAGACCAATTAACAATGCCACTGCACCTCGTGTTTGATGTCGGCTTCGGCGCCGGCTCTTGGAGCTCCTTGGCTTGGCTTCGAGGTCGAACTTTTGTTCACCCAGTCTCAGAACCGCCCACGATAGCTGCATTTGTAAAGCCGCGTGGCTCTTTCTTCTATATCGTTCTTGGCATCTCTATCCCACGTCCCTCCAGCTCTATATCGCACTGGTTCTTGATGGAGATTAAACAGAGTCTTGTCTTCAGGTCTTTCTGCATCAATACGAAGTTCTTCTTTTTAATGTGAACCTTTTCTTATTTGTTACTGTCGTTAGGGGTGGCTATACTTTTGCGGCGAAGTTGTTTAAACGGGATTTGCGACTGACCCGCCGCCCGCTCTTATCCTTTCTCCGTTTTGGGGCCGCTACGGGTTTTCTGATATTATCATCGTGAGATCTATGATGTTTCAGTTCCAGGGCAGGATTATCACATATGAGATGATAGGCTGGTCGTGGCTTTCAGAGTGCAAATCTGAAGTTAGGATAAACCTGCGGGGTGCTACTGCCACAGGTACTGGTGAGAGTCTCGGGCGATGGACAGATTTCCAAAGTTCCAGAGAGGCTTATCTCAGAAATACATGCTAACAATTCCGTGATGAGAATGAATGCCCTACGTCGTCCTGAAATTCTGCGCTGGACACATCGTAGAAGTCTTAATGATGTTCCTACCCCACCAGTGGAGTGTTTAGTTCAGAAGTGGACTACGTCCTCTTGACGACGTGCTCCGAGAAGTATATGATAGGATTGCTAAGTTTTGGAAATAGTAAGTGAGTACCAAGGGTACCAGAATGGTCTTGAACATGGTTAAAATAAGCCAAAGATGTTAGGATGTTTGTCGCAGGGAGGATTGATCAGCTAAGTTAGAGTAACAGCCGTTGGCGAGGACTCTGTCGTAGCGAATTCTGTTTGCCTGGAAATTGGAAGAGGAACGATGAGTAGTCCAGCTTCGAACTGGGAAACAAAGCGAAATACTTAATATACGACTCAAGATTACCAATATATAAACTGTACTTCGTGTAGTAATGCAGTATGCTGATCAAACAAAAGAATGCCAACGAAGACACTCTGTGCGGTCGTAAATCTATGCTGAATCATCATTTCTATATCAGATGTCTTGCTTCGATTGCGGGAGCGGAAAATCTAGAAAAGAAATCAAACAATACAATGCATACAGTTCTCGTTCCTGTACGGAACTGTCCTCTGCATCATACTGTGCAATATCTTGCAAAACAACAGGAGCTGTAAGACAACTCGAAAGCTGGTACCAGTACTCCAATAATCCAAAAGGGTACTTGATATAGCCAATACCGGACCGTCCGCGCTCAGAGAAGAGACAAGAGAGGCACAAAGTGGAACGCCATTTTGAGATTATTGGGCAGTACTCAACATTCAAGTATCTAATCTAGTCGACACTTTGAGTATGGGAGAGCTCACAATATAGAGCTTATGATAGATTCCAGAATGAGCGCCATCGACCTTGGCACTATTTAACAGAAAGAACAGGTAATTTACAACACTGTACAAGATGTCTCATAATAAGTTCATTCTAGTACAACAAGATGTGACCACTTTGTATTCGTTTAGTTGGAACCTATTCCCGTAAGCGCCAAACAAAGTATATCGCAGAATTAAAGCGTATACAAAGATGATTTTCGGGAGAATGCAGGCAGCCCTAATCCCTTTGGCTAGAGAAATGTGAGGAAAATAAGGTGGACCATAGTTTTTTTTCTTATGCACTTTGTTAGATGTCGTGGCGCCGTTACTTCTTCTCGGGGCACATCCTGAGAGTGCCTGCCCGCATACTGCTATAACAACTCGGTATGAATGAATCATCCGAACAAGTCAAATGAGTCACCCAAATTGGACAATTATAATCACAGCGATCAGTCTTGAGCAAGCCTGGGGAGATAAGGTATATAACACCACATGCTTCACGGCCGCAGCTCAAATTAGCGCATCACAAGCCGGCCGCAGACCGGATTTATAGAAACAAGGGCAGCAAGTGCGTAGCAGAAGATGCTTATCCCGAGGAGGATGCACCCAAGAAGCTGCCCAAGAGATTGATTCTGATTGGAATCAACACATATCGGAATACAAAACAGACGAAGATTATCAATCCGTTGTAGGTCTTTCTCTATATATATATGAATGAATCACCTTCGGGTTACTATATTCTGGCTCTAATGCGGCTCGAGTTGGGCGGCATAGTAACGGTGGCAGTACTAAGGGCCGAGCCCATGAGATGCATACATTTGCGATATTACCCTCTTTGTGATGTTAATAGAGTGTTACCGTCGTGTCAACGATTCCGACGTGGTTATTTAGTCACTTCTAGAGGACCGATGAGTAGTATGTAGTGCAGGTATGCTCGAGTATATCCAGTCGATTGTATTACAACTCATGCCATAAGTGCCACCCGCATTTCCCACGGAGGCCATGTAAGGGCGATCACTTTCTATTCCGAAACCTATATACGTCCTTCCGTGCTGCACCCGAGGCTGCCAAATCAGCCGAGAAACTCTTCGAGGCTAGGCTCCTTTCTCGATGCCACTACGGATTCGTACATGTGTAATTACGTAGCACATATCCTCTACGGATCCGTCGTGCAAGGCCAACGAAAAGTGTTCTACTGTGGCCGACACGATTGACGTTGGCTTGCGCCTTACCAAGATGTAGGTACAGATCCCAGACCTGTTGTTACAGAATGAGCTCTGTTTGTTGGTTGATTGGTTGATTAAATGATCGAATTACGTGCACCTGGCTTCCTGGTGCTCCTCTTTTGCTTAGTACTTGACACCCTCTCACTGGTAAGCTATCACGTGACCTTATCGTACGGGTCAAATTCAATGTACACAGTGCAGTCTGTGACGAGACATGGGAGGTGTGGCTTTGGATGTTTGAAGCGCACTAACACTTTCCTCCGATGCACCTTTCTGACACCGCTGACGCGTTGGAGCCTGCTAACTTGAACGTTAGCCTGGCACAGATTCCAAAGGCTCCTTGCCCCAGCCCCCCAGTCCAGCAGCGCCACCCAACAAGGGTGTACATATGTGCGGATCCGTAGGTAGCATGTAACTACTGTACGGATTCGTAAGGATTGCTGTACTGTGGTATGCAGGCAGGCGCACAAGACAGGTAACGTGACCTGGCGCTCAAGTCGTGAAGCAAATCGGACCCACAAATCTCGCCGTCTCGCCCGTCTCGCCCTGCTCTCTCCCACAAAGAGGGTCGGGTGCCTTGGCCTGAGGTGGTCTTGGTCCTTTTTCAATTTAATAACAGGGTGTTTGCCCCCTCCCAGTCCAGTCCCCCTCGTCGCGTCTACACCTCGAACGCCTCACCCTTGGCCTGGACTCTTTTGCCGCCGACCTTGGTGATCGTGCGTCTCAGCATTCCCTCGCCTATCTCCTACAATCACTTCTTATCGCTCTCATAGACTGGGCTGCGCATCATTCATTATTCTTGCCCGCTAGAGGTGCTGGATCTTCTGCGTCGGCAAGCGCATCGTCACGCTACGCAACAACGACGCTGTTGCATATAGCCCTTGTCTTTGTCGCGTCGGTACGGACCCGTGCCTTGCAGACCTTGAGCATTCCCACTTCCAGCACCCCGATTAGAGGACCGCCATACCGAGTAAGAGCAGTAAGTCGCCTTGTTTCTTTGTCGGCGCCGCATAGAGATTCTAAACTTTGCTCCCTCGGACAGGTATGCTAATGAATTTCTTGTCCCAGTATATGGAAGAAGCACGTACTCGCCTTGCTGCGCTCGTAAGAAACCACGCCAGAATGTCCACCGCCACAATGACCGCCACCACGACGCATCAAGAAGAGACGAAGCCCTCCAAGCGACCACCCCTCCGCCCTCACACCGTTCCAGAACCGGGCTCGTTATGGGATATCATGCACGACCATCAGGGCACCTCGCTCTATGTCCTGCCCATCTGCTGGACTGACCTGCACACCCGATTGCTGGGTTGTCGCTTCGTTCAACAGCAGCCTCAAACCACCCCCGTACCCTCGACCTCCTCGTCACCTCGGAGGTCGCAGCGCACGTCGTCGACCGTTGTCGGCATCGGAAGGGACCTGGAATCCCTCATGTCCAGGGATTCCCCACGCAACATCCTGACCAAGACCCGAGCTCTGAGGAGTATCATTTCCACTCTGTTCCCTACCCATCTCGGCAAGGCCAAGTCGAACACGGAACTGAGTCTGAGATTCGGAAATCGCATTTACCACAAGGCAACTCGCGCTCAGGTAATATGGAAGCACCATGACGCATCCATGTCCTTTGACTCGGCCACCACCTGGACTTCTAGTAGATCTACCAGCCAGCTCATGGCCTCAATGAACGTCAATATTGCTGGTGATGCACCCGTACTCGCCTACGTCAGCAGAAGCAATCTCAACCACGTCAGACACAACTGCTTCAGGATAATCCAGGGCCCCAACAGGACATACAACGCACCCGTTCACCGCTTGCAGGCACTGCGATCAAAGAATTTGATGCCGAGTAACCCGGACGAGGATCCTCACTTTATCGCCACCATTATTGCTATGGCCCAACAGCAGGTTTACCAGGACGGCTTCAGGGATTCTCATTTCGCACCTAGAGATGTCACGGTTCGCCTCTTCACCACGACAGAAGAAGATGAGGCCTTCATCATTTACACTGCTACAGTTCCAGCCGCTTTCCTGAGCATGTTCCATGAGCCACACAAGGCACCCAAAGGCGACACGGAGGTCAAGATCGAGCACACACACGTACCCGTATGGCCCGTCCTAGGTCTCAAGGAGAGGCTGGCTCACGTCCTCGGTCCGGATCTTGTTGGTGATTTTGATCCGCTCAAGATCGACACGTTCCCAGATGAGGAACAGGACATTACGAGTATCGCAGAGGTTGCATCGCCGAAGCGCAGACGCGACGTTCTGTCAGATGTTCTTAACACGAGCTTCTCCGAGGACCGGCCGTCAAATACTCCAGACGATATCAATGCGATCGGCAAGCGGAGATGTCTTGAAGGTAGGGTTGGCGTTGTGCGATAGTGCCGGCAGCACTAGTATAGGAGAGTCGAGTGGGTGCTGAACCGAAGACAGGTGTGGAGAAGGTGAAAGCGGAAAAAAGGAGTGCCAGATGATGGTGGGATAGTGAAGATGGCTGAAAAGAAAAAGAAAAGCGCAAGATGGCGGGAGTGGACTATCAGCGCAGCGTCCAAGTAAGACGCAAACCACTAGGCCGACGAATTTGCAGAAGCATTTACCTCATTCTGTGGAATTCTCGTCACAGCTGGTTGATGAATCGAATGGGTATTTGGGCAGCAACAGACTGCCCTTGGTTTACCGACGGCGTAATGTGGCATCATGGAACATTCCCGCGTATGGCATAAGCGAACAACGAGAGCGATGACTCTCGAACTGGGCAGAGGCGTTCAACATGCATGGTATTGCGTTTGGAGTTTGGAAGATCGTCTGCTTCGCCGGCATGGGATAAACCTTTGATCACGATGAAAGACTGAATGTTTGGGGAAAGGGCACGACTTGAAAGAGCAAGGCAACGGAATTTTTTGAGATGACGATTAATGGCTTCGTATTGGGTTTGGCTTTTTTTTTTTTTAAAGCTTCTTGACTTCAGAGGATACCCCTTTGAGTTGGCGATGAGGCGATACACATGTTTCTGGACCCGCCAAGGGTCGTTGCATACATATAGCTATTGACACACATATTTACCTCATGACCACCAAAACACTCTTCGCTATGTTCACAGTATAACTTTGCTCTGTCGCTTGTTTTTACCCACTACGGATCCGTACTTTAATCAAGCGACCAATTTCGTGCTCCAGCCAACGCCCCGTGGTAGCCTTGGCCCGCACTGCCATAGTCTCACTGACAGCAAAGATGCCGTGCTACATGTTTCTAACCCGTCGGGTAAATGAATGCATCAGCCATGTACAGGGATCGGAGGAGACGTTTCTACGCGTTCATGCGATGTCATGCCACATAGAAACTTCTCGGGGTTTCAGAGGAACTGACTCGGCAAGAAACGATTAAAAAAAAAAGGATGACTTCAAAGGACCGCTCGTCTCGTAGACAAGTGCACGGACCCGATGGGAGCGGAACTAGCGCTAGCTTCGGCAAGTCCAAAAACGGGAACCTGAACAGTAAACAATTTCCATCGGCCAGTGACAAGCAAAGCCATGCGTTCGTCTGCTCGCATTGAGCGTCAATTCTTCGAATGTATGCTACTTGGGCGCGCGCGTCTCGTTCAGCGGTCCGCCCTGCTTCGAAACTCGGTTTAGCGGCACGTCTCGGCCGCCCTTTTCACGCCTCAGCGCCGGCCCGTGCAGCAGCGGATGCCACTGACCCGGACAACAATAACAACAACGAGTCGCAAGATGGCGCAGACAAGTCCAAGGACAGTGATAGCGCCGAGGTGAGCCAGGAGAACACCAAGGACGAGAATCTCCTCGGCGAGAAAGGTCTTGATGGCAATGGCGACACTCGTGGACGGCAAAGACGTCCGAACGCCGCGTCGAAGCCCCGCGCATCGAGACACAGAACACCACAAGAACTGCCACCCATACGTTTGCCTGCCGAGTTCTACCAAGAGTGTATCTATCGCTATGGGGATCTGCGCAAGGATGAATATGATGTAGGGCCTATCGACCCTGATTCATCTGCGCCTCGCGACGCAGAATCGCTCCTCGAACGGTTCGAAAAACTCCTACAGGATGGCTCTGATCACCTAGAGGCCTTCGATTCTGCTTTTAGTAGCATATTCGAAGCTGCGTCCTGGAGTCAGCACGATGTCCAGCTTTTCACAGAAGACATACAGCTGGGCAACATAGAAGATGCTGCTCAAAGGGGGACGATCGCGCTCATCGCAGCGTGGAGTTCAACGCTCAAAGCAGCGGCAATCATGCTCCAAGACTCACCTCTAAAACTCGAGGAATTTTCGAAAACCCTTCAGATGGGACAAGGCTATCAAAAGGACCAACTTCGAAAGGACAGAATGAAAATCGCCGAAATGAGGGCCCAGTATGCGGAAAGGATACGCCCTTACGACCTGACCTTCGAGCAGGCCGTGTCGATACTGAAGAACACCATGCGCTCAAAAATCCGATATGAGAGTCGTTTGGGCCTAGCTCACCAGGATGCGCTCTATGAAACAACATCCTCTATTCGTGCAGACTTCGCCATCAGTTCCCCCAAGAATATCAAGGTGGCTGATCTGAAGCGACCTGTCACGATTCTTCATTTCCCATACTATGACGGATTTGAGTGGCCGAAATATATTATGCAAGACATCGCAGCGGAGGTGGAGGCCGACGTGGTTCACATAACTGCTCAGGATATTGCCCACATTGCTGGGGCGTACCTCGGCCAAGACACGACTCGGGCACCAGGTCCACTTTCGTTACTTGGCTACAAGACAGCCGAAAACGCTTCGAGGATAACGCGACCTGCGGAGGAACATCTTGAGGAGGATCTACGTGAAGCCTCGCCATTCTCTATCGTTATTCCTATGGGAAAGCCAAAGAAGGAAGGGAAGAAGAAAATGTCCATCATGGACTACGTCCTCACCGAGCCTAGCAGAGGGAAGTCTGACGAGATGTGGGTCGACCTGAAGCTCAATGCTGTTCTGGAAGAAATGGTCCATGCAGTTGACTCGGATTCCGCCGAGCAACGTCCTCTGATTGTTCACATACACGACATCAACGCTCTTAGCATGGACGAAGACTGCGGTGCTCTGGTTTTAGGCAAGCTACGCAAGATCGTCGACGACTTGTGGGTAGACGGCAAAAAGGTGGTGCTTGTCGGTACATGTTCACGATCGGCGTCCACCAACAACATCGCAGCACTAAGAGAGCTGAGAAAGACAGACAGAGTTATCGACCTTCATCCTCGACCTGATGAGGCGGTGAAAGCCGGTCCAACTAATGCGGCTGCTATGGTGTCGGTCAGCGTTGATTCTAAGCCTTTCATCAAAAGGCTGAAGGACACCTCTCGTAAGGAGTACCTCGACGAAAACACACGGAATATTGCTACAATGTTGAGAAGTTTATTGGACTCAAATAACAGCAACGAGGAGCTTCGTATTGATTTCACGCTGCAAGCAATGGATAAACGACATCGTCCTAAAACCCTCTCAACAAGTCTCCTGCCCGTGTCTGAGGTTTACAGGGTTGTGAAGACTATGATTGGGCTCCGGAGGCAACGTCCAGAGGTCTTCAGTCAAGCTGTACTAGAAGAAGCGCTTCGACTTATCAAGCATATTGACAGCGAACACGAGCGCCAGAAAAGTCATCTCACCGAGACTGCGAGCAGCATCATGCGCCAGTTGACGGGCGAGTCGGGTGGTTCCTTATCCGAGTACGAGAAGAGGTTCATGTCTGCATTAGTGAATCCCAACGATCTCAAGACCACTTTCAAGGACATACACGCACCACCTGAGACGATCGATTCGATCAAAATGCTCACACAGCTCTCGCTCCTTCGCCCTGAAGCATTTGCATATGGTGTTCTAGCCACAGACAGAATTCCCGGCTGCTTGCTGTATGGACCTCCAGGAACCGGCAAAACGCTGCTCGCCAAGGCAGTGGCAAAGGAAAGCGGAGCCAACATGATCGAAGTATCTGGTGCAAGCATCAACCAAATGTATGTGGGCGAGAGCGAGAAGAACATCAGAGCACTGTTCAGCTTGGCGAAGAAGAAGGAACCGCTCGTCATCTTCATTGACGAGGCAGACGCGCTACTAGGAGCACGAGGAGGTCGCAACGATGCCGCTGGGCGCAGAGATGTCATCAACCAGTTCTTACGCGAGTGGGATGGAATGGAATCTTCAAAGGCTTTCATAATGGTCGCCACAAACCGACCGTTCGATCTGGATGAGGCTGTATTGCGTCGTCTTCCAAGGAAGTTGCTGGTCGATCTGCCATTGGAAGCAGATCGTGCTGCAATCCTGAAAATCCATCTCAAGAATGAGGCACTTGACGACACTGTCGCAATTGAGCAGATGGCCAAGCAGACCGCGCTTTACTCTGGCTCTGACCTGAAAAATGTGTGTGTCGCAGCTGCCATGGCTGCTGTGAAGGAAGAGCTCCAAGCATCCGAGAAACACACGGGCCCGGAGCCCTATGTGTGGCCCGCGAAGCGCATCCTGAACCGGAGACACTTCGACAAGGCACTTTCTGAGATACCCGCCAGTGCTAGTGAGGATATGGCAACCCTTGGTGCGATCAAGAAGTTTGACGAGAGATACGGAGAGAAGAAAGCAAGGCGCAAGAGGCGCGGCATGGGTTTCGAGGTCGTACCTGAGGCCACTGACTCCCATGAAGCGCGGGTCAGGAGTGCCGATAAGTGAGTGTCGAGTTTCGAGATCTGTACAACATGTATAAGTTCATATGTACAACATTCGTTACGTGCGCGTGCTGGGCTGTTACCATACTCCAGTGCACGGCACATGCAGTTTTTATAGACCAATGTTGGGAGTTTGGCAGTCTGCATAGAAATAGGGTGTCGAGTAGCGTACCGCCAGGTTGTGCCCATACAAAAACGGGCGAAAGGTGGCGTCCAATGATGAACCAAGCGTATCTGTATCCTGTCTTCTTGGAATTTTCAGTTCCGCCCTATTGCATGATGTATCTTGTGTTAACAGGACAGCAGAGGAGCCTCGGAAGATGCGCGCTTAAGAGAACTACTTGCTGGCCCCCTCAAATCGTACTGACCACTTCGCAGCCTCCGCACCTCTCTCGCACCCGCGTACCAGCACCAAATCAACCAACCAAAAACCACAAACCCCTCGGGCCAATCAACACATTTCTCGCCGCCTTGACAGCATCTACTTGCAACGATGTCGGACCGCCCCCAGGACTTTGACCTCACCGCCCTCTTGGGCGCCAATCAGCCTACCTTCGACTATGAGTGGTCCGTTCCGTCTGGCGAAGACTTGGGCTTCTCGGCCTGGCCTGACGACGGCACCAACCTCATTGATCCAAGCCTGCTCCAGATGCTGGTTACTGGCCAGGAGTCCAACGCTTGGGACTTCTCCGCCCTGCCGCCTGCAGAGAGCGGCTTCGACTTCGACCAATTGTGAAAAAAAATTTAGCGCCTGCTAACAAAAAGGGTGTCAAGGCACACTGGACCTGGGTGGGTGCTTTGATGAGTCTGGTTGACTGTGCTACATGGCCCTCAGCAGATCAAAGCAACTTGCCAATCAATAACCAAGTCTCGGTGCAGACCTACGGATCCCCACAATGGTCTCAAGTTCATGAGCACCCCATGGTGACTTCGTCGAAAGGCCTTGAAAGGCATGCACATTATCACTGCACCGAAGACGGATGCAACGAAATTTTCATTTCCGATCAGCAACTGGCGTTGCATGCCAAGGCGACAAAACATCGGGCGTTCAAATGCAGGCTCGAAAACTGCAGCCAAACTTTCTTCGACCCTCGACATCGGAAGGGACACGAAGCACACTCACACGTTCAAGAGCATTATCAAATCGAGGGCAGCATCCCCCTTGCTTGTATTGAGTGTGGGGAAGTGCTATCCAATCGTGCGCGGTTACAGGCACATGCGAATGAGAAAAGCCACAGTCCTTTCCAATGCGCCTGTAGGATGAAGTTTGCGCGTGTCGACGTTTTGCACCGCTACATCGACTCCTACAGTAGCGATATGCTAAAGCACCCTTGCAAAATCTGTAAGCTTCATCGTGGCCGGCGTGGGTTCAAGCGCCGAGACCATCTGGTGCAGCACCTTCGGGGTTACCACAAATTTGATGCCGAGGAGGTCAGTAGAATGCCATCATCTCAGGACAACTACAGGCGAGGTTTCAGTGCAATCGATATCAAATGGCGGATCTGCCCACATGTCGGCTGCGAGCATCATCGTGGCCCATCTTTCCATGATCTAAACCGTTGGAAAAAGGTAATCTCCGAACCATTCAAGAAGCTGTCCGACTTGTCAAAACACCTGAAAGGAAGTCCACGACGAGACACCTCACCCTTGCGACGTCCCGGGCTGTGACAGACGTGGCGCTTCAGGCTATATGCGCCAGAAAGATCTGATGAAACACCGGGCTGCTAAGCATCCTGAGCTCGAGCAGCCGTTTGAGGCCGCCCAACCGTCCGATGGAACGAGTGCGTAGGCATTGCGGCACTGAATGCTGACCACAATGCCTGGGCTGATTCAGTCAGAAGGCCCATGTCTGGTCACGCTCTGTAGATCTCTATCATCTTTGGTGGTAGAGATGGGCTTGTTTTGAATTCGGATCTCTCGCTCTAGCATTATCCAGTGCTACACGCAGTTGCTTGACGATTCGGTCGAGGCGCGCACATATCTGGATGCTTCGGGGTCTTTCTGTCCTCTTTCCCTTGGCTATTGATTTGGAATTACTGTCCTTTCGTCTATTACTTCACTAACCCCGTACAACTCTCGGCCCTGAAATCCTTTCGTCCACTTCACCTTTGAGATTCCCTATCACGTATTCGGGAGAGAGTCCCCGGCCTAGTCTTGGATTAACGAGTAATGAAAATTATCTTTCCTTACAAAAACTCCTGGGGCACGATACCTTTATGAATAAGATTTGTAGCAATGCCCAAAAGCCCCCAGCATGTTATCTGGCCATGCGCCCCGCCCCCTCCCGGTGCTTCGATAAAGCAATTCAGAAGCTTGTCTAGCATGACGTGAAACTACAAACGAGAACGGTGGCCTCTTCAGGCCGTGACGGCGGTGTATCACGCCACGGTCTTGAAGTGACTCTCGTCGCTGTGTAGGTATCAACCGACCGTTTGGTACACCAAAACGAGATGCCAAGGGTCAGGTACGGAGATTAAAAAATATTAAAATAAAAAACAGCACGACGAGAGGATGACCAGCAGAACATGCCGGCGCCATAATACAAGCGAAGACGGAAGACATGACGTTACCTTGCTGTCGCCAGGTCTGCCGGCGGCTCGGCGAAACACCGTTGTGTGTCGGCAGGAAGTTCGAGCGATCGAAGCTCTGGCATGACCTGACGGGCGACACCACGAAGAGCGATAAATGAAGATAAACGAAGCAATCGCCCGTATCGTCTCGCATACCTCGCATTCTGCCTTGGAAATCTCATGATGTATTTCAGTATAAATTCGTTCGCCCAGTCAGATGAGGCGCTATATATGTTTCTGTAACCTCTGGCCCGCCCTTGAGCTCGGGGTCCGAACGAGCTAGGGTATTGTAAAGTTACAGTAGATACAGTATATCCAAGTTGTGATCGGCCGAGATGAATCAGTCATGGCAAGGCATCGTGTTACTGGGGATTGCCCGGTCATTGGCTTCTAATCTAACTTTGGACCTGTCTTCATAGCCTCCTATTCGCCATGCAAAGCCGTCCCTGAGAAGCTCTCCCAATGTCCGCCAGGTCCTCGTTTTTCTCATCAAGTATTAACGTGTGTTGTGAATCTACTGTTCGCTTTGGGCTTACAGTTCGCGTCATGGCTGTGCATCACCATAGCAGTCGTTACACCGCCAGCCGCGGCGGTCGACTGCCATCTTCGCATCGTTTTCTACACAAGCCTTGTGATAATATGGGGTATCACAACTCTACCCGGGTTGTTAGCGAGGCAAGATCTTGGTTCCCGAAAGCGAACACTTACCAAGTTTGCGCATGTAAGTTGGTCCGGCCCTTGAAGCTGGCCGCACACAGCGCAACCGAACTTGTTAGTACCCCTTTCTGACTTTGGGGAGTCTTGTCCTGTCCGAGATGGAGCATGACTATATTGAGCCCGGGCGGTTCTGAGAATGCTCACGCCTTTGCGCACTGTGCCTTTATCTAGTGCATCTCTTGCATTAAGATAGAACATGTGCTTGAAAGCTTCATTCATGCGGTTTTGTGAAGCAACGAGCCACGCGGCTTTCTCCTCAAGAAATTCCAGATAGACACCTTGGAAGAACGGGGCATTGCTTACTCTCTGCGTTTGGGCGAAGGCATCCCACACAGAGATGTATTCTTTTTCGTCAGCATGTACATCCGTATAGTCTCTTATGACGTCGCGGTGTTTTTGTAGTTGCCAGGAATTATCGATGATTGGTTCGTCTACCTCAGAGAGAGGTTTCAGAACAGCTTTGCTCAAGCGGTCGTACATTGGCTGATTATTGTTGGGTATTTTCTGTTTGATAGGTCTCTGGTACCGCGAGAATATGCCCTTCTTTTGATCTGTTAGTACATGGGATGTGACAGAGGATATTAAGAATCCATACTCACCCCAATTGCTCGGTCTGAATCGGGTTCCCGTTTAGGCACGCCTGACAATCGTTCTTTCCCTGAGTCGTTGCCATCGTCGTTCGGACTGAAGTCCACAAAACTCGCAGTATGGTCAGCCCGCGGCTCTCCTTGGCCAGGTGTCGATACTGTGATGCGGCACACGCCATTTGCCGTCAAATCAGTGGTGAATTTCCATTCAGCATGTTGGTCCAAATGGGCCCTCAGCTGACCAACGGTGTTGTGTGCAGCAAAGCACCTAACACAAAGCCAGTCCTTGACCTGTAAGCGGTGTGCATTCGGTAAAAGGTATGTAACGTCTACGCCGCCCCCATTCTTTGCGTCTTTTCGTTTCTTACGTTCTTTCAATTCTTTGCCGCGAGCCTTATCACTTAAGAGCTTAAGGTTATAATTTTGTGGTTTATCTCTCATTCTGAGAGATCGGCTTGGCGTAACAGCTTCTTCTTCTCCGCCTTCTTCTTCTTCTTCATCGCCGACGTCATCATTCTCGCTATCCTCATGGATATGGCCGTTGACCAAATTCTCAGCACGGCCGTTGACATGACCGTTTGATAGCGGTGATAAGACGCCGTTCAGCGGCTTCTCGTCTGATTTTCGCGCGGTGTGCTCTTTCGGGGAGGCTTTCTCCTGGTGAGCTCCAACCGACCATCGCAAGTCAGTTTCTACAACCAAATCTGTGTCGATCTCCATTCCTGGATGCTTCTTGAGGTGCAGCGGAGTTGTTTCTCGCCCTTTTCGCCCATTCGCGCACGAGTATAGAAATCTGGACGATATGACCCACTGCCGAGGTGTTGCAGAGCTTGCAATATTATGCGCTTGGCTGGATAATAAGTCGACTGGAGGCCACTTGCCATCACCAGCAGACTCAAACTCGACCGTGATCAAGTAAGTATCTGCAGGCCTACGTCCTGGCTGGTCGTCTCGCTCCACGTATAGGTGCTCGGCGTCTATTTGGAAAGGTTGTTGCAAATGAACCCGTGCTAACCGACAGATGCCATCTGGATCGCGAAATATCTTCAGCTCACATGGCTGACTTTCGCAGTACATTGGTCGAGTCTCCACCCGGTGCTTGTATTCCAATATCGCCAACCTGCATCGGGTCCGGACCACAGCAATGGGCAAATTCTTCTTAAGAGGTGACCCATTGCCTTGCAGGAGCCCATTTGCATTTGGGTCTGGGAGGTAGCCGCGGCCGATCCTGAGAACTTCCACACGCAAGGCTCGGGGATGATGCTCGCTGGGATTCTTGGCCAGTGGCCCCACTGCAGCGACCATCTCTGCGTCGAGCGAGTCTTCATTCATGCGACGTCGTTTTGTAGCACGGGGGCCTTCACCACCTGCCACATCCTTCTTGCCATTTGTGGAGGCCAATCCTGTGAGCCCTCCAAAATGCTCCCATATCCGTCCTAGCAACGGGGATTTTCTGGATGGATTATGCGCTGACATAACTGAGCGGACGCATGAGACCAGGCCTGGAGTGCAAGGCGGCTTCCTAATTTCAATGCGTCAGAAGAAACCGATCAAGATAGTGCCCACCCAGTGATGCAACCCATAAATATCGTATGGCTCGTGAACATGTTATAAGTCCTGTGAAGATAAGGGGTAAAGTCTAGGATTTGAGGATGCGAAGTCCAGTGACTGGCCTGGTCACTCGGCTAGGGTGCTGGGCGTCTGATGCATGAGATGCAAGTCTCACGAAGGAACGCTCTTCATCAACTGCACTTGGTGACCAAGCAGGTGTCGGTCATAAAAACAAGGCTGCAGTAATAGATGGGGTGTTGCGACTGGTTGTTCCGATGGTATAAGAAACGAGCGAGGTGGGCACGTTGTGTTGCTCCTTGTCGTGTCTCTGTGTATCCATCAAGGAAGAGAAAGACGCGTGCTTACCGTGTAGAGTTTAACGTTGGACCCTGGTCGCAAGCCACTGAGGTGTCCTGTGCGTGTGCGTTTGCGGCCTGTGAGCTCTGAGGTTTGAGCTTTCAGCTTTGAGCCTTGAACAGCGATGCGCTAAGGGTCCGTCGCCAGGAGTCCTGGGAGTTTCGGCAATGGCAATGAAATACACGATCACGTGCTCAACGACTATGCGACTTGTGGGTTAAAGCGGACGATTAAACGCGGCTGATTGCCAAATGAATTTTCCAGAGCGAGTTGTTGGCCGGCTTTCGTGACTATAGGATGAGTTGATCATGTCGCTTTGTTGTGGTGTTTTGTTTAGCAAATTGATGAATCCCATCCCTCATGGTTTCGGTAAGCAAGCGCATTCATTGGCAAAGGGAACCTGGGAGCGTGTCTAGGCTACTAGGTTAGTCTAACTAGTCTAAATGAGCTTCACCAAGAAATCGCAATAGAGCTGTTGGGAGTACATAATCATTGAAATACTACAAATGAGCTATAAAAGCCATACAATGAATCTCTAAGTCCTAATTAAACGCGCAAGCATTGTCCCGTTGGCATACAATGACTTCATGATCGCGACTGATTGTGGAAGGAAGGGGATGCCAACCTTGGAGATTTCAGAATTGCAATCACCCTAGTCCACATAGCAGACTTGTTCAACAGTATCATGACTCTGCTCTTATAGGATGACCACACACTTCGGTTCGCCCACCAGAAGCAGCCATAGAACTGTTCGGGTAGTAACTACGAGTATCGTGCCCATTCAGCATGACGTTTGACCGAATAATAAGTTCCCTTGTTGCCATAACCCACGAGTCGATTTCGTTTGTCGTGACCATGTTCATACGCTAGTGACGCAACTCATGTTATCGTCAAGGTTCATGCCTCAAAAATGTCCGTGCCTTCTCTCCCGAGCACAAAAAGAAATCCGGGGACCGACCACTGTGCATCCATCCCACATCTTGTCACCTCATACTCGTATTGCTGTGATTCAAGCATGCGTCCTCGCCAGCGCGTATCAAGTGGTATGTGATTCCCCTGTAGTTTGGCGAGATGGTCTGTGAGAGTTGCTGACTCAATCTAGAAACAAGATAGATGCGTGACTGACTGTAGACTGCGCCAAACTCATTGAGCGCAAAAAGCAGCATAGGCAAATGAGTTCTCATTACTGGAAATTGGTAATTGCCTCTACCAACTTGAGGACGCGGCTCATAGCCAAAAGCAATGCATGCGTCGAAGTCTCTTGAAGGCATTGTCCTATCCTCAGGTGCTCTACTTGGAGTGTGAGAGTTGAGGAAGCGTGGTTTGTGAGAGAAATTGTCGGTGTGCTTCCAGCGACCACATACAGTGGCTCGAAAAACTATTGCTCCCTCGATTTGTTAGAGGACTCTGGCAGAGCTCGAGATTTGGCCAGTATCATTGACAGTCATGACGAGTTCAACTCCCAGCAGTGCTTTCAGAGCACAACCAGAGTTGGCAGTCAATGAGCAGCCAGTTCGCGGCTTGAACTGATAATCCCGTCGATAGTACTTGGAAGGTCTATAGCCCGGGGAGCAGAGAGTCAGGTTCTATCATGTTGGCCTCGACCAATTGACAACACAAATATTGCTGCGGTTGTTCGCATACACAAACATGACCAGCCTCCAGGACTAGCTGACCATCCTGCAACATGCGCATTATTTGCAATGGATGCCATTGTGCTTTGAGCTTGTCAGCAATGCCATGATTGCAGACAATGGACAGAAGTGGATCGAAAGCACGGGCCCGTCCCTTATCGGCCTCGGTCGCGGGTCGATAAGCGGTTACCCTCCCAAAAAGCAGTCGACTTTACATCGTCATCGCATTTCCCGAGTCACAACATCCAATTGTGAGCTGGACAATCTTCTGCGCGAACATACTGCCCACACAGTCGCTTGCATGGAATGATTGGGGCGTTTTTGTTTCCAAATTGCACGCTTTTCTTCCGCCTATTTCAGTGCCGCTCTGCAAAGCTTCTTTTGTGAGCTCTCTACATTCCTGCATTCGTCGCAGCCCCTCGACTGCATGTCGCAAGACTTGAAATGCGATAAACTTGCGACCGAATTCGACCTTATCACCAGTCGTTATCCCGCAGATTTTACGTCGGCGCTTTGACCGAGCGTAGTCGATATGGACTCAGATAGCTACAGCGAGGCTGGCCCTGAGCAGCCCTCCCGTCGCATGCCACGACGTGCAGCCAAGCTCAAGGAACCCGTTCGTCTCACCCGATCAGCCGTGGTACACATGTCGCAGAGCTCCGCTTCTGACGCGCAACCATCAGAAGACGAAACAACACGTCACGACATTTCCTCCTCCCATGAAGACGATACCGGAGATGAAGATGGCAATTTCACCATGGCACATTCTGGACAGAAACGCAAGAAGACATCGCACATCCTGACTGCCGCCTCCAAGCGCACTCGCCGATCGAATCCCTCTGGCAGTCGACCTCGATCATCTTCAGCCCACCCGTCTAGAGGACGCCCTGGAAGACCAGCAGTAAGGTCACCTGCCAAGAAGAGCCATCAGGACGTTGGTGAACAGACTACAATCGTCGTGCCTGGCGATTGGCAACACTTGCCCGCACTGGTTTGGTAGGTCTTTTCTCTAACCAAGAACTTGCTTTGGACTCCTTCATTTCAGATGGCAGTCTTCGGAAGAGACGCTGTACTGACTGGAGATGGTTTGTTAGGGAGAACATATTCGATTTCGTCGCAATTCCAATCAGTGACCCTACCGCTCGCAAAGAAGATATTTCTATAGCAATACGAACACTTCGTAATGCAACCAAAGCTGGCAGACCCCTTGTCGAACCTGCCATTGCCGCACGATATAGATGCATTCATCTAGAAGACTTCGCCAGTGCTCAAGATTTAAGCAGGATATTAGCTATCGATCCAGACCAAACGGCGCTGTATATCAGATATCGATCCAAGATCAAATCGTTGCGCATTGAGGTGCATGAGACGTTGAGCAAAAGAGTTCAGGGTCAATATGTGACATTATGGGAACTAATCCGGAACCTGCCCACCCTCGTGGATGTCGAGCTATACCATAAGACTGATCTGTCTTACACGAGGGACGATTTGGAGAAAACTGTCCGATGGAAATATCCCGACGAGCTACTTGATGCTCTGGCATTCGTGCCAGACAAGGATCCGGCTAACGATTACCGCAAAAAAGAACCCACCAAGTTGGAAAGCTGGACGTGGAGCTCGCGCCTCGCCAATGAATCGTATTCCTTAGAGAAGCTAGTGGCAATTCATCAGACGCCCAGCTTCGCCACCCTGCGAAAGATCAAATTCATCAACTACCAAGTACCCTCTCTCAGTACCAAAGTTGATGATGAAGCCGCCATGGCCATGGATTTGCCGGAGATTCGGAAACTCGCAACGGCTATAAGTGCATTGCCCAATCTCGAACACTTGGCCTTCAAATCCTCGACAATGGTTAACAACTCGCTGCTGAGTCTTCTGCCGAAAACTCTGAAGCATCTTGAACTCCAGGATTGCTACGATGTGACTTCGGATGCTCTCCGAGATTTCCTGTTGGCCCACGGTCACTGGATCCAACAATTGACTCTGGACCATTGTCGCGGCTTAAATCTAGACTTTCTCACAGTCTTGAAAGGAGCCTGTCCAAACTTGACTCATTTGAGCATGGACATGACATACCACAGGTATATCGAGAGTTACCCGGATAACGAGCCCGAGTACAAGGTGCTTCTGGGGCCGGGCCAGGTCCCTACGTGGCCGCCAACACTCCAGTATCTCAACATCCAGCCCATGCGCTCGTGGGGACCAGCCGTCCTCGAATCAGCCACAACTTTCTTCAGAAGCTTGACTGATAGCGCATCGGATCTTCCCCACCTCCGTCATATCTCACTCAAGCTCAAGATCAATGCTCTACGCAATGAGCGTTACAAGTTCAAGAGAACCTGGATTCCAAAGTTTGACAACATCTTCAAAAGAACTTGGGAAGACCCGAAGCCGCAGCCCCGTCGCAGATTCGTTATACCGATACAGACGGTCAGCCGTAGTGAGAGTCGAAACAGTGACGTGACCCCAGCACGACGGAGTACCCGCATCGCAGAGCGACCCCCAACCCCAACCCCGACTAGTCCTGCGGACGAGGTGGCCGAATCCAGCAAGCGCGCGAGACTGAACATGCTCCGCGTGCGGAAGGAGACCCGACGTCTGAGACTTCCTGGCAAGATGTACCATGCCGACAACGAGGAAAGTGAGGACGAGCTTTCAATGAATGATTCTGACTTCACACGAGTCGTTCCGATCTTCAAACAACGTCTCTGCGACGTTGTTGATGTTCATATCGATAACGGCACCGTAACAGAATATCAGTTTACCGAGAATGACTTCCTCGACACGCCCAATGACACCGAGGATGAGGATTACCAAGATTGAGCTGACACATTTCGTAAGTTTGAAAAATGGTTGAGTTATGACACGAAAATTGTTCCCGCGACGTTGTATTATGAATGGACTGACGGACACGGTCCCGCATGGCGTTGGGGGCAAATAAATCTGATTGGTTTTCGTATAGACATTGCTTTCATAGGCAATTAGTCTAGCATATACCCCCACCTGTATTCTAGGGCAAGGCGTCAGGCTGGCTTGCGTGGTGGTTCCACGAAAGGGACTGTTCTGAACATATGACACCAATGTTGTCAGAGTACCAAGTACGATGTAAGATTGCAGACAACGAATGACTTGAGCCGAACATGTCTCATGGTTTTGAAATGTAAGGACAAGTCATTAGTAATGTTTGTCATGACTGCTTTGTTGATCTAATACTATGAACTTATAAATCCTCGATCCATTGTTCAGTTCTTCAAAGGATAGTGTAGTACTTGCAGGATGCCATGTCAAGAATGTCACAAAAGCTCTTTTGTATTCTTCATAAAGGCATTGTTCATGGCAACATATCATATATAATAGCAGCTTTTTAGCCCATAATGATACTGGCCTGTACATATGCCTTCTAGGTCGAGGTTAATACAAAGATACATCGGACAATCAGCTGTGATCTTCAAAAATGGCCAATTTACAAGAGATGTGCCATGTAGCCGAGACGTCACAAGTACCGGCCTATCTGCCTACCATATTAAATACCATCTCAGCTGACCCCAATCACCAGTTCAATGTCCACTGTGCCATTTGTGGCGACCTGCTCAACATTTCCAGTAGTATCTCATCCCGCGTCCCCGCGTTTCTCTCAGCCGGTGGTCAGTCCTCCTCTCACCTTCCTTTCTACGAAGCTCACCACATCGAGCAGACAGCCGTGCTCTTCTGCGGACACGTCATCGGCTATGAATGCTACAAGAAATTCTTCGCCTCGCGCTACGGCGACTGGGCCGCGGTCGAGATTTACCATGCCCTGGTAACCGACGACGACCATGAGGCAGATATACAGGAGTCGTTAGAAAACCCGGCGCAAGATCCAGCTAGTTGTCCCATCTGCAGGATGGTGCTCAGGTTCAGAGACTGTAAGCACGCCATCCCCGTCAAATCGCCGTTCACGGTTGCGTTTCCGTTACACGAGGACTCGTTTGATCTCCGGAAAGGTCTGGAGGAGACCGTCCCGCTGACACTGCCAGAGGGAGCCGCCATCCCGGGGTTTTGCGCAGAGTGTGGGAATCGCTACGCCGACATGATAGAGCAGGAATACTGGCGCCCGAAATGTATGCTGTGTGTGCGTCAAGAAAACAAACCCGAGTACTTGGAGCGGGACCTGAAAAATATTTGTGGAAACGAAGTGGCACAGCTGTGGAGAGAGAGCAAAGGCGAGGATCATGCTGGGCTGGCCAGGTTGTATAAGGAGGTCTGCTTGGGGAAGCACGCGGAACAGATGAGTCTGATCGCGTACCCAAGGCGTGAAGGCAGAGATGTCAATAGGCAAAGGGCCGGCTGGTGGCACCAAAACCTGAGGTCTGTTTACCGGGAGAGGCCATTGCAGGGTGAAGTGGAGGGTGAGATGTGGTCGATATGCAAACAGAGGAATGCGCATGTGTATCACACGCATCAGGGAGCATGTGAAGGTTATCGGGATTCAGGAAGCCAGAGAAGAGGGGCAGCGGTGAGAAGGATGGTGTCCTGGTTAGACAGGAATAGTGTTGAGTTGGAGCAGAGAGTCTACGGCATGCATTAAACCTGTGTCAGATGTAAGGGGAAGTATCAATGAAGCTGGGATGCTGCAATAACAATGTACGATCTACTGTCTGACATCATGAGTACGAATCATTGCTGAATGTACGTTTCATCACATTGTATCATCTATCTCCCATGGCCGCTGGAAGGCAAATGTGATGGATCAGGAAGCCCCATCAGCTTCGGACGATGACGATGAAGATGAAGATAGCAAACAATTGTTGATTGACGAAGAGAGACGTGTGCAATTTCGAAACAGACATGTTTGTATAAATCTCTGAACGTTGTGTTTCCATGCATACATAGTCTTAACTTGAAAGTTTTTAAAAACAAATTAATAATAAAAAAGGAGATATTTGACTTTCGTCCAAGTGTTGTGCATAGAACTGCAATACAGAAGCAATATGCCTGACCACGATAGCCATTGGCGAAACCTCCATCTAAGTTCCAGCCCAAACCATTCAGTAACATTATTATTCATCTGCGCGACTACATGATCCAGAAGTGGTCGTTGCATGCCCAGGATAGGCCAGACTTGGAGCGACCATCTCGCAAAGCTGCTCCTCCCTTTCGTCGTACTAACTACGGAGACCCTGCTTCGACCGATACGATGCACAAAATTTCGTGATGATCTGAGCATTTCTGTAGAGACCCTTTGGATGGAGAGGTTCGCGCTGTTGCGGTGGCCAGTTAGCTATTGTGATTCCTAGAGCATCCTTGGCGTCAACGATCTGGTGTTTGCATGTTTCACCCCTTGCATTGCAGCCAGCCCTGAGCCCCGGATACAGGCACAGGTACATGCATATAGCTGTGCTACTTCCTTGCGTATGCTGGAGTTCTTGACGTTGAAGAATTCTGCGAAGCCGGATAACGTGGAATATGTGCCACTCGGCGACGTTTGCTGCAAAGCGCCACCCAGAGGCCCGGGCGAAGGGTCCTACACAAGGGATGAGGCAGGCAAATGGCGACTGCATCGGATCACTGAGTGCTTGGTATCGGGGAGCCAGTTTTGACTTAATTCTTTTGATAGTGATATCCCTTTCACCACAAACCCCGACGTCAATATCTCGGCTATTAAAGGAACACATGGCCCGAGTCCCTGTCCAGAAATACGTGGTCCAGAATGTGTATCTTCTGCAGTCTTATATAATCATTTTTAATCTATGATTGTGATTGGTTCAGAGCGGATGTGTTGTTCAGCTCTGGCTGAGGACTTGATGTATGACATGGTAGGGAGCTTCGAGCATGGGTTGTTTCCAACCAATAAATAACGGTGGGCTGTCCGGGGTTTCGAGAATGGCTCATAATCTGTCCTGTCAATAAACCCAAATACATCGAAGCCTCCTGATGATAAGGGTCGCTCTGTTGAGGAAGTCACGCGGACGTCGATCGATTAGGGGCGCTTGGAGATGGCTGGAAATGAAGAGCTTTTTAGGGGTTGCCCTCGCCATACCTGCATGGTATACCATGTGTTGTCGGACCATTGAGATGTGATTTTAGCAAACAGTGAGGCATGCATCAGAAACGAACGAATCAGCGAGAGCGAATTTACATGGATGTATGTAGATTGATATCCTGGGGCAATTGAGCTTAATCTTGCTTTTCTCTTGCTGCGAGATACAGCTGAGTATGCAAGTACCCGTTGCTTGGGATCAGCAAAAGAAATCTCGACATATATAACTCTCATTACTTTTTTTGTTTCGTCTTACAAATAATGAGTATCGTATACCTTCGCCTCAAGGATTTATGTGACTTGGTGATCACTCGTTCTGCAATTTCCGTATACTCACTTCGTTAAATTTCGCTATCATAAATAATGACGGCTGTACGAACCAGCATCAACGGCTTCCATGAAGCGGAACTAGTGGACATCTCAGTACTGAGAAGTCCTGCTAACCTCGGTGCTATCCTTCCAACTCTGAAATCCCTCAACGCTGGTCTCCCTTCGTTGACCATTGACAGTGATGATGCTCGATTTGTGATGTTGCAGGCGGCATGGAAACTGGTCCTGTCTTTAGAGACACCACGGGAAACTATGCTTAGACACTGTTGGTCTCAAGTCAGTCCTCCCCCAAATAATGACCGCTTTATTATATGGCATATTATTGAATGCCAATAGTCTGGTGCTGTTGCTGCTCTGAACACTGGTTCGGTGTCAGGACTTTGGCAGACAATGGCCAAGAATGGCGACCGTCCGCAAAAGGTGGGCGAACTTGCTGCAGCAACTGGTGTGGACGAAGTACTGCTCGGTATGTTACACACAAATCAAGGGCTGACAACTTTTACTCATGATACCGCTAGCGCGTATAATGCGCCACCTCTCGGCGATCCAGTACCTCGAAGAGACTGGCCCAAACGAGTACAAGACCACAAGCTTCACGAAGGCTATGGCTCATGAGCTCATGGCAGATAGCCATATTGCTATGTAAATCAACACCATTGAATTAAGCTAGTGCAATATGAGCGCCTGAATCGAAGTTTACTGACCGTCAACAGGTGCTCGGGAACAAGTGCCGGCGCATACCAATTTCACGAATTCGCGCGGGATAACAAGTTCCATAACCCCGTCGATGCCCACAACACCTCCATGATGCAGGCATACAAGACGAACAAGGATATGTTCCAGTGGCTCCAGCAGATAGGCTACGGTGAACAATTCAATAACCACATGCGAGCCTACGCTCAAGGCCGCCTGCGTTGGATGGATCCTTTGGTATTCCCCGTCGAGGAACGGCTTATCGAAGGTGCCGAAACCGCTTTTGACGCACCCTTCATTGTTGACATCGCAGGTGGTGTAGGACACGACTTGGTCCATTTCAAGACAAATTACCCTGGCCACCCTGGAAAACTGATCCTCCAAGACTTACCCAAAGTCATTGGTCAGATCAAGGAGCTTGACACAAGTATCGTGCGCATGGAATATGACTTCCACACTCCTCAGCCCACCAAGGCCGCTCGCGCGTATTTCATGCACTCAACTCTGCATGACTGGCCTGACGATGTGTGCGGGTCCATATTGAAGAATACGGTGGAGGCCATGAAACCGGGATACAGCAAGCTCTTGATCAACGAAAACGTCATTCCCAAGAGCAAGGCTCACTGGGAGATGACTTCCCTTGATATGGTCATGCTGACCTTGTTCAACTCTCGGGAACGCACTGAGGAAGACTGGACTGATCTTTTGGCGGCTAATGGTTTGAAGATTGTCAAGATCTGGCAGGGTGGAAAGGCTTGGGAGAGTCTGATTGAATGCGAGTTGGCGTAACACTATCTAGTCGTACCCCCTATACGTAACTAGAAGCAGCTCCGGATCAGCTTTTGAGTTCCAAAAGGAACTATCTTTCTTCGAGTAGTTTCTGGGAAGTGCACAGTTCTAGCGTGTGGGAGGCTGGTTTGATATTTCTGGCTATCGTTTAGATATGATATATAGGTGTCATAAATTCAACTTTTCTATCGGAGAAGCTATCAGTAATGGAAATAACCTAGACCCGAGGGGTATTCTGAGAAATCGAACTTCAGAGAGTCATCAATTCTTACAGTTCTTAGAAGTCTTGAGCAACCGTTTTGGATAATGCAGGGTTCCGATATTTCCGGCGTATGCATAATGACACACAAAATTCCATTTGCTAATCGCAACAGAGGACGTTGTACAGTGTTTACTGTGAGACAAGCGAGCCGTTGAGCTAAGCGGCGAGGAAGTGTTGTAGCAGTCAATCGCTCTATGGATGTTTCTTAGGTACTATCTATGATTCTGCTTCTACTTTTTGATTCTAAGGTGCTATACGGACATGGGCCTCATAACTACTATATTTGGTTATTTAGCAAATATAACACAGCTGATGTGGTACGGGCGATTCTGAGTATAATACTTCACCTAGACTAAGTGTAAATGGGAGTTTTGACTTTGGATGCCTGCTCAGATTTTGATTTCAGGAATATTGGTCGAAGCTGATTGAATAAACAACGATCGTTGGTCATTATGGCACTTCCACGATGCATTGCTCTTTTCGCTTAAATCTGCCCACCTCCAGACTGCGATCTTTGAATTTTGAGTTATCCCAAAACAATGGCAATATGCATTTATGACTGAGGATCGTACTTGTGTACTGGGTGAGCTGTCCATACCACCGACGACCTTCGTTCACTTTGTTGACTGGGGCATAACCAAGTAACTGAAATCTCCCCCCTGGCCAACCACGGAGCAACCAACTACTAGTAGTCCTATAATTCCTAGCAAACATGAGAATTCTCACCAATACTTACATTAATGGGCGACCTAGTGGTAGTGATGGGATCCAGCCTCGAAACTGTAGAGAAAAAACTTTTAATTACGGCCAAGTAGGATAAGAGGCTCAACCGCAGGCTTGGGCACTTGCGCTGATCGCCCGAGTCAAATACATTCTAGCTCCTCGATCTTTCTGATTGTTCTCATTCACTATTCATCTTGGAAGAAAGTTGCTGCTGGTAATGAGTTTCATCACAGGTTGTGGTCCGATTCCTTCTGAAACCTCGTTTCTCTTTGATCCTTTCGAAATATGGTCTCTAAATAGCTATTTACCCCACCACCACTCGTTCATAATAAATTATGTTGTACACCGTAGCCCACATTATTGTAGCTGCCGTGTTGATCCAGTAGCATGGTCAGGTAATAACATTAATGATCCCAACCAAGTTTGATAGTGAAACCAATAACAAAGCATGCATGATGCGTGGAAGTACGACACGGCCCATGGGTATGAACATTTGATTTGACCTGGCGTGCGCCAGGAAATTGAGTTCATTGACAACTTTATAATGAAGAGAAGTAGGCTATTGCAAACCTCGTCACTTTGAAAGCAACTCTTAGATGAACTATAATGAAAAGAGGGCATGGTCCAAATGTCTATGGTCTCCAAATTCTATGGCCACAGACTGCGTTTCTCCCAAGTCAGCTTATCCTCGCGAGTGTACACAATACGTCTATGTTGACGATCCGTTGCTCCTTGCCAGAACTCGACCGCCACTGGCTCAACAGCAAACACTTTCCAACCAGGCATAACATACTCGGGATTATTCCGCAAGAATGCTTGAGAACCGGCCATCCCTTCTCTCAGCTCATCTGGTGAGGTCAGGACTTGGCTTTGCTTTGACGCCATGGCACTGATCTTGGAGCTAGCAGGGCGCGAAAGAAAATCTCCAGCGCATTCTTTGTCGGAAAGCTGACCGGCACGACCACGAATGCGGACCTGGCGGCCCAGTTCCGACCAGTAGAAGGTCAAGGCGACGTCGGCGTTCTTTGTGATCTGTTGACCTTTGGGGCTTGTGTCCTTCGCCGCGAAGTGCCAACCGCGTTCATCGAGATCTTTCAGAATCAGGACTCGAGCGTCGGGGCACCCGCTCTCGTCCACCGTCGAAAGCGTCATGGCATGTGGTTCGGTAATTCCTCTGGCGATTGCCTCGCCGAGCCAGATCTCGAAAGCCGCATGTGGGGTACTGGGTAGAAGATCTCCGTCGAATTCCAGGAAGGGACCTTTAAGTGATGCCAATTTCCGCAATTTCGATCTCATCGTATCCTCCGAATGCGACATTCTGATCAATTACTTTTTTGCACGGAGAGATTTGGCCAAAAACTATTAATTTCATGACAATAATATGCTTGCGTCTACACTGAGACTGAAACAAGTATTTAGGAAAGCCCAGACTGTGAATCATAGTGTTTGGAGTCTGGACCGCTTTCGGAGGCATCTCGTATTTGCCGTGCCCCGCTACGACTCCAGATCCAGCTGAAGAGCAAGTGACACATCGATACTGCGGACAAGAAATGAAAACAGATTAGCAAATTATCAACGCGAATACGCTTAGCTTCCGGTCCAAACAAACTGCTACACATCGATTGCAGACTATGCAATATCACTTCGCCACTCAATCATCATCACATGGCAATAGCCAATCGTGACCACCCTAACTAGTTGCTCTTAAACCAGCCCCCGGCAAGCACCTCACCCAATCCGGCCTCCTTTACAAACCTATCTGGATCGAACCTGATCCTCTTAGTGATCGGAAACTCCTCCCCTGCCTTCTGCGGCGTGAACTTCTTCGCATCAAAAGCAGCCGGCTGCTCGTACAAGAAGAACACATAGCGATGAGGTCCGCTCAGCGGCGGCGGGGCCGGACCAATCCAGCTTGCCACGGGCGGGACATCAGAGTCGAGCTTCTGGTCGCCGGCATTCAGGCCCGGCTGGATCCCGTGCAGGATGGGACCCAGCACCGGGAACGACGGGAAGGGTCCGTCGAGGTCCAAAGAGAGCACGAGGTATGTCTTGCCCGGCTCTGCTTTGGGCCACCAGAGAGTGGGCTCCTTTTGTGCACCTGTAGGAGTAAGTCAGCTGACGTCAACACGGAGCTTTTTCGGTGAGGAGAAAGGAGAAGAGCTTACCGGCACGTCCAATGTGCTCGCCCCTCTGGACCTTCTTGTCGCCAAAGGTAAGGATAAGCTCTTTGGCTTCAGGGTCGGCGTCTACGGCGTCCATGGCCTTCTTGACGTTGTTGAGGTCTGGCATATTGCGACAAGCGTGGTGTTTATCAGTTGAGTATTCTTTGAAATGAAGTGCAAGTCTAAAGAAATTAGTGTAAAATTGTAGCCAACAGCGATAGCACTGATGTAGTCTATTGGACCTGGATGTTCGGAGCCGTGAACGCTTCATGAACGTTGTGTGGTTCGATGCTACGCCGGAAATAAGAAGCATTAACACCGGGAGCATGGGCTTATCAGGGATTACGACAAAGTCTCTTGTGCAGCACAGGGTCGTAACCAACTAAAGACCAGTCACCAAAGGACTTGGAATATTGAAAACAGCTGGCGTCTAAGAACGCCAATCCCGTGAATTAAAATTGTGAGCAACAAACCCCGCGGGATTGTTTACCACATGTTCGAGAACACAAGATATAGGGACGGAGATTGGCGGCTTGACGGTCTTTTGGGTACAATCTCCGTTTCAGACTTGCATATAAAGTCGTATATACAGAAAGTTGCATAGGCGCGTGGACTCTGGTATCTATCGACATGGCTTTGGAAAATTCATCTACTCACGTTTCATGTGCTCGCTCCACGCTTAACAACTACAAAGTACCTGTTAGATTGAAGCTGGATTTCTAAGTTTGTTGCATATGATAGCAGTAGGAGCCTACTAGCAACCAGTTCTGGCTTCCATAAAATATTTGTCCACTTCTTTGACCAAACTAACCAAAGCGAATTCCGTTGTTTGGATCCCATGGCCCCGATGGCGGGGGCTTGTTTCCAGTTCCGACATTTGGCGCAGGAGACCCTGCGAACTTGATGCCCAATTCGGGATTCCACATCGCTTGCATTGGATTTGCCCTGGGCTGCTGTGGTTGAGGAGCGACCGTCTCAGTTGGAGGCGCCCAGCTCTGGATGCGAGCTTCCGCTGGACTGTGGACGGGTTGTCTGACTGGCTGTTGAGGCTGCTGAGGTGGACTGTAATAAGTTTGTGGTTGTTGATGTTGAGGAGTGTGATTCTGCGTCGGAGTGAAGTTTTGTTGTGCACCTTGGTTGATATTGAGGTTGTGTAATGGCGGCATCGCTAACTCATCCTCCAACATACGTGCTTCTCGCCTTCTCTCGGTGACCCAGCTCCTGGCTCCGTCTCTGAAACCACCAACAATACGACTCAGATCGTTGTAGAACTTCCGTCCAACCTCAACATTACTGACAAGTTCCTTGTACTTGTAATACGCGTTCTCAAGCTTCTGCAGGGCCTGCTCACGCTCACGGTTGCCTTTATCGCCAACAACCTTCTTCTGGCCCTCAAACTCGCGATTGACACGAATCAGATCAGAGACCAGTTTCTCTTGCTCAGCTGCTTCCTTTTGCAGCTGCTCTAGATCGGGCTCGTATAGAGTATCTAGTCTCTTCTCAAAGAACTCCTCGAAGTGTGCTGGGACGATTGCGGTAGCTACAGTCTGGTTGCGTTCCAACCGGGCGGCCTCTCCAAGAATATCGGACTTGATGTCATCGCTCTTTGCTTTCTCACGGAGTGCCTCTGCCTTGCGACGCCGACGACTCTCAAGACGTGTTACGTCATTGTAAGCACTTCGGAGCCGACCAATGGCCGGTCTCAAGGTCTCGGGTATTTCAGTACGCCTTGAAGAAGGCACAAAGTCCATAATGCCCCGATCAGGGCCAGCAAGAACTACAAGTAGTTGCTCCACGGCGTAAAACTTCTCGCGCACCAAAGCGTCACTACTCGCACTATTACTAAACCATCCGCCTGCTTCGTTGACTTGGTTCCACAACTTTGCACCTTGAGTGGTCTCAGTACGACTTTCAGGGCGGGCCCATCGCTCCGTACCGTAACGCCGCCGCAGACGGATATCTTCCTCCTCTTCTGCCTCTAGCAGCTCCTTACCCTCTTCAAACATAGCAAGATCGCTCGAGCGCAATTTGTCAATATCCACAAAACTGCGTTGTAGGCGGCTTATAGCATCCGCTTGCCTGATTTCCTCGGCGTGCTGGACGAGAGTACCGGGCAAACCTAGAGGCTTCTCAAATGCTTGGATAGAGCCAGGTAGATTGAGAGAGGATAGTATCTCGTGGACTCTTTCATTCAAAACCTCTAGCTCTGCGATGATGTTCTGGTTAACGAGACGGTCCCTGCGCTCTTCGTAAATGGATACAGCGATATGAACAGAGTAGGGCACCAGCTTGGTGAATAATGGCGGGCCAAACTCGGATTTCTCATTGAGATGGTCAAGTGGTGCAGATACCTGAGGTGGTATCCGAGCTATTGCCATATTTGCCCTGTCAAGAACTTTGAGTTCTGACTTGGGCGGGACGATATCTGGAAATGGTTAGAATTGGCATAAGCTGTACGAGGTCAGGTTCGAGACGTACTAAGGTAAATCAAATCGTTGTCCTTCTCGGCCCTCCTCAGGTCTTCTTCGACACGTCTCTTTAAACCTTGGAGATCTTCTACAACAACTTTGTTAAGGTAGCCGCCTCTGCTCTCCTTCAAGCCCTCGTCCACACAAGCAACAGCATCTTTTAGCCTTGCCACTTCCTCGCCGTATTTTCGTTTCTCTAGGCAATCACATGCCGCACGATATTGTGCAGCGGCGGCAAAGTGGTGGTGCTTGGCACTCATATGGTGTATCCAGCTACTGCTGATTGCTTCGGAGCGCATGGCGGCCTCTCCTGCTAAATTGTACAGGTCACTAACGCGAGCTGCAAGCTTGGTTATCGACGCATCCTTATAGCCGTCCATAACAGCTTTTTGCCAATAACACTCCTGACTCTGGGCCAACTGTAGCTGAAGCAGGGCCTCGAGAGTATGTTCGTCCATATCTTCGGGAGGAGTAGTCCGCAGCTCTGGTATAATGCCATCTTTCAAGTGCTTTAAGACGCCTGCCGACTGGTTGAAGTAGCTTGCGGCTGTCTTCAAGCCTTCGGTATCTGATCGATTACTCGTGACGGCAAGTTGCGAGTATAATGCGGCGAGGTTGTATAGAACATTGGCGAGCTCGTACTGGAGATTGTTGTGTACAATGGGCCGTTCTGTATTGTAGCCCAGGGACGGGTACCAGGTAAAGTCGGCGCCAATATCTACAGGGAACTTGCCGCCCATCCAGACCAGTTGTGCAGCGTAGGCTTGCAGCTTCTTGACACCACTCGGATGTGCTTCTCGAACGTTGACTGCATCGCGACGCAGTGACTCAATGACGTCGAGGTCCTGTCGGAACATATCCGGATGCTGATCATACTTGGTGGAGATGTACTGCCTCACTGCAGTTGACAGCGACAACTGCGCACCCTTTCGAAAGGGTATTGATAGAATGCTGTTCTGCATGGCGAGGGTGTTTACTTGACGATGTTGGGGTTGGGGTTTGATGTCTGACAGACAGGTGGAAGGGCGGCGAAAAAGTTGGAGATGCCGACGTGAAGATATAGACTAGAGAAGCGAACAAAAGGTCATATCATTGTTGGTGTGCCTCGCAGTCACTCGCGGTATTGAAACAACTATTGCTTACGAGGTATGCATATTCACCTCGTTACCTAAACCAAAACCAAAACCAAAACCAAAATCAAAGACAAAATCTTGGTGATCGACGCCCAGGAAGCAATGACTTCATCCCGCGGGCCCAAAAAAGAATGTGGCACCTGTGGCTCCGAACCCATGTTGTGGCCATGTTGTGGCGGTGCGTGTGTCAATTATTCTCGCATCTCACACGAACTCTTTCCCTCAGGAACCAAAGTGCTTTCCCTGCAACGAGACAGAATCGCATTGTTCTTCTTCCTTTCAAAGCCGGCCATTGAAATCCATGGCAGGTGGGCTCTTGCATATGAGCAGGATTGTTTACACCGTCAAAGCGCTTCATTCGCCATGTGCATGACGGAAGAAACCATAACAGGGAGGGGCTTCGTTGATAAAATGCTACGGCGCCCCAGTTTGCATGTGAGGTTCAGAGTAATTGTTAGTGCATGCTCCTTTGCAGCATCTTTTGGTGGCATGGGATAGTTACGTTGCAAACGCTTCCGAGCTCAGCTTGCTATTCGCCGCCGACCGATTATTCTCTCTCTCTCTCTCAAAAATATTTTTTTTTTAAATTAAAATTAAGAAAAGTTTTGCGACGCCCCATCACGATATGTATTACTAGCGCACTGTGTCGTCGTTCATGGTACCTATCGAAGCGCAAAATACCTAAATACGCTTGCCTTGTCTCCAGTAGTTTTATGATTATACACCCACTAAACTAGTATTACGTGTGTCCGGATTTCTAACTAGTGTTGAGACTAGCTCATATACGGGCTCTTAAGTTCTCTCACTCATCATTGTAGTTCCTACTAGACTACCGACATGTAGGTATTGACTAAGATACGCCATTTCCCCAACCGTTGCGTTTCGGTATGTGTAGTCGCGCAGTCCACCGCTTGATATCATCGTCCTGGGAAAGGTACCGTAATTATATCTTCACTGTATCAACTAGGTTAGTCAGATTGACTTGGGTGATAGTGGATAATCTATGAGCAAATAAATCGCCTTCTCTTATATCTCCACGGCTGCTGAAACATGTTCTTTGACCCATCTCTTTATCTACAAGATCAGTTCATCGCACGGCCACCGCTCTGACTTTTGTTTTCGTCGTGCAGAGACCCAAAGTCTATTGGTAACGTGATTGGACGTAGCCCGATACTGGTACCAATGCGCGAATGCCAGGGCTCCTGGGTGAAGACAAATTGGATACATAGACACAATAGATCGAGCCACAACAGCAAATAAGCATGCGGGACAAACCGATTGCAGAAACAAGGAAGCCATGAGGCTGATGCACTGTGTGATGTTGGAGGTCAGATAATTAAAACTCGTGGCAGACGTGGATAGTAAGCAAAAGTGGTGGGCCCCAATGTAACTCTGATGCTAGTTCCAGCTAATAAGCTATAGAGCCAAGCATTCAACGAACTGATCTCGCAGCACCACAGTCAGCATTGCCCTGATTCCCATGACCATGCACATTTTCGCATTGGCGGGACAGCGCTGGTAAATAACTATCGAACGACAGCTTGACCCTTCCGCCGTGACAGACAGACAACTTCTAGAGGCAATTACTGTCCTTGCAACGTCACTGCGTTGGCCTTACCTCTATCTGCGCTTATGCCGATCAGGCTGGCGAATCTGCTGGGATGACGATAACGCAAGAGTTGTACAGCGCCAAGCCTGCACGTCAGGCGACCTTTTAGCTACGGGATACGGGTTGTGGGTCGTGGGGTTGGAAGAGAGAGTGTGTAACAGTTCACACGGTCACACGTACCGCTCTGTTATAACCCCTCATGCGGCTGAAATAATACTGGACATCACCTGTCAAACTCTAGATCTTCGTTGTTTTACGTACAAAAAACGTACAAAGAAACGGAGACGATTGGTAGCCCTTGTGATGACATATACAAACCCACAATGGCTGCTATAGCTCCTTCTGTCACGCAACCTTGTCAAACCTGTGGCACCACCAAGGACAAAATTTATAGCTGCGTCCAGTGCAACAACCTTTCGTTCTGCGACGGCTGTTGGTCCAAATGGATTCTTCACTTGCCGGGTCAAGTTGGTTGGTGAGTCCTATTTCCAGGCTTGGCCTAGGAGTCGCGAGAGTTCTAGTTTGCTAATTGGTCATTAAGGGATGGCAGGGCACATGAAAGGTCGGACCCGTTGGTGGTGCTTCGTATGCGTCAGATCCTCGAGCCTGTTCGTTCTGAAACCGAACATGAGGCTGAATTGCGCGATGATGAAGATACTTCATGGTTTGGCTTTGGCCGCGATGGTACCGGACACCCCGTTTTCCATGACTATGGAAGATTTGCGGCTATCATGGCAGACTCTGTGAGAGAAGACGTCCCAGAGCGCCATCCTCAACTTGCATCCTTTATTGGCGAGACTGGTAAGACCAAAATCACTGTTCAAAGTGATGGGCATATACTGAAGCATGCTTAGGAGCTGGCAAAAGCACAATAATTAAGCTGCTCATAGACCGACAGGATCTTTCGTCCACAGAGGCTCCGAGATACTACTCTCCGGTCACTTCCTCAAATCATGACCGTATCCCTACAACGGGCGACGTTCATCTATACGCAGATCCGTCGTCCATACATGCGAGCCAGCCGTTGCTGCTTTGCGACTGTGAGGGTCTTAGCGGAGGAGAGATGCTGCCAAAGCAATTGAGGAACCGAGCAGACGACCTTGCAAACGGCTACAAGACCAGTCAATCAAGAAAGATCGCTTGGGCAAAAACACCCAACACCAGAAAGAGGGAGTTTGCAGTTGCGCAACTCTACCCTCGCATTCTTTACACATTTTCTGATGTCGTTGTCTTCGTGTTGCGAAACCCAAGAGCATTCGAGTCCACTGTCCTGCCCAAACTCTTAAAATGGGGAGCAGCATCAATCGACAAGTCGCTAAATCAACCAGTACTTCCACATGCAGTCATCGTTTTGAATGCCACAGAACCGGGCGTTGACGAGAAGGAATGGGATGTCGATACGGCCACTCAAATGCTCATGTCTGATATTGCAGGTGCGGTTCACAGAGAGCCTGTTATCCAAGACTACGTCACGCAATGGCGCAAAAGGGGAAAACATATTGGCAGCACCAAAGAGCTGCTGGAATGCTATTATGCATCCGTCAGTGTCGTCAGAATCCCCTACAAGGGCTCGTACATGCTGATGAATGATCAATCTGGGAAGCTAGCGGACCTCATTCGGGATCGTGCTCAACTCTCACATCTGAGGAAGAGAAAAGTACGCATGCTGGCTACTCCGGAAAAGCTTCAATTCTACCTTCATGCTGCATTCGACCACTTCACTACCGATCTGGACACCCCTTTTGATTTCATTAAAGAGACGTTGCGACATAGTCCCGTCTCGAGGAATTTTGAAGGCAATATCTTGAATCTGGCCTTGGCAATCCGTGATCGAGCAGCCAACAGCAAGGTCAAGAACAACGCAAAACAGATTTTCCGCGCGATGGTGCCAATAATAGCATCTTGCGTCATGTTCGACACCGTACGCCAGAATCTGCTAGGCACAGCATCGCGCCTATTGGATGACAGATATGCGAAGCCTTGTACCGCTGCCATGCAGACGTTTGCAGACATGCACTGGCCATGTAGTTTCAAAAATTCAGCCTATCCTGGGAAGTCCGGACAATGCTGCAACATGAGGTCTGGCCACAACCCCAAGGGCCATCAGAACATCCAGGGCAAAATCATCGGCAATGGAGATTATGAGTCTGATCTTGATCCTTCTGAGTTCGCTCCAACATGGAATCATTTTATAAGACAGAGCCTTATCCAATTGCAGTCGTCTGCTTTCAGACTTAGCCAGGAATTTCCGGACATGCCTGAAATCCAAGTCGCTGCACTCCTACACCGAGAAAGACTCAATGAACAGTACTCGAATATACTCGGAGCTGCAACCGACTTCATCAGCTATTCAGCCTGTCTCTGCTGCTTACGAGAGCTCCCAGAATGTGCTCTGCCTTGTGGTCATGTTCTCTGTCTTCCCTGTGTGCAAATCTATGGTACAAGGACGTCAAAGACGACCATAGAAATCAGCCGGTGCCCATTGCACATTCGAGACGTCATAGCAAGCCCTCCATGGATTCTCAACATCAAGCCTGATCATGCTGGTACCCGGACGCTCTGCCTTGACGGTGGTGGCATAAGGGGGGTTGTCCAGCTTACTATCCTCCGAGAAATGGAGAAGATCCTCGGGCCTGAGCTACCACTACAGCTGTTTTTCGACCTCATAATCGGCTCTAGCATGGGCGGCATAATAGCGATCGGCCTGGGAGTGAAGAAATGGTCAGCCCAGGCCACCATGGAAAAATTTAAAGACCTTTGCAAGGAGGCCTTCATTCCACGCGAGATGAAGAATGTTCCCGTTTTCGGCATGATCTCAAGCTTGTACCACGGAAGTCTGTACAAGACACAACCATTCGAGAAGGCGCTGAAAAGGTACTTCTCTGAACAGCCCTTCTTTGGCGTGAGCACTAATAGGTCACGTCACAATGTGTCTCTCAAGGTAGCTGTCACGGCATCTACATTGATTGAACATCAGGCTGTGGTGTTCGCTAACTACAACCGGCCTGACCCTGTAGAGAAAAGACTTCCCTTTCAATTCGCGCGTGCGGATGTGCCATCGAGAGAGATCCGTATATGGGAAGCTGCTCGAGCCACTTCTGCCACGCAACCCTTCTTCAAGCCGTTCCGCAAGGAAGAGACGGATTATGAATATGTAGACGGTGGCGTCCATCAGACATGTCCTATATGGGTTAGCCACCACGAAGCAAAGGCCATATGGAACGACAAACACCGGCCAGATCTGGTTCTTTCCATCGGCACCGGGCAAAATGTTGGCGACAAGCGAGCGACCTCAAGCACAAGTCATTCAACACCATCCGTCACTGCTACTTCAACATCCATGGCACCTGGAGCTAGTGCCGTCATGAGGCAGGGCCGTGGCGGTGCTGGCAACTACAAAGTGCGCGGCAATACCAACACACCTTCCTCAGATTCTATCAGAACTTCAAATGCCGGATACTTCTACCGTGATCCACGAACACCAATGTTATTCTCCTTCAATAACCCGGGCGCCGGTGCAGAGAGATCTGATGACCACAGAGAAGGCGAAGAGATCTGGAATAAATACATGTCACGGGGATTTGTGGCAGAGTCTGACCGGTCAAGATACATGCGCATGAATCCCGAGCTCTTCTCGGAATTGCCCAAGTTCGCCGATGTGACGAAGATGGATGACCTCGAGCAACACACAGAAGATGCGATTCGACGAAACCCCGGTATTGTGCTGGAAGTTGTTCATAGATTGGTAGCAAGCACGTTCTTTTTCGAGAAGGACGCAGGGCCTGTTAAGCAGACCAGCGAAGGTTACACATGCACTGGTATGTCTACTCACTACCTAGACTTCACTGCCTCTATTTCTAATGCTCGTTCGATGTAGGTGCCATATACTGTAGATTCAGGCTTGGATCTTCCGAGCTCAAAGCCCTCGGATGGCTGCTTGTCTCTACCTCCTGCCTCGAAGGCGATTTCGAGCCGTACTTCCTGCTTGAGGAGGACAAGACACGCTTGCCTGCACGACAGATTGTGCTCACTCAGACGATCCTACAGGACATGCATTTCCACGGGCATTTCGAGCTTGAACCTCTGACCATTACCACACTTGACGAGACGTCCGAGATCTCGCTCTCTCTCATATTACACCAGACTCCATATCCATCCGGCAGTACAGTGCTACCAATCAGTGGCTTTCCCAGACGCATCATGTCCGAGCCAGCAGGCAACGTGCCTGCTGGCTTCGGCGAGATGAAATCAGGTATGTTCCCAATCAACCCAAGCTCATGTAATAAATTTCATTCCACTGCACACCCACACATACACGCCGCCGCCTCCATGTATACTCACGCAGTCATCGTTAAGAGCAGGAGCCTGCCAAACCCCCATTCTCACAAGGCAAAGAACGGGATCTTTAACCAGTTTCTCTTTACGAAGATCGCTCATCCTTGTTCTTCACATTCGGGGAGGAGAACTGGGGTACTGTAAGCAGCAGCTACTATAGGCATCAAGAACTAACTTTTCGTCTCCTTGGACGCAACAGGCATGTCACCCACAGCTAGCGTTCTGGAGAGGCAGTGCACGGGCAGCTTGCTATCGACACCACCAGCTGTCTCGTCGCCGGAATCGGTTGCAGCGAGCTTAGTAAGCTCAGCGACAAGTTTAGACACACGGCCATTCAGCAAGATGAGTTTGTGGGATGAGGCGGACGAATACAGGGCTGAGTTGGAAGGGTCGTCGCCCGCTGTCGAACTTGAAGGGCACGCATTTGGTAGCACTTCATTTCCGACGAGTGGAGAGGCCAGGATGAGGAAGTAAAACGGGATCTCTATTTTGAGTGCGGCCAAAATGGCACTTGTCTACATATCTGGATGAGACCGTTCGCGCATGTGTGGAATTTCATGTTTCATTATCGATAGAATACGAGTTGACTATAGGCGACAGAAAAGTCGTACGATTTTACCTGGATTTGTGGGGCCTGAAAGCGCACCTGCAAGGATAAGCTCTCAGTATCAACCGTAAAGGTGCCATTAATTGTTAGATGGTCAATCGTGATTGGCCGCAAATGACTTTTATATCCAGGTTTCTATTCATACCCTTAGTTTTAGGTCTATTATACTATATTATATTGGCACATCTATGATCTCTGGTCCACGGGATCGTGAGGCCTGATAGCCTCCTCGGAGGCTATCTGGCTTGTTAAGGTTCAATCGGCGTTCTCCTGTCATTTTGGCGGGAAGCACTGTATGCGTACTGTGGCTCACCCTCCAAAATCCCGCGCCCACCAAGTGACGTTTGATCCCCTCTTGGCCGTCCAACAAAATCGCAAATCTCAGCAGCAGAACTCCGCGGTGACCCCCAATCACAGCCCCGAAAATTCCCTCAAAAAACATACGATAAGACTTTCTTTCTCAGATGTTCAAGCCTAGGATCAATTCCACCCTTCTCACATCCACGAGAAGAGGATTCACGAAGCTCACCTACTGCCAGCCTCACGCTTTCTATAGCTCAACAACATCTTCATCTAGCACATCAGCACTGCCCGTCAGCCCAACAAAACGCAGCTGGCGCACCATGCCGGACAACGACATCACCAGGCACCTCAAGAAGACGCACGACAAGGTCTTCGAGCATAACAAGATATGGGCAGCCGCGCAGTCTGAGAAGGACCCGGAGTTCTTCGCGAAGCTGTCGTCCGGCCAGGCGCCCGAGTACCTCTGGATCGGGTGCTCGGACAGCCGGATCCCCGCCGAGGCCATCACAGGGCTGGAGCCGGGCGAGGCGTTCGTGCACCGCAACATCGCGAACCTGGTGTGCAACACGGACCTCAACGTCATGAGCGTCATCAACTACGCCGTGCGCCACCTCAAGGTCAAGCACATCGTTGTTTGCGGCCACTACGGCTGCGGCGGCGTTAAGGCCGCCATGACCCCCAAGGACCTCGGGCTGCTGAACCCTTGGCTTAGGAACATTAGGGATGTCTACCGCTTGCACGAGTCGGAGCTCAACGGCATCAAGGACGAGAGTGCAAAGTACGACAGGCTGGTCGAGCTCAATGTTATCGAGCAGTGCCGCAACATCATCAAGACGGCGGCCGTCCAGCAGAGCTATGAGAAGAATGGGTTCCCCATTGTGCACGGCTGGGTCTTTGGTTTCAAGGATGGCCTGCTAAAGGATTTGGAGGTGGACTTTGCGTCCCAGTTGCACGACATCCAGAAGATCTACAATTTGACAGACACTACCTAGTTAGGGCGGTTCGTGCAGCAACGTTTAAAAAAATATTATAAAAAATTGGGTTGCGTAGCGGTCTAAATTGGCAGGAGCTAGGTCGGTTCGTGGAACGGGCGTGCATGGAGGCACAGGCGTTGAGGTAGTATCGTTCACACCAAATGAAATGGAATTGCGGGAATGCTATTCCAAGCGAGCAATTGCATCATCTGGGCACTAACCGATTCGTTCAATGCGGAAAAGATGTCAAAGATTCAAGCTTTGGACTTACGATCTGATGACACAGCAGCAAGGCCGGTGAAAGTACCTGTAAATTTATTGAGTTGAGCGTATGTAAAGTTCCAGGTGCTGTTGTGCTGCGAGGTGGCGCAGAATTCCGACGGGTGTTGTTGCACAGCTGTGCTACTTTTCGTATTTGCTATGAAGGTGTTTTCTAGCAGGTCATGCCGCATGATTGCAATCCGTGTCGAGTTCTCTCTGCACGAGCTTGCTGCTCTGTCAAATTCATGCAGCCACGGCGGGATAAGGTACTCAGATACTGTGTTGCTCAAGAAGTTGCTTATCTTCGCTTCGTGTATGAGATCCCACGTGAAGTGATTAACCAATGATGGCCGAATGTCGCATCAGGGCGGCCTTGACTGCAGGACACTACTGTCTGTTGAACGAAAATTACCGCGCTTCCGCTGGGAAACACAGAGTAACCCGGTGCCAAGCCAATCTGGATAAGGTTATTAACAGCCACATACAACGCAGGCTTGTTTGATCGAAATTGGATGCCACCCGGTAAATGCTGATTTGCATACACTAGTGAACTATATACCATTTGTGTTGCGATAAATCGGGAACTTGGAGCCGCACGTCCTGTCCAGATTGGGCAACTCGCGAAAATCGCTGTCGTCCAGGGTCTGGGGTGGCCAACGTGGTAACCAAAGCATAAACTGTGAGCTCATCCTCCACCTGTCCTGCGGAGTGCGGATGACCGAGCTGGAAATGGTATACTCGGGAATAATGACCGCTCGGTTATATCTCGCAGTCCGGCGCTATGCAGCGTGCCCAGCTATAATGCAGTGTTGCCAAGTACAGAACCCAAGCAACGCATTCAAACGTTCAGAGGTTATAGTAGGTTCCTGATAGGCTTTCATCAACGTGATACAGGATAACCTCGAGAGTTGCTGGATTCGGCAGTGCCCTCTTCAGTGAAGAGACAGCAATATATGAATGGACCAGACGAGCTATCACGGTCGACCTAGTGATCTTCGAGTTTATGCGGCGTCGTAACCTTTTGTGGCCATAGTTGATGCCGTAATCATTGAACCACTATAGGTCATTGGCAGCTGAGAACGCCGCGGGAGAACGTTCAGCACATGCTTGTGGAGGCTTTACAATATCGTGAGACATCTTAGCTCGGAAGTGGTGGTCCTGCCTGCCAAAGGAGAAACACAAAAGCATGTCAACAGCCGACAGACCACACGAGGTATCGGCCACATGCAGAAGCGAATGCCGGTCCGAATCATGCTATGTCTCGGAGGAAAGTCAGTGTTCTCTGGGCTTAAGAGGAACATGTTGGTCAGAAGGCGAAAAGTCAATGGTCCCGGGCATAAGTTTAAGTTGGTCTGGCATTGGACAGGTTACAAGCCTCCAATGTGTATTGGAGGAGCCCAATACGCTGGTCGAGTATGCCCACTCGAGAGTGCTACAGAACACAGAACGACCACTGCAGTTTGTGTTGCAGAAGACCCGGCTTGGCATCAATCAAAGAACCCTTTCAGAATGCCATCTAGACGTACTTGGGTGGTCACCCAGGTTTCGAAAGGAAAGCTAGAAGCCCTACACGTGCGACCAATTAATTTGTTCATGGATTCCCCAGATACTCTACCCGGTGTGCATGTTTCACGTTGAGGAGCTACCATATTCGGGGGTGAATTCTTTTTGAGGCGGCCGTCAAATGCCAGAGCTGCGGTTCCTAAGCGCGAGGTCTACGTTGCCAGTACGGACTAGTCTAAGGTTAGGTATTTCAAGTTAGTATGCACAGACTGTTGCATACTACTCGTAGATTATGAAATTTAACTCAATGCTGCCACGAGTTAGATTTGTGCTGAGAGAAGATCATGTTGAGGCTGGTGCCGGTCGATCTGGCCGATCGCTACTTGCTGTGGATTGCTCAGTACCTGGGGTGCCCCACGGCACGGAGGTTGGCAGTGGTCGAAGCGGGCCTGAAAGAGAAAGAAAAAAAATACACCTCGAATAAAATACGATCAGCGGGATGCAGCTGCGCTGCGAGCCGCAGTGCGTTGCGTTGATTGCGAAACCCCCTTTTAAGCGCAATGATGATCTCCTACTGATAGGTTGTGAGTGGTGGATTGCAGATCTGCTGGTTTCGAATGCGTCACATTGTCACGGCATTGAAATTGGTGGGCTGTCAGTATTTCCGTCCATTGACTCGACTGTCGTGATTTAAGTTGATGGCAGTCAAATTTCGGTGCTTGACATCGTTTGGATTAGATGTCCGGAGGAAAGCATGACACCTTACCACGCCAGAAAGCCTTATTTAACCTGACGTACTTCAAACCAACAGAGCCAATGTATCCCGAGTCCGTGGGGCAGCTATGTAGAAGCAATGGAATCTAGACCTTGGCCGTCTCCGCTCAGAGGGGTTTGCTGGATATGGGAATCCATGTGGGAAAGAAAGAAAAAAAAAACATGAGCTTGGAAGCATTTATGGTTTACCACCATCGCATTGTACACGGACGACTGCTTCGTGAGTCGAGTCAGCTTGAGATAATGAAAAAAAGCGTGTTACTGTAAGACTCTGTACACACAAGTATCTGCACACTAGTGGCAGAGCACTTCGACGATCATTTGAGGGCAAATGTTGATCGAGAAATCTCTTTCTAACCTGGGGTTATCGTCACTTGTCATTGGCGGCTACTACCCCCACCACACCATTTCAAGATCAACAGGGGGGCATGCTGGTTGCGCAATCAGTGGCGGGCACAATTCGGTAATCCTCCCAATAACCATTTAATGCCTGTGTATAGTTATTGACAATTCTCTGGGCAATCTGCGAGGTGCAGCACGCCAAGAAAATTGAATGCAAGACCACAAATGACATCGTAGGTGGAACAAGTACAGGCTGTAAAGAAGACCTCATGAGTGTCGAGATCTTTGCGACGGCTGCGAACTTAAAGCGTTGACATTAATCATGTGTAAACAAGATGGTGCTCGGCGGCCGCGAAACCTCGTCGTCATCTCTGATCAGCGCCTAGAACACCGCCTTTACCGGTTCTCATGCAGGGGTCATACATAGTACTGGTTACACGCCTTTCACATCTTCCCACCGTCCTATCGGGCTCCTGAATTTCATGCAACTCATTGGATGGATAAGTACCGAAGTGCTAAGCCACCATACTGGGTAAAGCTCTAGGATATACTGTAGGTTGTTTATTTCCTTTTGGCTGCGAAGTAATATTTTCCTATATGGATATCGGTTATGACATATTCTTTCCCAACTGTGTTTAAGGCGACGTCATCGCGGAGCCAAGGGACCACTTCCAAGCCCAAAGCATCTGAAACGGGGTGGATCGCAGAGGAATGAGCTTCAAAGGCTTTGCCAATGATTATCGTTGCTTATCTCCCAAATAGGCTAGACAGTGTTGTATATAACAGCGCCGCGATATTGTGCCAATACACCGTGCCACGAGTCATACCAGTCAGCCAGTGTTATCACAGCTTGTGACGATATCACTATATAAAAGAAGAAACTCGGACATAGCACACTTAAGGTTCTGGCAAAAGTTGTGCCATGCATAGTGATACGAGTTTGTAGTGTTACCTGGTTTCAGCACTGAGGGCGAACGAGACTCGTGTGCAGCCAGCATTAGGTTCTTATCAGCCGTACGGAGTATGTAGCAACTACTTGCCTAGTTGGGAATAGACCCCTGGCTAGTCTAGTCTGTTCCTACTATCGAACGACCGAAATTTGTGACGCGTAGACAGATCTTATGGTGTTTCTAATTTGGTTATTCAAAACTTGACTCGAATGTAGTTTACAACTATCACTTAGCCTTTACGCTTGGGACGATGTTCTGGGCTTTCAGTTGGCCTTGTTCTCTACCATGGCGCAGTGTCAAATTGCTGTCCGTAGTCCCTAGTCAGTACAGTCTACCGGCACTGCGACGAAGTTTGTGCGAAGGTTATCGAAATGCAGTGCAGACTACGCTTACATTTTCCGGGCCTAAATAAGGCACAATATGCAGTAGTGACTTCGGGCTGCATGAGCCCATTAGCCCCGAGGTGTTTTCGACGATCGCGCCTATCGCGAACTAATCGCAATGCTAGAAGCCACTGTTTATATTTCTGTTGATGCGCCAACAATGCCACCCGGCCCTCATGAGGTGTGTATGCGGGAATACGGGAAGGGGGTCTCTCGTTTACTGATGCTTTTAAACAGGGCAAACATGAATTGTGGCGACGATGGTCGTCGGTCGGTCGTGTTGATGCCAATGGAGGCGATAATTGTGGATTAAAAGTTCTCTGTTCCAAGTTTTGGTTGGCATTCAGCCTTAGCAGGAACGGGGTAAACTTGCGTAACGAAGACATACTGTATTTGGGACAGGCTCAATAAGGTTATGGCCCACGTTCTGCTCAAAGTGCCGTTTCGTTTACACAACGACTGTTAGAGTACGAGAGCACAAGGTTTGAAGGCACGTTGAACTGGGTCGTCTGGGAACCTGACTTATACCACCTGAACATCAATCTGGGGCACGCCGTTACGAATGCTGCTTTGGCCAATCGTCGCATGCAGATGCTGGTGCAGATTTGTGTTGCCAGCTCGGTCGAAACCAACCTTACAGGAGCAGCCATTTCTCTTCTCCAGCAAGAGCTCTAGCGTTAGGACGTGGGATATTAAGCCCCAAGACTTTCATTATTCGGGGACCATTCAAGCATTAGCGGCGCTTGCTGTCCAGTACCTTGACTGCATTGCCGTACCCGTGGACATACTCGAGCAGAGAGATGATCAAGGTGCGGTTCCACATCGAGCTCAAAGCCAACCGACTCGATTATTGTTATTGGCGGCATTTATTGCCAAGGAAGACGCATGGCTTGGGTTGTGGGTAGGCCGTAGGAGCACTCCATTGCACTCCCTCCCCCCCTTTCCTTTCCTTTCCCATTCCTTGCCCCAAATCGACAGCGGGCCTGGCGGGACCACTCACCAACCACCCCGGCCAGGCCAATTTCAATCCCCTATCCAGCGGCGCCAGGGCGCCATGGGCCGTTGCATTCGCCATCTCGCTACTGTACCCGTGGACCTTGCAAGTGTGCCCCTAAGAACCTAGTATCCTATCGATGTACCGTCCTCCGTACCGGCTCTCAAACCCTTCATCTATCCAGTCTTCCCACCTTCTATTCTCGCCCATCCCGTCTCGTCTTTTTCCCTTCTCTGCAATCCACGTTCTGCTACATCTTTTGTCAGAAGGTCTAGTCCCTTTTCTTTTCATCCTATCTCGCCTTCCTCTTACGAGGTTTGCGGTCTTCGTTCGTTACACCAGGGACCCGGACACAACGGAAGCAAAGCTTGACACTTCCGAGCCGACTTGTATAGTCACCCCTTGGGAATTGGGATTCGCACACGTGCTCAGCCAAATCAGAAGCAGTATTCTTTCGCTCCGGTTCCTCATAAACCTGCAAAGACTACTACTTATCCTCGCCCCTCCCTTTTGACAAGTGGGCCAGAGTAGCTCTTCCATTCAGCCCTGCTCGTTAAACCGGACTGTTTCGATCCTCCTTTTTCTTGGTAGGAGCGCTGAGAAGACTACAATGGGCGCGAAAATGCCTGCTCCTCATCAGCGGTTCTTCACTCTGAGAAACCCTTTCTCCAGATGTGTACTCTTCGCTGTTGCCTTGCTCATACTCCTCGGACTCACATGGAAGTCTGATCGATTGGACGATGTAACGACACAAATCATCAAAGCGGCTACGCCCAAGACGAAAGGCTCGACCTATCAACAGCCAATTGGTGGAGATGCACCAGTCGCTTCTGAAGCGGATGTAGTACCCGTCACGAACCATGTCATGGACTGCAGCGTAAACACAGATTACATGAATCAATTGAAAGAGACGTACGATCTCCAAGACGGCTTCGAGTACCTCAAGCGCTACGTCAAGATCAACCGCGAACCGATCCCCCGAAAGTCGGTCACCAAGCTGGGCCAAGAGTTCCTTCCTACCGGCTTCAAGACCATCAACTCCAATTACCCCAACAACTATGGCCAGGAGACTTGTCTGGAGCCTCTCCAGGTTCCGGTTCCTCAGTCACCTTATCCTTCAACCGGTAACCTGTCCGACTTTATGTTTGGTGTCTCGACTACCTTTAAGAGATTTAACTCGAGCAAAACCACACCCGTTGACGAATGGACATACTGGTTGACTGACGGTAAAGGCAACTCCAACGGTGGAAAGCTAGTTCTTTTGCTGCTGGATGCCTCAGAGGAACAAATCTTGGAGGCCAAGACCGTCCTCGACCAACGTGGAATCGACGTTGACGTGTATCACTCGGACTCTCGCATGGAGATGGCAGTTCGATACCTGACTTTGATTCCTACGCTCTACAACCACCCAGAACGCCCCAACAAGAAGTGGCTGGTCAGCTGCGACGATGACACTTTCTTCCCCAGCGTACATGCTTTGACCAAGAAGTTCGAGCAATATGACCCAGAAGACCCGCTCTACATTGGTACCCTATCAGAGGATGTCAATAACGTTGACCGACACGGCTCCCAGGCTTTCGGAGGCGCTGGCGTCTTCCTGTCGGTGCCTTTGGCTAAGCAAGTTACCGATGACTACGATACGTGCAAGACCGACGAGAAAATCCGTGAGGCCAACTCTGGTTGGGGACCTCAGGGTGATATCCTGCTGAGAAAATGTATCTATGAGAACACCGACGTACGTCTGTCAGTCATGCGAGGTCTTTACCAGCTTGACCTTTACGGTGACCCATCCGGTTTCTACGAGTCTGGTATCAAGCCAATCTCTCTCCACCACTTCAAGGGCGGCGGTTGGCACTCGGCTATGCCCTGGCAATACACCAAGATCGCCCACATCTGTGGTGAGGATTGCACGTTTATGCGTTTCCAGACAGCCGATGATTTCATTATCTCGACGAGCTTCAGTGTTGCTCAGTACCCCCTGGGCACCAAGTTCAACCTCGCACAAATGGAGCGAACATTCGCTGCGGCTCCCCAAGATAAGGGCTGGAATCTGGATTACGTCTTCGATCCCCAGAGGCCCAGTCTGCTAAAGACTGGTCGCAAGATCAGCTGGGACCTGCAAGAGGCCAGAGTCAACGACGACAATACTGTGAGCCAGATCTATGTCCGTAAGGGCGACGACTGGAGATGGGTCGACCTCAACGGCAATCCTATGTCTAAGAGCGATGGCATTATCGAGTTGGTCTGGCTTCCTTGAGATGCGCCTCTGGGCGGAGACGAGATGATATAACAAGGCGATGGCAAGAGTTGGCAGCGCTTTCAACCAGCATTGAACCATAGCAACGCAGCTGTCATCTAGGCAGGTCGCTGTCTGGCGCCATGTACTGAGTTCATTCAGCTGACTCTCGCGCCATTCCAAATACCGACAAAAACCAGCTGATTCGGGTCCGGGTGTGTACCTTGGAATCAAGCGCCGGCTTCTCCACAACGACCCGTTTCCCTACTCAGCATGTTAATGCATAATTCCATCCAGCCACTCATTTCATTCCGTCACCTACCATTCATCATTGATACAGCAATTATTTCACATTTTTACCGAGCATCGGCGAGTCCGGAGTTCAACGGTGGCGGCACAACGCACAGCATCATTTATTGGCACATTTACATTGGAGTCTCTGGGAAAGGCGACCTGCCTCTGCGAACTATAACTGCCAAATCTCTACATTTCACGATCTTTAGTTGTACACAATAGAGTTTTGCTGGGCTTGGACAACTTGGTTGTATAGAATTACGTTTTACCTGGGGTATGGGGCTTGTACAATGACTTTTGGGGGGTTTGTTTCGACGAGAAGAAAAGAAAATTGGAAACAGACATGAAGCCATTGGGTACGATTGCTGGAAATGATAGCCGACATACTGGCATGGGAATTGCACCCGGCATCGAAGTGCTCGAGACGGGAAGATAAAGGCCAACCAGATATTCGGGTCATTGTACATAGAGATTTGGCTAGCCGAATAAACACTTGAAAACAACAACTCCAAAAAGAAAACTACCGTGACTCCTAATGATGTCCCCAAGTTCCGATATCACGAAAGGAGACTGACTTGACGGAGCTGGTCTGCGATTTTGTTGCTTCGACGGTATGAAACTACGGCTTGCGCGAATGCAGGTTGGAGCACTGCCGCGCTGGTAGACACAAGAATTGCTGCACGAACTAGCAGGCGAGATGTAATGACCGACCGCTGCGCCAATTCTTGTTTCCACCGCCTGCCATCCAGCCCATTTCGAGATGCTCAGCAAATCGTGCTTCTGGGAAGCTAAAATAGCTCACCCTGTTTGTTGTCTATTTCAGGAACGGTAATTTTCCATCGAGTCATGGACAAACTAGCAGGAGCAGGCTAGAACAATCACAGATCATGTCTAATTCGAATATTTCAATAGCCGCGAATGCCAGTCGTGCTCCAGCTAGTACCCAAGAAAGCTCCTGCAAAATCTACGTAGTTGAATCGAATATTAGATGTTTTCCAAGAACATCCCATCGAAATGTTTTGGTTGTGTCGTTATCGTCATTCGTAAGTTAGAGCGGCTTACTCCCCTGATGTTTACATCTGTATGGCATCAGCACCTTCCTCGTCGCTCAATCCGGCGCTGGCACAGATCTAAGTAGATATCATGGCGACGGGGTGCAAATCGCGATACTTCACATATCATCTTGCTTTCCCCATAGTATGCCGCCCGATTCCTGGCTGAAGCCATTGCTTTTGAGATGACATCTCGAGACCGTACTCATGCTACAAGCATGACATTGTTTATGATGCCTACAGGTGCTTCCCCTCCTGGTTTGATTTCTCGAGTGCAAACCGAACTCTTGCCTCAGGACAAGGAGCTTTCAGCTGTTTGCGGGTTTCCTGAATGTGTTAGGCGCCTCGCATGCATATTACTACGCACCAATGTGCTGGTGTATGTCGTACTCCGTCGGACCGCCTTTGCCAACGGTGGCATAGGCCATGAAACATGAAGGTCAAAAGTGACAGTCTCCCGCGGACTTTCGCTTCCAAGTGTTTCTGGGGCGGGGGGCCAAGGCCCTACGACTCCGGTGTTTGGTACTGTTTCCGACCAGGTCTTGGCACCAGAAGCCGTTACATCCGATGCTCGGTTTACCGCTGCCGAAGTCTGTCGAGGAAACTGGTTTATTCTGGGCTCTCCGTGTCTGTGGGGACAACACGTCCGGGGTCACCACCTCTGCAACGGACTGGAACACACTCCAATGCATCAGGCATTGTCGGGTTCGATACTGCTGATATATGTAACCAACGACTGCTTCTATGCCGGTAGCCGGATGGACCTAGCTATTTCCCTCGAAGTGGGTGATGAGTCTCACTCCTATCCCCTGACCTGTCGAATCATTCTGATGATCGTCACCACAGCATTTCAAACGACTGATATTGAGCTCGAATAAGACTGCTGCAAGGTCTGAGATTCTGGTGAACACCTGATTCCCCACAAATGCATTGACATAGTGTTACGCTGGAACTCTGCCTTCCGCACTGGAACCCGAACTATCCAGCTCGGTTCGGTTGCTTCACGAGAACCAGTGCAGGAAGACAACTCGATTACTGGCTCGCACCCCTTTCCACCCGAGAATGGTTTCGGATATGCAGAATGTGTCTCTCGACCACCTCGAAAATGCAGTCAATCTGGCTTGGCACGAGAACACATTCCAAGTTATGCAAACTGTTTATTGATCGCCGAACGTTACCGTCAAGGAAGTATGAGAAGCGGGCAGATGATCCACCCGCAGTGGCAAGTAACGAATGCGTGATTTTAGGCTGGGTGCTTGCGACTATTTTGCGGCGTCCGGTTGTCCAGAGTCTGACTTTAAACGTAGTTTCTACAGCAACAGTATGAAAAGCTACTCGAACTGGAAGACACCATTTTCACAAGGACTTGTTCTATCCCGTAATCACGGCCAGTAGTGCGAACCGGCATATGCACGCCTCAAACCACCAATCCCTTGGGAACGGCAGGCTGTGCCGGGTAAGAGAACCTTAACATCACCTTTGTATAGATCTAATCAACGCAGCCTTCAATAGCTTATAAAGAAGGTTGTACATCCTCAATGCAAGGCTACCACTGTGTAGCTTAAATTCTTGTAGTGTGTCTTGCCGTAAACCTCTAAACATTGTGATGACCTCTTGTCGTATTATTTCTGATTGAAGGACTATCTATATATTGGTCTATAGCCATGTTTCTGTCAAGTTGCCACCAATGCCACGAAATTCAGACATAATTTCCCAACTGCTATCCGCACTTATGCGGTAGTCTCCTCGAAGAAGCTCTCCTGATTTGCTTATAGCGAACACTCCAATACTCGTTGTTGACTCGAAACTCACGGCCAACGGTGCGCTCCGCGCGTCTGCTCCCAAATCGTGCCAAGAAACCTGCCATGTCGAATTAATCAGTGCTCTTTGCTTCAGCTTCCCGTCTGTCCCAAGTGCAACGGCATCGAAACGGTCTTCTCCAGATACTACGATTGAAGGTACACTTGCCCAATTGCCTCCGAGGTTTTTCAACTCGGTATAGCCAGATGTGGAAGACCACGTGAAATGGTACATGGCAGAGTCCATCCCAATTCCAAGGAAGTCAATTCTGTCAGCTGATGGAGAAAACAAGACCGGATTACCAGTGAATGATCCGCCACGATTGTTCCAGCCTAGCCACCGAGACTGTGAGCTTGACCATTGGCGGTGTAATACAGCTGACGTGCCTTCGTCGTATATGGCCATGTCGTATATGATTTCGTTATCACGACAGACAACAGCTGGAGTTGAGTTTGTGGGGTTGGTCAGTGATAGGCTTGATGCAGGATCCCAGTTATGACCTCCTGGATGTGTGCCATTGTCAACCCAGTCATCAATATCGGTATTCCAGTAATTGTGCAATACTGTTTGATCAGTGAGCGCTCTAGTCAAAGTCCATATGTCGGCTCGATCCGTCTTGCAAGTTGGACGACATGTCGAAACTGCGCTGGCGGCGTTCACGCCGAGGCTGCTCCAACCACCCCACTGTTCATTTTTGAATGTCTTGTAGACCACACCATTCGTAGAATCGACGCCAAACACATCAAGGCGCTGGGAGTTGTTCCAATGTATAGCCGCAGGCTGGCTCAGAAGCTGCCCTCCTAGGCTGATCCAGTTGCCATTACCGCGTCCTTGCGTTTCTAGAAACCACAAACTACCATCCTTCGCTGTAGCGAAGATATCTACTATGCCGGTGTCGTTATGCGATACAGCGGTCAAGATCTGAGCACATATCGTCCCACTGCAAAGACTCGATTTGCATGAATCCGTACTGTTACAGGAGCTCGAGCTATGGAAATTTCTTTAGCAGAAGCTCTCAAAACTAAGCGGAGCTTCTTACGAGTTCTCGTTTCTACGTACCAACCCGAATGTCAGTCCAAGAGCCGTACCGGCGAGGCTCACGACGATCATCCCAACCATTACCCACGTCATTCTCCGTTGGTGCCATCTGAGTCCTCCCATATGCGTATGCGTGTAGCTTCTCTTTAAGCCTCCTGGCTCGTTTTGTAACACAGCCTGTTTATCACTATCGTCAAATTCCCGTCTGCTGAGGACGTCTCCTATGTTGCTCGTCGTAGATCTTTCGAGCCACTGGTTCTGGAGGTAGACAATCTCTAACCTGGAAGGATCGTCTATACCTTGTCGCTGACCTTGGTGGCCTGTAGCAAAGTATTTCTGAGCATGCTGAAGTCGTAATCGCCTGTTTCGTTTCGACGCAGCTTTCGGGATCACTTCGCCTTCTACCCAAAACTGTGGCTTCATGCTCTTTGAGTATTGCTCTAATGATCTAACACTTTTCACGAACTCGTCTGGATATGTCGATTGGGTTGTTTTCGCCATCATCGCCGATGGACCGGCACCGAAAATTCTGGATTGAAACTATTTCCTTGAAGTCATGTTGCCCATCCAAACCCATAGAAGTCAACTGGCTATGAATTAAAATGGCACCAGATGGTTATCATTCATTGGACCGCAACTGACATGATAAATGCTTGCATCCATCTTTTCTTAGGTTTAAATAGCTTTGATTGTTGAAGGATGACGCCCGGACCGCGGCTGTGCATCTCCACAAGAGCCTCAACGACATAAGGATGGGAAATATGCACGCATGTTATGCAATTACCTCCATCTAACAAGCCCGGGCTTGTATACAGCCTAGGTATTTCGGAGTGCTGCCATGTCCCCAAAAAAAATGAAAGGTATCAAGTCTGTGCAGATCTTGCTTATGATGCTTCAGGTGTTGATTGTGCAGATGACGCTGAAGAATGTCGTTCACAATACGTGGGAGAACACATATGTCGATAGTAGTTACTGATTAGACCTGACATTCAAGGACTTCCTCATGTATGGCCCCTTCGCGCAAAACACACCATTTTCGGCTGGTTTCTGGTCTGCGAAAGCCTACCTGATACTAAATGGATAGCGATCTAGTCGGATGCAGTCATGCCATCGTGCAAATGACACGTCTTTTAGTAATGCCAAAGGATTAATGAGAATCACCAGACTGATCTAGTTTTTACCCGGATCTAAACATCGTGGTTCTTGATAAGAATAGAAAAGGATCAGAGATCTAGGTGCTGCTCAGCCGCCTCAGCGGGCCGAAAAATAGTCTTTGTCTATCTAGGGGAGGCATGTGTCAGCAGCATTCACTTAAAGGGGCATTTGCACTTGACGCGAAGATTAAATTAGAATTGGACCCCACTCACGCCACGAGAACAAAGACGCGACTTGGGGACACGCTCAACGTCAACATAGGGAAGCACAAAAGCAACTCCTCCTGCATGACCAGCAACGAAACAGAAAAGAAATACACAAAACATGCAGCTACAATGATTATGAAAGCACCAGGAATCCCATGTCCGCGTCTTCTCCCATTCTGCAGTCGCCCGCCGAAGAGATAACCCACCTCGTGTCGGAACCCTTCACCCCCAAACCCCTGATCGCGGATCTCATCCGGACCCGCTACTGCATCCCAGGGTCTGTCTTCCTGGTCGAAGGGATCGACATCTTCCAAGCTTCAAGGTCAAGACGATGGCGCGGTGTACGGCTGCTGCTAGGAGATGGTGAGCTGTGCATACAGGCCCTGCTTGCGGGTGAGATGCATAGATATGTTGATCGTGGAGATGTCGCTGTTGGGTCTTATGTGAAGCTGGAAAGCTTCGATCTGGCGCACATTGAGCCAGAAGCCTCAAAGGCTGGGAAGAATGTCGAGAAGGCGATAGATGCTGGTGCCTCCATGTTTGCCTATCTGATGGTGGAGGATTTGGTTATAGTAGGCTGGAACAACAGGCTACTTGCTATGCTTGACGCCGAAAAATCTGCAAATCCAGAGCAGCATGTATTAATGCAGACTCAAGAATTGAAGGACAAAGACATCGAAGAGCCTGAGATTCGGCCTGAACCTCAAGAAGCCGCTGCAGATTCACCACATCCTCACGCAGGCTTTTTGGAAGAAGTTGCAGATGCAGATGACGACTTTGAGGTCATGAATATTCCTGAACAAAAGATGACCCAAAAGCGAGAAGAGATCGCAGCACAGACGGAGGAGTCGTCAGACTATTCTGTCCCTCTCGACACTCAGCGCCTGCCATGGTCCAATGTCGATCCACGGAAACCCCTCAAACTCACACCACTTCGCTCAATACCTAATCTTCCTTACAAACAGAACTGGTCGACCAATGTTTTAGCGGTTATTGCATCCATATCTGATCTCCAGGCTTCGACGCTACCACTGGGCAATCAGCGGGTGGCTCGGCTGGCTCATCCATCGACACCGAAGCAGGTTCACTTGACCATCTTTCTGGATGCTCACGAGTTCACGCCATCTGTTGGCAGCGTTGTCTTGTTACTCGGTGTAAAAAATCATAGATTCGATGGCGGAAGTCTGAAGAAATATGCTAGTGATAGACCTGGCGGTGGTGGTAGATGGTGGTTTGAGAACCCTGTCCAATTTACTTGGTGCGATGTGCAAGGATTGAGGACATGGTGGCGGCAGATTCACCTCAAATAAAATCGTGCATGAAACAGGCGCAATATATAGTGCACAATGTAAGACTCTAGGAAGCTCTCTGTTACTAGACCACAAAATCAAAAGTCAACGCAGGAGCAAGGTCTCAACACATCCTAGCAAGACTGTAACAATCAATCACATTCCTCTGTAAACCATCGAGAACAGCTTCCGATTCCTTGTCCGATCACTTGTTAAGCGTCTGCCGAATTTTCTGCCCTCTGGGTTTCCTTCTCACGCTCCGCCTCTGCCCTCGCACGCTCCTTGTCCATGTATCGACTGAGCATACCGGCCAAGGTGAGAGGGCCACCAACAATCTTGCAGCCGTTAATTTGAGTGGTGTCTTCCGCATCAGGATACGTGTATCCGTTCTTCTGCCACTCGGGACGTTCGTCTTTAACAATGTCCGCGGCTGCCTGCATTACTCTGAGCCTGACTTCCTCGTGATGGCGAGGGATAAAAAGAAAACCATTTACTTACATGTCCAGCACCACCGGCAGTATTAGACCCCTCGCCGGCATCCTTGCTACTGGGAAAGAGGGTTTTGGTGCCTGGAGGAGCCGGGCGGGTTGGGAGCTCGAAGTGCACCTTCTTGGGAGAACGGGTTATAGCTTCTCCACATAAGGTGTTAGGGCAACTGGATGAGGAAAGAGTACCAGGGAGTTTGTTTGAATCTTGCATAATTGCTGAAAAGTTCGTCTCAGAGTCCTCAAGGGTGTCGTAGTCGTCGTCGGCTGTAATTGAGGCTGGCGACTCTTCTCGGCTAGGTGACGTGAGGGGCGAAACTGTGGGAGTTACCAACAAGGTGTCGTAGCCAGCACTTTTATGATGTCGCTGGGATTTTTCAATCTCCACGGATGAGGTTGGCATTGAATTAAAGGCACGTAGAACTGGGGACAGGTTGTTGTTGCTGTAATTGTCAATATCCATGTTCACATCGGTTTGCTCCTGTTCGAGGTCAGATTCGCTTTCCTTGTCGCTGGCAGGTGAGTCCTGTGCCCTCAGATCAGCTCAGTGATGATATACAATGAGATGGATTGGTGATTAACAGACCTCATCGATCTCATCAGAATGGTTGGTATCTGACTTATGGGAAACAAGCTGCTTGCCATTCGAGTAATCAGCTCCTTCGTGAGCTTCAAGAGCATGCATCAGCAATAAACATGTTGATACACTAAGCGTTCCTTTCCACTGTCGTTTTGCTAGCTCGAATTTCTGCGCCAGGTCGTCATCGGGATCTTCGTATGCCTTCATTCGAAGGAGAACGTAGTCTTTCTTATACATAGCACGCCACTCGTCCACAATCTTGCCCAACTCAACACTTAGGCCGGAAACGATATTCTTGGAGGCTTCTGGTGCTGCATTGCCACTGAAGTCAGCAAGAAAAGTCTCCCTAGCACCCGAATACATGTGAATGAGAAGTCGAGTCATCCTGTAGTCCGGTAGAAGCCCCCATTTTTCGCTGACGGTCCTCCAGAAATCGATGTGAGCCATGTATGGCTTAAAATAATTAACCGTATCGAAGAGAACACAGAGGTTCAGAAGAGCCAGTAGCTTTGGGTCGTAATCTTCCTCGTCGCTGAGACCACGGCTGAAATAACCGATGTGACATGTGGCCGAAAGGGCTTCCAGAACAAGCTGGTCAATGTTGGCAGCCTGAGCTTTGGCAAAAAAGGTAAAGCCATCAAAGCAGTACCAGGGAGGGCTGTCCCTACCATTCATCTTGATCACGCTGCAATCCGACTGTCAACTGGCGGCGTGGTTGAAAAGAAAGAAAAAAAGAAAAATAAGAAGCGATCCGCGATTACGGATACTGGCTTCGTTGGAAGGGCAGCTGTTGGAAAATAAAGAGGATATCATCTGAAAACGATTCTCAGAACCAGACAATTTTGGCAGTCCTTGCTTGATGTCGTTAAGGAAGTTGGGGTTGTGTATTAGAGAGAAAACACCGCTCATGCATGGCTAGCATCGCATGGTCGCTCAATAACACCATTGTAAAATGAGACCCATTATTATTGATTGGTATAATACATCTTCGTGCACCCAACACTGGGAGGACTGCAGCCTTTCCGCTTGCCAGGCTGCAAATACTGGGCTCCAGTAGATGAACACAATTGGAATAACAACGGAGTGGAATAACTTGAGTTAGAATAACCTAGGTCATCACGTGCAATCAAAGTTTCCTTTCACACCCTAAAAGTAAATGACACTGCGTACACAAAACGTAGAGCGCTATCACTTGGTTATTGCAGATTAAGTACGCAAAAGACGGGGATGATCAAGCTTGAAACAACGGTCAATTGTGAAGTCACCAAAGTTAATTCATATGCTTCATCTACCTCATAGTTTACAATGATTGTACACAAAATTTGTTCAGTACTTGCATAGGTTGAACTTCCCTACACTGGGGTCATGATCGGACACCTGGTTGTCATATGAGACCCAGGTGTTGACATGGATGTGCTCAAATTGCGACTTCGCACAGCTGCTAGCAAGAGCAGGGCTGACAAACACATGGTCCAGCTCTTGTGAGTTCATATCATAAAGATATGTATAGCGCTCAGTCTCTGGGATGCCAGCTACGATATCAAGATCCTTGAGGCCGGAAAGCGAAAGGAAGTCTTCAATGGGCTGGACGACAGGGTACTCGTTGAAATCGCCGGCCACAATGATCTTCGCATTTGCGTCCTCGGCAAGTATCTGGGCAACGAATGCCTGAGCATAGGTCAGTCAACGCTTCTCACACAAATTGACAATGTCTAATTCAACTTACAGCGGTAACTTCGGCTTGCTGTTGACGGACAGCAACAACACCATTGACCGGAGGACGAGCATCTCCTTGGATCGACGAGCTGCCACCCTTGGAAGCCCAGTGGACGTTGATGGTAAAAAAAGTGTTGTTGCCGTCGAGGGTCTCCCAGGCAGCAACCAAAGGCTTTCGGCTACTACCCCAAGCGTTGTTGCTTGGGTCGATGCGTCCTGGGTTGTACAGAAGCTCGGGGCCGGGAAGTACTTCATTCGCAGTGGTCGAGTTGCCGGGGTTGGGGTTGCGTAGTTGCAGCACATCAGGCTGGAATAAATATGCGACACGAATGTTGCCACCAGGTGCGCCGCCATCCTCATCGTTGACTGGGGCAATGTATGTAAAGTTGTAGGTGACGCCGCTCAGTTCTGCAATGGCAGCAGTCAGGGTGGACAGAGTCACATCCGATGCGACCGTACCGTCATCGGTCTCGCCATTGTTGTCTTGAATCTCTTGGATAAACACGAGATCAGGTGTCAACAAGTAGTCGACAATGTGATGAGCAACCGCCGATACGTGAGCTGTATCACCAGGATAGAAGTTCTCGACATTGTAATCTCCTACAGTCAGGCCAGAACAAACACCATCGCTGACAAGAGTAGTCGCGTCCGGCAAAGCAGGTGACGCAGACTCGATAGTGGTCAGATTCGTAAGAGGTAAAATGGCGTAAAATCCGTAGACGTTAGTAACAATGCCTGTAATTGACCCGAGGTTGTCACCAAACTTGGTCTCCGTAGGGTTGTCAGAGCCATCGAGAGGGTCCGAAATTCTGATGGCTTCCGGGTTTCCATCTAAGTTCATTGTTAATGACATATACAGACATGGTGGACTTGAACTGCTCACCTTTGCTGGTGATCGTCAGGCCACCCCTCTCGTTCGCACCGGTAGTGGCCCAGGAGCCAATAACCCACTGATCACCGTACTGGCTCGGCTTTGAAATTGCGACAGCATCTTCAACTGTGACCAACTGACCAACAAGGCTCTCCCAGAAATCCAGTCCGTAGTTCTCAGGATCCAGTTCCGGGTTGACTACCGAGATCAGAGATTGATTGTTTGGTAGTCCAAAAACGTCGCCACTGTCAAGACTGCTGTACTGTCCAGTTGGTGGGCTCAAAGTATCCTTGCCAATGACAAGCGGCTCCACGGTTCTGCCATGCTCCAAGATCGCGTCTACCTTTGGCGATGCGATCTCTGTAAGATACAAATATGCGCTGGATGATCTATACTCGCTGACCTTGCCGCTGAGCCTGATAACATCACCCGTGCTGATCGAGGTGTTCTTGGCAAGTGCACTGCCATAAACGTAGACAGCATCGGAGACTTTGGGATCAGTGCCCTTCTCAACGGATCTGATCCAGATACCGCTAGGACCCTTGGCGGTTACAATTCCTGTCACATTCGTAACATTCTGTCCATTGTAGGGCGACAGGAACTTGTTGCCGTTGATCTCTTCGATTGTCACAGCTGAGGCGCTGGCGGCAAGAAGAGATGTGGCGAGCCACTTCAGGGAAGTTGCGCCTTTCATAGTGTCGGCCTGGCAGTGTTCAATCGGACCTGGAGGGGTAGCGGGATGGCAACAAATCTCCCACCTCTAGAAGCAGCGGCGACGCCGGCATTATATGTACCATCACACCATAGGTCTCGGTACGCGGAGATGAGCAGTAGTGGTCCTTGCATTACAACTATTGCGGCTGCCCGGCCAAGAGCCTTCTGCAATGCCAAGGCTGAGGACCTAGCATTAAAGGACAACAAAATAATGGTTATTGGGCGCCGGCTAAGATTAATGCTAATCCCTGTTCCCATCTAGATAGCCAGTCGAGTTGGCCAATTGACAGCACGTTACTCACCATGGCGTTTACCTGAAAGCGAAGGTGGTCCACCCCGGCAGCAACCTTAAGAACCCTAAATGATCGGATCTGGGGCTCTGGAGATCTTGGCGGACTCGCTTGCTCGCAGTGGCTCCCCTGAAAGATCGCCATGTGAAAGCGGGATGGACAGATGGAAAAGCAGGACAGCTTGATTACGTTTCCCCTGCTGCATGTCGAGTCGTGCTCGGTGAACGTGACCACGTGGGCCTGTCCATATTCGCAGTTATTCGTGGAAATTGCTCTGAGAGCAATAAAGAAGCATGAGCATTTCGATTTTAGACTCGAGTTCATGATGCTCACACGGCGCCCCGCCAGAAACGTTAAAGGAAGTGGAGCGCCGGAGACCGCCGGCACGACCTATCTTCAGTTAACAACGCCTATTCAGCTGTAAACAACATTCAGCATAGAATCTTGATCCCAGAAGCCTGTCATCTATCAGCCTTGGCAACGAAATCGAAACTTATCTGTCTTTAATGCTCATCTCCGAGAGACTCGATAGTCTAGCTGGACCTGTGAAGCTTGTTATCAGTGGATTTTGTTGTTTCCTTACGTAGACCATTCTCAACATCAATTCGATATGGCCACAGTCAAACTCGTTTCGGCTGCCATGAAGCGATGTAAGATAACGAACAATCAATATCAGTGTCGATAGCACGGTTATCAAGCAAGTGAGAAAACATGCGATGAATTCTTGCAATTGCTGTTTAGTAGGACAGCCGACCGCGGACACCAAGCTCTACATTTAAATCCAAGTACAAGCTTTCGCCATATTTGCACACTATAGCCTACCAGCCCTGACTTTTTATTCCCTTTTTATTCTCTTTACATTACATGTTCTAAATTGAAAGCAAAGAACACACTGTATCGTTTAAATCCTTCAAGGACACGTGCTCCTGCACTAACAATACTGAGTCTGATTGCTAGTACTGCGCCGTCATTTCCGGGTTTCAACCAAAAGTCCAGGTGACTAGATTCAGCTATCTTTAACATTTATTTAAAAACTAATTGTTGGTGTTGCTAATTCTGTTCATCGTTTCTTTACGTGTTATGTCGACTACCCACATACTCAGATCTTCATGATCATGGTCTTTCGCCGTAACATATTTTGGGCCTGGTTTGAGATAACATTACAAAACCGAAACGATATCTCTGTATATGGTAAACACGAGCGGAATCCCAGTTTTGTTTCTTTGTAATTGAACTATAACACCGATGCCGCTGCGGAGATTCAGGTGTGGCACTACCTATAATCACCAGACGATAAGCAGGGCTCCGAACGCGGGGATGGTACCACCACAGTGGAGTTAGCACCCTCCACTACCCATTTACTATACTGGGCGTCGGAACGCTGTATAGACCTGACCAACTTTCAGGAATAGTGTAAAGTTGATATTATTTGACTGCGGATAGAGTCGTAAACTACTTCTACTTCAGGAATGGCCCCCGTTGCGCTGAAAGATACTATGGGCGACAGCACCTTCGAGGTACAGGCCAAGACTGTCGCAAATTCATCAGACCAGGCAGCTAAAGAAGCAGTGACTGCTGCCATCAGACGATTCGAGGAACAGAACCCGGCTTCAAAGAAACAGCATGAGGTTGCCACTAGTATTCTACCGGGAGGTAACACTCGTACACTGCTACACACAGCTCCATTCCCTCTGAGTATGAAATGTGGAAAGGGTCCCTATGTCTGGGACGAGGATGGCCACAAGTCAGTGATGAGTCAGATAGATATTTCCGGTTAACACGTGCTAACCCAAACCAGGTATGTTGACTTCGTGGGAGAGTTGACCGCTGGTATCTATGGACATTCTCATCCTGTGATCCGCGAGGCAATTATCTCTACCTTCGACAACGTTGGTTTGAGTTTGGGTTCAACCACCGTCCAGGAGCAGAAATTCGCCGAGTTGATCTGTGCACGGTTTGGCCTTGAACGTTTGCGCTTCACGAATACCGGCACTGAGGCAAATCTGCACGCCCTCAACGGCGTGAAGAAGTTCACTGGCCGCCGCAAGGTCCTCGTCTTCTGTGGTGGCTATCATGGTGCTGTCTTGTCGTTCGGTGATGGCAAGGTTGCTGAGAATAACGTGGACCGTGATGATTGGGTGATTGGAAAGTACAACGATATCGAGGCGACCAGATCACTCATCAAGAATACTCCCGATCTTGCGGCCGTGCTAGTTGAGGGCATGCAGGGCTCTGGCGGATGTCTTCGAGGTACCAAGGAGTTCTTGTGCACCATCCAGGAAGAAGCGAAATCCGCTGGTGTCGTCTTCGTTCTAGACGAAGTGATGACCTCGCGCATTGCGCCTGGCGGTATCCAAAAACTTATGGGACTGAAGCCCGATATCACCACATTTGGAAAATACCTCGGTGGCGGATTTCCAATTGGAGCTTTTGGAGGACGAGCTGATATAATGTCCGTTTACGATCCACGACTTCCCGGATCATTGACACATTCGGGCACTTTCAACAACAATACCATGACCATGCATGCCGGCTATGCCGGGCTTTCTAAGGTGTATACAGACGAAGTCAATTTTGCTTTCAATGGGAAAGGCGATAGGTTCCGGGAGAGGCTTCAGTCCATCGCCAAAGGGACAAAGCTATCCTTCACAGGTCTGGGTTCCATGTCGGCTCTGCACATTACGGAGAGCGGAGCGGAGGACATACAATGCGTATATGATGTTAAAGAGAAATACGACTTAAAAGATTTGTTCTGGTTAGAGATGCTAGAAGAAGGGTACTGGACGACCCGAAGAGGAATGATTGCGTTGATTTTAGATACGCCGGATGAAGAGTTGGACCGGTTTGTTAGCTGCGTCGAGAAATTCGTGGAAAGACACAGTAACATTTTAACTATCGTCTAGGAACCGTTGCCACCATGGTAGGCCTTGTTGACGAACTTAGCTAACCACAGAGCTGGAGTCAAGCAGCTTCGTCGATGGTGTCATCGGCAGAAAAAATGTATATAGGCTTCTAGGTTACGAGCATCCAAATAGTCCGTATGATGAGCCCTTCATGTAAGGCTTCAACTATCCATTACTCAGACGACAACGATTGCCATGGAATCAACCGTGTGGCCGCTTAATTTTGAACGACACAGCCTGCGTAGATAATTCATGATGATGTCGCCGAGACCTCAAGCTCGCAACCATATAACGCGTGAATTGCAACAGTTAATGATTTTTAAGCGGCAATGAGGATTACTGAACAAAATAGACCAGTGACACCTCATCACGATATTTCAACCGATGGACATGTCCTGCTGAATATGCCTGTGTTCCATCTATGTATATATTCATCAATAAGACTAGAGATTTCAAAATTTTGGATCTCATTTTTTATCCTAAGTATTTAGATGTACGAATTTGCTATCTTATGCATACGCCTCACAACTCGCTACAGACTGAGACTTTCCAAGACATCATACTCAAAGGAAGCAACAAACTGCCTGTGATTATTTTTCTTTTCTTTTTCTCTTATATATATAAATTCGGGGGGAATTTGTCTAGTATAAATTGCTGCTCAATGTTTAGGTACTGGCTTGCTTGAACTTACTGATTATATTCGTATAAACTCGACTTTCTTCGTCTTCGCTTTCTGTTTTCCAGTCGTTACCCTGCAACTGCTATAAGCTTTGAGGTCTATCAGCTTGTAATTATGCCTACTTGCCCCTTTTAACGCACAAACAGGCCTGCAAACAGAGCTCTACCATGCCGAAAGAATGATAGGCCAATATCGTCCCTCCCGGCCAATTCTGGATTATAGCCCTGCGATATGCTAGACAAGTCCACGATGATTCATCTCGTGCTCTGCTACGTATCAATGGCGTCTTTGCCGCCGGGTTTCGCCCTTCTTCAAGTCAGCAACACAGCCGGGAGGGTGGTTTGGACCTGTTGACCCGGACACTCGACATCAGACTGGTCTATTGACAACCAGGAGGAAATTGTCGGGGAACTACATTGCTCAGACTAGAGTCTCAGCCGGCACAAAGCACAGGTCAAGTTCACCAGTACTAGAAGACCAGAAAGGGAGCAAACCATCGTTCTCGGATTGACAAATCAGCCGACTGTCCCGTTAAGCCACTGGTTAGCCAAGGGCTCGCCGTACAAGCAGCGGCTCTCCAGCCGGATGGTGGCCTGGGGACGGGGTTGGCCAAGGGCTTGCTACTTGATCTGGCTCACAGGGGCACCAGCAAGCTACTACCCTGGATCGGACCGAAGGAGTCCCCTGCAGCTGCTGTTCGATGAGCAGCCGGCGGGCGCGACGACGCCCTACCAAGACCACACCGTCATCTCGCATAGGATATCGGACGTTGAAGCTGGTAGTCTGGGGATGGAGGTCGATCGCTTCGCGGGAACCGTGACACCGAACTGGCTGAAGGCCCTGGACTGTTTAATTTCATAACAACACAGACGTTATCGCCATCGTGATTGGATTCCAGCGAGTAGGAACTGTCGGCAGTATGTATCAGCACAAGGAATCCGTTATTAATAGAGGTATCACAAATTTTATACAGATTCAAAGCCCTAGCGATACACCCAGTTTTCAGCACACAAACGCCTATACACCCAACGGCCTGAACTACGAGTATGAATGCCTAGAACTTGTACTTCTTCCTGTCATCCCTCTTCTCCTCATCTCGCTTGAGTCTCTTCCGGCTCTCATTAGCAATCATTTCATCAAGACCCTCGGCCCTGTTGTTCCATTGAGCGCCAGGGCCCTCTTCGCGCCTACTCTCCTCGTATCGCCGCTTCAATTCATCCTTGCTGATGCCGTCTCCGGACACGAGAGCTTCGGGATCAAGAGCCACATCAACGTCGCCGGGCTTCTTGCGTTTCTGGCCCCTGTCTTCGTCTTGACCGAGCACGCGCATATCGCCGTGCCCAGACTTGCTGAGGTCATACGTTCTGTCACTGCCGAAGAAACCTTCTGCGCGTGCTTGACGTTCTGGAATTACAGTGTACGCGGAGCGAGGATGCGTGCTGTCCTCGGTCTCATAACCACGTTTGTTTTTGCGGAGATCGAATTCACCGCCAATGGATTCGGTCTGTGTACCATACTCGGTAGGGACACTGCTCTTCATACCACCAGGGGTCTCCATGCCGGAAGGTGTCTGGAGACCAGCGCCAACGTCCTCTTCGTCTTCATCCTCGTCCTCGTCCTCGTCCTCTTCTTCCTCCTCCTCAGACTCTTCCTCGGGTGGTTGTAGTTCACCCCAGAGGCTGCGCTCCACAGGTTCGCCCGAGGGCGGTGCGGCTTGACTAGGCTGCATGATACCAAAGATATCACCACCAAAGAGAGGACGGTTGTACTCATCTACCGGTGGCTTGCCCCAGCAGCCAGGGTTGAAGCCCCACTGCGCGCCTGGTGGGATGGGAGCGTTGAGACCAGGAATACGAAGAGAGGGATATGAGGGAGGGGGCCCAAAGCGCTGCTGGTGGATCAACCAAGGCGGCGGAGCGCCCGGAGGAATACTAAGTGCCTCCTTAAGGGTCTCGCTCATCTCGCCGGGTCGAAGATGCCTCAGATCCGTCTCATACTCCTTGCCCTCGTAGTATACCTCGCCAAACCGCGTCAAGGTCGGCTTCTCCTGGAATCTGAAGAAGGCATCGTATAGCTTCTGGTAATCGATGTCGAGCTTTCCAAGCTTTCCCTGTACGCGCTCCCTTTGCTTTTGTTTGAGACTCTGCTCGGCTTGCTTCTCCAGGACTGCGTCTCTCATTTCTGCGATACCGGTGTCTGCGATGAACTTGGGAAGCTTGAAAGCGGACTTCTCGATACCACGTTTGGAGGATAGATACTCCCGCTTCAGGGACCAATGTGAGGGAACAGGCACGACGTTTCGTTGAGCCTTGATCTGGACCAGCAGGCGTGGATCGTGGGAAGAGGTGTCATGCCACTCAACCACTTCAGGCTTCGTGACGAGCGCTTTCAGCTCAGCCACGGAGAGCTTGTTGAGCTGCTTCCGCTTCTTCTTGGATAGCTTCTTGGGTCCGGTCTCTTCGTCCTCGTCGGGAATCTCGTCGTCGTCGTCGAAGAAGACTTCTCCCTGGTTGCCAGCATTGGCCTCCTTGGCAATGTCGTCCTCTTCCCTCGAAACACCGAAGTGGGTGAAGATGTGCTTGTACATGGCAAAAGCGGGATCGTCAATGTCGTACTCCATCTCGACGGGTCCATCGGGCTCTGTCTTATCGGGGATGGATGCATCCTTCTGGACTTGGAGGTCTGCCACGCCATTTGGCTCAGTGGCATTTGGCTGATCTGTTACATGCTCGCCATTCGTCTGGGGTTCCGGCGAATCGTCGACAGGCGTAGGGTGCTGCGAGATGTCAGAAATGTTTGCGCGCGGAGGAAAAGGGCGGGCCATACCTCAGGTTGAGCGTTCTTCTCAGCCTTCTCAGCCTTCTTCTTTTCGCGGCGCCTCTGGTTCTTGCTCATCTGTGGTTTGGCCATATCGTCTTAACAAGCCCGGGGCAGGACACCTACTGCGTGGGATTCTTCAAGGCTGATGCGCCGGACCGTGATGAGTGTTGCTCGGCGCGTGAGCTGTTGCAGCTGGCTGGTTTCGCAGGCCGCAGTGCAGTGCAAGTGCAATGCTCCGTTACAAAAGCGTGCCCCGAACTTTTAGTGTGGCTGAAGCTGGTAGTCTCGCATTGCACCAAGCCAGGCAAGCAGGAATCTGAGCTGCGGTACAAGTTACTTTCGGACACTTTGAACAACGGACAGTTTTGCTCGACCTCCCTAGGTTAACCTTTAGTGCTGGACTAGAGTAACTGTAAGTTATGTAGTTGGCGGAACTTGGTAGGCTGACCTATTGGGAGGGGAGATCATTCTCTCCTTAACATTCTATCATTAGTCTAAATCAGATATTCTCTGGTCCCGGATACTAGCAAATCCGGTAACATGCCACAATTACTCTATACTTGGTATACTTATGGTCCAATTGACTCGAGGATCAGAGCTTATCTATCACGTGCGGGATGGAATGTACGGGTATTTGGGATAAGCAAAACCTGACTCGCCGCTCTACCATGATACGTACAGACGTGAAATGGCATTGTATCGTGCTCCCCTGTGGCGCAAAGCCGTGTCCTGGTTTTTTCATTCTTTTCTTTTTCATACAAGAGCTAACTAAGTTAACTGACGCAAGATTTCCGATCGCGTCAGTGGTTGCGACAGGGATGAACACGCGGCGCTGGGCGACTGTCACTCCATCCAACATCTCTTCATCTCCAGATTTCTCGGCTGTAACTCGTATCAGTGCGCATATGCAATTTTATGAACATTCGACCGATTGCGCTACCTTGGAGTTTCTTATCGCCTTCCCACTCCATGACCACCGCCTACATACATAGCACATCCTATACCTGCGCATGAGCCATCGTCAATTCCAACTGCAATCCCAACTCCTTACCCCGGATTACCTGAAAGCGCTACCCAGAGCCGAGACATCTACAGCAATGGTTCAGTGAAACCTTCCACTTCATCCGTCTCCTCCCTTTTTAAGGTTACGATCTTTCCCTTTCTATTTTTTGCTTCTTCGAAGTCCGTCGCTCGTTACCATCCGCCCCACGAACACAACTCCTCGAGATGCCGCATTCGACGTCGTCGGGTTCGTATTCGCGCGAACCGTCCGTGTCGCGAACACCTGCCAAGTCCGAAAAAGATGGCGACAGCGGACTCGAGAAGTTTCCTGACCATATCGATGCGCCCATGTTTGCAAACAACGGCTGGAGAGAACCAAGCCCTGCCCCCGCCCGCGGGTATACTAACGGTCTGAACGGAGGCCCTGCGCCCGCAGTAGAAAGGTGGCAGCCGCGACGAGAAAGTCGTGTAAGATGGGGGCAGATGGGCCCGCCCGGCCCCTCGCGGCAGGGACAAGGACAAGGACAAGGACAAGGACAGGCACAAGGACATACACACGGCAGGAAGAAGAGTATATCGGAGGCATTCCGAACTATTAGGGATAGGAATGGCAGTGTCAGCCAAAACGCTCACGAGATCGCCGACGCCTTGAAGGCACCATTGTCCTGGCAGCTCATCGTATGTCATCTTGTCCCTGACCTTGAAATGAATCACTTGCCACCAATCCGGATGCTGACCGTGGCGTTCCTGTAGATACTATGTGTCATGTGGTACATGTCCTCTGCCTTGACCAATACGTCGTCCAAGTCGATTCTGAATGCGTTCGACAAGCCGGCCACCTTGACCATGATCCAATTCTTCCTTGTCGCATTCTATTGTATCACATCGTCGTGGCTGGCCTCCGTCTTCCCGAAACTGCGAACCTCGATACCGGCCTTGAAGCACCCAATCCGACAGCCGTCGCGCGATGTTATCAGTACGACGCTGCCCTTGGCGGCCTTCCAGATCGGCGGCCATCTTTTGAGCGCATCGGCTACCTCTAAAATACCTGTCTCGCTCGTACACACGGTCAAGGGCCTATCGCCCCTGTTTACAGTGTTCGCCTATCGGTTCTTCTTCAACATCAAGTATCCAATGGCGACATACTATTCACTTATTCCTCTCACCGCTGGCGTCATGTTGGCATGTTCGGGCAATCACACGTTTGGGGGCGAAATGCTGGGCTTGATCTATGCCTTTCTGGCGACAATCCTGTTTGTAACCCAAAACATTGTCTCGAAGAGGCTCTTCAACGAGGCCGCAAGAGCTGAGGCCGAGGGCCACTCAGCAAAGTCGCAAAAGCTCGACAAGCTGAACCTCTTGTGCTACTCCTCAGGAATGGCGTTTATCCTGACATCGCCCCTTTGGTTTTGGGGAGAAGGTATCTGGCTTATCAAGGATTTCCTCTCGGACGGGTCGGTCGATTTGTCTGGCAAGGCCAACAGCATGGACCATGGCCGCCTTTTCTTGGAGTTCCTTTTCAACGGGACTTTCCATTTTGGACAGAACATCCTGGCATTTGTTCTGTTGTCGATGGTCTCACCCGTGACGTACTCGGTAGCGTCCTTGATCAAGCGAGTGTTTGTCATCGTGGTGGCTATCATCTGGTTCCGAAGCAAGACGACCAGGGTGCAGGCCGTTGGAATCGCACTGACCTTTCTCGGCCTTTACTTGTACGACCGGTCGAGCGAAAGGAACAAGGCAGACAAGCGTGCCCGTATGCTCAGTGCCAATCATGCCGATCGGCCGCTGCTCCCGCTCAACACGCAGGGCGCATTCCAGGCCAGCCAGAATGCGCCTGTGTTTGAGAGCCCGGCTGTGGTGAATGCAGGCACCAACCCACACGCCTATACAAATGGAAGCACGGCGCTTGTCAACGGCGGAAGCGAGGATCCCAAGAAGAACGACGATTCCGGGACCGGCGGACGGCAGAGAGGAAACAGCAGCGCGGCGTGGTTGGCGCCTGGGACTCGACAGGAAGAAACGTGGAGATTTCAAGATCGGGTGCATCAGCCGCAGCGTGTGAGTTGAGATGCCTGTGTGGGGGCTCTTCATGTATGAAATGATGTATACAGAGATGGATTGATGATTGATTACGGGACTCGAGGCAACAGGGTCCTCTCTTTACATAAAATAGACACTTGGGATATTGGTCCATGACCTGTCACTGGCCAAACAAAGCAGGCATAAAGCGGATTTGGAGTTTTGGGTGCTGGCCCATCTGGTCGAGCTCGGTGTCAATGTGCGAGTATCATGTAAATGTCAATGGATACCTCTTCTTCTTCATCTTTTCTGCTACTACCTGCAGGAAGTCATGCTACCAAAGTGGGGCTTCAACAGTTGGTGGTGGGTGAATACATCGCCTCGCTGATGGTGGCATGTTGTGTCGTAGCAATTCCCACTTGCAGCAAAGGTTGGGACAGCTGTTTCAACGGGCAGTCTGAGTGGTGCAGGTCTTATTTTTATTTTTAGTAGACTACAGTAGAGGGAATAAAAAAAATAAAAGTAAAAAGTATGGAGACTGCAACTTGCCGTCCAAAGTTCCCACTGTTGCCACAGCTTCGAGAGGACAGTCCCCACCGTCCATGTTTACCCGATTGCACCAAATTTCGGAGCGGGTCACGTGAGCCGAGCTTGGACCAGCACGGAGCTTCTCGGCAAAGAAAGGCTCGATCAGAACCAGCTTGCTTGAGGTTTTTGTCGTGGACCTCATCTCTTCAATTTTCCTCTCCCCATATTCCATCACCACCTTCCACCCCATCCTCAATTGCTGCTTGTCATCTCTGAAGATGTTCAAGAGGTATGTAGAACCCACCTCGCGTACTTTTTTCATCGGCCTCGACCCCAATTGGCCTTCATTGAGCTGACCAAAGTCTCTTACCAACCAACAGCGGCATTTCCTCCTTCTCGAGGGCTGCGGCCCGCGCCCCCTTCGTCGCAGGCTCGCGCCGCGTCGCCAGACCTTCTACCTTCACCAGATTCCAGACCACCCGCTTCGCCAGCACGCAGGGCGCTGGTGATGGAAAGGTCTACCAGGTGAGTCCGCCCAACGCTTCCCGAGCTCGCCTCCAACAACCCCAGCCCAACTCGAGCTAACATGGTCATGACAACAGGTTATCGGTGCCGTCGTCGATGGTCAGTTGCAATTTTTTCCCCTTGCTTCTCGGAAGCTCAATCGAGCTCTGCGACGTGACGGGACAGCTATATTGACATTTACCTCATAGTCAAGTTCGATGGCCAGAAGCTGCCCCCTATCTTGAACGCCTTGGAGACGACAAACAACGGCCAGAAGCTCGTGCTCGAGGTCTCGGTACGTCTCATTCATACGACCCTGCAATCCCATCCATCCTTTTAGCTAACACCATCTAGCAACATTTGGGTGAAAATGTTGTCCGTTGCATTGCCATGGACGGTACATATCCCTTCCCCCTAGGAAGAAAAAATCTGGTCGCGACGCTAAACAAGGTAAACAGGTACTGAGGGTCTTACCCGAGGACAGAAGGCCTCCGACACTGGTGCCCCCATCACGATTCCCGTCGGTCATGGCACTCTGGGCCGTATCGTAAACGTCACCGGTGACCCGATCGACGAGCGTGGACCCATCAAGTCCGACAAGTTCTTGCCCATCCACGCCGACCCCCCGGCGTTTACCGAGCAGTCTACCAGTGCTGAGATTCTGGTCACCGGTATCAAGGTTGTCGACTTGCTCGCCCCCTACGCTCGTGGTGGAAAGATCGGTCTCTTCGGTGGTGCCGGTGTCGGCAAGACCGTCTTCATCCAGGAGCTTATCAACAACATCGCCAAGGCTCACGGTGGTTACTCCGTCTTCACTGGTGTCGGTGAGCGTACCCGTGAGGGTAACGATCTGTACCACGAGATGCAGGAGACCTCGGTCATTCAGCTTGATGGCGAGTCCAAGGTCGCCCTTGTCTTCGGTCAGATGAACGAGCCCCCGGGAGCCCGTGCCCGTGTCGCCCTTACTGGTCTGACCATTGCCGAGTACTTCCGTGACGTCGAGGGTCAGGATGTGTTGCTCTTCATTGACAACATTTTCCGTTTCACCCAGGCCGGTTCCGAGGTCTCTGCCCTGCTTGGTCGTATCCCCTCTGCCGTCGGTTACCAACCCACTCTCGCCATTGATATGGGTGGTATGCAAGAGCGTATTACCACCACCAAGAAGGGTTCCATTACCTCCGTCCAGGCCGTCTACGTCCCTGCTGACGATTTGACTGATCCCGCTCCCGCTACCACCTTCGCTCACTTGGACGCCACCACTGTCTTGTCCCGTGGTATCTCCGAGTTGGGTATCTACCCCGCTGTCGACCCTCTCGACTCCAACTCCCGTATGATGGACCCCCGTATCGTCGGCCAGGACCACTACGACACCGCTACCCGTGTCCAGCAGATCCTCCAGGAGTACAAGTCACTCCAGGATATCATTGCCATTCTGGGTATGGACGAGTTGTCGGAAGCTGACAAGCTTACCGTCGAGCGTGCCCGTAAGATCCAGCGTTTCCTGTCCCAGCCCTTCACCGTCGCCCAGGTCTTCACTGGTATCGAGGGTACGCTCGTTGACCTGAAGGAGACTATTGCCTCCTTCAAGGCCATCCTGGCTGGTGAGGGTGACAGCCTTCCCGAGGGTGCTTTCTACATGGTTGGTGACTTGGCTTCCGCCAAGGTGAAGGGTGAGAAGATCTTGGCCGATCTCGAGAAGTCATAAAGGATCATATGAAATCTGCACTTGTTAAATAGAGAGTGATTGGCTGCTGGGGATGACTAGGTTGGTGGCCTGTGTATATCTAGAAAAGGAGAGCCAGTACGGTTGAGGTGTGGTTTTCTAACTCAATCGATTCCTTTTGTGAGCTGTATACCATGAATCCACCATAATTTCACATTTCGTTCCTTGGTTTCCTTTGTGTCTAGAGTCCCGAGTGCTATACTCTATACCGTGTTGCCCATCTTATAATTATGCCACTTGCGAGCATTTCAAGAACGCTGTCTATCCGTCACGCCCAGTTCCCTGTTTCTCGTCGGTTGCAATGCTGACAGTGCTTCTTGTAAATGCAAATGTTCTCATATCTACCCTTGAAACTGACGTGTGAGAGGCTGAACACGTTATAAATGCCCGAAATGCATGAACGGGTGTTCTCAGTGATCAGTCATATCACTTTGTTCTCCGTTCCACGCCATAGTTTGCTGTGAAATGCGTCTCATGTTGGAGATATCTGCAACTGCGATCATGCCTCGATGAGCATGTGAACCACATTCAGTGATGCCAGCAGATTGGCTGTGACAAGACGATATAATATTAATTGCTGTTGACTCCTTCCCTATGCTGGTGACTCTTCGTCGCCGTCTTCCATGTCACGATATACCTCATCGCGTCCTGACGGCAATCGATTATCACCACCACTAACATACAAGTTCATGGGCGCAGCGGGTGTAAACTGACGTCCTGCTAGAGTCTTACTGAGCACGAAATCATCTCCCCGCATGAGGGCCACAGCATAGATAACCGTTGTAAGAGCCAGAGGCGGCATGGCAAGCGAGAAACGGGGACAGATGAACGAAACTCTGGTCTCTCCGTCGAGCTGCCAGTAATCAATCTCGCCACTGAACAAGCACACGGCCACCGTCAGACCAAGATAAACCCGGATCCTCGCGGACACGGACCGGAAGCCGTCTGATTTACATATGGGATACATCAGGCATGAAAGAACAACCAATACCAGAAATTGCTGGACGAGGAGCGCCCAACTGAACCGTTCGGGCTGCACAAGCAGCGAAACAGTCGTCGCCACCATGAGCGCGATCAAGACGACGGGAACGGCCCGACGCGATCCGTAACGCTCTGTATACACCGGGAGCATTGTGAACAAGCTTTCACGCGCGAAATTAGCCTCGAGCGTTCGTACATGGAGGAAACCACTGTTTCGAGAAAAGCCATACCAGGTGTTGACCAAGTAAAAAAGAACAAACAGAGGACGAGCCGGATATTTTCCTTGCTGCTCTGGCGCCTCTTGATCAGCCATTCAGGCGATGTTGTTTATGACAATCGCGATTGCCGATATAAGGCTCGTCCTTTTCAAATACGGTTAGTAAAGTCCAGGTGTGCGGGCGGGAGGAGAATGGTAACCATTGGCCCCATATCGCTGAGGAAATTGTCAGCTGTTTGTCTTCCTATGCGTAGATTGTATACATACTGAGATTATTCGAGGCGATTTCTTCCTTGAGGTTTTGGACAGATGTGGCCATGTTTGTTTGGTATTGCAGAAAATTATCACACAACGCTTCAGAGATGAGCTGCCTGTCAAGTGAACGTTGTGCAAGTGACCTAACCGATTTAGAAACATAATTAGATAAAATCCAAGTATTGCCAAGTTTGCTGAAACGCGTCGGCGGTTAGCATTCTGGCTGTTGTTGCCTACGCGCGTGATCTCATCATGTAGGCTGAACGAAAGCAAGGATAAACACATACCGAGCCCACAGCCTCACAGTCTCACAGCATCACCAAATCCGAGTTCAATTGGTGCGGTCGCTCATATTGAATTTACTCGTGCCCTTTCTCCTTAATTCTTTCCAGTAGCCGACTCTATAGTTCTCATTCTGCGTTGTGAAACGGACTAATGCTGATGTGTTTTCATCGGAGCTGTTGACCGAATCGATCCTATAAATCCAAAAGAATGGCCCAAAGTCTAGATGAAGTGTACCAGGGGCTTCAAGCGCGGCATATCCGTCTGCTATTGATCAAGCCTACGTTGCCCGACGAAAACATTGAATGCTCTCTCACCGTAGTCCATATTGACCAGGCACCAAGACTTGACGCTTTATCATATGTCTGGGGCCCAGGAACGCCCACAGAGGAAATATACTGCAATGGTACGACCATGTGTATCAGAAAGAATCTGGCCGATGCACTGCGGAATCTCCGTTCCTTACCAACATTTCGAAATGCCAACGAAGAACAACACTGGGCATCAATCGCTGAGGTCTGGGGGAAAGATCATGTGCTCCATTCGAGTGACAACTGCTGGAAAAATTTTTCTCGCAATAGACACGAGCATACGGATCCTACTTATCCCCTGGATTCTTTGGTGTGGATCGATGCTATCTGCATCAACCAGAATGATACAAATGAAAGGGCGAACCAAGTCAGATTGATGACAGAAATCTACACTTCTGCAAGAATGGTAAAGTTGTGGTTGGGCAATGAAGATTCACGGCCAATGCCTCACACGGTAGAAACAAAAAGAGACAGTGAGCTGGATGATCCTCTATGGAGTTTCATGCGAGCATTAGTAAGGCCAACACAAGCGGTAACTAGTACTCTGACTTCGGTCAAACAACAACTAGAGCTGGCAGCCCGGCCAAAGATCCATCTCGGCCGATTTGGTATTATACCAGTAGCGCTGTCTTTCATTGCACAGGCGCTGAAGAACACCCCCGGAGACGACGAAGCATCCGCGCAAACCAAAACGCAGACCGAAACCCAGAAAAGCGCTTTGCATGGACTGCCGAGCGCATAATAGAAGGACTGGGATGCGCTACGACAGTTTTTCGATAACCCGTATTTTCAACGTGTCTGGGTGGTCCAGGAGATCGTCCTTGCGCACAAAGCCGTCGTTTTCGTGGGCGACTGGGAAATTGAATGGTCCGCGGTAGGCAAATCTGCTGTGTGGTTTCAGAAGCATGGCTATCTGTCGCCTCTTTCGATCTCACAAGGCCCAAAAGAATGGCAGGGATCCATTCCGATTTCCAATGCTGCCGAATTGTGGAAGACTCACGAACAATACAAGGAGTTGAGCCCTCCCCTCATAAGGATCTTACATGATCTCCGCCGGCGAAAAGCAACCCAGAAGCTTGACAAGGTATATGCTGCATACGGGCTAGCTCAGGAGACGTGTCGTTTTAGCCAGACTGGCTATCATCCTCTGACTCAGATCTCCTATGATAGCGGCGCCAGGACGGTGTATCGCAATATAGCCAGATTTCTCATCATAGGCAACGGCAATCTCGCAGTGCTCTCCCATGCTGGGAGTTTTCGAGGACCGGCTCCAGGCTGGCTTTCCTGGATGCCTGACTGGTCTCGTAGAAAGGCCAACATCCAACTTATTGATGTCGATGGCGCAGAGCCTCTCTACAACTCCAGCCAGTCCCAGCCTCTCACCATCGGATACACTGCAGACCAAGACATTTTACCTCTGGAAGGAATCGAGTGCGACAAGATCACGGCGTACAGCACGAGACTCCTGGACCGCGATCTAGGAGAATCAACAGTCAGAGAGGAGCAACAATTCGCCCTCAGCGCGTGGCGACTGATTATTAGCCGACCCCTAGCACACAACCGCTTCGACCAGACCGAGACGGCCAGGAGAAGGCCGCTGGGCAGTTTCGCGGCCGCGCTTTCGGCGGGGCTCGTGGACGACGGGTCCCCGTTCCTCAACGATATTGGATACTCGAGGGACGCTGAGAGGTGGCTCACCTCGTACCTGGAGACGGGAGTGACGCGGAGCACACTGCTGGCAAAGCATTTTGCCCTACAGGGATTACCGGCCCTGAAAGGATTGGCCGAGGACGCATCGACCGCGCTCGAGCCTCGCCGGTTTCATCGGAAGATGGTTCATATATGTAGAGGCCGGCGCGTCTTCGTCACCAAGAATGGTTTGTTCGGGATAGGTCCCGAGAACATGAAAGAGAATGACATTGTGGTTGTGTTTTTCGGGGCAAAGGTGCCGTTCGTGCTACGGCCTGTCGGGGAAGAATACCAGCTGATTGGGGAATGCTATTGCGTTCAGTTGATTGAAGGCGAGGCTATCGAGAAATTGAACAAGGGGAGACTCACGACAAGGTTCTTCGACCTCCGCTGAGACGATGGCGATTATAACAGTATTCAGACCGATCTGTGCCCACCACAGCTTGCTCTCAACCACAGCAACTATGGACAGCGGGAAAGGAAGTTGACGGAATCCGAGCTTTCTCCTACAATATTATACGATTGTAATTACTAGCTGATCAGTAAAACAAGGAATGATAGCGGTGGCCGGGCAAGTCCCAACATTTGCCGAAATGGCCATCGAGGTCCTCACATTGCTTGCGACGATTAACACAACGACCATCTTGCAAGGAGAGCGCAGTCCTTGTTTTATTATTTGGTGCCATACGCTCTGTAAGTAACAAAAGAAGTATTGTTAACTCGATAAGGGGAAATGCTCGTTTCTTTTCCCTCTATATTTCCCATAACACCCTACACCATTTCCGTCCCATAATATCAGATAGAATACTTCATAGTGGCATGCGATGTGTTGCTTGCTTGGGTTTTGAGCAGAAACATGTCACTAGGGCATAATTTCGAAGTCGTTTCTCACAGCGGCCTTCTCTAGGGAGATCATTGAAACCTCAGGTTCTTAGAGGCTATCAGCCACGATGAGAAATTTGCGTCTTAGTCGTCGCTGGTGCCACCAAGCAAGAGCCGCAACTTGGCCCAAGGTTCCGGCAGCGATGGCACCTGTGTAAATCCAGACCTCGGACACGGGAACACTTTCCGAGGTGACGTAGCTCATGCCCACTGTGGCTTCTGGGCTGTCTGGGTATATCCATACCCATGTTGGCATCTAACAAATAAATATCAGTATGGCCTCGTCGAGTGATCATGTTGAAGGCTTCAACGGTACCTTGCATAAGCAGTTACGGTAAACCCCCATGATCTGCATGAGCGTTCCACCAATGGCGGAGAACACTGCAAGTGAACCAAAAACGATTTGCAGGCCCCGGCATATCTGGAGCGCCCAGGAATCTGGATGGGACCGGCTTAGGTCCACGTTCCAGCTCCATAATAGCATCTGTATAACTTGCGTAGTGTAGTACACCAGATGTGTTAAGCTACGACATCCGAGACCCGCTACGGGCGTCGTATATGAAGTAGTAAACGCGAGCGCGCACGGAGCTCCCAGTAATATAAATAGATTGGTCAACCATACGAGAGCACGCGTCCAGAATCCCATTCGCAAGGCTTTGAGAAGCTCGTCGGTCTGCATGAACTTGTCGTCCTGTCGATCTTCTTCGTACGCCTCGACGACTTTGTCCATCCAAAGCCGTTTGTTCGGCCCCCGCTTCCAGAGGGACATGGGCTCGAAGGTCGAGTCGAAGGCATGCTCGAGGACCTTGACGCTCTTCATCCAGCGGATGAACCGGGCCCGCAGACTCGTCGTCGCGCTGCAATTTGAACTCTTCTCCACCCGTCGTTCGGCTTTCGCCGCGGACGCGGTCTGGTGGCTCTTGCCGCGCGCCCTGCCGATCAGGCCTTGGAGCGCGCTCGGGTTGTTCGACGCCAGCATGGCCGAGGAGATGACTGCCAAATGCGCGATCGTCATCCACCACATCCCGAAGGCTAGGGCGTGGGCTGTGTCGTTATCTCCTAGTCGCGTCTCGGCCTCGACGATGTTGTAGACGAAGCTTCCGATGAAGAAGACGACCGGTGCACCAACAGCACCACCAAAGCTGAACAGCCATGTCAGAACGTGGGAGATAAAGGAGGGGGGAAGGGGAGGAGCATTAGTGTAAGGCACCTACGCACCTTGACTGCGCGTTCAACAATGCCGTGAGTTTCAATTCTGGCCCATTCTTGTGGACAACTTCAGCATGATCGGTACGCGTTTTGGATGTGTTTGCAGAAGAACCTGATACAGCCTGACCTGGGTTATGCGATCCCTGTCCCGTAACTGAAGTTGATTTGTGATCGTTTGCAGTTACTTTTGACTTTCTCTGCGTAGGAAGAAGCTCCTCGGCAAGCTCCATGACTTGGGACCATATCATACTCGGTGGGCTGGTATTCTTGCCCGGAAGAGTAGGAGCCCTGCTCGTAACATTCGGCTCCAGTTTGATATTACCAACGACCGTGGCCAAGAGGAGCCTTGCTCTCGTTACAGGCGGAACCTGTGGCGGCGAGCCCTTTCTTGGCTCCAAAAAGTCCAGAATAATTCCATCCCAGGTATACTCATAGACCGCACTCAGCATCATTGGACCGGCAAGTGCGAAGCAAGTGGACAGCCAGAAAATAGTATCCCAAAACACAATTAAGAATGCGACAGGTAATTTGATAATGTAGGTGAAGATGATGTAAACAATGATGTTGTTGTCTTTTGAGTTGAAAATCCAGTCCGGGAACGAGGTCCTCCAGTTGCGAGGAACACTCAAGCAGAAAGCCAGGCATGGGAGTATGAACTGTACTAACGGCCCGATCCATTGTTGTAGCGAATTCCAGCGCGAAGCATCCCAACCCCAACAATTGGCCTCGCACCATCGATACGGGACCAAGACCCTGGGGGCAGATCCGTTGTTCGTACACAATGAGCCATATGTGGCGGCTTCTTGGACTTGCGAGATTGTTATCCCCACGTCGAAGTAACTGGGGTTCTTGAATGCAAGAGATCCTTCCACAATCTGCAGAGACTCGCTCACAGCTTGCAAACAACCGTAAGTGAAGTTGCGACCTCCTAGATATGGTGATGTCCGTAAGGAAGTAGTGTTAAGAGAGACGAGCTCAGGTACCGCCTCAAAGAGGCTACTATAGCCACTAGCAACCGAGGTTGACATCGTGGTAGTGGGAACGCTAACTTGTGGAGTTTACCGACAACACTATAAAGTGCACCAAATTAAATTATGTGCTAATCGAAGTCGTTGTGTGTAATTGAACAGAAATAGGGTAATCATTCGGCGAGGGCATACCCATGGTTGCTATCCATGATTCCCGTATTGGCTGTGCGGACGAACTCCAAGCTTATGTATTTAAATGCGGCATCATGCATCCTTGCCGAAATATTCAGCCGCAGCCTTGCTTCATAAGCACGCCATTCATCCCCATGATCACTTCAACAACTGTATTTTGCCCGACATATATCCAAGTTACGCACATGAGCAATTTCGTGACAAGGCTATGTCTCAGTTGATTCCTGTAGTGGCGACAAGCACTTTTAGAGGAGATGTATCCAGGCTCTTGATGCGGCGCCAAAGCTCGAGAGCTTACCTTGGCGACAAGGTTATTTCGTCAGCAAAATGGAAGTTTAATAAGGTTTAAAGCCAACACGGAGTCTTCTCACCGAAAAGTAATCGTCCATAAGCATGCAGCCAATTTGAGATGTGCGTGTAATACGGATCATTGTGACTCCGTTAACGTTTAAATACCAACCATGACTTATGGGACGTGATCAATCAATACTGTTTACTTCATGTCGCCTCAAGAAGGCAACCTCAATATAGATTCATATTGTTGTTATGAATTTCGAGCGATTGCTGATATTCGCCCCATATCGTTTTTGATTTTAGAGGGGTTGAGACTTTGCTATTACTGGCACAGTTTAAATACAAATTTGTCAATGCGAAAAATTATTTTCGTTGCTGCTTCAGATCTTGCAAAAAGAGAAAATAAGAGAAAATAAAAGAAAAACACCATCCTGGAGTACTTAATGAGGCGCTTAAATAGTGCAGTGATTGCACTAATGAGATCTTAGCATCTGGTCCAACAAGACAACCTTACCGTAGACATGATATTCATTTCTTTCGGGCAGCAAACTAAACATGTTGAACCCACTACGTTTTGCTCTCTAATCTTTTAGCTTTATCTCTTCAATACGCTCATGAGGTTGTGGTCCTTCGGAGACAGCCTAAGTCTAAAGTATATACTCCACAAATCAAAGTTTGGAAACGTGCTCTATAGGACTCCACGAGAAGATGATATAATTTATCTCCGATAGCTTTAATTCATAGATATAACTATGGTCAAATCCTCCAAAACACGACTCATTATTTTCTACCTTTTCTCTGTAATATTCAGACCTTCTAGGATAATCGCAATAACTGTTCTTTCGTTCTTGAACAACACTCACACCAGCTCTACTCACATCATTCTACGATTCGTCGTCAAAAGACCCTCATATTTATCGAAGATATGTCTCTTTCTCGTTTGAACTGCACCTGACTGCTTCGCGTTATACAACCATCGAATTTCACGACAACTTCGAGTATGCCATTCACTCCCAGACTGCATCATGTGTCCATTCACCATGTACACTATAGATCCAGTAAAACAACTCTTTCTAGACCTACCGCGGCCTGAGGAATATGAAGCCGAGCTAACAGATGCGGACGAACTTGACAGAGTTTGCTACAAGGCTCTTGTCACATTTCTTCAGCGATCTCAGATCCACGGTTCTCTGCATCCGGAATTCAGGAAAATCTGTAAAATAGCTTACAGGGCCGCAGTGCTTAAATACTTCAATTACTTCGATGAACAGCTCGGTGGGCTCGCATTCATCCAGCCTGAGGTTTTAAGAGGTGATGGCACGACGCAAAACTATTTCCGTTACTGTCACTGGAAGCTCTTAGGGAGGAAGAACCGCGTCGATGCTTCACTCCCCGACGGTCGAGATCAGCTTATGAGTCCCTGGAAGGCTGCACCAACTGAGGAAAGGAGCCTGGTGGCAAGGGCTTTGTCTATATTTTATCTGATCGCTGTTTCGTTCATGGCCGCCACCTATCCCCACGAAATTTTGTCCATTCGTGAGACACCAGGCATGGTCATCGCTACCCAAGGAGAGTGGAGATCAGGACCAGGCGACTTGCGTTGCTTCTCTGATACTTTTTCGCGGGTTGCCATTGCAGGTTTATCCAAATATGCAAAGAAGGCAATGGTGACATACGGTAGATGTGTCGACGTGCTGACGGTACTCAAACCTCTCTTTGACCTACTTCTCGGGCCTTTCTTCGAGGGTGTAGAAGAGGTCGAGTTTGTGCCGAAAGCCATCGACCGTCCAGTCAAGATCATCTGGCCACACGACACCATATACAACTCCTACCGCACCCACCTTGTCGTCCGAACAACTACGCATTCCGGCCACAGGGTCGCCATAGATCCCACCGGATCACAATTCGGCTGGTCAGAGGTGATTACGCCATAGGACCAATATTTGAACCGGAAAGTCCACCAAATCTGCCAGACGGTGGGGACGAGACCGGGGCCACGCAGAGTCCCCATGTCGTCCAATCCGAGTCCTTTGGATTCAAAGACTCAAATTGCTATGGAAAACCTAGCCAAGAAGCTCGTGTTTATATTGGGATTATTCTTGAAAGCGCAGTGGGCTGATGGAGTTGAGGACTTGTTCGAGAATCAGACGACAAATTCAATGAGTGCGAGAAAGTCATACTAACGGAGTGCGAGGGTTGGTGTTCGATTCCGCGAGGACTATGAGATTCCCAGCTGAGTAAATGGGGTTAGTGATTGATAGGTCGAATGGAAATTCATTTGATATCCGCATTTTCTAAGAGTCGCATATAGGTAACAGATTATCCTTTCTAACTGGGCATACTCAAGAGTGTCTCCAGGAAGGTTGTTCCCACTTTATAAAACCTGTTAGATGAACAAAAACATATCATCCGTGAACTTATAAATAAGACTCATTTCGACACAGTCTACGAACCTACACATGTTTCCGGTATTCATTTATGAAGGATAGAAGTGTATATTAGAAGATACGTGCTTGTTAAATTTGCACACTGTAACTGCGCACCTCAAAATTTAACTTTATCATATGTTTGCTGCCGTCAACGCATTGAGGTCGCATATCGGCTGCTCTTTTAAATTGTAAGAAGTAGGCTGAAACTATACAGATTGGCTCAGTTAAAGAGGCTTGATGATGTCGAGCTGATTATCCTGCTGTTTTTCGAAACGTCTGCGATGTTTGAAGAGTCCGTGTGGTGAATTGTTTCTTTTGCCTCTTAGTGCGTAGAATAGCATGCACATTAAAAGGGCATCCCTGGTAGCAGAGTTACTGCAAGTAGAGTTCCTCTTTAAGTGCCAGTGAAGGGTGTTTTCAAAGATGGAGCTGGAGTGTTGAAGTCCTGGCAAAGTGGACTGCTGCTAGCATGGGTAGGTGCATAAAAGCGTCCGACACTATTCTTCGGAAGACAAGCTCGGCACGAATTGTACCTACCCGATCGATTCTTTGTAGCCTAAAGTAAAGGCCTCTTGCTGTGCCTCAAACAAACTGATGTTCATGACGTAGACTCGGCGGGGCACAATCTTGCGTCGGCTATTCTATCTATGAACAAATAACAGCGAAATGTTGTTCTGCTTTCTGATACCGCGACTAATGGGTAATTTTTTGAAAGAACAATTATACCGTCTTGGGCAGTCTATCGCAAATCCTTCTCACTAACCAATTGCAGGTCCTTCCTCGTGGATTTAAGTTATAGATACTGTGTTTAGACGGTATCTTTCAACATTTCTCATTCCCAGGCAACAGAATTCTCCGCCAATGGGGGCAGGAATGTGCTTGCAGGCACTACGTAAGCCGAACTGTCTTCTACACCTCACTATTTAATATGTTCGAGTTGTCATGGAATAGTAATCTCTCATTTATTAAAACTCTGTTCAGATACTCCCAGCAGTCGATATGGCTCCTATCACAAAGTTTACACCAGAGCTTCTGATCACTGTTCCTCGGAGAGGAGCAGTAGTTCCTAACTCTGATGGAACATTGGGGATTTTCCCTCAATCGACACATGTAATAGGTGGAAAGACTTCAAAAGGGTACCAGATTCTGACCGTCGAGACTGGCGAGATTGAGCAATGCATTGTGGATGACAAGACGACGGACGCAGTCTGGCTTGGCCACGACAACAACACCGTATTATACCTCACCCAAGGAGAAGGAGGGTATACTTGGATGAAGACCGTTGATGCAAGAAACCCTTCCGCAGAGCCAAAAGTAATTGACTTCATTGAAGCACCGGTTAGTGACCTCAAGGTCAAGGCATTAAAGGATGGATCGATTGCTTTTGTAGTTGTTGGACTTGTGGATGCAGATGGCACACTCTACAACAGAGAAGAACATGAAACTCCTCACAGTGCCAGAGTTACCGACAGCATCAACCCTCGTGTAGTAAGTAAAATTTTGTTCGCAGTCATAAGAAATGATACCTGACAGCGTGCAACTAGTGGGATTCATATGTTCAGCCGCAGAAACATACGCTCTGGTATTCAACTATGATAAAGGAAGACAGCAAATGGAAACTCAACAAGCCATTGGTAAACGCTCTGGCTGGGACAAAGCTCATTGCACCCCCTTTTATGTACGAGCCTGAAAACCATACGCATCACTTTGACATTGGTGAAAAAGGTATCGTCTTTTCTGCCACAGAAAATGACATTGCCGACCCCACGAATATTGCGCCAAGCAGCATATACTATCTGCCTTTTACTTCGCTATCTACAACTTGCACGCATACACCGAATATGATATTGTTGCAGACGGGTGGCGGCTCACAGTCAAGCTCTTCCCAAGGCTGGTGCTCATATCCAAAATTCAGCCCTGATGGATCTGTAATTGCTTTCCTAAGAGCACCGACCAGAGCATCGTTAAATCCTTCGATATGGGTGAAGTATAATGAGTCACCAAGTGCCGTTGATGTATTTGCAACGATTACCATGAAGAAGTGGGAATTGATACCCAGCGACTTCAAATTCGCAGCTGATGGTCATTCAATCTATATAGAGGCTCAAGACTCTGGTAGAGCTGCCCTATATGGGCTTGATTTGCGACCCAACGCAGTACCTAGTCCTATCATACGCAACGGGTCTGTTTCTTCTTACCATATTCTTTGCCACGATAAGGACGGTACAGAGAAGCTTTTGGTCACAAGTTCTAGTCTGATTGAACCATGGTTCTGCCAGGTAATTCAAGCAAAGGGCTTTGCTGATTTCGAGCCACAGATCTTATCCAACATATCACAGCAAATCAATCTTGGTCTATCACAGGGGCAGATATCGGAGATCCATTTCAAAGGTGCTGGTGATTATACTGTGCATGCATGGGTGATCAAGCCTAACGATTTCGACCCGAACAAGAAATACCCATTGTGTATTCTTGTACATGGAGGGCCTTATAGCGCATGGAATGATGCGTGGAGCACAAGAGTACAATTCGTCCACGCAGAGGTCAGAAAAACAACTCACTGACAATCTATAGTGGAACCCAGCTGTCTGGGCACAGCAGGGATATATTGTTGTAACCCCAAATATTACGGGAAGCCAGGGCTTTGGACTTGATATGGCCGAAGGTAAGTTACAGACGAGACAGCGGGAGAGACTGTATACTGATCTTGATGCAGCTATTCGCAATAGTTGGGGAGGACGTCCCTACGATGATTTGGTCAAGTGCCTTGAGTATGTGAAGGATATTCGAGGCATTGACATGGAGAACGCAGTTGCAGCTGGCAATAGCTATGGTGGCTACATGATGAATTGGATACAGGGACACGAACTTAGCTGCCACGTAAGTCCCCCATCCGACACTGCAACTTATATCTTACACATGGATTCTCAGTTCAAAGCTCTTGTCTGTCACGATGGAATTTTTGATCTCCCGCTGTTCCTCCTAGAGTCTGACACGCTTGCTTCCATGTCCGACGAATTCGGCGGCCCGCCATTTGTGTGGAGTAATCCCGATGGCCTTGAACGCTACAACCCAGCGCGCCCTGAACTTTTGAAGAACTGGAAGACACCGATGCTCGTTATTCACAGTGACAGGGATTATCGCGTTCCGGTCACCAGTGGCATTGCCACGTTTCATGCTTTGAAGGCGTTGGGCACTCCGGCAAGATTCCTGAGTTTCCCAGATGAAAACCATTGGGTATCGAAGGAGGAGAATTCTCTTGAGTGGCACCGCCAGGTTTTCGCGTGGATCAACAAATGGTCGGGAGTAACCGCGAATGGTGGTAACGCTTGAGGATGAAGAATGCTGCAGCGCAGTTCATGCGCCCAATGATTTTGTTGATGTTACTGCATATATTGAATGCCTTATTCCTCGTGGTCAAATACGAAATCATGAGCGCGCCGAGAAGTGAATCTCCTAGGCTTCTAACTAAGTGTGATAATAACCGCAGCAGGATGCAAAGATAGTTTTCACCACAGCACTGCATTGGAAGCTATTAAGGATCGGGACCGACTTAGAAATATGATGATCACGTATAACGCCTTTACGTGGTTTGGATAGCCTCACGAGGATAGTTTCATTGGGATATTTGATAATACATATCCCCCCCTCCCCAATGAACGTCGATCTAGCGTCACCGTAAGACATGTCGCGCCTCAGTTGAATAATTAGGCCTGTTTCGTGGATAGCGTTTCCTAAGACACAATCTATATTATGGGACTCTTCGCCAACTTAAAATATTTTAGTGTAGTCTCGGGGATTCTCAACACACATAGGCGGAGTCTTCAACCCGGGGTCTCTCATGCGAGCGGCCTAAACCTGCGGTGAAACTAGACTGAAATGAATGGAAGGCCAGATAAATGCTCTGATTCCCCCGCCACGGACTACAAGTGCAGTGTAAAATATAGGGATGAAACACAGACTGAGAGGGGAGGCTTGAATGAGCGGGGTCCGTAGCTTCTCTCGTGGGGGTTTAGGATGCAATGAAATTCGGTATCACTCATTAAGAAAAAAGTTGGGCTGAGTCAGGACATTCTGCCGTGAATTTCTCCCGAAAGAACTTTATGAATCAGAATTTCCACATTGATGAACATTACTTAGGTAAACAAGGCTGAGTATTATATAATTCATCGAGACCTTTTAATTATGCTTCCGCTTAATCTACCCGTAAACAAATACATATATATATAGCACGGTTCAGTCAAAGAGAAGTTACGAGCTATTGTCAAACAAACAGCTTCTCCAACCCGGTCACTAATCAAATGGTCGAATCATTCCTATAGTGTGTAGATGCTGCAATGGATGTGCAGTCGATCATCTGCGACTCGAGGGCGTTGTAGTGTGGTCCTGGGGGCATTGGCCGGTTTTGGACGCGGTCCGGATCGAAACTTCATGGACGTCGAGGTCTAGACCCTATATCACTCGCTATTGACCGGATCTGGCCATATTGAAAGAATCGCCTGGAAGATAAGGTAGAGTGGCTGGTGGTAATCTGGCCTATGGCGTCTCGCGTTTTGACGTAGCTCTAAGAACTGCCAAGAAGCAAGAACACCCAATTCACGAAGAGAAGGCAGTAATAAGAGCCTCTATTGTGAAGCCTGCCGATTCCGCCTCCACGTCTTTCCCTTGGCGATCGTAAGGAAGACGCATACGATAGCACTGAAGCCAGTGAATATAGCGAACAAAGTAAAATACCAACCTCTTCCCACAGCCCCGGTCAGCGGCTCCAAGACAGCAGCTGAAGCAGCGCTCAGCCCGCACCGCATCAGCTGACCTGCCGCATATGACGTGCTAGACTTGCTTGGAAACACGTCCACCAGCAGAGCGCTGGCCGTGTGGCTCAGCAGCGTCGAAGAAGCACAGATGAAAAACTGCATCACAAGCAACGCGGCAGGATGGACCTGTCTCTGCACAGCCCAGCCGTAGCCCGCTACGAGGGCCACTTCTAGTGCAACGAACGGTAGGATGCACCGATACCTCGCAGCCTCGAGGGGAAAATCACTGAGTTCCTGTGCTCTTTTTCTGTCGACAGGAAAATTGTGGTTGCGAGCGACGAGGGCAAAGTTTCGGTCAAGCAGCTTTCCAGCGACGATGCCGCCTATCGTCATGCCAGTAAGCCCGGGCAAGAAGGCAAGACCGATCTGGAGATTGTCATAGCCGTAAATGTCGGCATAGATCACAGGAATGGCGACTTGAAAGGTGTAGTAAACGCAATATGACGTTGCAATCATCCACAGTACGGCTGCTGCGTCGGGGTAGAATATGATACGTAGTGACTCAAGCAGCATGGCAGGCCGCCATTCAGTCTTGGGGATCGTTTGATGTTGCGCATGTTCTGGATCCTCTGGTTTGATTGTGCCATATTTCATAATGACACCCCCAGTCCACCAGAGCTTAGAGAGTGTAGGGGGAATGCCGGACCCGTCGCCGACGATGGGTCTCGCGGTCTCAGGCAGAGTCAATCCAATAAGCACAAAACAAGTGAGTGCGACGATGCAGAGGGATAGAAAGACCCACGTATAAGCACCTGTACTCTGAGCCACCACGCCTCCTATCACCGGCCCAATAGCAGAGATCCCATTACAAGTAGAGAGCATGGGACCCAGCATGCGCCCGCGTTCGGACACTACAGCGACATCCGCCACAATGCCGTAGGCAATTGCTGGCGTGGCCGACCCGCCGACGCTCTGCAATGCACGGAGTGCAAGAAGCACACCGTAGCTGTCGCGGTTGACGGCAAGACCCAGGCTGGCACAGGCATACAATGCCACCAGGCCAAGGAGCATGGGACGCCGCCCGAAAGAGTCGGCCAGTGACGCGAATACGGGCGGGGTAAGACCCTGGCATACGGCGTATAGCGTCACCGTGAGGTTGATGGCCTGAACCGACACCGAAAATTCTCGGCTCAACAGGGGAATGAGAGGGAAGTAGATAGTTGCCGTGAGAGTCGAGAGAATTATAATGAAGCCCAAGAAGTAAGTCAAATAGAATTGCATCGAACTCGTGAAGACCGAGTAGTCACGTGTGTCGATGTCGTTTCGCAGGTCCTCCTGGGGGGCATACGTTTCGCGTGACATTTCCATGACCAATCTCAATCTTGAGACCTTCAAGATAGCTTTGTTCTGAGGGTTTGTTTTCGTTGACAAAGCATTCACTGCTTGCTCGCTATCGTAGTATCTAAGGTGTGGGGTGCGTAGCCTGTTCCCATCATTGGTTGTCATCATCCCAACCACATCGTCCGATGTGACCAGATCTAGCGAGTCTGCACGCCTTATTACAGTCTGTAGAGCGCTATTAAGGCTTGTATTGTGCAAAACCATCTTACATGATTATTATGACTATGGCGCAATTGCAACGCACACACACACATAAATATATATATATATATATTACACACGTTACACATATTCAAACTAGCGACTTGGAGGCAGTCTTGCTTGTATTAATGTGACTTCATAGTCACTAACGAGACGAATAACTGAGTCAAGATAAGTCTTCCTCGGTTGGAGCTATCGTGCTTCAATACATTATACCAACCGACGCGTACCGGCGGCCTGTGTTTTTCCCGGCGCATTGCCCATGCACTTACAAAGCACAAAAGCAGCGACAGTCGGTGGATGCTAGTTGATATATAGCTTTCATTTGAGATACATGTAATTCTTCTTTGGAGTATCACAAAAGTCCGTCTGCAAGGTGTGGAGGGATACTTGCACCTGTAATAGAAGGGTCGATTAATGCATCATATTTCTCAATCCCATCAATGGGTGCATTTTTTTTTGCAAAGATAGCACATATTGTTATATGTCCTTTGCAATGCCATGTCAGCTTTTACTGCATGATGATAATATATCCAGGGTAAGGAATGAACTAACGTCTTTCTCAACATGCTCCCCGGGTGCCCAGCCAAATAATTGATGGCCCCTTTCAGAGAATAGAGCCGGTTCCGGTCGTCGAACTCACTGGTCGGGGCCGAGGCTGAGAAATTCTGCAATTAATGCCGTGTGTAAACTTTGGCCCGGAAGACCGAGCTGAACTCGCAGCACCAATGGCCCAGCTCCATTTCGTTGTGGGCAAAGTAGGATCCCACATCAAAAAGGATGCTGTCGCCGGTCTTCACGTTGATCCCCATGTTGCCCTCCCATAGATCGCCGTGGGGGATTCATGGTTTGAGTTGCTGTCATCCTCCTGGAGCGTTCTCAGCAGCCTTGGAATGACAACAGCGACTACCCGCTAAGTCGCTCGCTCCATTTCTGGCCACGGACCGCTGGCCTCTAGATCGCGTTCGCATACGCCGAGCAGTAATTGACGGTAAAACTCGGCCCAGATGTCCTGCTAGTCCACCATGTGAGCAACTTGGCCATCGCAAGTTTGGGCGGCAAATCCAAACTGCCCCGTTGGTGATTCGCCAAGCTTATGCAGTTGAGAAAGTCTCTTGGTGAACTCGGCTGGGTCAGGGGCGGTAGTGACGTCCATGTCGACGAACTCTGAGAGGTAGAAGTAGGTAGGCGGATTCTGGACCTTGTACTTTCCGAATCCGTACGGCTTGGGCAGAAAGTTTTTCATCACACCAAAGACTATCTTGGACGATTCATACTCACCCCTCAGCATAATCTTCCCATGATCCTCAAACGCCACCTAATGCAGCAAGTTACAAAACGCTCTTTTTAATAGGACAAAGTGAGATCGGTACCTTCAAGAAGTAGCTCTGCTCTTCTCCATCAACCTCCAATGCTATGACCCGTCCAGTGATCGTCCAGGGGCTTGTACCAAAATGTTCTACGGACAGAAACGTGGAGTCATCTGGAAGAACTGTTGGTTGGAGTCAGCGTTTTCCGAGAAAAATTAACGACGTTGAGGTACAGGTTTCGCACCTTCGACCACTGCTTCGTCCATTGGAAAGATGCCATCGAGCTGTCTAAGCCTTTATTTGATGGTGAGGTATTTATATTGTCGCCCACACGCACAATGTCAACCTTACTTACGCTGCCAATCAACGTCTCGTTATCGTCCGCCAGAAACGGCTTGAAGTCCATCTTAATCCCCATGGAGTTGGCCGTGGGATTGATGTCTGCCAGTATGTACCAGGCTCCGAATTACTGGTTGCGGCCCGAAATGGGAACCGCGCGAGAAGTAATAGACAGCGGCTGTACGGCTCAAATTGTGAGATAGTGAGAGGGAGGAAGATATTTGATTGCGTGAACGGTGAACAGCGCATTTTAAGACTGTCCGAGGGGTTTTGTTTGTCTGTATTAGTTATTGCGCATGTTTTGAGTAGGGATGAATCTTGTCTGTAGTATATGACACCCCTCGCTGCTTTGCATGGCGGAAATAATGGGAAACGATTGGGCGTTAATGATTTGTGTCACCAATGACGGCCCGTGGCGCGCTCCATCAAGCGGCCCTTCGTACCCTTCCGACGGTAGTTCCATAGGCGCCCCTGTCTTCCAATGATAGCTGTGGTCGGCCTTATGCGAGGCCCTGGCGCAGGTCGACTCGAAAGATGGCGGAATCTCAGCCCCCTTGGTGCTTCCTCCTATCGCATTCTCTCTGGGCGTTTGAGGCTTGTCAGCATCGTTCAATCGCAAGGATTGAGCTGTACAATGCACGGCCCTTTCTGAGTATGCCCCGTCCACGGAGAACAAAACACTCGTTCTACCTGTGTTTTCAATGATTAAACAATTCATGTTCCCCCGCCGATTACTTTACCCTGCTCAAGAAGTGGCACAAGGCTAGCACCCGCCAACCTCAAACGACAGGTTGCCAACTTGGGGTCAGCAGGCACGGACGGCGCCTTTTCCCAAGCCGCTAGGTAGTCAGGATGGTTAGTGTATCCTGTGCAGAAGAAATCGTCTTTCTCCCCGGGGACCAAGATCACCATGAAAAGAATGAGCATTTTTGCTAACGATGAGCCGACGCTGTTCAGCACATCAAGCGATTTAGCTGGCGGAAAAAGCGGGGTGACCATGAAGCAAGCCGGAATCCCGCCCATGCCACACTTCACGTTAGACACAATGATGCTCCCGTTGAAGACAATGAGACTACTACAAATTCCACGAGGTCAGTGGTCAATCCAAGAGGCTTGATTATTCGACAGCTCTCAGAAAACCCTACCCGCAGGATTGAGAGCCGCGCACATGACCCACTGGGTCTCAAGGTCATCTATAGGCCACCCAGCGAGCGTCGGGCTGATGTCGTCTTCATTCACGGCTTGGGCGGAAGTAGTCGTATGACCTGGTCGCTAAATAGAGACCTGAATTACTTCTGGCCTCTCCAGTTTCTGCCACAGGAAGCAGATATAAGAGACACGCGCATCTTGTCCTTCGGCTACAATGCAGACTTCCGCCCGGGCAGTGGTAAGACTAAGGCCTCGATTCTCGACTTTTCTAAGGATCTTCTCTATGATCTAAAGTTCGCCCAGGACGAGTCAGGTGCGGAAATATGTGACCTGAAGATGGGAGAGGTGGCTATCCTTGCGTCCATTCGACGAGATGCTACTACAATTTGAAAGCTGACTGTAGGCCAGAAACCTATCATATTCGTTGTCCATTCGATGGGCGGGCTATTGATCAAAGAGGTGCTCGGAGTCCCCTTCAGCTTGATATAAGATCAGTTCGTGGGACAGTGTACTGACCATCGTCTCAGGCATATCTACAGGGGCAGAATGATCCAACGTACCAAGACATCGTCAAAGCCATAACGTCAATAATCTTTCTGTCGACTCCTCACCGTGGAACGCATCTAGCTGAGACGTTGAATCGAATTCTCCAAGTGTCTTTTGTAACGAGTCCTATGCAGTTCATCGCGGAACTAATTGAAGGTTCCCAGACGCTCCAGAAGTTGAATGAGCAATTCCGTCACGTAGCTCCAAAGCTCCGCATAGTGTCATTTTATGAGACCCGCCCAACGCCAATCGCTAAGAAAGCCCATGTTGTAAGATCGCATCTCTCTCTTTTGGGGTTCGTAATTCCATTGACATCCATTTCCTGTAGATGGTGCTCGAAAAGGATTCCTCTGTGCTGGGTTACCCAGGAGAGATATCCAAGCCGCTCGACGCTGATCACCATGGGGTCTGCAAATATGAAAGTCGTGATGATCCGAGATACGTGACTGTTCGGAACGCTCTGAAGTCTCTGATTGGGAAAGCTGACCCATCACGTATGTGCCGATCTGCTCATTCGTGTTTCTCATGCGTGGTAACACCACTGCTAACAGTCGCAGAAGCACCTGCGCAGATTCTCGGAAAGGACACAGCATCCAACTTTCAAGCCTATCTGGATGTTGCCGAGTCACCAGAGAAGGACTATAACTTCTTTCGCGATCAATGGGTTAATGGGACGTGCGCATGGCTTTTGAGTCATGAGGCATTTGAATCCTGGATCAACGCCAATGACCATCAAGCCCGTCTCCTATGGATTCATGGGAACGCTGCTTCGGGGAAGTCGGTCCTCTCATCGTTCGTGGTCGAACACCTCGTTCAATCAGGCTTGTTATGTGGCTACTTCTTTGTCCGTTACAGCGACCTAAAAAAGCGAGCTCCAAGCCTCATCTTGCGCTCGATTGCCTGCCAGATAGCTGCGAACGTCCCTGCATATGCCGAGAAAATCCGTGAGTTGGAAGCAGTGGCACCACATCTAAAAACAGCACACTTTCGGCTGGTATGGCAGTCATTGTACAAGCAAATTTTGTTGCAGCTGCCAAAAGACCAGCCAATCTACCTCGTCCTCGATGGCCTCGACGAGGCCGACCATCCAGGTAATCTAATAAAACTATTTGGCGATCTTCAATTAATCTCTTGGCCATTGCGAATCCTTTTGGTCAGTCGGAAAACGCACGAAATCTCATCCGCTTGGCTAAGGCTAGGCCGTCACGTTCATACTGAAACAATTCCGCTTGAAGGCAATAGCGAGGATTTCCGTTCGTACATAAGTCAAGAAATGGACATGGCGGATGACGAGGCCTATCGAGAAGAAGTCACGCAAAGGCTGCTTGAACGTGCAAGGGGAAATTTTCTTTGGGTCCATCTGACCGTCCAGAAGATTAATGGTTGTTACACGACCAAGGATATAGAGGAGGCGCTGACAAATCTCCCCCCGGGCATGGAAAACCTTTACAATCGAATGGCGCAAGCAGTCCAAGCACAAGCAAGCAAGGATGGCCACAGACTTGGGATGAGTATCCTAGGCTGGGCGGCCTGTGCACAACGCTTGCTCAGTGTGGACGAACTCGGGGATGCTCTTAGCAGTGAGGGGTTGATCGAGATGCACAGAACCATCGGAAACCTCTGTGGTGGTTTTGTGGTCGTCGATATTGAAGGAAAGGTCTCTATGGTGCATGAAACAGCACGTGATTACTTGATGCGTGCGGATCAAGGCCCCGAGCGGCCTTTTTTGGTGGACAAAAAGGCGTCCCATATGGCACTGTTCCAGCGGTGCATTACGCGTCTCACGGATCCTGCACTTCGAAGTCTTATCACAAGGAATAGACCACCAGGCTTGCTTGACTATGCAGCGTCGTACTGGTTCATACATCTTTCTCATTGCAACTTTATGGATCCACATGTTCTCTCCACAACGGCGAAGTTCTTTAAAGGCCGTCACATTCTGACTTGGATTAGCATTGCCGCCACAGCGCAACAGCTCAAAACTTTGGTTGTCGCTTCGCGCTACCTCACAGACATTGTTCAGAAGTTGCGTCGAGCAGAGAGTGGAATGCCGCTGGACTTCCGTCAAGCCATCGACGTGATTGATGGCTGGGCGACCGACATGGTCAAGATTGTAGGGAAATTTGGTGACCGCCTAATAAAATACCCAGATTCTATCCTCAAACTAATACCACCATTTTGCCCGGAGACCTCGATGATTTACCAGCAGTTTGGCCGTAGAGAAAGCAAGTCACTGCAAGTAAGCTTCTCTGGCAATAGTACCTGGGATGACTGCCTTGCCCGGTTCTCCATGGACGAAGGACTTGTAGCATCCGCCGTGGTGACTGGAGGCAGTCACATCGCCATTCTTGCGACGGTCCGATGTACTAGTCATATTTACCTATACAACTCACACACGTTTGAGAGGCAAAGATGTATGAACCATCCGGAAAGAGTCTTCAACATTCACTTGGATCGCTCTGGCAAAGTGTTGGTTAGTTATGGGTACCTGACAACAAGGGTGTGGGACGTCACAAATGGGAAATGCCTGAAGGTTTTGACAAATCCAGACCGACGACCCAAGCCCCACACCATGGTGTTTTTCGATGAAGGCAAGCGCTTTATTATTGGGAGCGAAGACAGATGCGTTCGTTCCTTCTCACTAGACGCAGAAGATGATGAAGGGTGGAAGGAGATAGTTCAGATCGAGGAGCAGAACCTAGAGAACACTATGCTCAACTTCCCTATGTGCTCTGCATTGAGTCCGGATGGCACAATGATTGCTTACGGGTACCGTGCGTACCCCATGACAGTCTGGGAGCTAGAACCTGCCAATCTGATCGCCCACTGCAGCTTAGAGCTTGACTCGACGGATATGACGATTCAGGAAAATACGTTCGGGGAGGTTTTCCGGGTCGCTTGGCATCCCTTGAGTGACGACCGGGAGGTCTTTGGCCTTACTCAAGTGGGACTCTTGTTCAAATGGAGCCCCTACGAGGATGTGCCCAGCGCGACAGTTAATACTACGGCACATAACATGGCCGTGAGCGAAGATGGAGTACTCATCGCGACAGGGGACGCCTTAGGCACCGTCAAGGTGTTTGCCACCGCCGATCTGTCCATGCTTTACCAACTCTCATCGCAAGATCCTGTCATGAGCATCATCTTCAGCACAGACTCGAGACGACTATATGACGTGCGCGGCAGTTATGGCAATGTGTGGCAGCCGAACACGTTAGCTAGGATCGCCGATACTTCAGAGTACCCCGACCATAACAGTGATTCGATTAGCGAGGTAGAGAGCTTCGCCGGGAACTCGCTACAGCCCGAGCACCATACTGTCAGGACTGATAATGTGATCACCATCGCAGGACAATCCGTCGGATCACTGTACTGTTACGGTACCGAGGATGGGATCGCAGCGCTTTGCGAGGTCGGTTGTGGCAAGATTATGGAGCTGGAACGACTGGAAAGCTTTATGCCTATCGAGCAGGTAGCTTGGTCAGTTGATGGGAAGCTCGTGTGCATTGCTCAACTAGGAGGAAAACTGAGCATCAAGAGAGTCCTGCGGGCTGGTGTAAATGGAGGCTCAGTAGAGGTCCAGCAACAATTGGAGCTTCAGCTTCCACCAGACCACGGGCACATCACCCAGCTCATCTTCCACAGCACGAGATACCAACTCCTGATTTCAACACCGAAAAGGCTATTCCTGCTGGACATAGTATCAAGTGGGTTGAAGCAGACCGACCTATCCCAGGACATCCGTGTTCGTTGGGTATCGCACTCGGCGCTCCCCGACTACTTGCTGGGCTTCGATAGCACTAAAATGCACATTTACGAGTGGAGTAGTCTGAAGCAGCTCATTTCGGAGACACGAACATACTTTCCGCCCCGTACTGAGAGTCGCACCTCAACCTTGCCGACAGGTCCCAGTCTGTTCAGGAGCGGAACTAGTTTAAAGGCGGAGCACGATTTCTTGGGGAGGCTGGTAGCGTCAGACACTGACTCATCAAATATCCTGCTCCAGTTATGGTCATCATATACTTTGGACCAGGTTAAACCTGAATATCTTATCTTTGATGTGGACGAAGTAGTCAAGTCTTGTAACGAGATTGGGGACGATACCTTGCCGAATAAGTCCGGAGATGCTAGACAGCTCTCGTACTCCTTGCTTCCGACTGAGGTGGCGTCGTGCATACGAGAACCCCTCGCGTGCCTTTCCCGGGGGAGATTAGTCTTCCTCGACATCGATCGCTGGATCTGCACGTGGAGATTACCGTCGGCCGTATCCCGCGCCAGCAGAGTCCCGACACGGGGAGGAGGAGGATTCAGGAGAGCTGGTGGGGACAAAGTGAGCTCGCATTCTATGGATATAAATGGAGTCGAAATGCACTACTTCTTGCCTGGTGACTGGGTCACGGCCGACGAGGCTCACCTCTGTGAAGTCATGACTGATGGAACGTTGCTGTGCCCTCGGCATGGGGATGTTGCGGCCGTTCAGTGTGCGAGGCTACGATCGTAAATGTGCGTTTATCGTTTTGTAGAAGAGCACAGTAATACGACCTTTAGACTCTCAGTTCAATCCTATAGACGCTCTGATACATCAAATAGCTACTTAGTTACTGACAAGGTTTTACATGAAAGTGTTAGCCCTATTTGCATCATAAAGCACTTGGCTGGCAATTCGGGTGCTCTCGATGGAGGATGGAGACTCATCTGTCTCACTCGCGATAACAAGAACCGAAACAGCCATATTTATGTATTCAATGCATTTTGTTCGCTTAACAGCCTCTAACATCCAGGCAACTATATTTCGCAGTCTTATCTAGTCTCGTGTGAAATCTGTATATTTAGAAGATTGCTATTCCGTGAATTCTTTAGATGGCGATGTTCGAAAGTATATCCTTAAAACCATTTCTCGTTGTTTCTTTCTGACCCACCAGTAGTTGACCAATTGAGTCGCGGAACGAGTATCATTGGGCAGAGCCATAAAGCGCTCCAGCAGTGCTGTCTAGCTTACATGAGTATGGAGAGTCTAGCCGAGTTGAACGAGCCCATTTATTGAATTTAAATCTCCATTTCTCGCGGACTCTAGTGGGGGCATTAGTCACAATACCGAGATATGTATATGCAAGTTCTCCGGCGTGCTTCGAAGCCTTTGCAGAATCATACCTACATGCCACAAAACTCATAGAGCTCAGGACTTATTAATGCCGGGAATTCTACTTCCGGCCCATGAAAGTTGGCAAGATCCATTCTGCCAAGTTAATATGTAGTTTTGGTCTCCTCTATTTCGATTTGCTCGAGGGAGCAGAACAGCATGTATAGTCATACGTGTCGCCTCAATAGCGAAATAAGATCAGAAAAGATTATCGATATTTGCATCTTCTAATCCATCTTGTCTCACAGTATCTGTACTTCGTTATGCCGAACCATATGTATATTTTTATATCTTTTCAAATGAAACATGTTTGAGGAATGGATCGAAAGTCCGAAAGTGCAACTCTGCCCCGCATTTACGAGGGCATCAAAAGTGAGGCTGCGGCGAAGGAGTATGCACAGCCTTCTTGAACGAGGCGGCTGCATTCATGTTGATTCAGCATATTCTATTTATCTGTCCGATCGCTCTGCGGTAGGACCTCGCTGGTATCGCTATATAAGTAACTGTCAATGACCTGCCCACGTCTCCGCTTCTTGAATCAATGCTCAAACTATATCTTGGAACAACCCCCCCTCTTCTCTTGCTTAGCACTCATCATGATTTTCTTGAATCAGTCGCGTAGCCAGTCTGAAGCACAAGATGGACTAGCCATCGACACAGAGGAAACTCTAGTCTTCTCTTACCAGAAGCTTAGTAGCGCAAACAGTATTCGTCTGTTGACAATTGAGCCATCCGAATGCGGCAACGATCCACAATGGGAACCTTGTCTGCTGTTGAGTTTGGCCAAAAGCCCAACTATTACGCATTATCCTACATGTGGGGTAACAAAAGCAAAAAATCCCAATTATCCTCAACGGTGATCAGTTCTTGATTGGCCAAAACCTATACGTAGCTCTTCGTTACATGCGGAACCAGAAAAGAGAACTCCCATTCTGGGTTGACGCTATTTGCATTAATCAGAATGATCTTCCGGAGCGTAACCACCAGCTGCAAATCATGCATCATATCTACTTCGGGGCAAACACCGTGGTTATATGGTTGGGTAATCAGGACTCGATGTCGCGAGGGATGCTGGGAAACTCAAAAATGCAGTAATCCCGATGTAACAAGTATCGCACAGCCTGAAGCCGGCACTGCGACCCTTGCAGAAACTTCCCCTTGGCAGGAGCCAAACAATACGATGATTCAACAGAATGAATTCCAACTGGCGGAAAGGCTGTATAGTGATGAGTACTGGCATCGACTGTGGATCATTCAAGAGGTTGCGCAAGCTTATTAATTAAAGGTATGTTGTGGCCAGTCAGGTCCACTACCGTGGGAGTCTTTCATAACTCTCATGAAAATGCACGACGTCGGAAGTGACGGACCTCTAAAGTTGGAACATCTTCATCAAAAACGGTTTATAGATGACTGTAATCTGTGGAGACTATTGTCGGATTATTAAGAAGCCGAATGTGAAGAGCCAAGGGACAAGATATATGGACTTGTAAGCCTCGCAACCGACAACCATGATTTTCCTGCCATGAATTACGACAAATCCCTCGTCGAGGTTTGGACCGATGTGATGTAGTTCATAAATCAGCAAGAGAAGCTTTCGGAATCAGAAATTCTTTCCTTTGGCGCCCTGGTCAAACTCCTCCTACTAGGTTAGGACAATACAGCCGTGTTCCAAGTTCTCCGACCAGAGGAGAAACCCAAGACCAGTCTATGTATACAGTTGGGAGCTCAGATCCGAAAGTATTTAAGATTGACGGCTCTGTCATTGGCAGTATTGAATATGTCGGAACCTCCGTTACCAATATGTTCGCAAATCTGGAAAATGAAATTGTGTGGAGGGGAAAAGTATAAACCAACTACCCAGACGCGTTAGGGAGAGCCAGGTTAGAGAGCAGAAAACTTCTTCACGCCATATTTCACGCACCTCAGAAGCAGGCATGTTTCAACCATGTGAGCGCTTTGCATTGGGTAGAGCGGGTTTCAAGCCGGCGTAATGGGATTTCCGCCACAAAAGATGAGGAGGAAAGTGCATTAAGCCATTACCTTCGAACTAATGCCAGCCCTCGAAAGAATGAGCAACTTAAAGACACGTCATTGATCGATCTTGTTAATAACGAGCCACGTCTTATCCAACTCCGATCTCGGAACCCTGCAATGCCGTGTAACATGGGGATTGCATCGTGTTAAGCCAAAGAAGGTGATCTAATAGTGATGGTACCGAATATCGACCATGCTGTCATCGTACGACCTCATACGCAAGGGTCTACCCAAACAAGCGTAGCGAAGCTACAAGTATACGGAGCTGCTTTACTCACCGAGGAAGTGGCACGGAATCATGTTGATAACAAGCAGGATTTGGAGGGCATTGATGGTCGGGATTCTTTGACAATCCAAATGGATGCTGCTACTTTGTTCGTTCTTTTAAGTTGAGAGGATACGTTCTGAGTACAAAACTTATAGTTCATCGCTTTTGATAAGATATATTCTAATTCAGTTCTTTTTCTTTCTGATAAACACTCAAAGTGGCCTCGTCTAAAAATGGACCAGATATTCCAAATTATTAAGTGGTGAAATTGGGTTTAAAAAGAAAGAAAAAAGGAAAAACAGAAAACCTATAGCTTATACGCCCTGAAGCGCAATCAATAACAACGAAAGTACCCGAGGTATAAAAGGCTAATATTAATTATTAATCGAACTTGATTTACGTGAGCATTAATCTCTGTTAAATTAACGATGTCTATTTTGATGATCTTTTCTTGGTCTTTTTCTTTATCTATTACACCAATTTAATATTTATCTATACTAGGCATAATATTGTAAGTCGTAGAAGTAAGTCACGGTTTTTGATCTATTCGGATCGAAAGGGCGCTGCTGACTGGCGAGGGCTGCTTCATAACCCCCAAGCCAACAAGCACACCCTTTCGCGGAAAATACAGGCTCCTTACACGGAGAGCTTATGGTGCAAAGCACCCTCCCACATATCTATCTCCAAAGAAGATTTTGAGTCTGGGTTCAGCAAATTGAATACCTGGCTCGGCATTAGGCACTATTTCCGAAAAGCTCGATGGTCCGACATTTTGTGTTTCCGAGATGCAAGCAAATTTAAGTAGGCGTGTCACATTCTCATTTGCTATATCAGATATTCTGTTGGAGATCAAGGTTTGGTTGTGTATGTAAAAGCCCCCAAAATAAGCAATGAGATTGGGAAGGGTGGTGGCACAAAAGGCGGACCGGAAGAGGAATGATTCGTCACTATACACGCTCGGCGAATGGCAACAATTGATGCACAAGAGCATTTGATGATTTTGTTGTCATCATGACGGCTAGAGACAGTTTATTATCTACTTGAAGTCGAAATATAGACCTTTTTCTTTCTTTCCACGAATTCAGACTTAGACGTAATCAATCAAACAATTCAATAGCGAAGGAACAATATCTTTGACACTATCTTGTGATATTTCGACCCTTTCCCATCGAAAGACAACCAACCATTATGGAAAAGATTTCTCGTTCAGAAGCACACCATGCCATCCCTTCAGGTCGTGTATCAATTGACAATGTGAAGCATTTGGCATCTTACAACTGGCTAGAGAAGCCATCGCCGACAATTGTTGTGCCAGGCAGCCCAAATCTCTGGCTGGCGCCTGAGGGTCTCCGACGTGTGAAGAAGGATTCCGGCCATATATATATCAATCAGAACGCGGCTCGTCATTCGGATAGTCCTCTCGAACCGCTCTTCCAAGCTTTGAACACCACGATGCCTTCATACGATGTCTTTTCGGCTGATGTTGTAACTGATCGGAACAATCTTCGCAAATTATTTGAATTTGCAGGTCGTGATAAACCTGCGCACGAATTGGAACCGTTCACCATGGAAGTTGAGGTTCTTGGAAACACCGCGTTCGTGTCTCGCGTGGAAACGAGCAACTCGGATACCATACAACCAGACCAGTTTCGAGGATTTGGCCATGAATATGGAAAAGCCGTCACACAGATCCAAGTCCAAGGAAGCACTGGACATTATAGAATCATTTCATACAATCTTGGCGGGTTGAACTTCATCATCCGTCATGAATTGCAGGGGTTCGTGGATGATGATCTTATCAGTTCAGTGCCTGACAGCTTAGTGAAGCAGACGGATCAGCTTCCAAGAAAGATGGACTGCTTGTCTATAGCAGATCGCCATTCCTTCGCCTCCACACCAATACCGTTGACCGTTCAAGAGTTGGGTCGGAATGTGCCGATCGAACAAACGCTCGCAATCAAGACACGCGGACTGCATCGAGATCTCACCATAAACGAACTTGCTCCGCAGCTTTGGATCTCTCAAACTCCAAAACTTGTGCGAGCCTATCATGAGAAAGGCACATTTCGACCTACACACCCAGAAGACATATCGAAACAGATCAAGGAATGGGAGAACAATAGTCAAGAACGACTCAATATATTCATCACCCTTATTCGCAAGATTCTTGAGGCTGTGAAACGCATCGGAGGCAGAGCGACTGTGAAGTACGATATACAGCACGATGAACTGGCCATTTCGGAGCTTTCTACACGAAGTCTCTTACCGGAGGATATTCGCTCAAAATGGAAAAATCCACCATCTGGAATGTCAAACGTGAAGCCACCAGCAGAATCAAAGGTAAATAGTGCAAGACGATTTCCAATACCCGCCAGACTGTGGTGAATTCGCTTACACATTTAGACAACACAGACAAACAAAGGGATACCGAAAATCACCGTCGAGGTTGGGAAGATTGAATATCTCATCAATTTGAAGGAAATGCCTTTTTTTAAGTCACTTATGACTCCAGAACAGCTGATGAATCCTGACTCAGCTGTCCTTCTAAGATACGATGACATCCCCTTCTTTGCTGAAATATATTGTGGATTGACGAAAGGCCCTAGACAGATTTTTCGTTCTATACCTCCTAATCTGGACGAATATCGTGTCATTTGTCGATCTTTGGATTTCCTTTCCGTAGATCTTCTCAAAGGCAAAACTTTGCGCACAGTCATGGATGATTTTAGAAGCGGAAAGAGTGATTGGGATGCAGAAGAGAGACATCGAATTTCTGGACAGAAAAGTCTAGCCCGAGATTCAGCATTTCGTCTCATTTATCTGTTCCTCTCGGAACGCTCAAATCTGGGGCTAAAAGATAGGGATGTGGCTTACAATGCTGTTCTTTTTGTGATTTCACATTCTGGCATATTTTGGCTCAGGGCACGGAAGATGGTGCGTGAAGCTCATGAGGCACGCTTCCCAGTATCCGAGAAGCAGAGAAAGTCATTGGATAAGTGGCCGCTTGAAATCCACGGCGGGGAAGGGTTAGAAGAGGAAGATGACACCCCGGCATCTGGATTCTTTGATTATGATTCAGATTGGTCTTTCTGAATATCTCTCTTACACTAATTCTTTTTGATCAAATTATTCAATCAAGTATATTCGTAATATGCAGACAGAGAAAATATTGTAGCACATACAGACAATACCGACATAGAAATGGTTAAAGGCGTATGGGAAAATGAAAGTTATCAGGACGAGATGTTCGAGCTTTCAATAACGTATGGCGATATTTTGAAGATCTATTTCATAAAGAATTCAACGAGACAAGGGGTGATTGCCATTGAGGCTTGATCTCGAGGTCAGGCTGTGGGCCTTGAAATACCTATCACGGCAAAGCCTGTGAAAACGACCAGGCAGCAAGCGCTGCATCGATTTTGCCTAAAACATGCGCATGAAGTGATATCAAAGTTCTAGAGAGAAAGGTTCATTGAGACCTTGAGAATGTGAGCGGGGAGATGCTGTTACTGATTTTATGTATCTTGTTAGCTTCCCTATCAGACCTAAATGCTATTTCATGATCGATACATCTGGACAAGAAAGGGGTTTCGAGCTACACTGCTTCCTAGCTCATAAAGGGTGTTTGCCCAAGGAAATCAACAACTCATGCATCGTATTAGGTGGCCGCGTTGAGAATAAAGATATCGGTCGATATAATTATCAAATTACAAAGTCTTGGCTCAGTTAGGTGTTCATCTAGGAATCCTAGCAATGCAATGACGTCCTCAGATTTAGCTAAAGCGGTCCAATCACCTGAAAGAATATTGCAGAATCAGAGTAATGCCAAAACATTATTTAGGTAATCAAGTCAAAGACAAGGCATTCTTGGTTGTTTTCAAGATGCAGCGACCGTTGTGGAATAGAGCATGATGTACTATGGTGCTTGATGCGTTGTCGGGCGTTGTATTCTCTGAATTAATGCCAGCATACACCCCCAAATCAGAAACGTCCCTACGCGGAGTTGAGAACCACGTGGATACTAACAGCTACGGGACTTAGATTAGAAATGCCTTCGTTTCTATGTACTAGCTGGCCTGAAGTTTTCTGCAAAAGCTCCCAGCTTGTCGTTCATGTCTGCAAACCAGCTTAACACCTCGTCCTAAATCGCACCTCACGGCCATCCGCTCTATGTAGTTCTATATAGCGGACTTGCTCTTTTCATGGGTTTCTTAAAATTGGTCTGAGACGGGAGCTCAAGATTTTCACGCCTCGAATTACTTTATGAATGTCGCGAAGCTCAGCATGGATCGATCCAAGTTTCTACTTAAGGACCGTATTCACATTTTGACCGTATTCGGATAAGTTTAGGTAGCTGCTTGGGTTCCGAATCCATGGAGTACAGTGAAATGAAGATGCTAAGTATTGTGGTGTTGGAATGGGATCTATGACGACTCAAAAATTCTGATCCCGTAAGTACATCCTCAAAACTCTTGCAAAGACCGTTATTAAGAACAGGTATGATCTAATCGAAGCCATAGTCATCGACGGTGATCGCTCAAGTCAATTTGGGCAACACATTGAATATCGTTCTTCCCTTCTGGAACGCAGGAGACGGGCAACTCGAGGAATCTGCAGTAATGAGAGAAGCAAAAGGGCAGGATTCTGCAGCTCCGGGTGGCAGTCAGTAGACGAGGGAAAAATAAAATAAAAGGGTTAATAACCATAATGACTAAGCTTCTTCAACAAGTCTCAAGAGAGGGAATATTCTGTTTCTCCCAAGCAGAATGGAATGAGGCGCAGAGGGTATCTGAATTCCCCTCTAATGATCATTTCTGACGATATCCATTATACTATCACGTATTTAATACTACTCAGGAAAAGAAAATAGACTGCTGGGGCCTAAACAAATTTCTTGCAAGTCTTATGCAAACATTATCCCTTAATTGTGACAGCTTTTGCCTAGACTTCACCATAAATACTATATTCCGAGCGTCCATAGTACCCTAGATACGCGATAGACACAAAGGAAACCAAGTCTTCCTTGATATTACAACGAAATCAGATTCACCGCCACACCGGTCAACAGAACTGCGCCGCAATGCAAGCTGTCAACGTGTTAGTCAGATAAATGGTACGGGTCCTATCGTGAGCCAGATGTAGCCCTTTAGCGCAAAGTATCAAGCATTTCTTCGACTTGCCTTTGCCGGCGAGGAGAGACCAGGCCTTGAATCACTCGAAACGCGAATCTAGCCTTCTCACGTGAGCACTGTTTTCTTTAATCAAGATCTATCTCGGCTAGGATGAAAAAGTGTCCGTCTTCTCTTTGTATCTAGTCCATGATTACCCTCAAGGATTATTTGCAGAAGATCTAAGACGGTCACTAATCACCGAATTTATCATTTCGTTGACAAAATTGAATCACTATGAATGACGTCCAACGCGGATATCACTTAGGTAGGCCTCTTTGTACATGTAGTCAAGACAATACGTAATGGGAAAAAACGTGTGAAGAAACAAGTATAGCCCCTGCAGTGTGTAATATGCAGTTCGTGCCTAGACTAATTGACCTTGCGATTGATTGCAGGCCACTGTCTGGGTCGTCACGGCTGAAAATCTGCAAAATATGAGCCAGTTCGATCTTCAGCGAATATCAGTGCAAGGACACGGAATCATGAGGGCATGAAGTGCAAGTTGCCGGTGTGGAAGTAGGTAGTATCTTGAGTTTTTATTAGGACGAAACTAATTTTTTCGCCCTAAGCTGGGATGATTCTTTTCATGATTATTCAAGCTTAGCAGGCGAAAGCTAGGTACACTCACAGGCCCTCTCAATACCATGGATAGCTTATAATCAAGCCAACCACGATTTTAAGAGAGCAAGAGCTATGCCACATTGAGTCATGTAGTACTCAATCTGTAAATACCCGGTGCAGTAGTTCAGGCTATAATATGCTTATTGGAGGTGTTTGGAATTGCAAAATGGGGTTTCATTTTTCATCTTTTCAGTATTTTCATTCTTGTGAGTTTGGATAGCCAAAAACGACAGGCTCAACCGTGACATTCGCAATATGCGTGTAACCAAAGGCAGTAACGGTGTCTGTATGTGCAAATGGAGCTTGTATTCCAAGGGTCTTTGTGGTACCATTGCCAGAATTTTCCGAAGTAGGGGAAGGCAAGGTTTATTGCTGCCAACTTCGTGAAAGTCAATCACATATGTACAACTAGTAAATGGATCGTGCATTGCATTTTGACGTTCCGGGGCTGCTATAATATACTCTTTTTGGCCTCAATTAAGCCAGTCAGCTCATCCTTGCATGGTGTGGTCTTGTGTAACACCATGAACTAAGTTACCTAAACTAGATGTGCGTGGGGCAGCAATTAGTGAGCACCTGACAATTGCCTCGATGTCCTCTCAAGGTTGTTGTGCAATACAGAGGATGACAATCGAACTATCCTACACTGAGACATAAATAACAATATCTAATTGTTATTTTTGTCTCAGTGTAGGATAGTTCCATGCTAGACACTTCAGTCCCGGCTCGTGTCATCATTCCAGACAGGTCACCATATTACCGTAGAGTCACAGATCGACGCCTACATGGAGCACCTTAGGAACCCTGCATCCAGCGCTCAAGTCCTAGCATCAGAACCTCTTCAGGCCCAAGCTCCCCCCAAAAATATTAACCAGACTTTCGAGCCAGTCAATTCACAAAACTACATCATCCCCAGGTCGCAGCAAGTTCATCCACGACCCCACGGCCCCGCGAACGTCGAGTTTCCCATCTCGCGATACCGCGAAGGGGAATCAAAAACAGCTCAGCCCCTTAAAAATCTCCCACACCAAAGACCTTTTACAGCGCCAGCAAAACACAGAAAGCCATGGATCAAGACAGCCTCGAGGCCGACTCGATGGAAGCCATGGCGGCGGCCATGGGCTTCTCGAGCTTCGGCGCACAGCAGCCCAACGCCAAGCGGCGCAAGTACAACCCGCACCTCGAGGAGTCCGCCTCGGCCGCGCTGCCGCACCACGGGGCGCGGGCGGCGGTCGATCACGGCCAAGGGGCCAATGCCATCCCGCTGGGCGCTCGACAGGCAGCAGCGGTGGCGCCGGCGGCGCAGAAGAAGAACAGTAACAACAAGGACGAGATCTCGCTGGACGATGACGACGAAGACGATCCGGAGCCACAGTACATCGACACCTCGCGCCCCGCCACGTCACTCGAACCCGCAGCAGTGCTGCCGCCACCGGATGCTGATGCCGGTGCGCAGGCGCATGCCGACGCCGCGGCGGGCGGCGCGACGACAGCAGGTGGTGGTAGTAGGGGTGGGAGATACCAACACGGCTACGGACGGGGAGGCTACCGCGACCAGCGTCAGCACGTGGAGTGGGGTGTCGACGGTGGCGACCGCAAGCCCTGGTACGAGGACTACTATGACCCGTCGTTCAACATCAACCCCTGGGAGAAGCTGGAGAGGGAGCGCGGGCTCGAGCCGCTGAGCGGTGACTACCTGACTTGGGAGGAGTCCAAGGCCAGGTGGGAGAGGGAGAAGGAGGCGGCGGCGGCGGCGGCGGCAAGCCAGGTCGGCGCTGCGACCTGAGGGTCTGATTCTCGTGGCCGAGCAAGCGATCATATCTTGGTATCGGGTGGGAATAGCTCTGGAGAGGGACAGCAAGTCGTGATCGGCAGAGAGCCCATTCAAGGAGGCTAGGAAGGGGCGAGGGGAATGCTCGGATTCAAAGAATCATGGCTTGTTGCGTATACACCACACATAACATCTTGGCAGGCAATGGCTCTCTTCACGACTTGCGAGCACTGGTCATCACGTGATGTCCCAATCATCATACAGTGGGCGTTATGGTCGCGATATCACTGGACGACCAAGCAGCCACAAAAAGCACTATGATGGAGTGGAAGGTCACGTACATCCATTTGACCCAAGGGGGCACTGGACAGGTCTTGGGTCAGAGCCACCGGCATCTTGTCTGTCCAGGCCTTTATGGGTACTGGCTACGCAACCGTCATCAGAAACGGAGATTTTGTATCATTACGCTAGGAAGCCTGCTGTCGTCCGTTCAGCTATGTACATGGGACCCCACCAGAAGAACATAAGGAGATGTTCGAGCACTACTGCCACACCCCCATCAAGTAGTCGAGACCACGCTCTCGTGACCCCCAGTACGAAAAAGGCACTATCCTGAAGCTACAAACGGCAAAGTGGCGCCGTCAGAGACTCAAGCTATCCACGCGTTTTCTCGCCTAGTCGCCCCGAGTGTGTCCCTATGGCCAGCCTCCAGCTTTTAGAGTAGCCCCCCACCAAGACCTTGTTTCTGTGATTCCCAGGCGACGCTGCTTGCATATTCTGCAGCCCTGCCCGTCTAATCACCACACCGGCCACCCCTCCTCGCGTGGTCTCCCTACGACCCCCTGCTAAGAGGGCCACAGTACTTTTTGAGGAAAATGGTGCATCGAGAACACCCTTGCCATCCAATCACAAGTCACAAACTCCATGAGACCAGGCCCGCGTACCCACCGGCCGCTGCTGCTATCCCATCCATGTGCGTCAGCGTGGAGACACCAGTATCCGCTACTGCTCGATACCCGACGCAGGAACGCCCGCCCTGTCCACACCACCTTGGGAACGTTCCACACGTTTGTGATAAAGCAGCGGGGAGATGGCGTTCCCCATTGCCGCGCGCTTGATCCCAACGTCGACTGGGCCCCAATTACCTGCAGGTTTCCCCAGAAAAATGCAAGGGAGGTGTGTATGTAGATATGTAAAATGCAGAGACCGACAGATCTGAGATATGCAAGATCTGTCCCATCTCCATCCCTCCCACTACTGTACCCCAGAGAACGCCAAAAAGAAAAGGTCCGCTAAAACAGGCAAGGACATGGGTATATGTTATGGGTAAGGTGAGTTTCTGTTTTCGGCACGCATGAAAGAATGCGGCTCAAAATACGATTCAACGACTTAGAACTCAGGGGAAGGGAATCTCTCGCGGGCCTTCTTGTACTCCTTGGAGTGTTTCCGCGAGGCCTTGGTCTTCATTGATCTGCAATTAATACTCGTCAGCAAATGCAATTTTTCTGTGAATCGGAGCGTGGCAAAATGGAATTTTGCAAGTGCTTATTGCTCTCTACTTACGAGACTTTCTTGGATGTCCACTCGAGGTTCGCGCGAACTTCTTGGGCATCTTGTAAGCCTTCCGCAAAGCGAGCGCGCGACTTGGCGAGACGGGCTTGGGCTTTCGCTTGCAGCTCTAGAAGCTCGCGGTGCTTGTTGTTCAACTGACCAGATCTACGTAACTACTTTAGCTGCTGAACCTTGCAAAGATGGCTTTTACAACTGTGGACTTACGTCTGTGCCTGTTGAGCCAGGCTGCGGTCAAGCGGGATGGGGTCGAAAGACTCGGCGAAGCGGTCTTGAATATAGTCGTTGAAGTCGACACCGCTGGCTGAAACGGAGCTGTCCCAACAGTCGCCACTGGAGCTGCCATCGTAAGTCGAGTCCCCGACAGAGTAGCTGTGTCCGTAAGAAGGGACACCTGAGGTGACGGAGGCGTCGTGCAGGTCCTCGGGTGGTGATGCGGAGTAGTTGCTGCCGCTGCTTTGATAGTAGGACTGGTACTGGTCAACCTTGGCAGGGATGGGCACTGCCGTGGAATAGTATTGGTGTGTGGAGTATGAAGCCATTGTGATGGTAGTGGATGGGTAGACTAGTATGACTTGATACTAAGTGATCAATGGTGCTTGGATCAGGGGAGGTAATAACACTTGGTATAGAAGACTAGATATATTCAGAGAAGTGTCTGAATAGTATTGGAAGTTGATTGTGTTGTTTGAAGTGATAACGAAAGAAGGAGAATCAAACACAGCAAACCTCTAAACATGACCCCTTTTTATACTTGAATTCAGAGGGCCCTGGCGCTCAAGAAAACGACATCTCTTCTGCCGAGAGGATAAGTTTCCAGGACACCATTCGTCAAAGACGTTCGACCCCGCTCGAAGGCGACGAGGAAGGCAAGAGGCGAAGGGATTTAGATGAGAACTGGTGTTGGATAATGATGTCTCCTAGTCTGGTTGCTAGTGCCGCCGCTCACTTACCCGTTTCACCTCCTATGGCGGCATGGAGATGCAAAGCCAAACAGGCATGGCGGAGAGTCTGGCCGCGGAGAGATGGACCTTGACCGCATGTTGGCCAGGAAGTACATGAGCTAATTGGTCCCAGAACCGTTTCTCGATTTGCCCGTGGAATCACAATCATCTGCTTCTGCATATGCCGAGAGGTAAGTCTTCTCCTATCCCGGACAACGCTGGTGGATACGCGGTATTGGAGGGGGAGTGTTACAAGCAAACGAACGGGCAGTGTTAGTCAGAATCTAGAACCGAGAAGCACTCATTACCTCACATGGTGGGCGGATGATGAGATGGGTAGCAGGATGTCTGCCGGCAGGGTTGCGGTTTCGTGGGTTCCTTTGCCGACAAAAGCGTCGACTTACACTAGTCGACCAATTGCTAAGACTGGCGGAGGTAATGGTTGGAGACCGAAGAAAAAAATTTAAGTCTAGACAGGGAATGGTAGCCCAGAGCATAGAAAGGATGGCTTTCTCGGCCATTGGCGGAAGCCGTGTGCAATTGTCGAATAGAAACGGTGAGGCCATGTGCGTGTGCGCGTGAGAAAGGAAGCCTATCCAGCTTAGATCGGAGCATAGGCATCAGATCCATGCTTGGAGGAGAGAACGGCCGTTTGTCCTTGCCCACACCCCCCCCTACAAAGTAGACGGACGGAGGCGACGAAAGCTTCAACGAAACAAGCGCGGTGACGCTAATGGACACAAAAGCAGCGATGGATTTACCATCTGCAGGACCAAGAACCAGGTGCAAGATGAAGTGCAGATTGCAGCGGAGTCATGGAGCCGTCTGGTAGAGGCAAGTATTGGCAATTGAGCAATGGGAGACGAGGCATGGGAGCGTTGAGCCGCCAAACAGGAATCAGTGGACCGTTCTGGATATGTCAAGTCAGAGTCATTGTTAGTTAGGCAGGAGTGCAGCCGGTCGGGCGTTTTTTTCCCTCTCGTTCTGTATGATGTGTTGTCAAAAGTTCCCGGCTGTCAGCGAATACAATTCCAGATTGCAAATTTTTTGCTGTCGTTGCCGTCGAATAATAATTCGTCCTGACTTTGGGGGGCGTAGACACAATTGGACATGGTATGTCACTTCCATCTTTGATTTTCATACTCGTACATAAGATAGGGTTGCAGACAGCACAGAGCCCAAGAAATTCCCCAACTGTAGCGAATCGTGTCCCGAATCTTGGATCCCCCCAGTTGTTTCTACTTTAGGTTTGGGGGCACTTGATCTAAAGAAATTCCGGATTGAGCAGGGGTCGATTTCTTGAATTTTGAATTTTTCTATTGGCCAGAAATTCCGAATTTCGAGAAGGCAAGGATGCTGATGCTGCTTGAATTGGAAAAACAGAAACGTGGGTGTAGTTTAGCTGAGGCCCGTGCGGTTCTTGAGGTTGATTAACGCCCATTGCCCCTCCATTGACTACTTGATGCCTGCCCCGCGACGGGAGAGCGTGAATGACGGTGGCAGAAAATCTCTATGAGGAAGTTCTGAGTTGCCGTCGATGATGAAACTCGATAAAATAGCCGGGTATGGTATAAAACAGATTGCCCTCCGGAAGTTCCATGTGAACACGTAAGAGCGAACTTCGCCATTTGAGGCACGGACAAGGGCTGTAAATTTCGACGTGACCGTTAGTGGCCAAGTACAATTTATCATCGAAGCACTGCCAGCATGTAGAGTGCTGCATGTGATTTTAGCTGCGTCCGAGATACATTGACAACTAAGACTGCATGCAGTGCGCTGGCTGCCTCGTGCTTATTACAGATGGTGGGTGTCGTCAGTCTCTAGGGGTTCGCTCCGTCCCGCCCATTTGATGCATCAGTTATTGCGTCCAGATGACATATCTTCGAATGTCTGCTGAGAAGCTGTACGTGGATTTTAGCCCAAGGTCATGTGACGCTTGCCACAAGGGCCGTTCAAGCAACAGGATGACGGGACTTATTAGCTTAGGGGTTTTGTGTAAAGACGAGAATCATCTGGAAATATTGAAAGCACGAAGGACATCCCTTTCCTTGCAGTAGGAAGGGGTTTCTGCTTGGTGTGAACAAGGATCTGTTGGGAGGTGCATGAAGATGCAGTTCAACGTGTTCCTGCCCCTATCTGTAAATTGTGGCACACATGTTCATGGTACCCTGCCGAAAGACGTTGGAAGTCCTGCTGTACCCGAGTATCTGGAGATCTGCAACAGTCGTGATAGTACATTGTACACCACTCGAAGCAGGTTCCTGCACAAACAATTGGTGGAGCTCAAGAGGCAATTTGTTCAACATGAGTACGGTATCGCGACGGTAAAGGTATCGTTAGGGCGACTATTGGACGGTCAGTCTCATGCTGCTCACTGCCCCAGACCGTTTTGGCTCAGGCTTGCAAAGGGCATAACTTTGAAATTGTGAATTCCATTTCTCAGATGCTGGTCTGCCAGCCATCCCGAGTCCTGAGACCATGGTATATGACGGATAATCTTGTAGCTTTTGTACAACTTTGTCAAGTCGTGGCGCTTAGTCTATACCATTGCATACACCTTATACCCGCCGTTTCAAAGAGATACGATGTGGGTATTTCAAGGTACGTAGTCACCACAAACGGGACCGAGTTTGGTACTTGTTGGTCCATGCAGGATGTACATCAAAGAAGCACTAGGTAATATGTAGTGGATACCCAGGATTAGGCTGAGAGGGGAGTAGTTGCAGTCAAACATGAACTGCACTCCAACGGCGATGATGGGGCATCTTCTCATAGGGCAATACCGTAGCCGAGGGAAGTGTCCCAACTTGTCAAAAAGGCCGACCTTGGCCGGAGTGGCGGATTCTCTTGGTGTGCCGCTGAATGCTTTGTGCGATATTTCATTGTTATTTGTGGCTCATGACAGTAATACTGGGCTGTTTGAGATGTACCGAAGTACACAAGCAGCAATGTCTTGTGGATGTCAGATCTGGTATACTGGAATTCGAGGTGCGCGAATTTGAGGTGAAGTGAGTAGAAGAAGTACTTCACAATTGGCTAAGAATCTACTTTCTCTGCGGTATAACTCGGCAAGTGGATTTCCAAGATTTGTCTTCTGAGTACACAGAGCCTGACCGAACCAGACCCTCATGGTTTAAGCACCCCTTGAGTTGTGTTTCATTCCGCATCGTCCAACGTAGCATGATGGATCGGACGAAGGGCCCAGTGATATTCGTGAAGTTACAGTTTGTCCCAGATCTTGGGGACCCGGCATCCAACAGTGCAGCGAGGTAAGTACTGCAAACTGGCCAATAGTTCCTGTTCCCGTCAGTGGTCACATGTGTTACTAGTACGATCAGATGTAATAGAGTAGATTTTTGCCAGTTTGTTGAAAATGTTCCACGCCTGTCTATCCAAGGCTCGGCAGCCAAAGCCGAAGCCTTTCAATCTGGTCTTGTTCTTGAATAACGCCTATGATGCACAAGTCTTGTACTGTAAATGGGTCAACCTTCCCATCTGCGATCAACCGAAAACTTTGAGAAACCCCCAAATGCCGACGCCACTCAGTACGGGTATTGTAATATTATCATCCCAGCCAAAAATATCAACAACCTCGCTGCATGCTGCAACAAGCCCGGAGCAGATGCTCATCACACCCAGGGCGACGGCGCCGCTGATGGTTGCGTCTGTTTCACCAAGTCCAAGCAGATTCGCAGCTGATGCGGGTAATCTTAAATAGCCGTTGAACATGAACGGATTCTGATCGTCTCCGGGGAAAGAGGGAGTACGCGGCGCAAGCCATCCCCAAAACCATGCAGCTGTGAGGACACCGACCACGAAAGCTGCGGTCGAGCCTGCGAGCGATTTACCTCGTCTAATACGAGGTGTGTATCTGCCATATAAACGACCGAAAGTGCTGGCTGCCGTATCGCACCAACTCAGTAACATGACCGAGACAACTGCTACATCCTTCGGAAGGAAGTATAGGACACTCCACGCGCCTAGAAGATACCAAATAACGCCATTGTAACCAGAGTATTCGCTCTCGCGCATAAATGCGCCTAGACACTTGACGTAGATACGATTGATTGACGCGAAATTGTGGCGTAAAATATCGGTCGAGGCTATAGGGATCAGAAATCCCATCAGCCACGGCGTAACCCTGGACGGTTGTGTTCCTGTCACGTATAGCCAATAGACCAAGAAGCCAATAGATACGTGCAAGACCTTTCTCGGAACCTCATGCTTGTGTATTAATGTCTTGAAATGACGATGTATTGGAATCAAGCCCAGTGGGCTCGGGCTGCGACTGAAGTCACGCCAACTCCAGCCGGAGGGGGTGGCAGGCGTGGGCGGCGCAAGGTGCCCGTTCGACGTCGTTACAAGGCCATTTGCGTGCGTTGTAAGATCTTGGCCTTGGACCTTGGGGGCATCCTTAGATCGATCATCCGTGACGGAAGCGAGACGAGCGACTTTGCGTGAGTTGATGGGACTGCGAGACCGCGTCCGGGCGCGGCGGAGTTCGGGATCCGACTCGTCCTCATCGATACCCTCTTGTATGGGCACTTGAGGAGCGATATTGCCTGTCTGTCGCCTTCGAGCCGCTGAGCATGTCACAGGCCCCGAATAGTCATCTTGCGAACCGTCCTGGGTGTCTGAAGGGGTAGGACTGGGGGATATTACACGCGGTGTTGCCGGGATGTTCGGGGTGCCGCGGAGAGACATTTCGTATGGAAAAGGTGGGAGGGCTGGAGTGGAAACAACTCCGGTAAACAAACGTCGTAAATCGTAAAATCGTAACGGCCAGAAAGAGGAGTGAAGAAGTTTGTCTCTTCTAGATTCACGCGTGGTGAGAAGATGGTTGTTGCCAAGCAATGAAGTGACAAATGCTACCGGATCCAGCGTGAATGACTTTGGTGATGCAACAGAGACGAGCTCTGCCGCATTCTGCTGGAGTACAGGGGTTGGCAGCAACAGAGGGATAAAGGCCGGTTATGATTTCTGGTCTCATCGGGAGCACATGGACGGTTTGACGGATATGATAACAAGCCGAAATGATAGGTTCCTAAACACCGGCGGACTTTGCACGGCGACGGAGAACTCAATACTACCGAATGGTGGTTGGAGCAGAAAATTTTAATTTTCTCAATACTAATGATTTTTTCACAAGCCAGAAATCTGGCGCAGAGTGACATAACGACGCCTGGTCGGAGGCCTGTCTGTCACGATGAGATCCTGACGTAGACCCCACGCGCAAAGCTTAGCCCGCTTCCGGCATGACGGCGCTGAATTGCGTGGTCGGTCAGCTGTGGCCTTATCCTATGCATGTACTATCGGAACCGCATGTAGCCTGGAGCCTATCACATGCATCATCTTCGAAGGGTACTTGACAGCATTTCTTTGTGGCATTCATTTGAATGTCTTCGAGTATACATCTCAATAGGAAATAAATTTGATCACCACCTATGACGGCCAAATCTGTGTGCAAACTTGCATGGTCGAGACGGTGTTTTTATAGACTACCAATCAATGCCTGACTTTGCATTATCATGCCATGCATGTTACTTTACTTTGTTCACTGTACCTTCTAGACTACACCCTGCTTTCTGCACTCATATGCCCGACTTGATGTAGAGCCGGCCACTTCGGCGAACTGTCGACGCCCGTAGATTGTTTCAGTTCAAGTGGTTTGCCGGGTTATCATTAGCCACCAACGGTCCAGCTGTCGGGCTTGAATTGATTGGAGAGTCTGAGGCTGGTTGACTCTATCTAATATGACGACTCTAGTCTAGCCGATAAATATCGAGATACCTTGGCGAGATCGATTCTATCACAACTGATGTTATACAGCACCAGAATGTCACACTCCGTTAATTTGTTAGCACCCAGGACACAGTAGTGATCCACGGTACGGTATTCTCAAAGAACAACAAGATCGTACAAGTCAAATCTCCGCAGCTTTCAACTCTTGGTTTTGGTCGTTGGTTGATCACATGACAAAAACAGCCTGACTGGGGGTCTGCAATGTGGATTTGGGCAAGTCGTCGCCCAGCTGGATGCAGCTGGCCTCTCGAGAGTGGCCTTTCTAGAGCGATTAAACCACAGCACTAATGGTGGCTAATGGCCCGCCCCCACCCAACGTCACAGGGGCCTTTGCTTCGAAACGTCAGCTGCAACACCTCGACGGAAGCCCAAGGCTCGAGCTGGGCGATTCCATTCACAAACAAAGAACAGCTTACCTCAACCCAATAAACGTGGCAACCTAGAAGGTACCACTCAACTTTCATGACATATCATTCCAACTAGATATCATCTTGCAGCCTGCTTAGGCCTGCCCTTACACTTGTCTTCAAATCTATCTGCATCCTCATGTAACTCGCCTGAACAATGTGAGCAAAGTGCCCTGGACTAAACCGGGCAACTTCTACTGACACCACCCCTCGAGTACAGTGACATATAGACAAAGACCTCCAGCCTTGCCTACGCTTTATTAACGTTTTTCCATACATAATCTACGCTCTTACGACCCCCTCTCGATTGGAATACTGCGCAACCCGTTGTCGAGCAGCCCGAGCCTACCGCTGTCGTACGACCAATTTTTTGATCCGCTACCCAGCGCATTATCTAGGACAGGTGCTTACTTCCCTTACAACCCGGGAACGCCAAGCGGAACACGTCACGATGGACTCAAGGAACGCCTTGTTCGGAAGGGGCCCCCGTGCCGGCGGCGGGCTCCCTGGCAGACAAGTCAGTGGTCAAGCACCACCTCCGGCGCCACGCGACTATGGCGCTCCACCCCAAGATTACAACTCATACGGCGCCCCATCCCCGAATATGAATCGGCAACCCCAGAGAATGTCTGGCGGCTACGGCGGGGGAGGTGCTGGCGCCACTGCTCGAGCCATACCTTTGAGCATCGAGAAGCTTCCCAACGGTCACGAGTTCATTTTCAGAAACTTGTCGGCAGTCTGCCCCGACGACTTCCCGACACGCGACCCAGGTGCCGATGTTTACGTGTTATTGAGGGGCCCCTTTGGCGAGTTTGTAGTCACGGCCCGCCCGCTACCCGGATTCCCGAGGGGAAAGATCAGTCTCGCAGAACACCAAAGATCATGGATGGGCATTGCTTTGCAGGATCAATTCACTGGAGAGGTCTATGATCCCTTTTCCCAGGGCAAGAGGGTGTACTTGGGCACTATGGATCTCGATATTGCATTTGCCCGCTCCAAGATGACCGATGTCCCGTACGACCAAGACAAGCTTGCCGAAGAGATCGCGCGTCTCTTCCAGAACCAGATGTTTTCGCCGGGCCAGAAGTTCCTCATGGATGCCCAGAGCATTCCTTTGATGTTCACGGTCAAGTCGGTGAACCTAGTTGACTTGAGCATGGAAAAGGGAGCTGCCTCTGGCTCACCAAATACGAGCGACCGCGGCGTCAGGGGTATTCTCACCAACGTCGCTACCATCAACTTCTTCAAGGATGCCAAATCACCCATCAAGCTCAAGGGCTCAGCACGGAGAGTCGCGGCCAATGCCATATTGGCTCCAGATTTCAAGTTCGAGGACCTAGGCATTGGAGGTTTGGGCGAAGAGTTTGAGACCATCTTCAGACGAGCATTTGCATCGCGTCTCGTGCCACCCGGAATCATCGCGCAGATGGGTATTGAGCACGTCAGAGGTATGCTGCTTCATGGCCCACCCGGAACAGGAAAGACTTTGATTGCCCGACAGCTGAGCAAGATGCTGAACGCTCGCGAGCCCAAAATTATCAATGGTCCTGAAATTCTGAACAAGTTCGTCGGTCAATCCGAGGAGAACGTCCGTAAAATGTTTGCAGATGCTGAAAAGGAGTACAAGGAGAAGGGTGACGAGAGTGGGCTACATGTCATCATCTTTGATGAGTTAGATGCCGTCTGTAAACAGAGAGGAAGTGGAGCCGGCGGCGGCACAGGTGTTGGTGACAGCGTCGTGAACCAACTTCTTACAAAGCTGGATGGTGTTGAGGCGCTCAACAACATTCTTCTCATCGGAATGACGAATCGCAAGGACATGATTGACAGTGCTCTACTTCGTCCTGGACGTCTCGAAGTTCATGTTGAGATCTCACTTCCAGATGAGAACGGCCGGCAGGAAATCTTCAAGATTCGTACTGCGGAAATGCGAAAATCTAACAGAATGGACGATAGTGTGAGCCTCGAAGGTCTTGCCAAGTTGACCAAGAACTTTTCCGGTGCTGAAATCGCCGGTGTCGTGAAAGCGGCTTCTGCTATTGCTTTCGCTCGAGTGACCAAACTCGGCAAAAACTCCGGCGGGCATCAGATCGACTATGACGCAATCAGAGTCACAATGGACGACTTCACACGAGCAGTAGACGACATTGAGCCGGCCTTTGGTGCCACTGGGGTGGACTTCGAGAATATCGCCCAGTTTGGCATAATGCGATTCAGCAACAACATAGAACGTATTTTGAACGACGGACAAGCCTACGCCAATCTTGTGCAGACGGATTCTAGGCAGACACGTCTTTCCCTTCTTCTATATGGCCCTGACGGCTCGGGAAAGACGTCCGTAGCCCTGGAGATTGCGAGACGTGCAGACTTCCCATTCATCAAACTTGTCACCGCCGACGACATGCTTGAACTGAGCGAGCAGGCCAAAATTGGTCACCTCAAAAGGATCTTCAGCGATGCTCACAAATCACCGAATAGTTGTATCATTCTCGACGGTTTAGAGACTATCATTGAATGGACACCAGTCGGACTTCGCTTCCAAAACGGTGTCCAAGTCGCAATGGCCGCTTTGATGGGCAAGAACCCTCCTCGAGGCAAGCGTCTCCTAGTTATAGCCACCACTTCGCGTCGTGAAGCTTTCAAGCAGTTTGACGTTCTCAAGTTTGATCATGAAACTGCCGTCCCTGCAGTCCGAGATGTCCAAGAGCTTGAGCATGTGCTATCTGAACGTGGTGTGCCGGCGCAGGATGTTGAATTTGTCGCCAATGAATGGCAAGAGATAAGGGGTACCCGAGACGTCGGTATAGGCGTCAAAAAGGTGTTGGCTGTAGCGGGTGCCGCGTTTGCGCGTGCGGGAGCAGGCGATGGCAGGGCAGTCGGCCAGATCATTGCAGACGACCTTTTGTCGTTAGACGTGTATTAATGGAACGTTTAACCGTCGAAGAGACCCGTTCCTATGCTCTAACAAGCACGGGAAGAGAGACTAGAATAAATCCAATATTAGCCTACACCTCACAGGCCGCTATTACGTTCTGCCAGTGACATTGCAAAGGCCGGTGAAATTCCGAAATGTAACATGCATATGCCGAATCAACTGAATTCTGGCACACAATTCTCCGTGGGGCTTGCGCCAGTTAATCCACATCCTCAAGTCTCCAATTTTTGACACGAACACGATGTAGCCGGCACACATCACATTTGTTTCGGGCCGCTCGCGACGAAGGTCGATCAAAACTTGCATTCGCCAGTAAATGGGTCGATTCATGCAAGCTGCTGACAGTAAACGGCTCTGCAACGATGCGCTGCGTTGTCTTTTCTTGAGGGTGCATGATCCGGTGGGCCTGGTATCCTTGTCAACACCTCTGATCGCCAATCACGAGACCAGAGAACCATGCGGGAGTGGGACTCGGGTGTGACGAGATTTGAGCTATGCAGTCTCGGGCCGGGTGGATGTCATTGAACCGGGGTCAAGATGATTTGGTGGCGTTTATGAGCGGCACTGCACCATCATGATTGGCCGGTAGTGAAAGGGGAGCACCAACATGCATATGACCCTGGCATTCCCTGTAATTCAACGTCTCCCGAAAGTCCCATCTTTCCACCTCCAGAATTCCTTTTCTCTCAGTAGCGTTTGTCCTTGTTAGATACAAGATGCGAAAGACTACGATCACCGCGGACCAAGATGGCGCAGTTTACGGATCTCCCAAACGAGCTTTTGCTCCACGTTGCTCGATACCTAGGACCCTGGGAAGACCTTGTGCATCTGGCAACGATCAACCGACACAGTAATGATGTTGTTGGGGCATTAATCTTGCGCTATCTAACCGAGCTGCGTGCTGACACCATCTTGCTCGCCTGGCTGATAGAAAACCAAAATGTTCACGGCGTGAAGAAGGCTTTGAGATATGGCGTGAGCCCAAATCATGGACTTGATCCAGCCGCCCACGACGGATCCCCTGATCCGGCTTTACCACGCCACTCCCATCTGCTAAGGACACATCTGCTCACATATCGCCGTGCCGCAGGGCATCGCATGAGCGGTGTGCCAGCATGTGATTTCCCTCGGTCGCTCAGGCTGGATGATGGCTCGGAAGGGACTGACATCTACGAAGCAGGAAGGCTACCGCCTAGGGTCCTCTACGCGTACCGCAAATCATATTCGAATAGCACTTTCTCGCTGCTCCACCATGCAGCCAAGCAAGGAAATACCGACATCATCCAGCTCCTTCTTGACCATGGCGCTGATATACACGCGTTGTCGTTGGATATTCAAGGCGGCTCCGTCATGGCAGCAAAGACGCTACTGCCGTGTCAAAAAGAAGCTTCCCCACTTCCTCCATCCTCTCGCCGACCCAGAGTTCGGTATACGCCTCTGCACAGCGCTATTCTTGCTTACAAGACATCTGCCGCCAAGCTTCTACTCGAGGCTGGCGCTTCACCGAACTCTTGCATACTGGTGGACAACTCAACGAGTACGGACTGGATGGTCCCGACGACCGCACTCCATCTCGCAGCGTTCTTGGGGAACAAGGATCTGATAGAATACCTGCTTAAGAACGGCCATCAATCGGTCAATGAAAGAGATGAGTTTGATTCGACGCCTATAGTTTACGCAACTGTAGGGCACAATTTGTCCGCGGTCGGCGAGCAACTCCTGGAGAAAGGCAGCGACCCGAACACCCTGATAACAGCAAACTGTCCCTTACTAACCGAAGCGTGTTGGCACGGCAGATTCGGCGACGCTTTGGTGCTCCTCGATCACGGGGCCGATCTGGAGCATTCCGGGCGCTGCATGGTGAAGCCTCTCCATCTCTGCTGCGTACGCAAGACCGAGCCGCTGCGCATGATTTGCGGGCCGACACTGAACCTGTGCCGAGAGCACTCGCAGGAGAGTATGCGGCTCGAACTCGTGAAGAGACTCATCCGTTCGGGAACAAACCTACACGAGCGGGTCGAGCTTCCTGGCCTTGACGATATTGCCACGCCCCTGCTTCTCGCAATAGACTCTGGGCTGATCGATGTCGTCAAGGAGTTAGTGGCGTACGGAGCCGATATAAATGTCCCGGAGATTCCACGCTGCAATGCCCTCCTTGCGGCGCTGTCGGCTGACTGTGACGAACAGTCAAAATTCGACACCGTCTCATACATTCTCGATCTGGAACCGGGATGTGATGTCAGCGAGGTGGACGAGTATGGACGGTCTCCTTTACATGTGCTCGGAAGTCTGGATGCCTCCGGATTGCCGAGGTTCACCTCAGCTCACGAGGAACAATTGGGCAGAAGATTGCTGCGGAAGGGCGCCAATGTACATGCTCGCGATGGCCCGTACGGGCCGTCACTTTTTCCAGCTTTCTGCAAACTGGGCTCGTACCGATTCTGCAGCGTGCTCGCGGACCACGGTGCTGCGTACTCCCTTTCCCCCGTAGAACTCAACGTCATCTTCCGCAAATTGGTGGAGAGCGTTGCAAAAGCTCATGACACTGCCGAAGCGATACCACTACTCGGGCTGCTCCTCAGTGTGGACCGGACAGGCACCATATTGGGAGACAGCAATTGTTTCGAGGTGGCGTTGTCCGAGGGCGCGATACAGATTGCACAACATCTCCTGCAGAGCGGCTGCTCGTACAGCGCCAAGGACAAATTCCGCGGCTACGTCCTCCACCGAGCATGCGAGGTCGGAGCCACCGGCATTGTCGAGCTCCTGCTCGACAGGGGGGCCGATGTCAACGAATCTCTGGACTGGTGCGGCCGGCTCGACCGTTCGTACGAGAAAACCACTCTACAGATCGCCATGAAGTACGCATATCGCCGCCACATAGTCACGAACGAGCACCAAGGCCAGCAGCTCCTGAAGACCTTGCTGCGCCGCGGGGCGACCTGGCCACACTCCTCGACCGCCACGACCCTCATCCAGAAAGCTATATGCCGTAACCAGGTAGAGGTACTGAACCTGGCCCTGGAACGTTGGCGGCCCCTGGCAGACGAGTACTTCTTGCGTCGGCATTCTGAGCCAAACAAGTACTTCACAACCCTTCTCTTCTCGGCGTGCGATTCGTCAAATCGCATCTGCAATCCTGAGATCATCTGCAGCTTGCTAAGACATCTCCTACCGATCGGCTTCGTAGTTCCGCATACAGTCGAGGGGACCGCACAAGATCACCCGCAGAGCAAAGAACACAAGTCCTTTCTCGGGTGGCTCGTCTGCACATACAAGCCTCTAGCGTTCTGCCCGGGCGAGGATTGCGACTGTGGTGACAACCTGCTCAGGAGCATTATCGTCTTGTTGTCCGGGGGGAAACTGTCGACCGGCCAGGCTTACACCCCAGAAGCAAGGCAGCTGCTCAAGGAGTCACACAGGAAGTTGGTGGCTGTTCTCAAGGATGCGACGCTGCAGATGGACTCGCGGGTCTTGGCGACCGGTTTAGGTGGTAGAGGAAGAAGCACGAGGCATTGTTTGGAATTTATCATGGACAAGCTGGAGCTGTCGAGTACGGATCTAAGGGATTCTTTACCGCGGCTGTCCTTCTTAGACACTGTACTATAGTGGGAACATCAATATTAAAAAGTTTCAGTACTTTGCGCATCAGTAAACAGTATTGTCAAAAATCTCTCCCCGTTTGCGAAACTTGGCACTCAATCTTGCCTGTCAACTCTTACCACATCTGCCCCAAAGGAACCTCGAGTTTCTACTGTAGGGTTGCATGATCAGGAAGCATTCTTCTTCCGCTTGAAACACGATATCCTTCCTGAGCTAAGCGAGTTTTCTCAGGCGGAAGCTGAGAATCGCCGGTAACTGGGTGAAATTGGCATGAGACTCAATCCTTTCCTTGACCTCATTTTCTTCGGTAAACGCGGGTTCTTCGAACTGGTCCATTACCAGCCCTGCCCGGAAGAAGATACCGAAGAGCTCGTGCATGGGTCGGTGGAAGTATACCTCAGCAAGTCAGCATTGGGACCGGCATCTGAATGCTTTGATGAAAGCTTTGTCCGGTCACTAACCTGAGGTGCGGGTTGCCCATACAGGGCGACGCCCCGGTAGGGAGGGATGTGCAGATAGTCGCGTATGACTTTGGCTCGTACAGTTCTGGCCTTGCCCGTAATGTCTGAGTCGTATTCACTTACTTCTATCTGGCGAGTTGCGCGCGAGGTGAAGAAGACCGGGTGGAGGACTGTTGCAACGAAGCTGTAGTCTTCCTCAGCCACTAATTAACGGAAGAGGAGAGGACAGGTGAATGACACAGGCTCAAGTCGGGATATTGAAGGTCTTCACTTACACTCCATCGGGCTTCAACAACCGCGGAAGCGCCTCGGCGAGCGGCTCAATGTTGGCAATATCCATGATAGCCATGTTGATGAGTACGATGTCGAATGCGCCAGCCTAGTGTCACCAAATTAATTCAGAACGTTCTACATCTTTCCCTCCATACCAGCAGCTCAAAGGGGGCTTGGACTCACGGTGTGGGGATCTTCGAGCAGCTTCTCGAAGGCAGTCGGACTTGTGACGTCGAGCTGCTCGTACTCAATCCTGAACTTCTCGTCGTTCGTGGACGCCCGCTTTTTGGCCTGCTCCAGCATGGCCTCTGTGCCATCCGTCGCCAAGACGGAGATGCACCCGTTGTTTATGAGCCATCGAGCGGTCAGGCCGTTGGCCGTTGCTAGGTCCAGTGCCCGGGCGCCTTCGAGATGATCACCCAGCAGCCGTCGCAGCGAGGGCTCCTGCAACGATTTCCAGTACTTGTTGCCGTCAGCGCCTACGCCTTCGTCCCAGTAGACCGCGTTGGTTTCCCAGGATGAGAGGGCTTCGGATGCGAGGGCTTTGGTATCATACTCCATATTCAAACAAGACTAGATATAAGATACTTGCTTTGATGATACAAATCAAGGTGGCGAACAAATTTCAGAAATGTCGGGGGATAGAAGGGAATGAAGCGATTTGCTTCGTGTGTTTTGGTGCGTCTAGTACCTAGTTGTCCAAGATGGCCCTTCCGATTTGCTATGCAAGGCGGGTACGGTAGCCTGAATGATGTGCATATAATGAGTCATACCGAGAGTCGTACCAAGATCCATACCATCTCCATACCATAATTTTAATCCTTTCAACTTGGAATCAGCACATAAACCAAATCCTTATATGCGGGCATTAGTATTAACTTGATAGAAACTTTCTATTTCGTATGTTGACTGCCTCATAAACAGAAAGACATTAAGATGACAGCTGTTTGAAACATATATTGGGCCAGAAGGAAACCATGTCAAATTTTCAATATATTCATGCATATGTATATGTAGAATGCAAAACTATAGCCGCAGCAGTCATAACTAGGTAATTCGATGCTGATAATACGACGTTATGGCATTAATGTAGCGTGGAAGCATACTGCTCAGAACTTGAAATCATACGTACCACTACACCAGCTAGCTTCGGGCATTCATATCCGCGCGTAAAGTCCAAATATCTCAAAATAGCACACATAATATTTAAAGACTTCGATTAAAACTCAGTTGAGATCGGAGGATATTGATTTCGTTTGTCCTCCGACACCAGTACAGCGGGGTCCATCGCACGAAGGTTTTGAAGCATAGAAGCATAGAGCAAGTTTTTCTAAAAGCATCCACTCCGACACTCGAAATAAAAACTCCTTTTAACTACGTAGATTTCAATTTTCATCCGAAAATATAATAGTGATTTGCATTGCAAAATCAATCAGATGACGTCCCCGGTATGCCGGAACCAGAGGTTGAAGTGGGCAGGGGTGAGGCGACTGTTATTGTTCTTTCTCTTTTTCACTACATCAATATTAGAAGATTCCACTGCTAGTCTGACCGCTCGTTCAGGGTTGAAGAGACTGAGAATCTCTCAAGGAGTTCTTTATAGGTCCGGCCTAGCTAGGCTGTTAGTCGGGATCCTGTATACAAGCCAGATACACACAAGAAACCAAAATATGCACTTGCTGAGCAAGGTGCTGATCTAGACAGCAATGAACGAACTTACCAGGGATATCGGGGAAGGGGGGAATATATCTGGCTTAACGATTTGTTAGAGTAGCCTCACATAATACCAGACTCGTGTTTCTACGTATATGTACTACCAGTCAATAGGATTAGCAAGACAGCTTATATTTCTAACTTGTCGGCATCATACCATTTCTCAACAACGAGCTTTACTCAGCCCCGATAAACATTTCGCCAAGAAACGTGCTCGATCTAGGAATCGGCACAGGCGTTTGGGCTTTCGGGTTTGCAGGGAAAATATCAAACTTCTTCTCGAGCGCTTGGCTCCGTTGTAAGCATGATGCAACCAGCCAGGAAACCTCGAACCTACATATTTGTACGGGCGGACTGCGAAGAGGCTTGGCTTCACCCCCACCAACTACATACATCTTAGGCTGATACACTCCTGCTTCGACCATACGAAGACTGTTCTTCAGTATTGTATTTGCGGTGCTGTCAGTTTTCAATCGGCTCAGCATTTGCGGAACAAAAAGGAGCCGTCGATCTATAGAAAGGCAAAGCCTGGCTAGACCCACCGGCCTATCGTGACTAATCACAATGATATTTAATATCGAAGTTGCAGTACGGGCGAAAACACTAGCATGGGTATAGACTCCACTACCATATTGTCCAATTTGCGGTGATTTTTTTAACCTAGACACATGTCTCATTTCATAAAACTCATGGAATGGACACAGCAGATGTGAAAATCTGTTCACGAAATTGATCTGCATCGTAATTTTCGATCATATCTGACATTTCACGAAGATCTTGATGTCGGCGTGTTTATCTATTCGGAATTATCGCGACGTTTGATTTGTTCCTACCATTAGTAGTAGAACTATTCCACATTTTCCAATGCGAAAGAAGGCGAACCAGGCACCGCGCTTTCAGCCTGTGGTTGTAGGCCCTCCTTATCACCCTCACCATCTCCAGCGACGATCTTACCCTTCTTGCCGCCCTCCTCGACCTGGATAATCTCGATGACCTTTAGGCCCGCTGTCTTCTTCAGGCCAGGAATCATTCCCTTCAAGATCGCGAGCTCATCGAAGGCCAGCTTACGCTCTAAAACCTTCTCCGCCGGCTCGCCGGCCTGGAGACGTCGCTTGAATGCCTGAACAAACGGCATCGCTTTCTTCATCTCACCCATTTTTCCAATCTTAGCAGTGAGAGCCTTCTCATCCTTGAACTTATTCGCGGATTGATCCCACTCGTCCCTGAGCAGATCAATGTACTTTTCTTGCCAGGCCGGGAACTTGTCTGTGACAAAAATGCTGAGCTTCTTTGGCTTTTTGGCATCGAATGCTGTCTCCTTTCCCTTGAGCTTTCGCTTCAGTTGAGCTTGTTCGGCTGAGTTGATATTGGACGATGTTCCACGAACGTATTCGCGTGCAGCAGTGAGGCTGGCATCAGTCGCGGGCACAGTCGGGAACAGAGCATTCTGAACTGTCTCGGGTTTCTTGAGAACTTCGAGCCAGATATACTCCGACCAGTGAGGTGCAACAACGGTCAAAAGCAGGGCTTGGAGCTCAATATAGCGAAGGGCGAGATCCTTATGTAACTTGATGCCTGCAGAGTTGCAGGCTTCACGGTAGAAATCTCTAGCATTAGTGAAGTCATACTGTGGGTTGCATTAGTATATGTTGCGTGAGTACGTTTTTCGGATTTTGAGAAACCTACAAGTCCGGCCTTCAAGGCTAGCTTATAATCGGTGGCTTCGAAGTGCTTATGCGCGTCTGCCACAAGCGAGTTCATTTCGTTGTTGCTACCAGAGTAAGTCCAGGGTCGGTACAAACGGAGGGGGAATGGATTTTTGTCTACACTTACAATAGGGCGTCTTGGAACGAGTTGAACTCGCCAGTTCGCAGCGAATCTTGGTCCTTGACCACCTCCTCACACCACTCCTTCAGGTTGAACAAACGAAGGACGTTGTTGTCTGCAACGTCTTCCTCGAAACTGGGTTCCAAAATATGTTAGCCTTTGAATTTATTGTGGTTGAGTAGAAGCTTCCTCACTTGGCATCCGCAACGCCGTCACCGGCATCGGCGAGGGCAATACGGGTAGCATCGGCACCGTATTTCTTCAGCATATCTGAGCACATGTTAGTCAGGAAGAGTAGAGGCCTGAGTAGTGCAAAAAGAATTACCATCGAGTGTCATGAAATTGCCTGTAGACTTGGACATCTTCTCTCCGTTCAAAGTCAAATGACCGTTCGCTCTGATTCCTCTTGGCCAGTACTCTGGAGGGAAGATCGCAAGATGGATGTACAGGAAGAATGTCAAGTGGTTAGGGATCAGATCCTTGCCGGACACACGGAGGTCCAAGGGGTAGAAGTACTCGAACTCGCGTCGCATGGCTTCAAGGGTCTCCTTCGGGATCTGAGAGCTCGAGAGGATATCCTCGCCGATATCCCTTCGGCAGAAGATGTAGTCCCAAACCTCATCCTTCATTTGGTCAGCACTGATATTGCCTGCACCCTTCTCGCGTCCAAAGATATCCTTGTGCAGAATGTGAGCAACAGTATAATATGCCATGTAGATCGTGCTATCGGATAAACTCTCGACCAAGAACTGAGGGTCCCAGGGAAGTTTTGATCCCAGGCCAAATGATCTTGCACAAGCCCATTGATTGAGCCAGTTCAGGACACCCTCAAACTGATTCTTTGTTTCGCTACACGACATTTAGAGATTAGTATTACCCTCGTGAAAAACATTGTTTGTGGTTATTAGGGACTCCCGGAGTCACATACCTTGTGAAGGTGTTTAAGCCCTTGCCATCGGCGTTACCAACCCACTTAAGAGCTGTGTTCTTCCAAGACTCCTCACCGTAATCCAAGTACCACTGGTCCATCAAGGATACAATACAATCATCGCCTGATCTACTGGTTACCTTACGCCTAGAAGTTCCGAGTCAGTAAATACCCTTCCAAGATTCTTTGATGAAACTTTGGGAACAAGAGGACTTAGCCCATAAGTATAAGAGAGCTTGTAACAAGCTCGAAACGAGAAATGCACACGAAAGAGACTTACTCAGGCTCGGAGTAAGCAAACGCCTCGCCTGCATCTACGAGTTGCTGGCGGACCTTTGGCTTAGCGACCTCAACCTTTTCGCCTTTGAAATCACCTGCAATCATGACGCCCTGGTAGAATCCCTCTTTGTATGCAATCTCCTTGGCTTCTTCCAGTTGCTTGGTATCCTTTGGTGAGGAAATTTTCAGCTTCTTCACAAGTGCAGGAGCGATAAGGTCTCCATATGTAGGCGTGTTGATGACGGGCTATTGCGGTTAGCTGTATGCGCTTGCACGAGGCATGCGGCATGAGCGTGTATCTCACCAATATTTCGAGCTCGGCCCATTCCTTGGAGATACCGTAGTACTCAGCTTTCTTGGCCAGATCCGTTATTGTGGCGAAATCATCAGGACTAAGGCAAATGTTAACGCAAAGCGACTCGCAGAAGCAAAATTGTAGGACCCATACCTATCAGACGGAACGCAGGTCACCTGTTTTATAGAAATATCTCAGTTAGTTAATTTTCTTATGACGTTGGGAAATATTGTTGGCATGCTGGCTTGGTCAATACCGTCACTCTCCCTTCTCAAAATGCCTACTACAGGCTAAGAAGGTCATTGACTGGTATTGTCTCGACTGACGACAGAAATTTATAGACACAGGGTCATGTACGTACCACGCCAGTACCCTTCGTGGCAAGGACAGTATCCATGGGCAGAACCCTAACTCCATTCTTGTGGACGGAGAGGGGTGCGTTGACCAGAGATCTGGAGATGGGCAAAGATAGTGGTTAGCGGCGACTTTGCTTTCATTCAGATAGAAAGATGGGGGACCATGAGCGCAGATAATTTACTCACCCTATCAGTTCAGAGCCCTGGACCTCAGCAACTTTCTCAATCTTGCCTTCTGTTTCAAAAACACCCCTATGACAATCAGAGATCAGTATTTATATCCAAAATTGCACAGATAGGGCAGCGATTGGCTTTTAGACACAAACAAACAAAATCGCTGAGGTCATTGAAAGCATTTGAAAACATACTGATAAGCCATGTTACGGGCTGCGCGCTCGGTGACGAGGAAATACTCTTTCTCAGACGCTCGGAATAGACCGTAGGTGATCTTGGGTCCAACAAAACAGCAGTTCTGACCGTACATGGTCTCTGGTCTCAACGTTGCTGGGACAAAGAACACGCTGCTGTCGCTAGGGATCTTCCCTTTCAGGGTCTCCTCAGCCTGTGGACTGTTAGCGAAAGATCCCGAATCACCTCTCTGCCTTGCCTACGTGCCTTTTGTGACCATTCGAGCACTTTGAGTTTGAGCGCTGTGTACTCTTGTGGACCCACAGCCTCGCCCTCTGATCGGTCATGGTCCATACAAGGTTGGCCGTCCTTGATGGAGTAGATTGTGTATCTTTTGCCGAACTTGATTTTGTTCAATTCCTTGAGGCGATTCATCTGCCACCTCACAAAGGCGTCGTAGTAGGGGTTTGCATCTGTCGTGACCATACTACGCCTCCAATCGATACGGGCACCAAAATTGGTCAAATCTCGGCGGCACAATGGCGGGAAGAACTCGAGCCAGTGCTGAGGATCCGCAAACTTGTGAATCTCCTGAAGGGGGATGCCAATGGCCTGCATGATTTGGAATTGGTACTTCATCTTGACGGCCTTCGCAGCAGCTTTGCCCTTGGTTGCGGAGAATTTGGTCGGGTCTGTCTTTGCAAACTTGGCTGGTGCGGCGGGCTTCTCTTCGATGACTGATTCCTCCTCCTTGTATCTCTCGAATTCTTGGCCGAATAGCTTGATCTCGTCGACCAACTTGTCGGAACTAGCCTTGATTGGCATCTGGTATCATTGTTAGTACTCCTGCAGGACATGTAGCTGGGGAATGGACTGCGAAAGCCCCACTCACTCCTGTTGATAGAAATCCAAGTCAGTAAAAGTACCTCGAAAAGGACAGGGTTACTGGTAAAGCGAATAATGTGGCACGAAAAAGCCCCGAAGATCGGGACTTATAGCCAGGACTGCAAGTCAGGAACACGCACCGGTACAATGGAACCCCATTGGGAAGAGTGTTCTCCTATTCTGCATGCGCGCATAACCGGCAGTGAATTCGATCTTGCTGACAGAGAATGAATGACCAGCGTGCAGGGTACCGTTCATATCTATCTTCCAGTCAGTGTCTTGTCTGAGCGCTGTGCAGGTCAAGGCGCGGAGTCGTACAAGGATACTGGTACATTATTAGCATTGGTTGGTAGAGAACAAGAGGAACAACTTGCAGCCATGGTTCCCATGAACTTGGGGTACTTCTCGCGGAGCTCGGCAGCGGTGATGGAGTGAAGGGGGTGGTCTTGTATCGTCGGGGCATTGGGTTGGAAAACCTTGTCTTCTTCCCATTTTTGCCTGCAGCGTTTGGAGTCAGCGGGTGATTTCTGGAGGCGCGGGTGCTGGAATGAAGATGGAGCAGTCTCGGGTATCTCTTACTGGTACTTCTTCTCGATGGCAATGAGGGAATCTCGCTTCTCGGTGCCCTTCAACTCCTTGGTCTTGGAGACCGTGAGGCCTTCGAGGGCCTTGGAGACGGAAGTGGCAGCCATGACCGGAAAACAAGTTGGGATGATCAAGCCAGTCTTCTGTTCTCCGAGTGATTGGGCTGTTTATCTATGTCCATGCATAAAAGAACGTATGACTCGAACAAGACAAGAAAAAAAGGAATCGAGTCCAAAACAAAGTGAGGTTGTATTTTGGGAGGCGTGGTCGTGACTCAACCCACCAATTTTGGAGCCGTAGCCTCTGTAGCCGCGGGGCACTCGATGGAAATTTGAACGTCGGTTTATGGAGGGGTCCATTACGTACACAGCCTGTCCAACCGTCCGTCCAAGATGCCCCACCAAAGTTTTCCAGCGTTACATGGTAGGTCCAGTAGTTGTGTGCTCCATACCGCACAGTAGCGTTGGAGGACGGAGAGCGGAGAGCGGAGAACGGTGCTACAGTGCTCTACCGTAAAGCAAGCAGCCTATCTAACGTTAATGCGCTGGGGCTGTGCTGCTCTGTACTGCACTGCACTGCACTGCTGGCAAGCCACAGCGGAATTATGCAACCTTGGGTGAACGCGGCCGAATGCAATGATTAAAGCGTCGAAGCTCAGATCTCAACGCGGGAAGCACGTACGTCGCGAGATTGAGTCACCAATAAGCACATCGACCCCCAGCGAGACTCAAGCATGATTCCAACGCTTGTCCGAAGAGCGGCGGCGGAGTCATTACCACCGCATTTGAAGAATGCGCCGAGGACCTCCTTGGACCGTGTCTACAACAACAGTCGCTACAAGCCCAAGAAGGTCTGGCCACCCGACTTCTCCAAGCTGTCGCAGAAGGAACAGTTCCGTTTCGAGAAGAAGTACAAGCGTCGCGTCGTCTTGGCGACTGCGCGCCCACGATGGGACAAGTATGTCAAGATGGCCCAGCTGTTCAGCGTCACGGGTGAGTAGACGCCCGCCGCCCCTGCTTCCATTCCACACGCCTCGTTGTTGCTCACATGACATCACTACCAGGGGTCGCTGTGTATAGTATATTGTTTATGGATTGGAATACTGAACACCAGCCATTTCAAGGGGTAAGCTTTATTCCTGCCCACCACCCGCGTTCTCGGCTAACCACAATATCAAGCTGCGAAACAGGTTCTGGGGGGCACTGGAGTCTTTCTCTCCTTCGAAACGCCACGAACGACGCAACGACCAGTAGGTGCTGGAGCAGCGCCATGTACATCATGAACGAGAGATTGCATATCATATGGCGTTTGGCATTGGGAAGGGATACCCGTCTGATTGGCTGTATATCATGAAAACTGTTGTATTTAGAGGCGGCATGGGGCCTCCTTTTCCCCGGAGAGGTCTCTCTGCGGCCAAACCGTCCTTCATGCTCCATTGTCCATACCATAACTCCGAAACACCCGTCTATGCATGCTGTTCCTTGTTCGTTTCGTCACCGCCCAGGCCAAACAAACGTCCCACCAAGCCCTGCTCCGAGCCCAGAGCCTCTTGACTCGTTGACGGGCCTCTTGGCAACTGTGCCTTGTGACTTGACTCCCGCGACAATGCGGTCCAAGTTCGTCTCGATCACGACGCCCCCCACAATCATCTCGCTGAGTGCCGCATGTAGGGTCTCGAAGTTGAAGATCAGATCCAGCTCGCAGACATTCTCGAACAGCTTGTCTAGCGACTCGACGTAGACCTGGATCAGGTCCAGCAGGGCAAGCGGGGACTCGGTCGAGGTCGAGATGATGATGAAGTAGAGTGTAGCATAGTTGCGGTAGGTTACCAGCGACGGCACATCGTTGTGCGGTTCCGAGGCGGAGTGGGAGGTGCCAGATGCGGCGAGGATGGGCGGAAGTGGTAGGAAGTTGCACGCGCCATCTGGCCGATTGGAGACGAGGGTGAATATCTCGCTAATAAGGCGCTGCTGTATGCTGGTTTCCTAAGACAAGACAACGAATGAGCATGATGACAATTCGAGCCGCGGACAGCACTCGGCACAAACCAGCTGGGTATAGAATTTTGTCAGACGAGGCTGACCTTGGCCGTTGAAGACCAGGACGGCGTTGATCATGTTGGAAGCATGGGACGTTTGGCTTGGATCTGGGTCTCACAGTAGTCACTGTAGGTATCGTCGCGGGCGCTGCCAAACGTGCTGAGCAGCCAGTCCGCGGGTGCTCAGCTGGAATATGCGATACGGTCATAAGCCTTGCAGACATCCAGGTAACAGGTGGGGCTGTGCTGGTCACAGCAGCGGGGCTATGCTTTTGCTCTGGAGTGTGTGCTTACGGCGGCAGGGGTAGGGGGAAGGGGCACGGATCTTGTAGCCGCTAGGTCTAAAGTTACTTGGTCTTTAAAGTTGGATCCCCGCCCTCGTCGACTATTCCTCCTTTCCTTTCCTCTTCATCCAACCCAAGATAACATCATCTTGGGCCTTACCACAAGCCGTCTCCCGGAGCAGACGGCTCCTGAACAATCCCCTTAGATTCTAGTCAGAGTTCCCACCCGGCCTCAAGCGGAGGCCGAAACAACATATCAGAATGGTTTCTATCACCACAGCCCACCCCTACGTCCCGAGCCAACAACTCGTCGGATTCGACTGGCCTCCACGCCAGTTCGACATCCACACCCCAGCATAATCCCGCCCCGTGGGAGATCTCCGTATTCGAGCCCTCGGATTTCTTCCACTATGGTAACGGGGTTGGGGAGCTGAACTCGGTCGATCTGAGTTCCGCCTCCCTGTCTGACAATTGGCTTACGGGTGTCGTCGGTAATGGCAGCTTCGGCGTTGGATTGACTGGAATTGACTGGACCGAAGGCACCCGCCCCGCGCCAGAGACTACCTTTGATTTTTCAAGCGTGTTACAGAATGATGTTTATGGTGATTATTCTCTCTCATTCCTGCCTGCAAATCCTATGTCGCTAACCATTTGAACAAGACCATATACTTGCATCTACCATTCCCATGGCTGGCGCAATGCACGTCAATATGCCCTCTTCCACCACTATCACTCCCTTGCAGACATCTCCCTCCTCTACTCTCTCCCATGACTTCTCTCCTGAGACTACTCCTCCTTTCAGCCATGTTGCTTCTGCAGACTCTACGGCGCAACGCGACCCTCGGAAGCGTTCGCCGCCCGCGGATCCAGAGACGGCGCTCAAGCGCCAGCGTAACAACATCGCTGCTAAGAAGTACCGTCAGAAGAAGATTGACCGCATCGATGAGCTGGAGGCCGAGTTGAAAGATGTCAAGGATGAGCGAGACGATCTCAAGATTCGTCTCGCCCGTCAGGAGGCCGAGGTTGCCGCCCTGAAGAGTATGTTCAAGATGAGAGCTGGTATAGAATGATGTTAGCATAGAAGCGCGGTTAAAGGGATGCGGTGTTTTGTTTTGGGTTTGCTTATAGACTCAGGCGATGTCGGCTCTTGAGTTTTCGCTCATGTAGTTTTTAATTAAAAATGTCCAAATCGGCAAAGGGAACGTGTTCTTTAATCATTCTGTGATATGTGTAATGGAACTCGTGTTGTTCTGGTACTTTGCTTACCTGCTACATTCATGGTGTCTGCAATGAACCTTAATATCGAACTACATCAATCACTGATACAACGGCTTCACTCTTTTATTTCAAACATTTATTCATGTACTCTTGCTATCCTCAGCACGTATGATCTGAATATGGCTCACGACTCATCATCTTGTTTACAACATGACGGCCATATCGTTCATCTTGAATCATTCTCACTCATACCAGAAGCCATTCTGACAGTCCTGCTCTCTTGCGTTACCCAGCTCTGTTACCAGGTCACAAACAAAAGCTCGGCCATGAAACCGAAGTGGAGAACCCGCCAAGGAATCTGCATGATCAATTATGATTCATCCCCGCTAAGCTACTTTCGTGCGCCGAGACGGGCTCTGGGCGTCCAATCAGCTGCTTCCACGATGTGGGGAGTCGTGAGACGAACGAGACACCCTCAGGAATCCGGCCGGGAGAAGCTGCACGCTGCCGGGGAAGATTGTGCAAGCAATTGGCTCCTGACTTACGCGGGCTGACTGATGATTTTATCCATCATCCAGGAGTGGTTGTTCTTTATCTAACGATATGTAACGTTAATCGACCATGGACAGAGTCTCTCCGGGCATGCCCCACCCCCACCTGTTACACGGAGTATTTTTAATCACGACTTAAAGGGCGCTGGGCTGATTTACAGTGTCGTTTTTTTTCCGGGATGCGGTGTTGAAATCTTGGTTATCTTCAAATAGCCCCAGGATAGCACGTTTCCTGTTTCGAATCTATTGTAAGGCACGACCAGGAACGATCACGAGGGTCACGCCTCTCTAGCAGTCAAGACTGCCCATATAGCCAGCCGTGTCTGTTGGCGAGCAAATCTGGGGGATCGAACTTTAGAGTATGGGAAAAAATGATGATAGGAGATTGATGAAATGGGCAACTTGGTCTGGGGGCTTGAGGGCAGGGAAACAGACTTAATGGTGAGGCCCGGCATTCAGAAGGACTGGCCGCTGGCCACTCCGGAATGCTTGAGTGATCTAGCTTTGTATACCGCAGAATATCGTCTCGTGTATCTCTATAGATCGCATGTACGCCGAGAACACGTGAAGTTCTGAAGATGGATTCGGGGACGGCTTCTTCTCATTCAGATTGTTGCTGTACTCAATGCCCGCGACTATCCAGGCGCTCCAAGGGGACGGGTACGGCCTTGCACATATTGAACTGGGGACACCATTGAATGCGTGCGAAAGGAGAAGCGTTCCGTCTACACTCCAAGGTATGACTCTCTGAAGGCCCTTTGAGCTTGGCAAGCTTCTCGGTCCAATCAATCAGTCAAAAGAATGCCGATGCCTCGCTATTTTGCTGCTCCCGTGGTCGTACCGCAACATTCCAATCAGTCTCTGCGCCACTCTTCGCTGGGGTCGCAATGTGTTGTGCGTTGGTATTGTTACTTTACAGTAATTAGGTCCATGTTTGGATTTTATGGCTCCAGTATGGGAGACGGATGTGGCTGAACCATTACTTTTATTTCCCCCATGTGCCAAACCAGAGAATAGAGGCGAATTCAGTGAGCGGGGACTGTACACTTCTGATCTATTCATATCGTTCAACTCGAGGAGGCGATCTGTCTGAGGCGATCTGTCTCTGGCGAAGCCGGAATTTGCGCTGATTGTTGGGGGGGGGGGGGGGGGGGGGGAAAGAACAAACCCCCCCAATCTCGTATTCCTAGTCATTTCAGCCATCACTTTTCACACAGATTGAGACAATAGACTTTGTCCTTTGTCAATCAATCGTTGGCCCCGGCTTTGTGGTCTGGTACCAAAATCTAGCTTGGTTGTGTTTGGCGTTTACTCCGCGTTGGTGGGCTGGAAATACACTGGAGACCGACGCGCTGGCGTCATCGGCATACTTCATCGTCGTTATCACAGACGTACTTCAATTTGCGCCGGTAATATTCATCCCATACATGCCTGTTTTGGTTCTGCTGCGAAGGTTTGACGAGGGCCATCATTTCGGCTCGCGCCGCTTCGGCGTCTTGTCTCCCGGAAATGATGCTGTTCTCAGTAGGCGCGTATTTACTTGAGGGGCTCCTAAATTATATTATATGTGCCGTACCAGATGAGGTTGGACCGCTTGCGCTACGGCGAATTTTCCAAAAAGGCATGTCGCCGATGTGCCGGGATATGAATCACCCTCGATGCCAAATGTCTATATATCCGGGCACATAACTTGATACTTCAGTTTGTGTTGATGACAAATTTTGAGTCAAATCTTTTCAGAAAAAGAAAATACCATGGTTTTCCTCCAAAAGCATCCGACTGCTGGGCGTGGGATATAAAAAGCATGTCTGGCACACCGCGGCCGCTTACCAAGCATGGTTGCTAATTAGCCAGATAAGGAGTAATGCATAATACAAAGAATATGAAATTTCAACAAAAATACATACCTTATCAGATATCTTAATCGATCTTAATTTGCGAACATGTATCTTCATCATCATAACGCACTTAAAACTATATGCTAACTCTCTCTGCATCGATGACCGACCAAGCTACGTCCGTTCGCGGAGAAATCTATGTGGTCAAACGACGCAATTAACACAAATGCTAATAATTCAAACGTTATTGTTTTTGATAAATTCATAACGAACTTTTATCACCTTTCTAGCATTATGCCTAATATCGATGCTGACAGTAGCCGAGTCAACGGTCACCTCGACAACATGCCCATTATCGTATACGAGCTTGGTGCCGATAACCTTTATATATGGTTCATCAGTGCTTACTTGCCTTCTTCCTTTCATTAATCGGTCAGCCTACAAGCCTCCTTAGTCGACGGTGAGTCTTGATTAGCGTTATTGCGGCATTTGCTCTCCGGGATGATGTATTAGGGAAAATGATCAGTTGTACCATGTTAATTACAGGTCGAGCCGTGCAAGGTATAAAGGGTTGTGGTATTAACCTTTCCGTCAACATGCTTATTAACAATATCGTACCCTTTCCGCGCGGAAGTTCAAAAATCGTACACCTATCATAGCACTCATCCTTGCCTTCATCAGCTTCATCGTGATGTTTCAACGTTTTTACCTTTTTGCCCGTGTATTTATAAGTCGCTCGGGGCTTCAAACGCATTACATCGGGTTGTTAGCTGCTGCCAACCGGGCTGGTGGAAGTTCCATTCAATACTATTTGAGGCATCGTTATCACCAAGACTAGTTGCTACCGACCTCTCCATCCCTCAAGTTTCGTCACAGCTGCTCTGGGGAACGGATTTGATCGCGACAGTCATGTTCAGGTCATCGACGTATTTACCCAGTTATTGCGCTTGGCATGACTTGTTAGAATCATGTTTGCCGCGTCGGATTTGTTTCTATCTTCCTGCAAATGGAGATTATGCTGAGAGCAAATCTGAGACCGAGTTCAGTCTAGGTGATATCAGAATTGAGAGTGATACAGAGATACCGGAGACTACCACAGATCAATTGCATTTTGGTGTTTTGCGGGCTCATGCTCGAAGACACCAGTAGACGGACTTCTGTGATGGAAAATAGAGGCGAGTTACAATATAATGTGGATGTCTCTGATTAGGTGGCTTTGGGATAGACCGTTACAGAACCGGAAAGAAAGGCGAGACGATTCGTCATGCCAGGTGTCTTTGTAACAATACATAGGCATGAACGTATACGAATAGAGATCAGTGAGTCTCACGTGTCGACTATAGCAAAATGACCATGCTCCTCGTGCTCACCATGCAGCGGCAACCGTTTAGTTCGAATCCATGCAAAAACAGGAGCATGATGGGGATTTGCATCATCTGGCACGTACCATACGTCAAGTAAACTAGCCCCATGGTTACAGATGCGCCATTGGTCTATCGATCATGCTTGAACACCTCTCATGTCAGCTCTTGGGCAAGACTTGTTAAGGCGATGGAGGGACTAAGTTTAAAAGAGATCACTAGCATTATTCTAGCATCTTCCTCTAGAGACAAATTTCTAGGACTCGGAAGCTCGGCATCAATAGAGCGTGCTGGAAACATTGATGGAGCCAGGTCTGGAGCCCCGCTTTGACTTCACCATAGGACACAGTGACAATCTGATACCAATCATATGTAGCGCATGAAAGATATGCTTATGCAATCAAGGCAGATGCGTTTGCGTTGCGTGCGTCGCCTCGATCTTTGACGTAAATCAGCCGATAATCGTCGAGGGTGGGTCCGGCTCTGCCAAGGTTGCCAAGTTTCGACGTCGAGCGGGAACTATGCGTCGGCTCGGGCGATCGTCCAATGACGACACAAGTCACCACTATAGAGTCTAGACTACGCTGACGTTGCGGGTCCTAATAAGGTTCATTATGTCAGGGACCCAGAATCAACAACCAGCAAGTGCCACTTGGTCGTATATATAAACACTTGATTGTGCATCAACCCACGTATTAACTATTATTAAACACAAACTATTTACTGCACAAGCTTTCTAACCACACTTTCTTCATCACAAACACTACCACCAAATCAATCATCATGTCTGGAATTATGGACAAGGTTGAGCAGGCTGCCGGCAACAAGCTGAGCAGCGATTCCCAGCCTGGCAACGGCATCGAGCGCGGCGCTGACCAACAGGCCAACCAGGGTATGCAGCAGTCACCTACCAGTATTGTGGTCACAACTTAACTAACGCAACATGCAGAGGTGAACCAGGTCGCCAGCGATGCAGGTGTCCCCCAAGGTGCCGACAACGTCATCGACGAGGCTGTTGACAACAAGGTCAACTCAGAAATTCCTGGTGGAAACTAAATCTGTCTATCTTTACGAAATGTTATGAAGTCATGGTAATACCCAACAAGCGGGGAAAGAGTTAGTCGCTGTGATCATTCATGTCCCGCGATTATACGACTGTAAATATATAAATTTTATATTCATCATCTGCCTACAATGCACGTAACTATATGAACTAGTTCAGCTCGTCAGCTCCATTCGACTTGTGAGCCAGGAAACCAACTATTTTGTAGATAGCTTATACGTTGAGTAGCAGGTCGACGAGTTTGGGGAAATTTGGTGTTCTGGAGAATGTCAGCAACTCAATGGATTTTAAGCTGGAATGAGACAAGGCACATACCCAAGACCGGTCACGGGATCCCAGCCCTTAGCTGCCAGGAAACCGGTAGAGTCGCATCCGGGGTTGGACCCTTCCGTGACATCGTTGAAAACCTCTGGGTGAGCATACTGAAAATAAATGTTAGTGTCTGTCACATCTAAACCATTCTTGTGGTGGAACAGGCTTACCAGGATAGGATGGACGAAGCCCACGGTGCTCTTGCCAGCAGCAATACGTTGCTCGTTGACGAGAGTCAAGACTGATGCAAAGACAGGCGCCGAGAGCGATGTGCCGCCAACACGGGCCCAGACACCCTCGGTAAAGACCAGGTAGTAATCACCGATGGCGGAAACGTCAGGGTAGCCGCGTCCACCAATTTTGTAAACGCCATTGCCGACGTCACTGAAATTGGTACCAGCGTTCTCATAGCCTGTGAAGTCCAGGGTGACTTCATCAAAGTAGGTCGAGACGGCGTCCGTCTGCCATTCGGGAACGTCGAAGTAGTTGGAAAAGCCACCACCGCTAGGGAAGCGCGCGGTGGCCGACTCATAATAGGTGCTGGTGCTGTTACCGTAAACGCCGGTACTGTTGCTCGTGACATGGTTGAATTGAGTTGAGCCAACGGCCAAAACGTAAGGACAGGTAGCGTCAGCTGAAGGGTAAAAGACCGTGCTGTCAGGACCGGCACAGCCATTCTCGTAACCAAAATCACCGGGGAAGGAAGCTACACCGTCATCGCCGGAGGACTCTAGAACAGTGACACCCTGCAAGCCAAGCTTCATGATCTCGCTACACTGGCGCTTCAGGTAAGATACAGGCAAATCAGACTCGCCGCCACCGTACGAAATCGAGATGACATTGGTAGGCTCGTAAACGCCACACTGGCGTTGTCCCTTGTAGCCACCCGGGTTGGGGTTTGGGTAAACAGGGTCGAGACATGCGGGATCAGTACAGTCGCCAGTCTCACCGTACGCCGAGTACGAGCAATAAGAACCGTCGATTGCGTCGTAGAAAGTGTTGTAAAAGCCATAGAGAGGCGTGTCTGATTGTGTCTCGTTGATTTCGTAGAACTCGTCATCAGTCTGGAACAGAACGGTCTTCTGAGGGTAGATCAATGGCAGTGCAGCTTCAAAGTCCAGATCAGACTCAACACCCGCGTCTGTCTGGTTGTAACCAGGAACATCCTCAACAGCACCAATAGCACCGTCAACCAATCTTTCTTCAGGATAAAAGCCTTGCGGAATTTCCGGGTGAAGTTGGGCGAAAAAGGTGTCGAGGTCCTCTCTGCTGTAATGATCGTCCAAAGACTCGAATATACCGAGTTCGTTGCCAGGGGCAGCAAGTGTGTTGGTTGGAATGTTATACTGAGCCTTGATGCAGTCGGTAGTAACGTAGATATTGCAAACACTCGAGTTCAGAGGCGGAAGGGCAGCCGCATTGCCTTTCTCGTCACTGAAGAACTCTAGGTTGGCATACAAAGGCTTGACATCACGCTTCTTGAGAGCCTCTCGTTGAAGACGTCGCTTCATCTGCTTCACCTTGCCAGGGTCGGCTCGAAGCTTGACACCAGGGGTGATGTAGTCAATGTGATCACGCAATTCGAGAGGAATATGGTACTCCTCAACAGCGACCATTTTGCTGCCAGAGGAAAGATGCTCGTACTCATAGTAGTCGGCAGCCAAAATTTCTTCAACATCTTCGGCATGTGCATCAAACTGAATCCACTGCTTGTTGGCCGAAAGACTTATCTTCTCAGCAGCAAAGCCGGCGCCCACAAGCCATTCCTTCACAGCATTTACGGTAGATTCGGATGGCGCGAACATCTCAATAACCTCATCAGTCGACATGTGCTTTCCATAGTCTGACGATTTCGGATCAGAGCTAAATACCTCATATATTAAGATGAGTATTCGTACAAGGTCTGGGTATGGCTTACATTTTCTTCAAGTGGCGTGCTCCAACATCCAGATTCCTCTGTGAGAGACCGATACGCATGGGAAGCAACGCCCGTCCTTGGACTCTGTCTCTCTTTGCCCACTGTCTGCCCCAGTGGGCAGCTTGTCGCTCGTGAAGTCCATGGGTAGCTGGGACCTCACGTTTACTCACTGCAGTCACTGCATCACGACTCGGGCTGGCAAGGGGACTGGCCACGGCCCCGATGGCAAGACCGCTGGTAGTAGCGAGGGCAAGCTGTCTAAACAACATTGTGCAGTCCTACAGGTGTTGTTTCGAGGTTGAACTTGGCACCAACTTGGCATCAACTTGGCATCAACTTGGCACCAACTTGGCACCGACAATGCAGAAGACTAGCGACCTATATAGCATTCCGGCGAAGGCGCTGAGAAATCCCTCAGCTACCGGATGCACTGATCCGCAGTGCACAACTAGATCAATGAGGTTAATTCCTATCGTCGCCATGGCCCTAGAGATCGCGTGCTTCATGACGCGTAGAAGTCAGTTGTCCCAGCAATAGTATCAGTGAGACAAATTGGTTGGTCCAAGATGCTGGTGTCACCTTCCTGAATGAGGAGGATTTGCCATTGAGACCCTGTTCCCCTCTCCCGCTAACCAGCGTTGTAGACCCACCGGGATAGTGCTAATGGAAGGTCAGGGGTAAGTACTCTCTCAATGCAAAGTACTTTCTCCATGCATAACCCTGGTCGCGATGGATTTCTTCCGTGGTATTAACACCATTGACTGAAATCGGAAAATCATATCAAATTCATCACTTGTTTTTATTAATTTACAGAACAGCCAGAGCATAATCATTTCCTTTGCAAATTGCATGATTTAATGCAGAAGCGATTGTATAGATATATTCTCACTTTCAATTCCCACCGACCTCAAGAGTTTCGATGTTCCTATTTCTAACTTGGTCCGTTACGGCCTTCTTACCCTTAGAAAATCTCGATCGTCTGTGTATTCGTCAAGATAGTGACCAAACACTCTAGTATGTACATTCATGATCCCACGGGATATAATCAATCATGCCAAGCCTACCCCATTGTTCATACTCTAACACAGAAGTCGTCCAAATTTCTTAAATCCGAAGACTACAAGAAACTGGTCTTTGGGTAAAAACATGTTTCGACAAGATTGTTTTCATACCACCATAGCTCCTAGAAAACTCGGCACCACATCTGTTTTGCTCTAGATGAGTTGAGAAGCACAAACGCTCCCATTAGTTCTGATGCGCATGGCTTTTGCTGACTCACCCTTCTCGCTACGACGGTTAGTGAACAATTGACAGTGTCGACAGCTGGTGTCGGTTGAACAATATTGCGGCCCAAGTTGCCTTCTCAACTGAAACACAATAGTCAATAGAACTCCGAAGCCTGTTTCGCCCGTGTTTACCATGATCGCAACCTGACTTATCGAGTATGCAGCTGTGCCTAAAATTGTCTCAAACATCTGTACTGTCCATGATTTTTGTTGGGAGGACCTCGGGCATGGATAAAACCTAACATATCCCTCGCACATGATATCAAAATCCAACTGACTGTTTGACTTCATTTGCGGCTTAGATTGATGCACTATCTATATGAGATGCCCTCTAATACAGTGGGGCACTGGATCAACTACACCGAGCTGTTCGAGCCGCTTGTCTACGCAGATTAGTGTAAGTGAGATGGTGTGACCCTGTCTGAAATCCCACGTACTTAAATGTCGCAACAGCCCTTCGCGTGACAGTCTTTGAAGTGTTGAAACTCCAAGGCATCAATACTGTCTCGAGTACTTCTCAGTGGAGAGATAAGGCAAATGCGCTGTGGTACAAATCACTTAGTATGTATTCCTATCCATCTCGACGCGCCGACGAAATATCCTTCTGGGATGAGAAGACCTGGCCTGTGACGACTGGCGTTAGACCAGCATTTCGTTCGATTTGAAGCCCGCACCGCGGTTCTCACGTTTGTCTCCAATGCTAGCGATATACTTCTCGACCTGGGTCCTGCTCTTGGCAGCCAAATTCCCAGCGTTAATCGAGACAAGATTTCTCGTGTCTATGGCGTCGAGAAGGGCCCCTTTTTCTTGGCAGATCTGAAGATTAAGACCATGGAGTCTAAAATTCAGGATGATTGTACGTCATTGCCTGCGGCGTTGAGGACACGGACGTACTAGAGGGTCATGGCATTACAGACAGCAACGTGAGCACAATTCTGTGCATCCAGGTTCTATTCTCTGCCTCCGATCTGGAGGCAGTGGCTAGTCTCTTGTACAAGCTTCTCAAGCCAGGTGGTAAATTTATATTCTGGGAACATCATGAGAACCATGATATTGTTACAAGAGCCGTCCAATGTAAGTCTGCATCCCACTTCTCCGGGACTGAGAATGTAGGTTTAATTGGGAATCACTGATCTCCAGGGCTTTGGAACCCGCTGTGGAGATTCGGTATAGGAGACTGCAATATGACGCGCGATATGTTGCGAATTGTCAGACAGTCAGGGAACTGGGACAATATCGAGCCAATATATCACTTGACGCGGACATTGATTGAATATTCTCCCGTATAGTGTACCTAATTCGCAGATTCATATTTACATCTGGACCGTAATAATCTTCGCATTCTATATTCGAAATAACGTAGCTGAATATAATCCTATCAATGCCCGCGACTCTCATTTCAGTAGGCTAGCATTCAACAAGAGCATATCTTCGGCATCATTAACTGACATGCGCCGACCCTTGTAGGAAACCGGACAATAGGGCATTTGATACCCTTTGTAGGAGAATGCAAGGATATTTGAAACTACAACTCTTCCAATTGCCCACTTCGTATCTGTAAAACTTGTATAGGTTTAAGTAAAAAAACGACAGCCCATAAACCATTCCTGAATTCAATGCCCGGATATTTCTAGAGCAGACTCTTTGTAGCGTCGATCATGTTTGATAGTTGGTCAGTCCGGGCCGACATTGTATCCCATAGCATGTCTCTCAAGTCTAAGCTGGGTCCAACAGAAGGCATCTCACGCTTTTGTTTCATCACGGCTGCCACTCGATCCCAAAGTTGTGAAGAAAGCAACGCTATCATGCTCATATACATTGACGCTGCCGCTACAGTCGATATAGGTGAATCCTTGGTCACACACACTGCCGGAGTAGTAACAATAGAGCCCATTTTCAACTCTGGAAGAATGACACCCCAATTTCTTTCATTCTCGGGCACGAGCCTGAGTGGTGAGACGTTGTGGTTGCGAATGCAGGCCTGCATCCTTTGGAAGACTGCTACGTATGCTTCTGTAAGTTGATGATGGCAAGATATAAGTACGTCTAGAATTGCGATATCCATAGGAACTGGAAATATTGAGGAAGGCTCCATGCTAGTCGGCGCGGCTGATGACTGGACTCGGCCACAAATTTTCTGGGCAGACCTGAGATTTGGCACGAATATCTGTTCGCCATTGATGTTAACTGGTGGCACATTAGTGCTCGCATCGCACCCCTCATCATTAAAGTTCTCGATGATATTCAAAAAGTCGGCGGTGACACGGAAAAGCTCATCTATAACAAAGAGCTTAGCTCTTTGTGGTTTGTGTGCACAGTTGTCGCTAACGCTCCAATCACTGAGCGGCGATCTTGTGTGAACTTTGGATGGAAGTTTGGAGGTGCATTCGTAAAGTGCGACGTTGAGACTCGCTAGCCTTGCTGCAGAGGAAAACGGACGTGTTGCTGACAGGTGGAGTGTTTCCCAAGCCTCGCCCCTTGAGAACAAACTAGACGCGTCAACCTGAGGAGATATAGTTGCGGAATTTTTGTTTACTGGGCGGAGGACCGTGAGGTTTGTAGTGACATCGTCGTTGTAGAACAGACCCGAACCATACATTGATTCGCAAGGGTCTTCGAACCACTGTCTGTTTTGTATGTTTTCTACACCGCCTTGTATTGAAGTACGATGAAGTAAGGATGAAGCTGCTACGAAAGATTATTTTCTCAATCACCGCTCAATCCTGTAATGAATTGGTGGAAAACCAACCTGTGTCGTTGGCAATAATTGGATCGGCACTCGATGAGAACAACAAATCAATGCCAGTTACATTTGTATTCACTGAATGAAATTGTACGGACGGCATAGGCATATTCGGAGATATGGAGACTGCATGACGCCCACCGCAGTCTGCTAGACAGCGAGGGGCGTTTCGGTGTACGCGAGAAGTGCGAGCTGTGAATCGGCACGACGTTCCCAATCTGAGACATCTCTCGCAGCTACCATAGCTTGTGTTTTTCACGCATTTGAGCTTTTGTAAGTGGCAGCGATTACATGATGATCGAGCCTTACCGAGGGCAATGCGGGAAGACGTGGTCGGCAATGTCGCCTCGGTTGGAATGCTTTGGGACGGAGCCATGGTCAACCGAACGAAAATCGAAGTTGAGCAGAGCATTTCAGGATATCGTCAATAAGCTGACATATCGCGTGGTTGAGGGGCAACAGCGAGTCTAGCTGGTGCATGTCAGGTCACCACTAACCTTAAAAAAATGGCAGACGAAACAGATTGGTAAACACATGTACATAGCGCGCCACTTATGCAGAATCGGCGACTAGTTCCTGCATGTTCGGCGTTTGTCATGTGGGTCTGCTGCGGTGCTATGATTATAATGCCTAAAACTATATTCTGTCACCCTCTATACATGGTCCCATCTCGAAATATAAAGGGGATCGTGTTCGCAGATACAACAACCAATATTTGTTGTACTTTAATCAATATTAGCATTAGTATCATTTACAGTATTTGCCATGGTTGCCCTGTCACTCATCAAGTCTTCTAACTCTCGTCTTTCTTCTGCCATTTCTAATCAATTAGTTTCAGTGTTCGTTGGCGCAACAAGTGGTATCGGCGAAGCAACTCTGAAGAAGTTTGCATTCTACACACACCGACCGCGAGCCTATTTCATCGGTCGCTCCCAAGATGCAGCAGACCGTATTCTAGTTGAGTGCAAAAGTCTCAATCCCGACGGGGAGTATATCTTTATCAAGGCGGATATCAGTCTGATCCGCGTCGTCGACCAAGTGTGCAGAGAGATAGAAGCAAAGGAGAAGCAAATAAATATTCTATTTCTTAGCTCCGGCATCCCAAGCTTCGATCGTACTGGTATGTTGCGTACTAAATATTCTTGCCGCCCTTATAGAAGCGTATGATAATTACACTGACTCTTAATCCCAGAAACCACGGAAGGGCTTCATCTATTGGCTGCGTTGAATTACTATTCCCGCCTACGCTTTGTCACCAATTTGCTTCCGCTCTTGCAGCAAGCGATCAATCTTCGCCGTGTCGTCAGCGTTGGGGGAGGTACGCTAGAAGGCCCGCTTGACGCATCCGACTTTCAAGCTCTTCGTGTCCCAGCCTCCGAACTACGAGGCCACTTGTCCACGCTGATAACTCTCGGGTTAGAGGCGGTGGCCAAGGAAGCCACGAGTGTTAGCTTCGTGCACGACTACCCTGGCACAGTTGACACGCCGTTCCTACGCTATATGTCTGAAGAGATGTTGAGATCCTATGTGCTTTTGCCTGTCGATGAAAGCGGTGAGCGTCACTTGTACCTTGCAACGAGCGCCAGGTTTCCTCCGGCCATGATTGATGGGCACGACGACGTGGTATCGCTGGAAGACGATGCTGCAGTAGCGCTAGGTACAACAGGAGAAGCCGGGGGTGGGGTATATATAGTTGGGCCGGATTGCGAAGGGCCAACGTCTTTGGTCCGGGATTTCCTGGGCGAGATGAGGAAAAGTGGATTAGTAAAAGAGGTCTGGCGGCACACAGTTGGAGAGTTTGACCGCATTGTCGGCGATTTGCGTTAGCGATCACGTATATCGTCGTCAGCTCAAGGAAACAACCCTTTTTCCTATTAATAAACCTCCACCGTGGCAATTACCAGATGTAGTAACCCGTGAACCATCACTCAAAATACGATGTAACCGTCACCATTTCCATTCTGGAATAACTCTTCATTTGGCGCAATGCTTCCCTGTGTTGCTTTCGAAGCACGGAGGTATGATAACGTGGTTGTCTGGTGGACACCTGTCTCGAAACTGATCATGACAGGCCAAGTTACACTGCCAAGGTAATAATGATCTACCAAATCCCATGATTGTGCGCTGTGACTCCACCACATACCCACGTGTCGGATTCGCCTTCTTCCCATTCACGGAGACGCATATCATTGTGTATGCCTACAGCACGAGTGCTTTGCCAAGCGCGCTGTTCCCTCCGAATGCAGCGCATGATAGCATGTCCTTCACAATCGAACAATAGCACTGGTAGGCGGAGGATCTCGTAGTTGCTTTCTCAAGATCGCTATTATGTTACCCTCCGAGTCAATCATACGCGGTTTGAACGACCTTTTTTCCAAAAGAAATTTCAGAAATGGGACGATCTACATATCATGACGGTTGCCAGAAATGGATACAGGGATGCATTTGAGTGTGACCTCAAGTAGATTTATCGACATCATTACTCAATTTATGTGAGGTATCTACAGATAAACCTTTATAATATGCAACAATAATTCAACATAATCTATCCATAGTATGTAATAGTACAGCCGGGTCAGTTCAACACTACAGACAAGTTCAGGTTCCTAGAAACCACCCAAGTAGCTCTATGTATTCGCGAGCTAGTTGGACTCAAGTTCAAACCAGTAGTATTACGATCCAATCGGTCCTGGCCCGACCCCCACCCCCCCTTCTGCACCCCAATCACCGGCTCAAAGCAGCAAGATGCGGGCCGAGTGCCACATTCTGCTACCGGTAATTAGTCTCTCACTGGCGCTAGGACGCTCGGAGTTATCACTTCGGCAGAAATCTAGCTGGAATGACGACCGTCTTTCAAAGGGAGATTGTCAGATGGTCTCCCAGAAAAGGGGCCCCTTCCAACATTGGCTAGAATTAAACATACATCAAGCAGAATAGCCTTGCGTCCATCGGTGCTGATGTCAACAATGGAGCCCACACTGCTAAGGCGAGACGGAGTGTGTGCTGGGAACTGGATACTTATTTCTGCGAGGAAAGATTACACCAGACCCGCAGATAGCCCTCAGATCGTGTCTAGTATATTTACAGGGCCACTCGATGTTCAGACAACAACAACAACTTGTACACAAGAAGGAAGTACAACTACCGGGGTTTCTCGTGGCTTTGCGGATATTCTCTCTTTCGGACTCAGCTTTTGCTCGACCTTCTTGGGTTCGATCTCCAACTCAGAGGCAGCAAGGTAGCTAATCCCGCGGTTTTAAAAAGGGGCACGTAGTTCAGAATTTTACGTACAATGCTCTGAAAGTAGATCTTTCTCATGTTTGAGCCCGGGTCCGCAACGTAGGCATGCTAATTTTGAGTCACATATATACTAGAGCTTACAATAGCGCACAAGTTTTTGAACAAGGTTGAGGAGAGACACTTGAATGAGATAGAAAGCGTCTACTTTACCATAAACCTAGGATGATAAATCGGTATGTCGATGGGAAATCATGAACATGGTCAGTCTCTATAGCGCCTGGTTGGAAGGTAAGATAGTATCAGTTTTGATTTCGGGCTTTGGCTCGGCTGGTACACTTTCGCTATACTCGCACGTTTACCATTTCACAACTCCACGATGGCTTCGCTGAAGCAAGTAGGCAAGAAAGATATACCGTGGTTAAGTGAATGTTCCTCTTTGATTCATAGTACAAAGCAAACGAAACGAATGTCAAATGATTGGTATCAATCTTCCAACAATATTGGAAAGTTTTACAGCAAATCAAACCCCCAAAGCAGCCTAGCAAGCCAGAGAAAAAGATAACGCCGGCCTTCACTATCCGTCACTTGCGTTGAGCCGGGAACCCTCGCGCCAAGGCTGCCGCCAACCTCACCAAACGGTCGCGGGAGGCTTGCGCGTTTGTTGGCTCGTCAAATTTAACATGGCGACCCAGGACCCAGTCTTCGGCAGGGTTTTTCTGGGATATGAAGCGCTTAATACTGTACTGAAAATCTTCTGGGACGTTAAGAACGGGAGGCCGATGATCGATAAATTCTGCGTGACTGTAGCTGGGAAGAGAGAAGTTGCCATGTTAGTGTGAAGTTAGGAGTCCAATGACCGACCCTAACTCTTCTGATAACCCCGGTCTTTTAAGCGAGGGAGTTCTTTGCGTGCGATGATTCAGCTGCTGGAGTGGAATGCATACTTGATATAGCAGACTGCACCAATAGAATCGATGTCGGAGCATTCTGCTAGACCCTGAATAAGGGCCATAGTGCCTAATTTGGGTGGGCGTGTCTTAAGTAGCTATTCCACCATATGGTGACTGATGGACCCCGTTTTTAGTGGGGGTCGCGGTTGAGGGAGGGGTGTGGTCTGTGGTATGTGAGTATGGTATGTAGCGGGGCAAGCTTGTGTGTGTAAGTCGGTGGATCAGGGTATGTGAGAGGATCTGGAAGTCAGAAGATACTCGGTCGGTTTACACTGAACGAACCCATCCGAGCTAATCAACCAGGACCAGAGGATCTGAAATCGTGCAGGGCTATCCAAGGGTTTTATAATCCAGTTTGCTCGAAAATGGGGACGAACGCAAGCAACACCACTCAAAGCCAGCCCCTTGGAAGCACCACTCATTCAGCGTTAGAACGTCCGCCCTATGAATGACGTTCCAATACAAACCATCTTCCCCTAATCATCGTGCACGTATGAGTTCCACCTAGGGATCTCCCCGTCGATGATGTCAATGTATGCGTGTTCTAGGCCTTTGCGTGACCTGAGCTTCGACGGGCTTGACCTCGAGGCTCGGCGGTTGTAGATATGTACCTACATGTACGTCAAGCGATCGGGACCTGCACCCCGACTAGACATCGGCAATGGCCAGGTCTAGACCCCAGGGCGATCTTCCACCAAAAAAGAAAGGAAAACAGCCAAAGTATTGCATTGAAACTCGGCTACGTCATCTTCACAATTAGGAACGCTGCTGCGCACTGCTGCGCATGACAAGTGGTCAGCATTTGAAAGCAATGAAGTGTTCCAACGGATAGCTCAGCCGCTACCGTCGTTGAGTAGGGCGGTCCCGAGTAAGCTGGATTGAGGGAACCTGCGGTAGCGTGGACCCTGTGGGAAGACCCCTAGAATGAGGTCATAGGGTCTGGGGGAGGCATCTAATTTTGAATCATGCCAGCTCAGTTCTCGGCAATTTCAAGGCCTTTCCCATGGATAGGTCTGCCGTGAAATGGACGTGTTGCCATGCTAGAAATGGCGGGTTGCTTTCTGGCAGTTTTCCTTGTAACATTGAATTTTGGTTTTATATACTGAATACGCCTCGTCACGGTTGTCTCTACTTTGATGTGCTTAATTGGTTTGATGTAGAGAGAACACGCGATTCGCAACTAGCAATAAGGTGAAAGTAAAGCGACAGCCATGCCTTAGTTTGTTAACAAACATAAATGAATCTATATGCTGATCCAACCATAAACCAGATGACCACCAACGCCGAGAACCTCAGGGGCTTGCCAATATATGCCGTTTTCCGTCACTTAAAACGCCATACGTTCAGAGAAGAGCAGGGGTATCCAAGAGTCCATAAATCATGCCATATCGCCAAAGAAATATATGAACACAAGTAGAAGTAGAAATGACAGAAATCAGACTTGGCGATATGCTTGAGCATGTCGGCAAACATCGTAAGGAACGTGACCATGACCAATAGCCTATACCAACTTGGGGGAGATGGCTGACCGGACTTGCCATTCTTGCAGCAATGTAGGCTGTTGTATCACTTGGAATTTGCTGAAGCGTCCGGTCAAGACTCCTCTGGTCGCCTCGAGCCGTGCAAGATCTTCGGCATTGTCTCCAGACAGCCTTGTTTGGTCGTCTATCGTCTGGAGCACACTTCTACCGTCGCTGTTGTGGACATGGAAATTGGCTCCTTGCTCCAACAAAACCTTGACAGCAAACTTTTGGCCGAGTTTGGCCGCAACCTGCAAGACTGTTTCGCCATTACGGTTACGGGATTCCAAATTAGCGCCAGCCTTGAGAAGACGCTTAATAAGCTGCTCGAAATCCTTATCGTCCTCTCCATCAATGATATGGGAAACAAATGACATCAGGACTGTATTCCCACTAGCATTATAGTGGTTGACGTCGACATTGGCCTGCAAAACAGTTTCCAGGTACTGAAGTCGTTGGCTGAGAGGGCAATTCTGAGGGACTGTTTCATCTTGTGCATTCCTTTTCCTCTTCCCGAGTTTTGTGCCATTAGCATGAGCCTCAATAGACTCCACACCTAGTATAACTTCAGAGAGACAGTGTAAAGCATTGCGTCCCTGTGCATCTTCTTGAGAAGGGCCATTCGGTGATGTATTCGCTCCGTTGATGATCCTGAGAAGTTGTGCATGATCAGTGATCTTTTGTTGGCTTCGGCCAGCCGCGCTCGGGATAGTCAAAAGGGTGGGCCGGGCTTCTTCCCTATTGGTAGGAAACGTTGCTGCACGCAGTTGCATCGGCTTGGCTCCAAATGCGTCTCGTCGATTTAGTAGACTCATATTGTTGCCGAAGAGACCAGTAACTTTCCTTATAAGGACGGAATCTGCGTTCATATTTTGCCGAAGGACATGAAAGAACGTCCGCCCGTAATTGTCTGTTGCATGGAAGTTGAACTGCTTTCGTAGCAATTCATTAGCAAGCTCGATAAGCCGCGAGTCCTCTCGAAACCATCCTTTATGCAAGACGTGGAGGAATGTTTGCCCTCCCGTATTTGTTACGTTTAGGAGCGGGTTGTAAGCCTGAGATTCTTGGGATATAAGTCCGATGAGGTTGTCCATGTCCTCTTCAGATGCTGCTAAGAAGTGGTACATGGTGTTACCGAATTGATCTTTCCCAGACATAGAATCATAAGAAGAGTGTTCGGTTTGTATGAATTCACCAGGAAGCGTGTATCTAGGTAGTCCAGGGACAGTGACACCTTCAGTTTGACCATGAAATCTGGCGAAAGAAGGCGGTTGAAAGATCCCTGTGGCGGAACTCGGCGAAGAGCTTGATCGTTCCGAGTCAGCCTCATTTGAGATTGTGAAACGCTTCAAGAGTCGAAAAATATCTTTGAGGTCAGATACTTCATGGCCGTGAAGCTTTTCTTTTATAGAATAATAAGCCTCTCTGGTCTTGTCACTTGCCACGCTAAAGTTGGTGGAGGTTGTCATGGAAGTGCCTTGCCGACCTACGCCGGGTATGTAACGGGCAAATGACGTAGTTGAAGAGTTGTTCAGATTTCTGAGGCCGGTGTTATGATTTGCTGCTGTGGGAATGTTGAATGTTCTTGTGTTTGTGCGGGGAGGCATTGGAGAATTGAACATAAATGTGTCGTTCTTCTCAAGTGAGGATGCGGATGACCGCCCGAATGAGCTGCTATCCATTGTACCGGTCCGTTGGTACGTCTGAGTAAATGGATCATGGACCGCGCTCATCGGAGATTGCATGTTTTGACTGATGGAGCTGGATTGCGACGAGGATCTCCCGCGATCACTGGTTTTGAGGCCAGCCATGCGCTGGCGTTGCTCCGTAACATCTTTCGGTCGCATCCATCGCGGATCTTTGCCGAGAAGCTTATGCAAGTGCTTGTTCGCAGCTTCCTTTCTATAAGGCTGGAAATCAGCAATGCCGCTCACACCTCTCGGTCTGGAGCTGGAACATACCCAGGGCACCACACATCATCCTCAAGGATTTTGAGGATATCGTCGACCTTCAACGATGTGTAGACATATAGTCGCGAAAGTCGGCGAGTGCGGGGCTCGGTCCAGTCCTTGGGACGCCCGCCGCGGTTTGTACGGTTTGTGGCATTGCTAGTGGCAGGCGACGCCTGCTCATGGATGGAATATGACATGCTGGCTGTATATATTGATGGGTTGCGAGAGGTGGGTGTCGAGCGCAACACCGCCAGTTGGACAGCAAATGGACGAAATCAATTGAACGTATTCAGGATATCTGATTCTCCGCGAGCGATAATGCTCGAGTTGTGAGAAGCTCAGATCCATTGCGTGGGCGAGGCTGGTGGCTAGTATTAATGAATGGAGTGTGCTGATGGAGGATGGCTTGTCACGTTGACGAGGGGCATTGCAGGCCGTGTATTACAAGGGTGCTGGGGGATGGAGGGAGCTTTCATGGATCTATCTATCGGGTCGGCTTTGTGGTGACCCAACCTAGTCTAGTTACAGCAGCCGCACAACAGCATTGTTAGTGCGCTGAGGCTAGGGACGTTTCCTGCACGACCACAAGTTGGATCAAAAAAGCAGTGAACAGAAAGTGGATCGAATCTCATCACACCCATACTCTTTGATCTAGCTATAGATTTGCTCTCATAGGACTCTGTGCTCATTGTGGCTTCGAAGTTGACGGGCTTCAACTCCGGAGTATACTTTGCGCCATAGACTTTGTATTTAGTCTAGACCAGCTAGTCCTAACTAGCGTTACTAATTATAACCTGGAGGAGAATTGCAAGAAACGGGTTTGCATTACAACGATACTGTGATCATCATTCATTTCGATGAAATTGCAAGCCGGCAATCCAAGCAAAACAATGATGTATATCCCGGGGAAGCAAGCTCTGTCGCTCAGCATCATCGCGATGCCCTCACCGTGTTGTAGCTTCTGACGAAATGGTGGCGGTGCAGCATATGCTTAGCCTTGGCAAGTTCTCGTGCAGCCGAACTGCAGGACATGGGGCTGTGTCCGTTGCGTGCTGTGTTCGCCAGGACTGGAGCTGAGCGATCTGTAAAAACAACTTTGACTTGCATCGCACTGCATGAAGAATAGAGCATGGACGGGACAGTCCAATATTTTCTGGGGAGCCAAGCTTCGTGCCGACTTCTCGTTTCAACAATCGATCGATCCCGTTAGGACTGTTTGCATCCGGCACAGAAAAATAAGAGCAGCAGGCCTTCAAACAGCGGAGCCATTCCAAACCCCCCTGCTTCCCATCATTTTGTCACATTTTGGTTCGCGGGCCATCAGCCTTCTGGGGGTGCCTGGACCTGTGTTTTGCGAGTTATTTGCTGTCCCTCCTGAAATGCCAATATTCTGGTCATTAGAAATCTACTGCAGTACTCATGTGAATCGGAAATTTAAGACTGTAAAGAAATCGACACGCGAACCTGACTCTTTGTGTAGTATGAAGCTTTCGCTAATTCTCAGCTCGCAGATGTTGAAGGAAGGCTTCGGGAGCTCCTAACTTTTAGAACTTGGCGGATTTGCATCCTCGAATTGCTGGGTGGGGTATGCACTAAATCTCGACCCGGCCCTAGCGATTCTATCTTTTCGGGCTCACCCAGGTTGGTTGTCACCTACATACTCACAAAGTCTAGTATCCACTATGAGCAATGTCGGGCTTCTGTTATAACGAAAAATGCAGTGCAATTTACGTGCATAGCTGCCCCGGATGACAACTAGATTTTCCCATGTAAGCGAGGATACCAAGTCTGCCAAGATAGGGCCGAGCGTTGGTCACCTTCAAGACAACAATCATCAGCTTCAACCTCTGTTTAATTTTGGAGGGTTCAAATTCAGGTGGACATTTCGTGTAACTTTGGCGTTTATTGGAGCACCTCCGATCTCAGCTTGCTCTGTGGATGTAGGTACCTCATTGCGACATCTGTAAGCGTTGGAAGGGTGTTCATCAGGGCTAGTAATAGTCTTCCAAAATAGCATGACCGTGCCTGGCTCGTCTTCAAAGCACCACTAGACTAACCTAGAGTTGACTTCTGCCATAAGCTGCCGCCGGAATCCAAGATGACCCCAATGAGCACTCTGTCTTGGTCTCTATGTGTCTGTCTATCCGCGCAAACAAGGCATAAGCATTCGCGACATGCAAAGAACACGATAACTTGGATATTAAAAATCCATATCGCACGACATGCAGGTTGTGAATAGCTTGGGACGGGTCTGCCCAAACTAAACCGTCCACATATAGAACTTCACGTGACTACCTATAATTCCGAATGCTTCAACCACCACAGAGAGTGACCAAAAAACTTTATCTCAGTACTCTGAGATGCATCAGGAATTGAGCCCGATGCGGGGGTCGAACCCGCAGCCTTGAGATTAAGAGTCTCACGCTCTACCGATTGAGCTAACCAGGCCGCGAAACAATTGCTTGTTGCGGTGTTGTGAAAATTCCAGCTTGTAATGTGTCATGTAGAATGCTTCTGAGCATGTAGACGGTGGAAATTCTCATGATGGTGGAGTTGGCGACGAGGTAGAATGGTCGGCGACGTTGTGTGCCTATGTAGGAGTTGTTACCTGCGACCCGAGGAACTCTCCTAAGGTGGGTGTCGTTCAAACCCAGGAACATCTACCACTTATGGGTGAAAGCGCACAGAGAGCTAAACGGGTGTACTACAAAGCTGCCTCGAGAAATTTTTTTACAAAGATAGTGCCTATAGTTGCGTGGCAGCCATGGTGGGATATACCTTTCTCCGGAGGATCAGAAGCAACGAAGAAGAGAAGTAACGGCCTCCAGGACCAAGAACTTGGGAATGCAAGTATCAATAGATTCTGGTACCAAGTACATATCGTACATACAAATAACAACTGCCAGTCAACTTACATAAAACATCTCGCAATGGGTGCTTTGGCACAAAGCCATTCACAACTCCGGGAAATGCGTTCTTCCACGTCTTCTTGTTCTTCCACTGCTGGGCGAAGGGGCGTCTTATAGAGACTCGACAGCGTCGCTATCTATGTCGTCGAGGTTGATCCCAGTCTCTTCTTGTAGAATCTCAGTGAGATACGTCCCATCTCTAAGGTAGACCCATCCGCCGGTTGCGGTATCCTGCTTCGAGTCCTGGCCCTCACTAGTGACCACATAATCGAAGCGCTTCGGGCCGGATTTCGGGGACGAGAGCCAGATCTGCTTGTTCGGGGGCTGCTTGTTGATAACATAGGTTCCTTCGGGGTACTTGATGTTCATGACACCGGACTGCAGAGCTCAAGTTAGTGTATGGTGGTCGCATACAACAGAGGAAATCCTCACGCTGTACTCGACGTCAAGCTCGCCCCTTGCATCCTGCTCCTCCTCATATCTGACGAGAAGATTCTCTATGTATTCGTCTGCAAGCTTGTGGTACTGGTCCCCGGTAATGTCGGCAGGTTGTGCATCCTTCAGAGCTTCTGGTGGCACTGGTCTTGACAGCGCAGAGCTGGTCGACAAGGCGCGGCGGGGGCTTCGCAGGGCTTCAGCACGAGGGAACGAAGCCCGCGCGATTATCCAGGGATGGCTGGCCTGGATTCCGGCAGCTGTACGGCCGTTGGATGCTCGGCTCACGGCGCGGCCGAGCCTCGCAATGGTAGTTCTCATCATGTTGAAATCGGAATCGTGAGGTGTTGGGGTTTCTTAGTACGTTGAAGCTTTGTCTGGAAATGAACGACTCGGGTTGTGGAACAGTTAGACGAGCTTGGAGCTCTCGACGAAGCGGGATCACTGCATGCCCTCGTGGCGACCAACAGTGAGTTGGATTGTTGGTTACTGTGATCGATAAGTCAATGCCAGAGCTCGACGCTGAAGTTGGTACTACTGTACGGTAGACTACGGTACATACGGTAGATTGATCTTTCCCGAAGCTCGCCATTTGCCCCACTAACGATAACACTGCAGGGTCAACACAACCGCACTCCGCTCCGTGATGCGGATCTTGATGTTGACAGCAGGACCTCCACATTTGTCTGGTCTAGACACTGTTCAAACTTATTCAATGGGAAGTGGCTCACATTCAGAAATGTCATGTTCAACGAGTAGCTTTTGGCATTGCAATAATGTGGCCATGTCCAATCATTAACGCAAGCACTTTGTGGGAGCAGGATATTCCAGCTTGGAAAATAATAGGAAACGATACAGCTGTCATTGCTATCTCAGTCTACCTCGTCATGGTTCCCAAATCACACAACAATCTCGAGCTTTGCTTGCACTGAACTGGTAGTTTCAGAATCCGAATAGATCATTCTTGACTCCACGAAGCCACCTGCGTGACCATCCATTGTGATTTCACCCTTCACGGCCCTAGGATCAGGTGCACGACCACCCAGTAATGCTGTCCTTCAACGTTTTTGACATTTTCAGCTTATGCGCCTATCGTTCCCACAACCGGGACCACTACCATCTCCAGATCATACTAGGCAACCTCGCAACGTAGTATTCACGCATCAACGTCCATCTAGTGATAGACTTTCGAGTCCCTTCTGTTGCCGGCGATCGGGCTGCTCGTGGCGCGGCGCTTCTCGGTGCCACGACCTTGAGACCCTGACAGAAGAGACGAGTTCTCGTTGTCGACAACGCCTCCGCCCACGACGAAATCCGAAGATGTTTCCCCCTGTTTTTGATGCCTCAAGGAACCTCGACGCCGTGGATCAAAACTCGACATTACGCGAGAAGATGGTTGCGCGCCGTCCGATGGCGCCGAGGGTGACGTGCCCTTGCGGTCTATCGTGAAGACACCGGGACTATGCTTGCCGAATGGGGGAGCCCAGCTCTTGGAGGAACCACCAAATACTGGTGCTGGTGACTCCCGCTTCATCGCCTCGATTTGTCGCTTCAGCTGGTCGATCTCAGACTGCTGCTTGGCCAGCTTATCGAAGGCGGCTGCGACATTACTGTGGAGATCAGCCACCTTTTCATGGATCATGTTGGCCAGTTTTTCTTTGAAACTGTGAGACTCTAATAATTTGTCTGTGTGTTTCGTCAATTGGGGGATGTGATAGCTGTGAGTGGCCTGCATGATAGTGTGGGTGAGAATTTCATGGAAATCGTCGGTGTCGAGCAGGGAGCCCAGCATAGACGTCACTCTGTCGTTATCAAGGTCAAATTCTGGCTGGGTATTTGCTCGTTCAACATCGCCAGCATGACGCATATCTCCCGCTTCATCTTCATCATCGTTTTCGTCGCTCTCGATGTGTGTGAATTTGGAAGTGCGTCGAGAGCGGACAATAGGTGAAGAATCATGATCGCTCTCTGAGACAATCATCTCGTAAGGATCGTGATGGTGCTGGAAATGAGCGTCATCAGAGTGGTCGTGCTCGCTCCTATATTCGCAGCCCTTGATTGATGCAACGGTTGATGTAGCAGAGTCGACGGAGCCTGAGTCATCGAGCATAGAAAACACTTTTCTCGCATCGGGTCGACCGCCCTGGCTGGTAGCTTGAGTTGCCGGGTAATCTCTCTCCACTCGTGTGGTCCAGAAAGGAGCGATCGCCTTCTGTCTAGCACCATTGTCAGGGCTCAACAGCAGAAACCGGAGCTTGGCTGCTTCTAGTCGCTTCATGATCGTGGAAGGAAAACATCCAAACCCTTCCCTTTGCCCACCCAAAATTCTGACCGCATCAAGCATTTCGTACGACGGAAGCTCGTCCTTGTAGTCCGTCGACGGTGGCCATTTGAGTGCTTTTCCTGCGATGGCTGCCGCGTCAAGCTGTTTGATGACCTTTCGATAGAATGCTCGCATGAAAGGGACAGTGTCAAGCGTGCAACCATGGAGTAGGGATGCGACCTCATCTTCGTTGACCCAAGGACGAGGCGGCCAAATCTGCATTATCTTGTCAACAAGAGACATGCCTTCATTGTGAATGTCCAGGACTTTATTGATGTTGCCGTAGTGTCGCAAACTCTGGTTGGACTTTGATTCCTGGAATTCTGGGACGGGGGGCGTTTGAAAATCGTCGTCAACAAATTCTATAGAGTCGACTTGCTGGCGTGGCATGGTGTCAACCGTGTAGGATTGAGCAGCGACCTCTGCGTGGGAGTTAAATAGTTGGTAGTGTGTGAGAAACAAGTGGGACACCATTGAGGTAAACGTTTTCGCGGAAGCAGATGGGCTAGGATCAAACTCTATGGTATCACCCAGAGCGCTTGCCATGTCTGATATAGGAATTAGGCTCGGTTGATACCTCAGGTTGATTTCGATTTCTTGTGGACTCAGGCATGAAAACTACACCGTAGCTTTAGTATTGCAATAGCGGGAGAAAAGATACCTGACCTCAAGAAAAGTTTACCGCTCTGACTACTCAGTCGCCTGCCATCGTCATAGTTATGCCTAATCCTGAGGCTCGATGCTTGAAACCCCTCATTGTATATAGTGAAAGGCAGTGTCCAGGCGTCGAAAGCCGACCATTTGTTCTATCGCATCTAATTTACACGTGATGGTATCGTATACTCCCTATGAACTAGACCTCTATAAATGGACTTCTTTCAAACAAATTCTAGATGTCCAGCACTTATCATAAACAATGCTGCCCGTTATCTCTCTTCGTAGGGCCATCTCGGATGTCTCGCCAGAAGGCCAGGCCTCAAACAATAGCCCAACCAACAGCACCAACGAACAAAACGATCGCCGAGGAGCCAGTTAGCAAGTGCCCAGCATCACCCTTTGACGTTCTGTTTCCAACGTCAGCGCTGGCTGCACTTCCAGCAAGCCCTCCAACAACACCTCCAGCTGCACCACCAGCAGTGGCTCCACGGCCGCCTGAACTTGTGTTGCCAAGTTTACTTCCCCCTGAGCTCTTGCTTCCACGTCCACCGGCTCCTGTCGGACCGTAAGTCAGGCCAACCCGATCATAGAATGAAAAGGGAACTCTTGAAAGAGAGGAGAAAAGGACTCACCAGTACCTCGGGCACCACCTCCGGCGCTGCTGCCACCTGGACTCTTTTCATCAGCATGCTACACCATACCGAAAAACAAAGTAGCTTGGGCAAAAGCACAGCCTAGGAAGGTGCCAGCGAAAGGCTTACCAGCAGCGCCACCACTCCTGTGGATCTTGACCTCTGCAGTAACACTGCTGTAGCCACCCGAGATCCTTAGAGGATGAAGCGTGAGTGCAGAGTCGACATTAGGCAACCAATCTTCTGGGAGCAAGTGCTTTTGGCCCTCAGTGCCGTCATTGTTGTCTCGAACCACACCTCTAAGAATGCCTGTGGTGTGAACCACGGCGGTTTTGATGGCACGTGTGGCCGGCAAGGCGATCACGGGGCTGAGGAGGCAGGAAAGTGATAGGAGGTTGATAATACAGGTGTTGGTATGCATGGTAGATACCGTGATAGAGTTTTCTGGGGAAAAGGAATTTAGATCGGACAAGAATTTAATACTTTAATCAAGGTTCAGGCAATGTGCGTGCATTCTTCTGATGTTTGTTGCACTTTACAAGAGACCTCGATGCAGGAAGACGTTTGGAACTACTTATACCTGAATAGGAGTTCTCATTTTTCCGTTCATCGATCGGCTTGCTGCCGTGTATACCGGTAGCTTGAGTGGTAAGTTTTTCGAACAGACCTGTACAGTTGCATCAACCAGAGAAGTTATGAATGCTGTATCGTGGTAGTTCTGGCCCTGGAGTAGTTTGTGATGGGCCGAGTATACTTGGTGCAAGTCGGACTGTCTTGGACTACCCAGAGGGGCGTATAAGGCTTTTCGTCGGCGACTGGAAAGTAATTTCGCACTAGTATGCACATGTCGTTTTACTTACTCGGATAGCATCCAGATATTCTAAAGCGGTGCTGATATTACTTGGTGATGGACAAGTGCTTTCGCTTGAGGTCAACCCCTGAATTCGGTCGTCGATAATTAGGGAAGAGTTTCAAAGTGTGGTTGCAACCGTTGAGCCTGAAACGGAGATAACACTGTAAAAGATTCAAAGAATATTCCCTTGCAAATTAGAATTGTTTATTGGAACACCTCTATTCCATCACGGAGGTTAGCAGTTTCTTACGTCTCAGATTCAAGATTCCTTGGGATTCTCATACCTCCTCTCCTGTAAGTGAGATCGCAGCAACTCTCTTACCTAATGTGAGGGAAAAGTTAACCACCAACTTGCGTAAATATGGTTTGGAAGTTTTTGCTAAGAACGAATATCTGACACTTCTTGGGTCGAATAAACTTCCGTAGGAGCGGCCGCTGAGATCACAATCATGCTAGACTTAAAACGACCAGCAGCCGTTGAAGCTGTTAGGACCTCGGCGTAATTCACCGAGGCTGGGAACCGGGGGTACTATAAACCTTATCCAGGATAATACTGAGAGTAGACGGCAAACGGCACCTGTTAAGTGAAGAATTGGCGTGATGTTTGGAAGGATTTGTTCCGTTAGGGTCAGCCTTTTTTCTTAATTGTATGCCAGTATATTCTATGAATGGCCGGTAGAATGCCACGATACGCTACTAATCTTTCATGTGATTCTATTGGGCTTTCCATCTTTTCCCGAGTGAAGACACGTTAAGACAAGAAGTTATTCGACCAAATTTGCTTTTCAAAAAAGATTTTTCATTATCTTTTCCCTGTAGTAGCAAAAGTAATTCATCGCAAAACTCCTAAATCCTGCTGCAAGTAACGCCGGTAATATGCGAATTACAAGAGCTATGATGCCGTTCATCCGTGATTGTGGTCGTCTCCATCGTGGTGTAATGTTACACTGTTGAATTCCTCGAAGGGATCCACCAGTTCGGTGCCGGGCGTGGCCAAGCCACTGTCCAAAGGAACACCTTTGAGATTTTGAGGCTTGGTCCCGCTAATATCGACGCTGTAACTCTCCTTGACATTCCTAAAGTTGACAGTTTCGTTGTCTTTGCTAATGTGAGGGACGATTGGTGGTTGCATGTGACGAATCAATGCCCACTGCGTCGTACGAAAGAACGGATGCCCCTTAATATCAGAAGCACCTCCACGAGATCCCAACCGTCGCGTCTCATCTTTGATAAGAAGCTTCCGGATTACAGATTTACACAAACTATAACAATCAGTAACTGGGCCATTGAAAATCGAATTGGTGACTCACTTTGAGATCTGAGGAGACCCAGTATGCTCTGGGAATGGGATTTCCTCCCGGAGAATATTTGCAAACGTTGCGTTGCGGTTCTTACCCTTAAACGGAGTGGTGCCGTAGAGCATTTCGTAAATGAGGATGCCAAGTGTCCACCAGTCGACAGCGCTCGTGTGGCCGCTGCCCTTGATGACTTCGGGCGCGATGTACTCTTCCGTGCCGACGAATGAATTGGTTCGGAAATTGTTGATGCATGATTTTGTATCAATCGCGGGCAGAGAGTTGTTGCTACCCTTTCCTCCCATGATCATAAGCGGCTTGCCACCAGGCTCCGACTGTTTTGACAGGTCGAAGTCCGATAACATGATGTGCCCAGACTGGTGAAGGAGAATGTTCTCAGGCTTTAAATCTCGGTAGATAAAGCCCATCAAGTGTAGATACTCGAGCGCCGCGGTGACCTCGGCTGCGTAGAAACGTGCATCGTCCTCGGGAACACATTTTCCAGGACGCGTCTGTAAAGCCCTGAAGAATTCTCCACCGCTGCAATATTCCATACATAGGTAAAGATAATCTTCAGACTGAAACGAGTGATACAACGTGACAATGAACGGGTGGTTGCTGGTGGCCAGAATTTCCTGCTCGGCAAGAGCTCTCTTGATCTTATTGCGCTTGATCATCTCCTTCTTGCTCAGCACTACCTCATATTAGCATGATTGCTCGACATCGGCAATCCTAGTATTGTTCGTACCTTTCATGGCGTAGAGCCGCGAGCTCTTCTTTTCCCTCACAAGGTAGACTTTGCCCACATCTCCCTTCCCAATAAGCTTGATCTTGTCAAAGCTGGAAGGGCCGACCTCGACGGTGCTGACCTTGATGGAATTGGAGCTGTAGGTTCTGCGGAAAGCCAGCGGACTCCTCCCTGGGGAAGGCAGAGCGCCAAGCCCATCCTTATCTGGCACAGCGAGACTCCCGTTGTCGGTGGTCTTGTCTACTAGACTTACCGCATCCGCGCTTTGTACCAGTGGCTCCTTTCCAAGCTCAGCCGTCTGGGGTCTTTCGCCACTGCCCTTCGACTTGGAGAAAAGCCCGTGAGCATTAGGAGCACTTGCAACCCGGCGGAGTTTCCTGGCCAACTCCTCCTTCGTACCGCTGGCAGCATGAGCTTTGCCGCCATCAGGTCCAGAAATTTTCAGGGCGGGCGTGTCCGGAGGACTCGGTGGTATCGACGCATCGTTGTGGTGTTGAAGCGACGGCTGGCCCTGGAGTGCGAAGTAAGGATTGGCATGAGACGTCGGGCTCATGGCCTCATCGAGAGGATGGCCTTCACTGGCGGTTGTTGTCGACCTAAGACGTCCGACGGTTGCAAAGAACTTTGTATTCCTGTTTCCCTTGCTCTTACTGTCATTGTTCTTGAGTGCGCCGCCGTCCTTGCCCTTGTCAGAGGTGTGCGCTGATTTGGCGTCATTGTTAATCTTGAAGAAATTCCTCAACTTCTGGTTGAAGTTGCCTCTTGGCGACTCCGCGGAAGGCATCGTGTTCTCGTCTTTCTCGTCTTTCTCGTCTTTCTCGTCGGTATCGGTAGAAGTTGCTCCGAGGTCATGCGCATGCCATGTTGCCAGTCTCTGTCTAATCTTGAACTGACTGAAGCGACGAACACCACCACCAGCCTGTGCTGCAGCCTGTGCCTGTGGTTGATGGCTTTGATGAGACTGGGTAGACTGAGCCTGTGATAGAGGATGATTGATCGGGGGTTCAGACGGAGGAGGTTGTGTCGGCGAAGAGGGACGACTGGAGTTAGCAGCCGATGGACTACTGAGAGACCCCATGGTCGATCAATGGCTCCTGAGTGGCCTAGCCTTGGATTTGCAAGGGCTCCTTTGTGCTGGTGCTGGCGTGGTGCTGGCGCGGTGCTTGGTAATGGTATCCGTATCTCGGTGCTTCAGGCCGGTAGTGCCCTTTTCCCATCTCAAGTCTCCAGTCCTCGTCTGTCACTGGTCGAGACGGGCCTGACAGGGAGCAAATGGTGGGATGCGGTGGTTACTTCCGGGGCTTTCCCCTTTCCTCCTGTAGGCTGTGCTGGCTGTGTGCTCTTTGGCTCGTTCTCAACGTTATATACGCCTGAATCGCCGAAGAAAGCGCTTGCTTGGTATTTACAGTAAGTGTGGTATGAGGTATGTACACGTCGGGTACTCCGGAAGTTGTTACGGGTGAACAGATACGTAGCCACAGAGGGGGCTAAGCGAGCGAGCAGGCATTTAGCAGTGGGCTAGATCTAGCATTGATGGGACGATTGACAAAAAGAGGCAGTCGGAAGTCCAGGTTTTGAGACGACGGCGAGGGGTCTTTGGAGATGGGAAGTGTCCGTTGTTTATGGATGCGAAACAGAAAGCTAAAAATCGGAATCGTCGTTTGACAAGAACTAACCTTGCAAACCATACTTGCAGGAATAACGCAGAGCAGCTTCCCGAGAAAAACAACTGTCGATTTGGACAGCCCGCTGCCGCTGACAAAAAGGCAAGTTACAGAACCCTGGCTTCCACCAAGCATGGGTCGCCGCTATCACCGCTTTCTCCACAGCTCGCCTTCGATTCTCGGTTTCCCACGTCATCTGGTCATAAATGCCGTTTTTCCATTATCAATCATCGTTTCATGCGATGGAGCAGATACGTCTGTGATTGAACAGTGTCTGTCACAGCGAGGCGCAGCTGTCCTGTGCCACCATATTGCAGAGTTCCAGACGCCGGTTCCTGACGGTCCAACATACCTGGTGAGGCGTTCATTAACGCCAGCCTAAAATACACCTGCTTTAGCCGAACATTACTATTCCGTGCAGAATACTTATGCAATACTTGTCGCTACTTGACGAAGGAACTCTTTGTACAAGGTATAAACGGCAATTTTTTTTATAGGTAGCCCGTCGTCATTCTCGATAGAAACAGGAGTGCAAATCACCATACTTTGCAGTATGTCCTTGGAGTTGGTTTATTGTCATCTGTGCCGGAGTTAGCATCTGAACTTGTCCTACATACCCACCCCCCTCTACTCCGCATACACGATAACCTTGTGGAACGGTGTCCTTAGGGCGATTGACTTCCGAACCACGCGGCACCAAACCTTCTTGAACTGTAACTGCGGGCTTGCTTGGGTGGGATAATAATGCCGCATTCTCTTAGCAGTGTACCTACCAGCTGGGTTCGCGATCTTTGCATTATCAGTCTATCGAAGGAGACAACCATGAATATGACAAAGTGGCAAACTAATGTTGCACTTCAGCTGGCGAACTCCACGAATATGACACCTCAAATATGCCCTGCAAAACCATGATCAACAACACAATAGATACGCAACAACACCATTGATAGATCAAGCCGAAGCCTCAACTAACAAGGTCTAAAGAGTAGCCCAAACGCCTTCCCATCCCTTGACCTTAACGCCATCACATATGCTATATCGAGACTGTCATGGCATGGCATATGACATGCATAATGGCCCATGATGGTGTTCAGTCTGAACACCACAAAGGATGCGGTTTAACGGCAACCAGTCCCCCCAAACCCCTTAAATGCTTTGCAATGTGACAAAATGTTTTTCACCTTTCAGTTGCTGCTTCCCTTGCGCTTTAAGCGCGGGACTTGTTGACCCAGCAGCTGCGCCCTGAATTCCAGTTCGGTAGGTGCATTCTCCTCCGCCAGTCTTCTGATCTCCCTCAATCTCCTCTTCCTACCCAGCATACCCGCAGTATCCTCATACTGCTGATCCTTGATACTTGGTGTGACCTGCAGTCCGTCCCTAAATAGATAGTCTGGGAGCTTCTCTGGGTCTTTCTTCACCTCGAGAGTCTCAATCCCTCGGTTTTGAATACCATCTCCCATGTGCCAGGAGTACGGGATTAAATGCTCCTTTTCCATGTGCTCTCTCCACTCCTCGTACGTAGCGAAAACCTTTGGCTCCGGTTGCTGCCCACACTTTTTCCACCTGCAGACATTTGGCGCACCCTTGTCTCCATGCACGAGGTAAACATGTCGACGTAATGTTTCCATGTTTTGTAGTTCGGCCGGGCATGTGCCTCCATGTTCTCCGCCCGGATACTCAAACGGGTCGTACCATTCGCAACCAAAGGCCGGGAATTTAGCCTCGTTTTTGAGGTACGTCTCTCTCATTGATAGTTCCGGCGCCTTGTTGGGACGGCCGCGCTTCTTGGCTCCAGCAGCGGCACCACTAGCAGTCCCCGATGGGGTGCCGCTGCCTGATTTAGGTGCTCCTATTGTGGCTGTTGTTTTCTTTGTTTTGTTCACTGCAGTTCATCAATGCGTGAGCAGACTTACCCTGAAACTCGGCCAAATGTGACATACCATTCGTTGAGCCCTTCGGTCTTCCACGACCCCGTTTCTTCGGCGGGCCCTCCTCTAGGATTTCCCGGTCCATGATAGCAATTGCTTCGGAGAGCTCTGCAGAGATCGGCTTGGGCTCGACCCTTACTCTGAAACGCGATTTGAGATTCATGTCGACCTCTGCATCTGGTAAAGTTGTTGTCGTCGGCGACTGAGCCGGTGTTGAACTGTAGGAAAATGCAAAGTCTGACAAATGTCGCGATCGAAGATGTTGTGGTGCTGTCAGGGGCATTTGTGAAGAAACCCGAGCTTCTCTATCGACCTTTGCCTGCTGGTTATGCGACCGCTGCAGAATGTCCGATACAACGATTGGTGCCGCTGATACCAAGTCTATTTCCCCATCTGAATCTGTTCCAACATCATAATCCATCTCCTCCCCCTCCTCCTCCTCATTCTCCTCGAGGCCTTCGCTGTCGAAAATCATCTCATAGTTGTCGCCCACTCGCATGGTGGCCATTGCAATAACTCCTCAGACCTCGTGAGTTAGTGGCCACCAAACGTTACTTCTTCGACCGACAGACCGAAGTTGGCCACCTGAGGCATGGATCAAGAAAAATCTGGAACTCAGGCGCATAATTTGAAATGCAAAAGTGGTAGGGACTCTAGAAAACTATGGGATATAATTGAGCTTCTAAGCAATATAAAATTCCAGATAATTGCATGCGGACGCGTAAGGGCGCGTCAGCGGCTCGGTTAACTGCATTAACTAGGATAACTACAATCACACACTCCTGGGTTAATGATTTTAACTTTAATTTCATTTCAAGTAATACTTTCAAGAGAAACCAAACTCGGATCCTTAACTCAAGCCATGTACGGTTAGTTAATGCTAATATTAAATGGGAGGATGCGGATTTCAAACATGTGGCGCCGATTGGCCAAGCGACTCAGGGTATCAACAAGCGAGTATTGAGGCCATCAAAGCCATGTGAATTCACCTAAGAGTATAGAGCGCGCAAGAGATACATGGTGGCTACTTGATTCATAATCGTTACGATGAATGATGTGTTGTTCTCGCTCATTGCTTTTCCACTGTTTTTCATGTTCGGCAATCAACGTCTGACGATGCACAAGAAATCAGAAACCACATATGACAATAAGGCCATTCCACAAATTGACAGGGTGTTATCTTGATTCATCATGAAGCATGCATAACAATATCATGCTCTTCTATATCCACTTTGGCCACTGCACAAATCTATTACCTCCACCACTGCCTGTTAATCAGCCCAGCTCAATATGAGGGGCGACAGGTAGGGGCATGCAGGAGTAGAAATGTCAGATGAATCGACAGCTGTCAGCCATCAAAAGGTCCGGTAGTGTTGTCGTTCTCGGCTTGCCCCTGATCGTGTTCCTCCCAGTTTTTGATAATTGGTTATCGTTGATGCGTAGAATGTAGCCAGAAACGAGCTCAAGCAACATCTTCAGCCTCTGGGGGATCAGTTATCTCAGTCGCCGGAATAGTCCCTACGCTCGAGTCCAGCGTATATCCTGAGGCCAGAGCTACTCGCTCCTCTTCTTTCCTTTGACGGATGGCCTCAGTCTCCTTACGCATCCTCTCTAAATTGAAAGTGCCATCATCATCATCCTCCTCCTCCTCCTCTTCATCATCTGAGCCATCCTCCTCCTGGAACCGCCAATCGCCACTTTCGAAGAGTGCACGACCGGTGGCTTCTTTGGCCTTCCGGGCTTGTTCCTCGGCAGCCTTCTTGTCCATACGGTCCTTCTTCCACTTGGCAAAGGACTCAGGCGTCACTGGTGTGAGCGTGCCAGTAAGCTTATGCCTCTCTGACTCCAAGAACTCTTCCAGTGTAAGGGTCTTCAAAGGAGACTTGTCCAACAAGGCCTTTTCGGCCGCACGCTGTTCCTTGGTCTTGAGCACGAAACTTGAGGGAGGTTAGCAGCAAATTTCCCAGGATGCTAAAGTATCTGACTTACCCAGGCGGGAGAGCGTGTTTATATTTGCATTGGTCGCCACCGTTTGGACATACCCAGAACCAACCGTATTTGCCGTCCTCGATAGCTGAGACGAAGAATTTGCAGACCTTGTCGGTACTGGTTTGTTGGTTGCCCTTCTTGGACATAACAACCTTTCGCAGCTTCTCCTCATCCCAGTCGGCTGATGTCTCTGCTTTCTTTTTCTCTTCTTCCTCAGCTCTGACGTCGGTGTATAGATTCTTTTTCTCCGTCTTTCGCTCTACAGAGAGGTCGTGAGAGAACTTGCACTTCTTGCCTTTCTCGCAGTCGCCCTTCTTGTAGAATATGCACACAACCGTCTTGGGATCGACACCGAAAGGTACCTTCTGGATTTGTGCTGGCTTGTTCAACAGCAGAGCGGCTTCACGTTGGGCATCCTCCTGGGCCTTCTTCTCTCGAGCTTTCTGTTCCTGTGCTGCCTGTTTCTTCTTGGCCTCGACACTGTTGCTCATGGAGGATTGGATCTGTTTGATTTGCTTCTGTGCCGCACCACCCTTTTTGTTCTTCATGCCAAAGGTCTTGTCCTCAAGGGCCTTGGCCCCCGTGGAGGGGGCCTTTTTCTTCTCCTCTTGTTTGCCTTTAGGAGCCATCCTGACGGTGGTTCGAAAGTTGTACGCGCAAAAGCGGCGGAGCGTCTAGGGGGGTTATGAAAGCTGTGCGGGGGTGATCACCCTCTGCCAATTGTTCGCCGTCGCGATGTTTCGAGGAATTGATCTTTCAGTGAGGCAAGTTTCTACTCTTTCCAGTGTGAATGGTGGGCTGTTAGTGGGCGGTGTGGGGCTTGTTAGTGAGATGCTGGGCTGAGATGCAACTGGAAGACCGCTAACGTTAGAGGGGCCGGGGCAAAACTACGTCAAGGTCTCTGGTCTGATTTTGATCATTGTTCAATACCTAACTTAGCCCCATAGGTAACTATTGTTAGCAGAGAGCAACGTCAACGACCGGCTGGCGGACAAGTGCACGGATCCCCTCCAGCAAAGTTCCCTATCTCAGCCACAGGTACGCTAATCTGCTTCACGGCCCGGCCATCAGAAGCTCCAGCTGGCCTTACTAACTCGATCACATCAAGCCGCGCAATCACCACACAACACCAACGGAGCCCATCCCATCACAACGTCGGACTGTAAGTGCGTTGAAGCTTCTCAAGGTAGATTCCGTGCTCAGCAATACACTTCTGAGTCAATTGGCTAACTGCAGTCTTCAGCGCAATTGAAATAACTCGCCCAAGGCTCTTGATCGAGGACGCCCCTCGCACATAATTCACCATGATTTCCGACGACGACTTGTATCGACTTGCCATCTTCCTTGGCGCGATCGCCATGGTCCTCATTGTTTTCTACCACTTCCTCGAGGTCAACTCGTCCGACAACCCTCTCGGCGAGAAGGCATCTACTGCCAAGCCAGTACAACAAGCGCCTGCAGTCGGAAAGTCATCGAGTATTTCCAAGTCATGAAGCTGGGTTGGATGGATGCTGGGAAGTAATGCCAGAGGGCATCTGATTTGTGCAAGGAGCGCTCTGGGGATACCAATTTTGCCATTGAAAAAGGGCAATATCGTACAGTTTATCAGTTCAGTAATCGTGGTAGAGCTCGCAGCCACTGAGTATAGTCGTTACTACGAGGAACACGGACAGGGAGGGCTGATGACCCACGGTAGGGTCAAAGGCTTTGGCGACATAGACAACCAATATCACAAATGGCACCACAGTATCAAGCGCATGCGCATGCTCTCATGTTTGTTTGTAGAAGACATCGTTATGGGATGGACTATTGCCAGAGACCAGCTTCTACATCTCTCAACACCATTCAGCCAGCACACTCTCTGTATTTTGAACAACTCTAGTCTATGGCTACAAGAAGAATCAACTTAGCAAATCCCATCAATATGTGTGCTTTTGCAGTTGTACTGGCTTGACGTCGTGTATTGGCCTACAGCTCCAGCGCTGCAAGGTGGCTTAGTCGGCGATAATCAATTCTGATAAGCCGAATGCAGCTTAGTGCATGAAACCCCCTGACGTCCCACTTTTGTTGGCGCTGGTGTTGGCGCGCCAGCCCCATTCTTTTTGCCTGCGGCTGCCTTCCTCAGCTTTTCGCGACTTCCCTGCTCTCTCTCATACTCCCTCTCTTTCCTTCGCGCAAGTTCACCAGCTCCAGCTTACACAACCAATTTCCTCAACCCTCGACTTCTCTCTTCAGCAATCGAGTTAACCACTTTTTCGACTCTGGTCATATTTTTCCCATAATCGTAAAACAAAAGCTTCTTTTTCTCTCTCTTTCTTTGCAAGTGTTTGTTTCCCCCGGTAGTAGCCAACTTGCACAGCCGCTTTCCTCAAGTCTCGCGCGCCTTACGACTCTGACAGAGTTCTTCATACATCTTTGCCACACAAGCTTCACCTGATTCTCACGCCCCAGCAACAGTTCAACCACGCGACGCTCTCACTTCATTTACCTGCCACTTTTGCGCCAATTCTTCGTGAAAGCTAAACACGAAGACAAGCTACACTCACACGCTCGCAAGAAGCGACCAGAGTTGTTCAGTACATCAGAGCATCACCTGAAGTAATCTACCCACACGCGTCAAACACCAACAACAAGATGTCTGGCAAGCTTGATCAGTCCCTCGACGAGATTGTCTCCACCCAGCGCAAGGTCGGCGGTCGTCGTGGCCGCAATCCAGCACGCCGTGCCTCCGGTCGCCCCACAAGCACGGCTCCCGTCGGTGGTGTCCAGAAGAACTCCAAGAAGCCACAGGCATCAGCGAAACAAGCTCCTGCCAAGGCTGCAGGAGGTCCCGGTGACAGCAAGGTTGTGGTTAGCAACTTGGTAAGCGCCGCCTCCTTCCATCTCGACCACCACAGCCGTACTAACAACTGTCTTAGCCCAAGGATGTGACTGAGTCACAAATCAAGGTATGTTTCCATTAAGGCTATCTTTTGCCGGTGGAATTTCATCGACATCCTCCTTCAATCGCGCGAGCAAATTTCTGCAACTTCCGCTCGACCGAACCATGAGTTTATGCTTTTAAACGGGTTCCTTTTGGCCGATCTGGAGCTGTCACGTTGCCCAGTCTCCTTCCACCATACACACGTACGCAAGTCTGCACTACTAGGTATCGGAAGTTGAGTAGGTCTTTGTCAAGACACATTTCATACGCTTCTGCGAGGTCTGGCACCCTCTGCATCGAACGTCGATCTGTGGACAAGTACGACTATGGCGCTGAAAGACATGCAACCTCCAAGGCCGGGTCCCATAGCTGAAAATGCTCGGGTTTCCTCTTCTCGACTTGATTGTCGACGTGCAACGAGCATAGCAGTGAGCACTAGCAGCAACGGGCATCCCTATATTTCAAAGGGAAGCGTATTCAATGCGTCTGAAGGGTTACTGCGGTGATACGCAGTCTCCTCAACACCCTGAGTACTCTTCTTCATCCACCGCAAGGTAGCAATTGTGCTGGATGTATTTGTCGGCGTTACTTTCGTATTTCGTTCGCTGGGTAGAAATACCTGCAATTCAATGGTGCTGCGAAGGCGCCTCGGATTCGTGGTGGTTGGTTTCTGCTGTTCAGCAATGTGAAAGCATGGGGTTGTCGATCATGGCGGTGATTACACCATGTGAGGCTTGAGGGAAATTTTGACACCACTAACGCTCACTGTGTGCTCGTTCATGATCTGCTACTACGTTTGCGGCCCAGGTGGGCCTATTCATCCTGATGTTGCCGGTCCATGGTCGAAGTTCGAATTACCGCGATAACGAAATTATCTCCCGTACAATTGCGAGTCACTAACATGAGATTCTTCCTCAGGAATACTTTGTGACCTCGGTCGGTCCTATTAAGAGACTCGAGCTCGCCTATGGTCCTGGAGGCGCAAGCCGTGGTGTTGCTACCATTACCTTCAGCAAGCAAGACGGCGCTTCCAAGGCCTTCAACCAGCTTAACGGACTCCTTGTCGACGGCAGGCCCATCAAGATTGAAATCATCGTCAGCGGCGACAAGGCTGCTGTGATTGCCCCCGCACCCAAGGGGTTGACAGAGCGCATCTCTCAGCCCAAATCGCAGCCCAAGTCTGCTGTTCCCAACAAGAAGAAAGAAGCAGCAGCTAAGGGTGCCGTTACTGGCAATGCCACTCGTGGTCGCCAACGACCCAGCCGAGGCAAGAGCTCTCGTCCCGCAAAGAAGTCAGCAGAGGAATTGGACAGTGAGATGGCCGATTACTTTGAATCTGGCACCCAGGGCGAGACAGCCAACGGTGCAGCACCGGCTGCCGCCGCCAGCGGAGATGCCGCCATGGAGGATGAGATTATGGTAAGCTTCTATCCAGTCAAGCCACCGTTCGTGGCATGGAGAAGATTTACTAACAATTTGCAGTAAAACAGAGTTTGTTTGGCGTGGGACAGGCATACTTCCTTCACGATCGTGAGAAGCCACGGGTTGACTTGTTTTCGTTGAAAGTGCCCCAACAACATGGAAATGCCTGTTTTGTTTGAGTTCACGCAATTGGTATCCGCGTACAGAATAATCACGCGGTATGAAGGACAGGTGAGGTGGGCTTCTGATATTTTGGGGGCAGCTTTATTCTCACCGTCTCTACTCGGACAAGGAATCAAATAAGCAATGAGGAGATGAACTTACAGCGTTTCGATTTGGTCTTGCTTGAAATGTAAATCGGAGACCATGAAACTATTCTTGGACCAAATTCGTTAATGTCGCTGCGTTCTCTCGCTGCTCAGCTCGGCTATTAGCAGCTCCAGTTATCAGTAATTTTCTATTTGTGATGAATGTGAATATTTTTACGGCACTATCGATTTGTGTTGGGCGAATCTGCCGAGTAAGCATTGCATGTGCATTGCTCGCAACATGAAATTATGTATTCAGGCCATTTAGGCGAGAACGGCTCTTTTAATCCTGCATACTCAGCTGCACGTTTGCTGGAAGGTGCGTCTGCAAATGCAGCTTCTGTGCCCACTGCAACATAACAATCCCGCTGTTTTCCGGCGTCCGTACCGCGTCCGTTCTTCAAACCTCTCGACTGAGCAATTGATCGTTCTCCATTGAGTCCTGACGTCCTTGATTCTGAAGTAAATGCTCACAAGCCGCCTGGTGTGCGCGGTGTCCCCCCTCTTATCTATCCATCGTACTTCGTGATTTCTTAAGCTACATGCCAAAGTCTCGGTTCTTCCAAGCTCGTTACAGATCTTGTACCACTTCAATGTTCATCTCGACAGAGTCACAGGCTCTTTGCCCGGCTCGAGCACCTTGTTTGTTTCGGAGATGAATCCCATCAATAAAACGACCGAACGGTGTGCCCCCACGATCTCGAACACTTTCTCGAGGATAGACCCCAGTGGCGCCTGTACTTCTCGCAAGGCAGGCACATTTTGCTTGCTGCCAACCACGCCCGTTGACCTTTATGCTACCCTATATGGAAACAGCAGCATCGACGTTATCCCTCAAAATATGTGCAATTTGCACCAGCTCTGGTGGAGAACTGGCTTCGGAGGAAAGGCTCATGTCGCTTCACGGCTTCCGTTTCTCACTTGATCTCCAGTTCCTTCACGCCCTTAGTGAGCTCCGTCATTTCTACACCGAAATTGGAGAAGACGTGGTCTGCACCTTCGTTGTCGCCTATGTCGCGCAAGTACTTCTCATAGTCGGAGCATGCATCGACTGCCCAGTCGCTGCCGGCACCAAAGGTTTTGGAAGCGAAACTGATTCGCCTGTATGACGCATCGCGGATGAGTTCATCGTTGCCTTCCAAACGACAAATCAAGAAGAGTGTATCGAGACCACCTGCTATGGTACGAACACGGTCCATGTGGGTTGCTAGGAGTTCTTCTATGGTATCTCGTGCCTCGCTATATCGGGCAGCCATCATCAAGACTTGTGCCAAAGCCATTCCTACGCGCCCGTTGTCGGAATCGCGTGGCAGGGCTCTGACTTTCGCCTCTGCCACACCAATGTCGATCAAGCCAGACACAGCCAGATTACGTATGGCAAAGACAAACATACTCTGGAGAACCTGATTATTTGGAGGGAGATATTTCTCAAACTCCGAAAGCTGAGCATCGAATATAGCCCTCGCATTTTCTTGCATTCCAGCAAACCCCATCTGATCGAGCGATGCCATGATCTGGTGAAGCGGATGAAATGGGCCCTGCAAGATACGGGACAAATTTGAGATGTATTTGACGAACATGGCGATAACTTCCGGATAACCGACCATGAGGAAAAGAGCTACGGTCGTATAGAGCATCAACCGAGGGTCTTGTGCAACTATCATATCTTTGTACTCGTCGAAGCAAAGCTGTAAAAGCTTAAATCCTTGCTGCGTATGCCCGCCAGCCAGCGCCCCTCGTGCTAGAGCCATTCGGTTAAACCAGTCGACCACAGCACGGTTCGTATTTAACCATTCTGGCGAGTCCAGAGCCCAAATGCCCTTGTCGAACGCACCGGCGGTGTATCTCGTGATGTGGAAACTGCATTCTTCCGGATACAAAAGGTCGGCTGGCGGTGTAAGAGGGAATAGGAAGGAAACATTAGCCAACGCTGTTGGCGAGGGAGCACGACAACTGATGCCAGTCGGAGGTGGTGTGAGTCTCTGTAGTGCGGAGACCACCATATGGTTTGGTGTCTTCACGACAACAGGTTCAGGTTCAGGTTGACGGCGAGGAAGTCGGCCCCGTCGACCATCTGTCTTGCGCGCACGGGAACCCACTAGGGCAGATGAGTTCGTGGGCTTCGAAGCAGGTGCCCGTACAGTCTGCTGACGGATGATTTCATTCACTTCTTCATATCTGTAATTCTTCCGAAGTCCCCATTGCTTGAGACGCGACTTATACATTCTCTCTCTTTGCATCCACTGTCAGCTTCTAGAAGCTTTCGAAACCATCTTAGCTGGAGGCTGGCTACTACATCCGGAGCTCACGCGGGCCCCTTTTAGGAAGGTAGGTCCGCCAAGAAAAACCCGCTCCAGCGGGAAGGGGCAGCACTTACGTCGCGATGAACTTATGGTCTTTTTCCATGGTGTCCATGATCTTTTTGAGGGTCATGTTTTGGCCTTCATACAAGGCCGTGATGGTGGCGCGGTGCGTCGCCCAGTCGTGTGGTGTCGCCCAAGTTCCCCCTCCCGGTGGCGGATTAGTAGTATTGGAGTTCGCCATGATGGCGATTCTCATTAAGGGGACTCACGGCCCGCCTGACTGGCGTCCAGGGGAAGTCTGAAGGATTGAAAAGCATAAAGTTCAATAAGGCTGCGAGATTTCCCTGCTCCCCAACGAAACGACAATAAGCGGGACAGAAACCCGTGGATTCACTTCCACTCACTCGGTGCGCATCTAGCCGGCGAATGGAGGAAGGCGAAGACGTCAAGTGTACCCTGGCAGCACACGATCCGACGCTCGAGCTCAACACTGCCCTTCACCTACGTGGGGAAGGCCTGGATGTGGGCGGATGCTGCCGGTGTTGGAGTACGCCGAAGTGGGAAAAGCTTCCCCCACGGCGTTGAGCCCCGAAGAGGTATAGTGCCTGATAACATCATACGCAAAGTACGAGAACACCGCTGACATGCATAGGTTGGAGATAACAAAGTGGGTGCCCTGTTACCATGTCTTTTTATAACCTGTCATTCTTCGTATCATCGACCGGAGCTCATAAAAATGATTATCAGCCCCCGCGGCGTTACATGTATCCGGTGCCGTTGCACAACAGCGGAGGACCAAGAAATGAGTCCTTGAGGTACAGAAAGATTTCCATCTTGGACTTGAAGTTGGAGTAGCGATGTTATTAGCGCGTGCCCGTGGAGATCCTACCAACTCAGTTACCTAAACGACCTGCAAAGGCGTGATTGCAGGTGCACGGACCGGTATCACGTTATAGAAGGATGCAAAGAAGCTTGCGAAGGGTGGTATAATGCGACACGCTATAGCGTCTTGGCCCCGCTTCCAGAGAGCTGTTCTGCACGAAATGCGTCTGCGATGCCCTTCACGGGGAAATCGTCAGCACACGCCTCGTCGTTGGTGAGCAACGGTCTTGTCTGCGAGCGAATCATTGATCAGATTGCAATGCAGCTCAATCAACATTCTCCTCCTAATGATACCTTGTTCCCCTGAATGAGTGGGTGTTTGTTGTTATCTTGCATTAGCTTAACCGAAACACCACTATGCAAGGGGACGAATCGAGCTGAAACTTCACGTGAAGAATCATCTCAATTACCAACCGAGGAAACTCAACGTGAAGTCGCCTTGCATTTGTTGCCCGGAGTCTTATGGTACGGGGGCGTGGTTCCCGCAACAACCGGCATCATGACATCCAGCGATAAATTGATGGAATGAGACAGTAGGGGTTCTACCTACTCAAAGGGACTTGAGTCGAGGATCTCTGGCTCTCGGCTGCAGTCGGGGATGTCAATTGCCCGCCCTGGAGCCACAAGGAAGGCAGCTCGAAGCGGCTCTTTTAAATGCTTGTTTCTTCCAATGCTCAACTGTCGGCAACTTTTGGCAGTATTTTGAGATGAAAAGGGGCGAGAGGCACGGCTAGCCTCTGCCTCAAACGGCTATCCCTTGCTTTTGATCTGCCAGGCTGCAATTATCCGTTCAGCTAACCCACAAGTGCACAGCTTTAGTCACAATTGCCGTGCCTCGACTCAAGATTCTATCTACTCGAGACAACGGTTCAAGAACCGCAGCTTAAACTCTATTTCGCCTTGCTTTCTCGTGTGTTACGAGGACCTCTTATATTCCAGTTCCACCCAAGATGGTTATTTACGCTGCACTTATTGGTTCCGCCACAAGCTTAGCATGTAACAACCTGTTCTCTGCGACACTACTAAGTGATTTCGAGGGATGAAATGGAGTTATAATAGGAAAAAGAAAGAAAACAAAAGTGATGAGATCATATAGGACCACTGCCATGCATCCAGGTGGGCTGAGGAGGTCTACTTAAGAGACATTACTTCGAACTCACCATTAAGTGGGAGCTTTGCATCATTTAGTCCCCAGAGCAGAATACGGAACTTTGCGATATATTTCAAAGTGCTGAGATGCTTTCATACGCCATCTTGACAGCTCTTGCGGTTCTTCCGTTCACGTTTGCAAGTCCTCTTGAACACTCTGCACTGGTTTCTCCGCGAGCTGTGTCGGGAACTTCTACCTTCTATGGCGGTAACCTCAATGGCGGAACATGCTCTTTCACCACCATGTCGTCTTTGCCCTCTGGAATCTATGGCACGGCCTTTTCAGGCTCCGGCTGGAGTAATGCTGCTAACTGCGGTGCTTGCCTTCAAGTCACCGGGCCGAACGGCAACTCCATCAAGGTTATGGTGAGTCTCTCCGTCACTTCAGGGGGTCCGTCTCTTTTGGTTCAAGCGCACCAACTTACATTACCCCCCAGGTCGTAGACAAATGTCCTGAGTGCGAGACAGGCCACCTGGACCTCTTCCAAGACGCCTTTGCGAAGCTCGGCTCCATCTCCGCTGGCAAAATCGCCACCTCTTATGCGCCCGTCGCCTGCGGCATCACCTCCTCGCTCGTCCTGCACAACAAAAGCGGAACCAGCAAGTACTGGTTTAGCATGCAGGTCGTAAACCACAATCAACCTGTCTCCAAGCTCGAGGTCTCCACCGACGGCGGCTCCACCTGGCAGGCTACCACGCGGCAGGACTACAACTTCTTTGAGAAGAGCAGCGGCTTTGGCACCGATACCGTGGCTGTGAGGGTCACCGGCTCCAATGGCAAGACTGTAGTGGTCAAGAACGTTAGTGTCGCGAGTGGTGTGTCGGTCACAGCTAGTGAAAACTTCTGAGGATCTGCAAGTTTATCAATATTAAGTGTGGGTGAAACAAGTCGAGACTATTAAATTCAAATATTTTGCTCAAATTACAGTTCTAACCAAAATAAATGCAGCCATCATCCAGATTGAAACACTTCAAAATCACTATCAAGTGTTTTTTTCGTATTACTGCAAAGGCCAGTTCTAATTTGACTGCCCTGGCACACTCTGCTGTCTGAGCTTTCTCGTCAAGCTCGTTGGCTGCCAACTTAGCTTTCTTTGTGTCTAGGCGCTTCTTGACTTGCATAGCAACACCAGTGTTGTCCGACTCTCTGATATTGCATTGGCTGACTGTCTTGGAGCTGTTACGAGTAACAAATCACCAGTTTTAGTGAGCTACCATGTTCAATTGTGAGCGCACTTTGTACTTGGCCTCCACTCCAGATTTATATAGACTCGCTATTGCCAACGTAGTTGCTTTATCCGTAAGTGCTAAACACAGGCTCCAATATACACAACCGAATAGTTCCCGGTATCGATGCCAAGTCTATATAATACGACGAAACCAAAATACATGTAACCATGGTCGTGGTGGCCGAGCCGATGAACCGAACAAAATCCCAGCTAACGGATCGAAGTAGTGGGACGACGTTACCGTCCGCGGTGGGAGGCAGTCGAAATTATTGGCAAGGTGAAGGTCCTAACCGGCAACAGCATCCAGCCAAGACTGCCATATCAGATGTCTGATGTACCCATCCTGTTCGACCTGCTCGTTCAGCCTGCCGATATAGTGCTGCTCGTCCGGTTTATACACGAGGTTCTCTAACACGGCGACCAGTTCTTCCAAGCTGGGCCTGTTCGCCGGATCCACCGTAAGACACCAGCATACCGCGTCGATTAGTTCGGCGTCCGCCACGCTCACGTATCGCCTGCTGTTGCTGGTACCTCTGCTGGCATAGGTCTCGACGGGACCGTCGTCTGAGGCATACACGAGCTCCACATCTGCTCCCTGCTGTCTGCCGCATCTTTGATAAACCTCTCGTTGCCTGGTAGGGCAACGAAGTATGACATGAACTTTTTAATTTATTTTTATATTCTTTATACTAATATAAAATTTTGAATATCTAGAACAATTTCCGTAAAACTGGGGCGGGAAAAAAGCAGAGGCATAGGTATAACTCACGATACCGATGTTGAGTATGTTCTTCGCCGTTGCCGCGTTTTTCTTTCGGCCCCCCGGATACACCGGGTCATTTGTTGGAAAGAAAGGAAAATCAGCATCATCTAGGGCCGGGTTCTTGCGCACGATGTAATCACCCTCAAGTTCGGCAAGATGAGCTGATTATAATAATTTGCCACGGCCTCCGCGCCCGGTGCCTCTGCAGTGATTTGGTTACCTGCCTGGTCCCAATTGATCACCTTCATCAGGGGGCTACGAAGCTATGCTCGGCTCTCCAGGGATCGAACTCTGCTGTTACCACTGCGGTGGTGGCGGAGGGTCAATTAGTACATATGACGCTAACATGAGCTGGTGAGCCCATGGAAAAGTGTGTTTCTCGGTTTGTTCACCATTGCCCCGGTGAGGGTCGTTACACGTCAGATCGGCGGGCGACACAGCAGGGTCTGGATTTACCTGATCTGGCGAAGCGACATAGACTCCCTATTGAATATTGCTAGGTACACTGGCGATCGGCGGATACGCCATGGCGGCGCTGACGCGGGTGATTACTATTGAGAGCCTGTCAGGTGAGAGCTAAAGGATATATGGGGTATAGTTGGCGATGAATGAGTGGGCGTTTACCTGCGACAAAGGAACATGGAGTATAGGACACGGTTGGGGATAGGTAACCCTTCAGGCCTGGAGCGCCTCCATAGGTTGCCTAGGTTGCCACCGAGCAGGAAGTCCATGATGACCCAAGGTGTGCCGGTAAATCGGTCGTCGGCGACATTGGTCATGTCGATAACGTGTTCTGAGAACTTGAGGGCCTACATGGTTATAGATATCTGTTAGCCAAGGTTACAACATTGAACTTGTCTTGGTAATTAGTTTGTAATGCAACGAGCTCAGAGGGGAGGAAAAAGAAAAAAGAAAAAGAAAAAAAAGAAGAAAATCTAAAAGGCCAGATAGTTTGGAAGACCGACTCTCAAGGCGTTGATTGTCTGCGTCCTGGGACCCTGGGCGCAGAGCTAGATCTTGGCGACGAATTTCACCCTGTATACTTTGTGGATGAATCGCTTCACTGCCTACATACACCAGGCATAGCATTAGCCACCATCACGACACAGAGAAGATTGCACGACTTACGCCGGCCAAAACAGCTCCCACATCGCATTCAAATATGTAAGGGCTGTCATGTGTGAAGTATCTGTTGGCGACAGTAGCGGCGTTTGCGATCATTGACATCTCGCAAGAGGTGCGATCTTGATTTGTCGCCTAACTCGCAAGACCAAGATATTCGCTTGACGGCTGCATCCGGAGCACTGATCATATTTGATGAATTAATGATAGAGTGTTGTCTGGGGGCTCTCAATTGGATTATGCTGCGCAAAAAATCTGATCGAGCACTCGCTGAGGCAGCAACTTGCGACACCCGTATCACGCTTGAACAATGGAACATGGTTTAGTGATTGGCCTAGCTATAGTCATGTACCAGCGGTTCTATGACGTATATACAACTGCCAAAATCTGGTTGTCTATTGAGTAGGAGTGCATTCCTAAACTCTCTTGACCTCTTTCTCTTTGCCCTTGCCCCCTTCTATTACCGGCGTTGGCATCCTGCTTGGCATCCAGAAGTCAAACCTTTCCGGGAACAATACCATGTTAGCAATTCGCGCAACGTCTGCCTCCGTAGCCGAGATCTTGTCTTCCGACTTCACAGTTCGGTCCGTCAATCCATTTATGATGAACGTCTCAATGTCTTCGGTGGGAGTACCGGATTTGGATTCTGCAGGTGTGCCCATCTTGGATTCTTCCACCTTGGACTTGTCAAAAATCCAAGGCGCTAAACCCATGGCTTGTAAGCCTTCTTCACCTCCCACTTCCGCGATATCCTTCTCATCGAGCCTGCCTCTATGGGGCGCCTCGCTCCCCAAACCACTACCTGTACTGTCGAAGTCAGGGGCAGGTGTTCCACGTAAGAATGCTTTCCGTTGCCTTGCGAGGAAAAGCGCATTCGTCTGGGTGAGCGGCGCCGCAGGAGTATAGACCAGCATTGACAAGCTCGGCGGAGGTTTTTCAAAAGCGTAGGGCTGGTCTGGGTGCCAGACAATGTAGTCGCCAGGCTGCAACGTCGGAGGAGCGACTAGGCTTGCGTTCAGATTCAGATGTGGATGCCAGTTGTCTGTGACTCGCTGCGCATGGCCAGGAACTGCACCGTGGATAATTGTCGATTGCTCTTTTTCCAATTGCCAATTTGACGCATCTAGGTAGGCTTCCCATGCCTCTGAATCCTGGCTGCTCTCCGGAGGTGGCTTTATGGCCGAGAAGAACGGGCGCAGCAAGAAGTATGCTGTTGCGAGCTTGGGTGAGGGGAGTAGCCTCACCATTCCGGGCTCAACAGTTGTCAAGGCCAAAATGCCTTGAAACATGCGGAACATGCTGCAAGCACCTGCACCATTATACAAATCAATGGTAGCGTTGATACGACCGGTTGGGTCCCAGGGGTTGTATTTCTCCCATTCACCTTTCCAAATAGCATCGTAGCAACCACTGTGGCCGTATCCGTCAATTTCCCACCGCTCTAGACTGCCATTATCGATTTGTGCAATGAGCTTCCCGGCTGCAGGAGGTAGAGAATCCTCCAGGTTAGGCCCGTTACCGACGTTGAGGTCGCTTGTGGTGTCGGTGTCTATTCGAATACGATCGGCATAGCATATAGGAAACCTTGTGGCCAACCTGTCATCGTCGGTAGTTTCCCAGATGGACATGGCAAACTTCTGCGCCTTGAGCACCTTTGGGTGGGCTCTTGCGCGCACTTGGCAAGGCGACCAGAAAAAGTCGTAGCAAGTAGGGTCCTGTGCTGGGGGAGGCTTGAACTCGTGTTTTGTCTCGAGGTAGTGCTTCGTTTCGTCTACCCAGGCCTTCGCATCTGACGGCGCGACAACGCCTCGCACCACTCCAATTCCATAGCGCTTGACATGGTTGGTGAACTGCGTGACTTTTGTCGAGGCGTCAATTTCGGCAAAATCAATTGATGGTATTAAATCAGTACCGCCAGCCTCGATATGCTTGATTTCGTCCCGAAGCGCAGTCAGCAGTCGGCCCCAAGATGCTTCAAGTGCGGGTTCGTGGCCGGCCACTAATCTACGCTTCAAGTGACCGAAACGCGATGGCAGCGGGACGGGCTTCTCGCCGTAGAAGGACAAGACAGGGGGCTCCATGGTCTTGGTAAAACTGCGCTGCCTTTGCTTGGAGGTTCTTCCTTCTGCCTCGTCTCTGCTCGAGCCTGGACTCCTGACTCGCTTTGGCCTGGAAGTTGCGTGTGCAAATTGCGCCTGGATTCTCTCAATGGTAGCAGTGGTTGTGGCAGCAGCGGTAGTTGCTGTCGCAGCGGACGACGCTGCCGACGTTGGTTTCGACATGCTGCTGGCTACCGGCGCGCTGAGTGCGGGGAGCACAGCACTGCGCTGTGCTACCACTTCGGCTGTGGACATGATTGCCTTTTTCCTTCTCGGCGACTGGGAGCAGCCAGGCTAGCTTGCGTCGTCTGATCAGTCAATGTCAAAATGTGATGCCCAGCTCGGCCACTCAGATTCCGTTCCTCCCACTCTTTCAGACGCAACGCGCGCAGCAGGCCCCGCGGGGTTGTGCAGGGTCTAAATACGGCAAGGTCTTTGGGCTTGCGAGAACCTGGGGTCTGCTGGAGACCGATAGCGTCTTGAGGAGGCCATGCTACTGGAGCGCGTGGTGAGCGACCGTTGCGGCAGCCCGGCCCGACCTGGCATTCACGCGGTGGACCTGGTTTAGATTGAGTCGGCCCATTGCTCCAACGGCCCTTCAGCAGCAGAGCTAAGCCCTCCTATTGTTCTAGCGCTCGCCTGGCGGGCTGACCGCAGGAGTCTCCAATTGACCGCTCCCAGTTGGCAGCTGTTGCTCTCGCATGCTGGCCTCATGCTGGGCTCCATGCTGGCCTCCCATGCTGGATCGTGCATTAGATTGCAACCAACACGATCCCGTCTCGCCTACGGGCGCGAGGCAGGGCAATATTGCTCCTTGGTTGACACGCTGGGCATGATTGGTCGGAAATATCCCCCGTAAATTCTCCGTCACTTGTCAATATTCAGCCAGTTCTTGCCGGCCAAGAAGGCCCAGTGTCCATATGGAGACAGATATTGTGCGACGGAACCGAGCATGTGGTGGAAGAGGAAAACATGCTCAACTCCGACCCCTGTTAAACCAGAGTACCAAGTGGATATTCCCCCACGTGTGTTGGACGCGGCTCAGAAGGAACCTATCAGTGGAGCTGTCGATATGAATTCCACTTCCGACACCGAGTCAAATGTTTGGATCTCGAGATCGGTAGCCTGGTCCTAGGAGTTTTGTCATCCGTTGATAGTGATTTCATTCCTTTGGAGATATTTCAGAGTTGCACCTACTCTGTGGAGATGTGACTCTGAACCACCATGTCCCTAGCCAGCTACGATAGGGCGCTATGTATGATCTTCAAAGCGGCTACCCGCTGCAGTAATTAGCGGGCACTTATAGGAAACTCCCCCTCGCAACACAACCACGACCGAGGCGTGAGAAGAAGCCGACCACAACAGGCCCACCATGTACTGCTGGGAACCGGGATCCGTAGGTTTCCAATGCAGACATGCAGACATGCATCCATCTGAAATGACAAAACCGAAGATCTTCCATGCAAGTCAACAAGCCTCAGGTGTGCATAGAAATATAGATCTAGACCCAGTTGGGTTCGGAGCTCCTTGCCTCAATTCCGGGTAAAACGGGGCACTTGGGTGAGGACCGGCGGGTGCGGCATCGAGCTTTCCAGCTGCCCAGGGCTTCAAACAGGCTAACTTCTTTCGGCCATGTTGAGTCTGATTCTATCATGTCTATATCCTAGTAACATTGTTGACGGCCAGATTAGAGTTTTATGATATTGGCTTTAGAGAAACATTGGCAAATTATTCTCCGCTCACCGAGTCCGTCACCTTGAACTACTGTCTAGTTGTTAGCGGCGGCCCGGTGCCCTCGAGACCGTACTTGGCGACCAATGTACCTCAAACCAGGAGGATTATAGTGCCATCACGACTGCAGAACTCAGCCGGATATCTCAGTCGATATTTGCCGGTAGCCTTCGTCAGGGTAAGCGAATCGGCTCAAGTCTAGTGAGCAGGTCACGCGCCTGTCGTTGTCAAACATCCTTGATAAAACGGACAGTAGCGCTCTTGTTGAAAGAGGTTAGCTTTCACCATGGGAGCAGATCTGAAGAACCTGTCCAATCGAACTCATGTAACCCGTGAGAAATACTGTCCACTGATGATCAGACCCATCACTGAAATGCACAAGTCCATCATCTTCCCGTGTGAACCTGCTGAGGCTCTGTGGAGCTGCTTGTTGGAAGGGTTGTCTCAATGTCGCAATGCATAGGCCCGAAAACACGTATGCAGACCCGTTACCAGATGACGGAGTGTCCTTTATACTGTTCTGTTTGTTCATGTCTCAATTGGTGGGAAATATTGACTGAGAAAACCGAGCGTTACTGATCTATATCATGGCTATGCTCGATAGGGACTCAGCATGGTCTCGTTTGTGACTTGAGGTTGTTGGATGAGATGGGGAAACGGTGCTAGAATTGTGTCTGTTCTAGAGTTTAACACTCGCTAAGTGTCAAATTGATGGCACGGAATATCGTCTCCGTAAATCTCGATCGATTTGCTTGAGATATTAGTGTCAGAGCAGAACAGGATAAAACTGGGGGGCATCGGATCTGGGAATTGAAACTATCGATTTCGATAACACCATAGAATCTAGCATGGTCGCAACCCCAACAGTTTGATCATGGAATGCAGGGAGTCGGGATACCTCCGACCGAATGACACCTCCAATACAATGTCCTGACTGGGATACTTTGGGTTATACTTGCTTTCGTTACCTTCTCAACATAAGATGGTCTCCACCCTTATCCGCTTAGGCTTCCTTCCAAGAACAGGAGAATATCAAAGATGAGCATTTTTCGGCCCCAACACATGTTGTGTTCCACAAGCACACTCCTGTCCTTGCCAAACATGCCTTGTGACATTATATGATATTTGGGATACAGCAGAGACCCCAGTTGTGAGGCGTAGCTCTTCAAAATTTGATTTTCCAGAAGATTACTTGAGAGTGACGGAAGGTTTGACTGTTGAATGATTGTCAAGCGATCATAGTCCCTAAATCCCATAACATCATCTCAACTCACAAATTTCCTTCATGTCACACATTCCTCTTTTCAAAGGTCCAATTGCCAATAATTTCTATGCTATAATACATAAAGTCAAGGGCCTTCTTTCTTTAGGGCTTTTGATAACGCTGTACGCTTATCAGTTTTCCTGTCCATTTCCTAAGTAGTGCAAATCACCCGCTATTCGTTACCAAGGGCTCCGCACAGAATCAGACATTGGCAGTTTGCGGGATTGAGAAGCTGAGTGGAAGCTATCAGTATGTATGCAAATACCAGCTTCACAAGACCAATCTTTGTCCATCAGTATGGCGTCATTATACCTCTAGCCCAGGCGTATAATACTACGAATTTAGTGCGGACTTCATAACCGCTTCCTCCTTTTCTAATCAGGGAACAACAGAGAAGTCCTAGTATCGGTGTGATTTGACAATGCACCAAGCTGTGGATGCAATGTTTATGCGCAGTGTCCTGAAGTTTTGTTACTGGTAGTGGAACAAAGTCAATCTTATCCTACAGTATGTCGTTCACTTTCATCCCGGCAATAGCTACTCGCCTACCGGACCCAGACAGTTCAACTGTTATTCTAGCTTGTAAGAATCGAAAGCCCAAGTAATATATCTACCAAGGATACGTGGATATTTGTGTCTGCTACTCGCCCAATCTGCGGTAAATTCATATACAAAGCCTTGACACAGCCACTCGTACAAAATTCCATGCCCTCATAAGTCATCGATGTCCGTATCGTTCATCAAGATTACTATGCATAATGACAGGTAATTATATACACCATAGTCTTCAGAGTTGATAATTGTTTCTGCGATGTGGCTGTAAGGGTTCTTCAGGAACATGACAGAAAAAATTCACGAGGGTATAGTTCCCCTAGCGGGCAACATATGTTTCTGAGATATCGATAAAGACAGCAAAAAATACTCCGAAGACTGCCTACTATTCTATCTCAAGCATGTATTCGTTACTCGTAGGCATGAGCTGAACACAATCTGTCCCAAATAGCGTTGCCACTCTCGCTTGTTTTGAGAATCCAGGGAAAAGAAAGCATTTGTTGAACAGGTGGTGCACCCGTAGACATCAGGGGAAACGCTATGGGAGAGGTCGTATTACGTACACCTCTTATCACAAAGTCATCTGGTTGATGCCTTGTTGACCATTTCGGAGGCTATCTTTGTGACGAAGATTTGAGCAATCTCGCAGTCTACGATACCAAAGTCCGTGGAGGGTATGATGGTCGGATATCTGGAGGTGGATACATCGATAGTTTTGCATACACCAAAGATGAATAAAAAGATTAAAGGTCTCATCATTAACAAATCTTAGACCCAAGGTTTTCACGTACATGGAGACTCAGGCCGTTGGTGGCATCAAACCTGAGACGCCAGCAAAGTAACATTCATAGGTATGTGATGGTTACACTGAAAGAAAGTTTTAAAATGCGCTGTTTCATTGTTGCGTGGTATTGTACCCATGGTGACTTAGACGTCTGACTGGACCCTATTAGTAAGAATTTAGGAAGTCGCCCACTGCCCCAATCCAGTGTTATCCTTAGAGAATTGGATCATGAAAGTGACGTGGCGACATGTACCACTCGTATATTAGAACATGCCGCTACAATTTCCTCGTTGCTCCGTAGGGGACTACAGCTTTCTCGAGTACCAATGATGAAACCTTTATACTACGAAGGATGCGAGAACTTCGCAGCAATAATCATCTAAAAAATAGACATGCGGCATCATATGAAGCATCTCCAAACGTTTCTTTCAGTTTCTTGTAACGTAAGTGCCTATTTATTTCATAATCAATATTTGTTTGGGTCCAATTCTCTCTTGGTAGACGGCGGAGCAGGGGAGAGTCTTTGCATACTGCAGAACTTTCTTTTCGAATACGAGTTGAAGTCATTAGTACCACCTCATAATTCAGTACTACAGTCCTCTCGAGGCGATCAGATGTAAGCTCTTTTGGTACCCTTGGTCGATACTTTCTGATAACCGTGTAACTCTAGAGCAAAGTGAAAAGGGGTGATACTTTGCCGCGTCTCAAGACAAATAGCTCTTGGCTTTGCGGCGAAGCAGAATGGTGCTATGCATTTCGGACCTCGCGTTGATCTCACCGGCTCGGGTACGGTAGTGAATTGAAATCCTGGCGAGAACCGAGACATTTGACTCCCCAAAGCAAACCCCGGTCAGCCCCAAGCGCTTTCAGAACCCTTTTGAGGAAAGTGGTGGTCAATATCGCCTCACTTCGGCTGGAAAAAGTATCGAGCTTGTCAAGAAAAATAAACGTGCAAAACTTAGCAAACATTGAATGGCAAACGAGGAAGTCAAATGCGAGAGCGAGACGACGACGACCCGGTACTCTGGCACCGGTGTGCTAGTGCACGAGCCACATCTGGGGGTGCTTCCTTGCTGGGTTGCAACAGAAAACCCCATGCCACGAGCTGGGGAAAGTCGTCTTAACTTCAACTGTTGCTTAATAGTCTTGTCTTAATTCGATGGCCTCATGTACACTGATTACATGCCCTACTCGATCTTGGTCCTAAGAAGTATCTGAACTCTGCCACGAGTTCTTCTGACAACTGCTATTGGACAACGGGCTCACCAGTTTATACTCAGGTCCACTAAAAACACATTCGCATCATGATTCAATCTTCACAACCACGTAAAAGGCCAACGGCCCAGCCCGAAGACTGGGAGGCCCACAAGGACTATATTCGCCACCTTTACCATGAACTTGACAAGCCTTTGAAGGAGGTCGCGGAGATCATGCGCGCGAAATATTCTTTTCATGCAACGTATGTTACCCAAGCTCAACCTTTGGTGTAGTGATGGGTCATGGCTGGAGAAAGCTGTGTCGTTATGTGGAAATCAATAGGAGAGTCGGCAGGGAACACTAACACATCGCGCCAGTCAAAAAATGTACAAATATCGCTTCCAACAATGGGGACTGCGAAAATACTTGAATGCAAACGAGTATGAACAAATACGGTACAAGTCGGCCGTGGGCGGAAACGTCAGGCTGCCGGTGGTGCGAGGTCGCGAGCTGGGCTCGAAGCGATTGAAACACTCCGTAACCACGGAGAACCGTCTTCGCCAGGTGCTGGTGCCCTCTCGCTCCCCGCTCCCGGGACGAATCGACCCGCCAGATGCCCTGCGCAACCTAGAGAACATACTTCATGCCATGGCGGTCTACTCGAACGGTAAGTTCGAGAAGGGGGAGTGGGGGTTCACCAATTACGACCCGGAAGAGTCGTTCACATGTAGCTGGTGGCACGGCATGGATCTCATGGCACGGAGGATGCTCGAGAAACATGACCTTGAAGCAAACTTCTATCTTCTAGACAAGTGTTGTGAAGGTTACAGGACACTGCTGAGGGTCCAGGATCCGTTACTCCTATGGGGCACCTTTTTTGGCCTCATGGAGCTGTCTGCCGTTGGAAATGACATCGCAATGTCCTTTGCAAAATTCGTGGTCGAGCTCTGTAGGATCGAGTTGGGACGCTATCACCCCATGACAACTCTTCTGGCTATTCTGATGAAGATAGGTATCGGGAGTCCACGCACCTACCATACAGTAGTCACGGTTTGCGACGCACAGTTCGATGTCTTCTGCAACAACACCAGCCCGGGAGACCAGTTTTGGCCCCTGTATGCACGACTTATGGTAAGATCTCTGGCGGGCGCTGACATCACTATGAGCCACGACACGGTGGCGAGACTGGAAAGTGTGATACAATGGAACAATTACAATCCCGGCCCGGATATGAGGAGGTACGAACGGCTGTTCACCTCGACCCGGTCGTTCCTCGCCATCATTTACATCAGGGCCGGGAGGCACGGGGACGCGGCATACGTTCTTCGCGAGATCGAGGATTGCAACGACAGAAGCAAGAACCCGAGCCATTATCTCGCGGTGAACATTGCTGAGCTCCGGGGCAACAACGACGAGTGGGCAGGAAGATCCACGAGCGCGGAGGATCATTTCAAAAGAGCGCTGACACTCTTGTCCGAGATGAACCCGACCAAAAAGCGGCAAACCCGCCTCGCTGTTGCCTACAGGGTGCTGGAGAGCTTCTATCAACGCAGTGGAAACGAGGAGGCTGTGTTGAGGGTGCGACGAGAGCATAATGACCAACTGAAGGCAGCCATGAATAGACCTACGGCCGCGAGAGTAGGCACTACTGAATGCGACGGGTTCGGCTGCGGAGACTCTAGGCGGCTCGTTTGCTTGGCGTCGATGGGCATTCCACAAGGTCACGACATTCAAGATATCCAATGTTACCCGGGGTACCAGATCGACCAGACCGTCCCAAAATAGATCGCCACACTAGAGCATAGTGCATCGGACAACATTCCATTTGCAAAGACAAGGATTTTGACTTTGCGGATATCCCCAAATGAGTGGTGGGCCAGACCGAGGAATGAGCTATAAGGTCTAACCATTCGGGCTCAGCGGCATCATTCACCGACTGGTATCATTGCATTTTCTGAAAGATACGCCTACGAAGAATCGCGATGACGTCTCTTCGGTTCACGTTCTCTTGTCCTAGATATTTAACTCCAATACTCTTTCCCCGCCAACGTTATACGATGTATGTCTTTCGAGCAATGCAGCCTATCAGACATACCTGTACAATCCGATCCGGGGCAGAAGAGGGCTAATGATGGTTCGATACTCAGGGTAGGGTTTCGGGGAGAGGACACCAATAACAGACCAACCACAAGAGTGGGCTGGCGACTGGTGTCGTCCTCTTTTTCTTTTCACCATGATGGGCTGTATGCATCTCTGAAGGAGCAAATCGGCATCATGAGCTAGTAAAGAAATCCCGTACATGAACGGGACCGAAATGTGTTCATATTGCCAGCTCGGAGAAACTCCAGAGAAAATGCTCCGTCCGGTTTGCAAAACACAAGAAGAGGTAATGCCCAGCTTAACATGGACTATAGCGGCTCCGGAAAATTAGGATGAAGCCTCAGAAGGCACCGTTTCCCTGAATTCTCTTCTCTAAACAAACAATCCAATTATCAGGTGTTTGCTGCGATCCGAGTTTTTTCTGCTTGTTTTTTTAACGGCATCATCCAGCTTCAGTGACAGCGGCGCCCAATATTTTTCTTTCTGCTGTAGGGCAGCACCGCTCGGAAACGTTTGGTCTGGAATAAAATATAGTGAGTCTATATTGTTAATGATATCTATCGGAGATAGGGCTAATTGTAGTTTGTGTTAGGGCGTGAGCTTCCAGACTTCGAACAACAGTGTCTTCCTTCGCATGAGCACCTGATCAAAGATTTGGTGCAGTTGAAATACAATGAAAGGCAAGACCGAGAGGCTCATGATCTGAGGGTCCGTACCAAGTATTGCAAATGAAACCATGAGAACAGCCTGAAAATAGGTCGCTCTTGAGGGAACAGATACTGGGGTCATGCGAAAATTCGGGAAGGGGATCTCTGCAGGTGAAAACGACACGGTCTGCTATCTAAGCGCTCATGGATCTCGGACAATGGAGTGCTCATTTTCACTTACCAGTCGAAATCCGAAATGAATTCCCCATATAGGCCAAAAACTCCTTCAAGTCATGCTTTAATTCTACATAAAACCCACGGATCATCCACATGCTCCATTAGAGCTGCCGATTAATCCATCCGGCAAGATATTCCAAGTAACCGGAAACATTCTCATAGATTTCATGAACATTAGTAATCGATGGAGGACGATTTTCATCCAGTCTCTTCGTTGCAGCAGTGATGAGAACAATACAATTGAGAATTCATTATGGTGGAGGCCTATTTACCGGGATGTAACTCTTATAGTCTTAATAATCTGAGCCGTCTCGAAGTCGATAATTTTTCTGCCAATTTGAAACCTCATGCACCTCGGCCAATACAGTGTCAATAGACCTGTTTGGCAAGAGACATAAGACTCACCAAGGACCAGGCCGTGATTCATGCCAGTCGCGTGAAAAACGCCATTATATCCCAGTCAACGCAGATGGCTCGTGACCTGCAATACCAACCGGCCTGATTAACGCCTCAAGTGTCCAATAACAACATCAAGCTAAGCCCGTTTATTAGCTTGAAAGTTGAGCATCCAGAACCTCGATTGTGAGCTAGGATGAACGTTTAGCGGACTGCAGCTTACACAAGCGCAGTAATATCTTCCACATCCTCGCTCCAAAATTCTGCACCCACAACTCTCATTGTTCTTTGTTGTTCACCACCATGAGCCGCCACCCCATCTAGCCTGGTTCTCCCTCTCGTATTCCTGCTCACTGTAGCCACGCCATTCGTCCATCATATTGCGGGCATCGACTGCGCTCCGGGTGCCCTGGCCGTGGGCCCTCCGTCCGGAGAACCTGATATCCATGCCATCGATCCAGCCCTCGACGCGTCCGCCGCCCAGAAACCTGATCCAGCCCTTGTGGTGATCGCCGTGGACGATCTGGCCCTCGTTCTCGCGACCGCGCCACGTGAAGTCGAAGGCCTCGCGCGAGGACTCCCAGGGCCGGCCGCCGTCGAGCCGCAGGATCCCCTCGTAGATGCCCAGGTCGAAGCTGCCCCAGAGCTCGTCTCCGTGCAGCGTCAGGACGAGGCCCAGGTCGGAGCCCAGGTGCGGCCACTGCTCGCTGACGTCGGGGGAGTCGATATTGTAGCGGCCGTTCAGGAGGCCGAGCTTGGGCAAGGCTTGGCCGCTTCCGGGACTGCCGTTGGAAGAGCTGTGGGAGTTGTCGCCATACTCGGCATACGGGGGAGGCGGCTCATCATCCTCATCATCCTCATCATCCTCGTCATCCTCGTCGAAGCCAGGACGCTGTAAAAGCGGCTGAGCGCGACCACCCCGTGCCGCAAACGATCCGCCTCGCCGGGCTGTCTGCTTCTTTCTTGGGGTTTGGGCAGGGGTGGAGACAGCGGCACCACGACTCATACCTTGCGAGAGACCTCCTCGACCAGAACAGATTGCCATTCTACTTCCGGTTGGAATGGGTGGCAGTACGGAACCGGGACCACCATCCTTGGGAGCAGCCTTGGACTTTAGGGGAGTCTTTTTCGGGGGCTTCTTCTCCTTTGGTGTAGCAGCTGGCTTGGCCTTGGACGTCGTGGCGGACTTGGTCGTCTTGGGTGCTGCTTTCGTCTGAGGACTAGCTTTGCCCGCCTTTGCAGGAGCGGCAGTCTTGGCCTTTGGAGTTGCCATCTTCACGGTGGTCTTGCTCGAAATTGCTTTCGTAGCCGTAGTCTTCGTCTTCTTGGCCGCACTCTGGGTAGCTGACGTATTAGCAGCCGAGACCGCCTTTCTCTTCTGTCCGGCTGGGGCCGCAGCCGTCTTCTCAGTGGTCTTCTTGACGCCCAGCATCTCCCCCTTTGCCTCCTTCTTGGCCTCCCGGTCCCGCTTGGTCCACTCCTTCTTGAGATCGGCCTCCATCTTGGTGATGTGGGCCGGCACGCTTAACTCGCCCGTATTTACAGCATCAAAGAGTCGCCTGAGGGCGACAGGCTTCGCATTTGATGGCTTCAGACCATAATGGATGAGCTGGGCTTCATACCAGTGCGCTGGCTTGTCCTTCCCGTTTCCAGACTCCTTGAAATGGGTGTCGAGCTCCGCTGCGGTGGCACGGCGGTGCTGGTTTGATCCCGAGGTCTCGGCGTAGAAGTCGCCGTTGGCGGAGGCGAAGCCGTCCTTAACCACGGGAGCTGTGGTGGACATCTTGCTCAAGGTGCTTGAGACGAGAATGGGTGATTTAACCCAGGTGGCTCATCAACGATGTAGGAATTAGACGACGAAAAGCAAGGGATCGAATCGATGGTGAAAACTCGTTATAGTTCTCATCAGTGATGCACCATAGTGATGTGCAATGGGTGGGGTAGGGTGAGTGATGGCCTGGTGAAAGGGGTGTGGGCTGGAGGGGAAGCTTCATTGAACCTGGTCGAGGTCTAAACACAAAAACCAGTGTCAGGCCGTCAATGGACTGTTGTTCATAATTGCGATAACAGCGAGTTTATTAATAGCGAGTGAATCTCCAGGGCGATCTCCCCGTTTTTTCTTTCCTTTTTCTTTTCTTTTTCTCTGTACCTTAGCAAACTTGCCAGTGGCAGGTGTGTTGCGTTGCATGTATTAGACGTGCATCATTTCGCAGTCCACCGACCGTTTGGGTTACAAGCATTTTCCAGCTTGCATTTGATTCTTTCCAGTGAACAGAAACATGGCATGTATCTTTTCATGGTCGAAACTTCCGAATGACTCTCAAGGTTGACCTTGTTCAATGCATTCTGTGAAATTTTACTTATTTTATGGGTGCCGACGTGGCATATGTCCGACTCAGTGCAATGTATACCACTTGCATAGACTCAGCATATATGAACAACCAATGCAACCGTTCGGGCTTATGAGAGAGACTCATGCACGAGCCATGAGAGATTTTGTCAAACAGTTATCACAGGGGATAGTCCAGATCGTAAGGTGCCTCTTTTGTCGCGTGTCGTCAACGTATGACATACGACTTCATCGAAGCTGAGTGTACAGGGACGGTAGTAAAGTATAATGCATAATTGTAATATCTCGATTGTTGCAGAGTCGGGAGCAGAACCCCTGTCTCGACACAAGTTGACTATATTGTCATGATTAGATAGTTCAGAAAGCTCTGTTACAAGCTCCTGAGATGTTCATACATTGAACTTTGACCCCGAAGTTCTAGATCAATGCTGCTTTTGCCACAACTCCAGGTAGCCATGCAAAGGTGGATCACCCAATGATCCGTCATGAGAGGAGCAGCTCTTTTTTGTACATGATATGATACCCAACGCCTGCCCACAGCGCTTTTGTTTTTTTCGTAATAATAGTACAAGGCTATTGACACAAGAATGCATAATTCATCTCGTTGTATCCAACTTAGGTGTTCTTGACGACGCCAACCTTGGCGGCTCTCAAGACACGGCCGTTGAGCTTGAAACCCTTCTGTTGAACGAAGAAGACTGTGTTGTCCTCCTTGTCAGGTTGGGGGGTCATGAAAGTGGCCTCGTGCTCGTTGGGGTTGAACTTGTCGCCCGCAGGGTCGAATCGCTCCAAACCGTGCTTGGTGAGTGTTGACTGGAGGATACCGTCGGACATCTTGACACCCTCGTAGAAGCTGGAGAGTTCCTCGTTCTTTTGGTCGCTTCCTTGGAGGGCCTTGATCTTCTCCTCAGCCATGGTGAGAGCACGGTCGAGGTTGTCGACACTGTCGACCAGGTCCTTGGCGAACTTCTGGATGGCGAAGTCCCGGGCAGACTTCTGCTCCCTGGCGGCTCTGTCCTGGAGGTTTCGGAAGTCGGCGACGGAGCGAAGGTACTTGTCCTTTGAAAAGGGTCAGTAAGTTGGGCAGTGGATGGACGCGAGACTCATGCTACACACCTTCCAGTCAAGGGCTTCCTTTTCCTTTGTCTCGAGCTTCTTCTTCAGCTCGGCCTCGGGGCTTGCAGGGGCCTCAGCATCTGCGGGCTTCGCATCCTCGGCCTCCTTCTTTGCCTCTGGCGAGTCGCTGTACCATCTTGAGCTCTGCAGCGGTGACCTCGGCGAGCATGCGGCAGCTGGGGAGAACTGTGCGCGCGTGACGGTGCTCGGTGCATATACTCTTGAGCTGGCGCGCAGAGCCCTGGAAGAGGTGGAGATTGCTTGTCTGAACATTTTGTATGTGTTGTATGTCTTGCGCTGGGAGGCGTGGCTGGAAGGGGGCTTGAAAAGGGTCGCGTGCTTGCTTTGCGGAAAGATGCTGGATTTATTGATAGACAGGACACCCGCAGAATGCTATCGACTTTGATCGACCTTCAAATTTTTGGGCGAGCTCGGGTGCTATCGGGTCCACTGGAAGGCCATGACGGACTTTCATCGGCCCCTGCACGTACGGCAGCTATTCCAGCTTATTCATGGATGTGCCACTGCAAAAGCTTGTTGATATATGAGAGACACGATGGACAATTGCAAACCACATTACCAGATCTAATTATAACGATGCGAATCATGTATCTTACTCAACGTTTCCTTGAATACTGCACTGTATATTGGGTGGTCGACGCCACAGCAGAACTGTAGCCTTGCACGGGGTACTCCGTCATTGGAACTTGCGAGAGCTCGCGCCACACCCTAGCGTCGCACTGACCCACCTTTAGCCGTCCGATTGTGATTGTACATTCGTTGCCTTCTCTCAGCCTTCCATGGAGGAATTTCGCATTTCGCATTTCGCATTCCAAATTCCAATTTCCAATTTCCAGGTTCCCGCGACAGGCTCCGGTTCGCAACGCGGTCCTCCTTTCACCTTCTTCGACATCACCAACTGTGCAGCCCCCCCCCAGGAGGCAACCACGCATCTATCTTCTCACCGCACACCTTGTCCGACTTTCGTGTCGACAACTTGCCCATCATGGATTACGATGCAATGGACATGGATAACGAGGCCCTGGGCCCGGCTGTCAAGATCTCCGAGGTACATGACCTTGAACACCCGACGTGATGCTGCTTCTTTGAAGCTGACTGCTATCTATTCCCCCCTCCTCTAGGCTGATCAGGCGCACGTCAACTTCGAGCTGTCGAACGTCGACCTGTCGTTCGCCAACTCCCTGCGCCGCATCATCATGGCCGAAGTCCCCACCGTCGCCATCGATCTCGTCGATTTCCACGTAAACACCTCCGTCCTCGCCGACGAGTTCATCGCCCACCGCCTCGGCCTCATTCCCCTCGACTCCAGGGATATCAAGGAGATGATCATGCCCCGGGACTGCGAATGCGACGGCCACTGCGAAAAGTGCAGTGTCGTCCTCACCTTGCATGCCAAGTGTACCGGCGACGACATCATGAAGGTACACGCCAACCAGTTCATCGTCAGCCCCGACCGAGTCAACCAAACCGTCGGCAATCCCGTCATCACAGACGCAGACGGAGCCGGTCCTCTGCTTTGTAAGCTCCGCAAAGGTCAGGAGCTTCACGTCCAGTGCATAGCCAGGAAGGGTATTGCGAAAGAGCACGCCAAGTGGATGGCCACTTCTGCGGTCGGCATGGAATACGATCCCCACAACAAGCTACACCATCTGGATCTCTGGTACGAGACCGATGCGGCAGCTGAATGGTTAGTCTTTCCCTTGTCGCCTCTCCCCCGTACTCTAGCAGCTAATCGCCCATCAGGCCCAAGAGCAAATATGCCGACTGGGAGGATCCTCCGCAAGAGGGAGAGGCTTTCGATTATGACGCTGTCCCGAACCGATTCTATTTCGAGATCGAGGCCGCCGGTAACATCGACCCGGATGGCATCATCAAGGAGGGTATCCAAGGGCTGCAAGAGAAGCTTGCCCTCATCATGAAGGGACTCGGCGAGAACGACATGGACGGCCAATACGACGGACCGCAAAGCCCCGGCGCTGACATGGGAGGCCAACCACCGTGGCAGGACAATGGTTACACCACCCCTTACGGCAACGGCGGCAATCAGAGCGCATGGGGTGGCGGTGGTCAGACATCATATGGCGGCGGCGGCGGCCAAACAGCCTACGGCACAACTCCCTACGGAAACTCTGGCGGAAGCGGCTGGAGCTAGACATGCTAGGAAACGTGTCCACTTCGCTGAACAGAAGTGGACAGTCGAGAGCCCCGCGAGCGATGACGACAGGATATCAATAAACATTATTTGGCGTTATGGAGTCGATCTCGAAAAGCAAGGGTCATCCGCGGCCCTACAGCAGTAAAACGGCCATCCGCATGCAAACCGCCCGTTGTACATTACGAACGAGAATCGAGATGGTAAAAAAGTAGTTTCGAATGCTACGACTCACATCCCCAGACGAGACACAGCTAAAACACCGAGATGCCGGATGACAACGCTATGCTCGTCCTTGACGACGCAAGAGGTCAAACTGTCTCTCGAGTTTATGGGAAGACGCACACGGGCGCTGGGCAGGCATGAGATTGCAAAGTTTCAATCTGGTCATAGAGGGGCGCCACTGAAAAGTCCACGTTCCAGCTCAGTTGACTTGGAACAAGTTTTGGGGGAAGCCGAAAATAATCGATAGGGCAACGATTACCTAGTCTAGAATAAATCCGATAATCTTGAAATGCACATTTGGATTTGCGAAAGAGAAAAAAAAGGAAAAGAAAAGTCTACTGAGGCCAAGGCTGTTCTAGACTTATGCTGTTCGAAGATCGCAAAGAACGCCCGCGATGATGCAATGCATGTATGCAACATAGGATAACAAAGAAGGAAGAAGCAAACTCCCATCAACGCCGGTCCCATGATTCAAGGTATATCCTCCACTGCCCGTCAAAAAGTCGTCGAGACTCTTTCTCTATCATGTTGTCTACTAGACCAAAAATATAGCCGTCATGTTAATTATTTTGTTTCACGCATCAGGGATGCCCATAAACCGTCTATAGCCCGTGCGGTGCGCCTCCAGAAACAAGAAAGTACAGATAGTTTGCCTTTGCATATCTTATGTCAGCACACATGTTCAACAAGCTCTCAGGAACAAGGTTTTTGTTAGGAGGGGAAAAGGGGGGAAAGGGGGAGAAAAAGTATAAAAAAGAAATTGTAAAAAGAAAAAAGAAAAAGACTTACGGCCCCAACCTTAGGAAACTGGGGACCCAGCCCTTGAACATCCACCTCACGCCCTCCTGCGCCGTGATCTCCCGGAGCAGGCTCGCCATGCCCTGACCCTTTCCGCTCGCGCTCATAACCCGGCTCTTGATCACGTCGACGGGGCTGCACACGGTGGTCGCGACGAAGCCGGCCATGAGGCTGGCGGTGAAGTGGGTCGTCGTGGTGTCGCCGAGGGGCGTGTACTGGAGCAGGGCGGCCTTGATGCTGTCGTACGAGGCCAGCTGGGAGGCGTTCATGAGGGCGGCCCGCACGCTGTTGGGCCAGACGCCCCGGAACCACGAGGCGGGCCCCTCCTGGCGCAGCATGCGCAACATGCCGTCCAGGCCGTGCCGGTAGTGGCGGCGCTGCTCGGGGGCCAGCGCCCGGTCCTGCTGCATGCGCACGTTGGTCACGTCGGCGGCGTTGCCCGAGATGCCGCCCAGGAAGCCAGAGAAGCCCGACAGCCCGATGAGCAGGGGCAGCGACGGCTTCTCGCCCTCGGGGGTGTACCGCCGCTTGAGCTCCTCGTACACGCCGAACCGCACCGTGCTGTACGTCATCTGGCGCAGCAGCGAGGCCGACAGACCCGAGTACAGACCGAAGATGCCCTCGTTGCGCACGACGTAGCCAAAGGTGCCCACCATGGTGCTGGGTGCGTTGCCAGAACGGAGCTGGAGCCGTACTTTGACTGTGGGATGACATGGTAAGCCTGGGAAGGTTCTGGGCAAGTGAAGGTGTATAATGACGTACCCAGATCAAGAGGATGTGTGACGCAGGCGGCGAAACTACTTGCGGAACCACCAAACCAGAAGGGATAGTGTACTGGTTTGGGCAGGGCCTTCTTCTGTCTTTTCGGCTTCGTGACGGGGAGGTTCTCTGGGGCCGTGCCGGGAGCGGCGACGGGCGCCTGCTCGTGTGTCGCGACTGACATTTTGTTGGTGATGCAGGCTGTCGGCTGCATGCCCTCTTGCGCAGATGGGTGTCGAGGATTGGAGAGGTTCGCGATATGTTGCACGAGTCTCAGCTAGCAATTCGGTCTTCTAGTATTGGTTGCCCAATTGAAACATGGTATCTACGTGTGCCCCTCGCTCTCTTTTGTGGCCTTCAGCCTAATGACGGGATTTTTCGAGGTGGGCTTTCACATGTAAACCTCGCGGTTGGTCTGAGTGATTGTCGCAGTGATGAGGGAGTATGTCTAATTTAAGTCGGGTAGAGAGAAGTTTGCAAAGTAAAAGGGCCAAGAAAGATAATAGCCAGCGTTCCCCAAGGTATATTTCGAGCATGAGAGGTGACAATGGTGTCGGGATATCCGGCCGTAGTTTTTTGAGCGGCAGCACCGAGGACGGGGGGGGCATGGCTTCGGGCGTGCAGCTGATGCGCACGTTTGGCGATGACGAACATCCACTTTTTGGCACCAGGATTTGGAGAAGAGAAAAGAATTGGGGCAGCGACAGGCACGCCCGGCGTCATGGTGCAGGTACGTACCTTGCTACGGAGGTCAGATGCAGGATGTGATAATGAAGAGGTCTGCCATTGGCTGATCGGCAGCTCAAGGGTCTAGTTCATCCGATGCGTAGCGGCTCCCGATAGGCTGGCTCAGCCAGGTGCGTCCAGTGGACCCTCCCCTGGGGGATTGGCACTGCATCCGCGCTCGCTCCCGCTAAGCATTGCTATCAAAAGTTAACTTTTTGAAAAGCGACGACATACCATCGAGCTTGAGAGGTCGCAGGGCAGTCTCAAAATGTGGTCCACTCGACTCAATGCAGCTGTTGGCTGTGTGAGAAGGGCTCCTCTGCAGAGCCCAACGCGTTTTAGAGCTTCTTGGGGCCAGAGGATAGCTCAGAGGGGCTTGACTTCGGGTCAGTGCCAATGCCAGAGCCAGTGCCAGTGCCAGTGCCACTTGCTGTAGGGCAGGTGCAATATCAAAACTACACAACTGACTCGAACTCCAGCTCAAAGTCCAGCAGCGTCACAGCCCGCCGAGAACAAGTCCACGGTCGAGATCAATGGCAACAAATACCACACAGACACATGGTTCAACACGCCCCCGAACATAATAACAAACGTGCCGAGGAAACTACACCTGCAGAAAGATCATCCCGTCTATATTACCCGCCAGATCATCGAGTCCGTCTTCCCCTCGCCCACCTACAAGTATCACAACACTTTCGACCCCGTCGTGAGCACGCATCAGAACTTCGACTCCCTCGGCTTCCCACCAGACCACCCCGGCCGCGCAAAGTCGGATACTTACTACATCAACGAGTCAACCCTTCTGCGAACACACACTTCCGCCCACCAGGCCGACGTCTTCCGCGCCAACCTCTCCCCGGGATATCTCGTCAGCGCCGACGTCTACCGCCGCGATGAGGTCGACCGGAGCCACTACCCCGTATTCCACCAGATGGAGGGCGCCCGAAACTGGGACCGCCATTCTGCTAGCGCCCCAGCCGACATTGCTAAGCAGATATGGTCGGACGTAGAAAAACTACCGAGCCACAGCATCAAGGTGGACGACCCCAACCCGCCGCACCACCCGGACCGCAACCCCTTGCAGGCCGCTCACCATTCCGCCGAGGAGGCCGAGGCTATCGGTGCCCATTTGAAGCGGTCGCTCGAGCTCATGGTCGTCGAGATCTTTACCCGCGCCGCCAGGGCTGCGAAAAAGGCCGACCCGGATTTCGTCGATGAGCCCCTCAGGGTTAGGTGGGTGGAAGCATACTTCCCCTTTACTAGCCCGTCATGGGAGCTAGAGGTCTACTATGCCGGCGACTGGCTCGAGGTCCTGGGATGTGGCGTCGTCAAGCAGGACCTGTACATCAATGCCGGAGTGCCGAACCAACTAGGCTGGGCTTTCGGCATTGGGCTGGAGAGAATCGCCATGCTGCTCTTCCAGATCCCTGACATCCGCCTCTTCTGGTCTCAGGACGCCCGATTCTCTAACCAATTTACTGGAGTGTCAGACAACTTGGATTCTCTAAAGCGCTTTGTGCCTTTCTCCAAATACCCAGGCTGTCCCAAGGATGTATCATTCTGGCTCAAGTCCAGCTCGTCTGCAGGCGGCAATATCAAGGCCAACGCGCACGACTTTCACGAGAACGATGTCATGGAGATCGTCCGCAGCATCTGTGGCGATACCGTTGAGGACGTCAAGCGCATTGATGACTTCACCCACCCCAAGACTGGCAGGAGGAGCATGTGCTACAGAATCAACTACCGCAGCCTTGAGCGCACGTTGACCAACGCCGAGACCAACGAGATGCATGACAAGGTTACGCAGGCTCTGGTCGAGAAACTAGGGGTTGAAATTCGGTGATGATGCCGCACACCTAGAAGCTGGACAGTGGCTCGGATCTAAATAACCCAAGGCTTGCTATATGTACCAATATAAAGGACAAAACGTACGGCGTATGTAAAAACTTTTAGCTGCAAGGTAGATATAGGTCTCTGTACGATAGACGTTCGTTTACTGGATTGTACACAGAAGAACGGCACAGCTGCGGCCAGGATGGACAGGGGCTCCCATCTCATTTCTTACCGCGTAGGTCGAAGTAATGAAAAGTAACTCTATATTGTTTTGACGGATTATCTTGACAGGTAGCTTCGAATCATGCTCCCAAGACGACATACCCGCAGCAGTATTTTGTGCTGCGGTCCACCAGCACGGAATGTATAAAGACTCTTCAACTATTATTCTCACATATCCTTGGTGCGCATATTCTCACTGAGACTGATGCTATTATAGATCGCATCCCTTTCGTGGGGTTTAAAATTGCAGTGCAAAAGTGGTAAAAAGAAGGCAACCATCTGGAGGCAGCGGCAGCCCAAACCAGATCTTGACCAGTGAGGCCACCAAACTATGCCGGGTCTGATAGGTCTGCTAGCCGACATATGCAGTTCAGCTTTCATGCAGAGACCAGGCTGGCCGCCGCACAGGACATTACGTGGGTGTGGTTCGCGGCCATAGTTAGACGATCAAGCACACTCTTGCGCTCGAAATAGTCAGGCGTAAAGGGGTGCATGGTCTCAACCAACTAGGCGCTCGCGCGACACTGGAGAATAGCCCAGCTCATGTTGAGCTCTTGTAGGACTTTACATTGAATACCTGTGTCTCGGCGCTTACGTAGAGGCCAGCCTGTTAACACTTGGAGTCGGCGTGGTTGGGAAGAGAGGCCCTTCGTGTGGGTTTAAATTGCAGTGAAGTCGCTCGCCGGTGATCGTGGTGCAGCTCAACCCACGTGGAGGGGGCCCAGCCTGACCCCGGGCACGATGACTGGACCGAGTTGCTCAAAATTATCGGCTGGCGGACTGGAGACGTGCCCTTCGTGGGGACTAAAATCGCAGTGAAGGACAGGGTCTGCTTGCGCATGGGGCCATGCATTGCTAGCGGACTACCCAGAACTGAACTAAAAGTATGTAACAGATGATACCTAGTTTCCTGACTTGTGTTTATGGTGCTCACTACGGCGAATGCTGTCATCCGTTCAAAGACTTAGCTCACAATCACTATTGATAGCGATTCGGACATATTGAATTAGGGAATACTGTAATGCGGTGCTAATATCGATCAGATATTGCATGCCTCTGGTATGAGATCTAAGTCCGTTGGCTGCTCAGCTATCACTTAGTTGGTATCTCTCGTATATACCGACTGACTGTAACAACTTCGTCAAGTCAAGTCTTTCGTGACGGCTGAAATTGCAGTGAATTTGTAATCGACTAGAAACCGTGCCTATATACCTATATATCCCGACGTGTAGAAGTATTTGCAGTTTCTAACCCACCAGGTTACAATCTTTGCGCTGGACATCAAAGCGCTTCGATATATCTGATAGGTCTGCTGCCGACATCGCGCCGCTCGGCTTTCATGCAGAGCCTGGCCTGATCTTGTGACGGCATAGATTACTCCAACGAAGGCAAGCTAAGATGATTTCTCTCGTGTAAGACAGAATGGGCCGCGGAAAACTCTACTTTAGTATAGTTTAGTCTTGCGATTGCAATTAAATTACATACAGCATGGCGGCCGTCAGAGTGGATATCAAGGTAGACTCTGAGTTCTGCTAAATTCTGGTAGGCTATCTGGCCGTCATGTGCAGCCTCCATGCGTGTGCCAGCCTGCTTGCAGATAGGAGCTCCTATCACGATTTGGAAGAGGAGAGATATGTTTCGTTGAGCTTGAAACTGTGGTGTATGCAAGATGAGACTTTGCTGTCTTCATACCGAAAGATACTTCTAAGGATCCCAGCAAGAGCAAAGGATGTATTTATGCTGCAGTGGGTATATCGAAGATAGAAGTTATTTTGTTGGTATGATATCATATACATATGCTTATGCTTGTTTCTCATATCTGCGGGCCTTCTTTAGTCACGCTGACCTCAAATAGACAGCAGCGCACCAGTTGGACCAGAGTCCAGGTAACTTTAGTATGGAGCAGAACGAGATGTCCTTTCGTAAGGGTTAAAATTGCAGTGAAATCGAGGGGCGTCGGCATTGTCCGCATCTATTTTCCCAGTCAAGAAACATTGCACATGTTCAATCTGCGAGGCGTACATCACAGCTTCTGCGCCATGTGGTTATGACTGCTTAAAATTGTGCAACGGATCTGCGTTGACGCAAAGATCATAACAACGGGAGTGCGATACAAATAACTTCGCCAACTGTCATCAAGTTCTCTAGTTGATAAACAAGACATCTCATGGTTCATGGGGAGTCGGTTGGTAGGAATGTTGCGAGCATCCGAGACGCGCAACAGGCCCGCAGGGCAGGCGATGGCACTTTCGTTGGCATCGACAGATCCCATGAGTACCAACTGTGTTGGGACACCTCAGGGGCACAACAGCCTCGATCGTTCGCATGATCCACTCGTGAGCATGAATCACATTTGTAGACCGTTTCGCTGACGATATAATCAGATGCTCGCAGTGTCGCTTAGAATACGCAGCCCGGGTGCCACAGTACATTGACTTTTTCCAGTCACCGGGTTGTCTTCTGAGATGTACAAAGCATTAGACATAGTCTGCCTTGACGATTCTCCTCGTCCCGCAAATCAATACCCTATACTCAAGAGCAGCCTAACAGGCAATGTGTACTACTCCCAATCGGTCATAGTCCTTATGTATGGCCAGCATCAAGCGTGAATAGTTCATGTTCTTCCGGCCCTTCCACGCCCCTGTGCTGTCACGCTATCATACCTCGCCATTTCCCATGCGGGCGGCTGACTGGCAGTAAGGCATATTTCTTTGTATCAGTAAGCTCAGCAAGCCGATGATAAGCCAATATAAAAGCCCGGTTTAGATAGGCAATCCGGCGCTCTAGAAGCTCCCGTCTCGGTCGATTATGCGAATGTATCTGTTTTGCTGTACCCAGGCTTGGATTGTGGAATCAAGGGCGTTGTTCAGGGCTGTAAATGACCAGTCATCAAGAAGTATGAAACTGGACGTGGGCTGTTGGTGAGAAGATACGATTTCCCGAGTGTGGCTTCTCCTTCCAAGGTGGTGTATACGTTTGTACCCAAATATAGTGTTCCTGCTAATCAGAACTTTTTGAAACCAGGGTGTTTTGTCAAGTTTCACGGGATGGTTATTCCTGTAGAACTTGTGATCATATTTGATTCTACCGCGGTGGTATACTTTTATTTTTTCCAGCAGGCAACAGTGTCTTTGCTAAGATGGCAGTCACGGGGAATACCAGCGGCAGCAGATGATGTTGGTCATGTATCGAGCAATAGCGAGTACATGAGTGTGCTTAATAAACCCACTTGTCTTAGATATCATCAGTTCGTTCTTTAGTTGACTACACATTACACAAGCAACTCACGGATATGCGTCGAAGACGCAAAGGCATAAATTGAAATGACCCGGCGTCATGATAACATCATCGTTGGCTTACTCTCTTCTGCAGTTATCAACCGCAGGTCTATATCCGAAGGGCACGAGTAAACGAAAGTTGAGTTGATGATATGCCCGTCTCATCCTCTTTCAGTAGTGCTGTTCGGTTATGGCTTGGCTGACAGCGAGGCATAGAAGCATGCATCTGGACCTCCGCTCCTGTAAGGTTTCGACAAGGGACAGAGTTCGCTAGTCTGTATTCTGGCAGAGGATCCCCACAAAGCGAGTTCTGGAGCATGGTAACTAAGCTTGCGGATTACCGGAAGCGGAAGGCAATCTGTGTAGTTTGCAAAGTCTATACGCCTATCACTTTAGGATCAGGGCTGTGCAAGTGAAGATTCTTTCCTGAGGGAATAAATGTCACGACTCGGCGCACATTGCGTCGGAGGGTTAAGCCCGAATCAGCAAATAATTGTTTCGCCTGTGTTCTATCTATCTGCGTCTCGGGGAATTATTGTTTGTAAAAGACTTGGGATGAAGTCTCTTGTCAAAATTTTGAGGCGCTGCTTATGAGTGTGGGGTGCTTTTGCGCTAGCACTTGGCATAGCAACTACAGGCTTGGAGGAAGGCTGTGTTCACTAATAGTTGAGCGTATTCTTTGTTTGGTCTTGTAATAAGGAAGATCGTTCTGAGCAAGAAGCAAGATTGTTGAGCCCGCCACGCAGCGCTCTGGATCTCAACCGAATGCCATGAACTCATGCCGAACGAGATGATGGCATTGGGTGTCTCGGAAACGTGCGAGATGGTGCCAATGAGGCAGCTCGGCGTGTGGGGGAAGAGGAGGCCAACGAGGCTGTGCAAAGTGGGTTGGGAAACCTAGAACACGAGCCAGACGTCGTCATTCGCTGACAGCACGTTTTGCAGAGTGAAGCGGTTAAGCAAAACTCCACAAAAAATAGTTGATGCAAAGTAACCTTGTTTGCTTTCTCACCAGAGACTGGCCGTTGTATTGTTCGGCTCCGTTGATATGGTGCTGTTGATAACGCGCCTTTAGTGTTCCGCTGGAAGAGGTTACTGTATGTGCAAGCCAATAGGTCGTCAACTTCTCCACTATGTTGCGCGGTGTTGGCAGATTGGCAACTCATCAAGCGTGGCATGAGAAGGGTCATACGGCCATATTGTCCTGCCTCTACTCCGCACAGGCTTACGCTGTGTCCAGTCCAGTCGTTGACTTACTGTAGTCGATTATTTGTCGCAGACTTCGTGACTGCGGTTTGCGCGGTCTAGCGGAATGTGCCAAGGCCGAAGACAATAAAACGGGTGTACGCAAGCAAGTGTCACTGCGCCTTCCACTCGTGGCAAGTGACATGGTCAAGGACATGTGCTGGACGGTTTGACCTGGCGCTTGAGTCTTGTAATGCTGAATTGTGCAAAACTGAACACTCGACTGACAACAACTCGTCGGCAACGCCAACTGTATGGTGGTTCAGGTCGTTAGTAGCTTCTATAATGCTCCGCTCCGGGGGGTCACAGTCCCAGAGCTTGAGGCTCAGTGACCAGAGGGTCTGGTATCCGCAGCTGCGTAACTTTTCTACTAGGGTCGTATGGCTTTGCTGGGATTCGATAGCCATGGGCGGTGCTGTAGATGCCAGCTCGGGCAAGCTCAGATCCTTGATGGTTTCTGGGTTCCAGGCTTGGAAAATGCCCTTATGCCAATGCCCAATGCCACTGAGAATTGTCGATAGCTACAATACGCAGTAAATGTGGGGTGTCGTTGTGCACAGAAGAGAGGTTTTAGTTTGCGGTGGATGCTCACAGCCTCCCCCTGTCTGCCGGACATGGGCCTAACCCGCCTAGAAGTTGGGTTTGCATTGGTGGCTGCAGCAGTGCATGTGCACCGGGCCTAGCGCTGGATTCAAGTTCTCAAGACGTTCTGTTCACTTTCGCCCCCCGCCGGGAACTGGGAACTGGGAACTGGAACTTCAAACGGGCTGGAGGACCGATTACCGATTGTTGTTTCAACGCAGCCACACTGGTCCATTACATATATCGTCACCACCCTCTTCTTCTTCCTCGATTTTCTTATACCTCTATTCAACCAGAACATCCAAACATACAACTCTTATCTGAGGGACAAGAGACACAGATCAACTCCAAGTCACCTTCGCTGTTGCCACCAAAGCCAAATCTTGTCGCAACTCCTCCCAGCGACTGCACTGCCAATCCACTATCACCGCCTCTCAGCCCGGTGAGCTACATATCTGCTCTTTCGCACAATCCACACACAACAGACCCAACATGTCGACGTCGCCAACGGCCTCTGCGCCATCACGGCCCTCTTCTTCGCGCGCATCTTCGCGCGCTTCGTTGAAGCTTGATCTATCCAGCCTACCGCCCCTCACCCAGCCAGTCACACCGACGAACACCCTTCTGATCACAAACCTCGACGACCTCGAGATCTTTCGCCCGGACAACCTACAGACAATCAGGGATCTAATCTGCCAAACAGCACCAGTAAACTCCTGGTCGCCCCTGAAGTCCTTCCGCCGCATCGTGTGCTCCTTCGCCGACGAGCAGGCCGCTATCAAGGTCCGCTCGGTCTGGGATGGCGAAGCAGTCATGGGCAAGCGCTGCCGCGTCTACTTTGGCCAGCACACACCACTGAACATGACACAAGACAAGCACTTGGCTCTTCCTGATGCCGGCAAGCTATTCTTCATCAGCCCGCCCCCGTCGCCGCCTTGTGGCTGGGAGATGCGCATGGAGGATGCGCCTAATAAGCAGGTCCATGCTGAGGATCTAGCCGATGCCCTGGCGAAGTTGCACCATCGGAATGTCGCCCCTGTGGATACGCCAATCTCACCGGTCGAGGGAGCTTCGGCGCCGACGAGGAGCCGCAGCAGCACATTGATTTTCCAGCCTAACGAGCCAATGGCCGGCAGCCCAGCCTTGCCATGCATCGCCGTGGACGACATGACGGATGAGCCTACGGAGATGAGCCCAAGCCCCATGGGATCGGAGAAGCCGATCCTGGCACATACCTCGAGACCGCCAGTTGAGCTCATGCAGGAGTAGGGATTTGGCGGGAGTCGGGTCGCATTTGTCTTCATATTTCTTGCATGTTAGGCGTTGGGGTATTACACAAAGATGCATGCATCTTCTTCTTTGCATCTACATTTAGCCATACAGGACGTTGGCGAAAGGGGACCAGCCGTTCGGCATTTACGAAAAGCGAAACACATTTATAAAGAGGGTTAGGATGCATTCATTGTAAGATCAGGTTGCTTGTATCAATAGTGTCAATTCCGCCCATGTGGGCACAATACCAGAAATGATTACTCTGAACTTTTGTTCCAGCCTATAAATGTGAATTTGTAATAAGCGATCAGCCCTGTGGATAACAGAAACCCACCTCTATTTCGAACAGATTTATATTTACAATTTAGAACTGTAAGTGAACAAACTGGGAGCGAGGAGGCAATTTGTCAAACCACTTGGTCATCCATCAATCCTTTCATCCAATCCATCTCATCCCTCTTCCTACATCTTACAGTAAGTGTGGCAGAGCTATGGAAGGTACGAATGTGGACGCCTGTCCGGGTGCCCATCTAGAAAGTGGGGGCCCCAGGCAACTACCAAAAGTAGCACTTCCACAGATACAATTGGCTGTGGTTTCACTGTTTGGTGAACGCCTAAAGTAAACAAATTGACCAGTCCAGCAAGTATTGGGAAGCTTTGGAATCTTACTTCTGTTTCCCTGTTTGCCTTTAAAAGGCGACTTTCTGAGAGGATTCTCTAAAGCACTCCATTCAGTTGTGGAATCCCCTCATCTTGAGCTTGGTTTCTCTGGTCTCATTGAAATCCTAAGCATAACTTCGCACAACTCCGCTCAGTGTTGCGTATATCCCGACGATACTATGGCTGACTTTGCCGAGAATACCTTCTGCTCGCTGTGCGGTGTGCTTATCGAACCCCACGATGGTACTCCTGTCAACGAGGATAACAGCCTGCCTTGGAATTCAGAGGTGCGTGCAAGTAAGTTCCCAGCTACTTTTATAAAAATGTCACGCAGCCGCATAAATTGAACCGTGATAACTAGTTTGTCCCATTTTGTACTGATGTCCTTCCATTAAAACCATCCTCCGAAGCACAGTGGTTTCGGAATTTATTTCCATGTTACCTCGGTGTAATTCTACTAACAGCTGACATTGTGTTTGCAGTCAGGACTCGACAATCCTATCAGGATCCATTCGTGACAGGTATTGGGTATCTCAACTTCCATCGTGAAGTCATTGCCGACTTACGAACGGACGTTGCACATACGGCCTCCAATGTAGAACTCCAGGCACATGAGCTTGGTCAAGGTCCACACCGTTATTGGTGTTTTCCCGTCCATGAAGCCTGCTGGCAGCTCCTTTACTATCGTGTTGAATCCTGGAAGCGTAATATCACTTCTGATACTATCGCTCGCCATCTATTTGCTATTCTATACAACACCCCAACAGATGGCGCCCGGCTGCTGCTTCCTGGGCATGATTATGGTGGCGCAGCAATATTCCAGGGCCCGTCGAGAACTCCTGTTGTCTCAGAGATTTACAACTCTAAGCTGTTCTATATCAACCATGACCCAAATGACTGGTTCGATTTCGATCTGGCCCAGAACGGAGAAGTCGAACATCCCTCTGGTACAGGTTGCTGCGAAAAGCACTGGCCCTCTTCTCCCGATTTGTCCTTACTTTCCCTCGAATCGTTTGCGCTAGACCTATCAACTCTAAAGCTATCCGATAATGACGAGACTAAAGACATTTTTCGGGATCTGCCCAGCGAAATCATTATGCTAATACTTTGTTATTTACCAACCACTTCCGTCTCCAGCTTACGTCTTGTTTCTCCCTCCGTGGCTAGGGCATCACGGCCACAACTGTTACCTCAATCATTCTGGTCAAGTCGTTTCTCGCTTAACCATGAGATGGAATTTGCCTTTGCTAGCAGGAGCAAAATTCTACCTCCTGAGCCCATCAATTGGCGCCGACTATACATAGCGGCCAGAACGATGATCAAAGATCCTAACACTTATCCAGGCTTTCAGAACCGACAAAGAATCTGGAAAGCCCTCGTTCATGTCCTGCCAGCTCTCGAACTACGTATCAAGAATGAGAATGACATAGCCACGACACCATACAAGGATGACATGGGCATATCCTCGTTTGATCGATCTTCCGTGGTATCCGGCGAACTGACTTTCCAATACCCAAAATCGTCACTCCGAGACAACGGTGCAAGTACAGAGCTCGACGCTGGCTGCCGTTTGTTCGAGAAGCAGCAGTTGGACTGGACCAAAGCAGCAGCAACACAATCTATGGTACTGGGTGTTTCACTTCTACGCCACGATGGAAGAACCTACATCAGTGGGTTTCGGCTCCTTCCAGCAGGAGAAAATTGCGAACGAAATGAACTGGACAGAGCTGGCCTGATTAACACAAAGAATGAACAATTACTGACATTGGGTATATCAAGTACCCTAAAAGCCGTAAGAGTACGCGTCGTCCCTCAGGGCATTATTGGCTTATGCCTCGTTCTGGAAAATCCCAGTGGCGTTGATTCTCACTGCTTCGGAGATTTCGGTCTTGCAGACCCTGAAAGCGGTGTTGCTGAACTTCAATCGGGAGCACAGTTGCACTCCTGCACATTCATCGTTGGTCTTGATGTAAGTAAGCAATTTTTTTTTAATCTTATACTGAAGGGGCTCGCATAGATTCTGGGCCATTGTACATGAGACATAGTTGATGAGCTCACGATTGTGTTCTCGTTTCTTCAAATCTTTTTTTCTTACCAATATCAAAAGCATCATTCATGCAGTGGGAAAGTTTTCGGATGTCCTTCTTCAAGCTCGGGCAACATGATTTTCTCCGAGACGATATTTTTGGAAGTGATGAACAGACAAGTTTTGGTGTAGTTCAGAAGACTGACAATGTATAGGCATGCAAATTAGTGTCATTGCAACTGGCCAGGGTTCACCCAAAAGGAATTTCAAGCATCCGATCGCTTCCTGACCTAAAACATACAGGAAGAAATGCAGATGAAATGGCGGAGATATGGAGCCCAGTGGTGCCTACAACATCACCAAGCTGGCGCTCCCCCCGCCCATTCCCACCACAGACCTTTAACAGGTGCCTTCATGTGGACTTTGGGGGTCCCAACGGCACGCTACTGAAAACTCTCGTCATGATCAACGTCTTCATGGGCGAGTTCCCACATGTTTTCCTCGGTTTCTCTTTCATATACTGCGATGGCAGTGAGCGTCTCTTTGGACATAGAAGCTATCAAATACGATCCGCGCGTAGTTACCCTTGTGTCGTTCAGTCATTTTCGATAGCGGGGGGAAAGGGTGAGGTTCTTCAGGAGATATGGACGAGCTATTCCAGGAAAAACGACACCATTCAAGCTGTTTGCTTCCGGACAAACTTCAATCGCTCGAGAGAATTTCGTTTGTTTGGTACGGAAGCATACGATGGTGAGTGTACAGTCAATTCTATGATTGCACCTTTGGGAGAAAGTATTTCGGGGTTCTCTGTCAAGCTTAAATCGCCACATGATCAAATTCGGGACCTGGTTGTAGACCTGTGTACAGTTTCACATGCTCCGAGTGAGGAAAACACAACGGGCATCTCTGATATCTTCTCGGTATCGCCATTTCACCTTGGTTCTGCGCAGGAACTATTGGCATATATCGGAGGTTTTGCTTTCAGAACAGCTGATCTGGCCGGACTTCGACGAATACGTTTTTCGGGTGGTATCGAGGGATGTTCGCGTGGCCCTGAGCACATGACAGGTCTTCAACTAGAATATACTGAGGACGAAGCTCCACATATTATTGGTCAGTGGCTTAACGGGCTTGTCTCATTTGAGCTCGAGCCAGACGAGCGCTTGGTTGAGATCACCACGTGGCATGGAATTGTTAACCGGTTCAGCCGTGTCAAGTTTGGGCCTCTGACCAGAATAGAGTTCGTCACCTCAAAGGGCAGGCGCTTGATAAACACACAACATAAACGCCACGAGGATCTCGTCTGTCTAAAATACCGAGAAAACCCTTACGAAAAACTCGACACCATTGTGTGGGGATGTAACTTTCAATGGGATCATGTTCGAGTCCTCTCCACGCCAAAACCTGAGAGACAGACGAAGAGGTTGATTTTGAGCCCCACTGCTCGCGAGACACCACAATGGACTGTGAGAGAGAAGATCTTCCTCGAAGAGCAAGATTCAAATGGTAATGCCGACTCGGTAGAGTTTATCACCATCACGTTCAAATCGCTTAGCGACGAGCCTTCAGGGCTCAGCTTCATGTATCGCTCAGGAAAGACGCAGGTAATCGGCAGCGAAGGGGAGCGGCCGTGCAGGCAAGAGCTGCAGGAGGGCGAGAAGCTGACACGGATGGATGTCGGCATTCTCAGGGCCAACAGACTCGGTTCCATTGCTGTAAGTTCATTTCCAGGAGACAGTATTACAAAAAATACACGAAACTAACGAAAGGAATCATTTCTGAAGTTCCACACGGACAAGAACAGAGAACTGACCTTCGCGCCGGAGAGCCGACCTGTACCGGCTAAAAGAACGGTACCTTCACGTGTGCGACCTATTAATATGGTCCAAAAGGTCGAGACCCATCTCCTGCGACGAGAAACCAGCCCGGGAGCTGCTGAAGAAAGCCTCAATCACTCGTACAATGTACCAGAGTCGGCCGGCGATTTCGTCGGCTTGTGGGCCGTCCCGGCCAGGAAAGATGGGACTTTGAAATACCCATTATTCGGCCCCATATTTGAAACTGATATTTCCACGTGAAGAGCTCTTGCGGTTTCGTGGAAGTATCGATGTCTCCGCTTACAAAGCTGGTGGATGTACGCGCACGTCAGAAACCGCGGCGTGCCTCTTGCAACTCGTGATAAGGATAATTAAAGCATCGCTAAACCAGGTGCTCTGGCATACGAAAAAGACAAAAGGGAAAATATGACCTGTTTCTGCCGGGTTCCAAAGTCGACTTTGGAGGTAACAAACACACAAGAACAAATTGGATATCTCGGAGTAGGTACTATTCAGTGTATAAAAAGAAGCATGCTATATTCACAAGCCCTCTTCGAGTCCTCTTCGAGGGGTATCACAATCAATGCTGTGCTGTGAAAGCTATATCGTGCCCATGCCAAGCGTTGGCTGATGCTGGAGACCCTTTTCCCCTTGCCCAGGAATTCCAAACCCAAAAAAAAGTAAAATGAATCCCCCAAGTGATCCAAAACGCCACAATGCAGTATCATGAGTTCCCAGAAGCCAAGCATCCCTGCCAAAATTCCAATAATCCTCCATCTAAGTTATTGTTGTCAACCCAAACAACTCTAGGCATACCGCGCAGTCTGCACGCGCCCAATACCTTGCTGCGGCGGTCCCTGGTACGGCGCGTAAGACGGCGGGGCCGCCCTGCTCAGCCTGTTCCTGGAGCCGTTGGCGCTCGTCATGGCGGGCGGCGGGCGTGGGGGCGCATTCCAGGCGGCTCCGCCGTGCCAGCCGGGAGGCGGCAGCGGCTGGTTCGTAGGTTTCTTGGGCCTCCTCTTGCCGCACCTGTTCCAACAGCAGCATAGGATGGACAGGAGGAAGAGGCCGCCGACGACGGAGGCGACAGGGATGACGATGTTCTTGTTGTCGCTAATCCAGCTGCCAACCTCAGTAGCGAAGTTGCCGCCCTTGCACTCGCCGTTGTCGCACTTGCCGCCGCCGGCGCATGGGGTGCCGTCGAGGAAGTACTGGTTCATGTTGTAGCAGGTGTTGGGGCCGAGGCGGGACGACGAGCACGTGAGCTGGCAGCTCTGCGAGTTGCACGCCGCGGTGTTGTTGTCGGTGGTGACCGCGCCGACGACGGTCTTGCACTGCAGATCACGGGACGTGCACTGGCCCGAGGCACAGGTGAGACCGCCGCCGCTCGAGCCGCAGGTTGTGCCGTCGTCGGCGAGCTTGTCCGCCGGGCACACTGCTGAAGTTCCGCTGCACGTCTCCTGGGGATCGCAGGCGCCCGTGCTGGCTCTGCAGACCTCTGTCGCAGACTTGTATTGACATTGCGAACTGCAGCAGTCCTCGTTCGAGGGGTCGCAAACTGCGCCCGTCTTGAACTGACACGTCGATGCATCGCAGCAGGAGTTGTCACCGCAGCCTTGTGTGCCACCACAGTCACATTCTTCCCCTTGCTCGACAATGCCGTTACCGCACTGAGCTTCCGAGATGGTGACGACATCCTTGTTATTGGTCAAGCATTGTGACCTGACGCTGTTCCGACCCAGGGCGGAGCAGATGTTTCCAATGCTGCAGGCTGAAAATTGTGTGATGCTGTTGCCCGTCGAAGGGTTCATGATGAAATCTCCGCCAGCATTGCAAGTAGACGTGCTCAAGGGACAGCACTTCTGCATAGATACCGAGCCATCAGAGCAGGTGCTAGAAATGCAGTCATGCACAGCGCCAAAGGTATGGCCGCTCTCATGCGCAAACACCTGCCACTCGGTCGAGGTTCTCACAACCACGTTGGCGCCGGAAACCGTTTGGTTGCTGTCGCCTGAAGTGCCCGTCACACATAGCTGGCCAAGCCAAGCCAAACCGACGGCAGAATCGGTGTTGCAGGTGCTCAGAAGGGTCCAATAAGCATTGGAGTTATTGCGCTGTGCCCGCCAATTCGAGAAGAGGTTTAATCGGGAAGAGATATCGACACTACCGCCACAAGCTACGTTCCACGGAGTTGTCTCCGGCGCAGTACCCGGACACGATGCATCGCTGACGACCAGATCATGGATGCCGAGTGAGACGTTGAAGGTGCTCTCGTAGACTTCAGAGGCGGCACTAACCATTTGGATGATGCTGGTTCGGGCCGCTTCCTTGCTGTCGAATAATGCTGTATATGTACAATCCGTGGCAATGCCAACCAAGGCAACTTTGCGCGATGTCGGACAGCCAGCCGTGGAGCCGATGGTACTCGCCAGGTTGACACCGCCTCCTGTACCACCCGTAGGTGTGTCGTCCTGCCTGCTAAACAGGTGACTTCCATCCGCGGGTGAGATATCGCGAATATCCAAGCCACTGTATATGGGATGGTCGAGGTCGTTGTTAAACTCGAGTGAGTCCGACTCACACGTAGAGCCTTCCACGCTGCGCTTCAGCTCGCCATGTACGTCGTCGTGAGGTAGCACATCAGAATCCCTCCATACGACCATGTATTCATCATCTGCAAGGTCGATAGCCGGGTCCTCGTGATGCTGGGTGCTCCTATAGTTGGTGCTTGTTTGTACATGGTGGTTGTTGCCGTCTATCCGGAATGCGCCTTCGAAGATTGGCCTGGCGCCATCACGATATACCGATATTCTTGCCCATCCCGCCTTCAACCATTCCCCATGCCCCGGGTGTTTGACAAATGCATCCCCCTTGAAGACTCGGTGATCTGAGCGTCTAATTGGTTCTACGTGCTGAACATTTCCGTCGGCATCTAGGTATTGGACGGTCGCATCGTCTGACAAAACATCATAGTTAGGCTGCAGCGTCAAGCGGACCTTGTCATTTCCGGCATGCAGTAAAAAGGTGAGTTCAAACGAGGAGTGAGCGTGGACGCGATGGGATGGCGTGTGGAGAATTGGATCGTCCACGCGACTTATGTAGTTTAGAGCATTTCTCTTGGTCGAATGTGCTTCTGAGGAATGCGACCAAAGCGATAGTACGGCAGCGAAGGTGCTAAGAATGCCGCGCATTGTGAAAAGAAGGAAGGACGAATGAAGTCCCGTAGTGAGGACGAGTTCCACGAATCTACGCCACCATCCGAGTTGAATGCGGATTAAGCCTTAATTAGAATAGAGTTATCTGCGCCGCAGGGCTGTTGTCGTGGTTTTGTCAAATACTGTGCTTTCGCGCGAGAAAACAAAATTATATACAGTACATAAAACAAGAATGATGAAACGAAAGAGAGGAGGGATAGGAGTTAAATTGAGGAAGGCAAATGCGAGGAGCACCACTTCGTGAAAGTGGGTGACGAAGCAGAGTGGTTCCCAAGAGGCTCGAGGCGGCTTGGCAGTGTTGTCTTGGCTGCTGAATGTCTCTGCAGATTGCCGTCGTTCCCGGCCCGTTTCTTCTGATGAATTCTCCAGAATTTCGTTGTCGATAGTGGCGTCAATCACTGCAGTACAGCTCGTCGGGTTGTTTTGTAACTTGTAACGTACTTTCGGTACAATGAGATGGGATGGGAAAACAGATTAGCAATGCAGACAAACAAATGGCCCTGGACGGCCGAAAAGAGTGGTACTGCAATGTTCTGGGGACCCAAGAAAACAGAGTGAGACAGGCTGAAGGATGAGATGCAATGGCTGCGCAGCACGGAGTACCAACTACTGTATGTACAGGCTCAGCGCGAGTGTCAACCCCACGAAGGGGGCCGGATCTTGTCCAGGGTTGCCTCAATAAGTGGATATCTAAGCAACCTGCAGGTTCGAAGGGGACTTCTTGGATGTTAGAAGGCAGGGGGTTGTTTGCTATGCCTCTCTCGTTCAGTGTTACATAGTCCTTAACCTTTTTTTTGTTTTGTTACCTTTACCCTTACAGGCGCCCGCAAGCGCTGGCACTGCCGTGGTTGGTTTATGAGAGGAATCTACGCCGGGCTTGGCTAACACCAGCTTTTCCATTTTTAGAGCGCCCATGTACATTGTTTCAGAAACACACAGGCACTCACTCGCGAAGTGTCGGTGTAGTTGTTTGCTCACGCAAATCTTGCCAGTAAATAGGGCGATGCAGAGATTGAGTGTATCATGGCTGGTGGATAAGAGACTGCCATGGCGCATTCATCGGCAAAGTATTCCGAGGTCCCAGTTCGTGATACGACACGAGTGAAATTGGGATGGGAAATGTTTAGCAGCGGTTTTAGTCAACCCGGCGTCCGAAGAAGCTTAAAACAAGGATGTGGAGAATCGCACATGGTAGCGTCAAGTTACAAGTTCCCACTGTTGCGGGTGGCTATGCTATGTATGGCATTGGAGCATCCCTGAATCTGCATCTTGTCGTCTCATCTTTCACGAACGATACTACGCTGTCTACCGAACGAAGCCTTCTACCGGCTGCCGGATAGTTCGCTCTGATAATGACGCAGGCAAAAAAATTTGTCTCGATGCAATTGACATTGCCAAGATGTTAGATCTTCTTCCATTACGCGTCTTGCTGACTTCCAAGTCCTACGGCTTGAGCTAGACCGTGGCGCAGACATCTCATATGCACACTTCACGTGTCGTAAAGGACCGATGATTGGTGTAATAAACCGTTCTAGATCAGCAGCGAGATGGAGCCCTCCAAAAGCGAAGAAGAAAAAAACAGAAGACCAATCAGCGCTAGCCTACCTGCCAAAAAAGAACTCAGACTTCGGCATTAGTATCCCCAAAGTCCGATTGATGTACAAGTCCAGACGATACATGTGAGCTATACTGCAATGCTCGGGATCTTGGTTATCGTAGAACCTTGCCAGTAACGGGACGTGGATTTACAAGGAATGTGAGACAAGGATCTCGTAAACATGTACAGCCATTGGCTGATAGACTGCAAAGGTTTGAAATTTTCGATTAGTTCATTCAATGAGCTGGTCACCGTATATAATACTGAAAACAACGTTCCCTTTCTTGGAATTCTGGATAAACTATTTCAACATTGTGGTATCAGAAGCTCTCCCAATCAAAATACAAAACCCTTGCTTATTTCTTCTTCGAATCCGACACGACTGCGGTAATTTTATTGACAACATCGGGGTCGGAAAGCTAGAGCAGCAGAATTAGTGTCGTCCAATTTGAAGGACGTCGATATTGGTACTCACAGTTGAAGTGTCACCTATTGAGTCACCCTCACCCGCAAGAATCTTCCTTAAAATGCGGCGCATAATCTTGCCACTACGGGTCTTTGGCAGGTCGGGGACGATGAAGATTGACTTGGGAGCAGCGAAGGGACCAATGCTCTTCCGTACTTGCAGGGACAGCTCCTTGCGAAGCGCATCGCTGTTCTCGGTGCCATCCTTGATAGCGACAAAGGCGGCAACTGCTTGGCCAGTAAGCTCATCAGCCACGCCCACGACAGCTGCTTCCGCAACGGTATGGTGTTCAATCAAAGCTGCCTCAATCTCGGCGGTCGATAGACGATGGCCACTGACGTTCACTACGTCGTCTACACGGCCGCGAATCCAGTAGAAGCCTTCGTGGTCACGTCCGGCACCATCACCGGTGAACTATATGATTGTCAGCAGTTTGTTTATCAAATGGAAAGGAGAGCTAAAACGTACGTAATATCCCTTATAAACATTTAAGTAAGTGTCCATATATCTCTTATGAGCGCCGTAGACTGTTCTCGCCATGCTGGGCCAAGCTTGCTTGAAAGCTAGCACTCCCTCGACATCGTTACCATGAATCTCATCACCAGAGACGGGGTCGATAATCGCAGGCTCGATACCAAAGAAGGGCAGGGATGCACTACCGGGCTTCGTGGGCGTTACACCTCCAAGCGGTGTAATGACGTTGCAGCCAGTCTCGGTTTGCCAGTATGTCTACACTTGTTAGTCGTTGGGTGTTAATGCCAAGATGTCAAGCTAAACTCACGTCCACAATGTGTGCCTCCTCTCGTCCGACAACCTCGAAATACCACTTCCATACCTCGGCGGCAATAGGCTCGCCAACGGAGCCCAGGATTCTCAACTCGGGCATGTGGTGCTTCACATATTCATCACCGGCACGCTTGAGTAATCTTAACGCTGTCGGGGCCACGTAGAATTGAGTGACCTTGTGTTTCTCGATGATGTCCCAGTATCGGGAGAAGTTAGGATAAGCTGGGGTGCCTTCAAAGACCACAGTTGAAACACCAAGTAGAAGAGGTGCGTATACGACGTATGTGTGGCCAGTAATCCAGCCCACATCACCACCACAGAAATACCGATCGCCATCGTGGATGTCAAACACGTATTTCCCAGTGATGGCGGCACCCAGGAGATAGCCACCAGTTGAGTGCATGACACCTTTGGGCTTACCAGTGGAGCCAGATGTGTACAGCAGGAAAAGAGGATCTTCAGAGTTCATGGGCTCGGGGGCAATGTAGGAAGGCCACTTCTCGACCTCCTCATGCCACCACAGGTCCCGACCTGGTGTCCAAGGGGTATCGGGATTTCCGGTCCTCTTGTAAACAAGCACGCCAGTCACGTCGGGGCACTGCTTCAACGCCTCATCGACAATCTTCTTGGTGCCAATTAGTTTGCCGCCACGCTTTCCTTCGTCAGTCGTGATGACAACCTTGGAGTTGGCGTCGATAATGCGGTCGCGCAGCGAGTCAGATGAGAAGCCGGCAAAGACAACCGAGTGGACTGCACCAATACGGACGACTGCTAGTAAAGCAATGACCGCTTCAGGAATCATGGGAAGATAAATGGCGACCGTATCTCCCTTCCGCACTCCCATCTGCTTGAGAGTCCATGCTGTTCTGCTAACCTCACGCAATAGCTCGGCGTATGTCAAAGTCCGGCCATCACTGGGTTCATCAGCCTCGTAAATGATGGCAACCTTGTCTGGGTTCTTGATGGCGTGTCGGTCAACACAGTTGTATGAGGCATTGAGCTGACCCTCCAGAAACCAGGCATTGTCGCCCTCGAGAAGGGAACCGGTGTGGACGGTCTGGAAGTCGCGCTGCCAAGTCAACAGCTCACGGGCCATGCGGCCCCAGAACTTGTCAGGCTCAGTAATGGACTCTTGGTACAGCTTTTGATACTCCTCAAGGCCTAAGATGCGATCAGCATGGAATATCCTCAAGCACAAGCCCAACAAAACATGGCTGACTTACTACCAATATGCGGTTTGCTGGGGTGTTCTGTTGAGTGTGTTAGCCCCACTAAGTACTGCTACGTGCATGAGAGATTGCCTGGGCGCATTGACTTACTGTCCAACATTTTTTGCGGAGGGTCTGTTGGTCATTCTGTTAGCCATTCTGCTTTTTTTTCTTCAATTTTTTTCAATGTAAATATGAGGTCAATTGTGCAACTTACGATATGTGTCGACCTCATGGGCCTCCGCGACCACCGGAGTCTTGCCGTCGGACATTCTGACGACCTGGTCAATGTATGCGGGGTAGGTCTTGAGGTTCGTCTGGAATCAGGTGATGAATTAAAGGGACGATGATCTCGAGTTTGCTCAAGTACGAACAAGGACCCAGTTCGGTAAGCAAAACAGAGGCTTTGGAAGAGTAAATAAAGGGGGATTGGAAGAAAAGCGGAAGTAAGTCAATTGTGACTTGCCCAGGCTGGGGACTGGTGATTTTGTATTACGGCAAAATAATGATTGATGGTCCGATGGTGAATTAAATGGAGATGCTTCCTCTGGGCCCTGCATACACGCTAGTGATCTGCGATGACCGGGGTATCCTCTCTGCCCACTGAGCCACTTGCTTCCGCTCGACCGCGGAGCTCTCCCCAATCATGATCCTCTGAACACAACTATTGTACGGATTACAACTCTGCACCATAGATGGATACTATGTGCAGTGGGATACACCCCGGGCCAGTCAGTGTTCCATTTTACATTACAGATGCTACTTGACATCGCACCGCAGCTATCACGATGGAACCCAAATGCCCCTTCCTTGGGTTGTTCCACGATTTGTCGGCCCTTGATATAAAGAGAGACACTTCAACCAAGGTCAGATGTCTAGGCTCTCTGTGTCAAGTTTCTGAACAACCCTACTAAAGGACGCCATCAATGTATCCTTCTAAGCGGCACAACGGCCGGATGGTTCAGCCTGAGCTGTGGATCGGATTGTCTGGACGGCCCTCAACACGCATGGGGCCTCACTCAAATATGCCCAATCATACTCTCTTCAAATGGCCGGCCCGAGGATTCGCACGATACAACACGATACGGTACACATGTTGGCTTGTACTTCAGTCAATATCATCCCGCTGTTCTAGGCGAGTTCGCAATTTCCCGCTGCATTTTGCCATGCCGACTCTTCCATGCAGGTCGTGATTCTACGGGCGCTTACAATACAAGAGAATGCCTAGAAGTGACTTACCCATCTTCTTACCGGACGGGCGATCCGGTTGATAGGAAGTACGATCCTTGGTTGCGCGTTTTCTATTCCCTGTCACCTTGCTCCAAGTAAGTCGCATGGCAGTTCCTTAACGCCTGGGCACCCACCCCTCAACCCCGCATCGAAGTCTTTCGGGGTTCAGTGGCCCGTGTGCAAAAGTATGTACCTACCTGGAGGGGTTTATGGGGAAGCGAACCACGACATTGGGTTCGTGTGGATTCATAAACACCATAATAGATTAGATTATCACGGCCGACTGGCACACTGTTTATTAGCTTGGAGCAAAACCCAAAGACACCGGCCTGTACTCCACTGTGCTTGTTCTCGGTAAGACAACATCAGATCAATTTCGCTATCGGCGAATACTTGCCTCAACCTATGACATGAGCCCAGATATATCCGGTCTCCCACGCCAAGTGTCTCCAAAAACGCGGGGAAGCCCTTCACTCTCCAGTGGCTGACTTGGCGACAGGCTCGAGTGGGTCGACGAGCAAAGAGGTTCTGTCATCTTGTCACGTCAAAAAGACTGTTTCAAATCTTGTACAAGCACGAAGCACATAAGTGCGTCTTCGTCCGTCGAGAAGCCAAAGCCCCTTGTTCGCCACCACGGTTTTCGTACTCGGTTTCACCAAGTGCCGCAGCCGCAACATACGACGCGGCCCTTACACATGTCCCGTTCCACGACAGCTTTGCACTTCCAGCCTACCGGTACACACAGAGCGAGGTTCCTGTGCGGCTAGGCGTCTCGCACTAGTAGTAGTCAAAGTATGCTGCTTCAAACCCACTACCGCTGAACCGCATCGCATGGCCTCGGTTATAGAGAAGCCCATCTCCTTTCAGCCTTGTCCGAGGATCTCGAACAAATTTGGAATTCAACATTCTTGGTTAACCGTGTCTGACCCAGCTAGATCCCGAATTAGCTCGTCGTGAGCCTGTTCCCGAGGAAAGAGCCCGCATGTACACGAGCCCGTGGTTCATGAATAAACCGTAGACGTCACTTGCGTGCATAGGGGGGGATGAACCAGCACTTGGCTTATTGAACGATGAAATCTACGCAGTCCGCATAAGCTCAAGCCCACATCTTTGATGCCGCTTCAGAGCAGACGTGGATTTCTCAACGCCTATAAGTGCGGTATAATAACTACTGACCTAGAGCTCTCCACGTCCCCGTCATTTCATTTACCCTTGATAATCCACCGTGTCTAACAGTACTACCGCACGGAATCCAGTACCACAAGAACAAAATGAGATAAGAAAACGAGCTATGTGACCCGTTTTCGGGAGAGATATTGCAGATCAGATCGACGAAGGCCGAACGGTACAACATGGGAGGACAAGCGGGCCGACCGTCCAGGGAACATCGCTGTATGCGGGACCAAACTAACCTTAGCAGCCTTAACTGCCAGAAGGGGAGTACGTGGATATCATGGCTTGCCCTTGCGAGTTTGGGCATTGCTGTTAGAGAATTGATATCAAAATATCATGACACTGAACTATAGAAGTTTCAGTAGAAGCACAGGCCCGGAGAGGAGTGTACCCTTTTTTGTTGCACATGGTTGAGAATGTCAGGTATTGCCAAGGTCAATGTCGTCGTGGCGAGATCGACTAACTGCTCTCTCTGACTAGCAGCCTCATTTGGCCCGACTTGACCCACAAGCGAACAGCCTCACATTTGGGGAGCTTCATCGCTGTACCATGGGGCTAATAGGCTTAGAAGGGACTCTGAAGTTGTTGGACGCAAGCTAATGTTCAGCCCGGATGCATAGCAGTCTAGGTAGGTACCATTTTCATATCTACCATCTCATATCAACGGTCGGCTCATGCTGCACAATGTTTCTGTGCATTTTGCCAGTATCATGCGACTGAAGCATCCGTCGAGGTGTTATCAGACAGCTATCTTGTTATCTTCATATGATCGAATCATGCCTCCTTCATCAATCTAACCCATACCTGCCGATGACTCCATAAGCTCAAAACCCAGTGCCGAACGCCTTCCTCTCAGGTGGGATTAATAGCAACAGTGATCTTATAAGTCCATCTCCATCAAATACATCTCAATTATCCTCATGAATTTGGCGACAAAGGCCTCGAGGTGGAAGATTACCTTTGTGCCTATCTTTATGCGATGCTCGTAGAACGCAGACCACTTGATTACTTCCCACTTCAAGTCGTCGTCGATCAGGGCGATGAGTTTGAATGTGAGGGTTTTGAGGATAGTCGTAGGCGGTATGCAGTGTGTAAGCAGGTCATACAGCTTAGCTCGGACTTGCAAGATACGTGCGGGCGAGTGCTCCTCCATGATCTCCTTGGCGATTTGGCTGATGAGTGCCTCCCAATCGGGGGGCGGTATTGGTGTGGTGTCGGTAACTTTTTCGCTGTTGAATGGTCAGCATCCATGTTCAGAGGCAGGGCTGCAGGACGTCGGGACAACTTACTTTTGCGCGTGTACTGCTTCGTACATCAAGAGGGCCCTTCGCAAGTTTCGTCCACTCTCTTCGGCAATTCTCTTGTGCAGGCCTTGAACAACTGGCCAGCCCTCCTTCTTTGCTGAGGAAGCCAAAACTGTGCTGATCTCGTCGATCGTTGGGGCTGCAACGCGGACTAGTAAGGTTCGACTTCGGATCGGTGCAATGATATTTGCAGTGCTGTTGGCCAGGAGGATCAGCCTCAAGTTCGGGCTGTACTTCTCCATGGTTCGTCTGAGCGCGGCCTGCGCATCCCTGCTCAGGTGATCCGCCTCGTTGATGACGACGACCTTGAACCTCTGGCGAGCACTCTGATCGACTTGCTGGGTCTGGGCTACCTCTTTCAGCAGATCTTGCACGACCACACGATCGTAGTTGCCGACATCTGAAGGAGTTATCTCGAGGTGATAGACGGATGCCACGATGTTGAATTCGAGTTTACGGTTGCTGCTGGTCTGGAAAACGCGGGCGTCGATCTTGATCTTTTCGACACCTGGCCCGTAGAGCTCCTTGAGAGTTGCGACGATGCGAGTCTTCTTGCCTGCACCCGAGGGTCCGTAGACGAGGAGATGTGGGAAGTCACCGCTTTGGGCCTGCAAGCACAAAAGCGAACGTTAGTGAGACTTGGTCGGAAAGAGCCTTCCAAGGCAAGCCCTCCGATAGAGCAAGTAGTCCGCCACGTACCAGCGACCGTAGACGTTCGGAAAGCTCTGGGTGATATGTGAGCTGGTCAAGAGACCGCGGACGGTGTTTGTCGACTATGAGAGCCATGTTGCAGTTGCAATTGGTTGCCGCGAACCGTCGGGTGATGTTAGCTCGCGGGGTCTTCTATGCTATGCGAGGGTCAGACTGTTGGTATGTATGAGCGCAAATGTGCAGTTGGAGTGTGTCGTGAGACTCAGTCGAAAATCGAAAGGGCGGGTTGAATGATGATGATTCTTTCCAGCACAGACGCGTTAATGGAATTCAGAAGACGCGTAGAGTGGTAAATGTAGGCCTTTCCCGTTAAGGACAAGGGACTTCAGTGCCTCCCAGTACTGCCGGTGCCGCTGCCGCTACGGGCTAGGCTTCAAGGTCAAGGTCAAGGTGGGCGTGGCGGGGCAGGAATGGACCCCTCCTACCCTCCATATTTCGGCAGTAGTGTGCACTCACGAAGGGCGAAGGGCGAAGGGTGCAGGGTCGAAGTACACACACGGAGTACGTCAGGGGGTATTCATTCTTGTGCACTGCGTTGGTCTGAGGAACGCAAAGCAAGATGGCGGCCGCCGGGCTGCAACACGAATGGAATCCACCAAATCCGCCCTGGTATTACTGTCGGGAGTTGTTGGCCAATGGCAATGCCGTGGATCGCTACGCAAAACACAAGGCACTCCATAGTGTTTTGAGTGCCACAATTACTTATCCTATTCGACGAGTTGTCAATAAACTTCTGTCTTTCATAATACCATGTCACCTACGTGCTGGGCTGAGGCGGCTTGTTGTTCATATCCCGTATTATCCATTACAGTGGGTTTGAGCAACCAGGCAATAGATTGTTATTATACAAGTGCAGAAAACATGCTCAAAATAGGGGAGCGGGGATGCGCCAACTCTACAGTTAAGGCCTGGAGCACGCCTGCGGTATGTACTGACCATGCTCTAGGTTACTTGCGGTCCCGGTAGTGGCACGGAAACATTCCAAGATTTTGCATTGAATTGCACGACACACACCGACACCCCCACTTCGTACCGAAAATGAATCGGTGACGATTCAGGAAGAGGCCCCGGAGAGAATTGCGCTTTTCTTTCTCTCGTTCCCTGACCCTTTGCTAGCCTCTTGAAGAGTTGATTTTCCCCTTGGGAGTTTCTTCAGAGGTATATGCGGGGTTTCTTTCCAACCTTAGACTAACCTACCTCAAAGTCCAGACTGTGCCTTGAATCTAAATATTTCGAGCCCAGCTCTTTTGAACAAGACACTTTGGGCAGCAAAGATCGCAACACCACCGACCGCCACCATGTCATTCAACAGCAGAAAGTTCTCTATGAACCGCAACACGGGTGTACCCCGTGTTTCGCGTCGCTTCAGCATAGGTGATAACCCTGGTACCCAAGGTATGTTTTCTCTTCCTTTATACCTAGACTCCACCCTTTCCGTTTGCCTACGTTGCTTTTATCTGCATGGGATTTTTCCGAGACGCAAATGTACACAATATGCCTGAACAAACTCTATATCGTAGCACCCAATCCCCGTCAAACATCTTGGCAAAGAGGGTCATTGGGCGGCTCCTAAACAGGAACAACTACTACGACAGTTCTTGGCACACTAGATAGGACGTTCAATACACTTACTTACCCGTCCGCCTCATAGAGACAACCTCCAAGATTCATCGCCAGTTCCGCGCTGCTCATGAAGGTCACCTTCCTCACGCCGGTCTCGATGCCACCAGAGCCTCCACCGGTGTTGTCTGGTGCACGGAGCGCGCCAGCGAGTATGGCTTCCTCGAAGAGCCCGAGAAATGGGCAAACCTAGGTCAGGGTGCCCCTGAGGTCGAAGACGATATCGAGGGTTGCTTCCAGCGCCCCGCCACCATCGACGTGACAACGGCCGCTCGAGAGTATGGTCCTACCGCCGGCATCAAGCCTCTGCGGGAGGCCGTCGCTCACATGTACAACGAGATGCACCGTCAGGGCAAGGATTCCAAGTACACCTGGGAGAACGTTGCCATCGTTCCTGGTGGCCGTGCTGGTCTTATCCGTATTGCAGCCGTGTTGAACAATGCTTACGTCGGCTTCTTCATCCCTGACTACACAGCATACAATGAGATGCTGTCGCTGTTCAAGAACTTCGCAGCCATTCCCACTCCCCTGAGCGAGGAGGACGGTTACCACATCCACCCAGACATCATCGCACGAGAGATTGCCCGAGGAACCTCGGTCATTCTGACATCGAACCCCAGGAACCCAACTGGTCGTGTCGTGGCCAACCCTGAGCTCGCCGAGATCCAGGATCTATGCAGAGGTCGAGCTACATTCGTCAGCGACGAGTTCTACTCGGGATACAACTACACGAGCAATTGCGACGGCACCACCATCTCTGCTGCTGAGAACGTGGAAGACGTAGATGAGGACGACGTTCTGATTATCGACGGCCTGACCAAGCGCTTCCGCTTGCCTGGCTGGCGTATCGCATGGATTCTTGGACCCAAGGAGTTCATCAAGGCTATCGGTTCTTGTGGTTCCTATCTCGATGGTGGAGCCAACGCCCCTTTCCAAGAGGCTGCCATTCCCATGCTGGAACCCACACTCGTCCAGAAGGAGATGATTGCGCTGCAGAGACACTTCCGCGACAAGCGAGACTATGTCATCAAGCGTCTTCGCGACATGGGTTTCGTCATCAAGTACGTGCCAGATAGTACCTTCTATCTCTGGCTTAACCTCGAGGGTCTGCCTGGCCCCATTTCCGATGGCTTGAACTTTTTCCAGGCCTGCCTGGAAGAGAAGGTCATTGTGGTCCCGGGTATCTTCTTCGATCTTAACCCCTCGAGACGTAGGGATCTGTTCGACAGCCCCTGTCACCACTTCATCCGATTCTCGTACGGCCCTAGAATGGAGACCCTGGAGCTCGGCTGTGACGGTATCGAAAGAGTTGTCCAGAAGTACGTATCAGCATGCTCCCTTGCTTGGAATTAGGCCCGCTAACATTCCCAAAGGTACAGAAGAAGCCATTAAACAGGGCCACTACGACAAAGTAAGCCTATGGGCACGGTCTGCCATCGGGCATAGCCCTTAACGTAGGGAGTCATTTTTAAGAAACTCTTGATGTAGACAACGTGAATGCCTTGGATTGATTATTAGATACCATTTCCGCAGACAGGATAAACAAGCGGTACTTGAGACTTACAAATGTCATCCATCTTATCTCACATGGTATTGCGGAATCTCCACTTGGAGGATCCATCGAAATTCATTGTGACTTCCGAAAGTCATTGCTTGTGATATCAGTGAAAGCCAACTAGGAATCAATCGGCCATCGTAGAATCTTCCGTGCTGCCCATGTAAACGCCGCGTCTGAGGGATCACAGAAGTGTTTTGAAAACTAGTCGAGTATGAAGTGGAAGAAACAAAAACACCCCCGATAGATTCCAGAATGCAGAGACATCCTCCGGCGCGAAACGATGCAGGGAAGGTATACATGGTGATCACGTTTCAACCGAGGTACCCCGGCCCACCGGAGGAGATCGGGGGAGGAGGGGGCGGGACGCTCGTTGTTGTACCCCGTACTGGTAGGTAGGTATGCGTCAAAACTTGGGGCCGTCTGTACGTGTATGTCAATTGGGTCTCTTGTTGATCCTTGTGGCCTTTTTTCTTATTAAAAAAGGGGGGTTTTTTTTTTTTGCCTTCTTCTTGTAAGCTTCGTCATATTCATGCGTTGAGTATGCATGGCTCAGGAAATATATACTATTAGTAGACCAATTAAGAGAAAAAAATTGAAAAGTCTCCAACGTCTTTTATGTTCATCCACCGCGGCGCGAGCCCATGTCGTCGCTTACTTGGACTAGGGGGAAAGGAGGTTTGTGGGAGGCACTTTTTTTTTTTTTTTTTTTTTTTGCAAACGGCCTATGGTTCTACATCGACTACTTTTACAGTTTCGGGTTACATCTGTCCCAGAAAACTCGTGCTCGGTTACCAAGTCTCGAACACGCAACGGAACGTTTTGTCTCCCCATCCCCTCGTGTCGAATTTCCTGAGACCGCGGTTTACATAGCACACACGGAACACGTTGAATCATCCCCGTTATGCCTCCTATTCTCAGCGTGTATGGAGAAAGCATCGCCGAGGAACGGGTTTCTCTCTTCCTTTTCTTGCATGAGATAGGGTGATGTTGTACGATGATTTGTTTGAAGTTTGACGATATAATAAAGTGTGTATATTTATTCAACCAAGATTGACGCAACGTCCAGTGTACTAAATGATAAAAATATGTGGTTCCGTTGCCATCACGACGCGTTATCAGATATAAACATGTATAGTTCCTCGCAGCTACAGCGAGTGATCATGTGAAGAAACACGATATCAATGCACAGAAAAAAAACCCCACAGAATCAATATTCAGCATAGAATATATATGTCAAGCAACAGCTACTTATCTTAACCACAACACAACAACAACAATGGGTAGCAATGATGTGATGATGGATTAGCAAGACGTGTTTGATATTGAACATGATACTGCTCCGGCAGACTTAGCAACCCAGAACATTTTAATCAGCAATATTGGTCTGTGTCTGTATCGCTTGACAGTATGTCCCGGTATTTATACAGGTGTTTTCTTCCAAATAATTTCCAGACGCTGTACTTTTGCGCCAGGTAGTTTTTACAGTCCCCGAGCCCGCTCCGTGGGTATATTCAAGGAACTAAACACTACTGCGCCACCGTCCTCCGTCATATTCATCGTATCTCTTAGAGCCGTCCAAAGATCGCCATGATGATAATAATAATAATAATAATCAAGTCTGTGTACTTGGCAAGACACGTATGCTGTCTTCCGTTAGAGTGTCCCAAATTCTCTGCAGCAGGGAATGGCCAAACCAAGGTCATTGTCGTGCTGAGATATGCATGTGATTTGGCAAATATGAGGCAGCCACATGACTGAATACATCGATAAAGTGGGTTGGTCACCGTCGGTGAGATTCCTGCAGTGTGGATCTCCATTTTTCGAGTCGTCGTGTCATGACTGATGGCACAGTCCGGCGTCTGATCTATCTCCGGGTCGATTGAAACGACGGCGTGGATATAAAAACAGATAAGTCCCATAAACAATAGGATATATTGCCTCATCACCGAAAGTTGATAATTGCAAGCTGGCGAATATGGTTAGCATGGGCGGACACCTTGATATGCGAATGGTCTTGTACATACCCGACTGTTTACACCAAAGGCAAGTCTTTGGCCATTTGCATCCCAACAAAGGCAATGTTCATCTTCCTCATCGGCGTCCGAGTGTATTCGAGGACTCAGCCAGCCAGGATGGGGCACGCGTTCCCAACTGGCCCGCGGAATGCTATGATCGCCGACCTTCCAGATCAAAATCCTTTCGTGCGTTGCGCCGGCGATAAAAGCTCCATCAGGGGTAAAAGATAGGGCAACAATAGGATCACCCATAGTCATGGAGCATTTCGGTTTTCCGTCCGCAGACAAGGCGTTCCAGATAAAGATAGCGCCGTCCTCGCCTGCGGACGCAATGAGACGCTCGTCTCCTGATGGTGCGGCTGATAGTGGCTGCCACGCAAGTGCAGTGACCGGTCCGTCATGGGCCTTGATCTCGCGCCGCCTCCCAGACTCGTCCCAGACGTCGACAAAGCCTTTCTCTCCACAGGTAGCAGCGAGGGTTGCCCTCCAGTCAAAGTGAATCTGGGTCAACGTGTCGGTCTCGCGAGTTTCAAAGGTCCGGGTCTCCTCGATCTGGCCATTTGCGTGGTCACACCTCATGGACAATAAGAGCTGTCCGCCACAGAGCAGGAAGTCGTGCTCGGTTACCCATGCAACATCAAGATCGGCACTGTGATCTGGTATAACACATGACATGGAGCTGAATGCCTGTACCGGGTAGACCGTGATGAGGGCGTTGTTCCCTTCTGGCGCAACGGCCAGGAGGGATGTGTTTTGCGGGCTCCAGCGCAACTTGACCACAGGGGCCTCAGGGACCTCGAAATGCTGTATCAGACTGCCGTGGACACCCCAAACGCTGATTCTACCTTTCGTGTCCGAGTCGGTGGCGATGGCAATGGCTTTGCCATCCCAACTCCAAGCCAGAGCCGTCACGTTGGATTTGGGGTTGATGCCGTCCTCTTTTAGGCTGCGGAAGGGTGGGACGGTGCCATTCACGTGATTGGATGCAGGGTCCTGGCTGTGGTCGGCGGTTGTTGCACGCGAGATGGTCCAAACGCGGGCTAGCGCATCGGTTCCACCAGCGGCCAAGATGGTTGGGTCCTGCGGGTTCCACTGGCAATGCAGCAAAACAGGCGTGTTCTCTCCGTTGAATCGGGGTGCTGTGGTCAATGGAGAGGTGACCGAGGCATCGTCAGTGCCGAGGGGGATAAATATGGTCTCGGTAGCCAGTTCCTGGACCTTTTCGACCTGCGTGCCCTGCTCTGGGCCGTCAGTTCGCGGTGTTGGGGTTGGCGCCTGTTCACCTTCCAGGGGTGACGGGTAGGCGTGGTTGTCGCCGCCATTCTGGTTCTGGTGCTGGTGCTGCCCGTCAAGTTCCATGGGGTCCGTGGCTGCATCCACACCATTTTCGTAGCCATTGCTCAGACGGGGACGCTTGGCCGGGGAGCCGCCATTGACCAGCGCTTGTTGTTGCGGTCTGCTGTCAATTTGCCGTTTTCGTGAATTTTCAAATTCCTCAATCGTCTCGACCTCCCCTTCCGCATCTTCCTCTGGATCGTGCTCCTTTTCCTCCAGTGCTGGCCCGGGATGTGATGGGGGCGCGACTAACGGACCAAACACCCCTACCTGCGTTGCTTCGGCCACTGCCGCTGCCGCTGCATTTTCTGAAGGCACCTGCACGACATTGTCAGCGCTCCGCCGTTGGTTTAGATACGCGCAGCAGCTGTGTATTCATTGAACTTGTGCGGCTCATGTTCGCATTTTGCGATGCAAAGGATTTCCGCTTCCGTATCTCGCTAGCTGCAACGCGCGGGTAGATCAGAGATTGCCGAATACAAACTTACCTGCTGTTGCTGGTGGTGATGGTGGTGCTGATCCTGCTGTGTCTGAAATTCTCGCTCTAACGAGTTGTAAAGAAGTCCTTTGTTAAGGACATTGATGAGTGCATGGCTCTTGACATGACGCGCAAATTCCAATTGCCGATGTGGTTCTGTCTTGTGCCACTCTTTTTGGAATTTGACTGCTGTCTCTCGATAATCTGCAAACTCAGGTTAGTTCGGTTCACGGTAATCCACAGCATGTGCACCTGCACAGATCTACGCTGGACACTGCCGGAAGATGGCTGCTGCATTTGGGCTCACGTACTGCCTTCTAGGAGATATCTAAGTTGGACGTCAATAAATTTGTGTCTTGCGGTATGTGGGCATAACATGGGCGTTGTCAAGGCCATTGCAGCGTGCCCGGAGACAAGGTGAAAACGTACCTCCAAATTAGAAAATTGACTCGGTCAGAGTCGAGGTACTCCTTCATTGTGGCCTTCCGCGTCGGACCACGGCTCAGAATGACAGAATGAACACCAGAACTTGTCCGCTCAGAGGTCAGGGCCGCGCAAGAGCAGCTATGGGATAATGTTCGAGTGTTAGCGTCGTGATTGAGGATGTTGAAAACAGGAGGAATACATGAATGAGGGAGGAAAGTTTAAGGCCCGTGGACGTCGATCAAGGTGCTTGGCCGTGGTGACTCTGGAAAGAGTCTAGCGCAGCCCATTAAAAACGGTACATGGTCGCAGCAGACAGCAGAGTACCCGCGAGACGACACTCCACTCGCTGCACTTCATTAATGGGCATCTGGCATCCAGCATTGAAGACAATTCGACATGACTGGGGTCCGTCGAGTGAGGCGACGCCGCCCAGCACACTACCAACTGCTCGCCGCTCCTAGCAGCAGAGCTTCTTCGGCGCCGCGGCTTGTTTCGATCTAGAGATTTTTCAACTAAAAACCTTACAGCCCAGGCCGTCTCGACGAGAGAACAGGGAGAAGGATTCTGCGCTTCATCCGGAACATCCCAATCGTGTGTGTGTGCTGCTCGATGCTACCAACGGCGCGAACAATATCTGCGCACAATCTGTTCCTTGAGCCTCCGAATGTGCGTCTCTCTATGGGATGTTTCCCCGACCGATTTGAAGCTTCGGCACCTGGGTCTGGGCTAAGTGACACGATTGATCCTTCCAGGGTAACATTTGCAGACCACGTTCGCTAGCGGTACATTCTAGCTAGTGACTGCCATGTACCCCTTCCATCCACAGAACAAGCGTAACTTTGCGAATGGAGGTGCAGCGTCGTCATTTTCTTTTGTGAACTTGAAGGAATTGTTATTCTTATTGTTGTTGTTACATCGCATCGAGTCTTAGGCGATGCAGTCGAGTCTGAGCAGTCTTGATGTCTTGATGTCTGGAAATTATTCTACATAATGCGAAGCGTGACAACGAGGTATCCGCCTAGTCAAGATATTGCCGATGTGTCCCATGCATCCATAATCGGTTTCAGCATTGAGATTCTCACCTCCGGCGTGGTGCCTTATTTGGGGTGGGAGTTCGCTTCAGCCGTTGCCAGCATACATAGACCGCCAACATTGTGAACAAGGTAAAGGAACGCTGAGACGAATGACAGCCGACAGATATCGACTCATGTACAAGATTTCCCAACCGCTGCCCGTCTGCGACGACTCGGTTTGAGAGGAGGCGTGCACTAGTCTAGAGGGCTTCTTGTGGTCACTCCGTTACTCCGTGGACCGTGGGGTTCGTTTGAATTTTTGCTGGAACATTGAGCTGGTTGCTTGGGACTGGGCACAGATGATTGAGAAGTTCGTCAGGGCCCTTGCTCGCGGCCTGTCTAGCCTTGGCGGCATGTCTAGCAGCTAGCTCCACAAGAATCCGTCTGGGGTCCATCGGGCTCTTTAAACTTGTGCCACTTCGGCAAAGAGATTGGATCAAGCATAAAAGTAGGTAAGCCTGCCTACCTGCGCTTGTCCTGGGCTGCAGTTGAGTCCAGATCCAAGTTCTCAACCGCTGTTTACACATCGGGGATGGGCTCGGCGCTACACTAAATGCCTGGCCAATGTAGAACGTTATTGTGCGAATTGTTTCTCTAAAATAATTATTGCGGATCTGGCTTTGCTCTTTGCGATACCAGCTCGTTTAAATTGACCGTGGGAATATCGGTGTTGCATCGCTTGACAAGCAGGGTTGGGTCTCGGGTTCCAGAAGACACTTCTGCGCCAACATGGTGGGTGAAGGGGGCCTTGCCAGGCACGGAAGTTGTCCCGCACTTTTCCTTTTGACAAAAGAGAACATGCCAGCATGATCGGCGGACAGATTCGTAGCAGGTGATCGTACAACCTTGAGAGGGCTTAGCGCTTCACCCTCTTCCCAATGACGTTCTCGCTTGATTTGATCAATGAAGATGCCATATGGAATGATGTGTCTCCAGTTGCAGCTGTAACATAGTCGGGCCAGATTGAACTTTCAACCCCGAACAAGGAGCAAATTGACGATGAAGTTGCGTTGTGTTGCTATATAATACAGGAGACCGTACCTCAACTATTGATCGTGAGGTTGATGAGAATGCCTGTCAAGTGGCTGCGTGTGGCTGGTGCCAGTCCAGAATGCATCCAAGCTCTAATTTGCGCCTGACGCAGCCACATTTGCTACAACTCGGGGTTGGGTCCATTACCGCCCTTGACCTTGCATATGCGCGAACTGTCCAGTCTATTCTGCCATCAAAGGCTCCCGAATTCCTCCCAAGCTACGTAAGAGCATCTAATCCGTAGAGCTGAGCTCATCAGCCGCCAAGCACACGTCGTCATGCCTCCTCGAATAAACATCCCGCCAGTCACTCGAGTGTTACTCATAGTTCTACTATTGCAGTCTGTTCTGAGCGCAGCTGTACGCTATCGACAATGGTCCGCCAACTCGGAGATTGTGGTGGAATGGCTCACGCTGGTTCCCCAACTGTCGCTCTTCTACCCTTGGGTCTTTGTGACGACGACGTTAGTCGAGAACAACATATTTACACTAGGACTTGCTGGCTTGACCATCTTTCAAGGCGGCCGGTACCTCGAAAGAGCATGGTCCTCCAGGGAATTCGCAAAATTCCTCTTGGTGGTATCCTTGATACCCAATGCGCTGAGCTTCTTGTTCCTGATTATCATGTTTACTTTGACGAGGAATGAGCGATGGACGTACGTTGTCCTCTAATACACTCTGTGTGGTCTTCGGATTTATTGATCTTGTTCCTAATTTTGCGCTTTTCTTGACAGGTTAACGACAATCTCCGGTACCGTTCCCTTACAAATCTCCTTTCTGGTTGCCTTTAGCCAGTTGGTACCAGCTCATACCGTCACCTTGTTCCGAGGCATCTTGTCCATGCGCGTGCCTAGATTTCCTCTGGTACATCTTGGAGTGGTGACGGTGCTCTGGTTGACCCCGATATTCACCATAGCACATCTACTTCTTGCTATATTCGGACTCTTGACGAGCTGGACATATCTGCGCTTCTTCAAGGCCGTGTTTCCGGATCTCGACTCTTCGCAGCCGACTGCCCTGCGAGGCGATGCTAGCGAGACGTTTGCATTCGCCAGATTCTTCCCTGGGCCTATGCGACCGCCTGTGGAAGTTGTTTCGGACCAGATCTTCAATGCACTGGTAGCTATCAAGGTCTGCACGCCGTTCTCACAGGCAGATATCTCTGCTACGCAAGCAAACAACTTTTCATCAAGAGGAGGATCAGGTGGTGTTCGGGCAGAAGCTGAGAGGCGTAGGGCGCTCGCACTGAAGGCATTGGACCAGAGGTTGCATGCGGCAACCAGTACTCCGCGGAGTCATTCACAACCACCAAGTCATACGGCTGGACCCACGGTGTCAACCCAACCTCTGGCTAGCACTCAGACTGCCATGACCTCAGAACCAGCGGCTATGCTTGGAGAAACAAATTACGTCCCAGATCAAGATCATCACGAGAAAGATGGAGCTTGAATATTGTGTCTGGCAAACACTTTTGTCTTGTACCATATTATCAGCATTTGAGCAAGGAGTACAGTTAGAGGTACACTTCTTTCCTATGTTCGCCAACGAGGGACGTTTATTAGCGATTCAAATGTCTTTAGCGCAGGAAGTTCAGGACCAGGGCGGAATGTTGAATGGTTTCGCGAGGCTATATTGGTAGGGAACACGAGGCGATTATGATTTAAACCACTTCGTCTTTGGGTCAGCAGGTTTGGACGATAAACTCTGTATAGAAGAATTCTCGATGACTGAATGACAATCTCAAGTGTCAATTGGGCTGGCTTTGTGGTGTCATTATGGTGTTTAACGCATTCTCAACAAGTATAAAAGTCTAGATTAGCGGAGTAAATTGTTGTTGCGGTCTATTGCTAGCGAAACGTGCTATGGGTGAAGAAAGAGTATGGACTGTATCCAATTGGATCGTCAAGGACAAATCGCTGGTAAGATACAGCATGAAGACAAACTTGGGGCACATTGTTAGTGGCCTTGGGAAATCACCTTTGTTGGCCTCATGTTTATTTGGATCGCTTGCCTGAACGCTGTCGCCGCTCGTCGATAAGGTATGGGCCCCCTTTGACAATATTTCCAAGTGAGACATGGCGGCACTACAAGGCCTCTTCATTCCGCTTTCACTTTCCTCGATGAAGCACGTGCAGCGATATGTCATGATGTGGTGACTAAGTTCATACAGACAGGAGGAAAGCGAGGACTCGCATGTGAGTTGCCGCAGTTGGTCTGGAAAGTAACATGCCCATTTGAACCTCGTTGAGAGTAGATTGGTTGTTCAGCTTGTTCTGAGTCACTCACCAGACTTTGACATGAACACTGCTGGAGGGCCGATTAGCACACGGCACATGTTGAGTCGATGCGAAACACTGGCGCCTCCCGAACGTTAATATATCCAAGAGGCTGGAAAGGCTTATATGCATGCCCGCAGTAGCAGCGCACGAGGTAAGTAGGCAAATTTGCCCGGCGGTAATTATATCTCTGTATCTGCTGTGGCTTGCATGTTAACAACCTTCCTCCCCCAACAAGGCGGCAGACAGTTTTTTGTCATTGTTATCCCTCACATATTCCGGTCATACCGCATGGGAGCACGACAGGAATGGCTGCATACATTAACAGCTACGCACAAGTGTAACACTCATAGCTTGAAACGAATGGCACGGAAGAAAGCAAGCGCTGTCAGCGTCATTGTCCCATGGCAAATCATACCCCTGATTTCTATAAAAGCCCGACGTTTGTGGCCCATTGTCACTAATCCCTACCCCATGGAGTGGTGTCTCGGCCTGATCGATGATAGGTGCCCCAACCACCATCTCGGGAAGCGGGCCACAAGTAAAAATCTGGAGGGAGGGGGGGTGTATGGCTGTTTTTATAATACCCACGCCCTCTATTCCCCAATGCACTCTCTTATCATGTCTGTTATTGGTCTGGTCCTAAGTATGTAGCAATTCGCTCTCCATTTCCCAGAAAGACAACACGATCCGATCTACAAGACCCCTGCGCGTTGGTATTTTCTCTACTATGGTACATGTCCAGCGCTTGTGATGAAAAATGTCATCCACCCCGACGCCTCACGCACTTGCACCACACACATGGCTACGCTGCAGGCCTGCCTAAAATAAGATGGCTTGTTTCAACCACTGTTCCCTCGTTTGTTTAGCGAAGACAAGGTGCGATTGCCGTATGCAATTGTATGCAGAGTACTATTGGTGTATCTATCTACCTGCCCAGGCAGATCACTTCGGCAAAAATCGTTCTCTTGGCGAGAAACTATAGGTTTGTCTGTATATACGGCCAGGCATGAGGACTTCTTTGCTGTACTTCTTTTTAATCATGGCTATAACAGAATTCCTGATGTCATGGTTGGCATATTCTGTAGCCTCTCGCCGTCTTCTTGTCTCGTGTGGCGGGTATCCACTCCTCCTCCCCCAAGTCGTGCCAAGAACAGTTCGGTAGAGCAACTGATTCGTGAGATCAGCCCTCTGGCGGAAATAGGGGATGGCCAGCTCATCTGACACGGGATCGCATCTGGGTCACTAATGCGCGCGCCTTGTGGCCCTTGTGGCCCTTGTGGCTTGCCCTGAAGAAAGACATCGCCATCCTCCCCCTGGGTTTGCACGGTCGTTCGGGCCCGCATAGTAACTCGGTTTATTTCGAAGGTCTCACCGTGTTTCTCATTTTCTCTTCACCGGGGATAAAACACGCATAATGATCTCAACGGCCCCAGCCGGGTTGCAGAAGACCTCGGGTCACATGAATCGAGGCCTTGGGAGCTAACAGGGGGGCCCCCCCACTGACTGCCCGCAGGGAAAGCAAAGCAATGATGCAGGTAGGACAATAAATAACAGTGGCAGGGTTTCTGTGTCTATCAATCTTGGGTGGCAGTGGGTGTGTGGGATCTCTCAATCTAAAGGGCTTGTATGGTGGTGTGGAGAGCTTATTAGAGCTAAACGCTGCCGAACCCTCATTTTATGACTTGTCCGAAAATGTGTTGGTTTGATGGTTCCATCTAGCGATGCACCAACGGTCTGTAATATGCGCGCAGTGCAGCACAGAAAAGAAAGAAACCCAAAAACCTTTTTTATTATTTTTTGTATAGTCGGCGTCTTTCTGTAGGACGTGTGGGTGGTGTCACGCCCTTGGCCTTGGGGTTTCCCAACTCGTCCTTATGGGCCGAAGATGGCACACGGTAAAGGGCTCCATACTTTCTCCAGAACTTCCTCGCTGGCACGCATAGCGTAAAACGCAGACCACCAACTACGTGCATAACCGAACTAGTTTATGTGGTTGTTTACCATTCTTCCCACCCCTTGTCTAGTGGGCTTCCTTACTGTTGAGGGACCCCCCCCGCCCCTGTGAGGAAGCGACTTGACTTTGCGGGAATGCTTCCGTCAAATGCCCCAAGCTACCTACCGATGCCTGTCGGGGCTTGTTGAGTGGGATGTGTGAGCTAACCGCTGATGCATACATTTATCGACTCATGGATGGGTAGCATTCGAAACTTCAAACCCTAGGTCGAGTACTGTATGTTTTTAAAAGCTGCGACAATCCAGATGGTGGGATGCCAATCTATTTTAGTACGAGTGACGCCGTGGCCCGAGAGGCTGCTTATTGTTCGGCCTCCCGGACCTGGCCTTTGCATTACATAAGAGGGTACCGCTATACAATTCGTGGGAATTCGAGGCTTGCTTTCGCTTCAAGGTGGCTGAGAGACCGTTGCCTGACTACTAAGACTCCTTCACCAATATGACGAGTCATTGTATTGCTCTATCGGCTGAAAAAGGTCAACATCGGCATATTATAGATCCTTATGAATGTTGACAAGAATGGTTAAGTTCTGTGGCTATCCATAGCCACACCCCAGTACAGATCTGACAGAGACATTTTGCAGAGCGTTTCCTTCCGCGTCTCAAGTACCATGACGATGCTCTGCCTCATGCCAGCCCCAAGTGGCTTGCGGGATCTAGCCAGCACGTGGTAGTACGCCATAATTTGGACTAGCAATGAAGCAATTTAGTGCTACAAAAGGCATAATGCACTTTGCCTGAAAATTGGTTTTTGGAATTTTATTTAAAGTTTGTGAAAATAGTACAGTCGCTGTGCAGCGCACAAAAACATAACCTAGATCGTTTGTCGCATGAAGCAATGTCGAGGGTTGTGAAGGTGAGATCATTCAAATTGAGGTCGAGCTTCATATAATAATATTGAATCGTGTAGTTAAGCAAACAGGCTGTTGTAAAAGAAGACCAGTCGTGGATGCATATACATCGAAGGTCTCGTTGATGGAAATCTAAAGATATTTCACCGAGTACTCAACGTCGAAACATGGGTTCTGAGTTCGAGGCGACCACGAACGTAGCAATGTTGGACTGATGTTTCAATCAGAGCTATGGGACGCCCTAAAGCCGAACGAAAGATCCCCAGCGCTTCGTTGCGTGAGATGTTCCTCACTAGCCACGGGAGGATCTACAGGATGCAAAGAACGACCCGGCAAGCGCGGCTCATCTGATACGACAGGTCCACAAGGCACCACAGCCATTTCGCGAGAGCAATGGTTGTGCGCACTGCGCAAATTGCCCAGAAAAGGTGGACGATCCAGCAGGCAAATATGCACGTTTACGCCGAGCCCCCAATGCTATGTGCTCAACACTAACCTAAGCTTGCATTCACCACTTGCGTAGCAGTGCTCTGTCGCCCTGCTTTTGAATAGTTAAGGTCATGTTCCGGGTTGCCCACGGCTAATGCTCATGCCAATTATGTGCTCGCATGTGAGGCTAGATTCCAATGTGGCAGTGGTCTTGCGCGCCAAGATGCACGCTACGATCCTGTCAGCACGATACCAGAAGTGCCAAAACACTTTACGGTCAAGTTTTGACAATGACAATGCTGCCGTGGTTATGTTCTCTGCAGGAACCAGTGCCCCATGAGATCCAGTAATAAAATAAAGCCCACAAGTCATGCCAGATGGCGGATATATGAAGGTTTCAAAGTGCAGCGTACACCTTAATCAATTGCGACCTCGCCTAATTGAGAAGGCTGGGGGGTGGATGTAACTGCATTTGGTAATGGGTGGTCAGTGTACGAGTAAATCGGTCGGCCTCATGGCGTTGTTGATTAGGACAAATGCTCCGAGCAAGATAAGCGTGCCTCAATTTAAATGGCGTCGGCTTGGCTAGGGCCCCTGGACTTGTCGATGGACGCGGGCTAGGCTGACGGATACCGTAGACAGTGTGTCATGCTTGAGCAGGGAGTGGCTCGCAGGGCTCCCCGGAGGCTTACCAAACAAACGATGGTTCTGGGGTGAGGACCGGAACTTCCTTACCTCACGTTGCCGCCGCTGTGGGTTGCCACAAGCCGCGACCAAATTCGGAGTATGTCTCGGGAGGTTGACAGAAGTAGTCAGAAGTACCCTCGACTCCATCTTCCAGTTTCACACGGACCAGTCTTTTCTCTGCTTGCCGTTATTTGTGTTTCTTGGTAACACGGTAACGTAACCAGAATCTCGAATCGATGCAGTTCAAGTGGTATATATCTTGAGGCACTGAAGTCAACCGTTCTGGCGCCAGCTTGGCGATAAACCTTAGAGGAGCCGAAAGCTTCCAAGGAATGGGTTGGTCTGGTCCAATTTATGGCAATACGAGTGGATTTGGCCAGCCGTTGGTATCAAATATGAATTTCTCGTTCTCTTGATTGTAAGCTGCAACTCTAACCTGGACGACAGGTGGTGGGATGTAATGATTTCGTGGATATGCGCCTCGTCCTATTATGCTGTGTATCGTGGTTCCGGGAGTGATGGCATGGGGGCAACGTTGGGGTTGCTTGTCTGATCTTGTGCATGGCAAACAAAGATGCTTCAGAAAAGGTGACAATTCGACCTCTTCCGCTGTATTCGCCTTGAGGAAGCAGATGGATCAATTCGGTGACAATCATTCGGTCAAGAGCACCGAGTGTTTGCCGACACCTGCGACTCTCCTACTGCTGGTGTTGCTGCCGCAGGTGATGGAAGGATGTGACAAGCCATTGGGTCCTGGTCCCCAAGGCCCCAGTAATATTACAAGGCCTGATCCTATCCAATTGATTGCATCTGGGAATCTGCCATCTTATGTGGGTTTGTACTATGTAGGGGCATGGTCCAGCCCCGCATACCCACTCGAAGCGGCGCCTTAGCGCATCTAGCGAAATACTTTGCCGCTACGAGCAGCTACTTTCAGGAGGTTCTGTGGTGGATACTGCAACCTACTTATGCACAAGTACGTCCTCGCCAAGGCCCAGCTTGTTCTCTCTTGTCGTGGGCCGTGGGTAAGGGTAGATGAGAGAGGAGAATTCAATTCTGTCCTCCGAATTCCCTCGTCGAACCCGTTCGTCCCTCCCTCTCACTATCTCCTCCTTTCCCACGCATCGTACTCCAATTCGAGGTGAAGGCCAGATTTGCTCTCAACTTTGGTTGTCATCCAAAACATATTGCGACGACCTTACAATTTCCCGTCGTCCCTTTGGGTTTTGAGATACATACTCTTTTTCGCCACAAGTCTATTTCACCGTCACGTCACAGCTGGTCGCTTTTTCGTCGCGACTTTGCTTGGGCTTATTCCCGTTGCGATATATCGGGTTCTGTAAGGCATCAAACTATACTGCCAAGATTCCGCGCAACATTGCGACCTTCTTTTCTCAATCTTTATTCTTGGACTACTACTTGTTCGTATTTTGCGACGTCAAGCCTGCGCTTGGTACACCAACATAGTAGCCGCGTCGTGCACTGCGCCAAGGCTCGACAAGTGGCTTCATTGAGTATACCGTCGCAACACTAGATGTTGTAGAGCTTCCCCGTGTACAAGTTTTGTAGTAGATTAAGCAGGCGAAAATGGCCAACCACCATCCCTCACCTCAAATGCCTATGCAATTGCAACATGGTCCTCAGGGACCGCCGCATCCTGGCGCGATGCCTTACCCACAACAGGCCGCCGCCCCATCGCGTCAGATCAATTCTGTCAACGAGCTTCTATGGATGCAAATTGGTATGTTCTTAGTATTCGCGAGCTTGCTCTTTTTGTAGAATTGTGCTAAATTGCCCCTTTAGGTAGCTTTTCGGAGCTCTTGGGCAGCCTCGACGACGCGATGAATGCATACGAACATGCTCTCCGGGCGAACCCACAATCGATTCCAGCCATGAATGCGATCAGCCTAATTCTTCGTACTCGAGAGGAATTTCACAAAGCGGTCGAGTTTCTCCAAGCCATCCTCAAAATTGACGAACGGAATGGTGAAGTTTGGGGAAGCCTTGGTACGTTAAACCGCCCGCTAGGTAAATCTCTAAAGTCCTGTTCACTAATTGCCGCGCTTAGGTCATTGCTATTTGATGATGGATGATTTGCAACAAGCATATGCTGCATACCAATCAGCGCTGGTGAACCTCCAAAATCCCAAAGAGCCCAAGCTATGGTACGGCATTGGTATCTTGTATGATCGCTACGGGTCACTGGAGCATGCCGAGGAGGCTTTCTCGCAAGTTATGCAAATGCAGCCAGACTTTGAGAAGGCCAATGAGATCTATTTCAGACTCGGCATAATATACAAGCAGCAAGCCAAGTATGGTCAAAGTCTTGAGGTTAGTTAAACTCGCCTGCGAATTTGGTCGCGCTCAGGCTAACACGAACAGTGCTTCAACTACATTGTCACATCTCCGCCCCCGCCTTTGACGGAGGAGGACATCTGGTTTCAGATTGGCCACGTTCACGAACAACAGAAAGACGTAAGTAGCCCCGACGTTTCTTTTGCGTTCCACGGGTGATGCTGACATATTCTTCCAGTATGACAGTGCCAAAGCTGCCTACAGCAGAGTCCTGGAGAGAGATCCCAACCATGCAAAGGTATTGCAGCAATTGGGTTGGCTCCACCACCAACAAAGCAGCAGCTTCTCAAGCCAAGAGCGAGCAATCGAATACCTGGAGAAATCAGTCGGCGCCGATAACAACGATGCGCAGAGCTGGTATCTACTTGGCCGGTGCTACATGTCGCAGCAGAAGTACCCTAAGGCATATGAAGCGTACCAGCAAGCTGTGTACCGCGATGGCCGCAACCCAACTTTCTGGTGCTCGATCGGTGTACTGTACTATCAAATCAATCAGTACAGGGATGCGCTCGACGCATACTCTCGTGCCATCAGACTGAACCCCTACATCAGTGAGGTTTGGTATGACTTGGGCACTCTTTATGAGAGTTGCAACAACCAGATCAGCGATGCTCTGGATGCTTACCAAAGAGCCGCGGAACTCGACCCTCAAAACCCACATATCAAGGCCCGGCTGCAGCTTCTGCGCCAGGGTCAATCGAGCGGTCATCTTCCTTCGGGCCCTGCACCAGTGCCAACTGATGTACACCCACAGAGTTACGGCGCTCAGGGACCTCAAGCACCTCAATGGACGGGGGCATCTGCTACGCCTCAGCAACAACAGCCCGGCCGACCTCCTGTTGGTCCTGGTGGCCCAAACGGATGGGGCAGCATTAGGGATGTCAACCCACCTCAGCCTCCCAACCCATATGACCAAAGAGAACCATTCAGAGGTCCTGCCCCTCCTATGCCTCGGCAGCCCAGTCCCCGCCAAGAGCCTCAGCAGATGAGACCTTACGGTGATGCAAGCCGTCAAGGCCCGCCTCCGGGTCCCGCTCCCATCCGTAGAGGCCCTTCGCCTGGACCACCTCACTACGGTCCTCCTCCAGGCCAGAGCCAGCCACCACCGCCATCATCCCAGGGACCACCTGCTCGGGTCAGCAACCCCAACTACACTCCTGCTCCTACCGCAGGCATGTCTCAAGCCAATGGACCGCCCAACGGACCTCCAAATGGTGCCGCTCCTCCACCTCACCTTATGCCTTATCGAGGAGGATCACCTCGTTCTGAGTCGCGCCCTCCCATGCATGACAACCGCATGCCTTCCCCCAAGTCGGCATATCCCCAGTATCAGCCGCCACCCCATGCCCGTCACCAGGAGGGCGGACCTAGCAGCATGGACAACAACGTCCCACCGCCTCTCAAGGGTCCAATGGGTCCCGACGGCCCCATGCACCGCGGAGATGATCGCCCACCTTCAGTGGGACCTAAGCGCATGCGGGAATGGGAGGATGAGCCAGCAATCAAGAAGCCTGCATCTGACGAAAACCGTGCTCTCATCCATGACATGCGCCATCGCCGGCCTTCAACGCCACTCCGCGGCGGTCCTGAGCCATATCGCCGGACATCTCCAGAGCAGCATCGTTTCGAAGAGCAGCGGCGATTGGACGAGCAACGCCGCGCTGAAGATCAGCGCCATGCCGAGGAAATACGACGTGCGGAAGAGCAGCGCCGCGCCAACGAAAGCTATCACCCCTCTGAGGCTGCCCACCACCAGCCTTCGCACCCAATGCCTCCAGCTCACTTGCCACCAATGCAGCAAGGCCCTCAGCCTATGCAAGGCATCGTGCATAACGGACCGTCGCATTCAAACGGCACCAGTCCCGCTCAACCGCCCAAGGAGTATCAGCAAGACGACCGTTCGAGAATCGAGCTTCCTCCCCCTCCTACGCCTACACCGCAGCAACCGAACGAGCCTGAGAGAGCCGCTCGCAAAATGGATGTTGATGAAGATTACGACGACAGCGGAGAAGAGGAAAAGAAAGTGGTTGTCGGCGGTCCTAGCTCTGGGCCAGCGTCTGCCTCGGGGGAGCTGAAGACCTCCACACCAGCCAATGCAGGAGTAAATGGATTGATGGGACCTGCCCCTAAGACCGAGGGAGCAGTGTAGGGGAATACAAGCCGCAATAATGAGTGGCACGAGATATGCTTAACGGTACCGAGCTTCGTGGAGGAGCACAGTTGTCGATTACACTTACTTCATACCCAAATTTTCTCTGTCAGTTCATAGTTTCAGATGTACATGATGACCACCACTGGTTTACAAAATGGACCCAAGTAATATTACATGGCCGTTGGCGCCGTCTACCATAAGATAGTCCTGATTGAAGCATGCGATATGGATCGAGAAAATGTACATTGTATGTTTGGGTATGCAACTAGTATCCTTCTAGTTAACAAACGTGACTCTTGAAAGGCGTGCATCGTCTCAATAGTTTGTTTTCTCAACAGTATTTATTAAACAAATAAAAAGATATATACATTTGCACCTTGACTTGCTTGGGGTGGGTATTCACTGAAATATTCTCCATGTAGTACTAGAGAGAGCTTTGTGTTGTGTCACGTGTGTGGTGTCAGAGGAGGCGTGGGTCATTTTTGGTCGGTCTGCTCGAGCGATGACTCTGCAGTGACGGCAACAGCAGCGATGGTCCAAGCGTCAAGGGTTGTGGCTCGCTCTTGCCCGGCTAATCTTGGGCAGGTCACCTAGACCCGCAGTTTTAGAGCCCGCACCAAAATTTACGTCCCCTCTCCACTCGGAATTTTTCAGACCTTGACTTTTGCGAAGTTCGTCTCAAAGGAATATTCCTCTCAACCAACATCTTGTCAACAGGATTGATACTAACCCATAGGATCAATCACGATGTCGCACAGAAAGTTCGAGGCTCCCCGCCACGGCTCCCTGGCTTTCTTGCCCAGGAAGCGTGCCGCCCGTCACAGAGGCAAGGTCAAGTCGTAAGTCCAAGCAATCGACATGTTGAGATTTTATCGTCAACGACGAGCATCAATTGGGTGTCATGTTCGGGGCGCAGTTGAGGATGGAGAATCACAGGCGCCTCGCTGGATGCTTAACGTCACTTTCGGCATCGCCAATACAACATATTCTGTTCTCGATGTGGACACTGGCTAATTTTTTCATGCGTCGTATAGCTTCCCCAAGGACAACCCCAAGAAGCCCGTCCATTTGACGGCCGCCATGGGTTACAAGGCTGGCATGACCACCATCGTCCGCGACCTCGACCGTCCCGGTGCCAAGTCACACAAGAAGGAGGTTGTTGAGGCCGTCACAATTATTGATACCCCTCCGGTACGAACAGCGCAGCCCGCTTGGCTTTGTGCCTATGGCTAACATCCATTATAGATGATCGCTGTTGGTCTGGTTGGTTACATCGAGACTCCCCGTGGTCTCCGATCCCTTACCACCATCTGGGCTGAGCACTTGTCCGACGAGCTCAAGCGTCGCTTCTACAAGAACTGGTACAAGTCCAAGAAGAAGGCTTTCACCAAGTACGCCAAGAAGCACTCCGAGAACAAGGGCAACTCCATTGCCCGTGAGCTCGAGCGCATGAAGAAGTACTGCACCGTCGTCCGTGTCCTCGCCCACACCCAGATCCGCAAGACTCCTCTCAAGCAGAAGAAGGCCCACCTCATGGAGATCCAGGTCAACGGTGGCTCCGTTGCCGACAAGGTTGAGTTCGGCCACGGCCTCTTCGAGAAGCCCATCGAGATCAGCAGCATCTTCGAGCAGGACGAGATGATCGATGTCATCGCCGTCACCAAGGGTCACGGTTACAGTGGTGTCACCGCCCGTTGGGGTACCAAGAAGCTCCCACGTAAGACCCACAAGGGTCTCCGTAAGGTTGCTTGTATCGGTGCATGGCATCCTTCCCACGTCCAGTGGACTGTTGCCCGCGCTGGTCAAATGGGTTATCACCACCGTACCTCGGTCAACCACAAGGTTTACCGTGTCGGCAAGGCTGATGACGAGTCCAACGCTTCCACTGAGCAGGACGTCACCAAGAAGACCATCACTCCGTATGTACCCCCGTAGCCTTGAAGCCGAAACCTGATCGCTAACAATTTCCCTTGTAGTCTGGGTGGCTTTGTCAGATATGGTGAGGTCGCCAACGACTTCGTCATGGTCAAGGGTTCCATTCCTGGTACCAAGAAGCGTGTCATGACTCTCCGCAAGTCCATGTTCGTGCACACCTCAAGAAAGGCTCTGGAGAAGGTCGAGCTCAAGTGGATCGACACCTCGTCCGAGTTCGGACACGGTGCTTTCCAGACCCCGGCGGAGAAGAAGCAGTACCAGGGTACTCTCAAGAAGGATCTGGTTCAGAGCTCGTAAAGTGCATCTGTGCTTGCATTTCCTTAATCCTTGACGTGTCACTTGCATCGGAGTTCCTGGGGTTCCTTCACGGCTACTGCAAAAAGGGTGCGGTGGTCTGAAAATTGGTATTTGAGATATCTAACGCAGCTAATGAGAAAAGCCGCATGATGAACAAAGAACCTTGAGATTCCCCAAACATGTATAATTTGTCCAAAAGTGTGAAAAGTAATCCTTGCGAATTCTGATCTGGCACGAATTCGATCTCGCAGCCGAATTAGACGTTTGATTCAGAAAATGTGACATTAAACGTGTGTCCTCGGCCGTCCTCCCGCCTCATGGATAAGTGCATGCGCCAGCGCCAGTGCCAAATTGCAGCAAGCTGCTTCGGGCACAAAGTTGCGTCATAATAGTTGACAGGCAGCCCACTTTCGAGCTCTCCTCAGCGGACTTACACCACCAGCCTCAATGCTCAAAGCAAGCTTTCCAAGTCCTCGATCCAGAGCAGTAACTTCCTCACTGGTGCCTCGTCTCTGCAAAGCCGCCTACCACAGCACGGACGAACCTCTTCGCATTCAGCACATCGTTTTGCGTCGCGAAATCACAGCCGCCAAGACAGCACGAGGGTTTCCAATCTTCCTACACCCACCGCACACTCGACTGAGCGACGTGAGTCGAAAACCGTTCACCACAACTACGCAGCTCGGAATGGCTTCCGACGAGGACTACATGTCTTTCTTGGACAAGGCGAACCAGGATCCCAGTGCGGGCCATGCCAAATCTGCCAGCAGCGGAAAGCAGGAGTTCAAGGCCCTGGACTCCGGCGTGCAGGTGCCCGCTGTCCTAAAGAGTGCTGTCAAAGACGCTTTCTACACCAGCGATGCCGACGAGCCTTTTACGCCCGTCTGTCTGAAGTGGGATGAAGATGGCAAAGGTCTTCCTGACGAAGGTACGTTTGCTCCGCCGCGTCGCATGCATGCTCACACTCGTCTGTCACACGATACCACTTAGAACGGGAGTGACCGGGACGTTTCCCTGCCAATTCAAATGCTAATGCAATGCGTGTGTAATATAGAGGAGTTCGCCAATCTGATATCGCACCCCAACCCTTCGAGCGCAGAAGTCGAAATCCAAGACCCCGCGGATTGGGATTCCCAAGGACAGTACGCAGAATTGCTCGACGCGGTCCGACAGGCGGGCAAAGGCAACGACGTCAGGGTGTATAGAATAGCAAAGGACAGCACGAGAGTAGAATATTGGGTAGTCACGACTGAAGGGAAAGGCAAGGATGCAAAGTTAGTGGGCGTCAAGGCTCTGGCTGTAGAGAGCTGATGTGGTGAGAAGGAGTCATCTTCTCCCCATGCGCCGGTCGGGTAAAGCGCAGGCCGACCAGGGCCACGCCTTTCCGAGTCAGTAGTGCTGATGTGTGAATGAAATTGACAGTACACCGATTCATGGTTATCTATCACATCTGGGTTCCTGCCGAGTCTGCTGACAAGTAAAATTATACCACAGCATCCGCAAGGCGAAGAAGGTATACTCCCGTTCGATACGCTGGACCATTTGTCGTACGGAGTATTCTAACCTTAGGCCGACATGGTGTTAGTCACAGGCGGATCTTAGCATGTAAAAAAAACTTATGGGTCTCATTGAAAACAGACGGGGTCTTCTTGAATTAGAACTCATCTTGGTGGACTCATAGCTTCGACCTTGCCATAAGCTCTCCAAGTCGCATACCATAGTTGCAGACTACTCGCCATGGTAAGTTGTTGCACGATGATTGATCTCTTACTATGCCATGGGACGGAAGGAAGTCAATCTCATTCTCTGTCAAGCGAATCTGACGCTGCGCCGCAACGGTAACCTGGAATTTGGACCCTGAAATCCAGTGTGCTTACTGTTCGCTGTGCCCCGCGCTCCGATTACAGGACCTCAAAAAGTTGCATTGGTGCCCGTTATTGCGCGCAGCAGTCACATCAGTTCAGTTTAATGACATAAGATTCAAGAACCGCCTTTCAATCTTCTGGGTCGAGGAAGAGAGAGTTTCTGGGGCCGTCCAAGTTACAAATAACACACAACCCGAGCTCTCTGTAACATCCAACCGCCAATATGAGTCAGGCTGTGAGAAGGCCCTCACTACGATCCAGAGACTGCATTTTCCCAGGCATACTTGACTAACACGCCGCTCTCTTATAGGACGTTCTACTGCCGTCTTTGGACACGATCCAAGACCTCCTCTCCAAACCACAGAAGGGAGCCAAGAAGGCAAACCTCGTCCCCGTCTACGGTCAAATCTCAGCCGACCTCATTACCCCGTCAGCCGCGTATCTCAAGGTTTCGACACAATCCAAGTCCGATTTCTCCTTCCTCTTCGAGAGCGCAGCCACAGAGCGAGTCGGCCGGTACAGCTTCGTTGCCTCCGGGCCCCGAAAGATACTGACTACTGGAGAGGGTCATGGCGAGTCCGTCGACCCACTACCAGGTATCGAGAAGGAGCTGGCGCAATACACAACGCTCGATGTGCCTGGTCTAAACCTCCCACCTCTGACCGGCGGTGCTGTAGGGTATGTAGGCTATGACTGTGTGCGATACTTTGAGCCCAAGACGGCGAGGCCTATGAAGGATGTCCTGAAAATCCCAGAGTCCCTTTTCATGTTGTTTGACACCATTGTGGCATTCGATCGCTTCTTTGGGGTCATCAAGGTTATTACCTATCTGCGCATCCCCGAGAACCTGGACTCTTTACCCTCCGAGTACGAAAAGGCCACAAATTTGATCAATGATATGATCGATGTGCTCAATACGCCTGAAATACCCATCCCCGAACAGCAGCCAATTAAGCTCGGCAATGAGGCCACGTCCAACATCGGACGGGAGGGCTACGAAAATCACGTCACCACATTGAAGAAGCACATCGTCAAGGGCGATATCATCCAGGCCGTCCCCTCACAAAGGTTTGCAAGACCGACGAGCCTGCACCCCTTTAACATATACAGACATCTGCGGACCGTGAATCCTTCCCCGTACTTGTTCTACATCGACTGCAAGGACTTTCAGATCATTGGCGCATCGCCTGAGCTGCTCGTCAAGGAAGATGAAGGTCGCATCATTACCCACCCTATCGCTGGCACCGTGAAGCGTGGCAAGACTCCCGAGGAGGACGAAAAACTAGCAAATGAGTTGAGAAGCTCCCTAAAGGATCGTGCTGAGCATGTCATGTTGGTGGACCTGGCTAGAAACGATGTCAACCGCGTGTGTGACCCCTTGACCACGAGGGTAGACCGCCTCATGGTCGTTGAGAAATTCAGCCACGTGCAGCATCTGGTATCACAAGTCTCTGGTGTTCTCAGACCAGGTCAAACAAGGTTCGATGCATTTAGGTCCATATTCCCAGCCGGCACGGTCTCGGGCGCACCCAAGGTGAAGGCCATGGAGCTTATTGCCGAGCTGGAGAAAGAGAAGCGCGGCATCTACGCTGGTGCCGTAGGGTACTTTGGCTATGGTGCGGTGACTCCTGAGGGCCAAGAGATCGAGGGCGCTATGGATACGTGCATTGCGCTGAGGACAATGCTCTACAAGGACGGTACCGCATACCTGCAAGCTGGTGAGTCGCCTTCTTAATATTACCAATGATCCCTTGGCTCCGTCTAGATCACTAACTTCGGAATCAGGTGGCGGCATTGTTTTCGACTCGGATGAGTATGAGGAGTGGATGGAGACCATTAATAAGCTTGGCGCCAACACCACGACCCTCAAGACAGCCGAGTCCATCTATGCCAAGCGGGTCGGCCAAGTATAGTGGTTGGTGATTAAAGTGGGTTTGCCGTATGGCCTTGAATGAAGACAAAATAAACAGCATGGCGTTTTTGGCACCTGGTATCCTTACGAGACGAGTAAATGATAGATTTCTTCGCTGAAAAAAATAATTTGGTATTCATGAACGCCATGCCCATCTAACAGCCATTCCCATCTAACAGCCATTCCAACATTTCCAACCATGTGATATCTTTGACCTGTAGGACACTCTCGGCGACTCTCTCATCAAAACTCTACTTTTCAGTCTTCTTCGTAGGGGGTGTTGGTTCTCTTATGGCCTTCAGACCGTCGCCCGTCCTCCCTACAATATAACTCAGTAGCTTCTGGACGTGCAAGAAATCTGCGACACAGAGGGCAACTATGGTCAGCGGCAATGCTGTGCAAAAGTAAATCCAATACGTCGACGAGAGCGCGGTCACGTCCTCGCTCATGCTGAAGAAGCTCGAGACGAAGGACATGGGAACGAATATACTGGCCAGGTAGGTCAGGCGGGCGAGGTTCTTGTTCTGCGCGATCGCCCGGCGGCTCTCTTCGATGCTGATGATGGCCGTGGCGACGGCGACGATGCGCTCGATTCGGTTCTGCAGGGCGTCCACCTGGGCCAGCACGATCCTGCAGTCACGGTACAGCGCCTGTGATCCGGTCGCCTGGACGTGGGGAGATGGAGTGGCCGCCGCCGCCGTCACCGCGTACTGCGCGAGCTCCTGGGGAAAGATCCTGTCGATGGTATCCGCGATGAAGCTGCGGTACAGGGGCACGCTCCTCCGCCAAGGGTGCAGCTTCTGCAGCGAGGCGTCCACGCCCGCGCTGTCCTTGCGGAAGTCGGGGTTCTCGAGCTCCCATTCGATCTGACCGAGGCGCGCCGTGATGTACTTGATCAGCGTGAGCCAATCGGCGATGACCAGTTTGTACATCTGGACGGCGATCGTCCTCGGGTCGCTCGCGATCGCCTCGAGGTCCCTCTCTGTCATGTGTTTCGACCAGAACACGACGTCTTCGAACAGCGATTTCCTGGAAGGCGCGGGCGGCACCTCGGGCCCGGATTGCTGCGCGCGTGGATCCGGCATGCCTGTCGAGTTGAAGAAGCTGCGGTACCCGCCCCAGAGGGAGAATCCCTCCTTCACCGTGGGGTCGACCAGGATGATCCCCAGCACGCCGGACTCGTGGGCCTTGTTTGGGCGTATCCAGACGGACGCCTTCGCCCTCGCCAGCGCGACGTTCTCTCCCTGCTCGTCCAGCACGGTCTTGTGGTTCTTGTCGCTGTCCAGCCGGCGCAGCACGTTGAACCTGCCCGTCTCCGTGGTGGCCTCCGCGAAGGACTCGGGGCTCCTAAAATACCGGGCCCGCATGTACCTCATGCAGAAGTGCGACCGCTCCTGCTGCACGAGGTCTAGGTCCGGGAGCTCGACCCAGGGGTCCTTGATGTTGTACCACAGGTAGTCGCTGATCTGGGACCTGAAGAACAGGGGGTCGATGTCGAAGCGGGCCCCGAGCGCCTCTATGACGTCCCGCGACAGGTCCTCGACGATGAAGAGCCGGGACTCGACGTCGTCGTGATCCGGGAGGCCGAGGCGGTCGGCCACGTCTCTCGCGTGCGCGAACCTCCGCTCCTCGACCAGCTTCCCGTCCCTGAAATCAAGCATGCAGACCGAGGCCCTCTGTGCGCGGTGCTCCTGGTTCTGTGGGTTCTGTTTGATGAATTTCCATTTGGGCGGCGCGCATGTCACCTCCATCCAATCGGCAAGGTATCGCAGATGAGGCAGCGGTGTCGACAGCGCCTTGACGTGAGAGAGATACGGCCTTTCCGAACTAAGGAAGTCGTTAGACCCCCTCCGCCGCAGCGATGAATGCTCCCTTGCTCACCAATCGAGCTCCCATCCTTGGGGAGTAGTCCGAGCCTGGTAGACATCACCGATGTAATACGGATCGCCGCCCTCGATGCTGTGAGGCTGGATGTTGACTAGGTGGGCGGGATCCTGGTTGACCGTCTTGAGGTATTTCTCATGCTCGTGCAGAGGGAGCCAATGACGAAGGTGGGACATATTGTCGACTGTAATCTGTGTGCGTGCAACCGATGACTTTGGTGGACAGGCAAGCAACGCCCCAGGCTTCGCTTCCGGCCTTTATACTGGCCATGATGGCGTGAATCCCTCTCATCGGTCAACCACCGCTGTTCTCGATCTGCATCCAGAGTAGATCGGTTTAGGTTAGGATCGTGGTGAGTGCCCTAGTCCGGCAAATAATCCCAAGCAATGGGCAGTGCACAGAGTTAAATTCATGGGTATGGTGATGGCACTTGGATGCTGACTAGTGCCGAATGCCTAGGACTATACCATGCACTTATGCGGCCGGCTGCCACGTCAGCCGCAATGAAGAATCGCATCCGTATGAGAAGTTTTCGGAATCAGCGTATCGTGAGAAGGTGGGAAACTTTGAGTAGGTTCCATATATAGGCTATAGATACAGGATCTTCGATTTTTCTCGATTGATTCCTCTCGATATTTTCTCCTCAGAGTTGAGAAAGCACAGCTTCGAGCGCTTTTCGTCGAGTTGCTTTCGCACTAACAATGCACCTCACCCACAAGCTTGCACCGTCCCCTGCACTGCATTTCTTAAGGCGCATCCTATTGATTCAGAGATTATGGGTTGCCTCTCGTGGAATAGCCAATAAGGCAGCAACCTGCCTCGCACGGTTGCAGGATAGCTGAAAGGGATCCTGCAAGGCTTGCACACCATTGATGTTCATGTCGAGGCTTCGAATGAATACATAATTATCTCGAACCTTAATTGACACTGCTATCTACCCGCATATACTTGAGTATCCTCTCGAAACTCCTGGCAAATCATCTACCAGAAATCTGAAGATTCGCTATAGATGGCTAACGAGGATTTGGTATCGTCCGGCAGCGTCCCGAACGAGCAGCTGAACAAAGAGAACTTGGCAGCATGGGACAGTGTAGCAGAGTACTGGGACCAGACGCTCCAAAATGGGAACGACATGTACGAGGAATGCCTGCTACCAACCGTGAGGGAACTTGTCGGTTTGTCTCCAGACGGGCCGTCCCTTGGCCTGACGGGCCAGAGGGCTCTCGATCTCGGCACCGGCAGCGCAGTCATCGCAGGCGAGCTCGTCAAGGCCGGTGCTACCATGACAGCGGCAGACGGATCGCAGGGCATGCTCGAGAAGGCGAGGTGGAGGAGTGCCATGTTGGGGTTGGACATGGTCTTCGACGTTGTCGATCTTATGGACAGTGAGAGCCTGGACGCGTTCGCCACGCGCCACTCCGAGTCAGTTGCGAAGCCCCTGGAGAAAGCCCTCTTGGTTCTGTCGCTTATTTTTGGGATAGAAAATTCGACATCATCACCATCAGCATGACGCTGAAAGAGCTGGCAGATCTGAATCCTTTGGCAAGGGCCCTGCCGAAGCTGCTGGCGCCGAAGGGGCGGTAGGCTGCTCTCATGCCTCCGCAACAAGTATCGAGATTCTGATACTGACGTCGGAAACTTAGTGTAATCATTGTGAATCTTCACCCTGTCTTCTCCAAGCCGGCAGGCCACCGTTGCATCGAAGTCCTCGAGAACGATGAGACCGGAAAGCAGGAGCTCCACAGGTATATCAAGGTCCGCCGCTATCTGGACATACCTCCCGTGCGAAGTGAGGCACTTCGGGGACAGCCAAAACCACTGGTGAGTGAGCTCGAAGGTTGGATATCTCAGTCTGCTTCGACTGACCATAGTCTCCCAATTTTTTCTTCAAACAGATGTTGTTCCATAGACCATTCTGGTCGGTCTTGGAGCCATTCCTGCAGAGCGGAATGGTATTGGACGCAATGCGCGAGCCAGGCTTTAAGGGAGAGCCAAACGGCGAACAAGCAGCACAGGCGCAGAACTACCATAACTTCCAGCAGTTTCCCATGTTACTGGCATTTCGATTACGCCTGGCAGGGAGCTAGACTGGCTCTTGAGCGCTTTCCTTGTACAGCCACACGGCTGGACCATTGAGAAAGTGATATCCTTCTATTTGGTCGTATAAGCAGATAGATAGACCCCCCGACGGATTTTGCTAAGAATTTTGCATTTTTCGTACCACGATCTTGGATATCGTTGAGAAATTAGAACAGGTAGGGAACACGAATACAAGAACCATCTATGGAGGAAGACCAGGTCATTTTTTCTTGAAATGTTTATAGGACAATCTAGTACAAGCGGTACAGTTTATCATTGCAAAATTCATGGCCAGTGATGCAGTTGCTTCATTTCGAGCTGGGCATCCAAGAGTATGGAGGACGACAGAACTCGGCATACAACTTTACTGCGAAGATCAAGGCACAACCAGCATGATCAGTGGGTATCGTTGATATAAAGCTGAGACCAGGTCCGGCTTTCAATCGGCATTGTTGAGTTTGAATATGGCACCCTGATGAGATGGAGGCTTTACTGGATATGTGGATCGAATTACATATCTTTAAAGCAGATCTTTTGACAGTTAATCATTCTTTGCACAGTATTTCATCTCAAAGATTTCGGTCAGAACAAGTCACTAGTAGTTTGAGTTGTCTCACCAGATTATGTTTCATAAATCTCACTACTAGGCTATTAGTCCTATTTCATCTCTTGCTTTTCCTCGTCCCACCAATGCCCCGACAAGTCGCGTGCAGGCGGTACTGTTTTCATTCCATCACCCTTCACAAGAGTTACTTCTTCTAGGTTGATGCCATAGATTGTGCGAGCCTGCATGTGTTTTAGTCAGCTGGGTACCTTGATGTCCACGTACATAAACATCGTTTCCCTCATTATTTTGTGGACCGGACAATGTCAATTCAGGTTTCTTAGACTTCTTAAAAACAGACAAAGCTTGTCTATATGTTGTGTCTCATCTGACAGGCCTACGCATAACTATAAGAGAGAGAGAGAGAGAGAGAGAGAGAGAGAGAGAGAGAGAGAGGTACAAGATGTGAGAAGGAAGCTACTTACGCTGATTCCGTACGTATGTTGTTTGTGAAACTCCCGGAAGTCGATGCCTAGACTGGCGCCGCACTTGGGACAGAACATCTGGTCCTTTTGCTTCGTGTTGAAACGGTAGTTGGAGCAACGGGCACGACCGTCATTGTGCCAGGTTACTTCGGTGGCTTTCGGGTCTAATTGGGGGTCATGTTCAGCTCAAGCGGTTGAAAGGGTGTTTCGCGGTCATGCGGGCGCGATCTGACGGTTCGCCGGCAACCATGCATCTCCAACGATGAGGATGGAAAGAGCGGCGATGGGTCTCATTCACCGGCACGGTGCTAAGTTCCATTCGCGGTTATCGGAGAGAAAGGTACTCACAAGTGAGAAGATATCCAAGGCGGGTGCAGGCTGAGCAGTTGCAGTCTGTGATCTTGTAGTTCTGCCCCTCTGGTTGTCCGGTCAGCGGCGGTGACAGCGTCATGCTGAACTTGATATAACCACAGTGGCAGCCGCACTCGTACGTCTGACTGGGCTTTTCTTCGCTTAGACCAGACATGGTGAAGAAAGATGCAAGTTTGGTATATCACACAGGGATCGAGGTTGGAAAAAGACAGTCAGAGAACGGTGAGATTGTGGCCACATTAGCTTATACGGCATAATATAAACTAGGTATCCAGGATAGACACACGAGAGGAGTTAGAAGGGCAGACAGTCCATCCGAACTTAGTCAGAAGGGCAGATAGTCCATCCGGACTTAGTCATTGGCAGCACTCCTCTTTGTACAAGCTAGCTTCTTCCGCTATTGCGCAGAGACCGAAAGAACCTTGTCATGGTCGTTGGCTCCATCTCTGATTTCTATTTCAAGATGTAATTCGTAGACTGGGAATACTTGTTGACCTGACCTGCAGGTACGCTGTAGGTGGGGCGAACCAGTGTCGTGAAGTTCCCGCGTACTGGACCAAGGTGCAGGCAGGTCACAACGAGCTCTGTACAAATATTTGCTAGGAAAAGACACGTTGAGGGTGACCCTGGAATTATTGAAACCAAAAACCTACTCTACATGTTGCGTAAATCATGGGATCCGATATAGACATATCAAAAGTGTAGATCAAGATACAAACACTTTTCACAACATATATGGCCCGTGCCCCGTGCGCTATCCCTGCCAGCGATCTTCAGTAAGTTAGAAACCCACCATAATCCCGTGCTGTAGCCTGCCTATCCGTAGCTCGGCATTGAAGGGGGGACCTTCTGAGCTTCGATAAACAAGCCACACGTGAATAGTGACATTATCCTGTCATGAGGTGAAGCACATCCGAATCCTTGGCCGAATTGGCACCCGACACCCAAGAACCCCACCCGGTGGAAAATAACACAACTTGTCGACAAAGATGGACGCGCCGCCCGTCAAGCTCTCGGAGCTGCTGCGGCACCCGGACGACCTCGACAAGCTGCCCGCGCTGAAGCTGGAATTCACGCGCAAGAAGGCCGCCGTCGACTCGCAGCTGCGCGGTGGCCTGCGCGACCAGCTCGAGACGACGCAGGCCGGCATGAGCGGGCTAACGGACGGCCAGAAGGCGGTCCAGCTCATCAAGGACGAGATGATGAAGATCGACCGCCTATGCTCCGAGAGCCAGAACATGATCAAGGACTTCAACGCCATCAACCTCGTCTCCCAGGCCCACCGAAACTTCGGTGCCGTCGAGGCCATGCGCAAGAACCTCGAGGTGTTCAACGAGCGCCTCAACGGCGTCGAGCAGATGCTTCGCGGCGACGAGGAGGACAAGGAGAATATGCCCAACCTCTTGGCTACCCACTACGAGCTGACCCAACTGAGAAATATACGCGATGATGCCATGGAGCAGATACAAAGGGCCGATGATGCGAGTCTCTTGTCTACGCTGGAGGATTACTTCTCGAGGCTGGACGAGGCCATCGATTGGTTCGATGAACATATCGGACTCATCGCACTGAACCAGATTAACCTTCTCATCACGGATAACAACAGTCTTGTGGTGCGGTTAGCAATCATTGTCGAGGCGGAGGAAAAGAGCGATCAGAGAGTCGAGGCTCTGCAAGAGGCCTTGAAGGATCATAAGGAAATGGCAACTAGGTTTCAAGCCATCACCGAAGGCGCCAAAAAGGTGCGCGGCTACAAGGAGAAGTTCCTCCAGGCTATCAGCCTCAGCTGCGACCAGCAGTTCGGCGAGGTCAGGGACGAGTTCTTGGGCGACCCGGACGGACTAAGCAAGATTATGAAGTGGTATTTTAACGACCTGAATGCCGTGAAACAGGGAATGGTGCCCCTAATGCCGAAGAAATGGAGGATTCTAAAGACATACGGTGATATATACCATCAATTGATGCACGACTTTCTGGTGGGAATGATAGAAGACCCTGAAGCAAGTTCGGCGCATACACTGGCTATCATCAATTGGCCAGAGAGTTACTACAAGAAGATGAAGAAGCTCGGGTTCCCCGAGAACGAGCTCAAGCCACATGTTATTGATAATCGGGAAGGTGAATTAGTAAAGGGCTTCCGCGACCTCATCATCAAGTTTCTGGACGAATGGATCGACAGAATTTTCGCACAAGAAGGCAGGGATTTCGCTGACCGCAGCGTCGAGACCCCGAATCTGGATGCTGACGAGTACGGCTACTTCCGTACCAAGAACTTGGTGGATATGTGGCGCATGTTACGAGAACAAGTCGACGCAGCTGGAAACTCTGGCAGAACAGACGTCGCAGAGGGTGTAATCGATGCCATGTTCCTGCGGCTACGCGGCCGGCAACAGTCCTTCCAGAAGATGCTCGAGGACGAAGTACTGAAATATGAGTCTGGCAAGGTGCCAGAGTTTGAGGGCATGCAGACCTTGCAGGACTGGCTGGTTGCTACAGCCAATGACCAGATTGCCTGTGTGGATGATATTGAAGAGGAACAACGCTTTGGCTACCTCACAAGCTTCAAGCAGAAGTTCGAGCCACTTGTCACGCCAGCGTATCTTGAGCGCGCAGAAGGAGATTTCGAGCAGCTTCAAGGCAATTACTTTGATCTCAGCACATGGTGTCTTAACAAGTTCGTGAGGCTAATCTTCTCCGTCGATTTCAAGGCCGCCATGCCTACCTTTTTTACAGCGGAATGGTACAACAAGGCGACTATGAAACAACTGATCGCCACTTTTGAAGAATACCTGGGCGACTACAGGCCGGTATTACACCATGCCCTCGGCGACACTTTTGTTGAGATCTTCGCCGACGAGCTTCTTGCCCGATATCTAATGGGTGTCCGCAACAAGGGCGTCAAGTTCCGACGAACCGACCCGTTCCAGGACAAGGTCTTCGACGACATCAAGACGGCTTTCGAGTTCTTCAGAAATGCCACCGGCGGAGGCGAGACTATCATGCAGACGTGGCGCGTCACCGAGCCGTTCCTTGATCTGCTGACGGCAGAGAAGGATGCAGTTCCGGACGTCTTTGAGAATTTCAAGACCAGGTATTGGGATCTGCAGATCAGCTGGGTGGAAGCTGTGCTGAGATCAAGAGATGATTTCGAAAGGAGTATGCTCAACGCCGTAAAGGCCAGGGCGGCGCAGATCGAGGTCACGAGGGGTCCGGAGACAATTATGGCCAAAGTCAAATAGCATGCCCCAGGGTGATAATTATGAATTAATGATATTGATGCAAGGGATTTTGATCAATTTAGGACTTTCTTATTCGGTCAACCATGACTTCCTCGCGTTTGACTGAAAACGAACTCTTATTATCTTCTTAACTATTATATGTTTGTAACTAGGAACTCCGCCACAAGACTACGTATCGTGAACTCATCTATGACTCTGCTTTGTGCCAGCAGGAAGGCGGATGTAATTTCGGGGTTTGTGATGCCTGGAACGTCTCAAGCACCTGTACACTCTACTTGACACTCATCTCATGTCGATCATCCTCAATCGTCAAATAGTCGCACCATGGTCAGCAGTGGCACATTTAGTCGGGATTTCAAGGATACAAACAAACCTATAGAGCAGGATACAGCTGGCGATTCCTATGGGGATTACTGTCAATGATACGGTGAGATTAGCGGAATTGACCATGCCTAATGTTACCTTTGCACTCGCCGTTGGAAGTGCTCGGGGTTTATTCGTCCTTGGTATGAATGATTACTTAAACACTATTCTGTTTGTCAATCCTGGAATGGGCAACATAATATCGGTTCTCTCACAGTCATTATGTGATATTATCTACAACCGTACTGGGACGAGGCATCCTTGGCTCCCGGGTCAGCTTAGGCCCTTAGATCGAAACATCCGCCATGTTCAACATTGAGGAACGCGTTTTCACGGATATCACAGTGGCCATCAAGACTGTATACACATCTACTAACGGCGTCCAAATTTTAATTTTTTTGAAATACATATTATTCGAACTTCAAGAGGATTTTGGAAAACGGGCCTGCTATGGGTTTGCCACTTGCTATCCTAGTGTGTATAAGTATCTGTATTCTGATACGGGGGTTTGTCCTTGGTCGACCACTGGTACTATGCGGAAACTCCTTGTTAATTAGAAAGAGAACCCAAATTGAACTAGAGGCACTCAGACAGTGCCTGAATGTCACGGAGGTCTCCGGACTACTACCTGGGCGCTTGGAAATCCTGTGGGCTGGACGGAGCTCAATGCTCGAGACAAGTCTAGGTTAGTGAGTTTTCGAGCAAGGAGCTGGAACTTGGCTCAAACAAATAAGGAGAACAAAAGGATTAAGTCTCCCCTTTGAATACCGAGAATACTCATCGAGGTCGGACTAAGCTCAAGAACCGAATACACGTGCAAGTTGAATCAGCATATCCTCACAGACGCTGAATTAAAGGAATTCATGCCATGCAGCAACATTCATGCCACAAATTACAAAGGCAAACGAAACCTGACATCTTAACACTTTTGCGGCGTCAACACTATGAACGGACATAGTTCCAGACATGACAGCTGATATATTCGTATACGGACGTCTTCAATATGTTGTTCCACGACTTGAAATTCTATACTAACGGGAATCTTGGAGATTACTGGGCTATGTGATACACAGTGTTCACTCAGCATACACCAGGAAGAGTAACTTAGGCTAAATTGGCACGGCGCCTCTTTCGGAGAACTACTGAAATAGATGTGACCGGAGTAAAGGATGGTTGTAACCGATATCTAAATGTAGGACTTCTGCGAGGATGAATATATTTAGGGGGGTTGATTAGCCGTCGAACCTTCCAATATATTTAGGCAATGCAGCTGTCTACTATATGTAACTACGACATAACACGATTGATAAGGATTCTACCACAAACCGAAATGTGTTCTAGCTATAATCTCAGTGAGATGTTACAAGAGCATAGGCATCCCAATGCTTGCTGATTGGGAACATGAACTGTTAAGATGAGATTTCTGCTGTTTGTGTGCTGGCCACTGGCTGGCTTGGCGAGCACCATTGACCAGCGTCAATCGAGCCAAAAGATCACACTCAATGTCAACCAAAATTATCAGACCATCGACGGTTTTGGTATATCGGAAGCGTTTCAAAGAGCAAACAATATCGTCAACTTGAATGAACCCAAGCAGAGTCAAGTTCTCGACTTGCTTTTCAACACGAGTTCTGGTGCTGGCTTTTCCATTGTCCGAAATGGCATAGGTAGCAGTCCAAGTAATGCTAATGATTGGATGATCACGTTCGCCCAAGATCCAGGTAGTCCTTCCTCACCACCAAAATACAACTGGGATGGCAAGGACTCTGGACAGCTATGGTTCTCACAGCAGGCGGTAGGCACGATTCCCGTGAGAAAGTCCCTAGGCTTAGCTGATGAGATACAATAGGCACAACGATACGGCGTCAAGACATTCTATGGAAATGCATGGTCTTCTCCAGGATTTATGAAAACCAACAAGAATGACGCGAACGGTGGTGCGGTCTGCGGTCTGCCAGGCGCAACCTGCAGTAGCGGCGACTGGCGACAAGCCTATGCCGATTATCTTGTGCAGTACGTCAAGTACTACGCGGCTGCTGGTGTCAGTGTCACCCATCTCGGGTTTGTAAATGAACCGGACATCAGCACAAGCTATGCCTCTATGCAAATCAGCGGAGCACAGGCCGCCGATTTTATCAAGGTCTTGTACCCAACACTAGCCCAGAACAATATGTCACATGTTGTGATCACTTGTTGTGAGGCTACGGGCTGGAACATGCAGTCTCAATACACTCAGCAGCTCAAGGCCGCCGGAGTCGAAGCTATGGTCGGCGCAATAACAGGGCACACCTATACGTCCGGTATTTCAGGAGCCCAGTCGACGACTCGGAAAGTATGGGAAACAGAGTGTTCCGATCTCAATGGTGGCTGGTCGACTGCTTGGTACAGCAACGGCGGGGGTGGAGATGGGTATACCTGGGCCAACAACATCTACACGGGCTTGACAACCGGGAACGTCTCGGCATATCTCTGGTGGGTTGGAACCCAAGATCGGAGCACAAACAACAATAATAACGAAAAGTTGATCCTTGTCGACGGGCAGAACTACCAGGTCTCGAAGAGGCTGTGGGCCTTCGCTCAATATAGCCGAACTGTACGACCAGGGGCCGTAAGAGTAGGCATATCGGGCGGCAGCGGCCTGAAGCTGACCGCATTCTTCAATGTCGATGGCAAGGTGGCTGTCAATGTTATCAACACTGCGGCATCTACCGCTAGTCTCAGCATTTCAGGGTTCAATGGAACAACGGTGCAGGCCTGGATCTCGGACAACACCCATGATATGGAAACGATTACCGCTTCGATCTCGGGGGGAACGGTCACTGGGTCAGTGCCTGGACGAGGAATGGTTAGCTTTGTAGTGTCGTGATCTTGCATCTTATAAGTGCGTTCCGAGTGTGGGTTCCAAGTGCCTGCTATTCGGTTGGTACCCAATCAGACCTACTGAGGAATAACAAGACCAATATCTACAAATTTCATCATACCGCCAAGTCGCCTATATGTGCTGAGTCATTTGCTGCTAGTGATTGGCCAAAACTTTAATTTTGCACATATCAGCCTGCAGTGTTGTCAATTGTCTTTCCAAAGCCTCGGGTCGCCAAGCGACTACGACTTCGCTTGTCCATGTTTCAACTCAATGCCGCTGCCAAATCCAGCCAGACATGGCTTGAAGCTGCACGTCAAAGTCCCGCTATTGAATGAAGCGAAACAAATGAGTTCTCGCTGCACAATATGCCCACGTACACAGCGGAAATGATGCCAATCACGGGACACATAACAGGCCATTGATCCCTTGCAATTTTCTCATAGCTCTTATCGTGCCAATACATTTCAAGAATCTCCGTCTCAAACTCTAACAGAGAGTGGGCTCATTTACTCAATTTTGATTCTTGGGTGATGGCGTGCTTAGCATGGTATATTTCGTGAGATCTGCATGGTGATCCACTTTGCCATATGGCGTTATGGCGCGCTATTCAGGGTATCAAAGAACTGCCGAGGTCGCTGAAAGTTTATGTTGATATTATCCCTGGGACAGACTCAGATTTGTTGATTTTAATCATCATCCATACCTCAAGTTAGAGACCGGCAGCAATTGAAAGACACTCTACAAAATGGCAAGTGCTGATAAACTTGTTGTTGACGAGGCCAAGCCGCCCAAGTCAGAGCGGCAGCCAGGTACGCATAAACCATACGTTTCGAGACAACACGCTAACAATATATGAAAAACATAGTAAAATGGTATCGGTCGACGTTCTACAACATGACCGTGTTGGGTCTGTGTAACCTGGCAGCGCCCGGTATCTGGGGAGCTATGAACTCACTTGGAGCCGGAGGAGCTGCCTCGACACAATTAGTCAACGCTGCGAATGCATTGACTTTCTGTTTGATGGTTGTTACGTGTTACTTCTCCAGCGTTATTGTTCATTATATCGGCATCAAAGGTGCTCTGATATTCGGCACGTAAGTTTGGCACACGCTCTTCCGTGACAAGCAAGTGATACCAAGCTGACCAATTGAACTAGTCTCGGCTATGCACCCTTTGCTGCCGGATTGTACACAAATAATCGATATGGTAACGAGTGGCTCATGCTGCTCGGCGCAGCGCTCTGCGGCATCTCAGCAGGCGTGTTCTGGATGGCAGAAGCAGCTATCGCGATCGCATATCCCGAGCCATGGAACCGCGGCAAGGCCCTAGGTTATTGGCTTACATACCGGTTGGCCGGCCAGATCCTTGGTGGCGCCATCAATCTTGGAATCAACGTAAATCGCAATGAGGCTGGATCAGTCAGCTATGTTGTATATCTGGTGTTCATCGCAATACAAGCCACAGGGCCGTTTGTTGCCTTACTGCTCAACAAGCCCTCAAAAGTCGAGAGACAGGATGGCAGGAAGGTGTCGTTGGCAATTCTGGAGAATCCTTGGTATGAGGTCAGAGAGACCACAAAGGATTTCTTCAAGCCCAAGTTCCTACTGGTCGTGCTATGGATTGGACAAGCAGTCTTTGCTGAAGCAGTTTTCTTCAGTTATCTGGCTTGTAAGTACTTCAGCGTCAATTCAATGTCCGTGAACTTGCAGACTGACACAGAATGTAGCATATTTCACTGTCAGATCGCGAGCTCTTGGCTCTTTCCTGTCTGGAATCTGCGCAGTCATTGCAGGAAATCTCCTGGGAGTAAGACTTCGAGCCATTGATTAGTGTTTTGGAAACGTGACTGATAGCATATAGCATTATCTCGACCGAACGAAATTCTCACTCAAGCTTCGAACACGCTCTACATTTTGGACATTGGTCATTACTCAGGGTGCATGGTGGACTTGGATCACCATCGTGGCCACGAGGTACCGTGCCAACGAGACAGTCTTGGACTGGTCAAGCCCAGGCTTTGGTGCAGGATTCGCCGTGTATATCTTCCACACCGTCGGTTTCCAAATCAACTATCTTTTCCTGTAAGTTCAAGAACACCGTTCTACCTAAGTCTATGACTGATTTCGAGACAGCTACTTCATCATCACGCATTTGGCCAATGGTGAATCCGAGGTTATTCGTTATGCAGCCTTGCTGCGTGGTACTGAATCTGCTTGGCAGGCTGTCAGTTATGGCCTTACTTCGCTGGAAATTTTTGCTAAAGTTGGCGGCATCTACCTCAACTTTGGTCTGTGGGCAATTGCAATCTTTCCTGCCTGGCTCGTATTGAGACACTTTGGTCAGGATAACAAGGTATCGTCTTCGGACGATGACGCAGTCCGCACAACTGAGACCATCCCAAAAGCTGATAGCCAGTAAAGCCCTGGGCCACTCCCTGACTTTACGGTAAACTGGTTACGAGTGATTGTGGCAAGTTTTATTGATGATTGGGATCTAGCATAGCGCTTCTGTAGTTATCTTATGGCGAAAGAACGTGCTGTATCCCTTCGTGTTGATAGCGTTAGTATAGACTTTGCTAAAAAGAGTGGACCGCTCTATACATAATGGATCTCGCTATAAATTTTAGTCGTTGCTTATTCGCCATTCACATAACCGGACGAGACAAGAATTATAAGTGTTGAAATTGGAGAAGGAAAAGAAATATCAAAGGCTAGGTTCTCTCATTTTGCTTCACGCAATTCCGATTCATATTACATCGCAGTAATCTTTTCGCTGCTGCTGCTTGAGCGGTTACGATCCACGTGTAATATGCAAATCAACAAACACAGTATCGTGTTTAAACGTATCAACGAGTCAAGCCCGGCCAATTTAACAATTGCGAATTGCCTTCGTGCTGTTCTGAGTAAATGGTCGTTGTCAAGTGGATGAGGCGGCCCCGTGCGCCGATCAGTGGTCGTATTATTCGCCGGCTGAAGGGAGAATGGATAGCCCTCGAAGCAGCGTTATAGACCAAATACGACACATTTTCGAGGGCTAGCTGTACCGACAAGAAGTCGTGAGAACGGAAATGGAACGAGCTTAAAACAGCGAAGCAGTGTTGGCACCGGAAGGTATCCGATATCCTTCGGAAGGACCACGTTGAAACAAGGAACGACAGCGAGCTCGACGTACAATTACGTGGCGTTTAAAAACCCCAGCAGCCACTGTTACAGGCAATACTCGAACTACATGTGCGTGGAAAATCTACAGCGCCGCGGCCACGATACCTATCGACAACTCAGACCCCAATCACTCCTCCTTTACCGACACTACTAGATCCGGCAGGAACCCAAACCCCGCTACGCCGTATACTGTTATCACCAGCGACCACGTCTTGCCACTTAGTCTATAAATGGAGAGTAGGGAAGCAACACCTCCTACTTCTCACAAGTCTCAACAGTCGTCGAAGGAGTGGCAAGCTATGTATGGACTATGGGCATTGTGTTGCGGAACAAATAGAAATATTTATGCTCTAAATACTATATTAGAACTTTGATAGGAGAATCTAGAAATAGAAGGCAGAAACGAAATAATACTGCGAATACCAAGGTGCAATCTCAGGTTGTGAGCGTAAGCTGTGAATATATTTTAAAGAAGCGTAAAGAATCAACCAATCAGAACTTCCGATGACTTCTTTAAGACTTCTACAGTAACAATAAGGACGTATGATGAGCTTACTTTGTTAGGGCTGTTTTTGTCCAAGGTTATTTTCGTTGTTTGTCCACTTAGTGTAACATTTCCGAGCCATAGCGTAGTTCCCAGCAGCCACCATCCACCGCCGCCAAAGAAGCTGCTTAGGTTAAACTAGCATTACCGAGCTGCCGTCAGCATGGATGTAACCCTAAACCTTAAGGTTGTTTACTTATAACTAGTAGCGAGGACACAGCCGGGTTTAGTAGCAGTAACTGATCGAAAGTCTTAGTAAGACTTTAAATAGTCAGCGCTAAGCACTTGGTTCGGAGCAGTTCGATCCCTTCCGTGAACACGACCACGCCTGATCGCATAACACACTCCAACATAGGGTAGATCCATGCAGTTCAAGTTGGATGAATGTGGCCAGGCTTGGCCTACTTCGCCATCTAAGTTATATAATTCCCTTGATGTGTTGTTGATCGTTGGGATAGTTGTTGGGTATTGTGACAATTCCTTAATGGCTACAAGATGTCCACGGGAGTTGCTTCGTTACCCCACTACTCGGAGGCCAGACTCTCCCACTCCGGCATACCGGGCCTGCTACGCTGAGTTCCCATATGAATGAAAACAAAATATATAGCTTCTATCTAAAAGTTCAACTAGTTTCTGAGTAAATTTCTTGGACTGCCAAATGAAATTCGGTTTATGCGCGAAGGCCTGCTTCAGTCCTAGCACCAATTATATTATGATACCGGCCCTGATGAGACATGTTCCATTAAAGACCTCAAAACCGCAGGACAAATCACAACTTCGATCTGCAACCATCTGACTCAGAGCTTGCTATAGAAAAACTCATTAGTAAGTCTGAATTATATCCAGGTTGCTTGATTTTGCGGATGAGATAGATAAGAAAGCTCTTGGCAGTATACTTCATGTAGACTCAAGCCTGCCTTAGGTGGACTTTTACCTTAGTGAGATCATGTGATTAGCCCCTCACCATATGTTAAGGACCTAAGTTAGATTTACCTGTCGCCTTCACATTTATACTCTGAACTCAATATGGAGCCTGTGCAAAACCTGGTTAATACGGACTATGAGTCTGTCCCTCTACCTTGGTCTCAACCAGCGCCATTCGCGATATTCCCTTATAAGCCTTTATTCCCCAACCTTCTAACAAGAGTTGACCAAGTGCGAAGTAGTGGTTTCTATGGCTTCTTCAATGCCGACCTACTCGCTTCCCAGGCCGCCGACTTTATACGGTCAAACTCAGATGCGGACCAGGAACTTCTTGTGCAAGTTATGCGTCAATTTCTGAATTTAGCCAAGCAAGATTGCTTAGCTGGGGCTACAACTAAGAATGTTCAGGTCGTACATTCTTGTTGGCTGGATATTCGTATGACACTACCTATTCCCAGCAGAGTTGTACCGAGATGGCATACAGACGGCCGCATGTTTGATTGTAAATGCCCTACCAAAATACCACACTCAAAATACGCGTTCACTATTATGGGCCCATCAACCAGAATCATAGCACCCAATCCAGCCGCTACGGAAATATTAGAAAAGGGGTCGCCAACAGGACGGCGGTGGGATCAAAATCAACCAGACCCAGAATTGGCAGAAACGCTAGCAAGATACGAAGAAGTTGCAATTCGATTGGGTCAGATTATTCGGTTTAGCTGGAATCAACCAGACTCACCAATACATTCTGAACCAGATTCAAGCGGCTTATGTCGTGTCTTTGTGAGCGTCCTGTTTGGAAGTGAGGAGGAATTGCGGGACATGTGCGACTTTAGGGGCGAGAAGTATAATTACTGGAATTAGCAGTATTCAGTACAAGAAAATTGTGAGAGTGAATGACCCATGTTATATTTACTAAATGGAAGGATGCCATGAAGCAACAGGATGGCGCTGGAGGGCAGTTCTGAGACGAAATAACAGATAATATGTTCAGCTTGGTTGTAGCGGCTAGCTGTAGGCGGTGAAGCCTACTATCTAAAGGTTGGGAAACTTTCCATAAGACAATATAATTGGTTGGCATTATGTTTGGTGAAAGCTCCCGGAAGGTAGCAACAAGGCCATCCCCATTCTTTGCGTCGTATTGTTTTCCAGCTGTTTCGAGGTCGGGTAGACCGACGAAGGTGGAAGGGGAGTAGGTAGCTACGGCTGCTATTTTCAAGTGGAGAACTAACTTGCTCTGGAGGTGATAATGAATAAGAGCTTTGTGTTGAAGTGGTATATGATGTCGAGTTGAATGTCAAGCAAGGTGAGACAACTCAACAACCTTTATACACGTTTCTCCTGGCAGGTATTTATCCTCGAAAGCCAACAATCTTACCTTAATGTTCAAAAGTCCCAAGCAAAAGAAAGCCTCATGCTGGAAAAATCACGCAAATGGTCTGCGTAAATGATGTTGCTTACGAGATTCAAGAGGATTCCGTGTTCATGAGGTCCACCTGGTGCAAGCGATTCCCGCATTAGGAGCGGGAACCTTTGTAATATGCAGAACTCACTATTGGCCATGGCCTTGATACAACTTTGATTTCCTTGTCAGTTTCGACCTCAGCTACAGAAACGCCTGGGAATTATCCAGGGGTGTTGGAATATGGTTATCCGCGGTCTCGCACGACCATATAGTCTAGCTAGTTACCGGCGTACTGACGGCAAGCCACTACAGCCACACCGTGGCTGTCGGCAGCTTGCAGCCGTATAGGCCAAACCCCTATCTGTAGATCGCGTACGATGGGAAGAATCCCTTCTTCCTTTCGTACGATAGCGCTGAATAGATCTATTTGTCGCCCAAACTGTACGGAAAGAAATGAATGGAGAAGCCATTCCACACTGATCAGTGTTCACTTGGCTGTGAACGCAGATTGGCAAGAGTGAAGAGACGGCGTTATCTGAGTACGTACGGTAGTACGTAGCGAGACGTCGTGCTAGATCCTATTCGTGTGAAAAGAGTAAAAAGACAACGTTATCTGAGTTCGTACAATAGTACGTAGCGAGACGTTGTATTGGATCCTATTCCCGAATAGAAGACGTGTACCGTTTTTCTTCTTCGTACGAAGGTGCTCAAGTCTGAAAGAGTCCTATCCCTTCCGTACGAACATAGAATTACACGTGTGTGCCATTACACATCGATAATGAGTTTATCACCTCCCGCAGAAAGCGCAGCTACCGGTGCGCACGAACCGGGCGACGAACAACAACTCCGACAAGATGGCCTATCGCACGAACAAATGGCAGAGGGGAGCGATATTACCCTTAATGCTTGGCGAGCCGGGACAGCATTCGAGTTTTGGGACCGTACGATCGATCTCGAACAACCGATTAACGAAAAACACATTAATACGTACATTGGTCAGCTCGTAGCCGAGTATCAGGGCATCTCAACGCTCCGATCACTCATACGAGCATACCAGGAAGATTTTGAAGGATGGACCACGTTCCAGTTCGGGCACGCCGCACGACCTTTCAAGCGTGCCATGATCGAGAGACTTGAAAAAGGAGGATACCATTTCCCAAGCGGCCTTACGCAAGACAAACAGCTCGTACACCCGCTTGGAAACTCCGAGGCTGTCAGAACACCTCGTGTATCACCCCGTACGAGCACCCTTACACCCGGACCAAGTCGTACGAACGAATTGCCTCTAGAACGGATCGAGGATAACCCCGATCAACACCAAAGGACCGAACAGCAGTCGTACGCACCGGATGGCGTACGACAAACAGTCGAGGCCCCCGTAGCAGGCAACCGACCGCAAAGAGACAGTAGGGAACGGTCGAACGACACCCAGGAAGTACCCGATCGTACGACTCGCTTCCCATCACGCCCTGCTCATGCATACCAAGAAGAACAGCCACGGTCGTACGACCAGGACTACGGCTATGGCAATGTCCCACCGGGAGTACCATTCACGATGGAAAGTCAGGGATTTCCATTCGCACGAGTAGCAACAGTTGGTCCAGAGAATCCAAACGACCCGTACGCGCTTCTACCACCCAAAAGAATATATAATAGCACGTGTAGCCCATCCCAGATCCAGGCCTTCGCCAAGGTTTGGAGAAAAGAGTTGAACTATACAGGGAAGCCGTACGATATCTTATACGACAAAGCCCGGATGTTTATAGCTGCGTGTAGGAAGATCGGAATTACCGAGGACCAATTCCACGCAGTATGGTTATATATCTTATCGGATCGTGCGTTAGACTTTTATGTCAACCATATCGGTCCCGACAAGATCTGGTATGATATCTATCGTGCGATGGATTTGCATTTCAACCATAGGGTGAACCATAACCAGTACTGGGCAGACTGGAGCTCGTTAACGTTCGTACGAATGCGAAAAGAACACGCCGACAAGACCAATTCAGAGGTCCTAGAGATGCTACTAGACAAGATGCAGTTGACCCAGCGTGCGTTAGGAGCTGGATATCAAGGAGAGATCCAACTTCGTACGGCCGTTAAAAGAGCATGTCGAGGTGTCCCAGAGTTGGAACCCGCTCTAATTCAACAAAGACAGTCGTACGAAGAGCTATTCTCAGATATGAGAGCAGCCATCACTATGGCGTCAGACCGTGAGCCGACTATATACCTGTCATAACTAGACTCGTATATAACCAGGTATCTTACCGACCGTACGTATACCCGTAACCCGACACAACCGTACGAGCAGAAAAGATCAGATGCTATCGTACGAAGACCATTCCGGGACAGAAAGTTTGGATCACGACCTCAGGGTCGTACGGACAAGAAATGCTTCGTATGTAAGAAGGAAGGATGTTGGTCTACAAACCACACTCCGGAAGAGAGAGCAAGATCTCGTACGAGATACTTGACAACATGCGATGACCAAGACATCGAACCTCTATCTCGGGACGATTTTGCATCGTACGTACAGGACTACGAGGGACAGGACCCTGACCTAGAGGATACGTACGACTCCGAAGAGGAACAGGGACAAAAGGTTGTCCAATACCTCCTATCTGCGTCGTATATCCATCGTGCGACAGGCACAAGTGTATACGACATGCCGTACGATCAACCATCCTCAGAAGCATTTGTCCTAGAGAACCAGTATTCGCACGAGTACCAAGGTGAGCTCTGGGATACTGGAGCATCACAACTTTCTACAGTCGGCAAATCACAAGCCCTCGCGTGGCTACGTGATAACCCTCGTACGAAGGTCAAATGGGGTCCTTCGTCTAACACATTCAACTTTGGAGGAGGAGAACCCTTACACGCAATTGGTACAATAACCAAAACCAATCCCCTTGGTGAGGTTACGTACTATATCCTAGAGGTAGACACCCCATTCCTGTTATCATTAAACGATGCAGACCGCCTTGGAGCATATTTTGATAACACTACAAACCGCATCGTACGGAAGAACGATGGTATCTCACTTCCGGTCGTACGAAAATGGGGACACCCGTTCTTTAACCTGTCTCGTACGGAGGCATCCATGTTCTTAACAGAACAAGAGCTAAGGCGCCTACACCGTCGATTCGGACACGCGCACGCAGACCGACTCTACCGGTTACTTCGGAAAGCCGGTATCGAGGATGTTAATCACTCCGTACTAAAGGGAATACAAAAGGTGTGCCACCATTGCCAATCGTACGACCAAGCACCCAAAAGATTCAAGTTTACGTTAAAGGACGACCATAACTTTAACTACGAGATCTTTGTAGATATCGTACACTTATCCGACGGGAAGGCCCTCCACGTAATCGACGCTTCGACGTCGTGCCAAGCCGCTGAGTTCCTAGAAAAGGAAGACGCACGAAGCGTGTAGGATGCGTTATGCCGATGCTAGATCTTCGTATACCTCGGGCCGCCAGATATTATCTCGCACGACCCGGGTACCAACTTCGCATCCAAGGAGTTTAGGAGCAGCGCACGTATAATGGGCTGTACGTGTAAGGAGGCACCCATCGAGGCTCACTAGGCAATCGGAAAGATTGAACGCGCCCATCCACCCTTACGGAGGTCGTACGACATCCTGAAGAAAGAGCTCGGCCATAGTACCGACAACCGTACGATCCTCCAGATGGCAGTTAAGGCCCTGAACGATACCGCCGGACCAGACGGCATCGTACCAACGCTCTTAGTGTTTGGAGCGTACCCACGGATCAACTATGACTCTCCACCATCAACAGACAACATCGCCCGTGCGAAGGCTATTTCCAAAGCTATGACTGAACTCCGGAAGATTAACGCTCAAGTTGATATTAGTCGTGCGATCAATACTAGGAATGGTCCTAATCCGTACGCCGTAAAAGCACTCCCTCTCCGTAGTAAGGTCCTCGTATGGAGAGAAAAAGAGGGATGGCAAGGCCCGTACGAGATCGAATCGCACGACGGGGAGGATGTAATCCTTGATATGGTGAATGGACCGACCAGGTTCCGGTGTACGCACGTCAAGCCGTACTATGAACCGGAGGTCGAGGAGGAGGAGGATACGGAGGTTGCTCCCATCGTACGAGAACCACCACCTGTACGAAGGAGAGGACGACCACGTAAGAGTGTCGTGACAGATCCGGAGATTGCTCCTATCGTACGAGAATCACCACCCGTACGAAAGAGAGGACGACCACGTAAGAATGCCGTGGCAGATCTGGAGATTGCTCCTATCGTACAAGGACCGTTCCCCGTACGACGGACAGGTCGACCACAAAGGCATGTAGTTATCCATCTAACTCAAAAGGAGAAGGATAATCGTACGCTAGTAATCAAGCTAAGAGAAGATGGTGTTATTACCACTCCTGGAGCACCGTTCGAGGAGTTAGATGTTGTGGAAGTAAATGATCTTACCGTACGAGGTGTATTTGAAATTATCAAATACGACCCGTATCTCTATAAAGGAATACGGATCTTTAAGACTCGCCTCGTACGAGAAATCAAGGGCAAGACAACACGACCGTACGAAAAGAGCAGACTCGTCGTACAAGGGTACGGTGACGATTCTAAGGATCAGATTCTAACCCAGGCACCAACTATCCAACGGGTAAGCCAACGGCTTATCCTTATACTTGGTCCAACTTTGATCAAGTCGTACGGAATGGTTGGAGAACTACGAGATATCACACAGGCTTATCCACAAGCCCACGACCAGCTCGCACGACACATTCTAGCAGTATTGCCACCAGAGCTACAAGCCAAATACCCGGAGGGTACCGTCTTGTGGATCAAGAAGCCTTTATACGGCCTGGCAGAATCAGGACTATATTGGTTCAAGACGTACCATAGTCACCATACGGAGAATTTGAATATGGACACATCAACGTACGACTCATGTCTATTACTCTCTAAGGACAGCTCGTACGAGTTTGGAATCACAGCCCTTCAAACAGACGACACCCTAAGCTTCGGTACGGAAAGTTTCTCTCGTCGAGAGGAGGAAGAGATGCAAAAGGCAGGTTTCCGTACGAAGCCCAAAACTGCTCTATCGCACGACAACCCTTTAGAGTTTAATGGTAGCCGTATCGAGATGGATGGGGAGGATATTCTATTCCTCCAGAAAGGGCAGACCGAGAACCTACAGATTGTTGACCATCGTGCGGAGGATGCACCCCAGCAATATGTCTCTCAACGCGCACGAGGAGCATATATCTCGTCTGTCTGTCAACCAGAGGCAGCGTACGACCTATCGACTGCTGCCCAAGTAACGGAACCGGAGGATACCGATATCGATTTCCTAAACCAGCGAATCCAATGGCAGATCGACAACCCTCGTAGAGGCCTAAGGTTTATTCCTTTGGATCTAGCTCGTACGAAGTTATATGTGTTTACGGATGGTTCCTTCGCGAACAACCGTGACCTCTCATCCCAGCTTGGGTTCATTGTAGTACTCGCGCAAGAGATACATCGTACGAAACAAGAAATGACCTTAAGAGGGAACATCGTACACTGGACATCGTCCAAATGTAAAAGAGTTACGAGGAGTGTTCTTGCGAGTGAGTTGTACGGCATGGTAAACGGTTTTGATATTAGAATAGCCATTTGTACGACACTTAGAAAGATTACCGACCGCCTAGAACTACCACGGATCCCTATGGTCGTCTGTACAGACTCATTTTCCGTGTACGACTGTCTTGTCAAACTCGGCACGACACAAGAGAAACGGCTTATGATCGACATCATGGCCTTACGGGAGTCGTACGAGATGAGAGAGATTTCGGAGATCCAATGGATTAATGGGAACGATAACCCGGCAGACGCTTGTACGAAAGCAAAGCCTAACGCAGCATTAGAAAAGCTGGTATCGACAAACCAGCTTACCGTACGGATTGGAGGATATGTTAACCGTCATGTACGAGAAGAATGACAATCATGGACACAAGGAGGCACCGTACGGAAGTATGGTCAGAACGCAATCAATTATATCTCGTACGAACTACGAGAACTACCCAGTTCCACCCCGGGTTCCTTCCTTCTAATCGATCAAATGCAACGCTGTGCGTGCGACTTCCAGATGCAGTTGGAACAGGAGCTATGCTGGTATCCTTGGACAAGGATACAACGGTCGAAGACCGGAAAAGAAGCATGGCATGAGTGTGCACACGGCCGATCGGAAGCTGTACCAACGGCAGAGACAAGACTATACATGGTTAGCCAGCCGTACGAGGACAAGAGAAAAGCAGAACGTACAGTGCAGTAAAGTACGAATCGCGTCGTACGATCTTGGCAATCGCAAGGGGGATATGGCCCCAGTCGTTGTTCACCGTAATGCGCACATCTGTCATAGGCATCTGGGCGAGGGCGAGCTCCTCATTCTAGAAAAGAGCGTTAGTATACGATCGTGCGATCATAAAAGCAACGTACGTACGTTCTTGCAAAGGGCGAGAATATTCGCACGAGTCTGAGCATCGCTACCACAGTGCACGATAAACGTCTGCTTGCCACCTACGGACCCGATGAACGAGGTACGTAGCAGCGGGTTGGTGTTTAGGGCAACAGGAAGAGTGGCCATAGTGATAGAGTTGAAGAGCATGGAGGGAGAAGAGAGAGACCTAAGGAAGGGCGTACGAAAGGATCCTTTTATATCTTTTTGGGCGTACGTTCTCGACAGCAAAAGATGTGATTCACTCACTCGACGTGATTCACTCACTCGATGTGATTCACTCACTCGAGGTGATTCAGCCACGAGCAAGGAAGGCATGCAAAACAAGCTGTTCATCACAGCAGAAGCGTACGAAAGATCAGACGGCCCGTACGAGCTAATCGTGCGGAAAGACCTGATAGCAGGTACACAGGGGGATATCTGGATTCAACTCCAGGTACATTCCAGGACGACCCGGAGCCATCCTTTAGTCGTTTGTGACTGTACGGAGATAGCTGGACTTAACCAAGGCCAGTTGCCCCTATTCCTAGGGAAGAACGTTTTTCATTTGTTTTACTATCGCACGAACCGCGAAAGAAAAGATAGCTAGTGTTGGAATATGGTTATCCGCGGTCTCGCACGACCATATAGTCTAGCTAGTTACCGGCGTACTGACGGCAAGCCACTACAGCCACACCGTGGCTGTCGGCAGCTTGCAGCCGTATAGGCCAAACCCCTATCTGTAGATCGCGTACGATGGGAAGAATCCCTTCTTCCTTTCGTACGATAGCGCTGAATAGATCTATTTGTCGCCCAAACTGTACGGAAAGAAATGAATGGAGAAGCCATTCCACAAGGGGGCCATTTCCAACATCTCCCAAGGCCCTTCGTGACCTCTGTATTGGTTATCAGGTTCTTAGATAGCTGTCCGTTTCCATCCATATTACCTTTGCAATTTACCTCCTTTCTTTGTTTTGTTATAAATCTGAAATATGCTAAAGACACGGAATTCCTCGCTTGGACGAATCCAGACATGACTCGACACGATCTGCGTTGACCCGCGACAGACGAATTACAATATACAGCTCTTGTTTCAAACAGAATACAATCAACCAGGCTTATAACGATTCTGGTATATAACGATACCTCGTTTCAACGATACAAAGCTGTGCAATCCTAACATCGTTATTGACTGTAAGTCTGAGTGATAAGAAACAATAGTCCAATTGGCGCCTGTGTATTCTTAAGGTTTAAGAGCCGGCTCCGGCACAAGTTTAATCCCCATTAGGCAAGCTCCCGAACCACTCTCCGCTATCGCAGCTCATCACCCTCACCGAGGATCTCTCTCCAAATTTTTAGGCCGTGAGTCAAGATATCAGGAGATTTCAGCCATTGAAGTTCCCCAATTGAACAGAAAGTCTTGCGGATTGCTATTTTTGATCAGGGAGCTTCTGAGTTCTCGTTGAAGGTCAGAAAAATGGCGTCCCGTAGCTTCTTGAAGCCCGCCACGGCCTCTTACAAAGCCGTTGCCGGAGCTGTTCGCTCAACCGCACCCCAGGCCACACGATGGAGCTCGAGCAGCTCCTCGACCTCGGCCATGGCCTACAAGGCTAACCGTCGCCGCTCGGCTCCCCTGCCCACCAGCGACACGCCCTCGCCGTGGTCTGCGCAAGCCGCCGTATCGAATATCCTGTACGAAACGCCCGTCCCGTCGAGCGTCCCTCCCAAGCGTCACATCCTCAACTGCCTGGTCCAGAACGAGCCCGGTGTCTTGTCGCGCGTCTCCGGCATTCTCGCCGCTCGCGGCTTCAACATCGACTCCTTGGTTGTGTGCAGTACCGAGGTGGAGGATCTGTCGCGCATGACCATCGTCCTCACCGGCCAGGACGGCGTTGTCGAGCAAGCACGCCGGCAGCTGGAGGATCTGGTGCCCGTCTGGGCTGTTCTGGACTACACCAACTCCCCGCTCGTGCAACGTGAGCTGCTGCTCGCCAAGATCAACATCCTGGGACCCGAGTACTTCGAGGAGCTTCTCACCCACCACCGAGAGATCACCCAGGAGGGTGAGATCGATGCCGGCGAGAGCGCCGAAGCTGCGGGCCTGGCAGATCTTGCCGAGGACTTCCACCCGAGCAAGCTGGTTGCTTCCCAAGCACTCCGCCACAAGCATGAGCACTTGAAGTCTATTACCTACTTTGCCCACCAGTTCGGCGGTAAGGTCTTGGATATTAGCACTAATAGCTGTATTGTCGAAATGTAAGTCTGATTTGCCTTGAATTTCGTGGAGTACATACTAATTTCCTTGATAGCTCCGCTAAGCCCGTCAGAATCAACTCATTCCTGAAGCTCATCGCTCCATTTGGTATCTTGGAATCGACCCGAACCGGTCTCATGGCGTTGCCCAGATCTCCATTATATGGCCCCAACGAGGATGCTCAGTTCCAGGATGCCGACGAGATCGTAGACGCAAGCCAGCTGCCCCCTGGTTAAGGTTGTGGTTGAATTCAAGGATAATGGCGTTATTTGGCTGGTTTGAACATCATTTGGACTGGGCAAAACTGTTGTAACTATTGATGATACATCGCGAGCAATCTTTATTAAGATATACATTATTGCAATTTCACCTTCTAACTGTACTATGCTTGCTTTTTTGAGAATGACAATGTCTGATCTGGATCTCCTTTTGAACGCCTTACAAGGGAAAGTAGTTGCGAACATTTGATATCTACAAAATCTTGCCCTTGTTTACAACAAATGCCTCCAAGGCCGCTATAGAAAAGGTTAATAGGATGTTCAATACCAAGTGAGGAAGCAGGAATACGTACCGACAGCTGCCCACAAACGGTTCTCGGCCTCTTGGAAGACCAACGATCGATCCGAGTAGAACACTTCATCAGCAACCTCTTCAGGGTGGCGGGGTAGACAGTGCAAGAACTTCCAATCGTTCTTGGCCTGGCCCTTGGCGGCCATGGAGTTGGTGATCTGGAACCCCTCAAAGTCCTTGAGGCGCTTCTTCGACTCGGCTTCCTGGCCCATGGAGACCCAAGTATCGGTGACCAAGTAATCAGCGTCCTTGACGGCCGAAGCAGGCTGTGTGGTCGTCGTGAGCTTTCCGGGGTTCCTGACGCCTTCGGCTTGAGATTCGATGAGGGCTTGCATGTCTGAGGGGATCTCATAGCCCTTGGGCGATGCGACGGAGATGTCTACGCCCATCTTGACACAAGCAATGGCTAGATCGAAAAGCACGTTGTTCGAGTCGCCGACCCAAGCAACCTTGAGGCCGGACGGGACGAGGTCGCCGGACGACGCACTGCCTGGTGCGCTCTCGTAGATGGTGAGGAAGTCCGCGATGGTCTGGAGCGGGTGGTAGTCGTTTGACAGGGCGTTGATGACGGGGACATCCGAGTCCTTGGCCAGGCCAGCAACATCTGAATGCGGTCCGACACGAGCGACCATGCACGAGGTCATGGACGAAATGACCTTGGAGGTATCGTACAGCGACTCGTTGACGCCGAGCTGGATGTCATCCTTGCCTAGGAACATAGGGTGGCCGCCCATCAGAGCTACCGCAGCCTCGGTAGACACTCGAGTCCGCGTGCTGCGCTTGCTGAACATCATGGCGATCGTCTTGCCCGTCAGACTGGTGCTGAGCTCCTTGGGGACATTCCCCGACTTCACGGCGTTCTTGTGCTTGGCGGCGTTGCGGACGAGCTGGGCGAATTCGTCACGGCTCAGGTCCGCAATGGACATGAGATGCCTAGAGTTCCATGGCGAAGTCTGTGAGAAACACCTGGTCTGGATGTTTCCGAACACACCTCGTGCGAGTCGGAGAGTTGAGGGCCTCATGTTGGCTCAATTGGTTCTTCAAAAGTTCAGGTCCACACCCGTTCACGTTGAAATCGCACTGGATGGCTGTTCCGGGTTCCTGACCGCTGTATAAGTGACGGGGGAGAAACCAACCTATGAGCGATCAGCGATTACCAACAAATTCAAGACGGAAATGTGTAAATAAGACATACACGAATGAACAGTTAGCTGCAACGTTCAGTAGCGCCCAATTGAATTTATAACTGGTGGCCAACTGTCGTGAGTCAATAATACGATCCACTATCAACACGGTTGAGTCTGTTGTCAACGACTCATCTGATAACCGTGCTTGTTGGGAGGGAAAGAACGAGATTGCAGCTGGCAGAGCTCCGAGGTCGGCACTAGCAGCTGTCACCCAGGCATCGACTTTATGCGAATGAGTTGATGCGGTGATGTCAATTCAGTACGATATCAAACCATGGATGTCGTTACTAATAACAAGCGACTGGTTGACATACAAACGCAGACCTCATAGACCTATTACAGAACAACTGTGTCGATTGTGACGCAGTCGCTGGCCATAGGTTACAGAAGTGTGACCGTACCTTGTGAAATCTGACAACAGCCGTGCCTGCATAATTCAAAGGTTGCATAACTTCCCCGGATTACACTAACCTCACGTCTACCGAGGAGGAATCAAGGCTACCGTGATCCAATCCGTAGGTATGCAGATCGTCTCATCGCTGCCCCGCCCTTTGCTCTTGCTCCGTTGCTCCGTTGGCTCTCTAACCTTAGTGGTGGACCGTCGCCATTGCCCCTGCGCCCTGCCCTGCGCCGTCTTAACTCACCTGCCAGTTCATCGCCATAGCTGACGTTTGATGACGACGATCGTTGCTTGCAGGCTCCCAGGTCTCGCTCTCATTCCATTCACCACGCAAGAACAACGACGTGCACCATCCACATCAATCTCTTGCCTCGACTTTTTTTTATGTGAATGAGATGCTAGGGTAGTGCCTGTTTCCTGTCTATCCCGATACAAGCATTTGAGCGATTAGGTGTCGCATCACATTCAACTCATACGCCATGTCGGAGGACGAGCGGTCGCCTCTGCTGTCGGCGTCGAAGAACAGGGACACTGCTAACCAGTCTGGCGAAACTACGCCCTTACTTTCCAGTACAGCCGATACACCAAGATACGATGGAGAATTTGACGAGCCAGCCGACGCCACGTCTATCATATCGCACCGCAGTGAAACGGCGTCGACACATGCCGCCGCCAAGTCGCGAAGATGGCCGTCCTACATTGCCATGGGCATCCTAGGCATTCTGGTGCTGGCAATCATAGCGCTGATGTTCATCGTGCCCGATGCAGTTCAGGAATATGCCAAACAAGCCGCCGTCCTCGAGCCTACGAATCTGTCGCTCGACTCGATCACCACTGATGGCGTCAAGGCGAGGATACAAGCCAATTTCCGACTTGATGGATCGCGCGTCGAGAACCATCATGTGAGGAGGATTGGCAAGGCGGCAACATGGGTTGCCAACACATTAGGGACCGAGGAGACCAAGGTTGCAGTGTCCCTGCCCGACTATGGCAACATCCTCCTCGGAACAGCCGTCATCCCCCCATTGACAATCAACTTGCGAGAAGGCCATACTACTGCCTTCGACTTCGTGACAGAGGTTTCGCCGGGGGACGTGGAGGGCATTCGAACAATTGCGAATGAGTGGCTCGATGGTCGCCTGGACAAATTGCGCCTAAAAGGCTCGACTGACCTGACTCTGAAGTCTGGAATCATTCCGTTGGGAACTCACAACGTTGTGGAATCTCTGGTGTTTGAAGGTCAATCCCTCTATCGCGCGTTCGCATCCCTTTTTCTTGGAGAGAAAGCTTTCTTCTAGACAATCAAACATGACTATTTGTGGTTCCCGCTTGATCTTACTTTTACTGATTGTTGTGCAGCCAATAAAATTCCCACCATGCCCGCTTACAATATCACACGACTCAATGTCAAAGATGTCCCAGCGCCAGGAGGCAAGAAGTCTATGATTGCTGATGTATCACTAAGTGCATACAATGAGTATCCGGTAGAGCTCAACGTACCCGAACTTGCGTTCGAGATTCTTGTACCCGGTTGCGAGGAGGATCAGTCTATCGTGGTTGCGGACGCAGTTACCAGCGAAATTCATATGAAACCTCGTACTGATGTCGAGGTGAATGCTCACGGCTTAGTCCGAGAGCTCCCAGATTCGCTGACGCGCGCTTGCCCGAACTCAAACTCATCCCCACTGGACCTGTTACTCAAAGATTACATGCACGGCGAGCCTGCGACATTGTACGTCCGCGGAAGCAGCCGTCCTGATGGTAGCACCCCACGTTGGATTGCGGACATCTTGTCTAGTGTTACCCTGCCCGTTCCATTTCCTGGAAGGTCACTGGATGGACTGCTCCGCAACTTTTCATTGACAGACGTTCATTTCACCTTACCAGACCCTTTCGCTGACGAAGGCGATCCTAACGCCAATCCCAAAATCTCTGGAAATGTTCTTGTTATCGCTGGTCTACCAGCTGAAATGAACTTCGGAATCGATGTCACCAAGGTCCGTGCATTCGCTGATGTGTTCTACAACTCGAACAAGCTTGGGGAATTAAACTTGAAGAAATGGCAAAAAGCCAACTCGACCAAGATCGACGCTAAGAAAGGAGACGAGGCAACGTTAAAGATAGAGTCTCGGATCAACGATGCCCCATTGAACATCACCGACAGCGATGTGTTTAGCGATGTCGTTCAGAAGCTCATGTTCGGTGGCAAGCCAATACAGTTGGACATCAAGGCCTTAGTTGATGTAAAGGTCGAGACAGCTTTGGGGCAAATGGTTCTTAAGGATGTTCCGGCCGAGGGGAAGATTCCAGTTAAACGTCCGTATTAGCCGTCTTGATATTGTTAGTCCCTCTTTCTAGCAGCCAGTCTTTCAGGATGGGCTGCATTGACATTGACATCCCGTTGCTGCTAAGTATAATTGATCGTCTGCTGACCAGCTCGTAGCAATATCCAGTGGGAAAGGGTTACTCCAAGGATTGACGCCCAAGGTTAGGTCGCTCAAAATCATCGACACAAGCCCGACGTCCATAACTCTTCAGGCTTTCGTGAATATCACGAATCCCACGCCATACACGGCGCATGTGCCCTACATGAATATACATGTGGTAAAAAATGGCAGTATTCTTGGTCATGCAACGGTTGAGAATATGGACATGGTGAAGGGAGTGAATCCTGATTTGTTGGTGACTGCAAGATGGGAGCCGAGCATGGGTGGAAACGAAGGACGCCAAATCGGAAGAGACCTTATCTCTCAATATCTTTCTGGCTACAACGTCACAATAACCGCCAAACCTCATCGGAACAGCATTCCGGGCGCAGACGTTCTTTGCGACGCTTTGTCTCGGTTCAACATCACAATGCCTGCACCGAAACTCGATCTTCCGGGTGACAGTCCCGAGGAAAAATCTCATTTTATTAGAGACGCAACTTTCCACCTCTTCTCATCGACGGCGACGTTCACGCTCGTCTCTCCATTGCATTACAACACGATGTACGTGGACTTTGTCAATGCGACGGCCGTATACAATCATACAGAACCAATGGGCAAAATAATATACGACTACCCCTTTCAAGCACCACCTGGAAAATCTACCACGCCCAAGTTGCCTGTGGAGTGGTCGGTTGGATCCGTCGGGTACGACGCGGTCAAGAAAGCCCTCGGTGGCACTCTGAAACTTGACGCACATGCGGTCGTCGACGTGCGATTAGGTAATTGGAAGGATACATTCTGGTACGAAGGTAGAGGCATTGGGGCTCACGTACAGATTTAGGCATTAGTCACGGTTTAGATAGGCGTTCAGGTTGGGTACTGGCATAGATGCAGTAGTACATTTCTTGAGCGGAAACTTTTACGGCTTGCTGCAAATAACCTCGAAACACATATAAATCAATAAGAATCATACATTCCATACGTCGAACGTTTTCCCCCTAATGTCCCGGACAGTGATATGGTGTGTCGCGTAAGTTGCGCAAGTCGTACGAATCCTATTTAAACGTGGGTTCTGTTCCAACACTGCCAGACCGCAATTCCTGGCCACTTCAGTGGCATCATTGCTGTCAGTCTCGTGCAAGTCGAGAGTCAAGTTCGTTATACAATGAACAATCAGCCACTAATAAGGTGATGCAATATAGTATGTACCGGTTACCGGCCCACTCTCTTGCATGGCAGCGACCCCAGCGACCCGCTCTGACTCCCGCTCTCCGAGGCTGCGGCTGACCACGACATATCCAATTAACTAAGGTTAGGTTGGGTTACACAGCTACTCGCCGGAGCGACCCCTAGGTTAGGTAGTTCTGCCCCAAAATACCGCTTTTAAGCTCTCCATAGCCAAGAACTTCCTTCGGAGCGCAACATTGCAAGCCATAACGCGTCATTCTTTAATTACTTTAGCCTTTCAGCACACCTCAACTTTTTGACGCCTCGAATAGTTTGGCACGGTACCACATCCACATCGAAACTTCTGGAGAACTTCTGAGACAATGGCGCGAAGCTGGAACATCGTCTCTCCCTATGGACCCCGGGTGCGGCGCTCAAGACAGCTCATCGTTCTGTGGATGCTGGTGTTGGTTTTCATTATTTCCATGACCTACTACATCGCAACGCGACACCGCGAGACGAGCAAGACGTATGCGAATATGCTTATATACGGAGAGAATTCTGGACGAAGGAGGACACCACCAAAGATGGAGGTCATCGACTGAAAGGAGCCCTCTATGGGACTTCGCATGGTAAAGCCCCTGAGCGGCGGTCCCGCCTTACAGACATGGCGATTTCGGTCTCTACTGGATCGCGATTCAATATCGAACGCGCCCTTCAAGAGACAGGTCCGCGCGGGTGTGGCTGTAGTCTACGATAGCTCTATAGTCTACAATATCGGCAAGACTGACCTGCCCCGTATCTGTCCGGCTCTTAAGGGCCAGAATGCAATCTATGGTCGATCGGCTTGCGCTAAAGTCCACTCGCAAAATTCACAGATCGACATCCATGCTATCGCGAGTACATCGTTCGATCCGGAAAGGTGTGGCTTCGTTGTTCGGCGCTTCGACTCAGCCAACGACAAAGCAGCATAATGCTTGTCAATATTGATACATTGACTACCCACCGCTTCCTCGAACTCGGTCCGTGATTGGGGTTTGAAGTTTATCTAATGAAAACGACCGAGTTGGGTATCTATCCGCATTGAAAAACGCACCACAGAACCGCTCAATTTCATCGTTACATCCCAGGTTGCATATTTTCCCACTCTGTCCCATCGAGATGGTCTGTTGCAGGATTTGAACACGTTTATAGACTTTGCGTTGAGCATTACGCATTTTGGCTATAAACTGTTCATGATATAAGCGGTTGTAAAGCGACAGGCCTGTCACGTTGTCGCGCTCCACCAGGAAAGGAAACACGCTTGCTACTTTGTTACATGTTCGAAATAATTCGGGTTGTAGAAAACTGAGCTCGAAGCCTGCTCAGCTTTTCGGATCCTATAGAAATGCGTTTTCGCAACAGTATCACTGATCGCTCAGCGCTTGTTTGCAAATCTACATTATCGGTCCAATCCCAAGAGCTCCATAATGGCGATATATCAGATTTTTACAATCCTTCGAAACTTCGTTGGGCCGATGCCTGGCGGCTCCATCTACTGGCAGGTTAAACGCATAAGGAAATTTCGCCATGTTTTCAACACAGCAATAGGACTCCTCAGCCACCTAGAACCCAAGCCAGGAAATACTTACGTTTCAGAGCCTTTGTGCCCGGATCCTAAGGTAGAAATATAATACCATCAAGGGACTGGAGCGAGCAGTTTGTCGCTATTGTCAAGTCAGACTATGAATTTATTTCTCCGATGGATGTCAATGGCATGCCACGACCGGACGAATACAGACAGCCAGGATTGAACAAAGCAAGTAAAAAGCATTGATTGCCCTAGTCCATGAAAGCCATTATGCTGTCACAAGGATGGCACAAGTGGGCAACAACGCCTTTGTCATTCAGAAAAAGGTGACATGAGAGATAAATATGGCCACCAAGTCCGCCTGGCATTGGAACTGATATCATATCATAGAAATAACAGTTCCTCATCTCCCCTTCGCTCTAAATCAAGATCTCGCCCATATATCAGTTTCTCTGCGCAGGTTTTAACCATGTCTTCTCAAAGCTTCAACAACAAATCCCGCCTGGCCCGGAGAAACAACGAGCACGTCACCACGCTGCGAGCTCAGTACGAAGCGCTGGGAACCGCAGCGCGCCCGGGAACTCCAATTTCCACCTCGTGCCCGGCCCCGACTCCGCGACCCCACCGGACGTCCTTCACCGGCGACGGCCGCGTTTCCTTGCGCGAGCGGCTGGCTGTGTACAGAAACGGGTTTCCCCGGTCCTCTTCCTCCCATGCCAAACAACTTACTACGACGCCGCCGCGCTTGTCGCCCCTGCTTTCCGTTCCCGAGTGTCCTCCCGCACCTCGCAGGCCCCGCGGGCGTCTCAGCGCCGAGCGTCTGAACGCGAGCTGCTGCGATGATGAGGACATATTCCTCGATCGCCGCGCCAACAGGTTCGAGAAGAGCAAAAAGGCCGACACAGGTAAGCCCCTGCCCAGCCTTCCCCTGTCACCTCGGGCAAGGAACGCTCGCTCGCCGCTTCGCAACATCGTGAAGCAGAGCGACGTTGCCGTGGCGAAGACCGGATCCGTGGACCCGGAGATGAAGCGTCTGATAGGCCGGAATAATGGCAGCGGCGGTGATCATTGTAGGTCTGGACATGGTAGTGCTAAGCTCGAGATGGCTTATCTCTCTGGCGCGATCGACAATATTCTTGCGGACTACCTTCCTGGTGCGATGCCGGCCATCAGGGAGCATGTGCAGGAGAGGTGGAAGGGCGAGGAGAAAGGTCGGGTTGACGAGACCATGATTTATCTATGTGGTGCTATCGACCACGAGCTACCCGGGTGGTCTTCCCGTCCAGTGACGAGGCTCGTGGCCAGGGAGGTCGAGTAGCTGGGATGGGTTGAGCGTTGTAGACGGTAAGTGAAAGAAAGACAAGCAAGTTGATCGGCATGGGTTCATGGGCTATTGTGAGTCGACAGTTGTGCAGCAAAACTAGAAAATCAATCAAACATGTCCTCACGGAGTAGATATCTGAAACTGTGTGTTGCAAAGCTGAACCAATTGCTAGAGCTTGCAGCGATGAAGATGCAGTGAGACGCGTGGGGGAAACCTCGGGATTATTCAATGGATTCATTCAATGGAACATGCTTCATAATGCCCAAAAGGTAAACAAATTACAACCATCTCCCGGGGGAAGACTGAGAGGTACCCAGCAATGTCCTGGTTGGTTCAGTGGTGGATGGCTCCGGCTTTAACACCTGGTGGGCTTCGATTCCCTAAAGGGAGGTTCTGGGTCCTAGGATCGATTCAGGTAACTACTTAACCTACCTTTTTGGGATTCTTTTCCCCCATCATTTCATTTCTTCTCTTCTCTTCTCTTCGTTTTCCTTCTTCTTCTCTTGGTCGCTCTCATATGAATACAATGGTTGGGGCATCCTTATCAAAGATATCTTTGAACTTGCTATTACGAGATGCCTGTCTTCATATTTTGCCACCTGTGTCCAAACAAAATCACCATGATAACAACTAGCGGAGTACTAATAGCTTCCTCTCTGCGTACACTTGATTGCCTGTAGATTTCGTGTACTCCAGTGACATCAACGCAAAAGGCAAACTCTTCTAATATATGGACTGTAAGCTGACGTGAAGTCATTGTAAAATGGCAAGGTCAAAAATTCATTACGCGATATCACTGGCGCGTACCTTAAGAGTCATGACTACGATAAGCGCAGCTCCTGCCTTCAGTAAGCGTCCATGACTATACACTATTTCCCGCCCCTAACCCAGGTGTTGCGGCACTCTGCAAGCTTTTCTCGTTGATCATCTCCCATATCCTGACCGCCGATACCAAGGCCATAACACTGAACCTTTCTCCCAGCTCTCCCGTCGCACCGCTGCCCAAGAACTGGAACACGCCTGCCTTGTTCCCACTCCACTTCGCATTGTCCGCCCATGCCGCAACGATCTCACGCCCATCGCTGGTAGCACCTTCGTCCCGCACCGCACGCGTGCCGCCCACGCCCGCCTCGACGCTGATGCGTACAAGTTTTCGACCCGCGGGGTGCTTGTCAGAGCTCAAGCTCTTGACCTCGCTGCCCTTGGAGGAGCGCCACTCGAACTTCTCCCGCTGGCCGTCCCCGGTCTCGATGGTGAATGCGTACGAGACGGAGGTGATGCTTATGTGGGCGCCCATCTCCTCCGTGGACACGCCTTCCGAGCCCTCTAGTCCCGGCAGGGTGATCTCGGCGCGCTGGCCGAGCCGGCCGGCCTTCTCTGCTATCGCCAAGGGTGGCGAGCCTGGGTCCGCGCTTGAGTGGAGGATGAGGTAGGGCTGGCCCGAGTAGGTGGCGCTCTGGTGAAAGGTCACGGACAACAAGGGCTGGTCCTCGGACTCGCCCAAGTTGAAGGTTGGTGTGCGGATGGCTTTTTGGTAGTACATGCCAAGCAGGTTTGGAAAACGACCGGTTGGCCTGACTGGGGTTGGCAATGGCTGTTTTGACCTCGAGCTCGAGGGCCTTGACGGCGAAGTAGGCGATGCCCTTTCATAGAATGGGTTGTTTTTGGTGTCCCTGGGTGGCAGGGGTGGCGTCGCACCGTCATCTGCGTAAGGCGGAGGAGGATCGTCGTGGGGTTGTGGTTGGGAGGAATGTGCCTCCTCTGGTTGACCCATGATGAACTAGCCTGCGAGATATTGAGTACAGCCTATAAATAAAACTGCTTCCACGAAGGGGATTAAATATTCAAGGTCTGGTCACTTCCTCGGTCGAGTGTTAAATGACTTGAGAGCAACGCTGCGGGTTTTCAGGGCGTGGCTGACTGCTGGGCTGATTTTGCTACGGGGACCTTGAAACCATATTCTATAACAGTCCACAAACGCACAATGGGTTTAGTGAGTCACAAATAGGTGATTTAGATGTTCCAGTTTGGACTTATCCATTGATCAATCAGTTTTATTTACAAAACAAGATTCACTGCCGCTGGTGCCGTGTTGAGCTACCAGACAGGCCCCACTTCTCGGCACTCAGCCCCTCACTGGGTGCCCGTCTCATGGTAGTGACCCTCTAACCCAGCGAACTGGGTTTGCTCAAAGACGGACAGAACTACACATGCATAACAACATCTTGCACAAGCTTTCAGTATCATTGCAATTAAACAGATATTCGATTAGCGGTTCCAACGTGATGGCTCAGGAATCATCTACAGAGGTGTGCCAAGTCACGACATAGCGGTAAACGTCGTATTAAATACTACTCTGAAATGACCTCAATTCTTTACCTGCATCTTTGAGACTTCTCGGAATAAAATAATAATAAAAAGTTTCAATTTCACTGCTTATCAATGAACAAGATGATGGAGTCATAATCGGCACGTTCCCAGCTGAGACTCAGACCGTGATTCATAAGCGTCGACCCAGACCATGTCTCGCTCGTCGTTCCATTACCCACCGTGTACTTGGCCGTAGGGTCCAAACCCTTCAACTTCAGCGGGCCAGGAAGAGGTTTCAGCCCCGAGCGGATCTGGAATGAAAAGAGGACTGCTGAGCTGGCATCCGGATATGCGAACATGGCTGCAGGCCAGTTCGACAGATCTGGGAGTGCTAGTCGGTAGAAGTCACCATTGATCACGATAGGGTTGATTTTCTGCTGTCGTTCAATGATGCCCGGTATGGCTTCGGTCTCTTCCGCACTGAGCTCGACTGGGTTGAGCTCAAACCCGAAAGATCCACACATCGAGGCCACGGCAGCGCGGAACTCAAATGGTGTTGTGCGGCCAGTCTGTCCATTTGGCACATTGCTGACATGGCAACCCATGGCGGAAGGCGGGTATGGATACGAGGTACCGAACTGGATATAGAGACGTTCGAGACCATCAGTGTCATCACTGGTCCACGACTGCGGCCAGTAATGGTATAGACCAGGGTCGAAACGTCCGCCACCTGAAGCGCATCCTTCCCACAAGATCTCTGGGTGTGCCGTGGTAAGATTGTCGATCACGCGGTAGAGACCGAGTATATAAGCGTGATCAGCTGAGGGGGACGGCATTTCGTGCATGCCGCGGTTGTTATCCCACTTTACATAGGATATGGGCGCAGAGTCGAGGACTTTCTCCACCACACTGATTATATAATCTTGAACCTCGGGCAAACCTACATTCAAGACCAACTGATTCCGAACGAGTGTTCGGTTGCGGCCATCGGCTGACATGACCCAGTCCGGGTGCTCAAGGTAGAGGTCAGAATCCGGATTGACCATTTCAGGTTCAACCCAAATTCCAAATTTCATCTTGGTGGACTGGCTTGTTCCATCTGATGATGTTGAGTCCACAGTGATGTTGACCACGTCATCAACGAATGGACCTAAACCATCGGGGAATTTCGCAGGGTTTGGCGTCCAGTCACCAAGACCCAGGCTGTCGTTGTTCCGTGGATAATCCGTACCGAACCAGCCATCGTCCATAACAAGAAGAGTGCAGCCAAGTCCGGCAGCCTCCGTAGCAAGCTTGACCACAGCGGAGTCGTTGATGTTGAAGCCTAGGCCTTCCCAAGAATTGAGCAATGGTGGTCGGGTTTCGAAGGTGAGATTGGACCGCGACAAGTGGTTTTTATACAATGAATGAAACGAGCGTGACATGCCACCCAGTCCCTGCTCAGAGTATACGGAAACGACCTCAGGGGAAGTGAATGTCTCTCCGGGGCCAAGTGGCCATGAGAGATGCAATGGATTGAGACCCATCAGGACTCTGACCCAGCCCGTAGACCAACGCTCCACATCAGCTGAGAAGGAGCCAGTGTAGATGAGAGAATAGCCAGTTGCCGGGCCTAATGATTCGGTGGTGGTAGGTGGGGCCAGAGCGAAGAACGGGTTGTGAAAATGAGAGGAATACCCAGCTGAGGAACGGAATCCCTGCTCGCCATATACGACAGGCCGCCGATTGATATGGTTTTCCCAGGCCCAGTCGCCTTGAAGATCAATCATCTCGAGCTCCTCGTTTGGCATGTCAACGCTCCAGCTACTGGCGCGTAAGATCCTTACAGACTGATTTCCCTTGTTTGTCACTTGAAAGCTTCGCGCAATTGCTCCATATTGAGGAAAGATAGAGTAGTGCAGGTCTGCAGCAATGGCAGAATAGTCGTCGTACAAGTGGACTGTGAGCGTGGAAACATCGCCATCATCACCGAAGGTCGCCGGAAGCCCGGGCAGCGATGGTTTTCCAGAAACGATGTCGTATCCGGTATAAGAGAAGGCGGACACGGTGCTCCCATCAGCATGTTCAATGTGTATAGCAGGGACACGGAAATCGCCGCGACCTAGGTCCGGGAATTCTCTTCGACGATATGTGTAAGGACCACCCCAGCCATTTGTTGCACCGTTAAAGTCGGGAACAGTCTCAGCAGCATATGCACCCCAATGATCATGAATGAGATCCAAGGTTAATGGATCAACATGAAATTGATATGAAATGTTGCCTGAGGAAAGTGCAAAGGAAGGTCCGTCGCCAACAGATATCCCTGTTAGAGCACATTAGTTGAGTTTCAGGAGCAAAGAATGTAAAAGGACTTCAATACTTACATTGGCTATTCCCACTCTCGTCTCTGTCTACCACTCGACCCAGCACAGTGTTGAAACACAGCGACAAGAGAGTCGCCGTAGCAAAGATGGCGGCCATGTTCATACAACCGCTTCTTGATCCTATGTTGAGATCAAACCTACCCTCTTTTCTCCCCTCCTCACCTTGATCAGGCTTGCAGAGCAAGTTTATATCTTCCACACTCAAGGCCCATGTCCTTCTAGCGTACCCCGCAGGTTGTAATGCCAAGCGACCCCAAAGAACCCCAACCTCTTAGTGCAAGGTCTAAATACACTGCCGAGCGTTCCCGTACATGTTCGCGGGGGGGAAAGACAGAAGATTTCAGCGAAATGATGGCTCCCCTACAGTAGTGTGATCACTATTCCCGCTGATCACCACCTGGGCAGTGGGGAGCTGCAGACAAACAGGAACGCCCCACCAGTTTTCCTACAGTTTTCCGCACCGAGCTTTCTATCCTTGATGGATAATATAAGCAGCCTGCAGAAAAGGGCGCAGAATTTGCTGTGAAGACCTGCTCGGTTACGCTACCAAAGAATCCATGGGTGCATGGTTCAGCGAAAGCATATTAGAAAATATACGTTACAGTGTGGCCCGGAACAGCCGACGAGTCTTCTATGCAGGTTTCGGTGGCTGATGAGTCAATAACCGCAATTTCCATCTTTACCACTCAGCCACTGACATTGCAAGACTAGTTTGAGTAAATTACCTTGAGGGTCGTGGGGACGGTGGGCAAATGGTTGTCTTAGCTTGAATGGTTATAAGCTTTGGCAATGCCGCAGGTCAAACTGAAGTTTATAAGTCATTACGAAAGGTTACGAGACGCGACAATTCAACTCAATGATGCTCACGCGGGGTTGCAATAGCCATGAGCACTGAATGGAAGCATCTATAGCTCGCTCAGGTCCAGGGCATAAAGAGTGCTAGGCTCCATGCCGGCGGGAGTGGATATACAAACAGAAGATCTCAAAGTATGACTTCATACTTCACTTCGAGCCTCTGGATAATCGGAAGTGTGGGGAGTATCAAATCGGTCGGAACACGCAGTAAGGAGTACTTCACAACTTGTGTCAGCATCAGTAAATTCATTCTAAGTAATGTGAACAGCGGGATATGCACCTTTACACAACCTTCTCTAGGCCAAACGAACACCGGCCTCCCTTCGCTTCTTCGTTTGCTGAGCGGTTGCCGAACTCATATTGGCGTTTTGACTGGAGTCCAATATGCTCTGGGATTCGCGACGTTTCTCGTCCTCGATCTTCTTCAGCTGTTTGTCCAGCTTGCCCTTCGAGCTGCCCTTGCCGTGGAATTGATGTGAAAGTTGACGGAACGCGCCCTTCTGGTCAAGCGACCGACCGTGTTCATCCGTGTATTTGAGCTGGACGTTTGGCTTGTAGTCCCGGTTGAAAAGATCCGCCATTTGCCGAGACGTCTGTTGATCGCGCATTTCGTTCTGTCGGCGCTGCCAATCTTCTCTTTCGCGCGCCGACATCCTGTCAAGCTTACCGCTAGTACGATCACGCTCTCGCGCATCACGAGCCTGCTGATCGACGGCAGCCTCTCGTTTTCGCTTTTCAGCCAGGAAGTTCTGTTGGCGACGGAAACTTTCGTTTAGCTCATCGGCACCGGTATCTTTAAGAACCTTGCGTTCACGTAGTAGCTGCAATGCGGCTCCAACGCCTACTCCAATTGCCTTCTCCTCTTCTACGCCCGTAGTGCCAATTTCAGCTGGAGTTGAGGTTTCGCGATGGCGCGCTTCGTGGTCAACTTCATCCACGTCTTTCATGTGCTCATCAGAATCAGAACCATCCTCCATGGCAGTGGTAACTTCTCGATTGGGCGTCTTCGAGGTGCGAGGCTTGCGGTCTTCCAGGTCTTCCTTCTTGAGACCTGAAACAAATTCAGAAATCTCGTCAATTACCAGGCCACCGTCGGGAGCGTCTGATGTACCGGCTTCAGACTCTGACGCCTTCGATTCCTCCTTGAATTGACGAGCAATGTCCTCAGGGCGTGTCCGTTTCCGCTTCTTGAGAGCGTCTCGCCTCTGGATAGCTAGAGTTGCTTGGAGGTCCTCATCATCCGCGAAAGATGTATCTTCAGTCTTACGTTTCCTGCTGATGAACTCAGCGCCAGAGTCAACCTCCATAGACTCGTCCTGTAAAGTTGTGTCAGGTAGCAGTATATCATCATCGTCAGCCTGGCGTTGCCTGGTTGACTTGGACTTTTTCTTCTTTGGCTTTTTGACCTTGATCTCGGAAATATCGAGGTAATCGGAAGAAGGCTGCTCGTCTTTAAACAAGTCGAGGCTGATTTTCTCTAGTTTGCGATTTTGTGGCCCTCCAGCTAGATTATCGAGCTGAGTATGTCTTCCTGTGCTTTGTTCACCGAGGACGAACTTCTTAGTCTTCTTGCCGTTGATCTCGTCATCATAGTGTGCCAAAATGCTGCTTTCTCCATCTTCGTTGATAGCGTGAGGGTCGTAGACTGGTTTCTTCTTCTTGAGCTCAAGCTTTTCTTGTAGTTTTTCGCGGTCACGCAGATCCAAGTTCTCGAGTTCGTCACCTTCGTCGTCATCGCCAATGATGTTGGAATCCTTCAAGGTGAGAATTTGCTCGTCGCCGTCCTCGAACGCTGAGATCTCGTGCGTAACCTTGACCCCAGCAAGGTCCTTGGACGTGTACTCGCGCTTAGCAGCCTCTTCGGCCTCAGCAGCAGCTTGTTCCGCTTCGTATTTGCGGGCCTTGTCTATTTGTTTTTGTCGCTTCTTTTGGCTCAGTAACCATGCCTTGGCGTCAAGATCGTCTCCGTTGTCAGCGTCGCCCAGACCTTTACCCTGGAGGAGCTCGAGGCGTTTTGCAGCGTCCCTGGCCTTTCTGATTGCCGCATTCTTCTCATCTCGTCGTCTTTTAGCCTCTTCGGCGTCTCTGACTTTCCTGTAGTTGTCTTCGGCGGCTGCCTCTCGTGTATCAAGAGTGCTGGCTGGCTCTTCGCCATCGTCGTCCGAGGCTGTCTTCTCCTTGAATTGCGGACCGCTTTCACCTGGTACAGGCAAAGGCTGCATGCCCGCCGCAATACGGGTCTTGTTTATTTCTTTGATAGTTGCCGCGTCCATGTCGATAAATTACAGCGCGCAGGCTGGACTCGATACGATGAGATGTAAATCGATGCGATGCTATGTGTGCGAAGGGCTGTCGTCGTGGTGATAACGACGGCGAGACAGACGCGACCAGCTCAAATCGCAATCAGTTGCCGATAAGGAATGAGTCCGACCGATTGATTTGTCCTGTTTGACTACTTGCACAAGTTTGGCAGCTGGCGGCCTAACTAAGCACAGATCTCCGGTGTATGAACTAACACGTCATTCGCCAGCCTCAGAAATCTCAGCGGTAAAGCGGGACCTTAGTCAGCAATGCCCCACTGCCTTCTACACCCAAAAGATTTGCTCGTCAAATTTTTGGCTTCCTTCTTTTCTTTCCTCTTCACACCTACCAGGAGCTGTGCCTGGTCGTCCTCTGCTTGCTCACGCGAGTTCAGAGTTGATGACCACGGCAGCTGAATAACCTATGGAACCGTCACTCTTTTCATGGCGTTCATCCTATTCACAGCATCCCAGAAGAAGTTGTCTGATAACCATTCATTTTCGGCCCTAAAAAGCTTTGAGAATGCGTGGCCAGGCCGCAGGCGTTATATTCCACCTCTGTCTGCCGAGATCATTGATCTTTGAGGCTCAGAAAAACCATAACCAGCCTACATACCCAAGTACCAGATTTTCCCTGTCAGTGTTGCATTCAGCTGCAGGTTTAGTTCAGATTTAGTCCACGCAACATGAATGCGGCTCTCGTCTCGGTCAATATATTGCAGCTCAATTCCTGAATGTTGGTTTGAGGGTCAAATTCTTGGATGACCTTTGGTTGCCACGACCAGAGCATTCGATGAGAAGATAGTGTGTGCTAGTTTTTCCTCCATCTCTGTCATTACTGGTGGATTTTCGCACCTTTCGCAGCTTGGAATGTGGGCATTTGTGGCATCGTGAATGGATGAGAACAGCCACCCAAGAACTTGAACACAGAAGGACCGAGGCACCCCGTTGTCCGTCCGAGGATGCAACCTAGTCGCCGCGCCTCCGGAAGCGCATGTCGACTGCGCTCGTGCTGTCCTCGGATTTCGGTTCATGATGAAGTGCGATATTGGAGATTCAATTACTCGGCTTCTTCGCAGACTTTTACCATCAGCAAGAGAACATTCCACCTCTATGCTAGCTTCACCCGCTGGTACGTACACATAGCGAGAGTCACATGTCAGATTTTTACCTCAAGTTCAAAGTAGCCCCACGTAATCAGAGATGCCATTATGCGATGCGCCTTGAATATCCGTACCTTGACAGCAACTCACACACCAGCAGCACGTGTTGAAACCTGGACACAACGTGCGCCAAGCAGTCGCTAGACTCGGTCAATTGCTCTTGGGATCTGTCTTCAGACTTTTCCAAACCCTGGAGAATCATCGTTTGATTGAAATGACGATCGTCTGCATGATTGGGCTCGGTCTATACCGACGTTTGGCGAATTCCCTACCATGAACAGCCTAGACCTGTCAAAAGATGGTTCGTGCTAGGTTAGTTTGGTGGTCCACATCTATACTCGTGATAATATAAGTGTCGGAGTTTAGGCATTCTGGCGGTCGGAGTTCGTAGAAGAAGAAGAAGAAGAAGAAGAAGAAGCCGTGCATGCCAAAGCGAAGCAATTCAGAGAATTCAAATTCAGTCAATGTGATCCTCTTGCTTAGTATTTTCGGTGTCTTCAACTACCGTAACAAAATATGTGTAAATCGTAGGGAAGAGGAAACTCTCATCCAAAGTCGTGCCTTTTCAATTACTGGCGATGTCTCCTGTTCCTGACACGACTATAGAGCTGTGGGGTGATCTTCTGAAGAATGCGGGGAGTGTTCCCCAACGGGCATTCCCCGCAAGCCACAGTCTGCTCTCCAGCTACTCACGTCACACAGCCCCAGATGATGCACTCCACATTCCCGCGGAGGTGCTTCCTTTTTCTTGCCAATTCCGTCTGCATGTACTATACATTCAAACTAATGTCACTCGTGCGGCCCGACTCTCGTTCGCCTAGTCCAAGTCGCCTACCTAGTGTGCACTGAGCTCCGGCACCCAAAGTTTATCTGGAGTAGCCGTTGTGTCTACAGGGTTGTCGTGGTACGTTTACCAGGGCATGAACTGTCACCAGACTAGAATTGACATCTCGCTTAGCAATTCTTCATGGCATGATGTGGATTCCAAGCTGCTTTGATCCAGCGATCTAGAGCACGAATAGATAGTGCTCCAATAAGAGCATTGGAATCCGAGAACTCAATTCGGCCCTTTGCAACTGCACGAGTAGCTGGAGGCCCTGATTTCAAACGCACCAGCCGGAAGGAACCGAGATCAGTATAGCAGAAGCTGGGACTCCCACGTGGAGTCTCGTCTATATAACTTCAAATGGAAGTCTCGCAGATCTCTACTTCACTCGTGAGCAACTCCACGGCCATCGTTACTACCACCATGCATGCTCTAAGCTCTCTTCTCCTGCTAGGCGGCTATGCTGCACAGGCTGTCTTTGGACGACCGGATCCTGAAGCATCTCGCATCAGGCGCGAGAATGACTTGCAGAAGAGAGACGTCGATAGCTTTTTAGCTACCGAGGAACCCATCGCATACGCTCAAATTCTTTGCAATTTGGGCCCAAGCGGATGTCACGCCTCTGGTGTCGGCTCCGGACTTGTGCTTGCGTCTCCCTCCAAGTCTGACCCTGACTGTGAGTAGTATCAGACAAACGATGTTAGCTATCACTAACACTTTTGAAGACTACTACCACTGGACACGTGATGCCGCATTGACGTTCAAGGCGCTCGTTGACAGATTCGTTGCAAACTACGATGCGAACCTGCAGACTCAGATTACCAACTGTGAGTACTCCAGACCACGCTGTTGGCAATAACGCGCTGCCGGGACCCTGTCTACCAGGCTCAAGGGCAGCATGACCATGTTTTCGCATTCATGACTGACTTGGTATCGGGCAGACATCACTGGACAGGCTCGTCTTCAGACAGTCTCTAACCCGTCTGGCTCGTTATCTGATGGCACCGGTTTGGGTGAGCCGAAGTATAACACAGACTTCAGCGCCTACACCGGGGCTTGGGGACGTCCTCAAAGAGACGGACCAGCCCTCCGCGCAACTGCATTGATCACATATGGCAAATGGTTGGTTGCCAACGGCTATACATCCACAGCCAGCAGCGTTGTCTGGCCCATCATCCGCAATGATCTTCACTATGTGGCACAATACTGGAACCAGACTGGTTTCGACCTGTGGGAGGAAGTCCAAGGCAGTTCCTTTTTCACCATTGCTGCCCAGCACAGAGCGCTGGTTGAAGGCAGCAACTTTGCCGCCACTGTGGGCGACTCCTGCTCTTACTGTGACTCCATTGCACCGCAAATCCTCTGTTTCCAGCAATCCTTCTGGACTGCCAGTGGTTTTGTCAACTCCAACATCAATAACAACTACGGCAGATCAGGAAAAGATGCCAATTCCGTCCTCACTTCCATTTCTGGCTTTGACGCAAGCCTAGGCTGTGATGCGAACTCCTTCCAGCCTTGCAGTGATAGAGCCTTGTCTAACCACAAGATCTTTGTCGATGCGTTCCGTTCGATCTACAGTATCAACTCTGGAAAGGGAGCTGGCACTGCCGCTGCTTGCGGACGTTACCCCGAGGATACTTACTACAATGGCAACCCGTAAGTGACCAACCACTTGTTGACAGATCATGACTAACCATGCTAAGCTGGTACTTGAACACCCTTGCCGCGGCTGAGCAGCTATATGATGCTTTGTACGTGTGGAAGCAACAGGGCTCCATCACAGTCACATCCACCTCTCTCAACTTCTTCAAGGATCTCTCATCCTCGGTTACCGCTGGCACTTATGCATCTAGCTCAAGCACTTACACCACCCTTTACAACGCCGTATCCACTTATGCCGACGGCTTTGTAAACAACGTCGCCACCTACGCTGCCAGCAATGGATCTCTATCAGAGCAGTATAGCCGAAGCAACGGAACCCCACTCTCCGCTCGAGACCTAACCTGGTCTTATGCCGCTCTTCTTACTGCCGCTGAACGCCGTGCTGGCGTCATTCCGGGTAGCTGGGCTGGCGGAAACAAACTCGCTACATCGGTTCCTAGCTCATGCTATGCCACCTCAATCGGTGGAAGCTACTCTGCCGCTACGCCAGCCACATTCCCTGCCAGCCAGACCCCGAGCGGTGGTTCTGGCACTACAACGACTCAGGCCACCACTACCGCAACAACCTCGGCGTCGACAACTACTACTACTGCCTGCGCCACACAGTCCACTATTGCTGTCACCTTCGCTGTTAAGAAGACAACCGTCTATGGTGACACCGTCAAAGTCGTAGGCAGTATCTCTGCTCTTGGAAGCTGGGCGCCGGCCTCTGCAATTGCTTTGTCGGCCTCCGCGTACACATCTTCCAACCCCTTGTGGCAAGGCACCGTTAATCTGGCCGCCGGGCAGACCATTTCGTATAAGTACATTGTTGTCAGCAGCAGTGGCACTGTTACCTGGGAGTCAGACCCGAACCGCAGCTTGACCATCACAGCGAGTTGTTCTGGCACATTAACACAATCTGACACATGGCGATGAAAATAGTGATTTGCAAAAAGAAGGAGCAAATCGTTGTGGGCTCTAAACCAGGAAGAATGCACGCCACATGGCTTGACCTGGTAAGGATTTCCTCGACCCTCGTTGTAGCAATAAGAATATTGAGATGGAAGTTGTGCTTGAAGTGGCAGTCTTATGTATGAAACTATGAATTTTAGATACCGTCCGTCACGACAATGCCTTCCTCTTTGTTTGTCAAAATTTCCAGTCTAGTGGTCAATTTTTAGCCATGTACCATATCAATACTTGCTATCAGACTGGCTACTTATGACTGTTTTCCAGAAGAATAAGTGGATCTTGCAACATTCGCCTGAACTCCATCCGGCCGCAAGTGATGTTGTCGTAGATGAGCACCGCAAAAACATTCGCGTCCCTTCCAAGGGCGGTGATCTTGCGGTAAAGTGGGGCTCCACTTCCGAGAAGCTTGATCTTCTGCTGCATAGTATGCATATTGAGTGTCCTGTACGGTGTCTGACCTCTACATAATCGGCAGTTTGGTGGCTGTGGAGTGCTCCGGTTGTGTATAGGATCATGCACAAAGCAGATAATGATTCCCTGGGTTCAATATGGACCAGACCATCCCACTGCAGAAACTGGCCATCTATTATCATTTTTTGAATTTGGACGCGGGATCAAAACTGGTGGTCCACAAGATAAGCAGTACTTTGAGCACCCAAACATATACTCCATATTTGTGGCCATTGCTGGATCTAGAATAGGGATTGGAAATAGCACACCTAGCAGGCTTAGTAGTGTATCATATAACTACAGAAGGTACAGAAATGACTCCGACGAGTGACCTGTCGTCGGACCACTAATTACATTCTCACATGGGCTCAGCTCATACTGTTGTAGTTATTTTATTGCACTGACGAGCGTCTGAATGATTTCTTCCTTTTAGGCTTGTTCAAGCGTGTTCCACACAAATCCGAGAGAGATTGTATTCACATAATACGCTGTCACACAAGATTCAACCTGTATCCCATTTGAGTCAACTGTGGTGCCATGGTCCAGTAAAAAGGGTGCAATATCGGGCAGTTGAGCATGTGCCATTTTGTGAATATCTATAACGTTACTGTGAATATTCACAGCGTCAACTAGAGATGTCGTCTCAGGGCGGACGAGGAAATCTTTCACGTCGAGGTAGACTTGAAGAGGTGTAACGTCGAAGTGCGTGCTGAAAATACATTTTTCACGCGTATTTGAGATGATTTTATCGTCGGCTGGTTTGATATAGCAGGTGTTTGTAAAAATAGCGGAGAGAATGCTCTCAGCAAGAAGTAGTTGTCCGAGTGAAGCCATGTTCAAGCGTGGTGTAAAAACGTAGTTTGACAAGCTTTACGGGTGCTGCTACTTTGCCGCCCAGAAGGATGTGTAACTTGTACATCACGATGCTAGCCGAGAATGATCAATCTGTGGATTGGTGTTATGCCATCTCAGCCAAGGTGCTTGCCTGGACTTTGTTGGTAGGTTATATCGTGATCCCTCCCGCCTTTGCACAACCCCGGTTCTGCCTCCGTACGTACAATTATGAAATCAGAATGAAAGCGATCCAAAAATGGGCGAAGATACGTCCATTGTTCAAACACATCCTTCAGACCTGCTCTGGTTCGGACTCTGGTTCTGATTCTGGTTTCTCTTGATGGACCTCCCAGAAGCCCACTTGCATCCCACTTTGAGCCGCATGGCGCTCTCTGGCGCCAAGTCCACCGCAATCAGGCATAGCATCGACTACTCTCGGCCGCGTCAACTGGGGGTAGCCTTATTGGACGCATGTCGTCGCATGTACCATCTCTGTCCACAGCAACAAGCGCAAGAACAAGCTAGCCGACGCGCTCCTCTTCTGTACTCCTCTTCTGTACTCCTCTTCTGTACTCCTCTTCTGTACTCCTCTTCTGTACAGTCTGTAACGAAAACGCCTTCCTCTTTGTTTGTCAAGATTTTGGATCAAGTGGTCCATTTTTGGCCGCGCACCATATGAAAACTTGCTGTTAGACTGGCTACTCTGGATTGTTTGCGTGGAGAATAAGTGGAGCTTCCAAATGCAATGTCTTTCGCCTAAAATGGCCTTGCCAGACCGTAGGCAAAATATTTAGTAGTACAAACAAACAAGTTCGCAGCAACGAATAGTCTAAGAAACAGCCCATTCCTGCAGATCTGTTGCCTGCCCATATGATCATATAATGATCTGGCCTGCTATCACCAGCTTGCACAAGATGACGCGACGGCCAAGAAAAAGACGAAAAAACAGAAAGAAAAACTTCATTACATTCTCAAGGCCGGTTTTTGTAGCTATTCCCTAAAGTACTACAGACAATGCAAGATCGATCGATATATGGATTTTACCTCTGGAGTATTCTAAGGTTAGACTAGTACCCGTCATAATGACTTGCATAAGCCGCGGGCTTGTCCACCACTTCTTTACTGGGCCTGTTCAATCCTGACTGCTCCATTTTTCGTGCAAGACACCAGAGGAAGACACTTCACTTCAGGGGGTTGATAGTAAACGATCACTTCATTTTGATGGCTACAGTACCGTGTCAACGTACAGGATACGGTTTCAACTAGAGGTCAATCTGAGATCGTCAGGGATTGGTCAGTCCAAAAACCCCCGCGTCTGCGCGTGTCTGCCGTCTACTGCAAGTCTCATTGGCAGATTTCGGTGCCCGATCCAGCCTCAATCACCTCGACTGCCTGTTCTCTGTTGGTGCTACAATGCCTTCCCGCGCCGCTCCTTTCAAGGGGACGATGAATATCATGATTAGTATCACCCACAAGTGTACGCACTCTTTCGAAGCGACTGTTTACAGTTTTTCTTATACTCACCGTGACGATGCGGTTACTTCAGCTCAGAGCTGATGGCGAGTTGACTGTTACTAAGGACCTCTTACGTGATATTCCTCCTTATGCGATACTCTCACACACATGGGGAGCCGACGATGACGAGGTCACTTTCCAAGAAGTCAGGGAGAAGAAAGGGAAGAAAAAGGCTGGATACACGAAGATAAAATTATGCGGTCAGCAGGCCAAACTCGATGGACTCGAGTATTTCTGGGTTGATACGTGCTGCATCGACAAGACAAACGCTGTCGAGCTTACAGAAGCAATCAATTCGATGTTTCGCTGGTATCAGAAAGCCGACAAATGTTATGTATATCTTGCGGATGTGTCGCGAGACAGTAGCACACCTGCCGAACAAGCACAACCGACGTGGGAGTCCGAATTTCGAAAGAGCAGCTGGCACACTCGAGGATGGACACTGCAAGAACTTGTTGCGCCAGTAGTTGTGGAGTTCTACACCACAGAATGGCAGTATATTGGAGACAAGCAATCATTAGAGGAGACGCTCCACGAGGTTACCCGCGTTCCGATCCGCGCTCTTCGTGGAGATTCGTTATCCGATTTCAATTTTGATACGCGGATATCATGGTCCTTGAAACGCGTAACATCGAAAGCGGAAGACAGAGCCTACTCTTTGCTAGGTTTACTCGGTCTTTCCATGTCGTTAATCTATGGCGAGGGTGAAGAGAGTGCGTTCAGGCGGCTTCGAAAGGAACATGCAGATCAAACCAGGCTTTCTCGGGATCCCGAGATGGATGCAAGCATCTCGCAATGTCTTAGTCAACTACGAATATCGGATCCACGAGATGACAGATCGCGTATTGAATACACAAAAGGAGGGCTGTTGAAAGATTCGTATCGGTGGGTGCTTGAGAATAAAGACTTTCAGCGATGGCGTAGCGGTGAAGATCATCATCTACTTTGGATAAAAGGGGACCCTGGTAAAGGGAAGACGATGTTGCTATGTGGTATTACCGAAGAAATGAGTGGTGCTTCCGCTGACGCTTGCTTGGTTTCCTACTTTTTCTGCCAAGCTACCGACACAAGGCTAAATAATGCGACAGCTGTACTTCGTGGCCTACTTTACATGCTTGCGATACAAGATCACTTCTGTGCAAAGAATCTTTACGAGGAATGGCGAGTCGCTGGCCGTCAGCTATTCGAGGATGTTAATGCCTGGAATGCGTTGACGAGGATCTTCACCGCCATGATGCAATCTGGCCGGCTAAACAAGACGATCTTCGTTATTGATGCACTCGACGAATGCACCACGGATCGAGCCAAACTTATCGAGCTCATCATTCGCGAATCTCAAAACGGTCAGGCGAAATTCCTGGTATCTAGCCGAAATTGGCCTGAAATTGAGGAAGACTTGGCGGGCACTACTCGAAAAGTGCGAATCAGTCTTGAACTCAACGCGGAATCGATCTCTACTGCAGTCAAGGTTTACATTCGTCATCAGGTGAACGAGATCCAACAACGTAAAAGAATTGATTTGGCCCAAAAGAACGAGTTGATTAAATATCTAGTGTCTAAAGCAGACGACACTTTTCTATGGGTGGCATTAGTTTGTGAGCGGCTAAGAGATTCTTCAGTACGGGGAAGGCATATTATGCAAGAACTACAACGCTACCCGTCAGGTCTAAACTCACTATACGACCGCATGTTACAGCATCTCAATAGGTCAACGGACGCCGAAATTTGTCATAAGATCCTTGGCACTATAGCGGTCACTTATCGACCTCTCAGCCTTGATGAGTTGACAATATTTATTAAGTCGGAGTCGTTCGATGTCGCAGAGCTGAAAGAGGTAGTTGAATCTTGTGGCTCTTTCCTGACCATCCGTAATGACGTGGTGTATTTTGTCCACCAGTCTGCCAAAGACTTCCTGACTGGACCAGGAGTCAATACCATTTTCTCCTCCGGCATTAAATCACAACACGCATCCATTTTCGAATTGTCGATTGAAGCACTTTCGCGAGATCTCCGACGAGATATATATGGCTTGCGCCATCCAGGCGTCCAAATCGGGGAGTTTAATGCCCCAAAGCCGGACCCTATGGCGCCACTCCGATACTTGTGCACGTTCTGGGTTGATCATCTCATAGAAGGATGTTTTCACGATATGACGCAGTGCATCCAAGATCCTAGCAGTCTTAAGATGGCCCATAAATTTCTGCAAGACAAATTCCTTTATTGGTTAGAGGGGTTGAGTTTGATAACAAATGTGCCGTTAGGCGCTCGATCGATGGCAAAACTCCTTCAAGTCATTCAGGTATGTTTGATTCTGTGTTAACAAGGTTATAATCTAATATAGACTAGAGTCGCAGGGAAGAGCAAGAATTCCAAGAACTAATCTATGATGAGATTCGGATCCTGCAATTATTTGGTGTATTGATTGCGCAACATCCACTGCAAATATATGGAGCAATACTCGTTTTTAGTCCTACCCAAAGCATTGTGCGAAAACGGTTTGAACGAGAAGCACCACAACGGCTACTACTTCGACCGCAGACTGAAGAAGATTGGACTGCGTACTTAGCGACGCTAGAGGGACACACGCATTGGGTCACTTCGGTGGCATTCTCGCCAGACGGCAAGCGCGTGGCGTCGGCGTCGCACGATGGCACCGCAATCCTCTGGTCGGGCGAGTCGGGCGAGAGGCAGGCGACGCTTAGGGGACACACCGGTAGGGTCACTTCGGTAGCGTTCTCGCCGGACGGCAAGCACGTGGCATCAGCGTCGCACGATGGCACCGTGATCCTCTGGTCGGCCGAGCCAGGCGAGAGGCAGGCGATGCTCAGGGGGCATACAGGTGGGGTCACTTCGGTGGCGTTCTCGCCGGACGGCAAGCGCGTAGTGTCAGCGTCGCACGATAATACCATAATCCTCTGGTCGGCCGAGCCAGGCGAGAGGCAAGCGACACTCAGGGGGCACACAGATGGGGTCACTTCGGTGGCGTTCTCGCCGGACGGCAAGCGTATGGCGTCGGCATCACACGATGGCACCGTAATCCTCTGGTCGGCCGAGTCGGGCGAGAGGCAGGCGATGCTCAGGGGGCACACGGATGGGGTCACTTCGGTGGCGTTCTCGCCAGACGGCAAGCGCGTAGCGTCAGCGTCGCACGATGGCACCGTAATCCTCTGGTCGGCCGAGCCAGGCGAGAGGCAGGCGACGCTTAGGGGGCATACGGATTGGGTCACTTCGGTAGCGTTCTCGCCAGACGGCAAGCGCGTAGTGTCAGCGTCGCACGATGGCACCGTGATCCTCTGGTCGGCCGAGCCAGGCGAGAGGCAGGCGATGCTCAGGGGGCATACAGGTGGGGTCACTTCGGTAGCGTTCTCGCCGGACGGCAAGCGCGTAGTGTCAGCGTCGCACGATGGCACCGTAATCCTCTGGTCGGCCGAGCCAGGCGAGAGGCAGGCGACGCTTAGGGGGCAAACGCTTGAGGGGCACACGGAATGGGTCACTTCGGTAGCGTTCTCGCCGGACGGCAAGCGCGTAGTGTCAGCGTCGCACGATGGCACCGTAATCCTCTGGTCGGCCGAGCCAGGCGAGAGGCAGGCGATGCTCAGGGGGCATACAGGTGAGGCCACTTCGGTAGCGTTCTCGCCGGACGGCAAGCACGTGGCATCAGCGTCGCACGATGGCACCGTGATCCTCTGGTTGGCCGAGCCAGGCGAGAGGCAGGCGACGCTCAGGGGGCATACAGGTGGGGTCACTTCGGTGGCGTTCTCGCCGGACGGCAAGCGCGTAGTGTCAGCGTCGCACGATGGCACCGTAATCCTCTGGTCGGCCGAGCCAGGCGAGAGGCAGGCGACGCTTAGGGGGCATACGGATTGGGTCACTTCGGTAGCGTTCTCGCCAGACGGCAAGCGCGTAGTGTCAGCGTCGCACGATGGCACCGTGATCCTCTGGTCGGCCGAACCAGGCGAGAGGCAGGCGACACTCGGGGGACATACGGATTGGGTCACTTCGGTAGCGTTCTCGCCGGACGGCAAGCGCGTGGCGTCGGCGTCGCACGATGGCACCATAATCATCTGGTCGACCGAGTTGGGCGAGAGGCAGGCGAGGCTTAATATCGGAGTCACTTCCAAAAGTCTAAAATTCGACATTGACAATGGGCACATTCTTACCGATGCCGGAGTCTTTTCCATTCTACATTTTTCCAATACCCCTTTGGCCAGGAGCTTCCAAGCCCAACGTCCTATATCAGACTATGCGGACTCCAGCGTACAAAGTGTTGACTACGGAATCAGTCAGGACAAAAGCTGGATCACCTTAGAAGGACGGATGATTCTGTGGTTACCTCCAGCGTATCGACCAACCGCGTCCGCTATCTCAAGCTCTACTATTGCCATGGGTTGCGATTCAGGCATGGTGATTATTATGCGGTTTGGCTAGTCCTACGTAGACGATATACTCAAAATGCTTTATTAAGACTGGGAAGTCTCAGTTCACTATCCTCATTATTTCTTGTTTCTTGCAAATCGAGGGTTCCAGGGTATTAGACAAATTTATGCTCAGAAACTTTAGTTCGAAACGCTTCTAGAATCGTATAGTATATTACAGTCTGGAAACCCAATTCTGTACGTGGTTTAGCGAGTCTTAGTGCTTTAATATCCTTGTGTAGTCCCTCTCACAAGTTGAACAATAGCATTTATCATCACGCATTTAGAACGTGTATGCATAGAAACAAATAGAAAAGAACTTTGACTAATAAGCCATAAGATCCTTCTAAAGAGTAGGGGGCTGGCCGGAGCAGATCACATGATACTGCATAACAGAAGGCTTATGAGAAGTATCGAAATCAAGGTACTCCACATTTCTCGCTAACTGGCATTGTGTAAGTGGCAAGCTCCAAAATTGGCTGTCTTGTCATCAAAATCTGCCCACCAAAGCGGAAGTCAATGACGTGACAGACTGTACAAAGAATGAAAAGTGCATTTTGGTGCTGATCTCTGAACATTGCAAATAATCCTTTTGACACACCACTGCCATCATTTCCCTAAGCAAATGCGAGGCATGGAACTCTGTTATGTGGTTATCATGCATTTATAATTTAAAACGCCTCCCACCTATTGGTTACGTGCTCCGTCAACTCTTCTGTGGAGAGAAATGGCTATCCGAAACAGAATCTACGAACAACTTGTGTCTTATGTGACAAAGCACCATAAACAGCCTTGGTAGTAGTACATATGACTTCCCCTAAATATCACATAGTTTTTATGACATTGGTAAAATTTCACTACCACGCATGAAGTTAAAGAGTTTGATTCAGAGCTGAGCTCCATGTGAACTTCTATCACTGTAATAGACAGCCAGGATGAAACATCTATAAATCCGAGAAGCCCTGGCTGGAGTAAGACTTTTCATCCACGTATGATACTGAGCGAACAAGCACAAAACGACAAGCCATCCGCACAATAATATTCATTATGAAGTTAACTCTATGCCTTCCGTTTTCCGCACTCGTATGTCAGGCGTTGGTACTGCTACCTTTGCATCACGTTGTCCCCAGCCCTAGCAAGCCTTGTTTCCCCCGGCCGACATATCCTATTTCCGGCATCGTCCCATTGTCTGTTGACTACTGCGATCTAGATCCAAAACCCTTTTTACACCGATCCGACCTTACCCTTCCTCAACAAACGTACGGACGTGTCGGGCGATCGTGACCACGCTACATACGTCGCGCACACCATACTACCTAGCTGTCCCAACTGTCTCTCGAGGGGCTTTTGTGGCCAGATCTCTACCATGTCCGACTTCCGCAACTCTACATTGCCTCCGCGGGGTGAGTGCGAGAGCATGAGACAGTGGCTTGTCCATACTAAAAATCAGGGGTACTGGTGCGTAGATATGCAGCGCCTACATTCTATACCATGGACACCGCCAATAACGGCTGGCTCTTGTACATTGGTGGTATTTAACGACGGAGACAACAATCCGGAACGTGATGCCGTGATTGTGGGTACAAAGGACGCCTTGAGAGTACTAAATTCGGCAATCTGGAATCTTGATATTAAAGGCATTGTAGGGGTTAATGGACCGTGGGACTACTGCTCTGCGACGATCTATAGGGATGGCAACCTTGCCAGGTGGAACACCACGTTCCAGCTTATGATGAAGAGCCAAGTTCCATAAAATTCAAGCAAAAGTTCTCGATTGGATCAGATAGCACCTATCAATTCTTAGCAAGTGCCTCAAGCTGCTTTATCAACGTATCAACTATCCATTCGAACGAGGTCTCCATGTCGATGTCCAGCCCCTGACCTTTTTGAGCCAATATGTGTTTCTCATCCAAGCTGCTTTCCTTCAATTTGCCTTCCACATTCCCGTCTTCGAACAGCCAGGCGTGTGCCTCGGCATAGTTTGGCCACACAATCTTATCCACGTACCCAGGCGGATCGGCCCAGAAGCCCTCGAGCGTCACGTACCCGTCTCTCGCCTCCCGGCGCTGAGTAGCCTTAGCCTTGCTAACGAGGAGGAACAGCTTCACATCGAGCAGATCCATGACACCCTCCATTTCCTCCGAGTAGAGCAGGAAGCCATCCAGCAGGCAGATCTTCAAGCCTCTTTGCGTTAGGATTTGGTGGCCCGGCTGACCTGGCTGCGTCCAGGCGTCCACCTTTCTCTTCATCTCCGCGATCTTGGAGTCTGATACCGGACATTTGCCCACCGAGTTCTGGTCCTCCTTAGAGTCCACAAAAGGCTGCGGAGTCGGTTTGGTCAGCCCGTTGTCCAAATTCCCATGCAGCACCATGCCAGGCGGCGCGCGGCCGTGCTCCGTGCGTGACGCGGTGCTCATGGTTCTACTAACCGGGAAGGTTCCCTCGGCGCGGATGTGCTTCAGGGCTCTCGTCATGTCCGGGACGGAAATGGACTCGGCACAATCCCAGTCCACCAGTCCATCCCTCGTGGGCAGCCTGCAAGACCATGAGCGGGTTCGTCTTCTATAAAACCGAGTTTCTGCATCACCTACTCATTTTCGGGCTTGTAGAAGTCATCTTCGTGCAGGATGAAAGTGTTGGGAAAGATGTCGCGGAGTAAACGGGCAAGTGTGGTTTTGCCGCTCGACGATGCCCCGCTGATCCCCACGACGACTGCCTTGCGGTCGCTCATCGTGACGAACGCAAACTTTCGCGATTTCGTTTGAATTTCTTAGCAATGAGATGTACGCAAGGCCGTTGTGATTTCGGGTTACTACCAACTGACGCGCCGCTGAGTCAGAGAGTCGAAAGGGATCTAAAACGGGGGCTGACGTTGGCGCCCGTCTGGCGGAGCCGGACGCTGCTGGAGGATTTGACCCACAAATTCCGGACTGATATTCCTTGGTGCATGTGAATAGTCAAGAACTAGTAAAGTATTCAATGCTTATGATTATATAATACGCTGAGCAATTAATAATTTGAATCATCAATGTGTGATTTGTAAAAATCCATATCTACTGAATCCTCGGCATTAAACACTCAAAGCATTTAATCATATCCTACCGCTGCTAAATTATCTTGACAGCTTTTTTTTTATTCGTTTCCTCATGAATAAGAAAATATGATATCTGTCGAACGATGCAGATTTCGTAGACACTGCAGTGTATTTATCAAAAAGATCACAAAATACCTCGAAGAAGAAATCCAGATAGAAGGAAAACCCAGGCACTGACATCAAGTCGCAATATAGATTTTAGTCGCCATGGCAGTACTGCTGTAACCTTGGCGGGAAGGTCAGGGAACCTAAACCATTCGCTGAAAATACTTTAAGAACTTGGTTTGTGTCTACCATGCCGCTGATAATGACCAAGCACGCCAAACCGATTTCGCAAACTCTATACCATGTTCTTGAAAAGGTGTCCCAGACACAATGTACTCGGATTGGTGGATCATTCTGTCGCAACTAATATGTGGCAGCGTCATGATAAAAAGAAATGAACGTAGAATCTACTATGTTCTCCATTCCATTAACGGTGACAGGCTTTGGCCCTAGTTTCGTTGAACCCGTGGAATGCCGAGTTCAGAGGTGACGATTTTCAAACTGGGAGGTTTCCCCGGCTGCATTTTACGACAGTGCAGACAAAGAAGATGATGGCGAATAATACGGTCGTTGCCGGAAGTGTAATCAAAATCCAGTTCACCTGGAGACAGATCGCATATTGATGGACTTCCCCTGTGGCTAGTATACTAAAGCCCTCTTCCCCATTCGAGCGGGTCAAGCCAGTGATGGAATCTGCAACCTGTCTTGCGATATAGGAATATATATCCATGTCAAACTTGCCAGCGTTGTACATCAGCACTTCTGGCGATGGGCCCTCACAGATTGTATGGTAACACAATTGGTCTCGGGTGGAACCTTTGTTAGCTTCTTGGAAAGGAATTCTTCAATGAAGTACTGCCACTCGTTGATCAGGGATAACTGATGGATGAATCATAAACACCCTTTCTGTGATAGAGATGTGGGATATGCTGCGCTTTGCTGTTTGATGTTCCTGAAATCGAAGGTTGCGCTATATGGTAGCCAAAGGTCGGTGATTGACTGGTTATACCCATCTCTTTTTAGACCTTCTCTATCAATCCTGAAATACAACTGAAGTCCAAGAGACTCAATTGAGCCTCAGCTGAATTTTTATATAACGTGAGGACCTATTGCTCCGGCTGTGAGTGGCTAATTAGTTCTTCGGTCAGTCGACCAACTTCGACGATAGCCTTATATTCCCGCAGACAAGGGTGAATGCTGCAGACTGCGGTACACAATTTCCTCGGTATGCCCATGTATCACTTATTTGGGCGTCGCCGTAGCCAGACAATTCTTCATAGCTCAGTGGGTTCTGGTGGTAGTCGTCTGATTTTGTGGACATCATTCGAAGGTTGAATCCTGTCTTAACAGCGTCCCCTCCAAAATCCAAGTAATCCAAGTGTGTTCTTTTGTACCCAGTCAGGAATAGTCCATGAGGCCGTTGCTTATCCGCAGATGTTATTTGCCAGGTAATTTTGTAAGAGTCATTTAGTGTAGACGTCCAGGTTATTGTGGATCTGTAGGTTTTGTCCCTTTAGTAATCGCCATGCCCCGTAACATATCTCATGCTGTCCATGCATGCCTTTTCGAGTTTGAATTTGATAGTAATATCTTTAAAACTATTGCAGAGACCCTCGAATGATACAGAACGTGAAATGAAACTAATGATTATAAGAATTGAGGAATCAAGACAGAGTATCAAAGACCGATGCGGCTAGGATGTTTCTAAAGTCAGGAAAAGAATTGGTAATGGGGTCCTGAGTTCGCTTTTACCTCTAGAGGTATGCGTGAGTAATCGACGACAAGGCTACACAGGTTGAGTCCTGACGAATGCTGGGGTCTGCGCAGCCCTAAACAAGGCACACTCTGATCAATGTGTGCCACAATATTTTACATGACCTCACGTCATCACATAGTAGGCGACAACCTCCTGCACTGGTAACGACTTGCAAATATATTTAACGATCACTTCTTGACTGAGGCTGAGAGCTTAGGGCCATGTTTTTGGGCGGCTTGATGTTTCTGACGAACAAGACTTTGGAATCTTGGTAGAAACCCACGAAGAACAATGTCTTCGAGCGCATACGCATTTTGACTTCGAATATTGTGATAAGAAAAATTTGACTTATTGCCTGGATTCCAGCAAGTGGTATTGATGTTATTTCGGACGTCTGCTTATTGCTATTGCCTTGGGAGATACGTGGTGCAAAATCCGGGGGCATGCATCAGTCCTTGTACCTTGGTTGTTCCGCTAGCCGTACTTCGAGATGAGCTTCTTCATGATGTTCATGGCACCACTTTTATATCCGCCGCCAAACATTGCCCAATGATTTAAGTGGTGATAACTACACATGGTGTCAGGTCGATGTTCAAAGGGCTTTTGCTCACTAAATTTGACTTACAGCTCATAAAGTGCGACTCTGTCTTCATATTCAGCTTTAGGTTCAGCCTTTGGTACTAAGCTCTCATATTCCTGCCAGAAAGCACCGCCAAAACCGCCAAACATCCTCATAATGCCGAGCTCGTATTCCGAATGGCCGTAAACAGAGGAAGGATCGTAGACTACGTCTTCAGAACCGCCTCTACCCGCGATCCTGCCATGTCCATGGTTGCCGCTCCATAGGTCGCCATGGATTACGACAGGTATTATGCCTTTCAGACAATCGTCTCCTAGTAATCTCGGCACAACCTGGCCTGCGGTCTTCTCTACAGCATCCGAAAGCTCCGCATCGGATCCGTTTGACTTGATGCCAGCTTTCAAGATACTGCGTAGCCGATTGTTGGCGTAAAAGTCGGCCCAAGACTCCTTCCATGAATTATCTTGGGGTGTAGCTCCGCAGCAGGTAGTGACTGGAAATCCGAACATAGGTTTGTCAAAGCCATCTGGTGTAGGGGCTTTTGTTGTATGCAACTTGGCCAATTTCTTGGCTAAGGAATCCCCGGAACCGCCCTGTGCCAACGAGCCAAGCTCCAGAAAGTCTGTAACCATGAAGAATTTCCCGGTGGATTCTTTCATTGCGCCGTGCGCATATGACTTTGGGCAAAAGTTTGGCACTGAATCATGAATGGCATTGAGCGATGCATGCTCGCCTGTAGCAGCTTAGCCATAACTCCAGTAAGCAAGCTGCAATGGCTTATACCTTTGAACATAATCTCAGAGTCTGCTCCCGAGCCGGTCTTAACAAAGTAGTTCATGTCCTTGCCATCAACGGTTGACGAAATTTTGAAGGTAGAAGCAAAGCCAGAGCCTCCGTGGGAGGAAATCTTACTGGCGGCTGGGTCGAGCTGCAGGGCCTCGAGAATAGCAGGGTCTACAGTAGGCGCCATTCTCAATGTCTTCTACTGGCAATGGCTTTAAGACTAAAAGGACGCTGGGGGAGGCATTCACGTGCACAGTTAGCAAGTTTGATAGAACAAACAAGTAGTATTTGAAGGCGTCGCCAATTGATGCTCAGAATTCGTTGATTAGCTCGAGTGAGGCAACAGCCATCAAGAGGATACATCCATAACCCTATGGCCGCTCCACTGATGACGTTACTGGCACGTTACGGCGGACATCCCTGGAGGTGGGGGCGTGTTACCCGTCCTCTGGAGTTCCAAGTCCCCTAAAACGACCTAAATTGGGGTCCTTTTTAGAGTGTAAACCTAAAGCAACAACGCCCTGAAGATCTTCCTTACAAAAATCAAAGTATAGGCTCTTCAAAAACTCCTGCCAACCACAAAAACAACCAACAAGACACCTGCTGTCCAAACATTGCTCCAAACGCCTCTTTATTCTCGTCTCTGCGTAATTATTCTCATTTTTGAAACTGATCCAAGGTTGAATCTCTAGTCCCTTTCCCAGCTGCTTCGTGGAGTTGGTTGAGCTGCAGCACATAATGGAATCCGGTCGGACTCGATGCTCAGCCGCGAACTGGTCGTCCTGGAAACAGGAACTTCTAGGAATGTCCTTGTATTTGAAACCTAAAATAAATTTGTGTTCAGCAAGCTTCCCATATCTTGGATGGTTTATTTTCCTTACCTTAACGTGGCCTTCGCCATTGAAACAGCTTGCGCAGGGACACACAGGGCCTGATGGCGCTCTAACGGGCTGGCTCACCAAGCACTGAGCACGCCACCATGCTTTTATTTCCGTTTTTGACGGCATTTTGAATGGTTCTTGGACTTGAAATTCCTGGGTCTTCGGAATTTGAAATGGTGATTGTCTCGATGGTTATATATTGCTGATGGGTTACCGTGCCACGATTCAGTCTACTTGCAGCGGCGAATGAGAAGATCGGATTTTCGATGTTTGCCCCAGCAAAGATTCCGAGAATGACCGAGGGCATGGGAAACTCGCGAATATATTCACTTTTGCGCGAGCATACATTTCAGCTTTATGCAGTTGGTTTATTGAATGCTAAATTCGGCACCGGGGGCCAAGCAGGTACGTGCCAGACAATATGCAAGCTGACCAGATCACGCCGCCGCGTTACGTCCTAACCACCATACTCAACACGCATCAAAGCTACTTTAGAGCTGTCTAGAACATTGCAGCCAAGCTTCACTGCTGACTATAAGCATCCTCGGCTTGCATACCTTATCATGGCTAACGGTTACCGATCAGCTTGGCTCCACTAACTCGGTCCGCCAAGGTCGTTCTTGTGACGGATCAAGCCTGGCTGCCGGAATGCACCAGTCAGCTGAGTTTGTCTACACGCAATTCGCATGCAGTGTGCATAAAGGGAGATTATCTAAGACATGGGGCTGGGCGAGGGGATTGCATGGAATCGTATGGGCGCATACCGGTCTGTTTGCGAGAAGTCACCAACACCCGAAAGATCACCGATTTGCATACATGAACGTTAGAACATCATGCCGCCCCCGATGTGACATCGCATTGGGGATTCGACCGCGCAAATCGGCGTCAACGGGGCCAAAATGCAAGGTCCCATCCGTGGGGTCGGGAGCCGTACAAGTGATCAAGATGCGACCAGCGATTGGAGAGAGTGAAGCTGACCCCATGTCACCCCAACTTCTGCTACGTGGTATCCCTATTAGTCCCGTTGTTTGCTACTCACTCCAATCTATCTGTAGGCATTGGCACCAACAGCCAACATCATTCCAAACACCATGATTGGCCTTACCATGATTTCTGGGCAATGCTGGTGAGAACGTTTCGAAGATTTCTCAAATAATTGTCCGGAGTATGAGCGAGCTTCAGTTGCGAGACACCGTAATGAGGATCCAAACCTTGGCAGTCACCACCGTTAATCATGGAAAGCACTATGGAGATGCTTCCCGCGCTTTTATGCTGGAAATCATGCCGAAATCCAAATCGGCAATACTAAGACAACTTGGACGATGACTAGTCTGTTTAAACGTACATCTAAGAGATCTTGTAGACTATACGCCAATTGTCCTGATGCACGAAAATGGAAGGCCGTAGCGCGTTCAGCTACCTTACAGCATTGTCTGAGAGACCCACGAATATATATGGGAAGTTGGGTCAAGCAGGGTCACCAGTCCTAAGACACCACAGTCAACTGGATTACTATATTCTATATACTTGCCGAAAGAGCAGATTACCTTGCGACTTGAATGTAACAAGTCTTGTAGGCTATAGGTGACTGTAAAGTCACACGTTCCCATGCATAGGGAGAGAGGTTCTTTGTTTCAGATCTCGACTCGGAATTACCTGGCCTGACCAACCCCACGACAAAAAAAGAGGCTCTTGAAAAACGTTTAGTCTTGCGTTGAACCAACAGTGAGTGACCAGATCATGGGGCTCCCAGTAGGCTCAACTGGAAGAGAACCAATTGTTCCAAAATGCGTGACGGAGACCTAGACATTGCGATGGTAGAAAACGAGAACAGAACTTGGGGGTTATGGTATCTTGGGACACTGAGAAAATTTCCTGCAGATCCGGATCATCGGAAAGCTCTAGGTACTGAATCACCTTGACTCGAGATTTGGGGATCGAAACAGACTTATAGAGTGAATAATCCAGCGGGCTTTCGCCATGGTATAAAGGTGCCAACTACACGCCATCTCCAGTGCCATCAATCAAGTCCCCCTATGATCAGTCACTACCACCAGAGTTTCACGAGATCTGAAATGCCAGCAGATCTTATCGTACGATCTCTGAAAACAGAACACGAACCCAATCGACCACCCGAAACTCTGCCGCACACCCAACCCGCCCAGGACGACCGGCGCTCACCACACCTACTTTGAGCCCTATTTAATAGAAGTAATTAAAAATCGACTACTTCTTACTTCCCATAGAGAAAATGCCCCCCATGTCTACCACCACCTCGTGCGCCTGGGAATCGAATACCTGGCCCGAATACCCAACCGTCCGGTACTGGCACGACCTGACCTACCAGCCGTCCAAGCGGCCCCTCTACGCGTTCGTGCGCTCCGGCACGGTGCCCGCGCCTCGGTTCACCTCGTCCCGCCACACGAACATACCCGGCAGGGACCCCAGAGTGCCCTCGGAGTGGGAGAGGCAATGGCGTGAGACGCAGGAGTACTGGTGGGGTCTGGGCGCGGCGGATCCCAGCGATCGAGGGACGAGGGACGAAGTACCCAGAGAAGAGGACGGAACAGAACGCGGCGCCGGCGACAGAAACAGCGAGCGCGTGGGGACCGCAGACCTCTGGGCCAAGAGAGTCGGCCGCCTGAACCCCTCAGCCGCCGCCAGACCGAGTCCTCCGTGTACAGGGGCGGCCAGGCCCCAGGGGGACGTGGTTAGCATCCTGCTGGGAGCCTTGGGATTGGTGTCGCTTACTGGCTTCTGTCTCTCGATCGCTGTCACCATCGGCGCAGCGCTATTTGTTGTTCTCGATAGTCTGGTCTTCCGACGGTATGGCAAGCTCGGGTTGGTGTCTACCACTGGGATTTCGCCCGTCTGGTATGAGAATGTGTCATGCTTCAGGAGCTGGACTATTGCGCTGCCAGTGGGCGCAACCCCTGGGAGCAGCGCAGGTGGAACTGCCAACCGTAGTGTTTTTTGATAGATTCTGAGTCGGTCAAGTTTCCGGGCTTTGGATTTTTATCAGCCATGGGTAATTGCAGTGCCGAAATGTTGGGCTCTTGCTTTATGAAGGCAATTACCAACATGGAGCGGGGCTGAGAGAGCAGTCAGCATCAGGCAGACTGTTCCCCGTCACTTGGTCAAACAAAAAAGGCAAGAGTAATCTTCGGGTATTCAGATATGATCATTATGCATAGCTGTGAACAAGGAAATACGAGAATGCATGTATGCAGTCAACCACAGACCGCCCAAATCTAATGCCAACCTCCTTATCGCACATCCTAGGATATCGTGTCTGAAAAAGTTAGTACAGTTTTACAATTCTATGCCCATCCTTAGATACCCAAGCTAAACTCGACACCAACATCAATATCACGTGCTAAGTTGCATGTTAGCGGTTGTTGATAAAATATTCAAGGGGTGTCTTGACTTACCCATCTTCACAACCTTGGAGAGCTGCACCGATTTCTCGGCTGCGCTTTGCAGGTCGTCAATGGAGAAGATCTTCATGCCGGAGTTGTTGATAATCTCGTGAGCCTTCTCGACGTTGGTTCCCTGCAGACGAGCAATGATGGGGATCTTGAGGTTCAGGGCCTGGACGGTCTGGACGAGACCAGTGGCAATGGCGTCGCATCTGACAATACCACCGAAGATGTTAACGAAGACAGCAGTGACCTTGGGGTCGCTGGTGATGAGCTCGAAAGCCTCCTTGATAGCGGCAGGGGTAGCACCACCACCAACGTCCAAGAAGTTAGCGGGTTGACCACCGTTCAGCTTGATGATGTCCATGGTAGCCATGGCGAGACCGGCACCGTTGACCAAGCAGCCAATGTCACCATCGAGCTTGATGAAGTTGAGGCCAGACAGGGCAGCGCGGACCTCCTCAGGGTCCTCCTGGGTGGTGTCGCGCCACGAGAAGATGTCCTTCTGGCGGTAGTCGGCGTTGTCATCGAAACCAAACTTGGCATCCATGCACATGACCTTGTGATCCGAGGTCTCGGACAGAGGGTTGATCTCGATCTGAGTGGCATCCTTCTCGAGGAAGATCTTGTACAGCTTCTGGATGGTGTCCTTGGCCTCCTCAATGCACTGCTCGCTGAAACCAAGCTTGGTAGCGATTTCGCGGGCGATCTCGTCAGTGACGCCAACGTTGATGTCGATGTAGTTGGTGTTGATAGCGTCGGGGTTCTCCTTGGCGACACCCTCGATATCCATACCACCCTGCGACGAAGAGACGATGACGGGTCCCTGAGAGGCACGGTCCATGAGGACGGCGAGGTAGAACTCCCTGCGGGCGAACTTGCGCTCGCAGATGTAGACTGAGTTGCAGAGGCGGCCAGCCGCACCGGTCTGCTTGGTGACGAGCTTGTGGCCAATCATCTGCTCGGCGAACATCTTGGCCTCGGTAGGAGAGTAAATGACGCGAACACCACCCTTCAGGCCGTTGTCGAAGCTGCCCTTTCCACGGCCACCGGCCAGGACCTGGGCCTTGATGACCAAGTCGTCGTTTCCGATCTCCTTTGCGATAGCCTCGGCCTCGGCGGCCGAGGTGGCGTTCTTGCCCTTGGGGACATCGATGCCATACTGTGAGGGTAGCGATTCGATTAGATTTAGGGGGTTTCAAGTGAGCTAGGGGGAAAAATCTCATGTGCACTTACCTGGCGCAGAAGATCGGCCGAGAGGTACTCGTGAATGCTCAAATTCCTTCTTTGTTGTTGAACAAGGCTGGGGAATCTGGAGGCGGCAGACAGCTGGGGCTAATGGCAGAGGTCAGCGTGGTCATCCAGGCGGCAGTTGTTGCAGTTGTCGCGAGGACTGGGAATATCTCGCGTACCTTGGCAGCTGATCGGAAGGCCGTAGCCGCGGCACTGCTGCGAGCGAGCTTGAACATCTTGGATGGAAGCCTAGCTTTTGATGATGCGGCCAGACAATTGATGGGATGAGGCCACGAGTCGAATCGAATCGTTGGGCGTTTGAGCGATTAGAAGTCGACGAGGTGTTTAGATTTAGATGCGCTGCACGATGTTATCATACACAAAAAACACAAGCTGTCCCAGGCGAGCTCGACTTTGTCCGCCCGGGCCACCTTCCACCTTTACAGCGGGTTTTCCCGGCAGGTGCACTCAATTGACACGAGGGAAAGTCGAAAGTGGACCCGGCACGCGCGCTGGAATTAACTTTCACCGAGGCTTGAATGACACCCAAAAGCCATCCCCCATCCGGTTTGGACGGACGGATCCGCAATTATAAGATAGCCTGAATTCAGTATACGTGACCTCGAACTCGAGTCCCTCCCCCAGGTCCCCACATCATCAATCCGTCGATATGGTGCTTCGAGAAGAGCTCGTTTGTTGCAACGTAGAATCAAGCCAGCGACAGAGTCCAGACTACAATTTTTATAGTGAATCTCGACTCCCAGTCTGGGTACAGCAGTGCGATGGTGTATGTCGCTGGCGAATAAACAAACTGTATCGGGCAACACAACATCGAGCTGTGCGAACGACTAACCTGAGCATCTCTACTCACGTACTCAACTACTCAACGGCTGAACTGAACTATCAAGTAACCATAGAATTATACTCTGTAGCCGCGTGGAGTGGAAGTGAAGGCAGAGGCGAAAGTGAAAAGGGGGGGGGGGGGGGGGGGGGGGGGGCAGCGCACGGGCCAGTATGTATGCAATAGTCAAATGCCCGGTAAAACCATTTCTCCATATTCTGCGATAGCTCCAAAATTTGGTATCCAGGCCCCGAACTTTTTGGGCCCAAGTCAACAGAAGAAGCTTGGACGACCCCTCTAACGGAGCGAAAGTTTGGTGATTTGTGAAAGCGGACCTGTCACATTCTTGATAGCTTTTTCTTCCAAGCTACTTACATTCTTTCACATATACAATAGAAAGTTGTCTGCAGTTCACCCCGGAAATCCTCTCAAGATGCAGGCCCCCGTTGTGGTTATGAGTGAGCGAGCCCCTCCATCCAAGCTCAAGGACCCTCCCTGGTAGAGGAAATGCCTAGCAGCAGAACCAGAATACTGACCATGCACTCCAGACACCCAAAGCGGTGAGAGGCAGACTGGCCGCAAGGCTCAGCTGTCCAACATTGCTGCCGCAAAGACAGTCGCCGATATCATTCGATCGTGTCTGGGCCCCAAGGCCATGCTGAAGATGTTGCTGGATCCCATGGGCGGTATCGTGCTTACCAACGACGGCCACGCCATCCTCCGAGAGATCGAGGTGTCACATCCCGCCGCAAAGAGCATGATCGAGCTCAGCCGGACCCAAGATGAGGAAGTCGGTGACGGCACAACTACCGTCATTATTCTGGGTGAGCAGGTGCAGCGCTAAGAGATGGTTGTGCGTGGGCTAATTATTGCCACAGCTGGTGAGATCCTGGCGCAGGCCCTTCCGCAGCTCGAGCGAAACATCCACCCCGTCGTCATCATTTCAGCCTTCAAGCGGGCGCTGAAGGATGCCCTGGAGATCATCGACGAGATCTCCATGCCCGTCGACATCGCCAACGACGAGGCCATGAACAGCCTGATCTCTTCCTCTATCGGTACCAAGTTCGTCTCGAGATGGACGGACTTGATGTGCCAACTGGCACTTACTGCTGTGCGAACCGTCACATTCGACCAGGGTGGAAAGCGTGAGGTCGACGTCAAGCGATATGCCCGTATTGAGAAGGTCCCCGGTGGTGAGATCGAAGACAGCAGAGTTTTGGACGGAGTCATGCTGAACAAGGACATCACACACCCCAAGATGCGACGGAGAATCGAGAACCCTCGAATTGTGCTGCTCGACTGCACTCTGGAGTACAAGAAGGGAGAGTCGCAAACGAACATTGAGATTTCAAAAGAGGAGGACTGGAACCGCATCTTGCAGATTGAGGAGGAGCAAGTCAAGGCCATGTGCGATTCAATTCTTGCTCTTAACCCCGATCTCGTCATTACAGAGAAGGGTGTGTCTGATTTAGCACAACATTACTTCATGAAGGCAAACGTTACCGCCCTGCGTAGAGTCAGAAAATCGGACACCAACAGAATAGCCCGAGCTACGGGTGCGACCATTGTCAACCGGGTGGACGATCTCCAGGAATCGGACGTCGGAACTCAGTGTGGTCTGTTCGAGATTGAGAAGATCGGCGACGAATACTTCACCTTCTTGACGCAATGCAAGACCCCCAAGGCTTGCACAATTCTCCTCAGGGGTCCCTCCAAGGATATTCTCAACGAGATCGAGCGCAACCTCCAAGACGCCATGGGTGTGGCGCGAAACGTCATGTTCCACCCCAGACTGTCGCCCGGTGGAGGTGCTACCGAGATGGCCGTCTCCGTCAGGTTAAATCAGTTGGCAAAGAGCATTGACGGTGTCGAGCAGTGGCCATACAAGGCTGTGGCCGATGCTATGGAGGTCATCCCCAGAACCCTGGTCCAGAACGCAGGTGCCAGCCCGGTACGAGTCCTTACAGAGCTGAGGGCAAAGCAGAGCGAGGGCAAGAGCTCTTGGGGTATCAACGGCGACACTGGTGGCTTGGCCGACATGAAGGACTACGCCATCTGGGAGCCCGAGGCTATCAAGCTGCAGAGTCTGAAGACAGCTATTGAGGTGAGCACCCCTGAAATATGGTCCACAGGAACAGATCACACTAACATGACTATAGGCCGCATGTCTCTTGCTGAGAGTAGACGACATTTGTAGTGCCAAGAAGGCCTCGCAACCAGGTGTCGGTACCAGTGGAGGAGACGACTAAACGATGTGCATGATGGAATTGGAAGGAGGTCACGAGACATAATGAAAGAAAAAGAAAAGGAAAATCATACCCCTTTTGTACCAACAGCTGGCCAAAACGTTTCATGATGAGATAGACGAATTAGACGGCCCTGTTGCCATCAATAGTGCAAAAAGCACATGCGCTTCTGGTATCTTGATTTTCAAAGTACAGATGATCTCTGTGATCATCAAGTCGTAATAATGACTTTGGCATGCAGCCCCCATCCCATGATGAGCGTCTTTGCCTTTTCTTACACTACGCTTTAACATCGTACAAGCCTCCCCATCGTGCTGCCCGGGTTTGTCCACAAATGCGTATCACAGCTTGGCCGTCAATCATCTGAAATGATCAGCCCCTGAGGCTCCTCCGCAGCAACCGGCGCGTCCTTGATGTCGGTATCCGGCTCACCATCCTCCTCGTCGGCTCTCGTCACCGCGATCCTGGGTGCTTTGTTCCCGTTTGTGGTGGGCGCAGCCGCCGCCGCCGCCTTTGCACCACCAGCAGTGCCGGCCTTGGCCTTGGCCTTCCGCGCCTTCATCTTGTCCCTCTTCTCGCGGTTCCTCCGCGTCTTCTCGTCGTCCTGGCGCGCCCTCTCCTCGCGCGTGCGCTCGAACTCGGACGTGTCCTGCTCCCTCCTCACCTCCTCGTCCATCTGCCGCAGCCTCTCGTACTCCCGCCGCCGCGACGCCTTGTACACGTGGAACTCGCCCGAGCCCGCGCCCGCGCTCGACCCCTGCACGTTGGTCACGATCTCGGGCGGCGCCGCGAGCCGGGGCCCCGAGGACGAAGGGCCCGCGTCCGGAATGCGGATCTCCTGCTCCGGCCGCGCGAACAGCGCGTCCACGTTCGAGGCCTGGGCTGACACGGGGGTCAGGGCGCGCTTCTTCACGGGGCGCTTGCTGCGGGCGTCGGCCGAGGTTGGGATGCTCTCGGGGCCCTCGCCTGACATGCTGTCGTCGTGGCTATTTTTGCTGCTGTGGTTGTTGTCGTTGTTGCAGTGCGCGGCCGTTGCCTGATGGGCCTGATGGGCTGATGGGCAGGAGGAGTCGGTTTGCGCGCCCTGCCGAATCAGCGGCGGTCCGGTCTTTCTGGGCGGGGAGCTTGTCCTGGCTGTCGGGTTCGCAAAGCGCACTATGACGCCAGTATCAGCTGTTGTGGCCTGGTCGTCTTGATTGAGATAGGCGCTCTAAGGGAAAGTTGCTTTTGCGGTGCTGATCGAAAATCTGGGCAAGGCTGGAAAGGTGCAATTGAGACAGCCTCATGACTGATCCAGCTCCCGTAAAAAATAATAATAATAAAATACCCCCCCTGTCCCGCGACTGGGGGGCCTATTGGGGATGATCTACGGGGAGGTCTTAGCGCTGAGAGGTACCGGGGGGCCTCAGGCGCTGGAGCTGGCCAATGGCGGATGTTATAGTTCGTGTCTTTGGCATCTTGCAGCACCTTAGCGGGGTCCAAACTACCCCTCCAAAAGGCGTGACACGCAAGGGGCGAACCGGGGCGATTATCAAGTCCAAGGCGAGCCAAGCAGCCTTGGGTGAAACTTTGGCTTGTTTCTTCCATGTTGAAAGAATCACAACGGATCTTTCTGGCCTTCCTTGCTCTCTACGGATCCGTACTCGGACGTTCATCTCTCGTATATCTGTCGCCCTCCCTGGTTTTGGTGCCACTCTATATATCTGTAGCTTGCGGCCCCGTGCGAGCTGTACCTGGTCCTGTTTCGTCCTCCGTAGCCCAGCTGAATCGTTGATACTGCTATTCCCGAATAGACTGAAATTCTCAAGCCTTCCTCCTTTTGCTTCAGTTTTCTCTTTAGGCACACATCTCTCTTGGGAAGAAGCACTAGGGACTAGCAAACTGTGATACAACATAACTGCTTATGATCGCCGCACAGATTACCAATCTCCCCGCAGAGCCTGAAGAACAGCAATTCTAGCCAGACTCCCTCCCCCCTCCCCCTTCGAGAGGCATTCCTTTCTCTCAAGTCATTGCCGAGAGACTGAACCGCCATCATGGGGCGACCAAGACTCATTATTCTGATCAGACATGCCCAGTCCGAGGGTAACAGTAAGTGCCAATCTATCCCACACGACTGGCTCTGTACGTACACAGTACATGCAACTGACCACCCTCGACCCAGAAAACAGAGATATCCACCAAACCATCCCCGACCACCGCGTGAAACTTACAGAAGATGGCTGGGCGCAAGCTCGCGAGGCCGGCGTCCGTCTGCGCTCCATGCTGCGGGCCGACGACAAACTGCATTTCTTCACGTCGCCATACCGCCGCACGCGCGAGACGACCGAGGGCATCCTCGAGACGCTAACCTCGGACCAGGAGGACCCCAGCCCCTTCAAGCGCTCCAACATCACCGTCTACGAGGAGCCGCGGCTGCGCGAGCAGGACTTTGGCAACTTCCAGCCCTGCAGCGACGAAATGGAGCGCATGTGGCAGGAGCGCGCCGACTACGGACACTTCTTCTACCGCATCCCCAACGGCGAGTCCGCCGCCGATGCCTACGACCGTGTCTCGGGCTTCAACGAGAGTCTGTACCGCCAGTTTGGCGACGACGATTTCGCCAGCGTCTGTGTCCTGGTGACCCATGGGTTGATGAGCAGGGTGTTCCTCATGAAGTGGTATCACTTTTCCGTCGAGTACTTTGAGGATCTGAGGAACGTGAACCACTGCGAGTTCTTGATCATGAAGAAGCAGGAGGACAGCGGGAAGTATATACTACAGAACAAGCTCAGGACGTGGTCGGCGCTGCGCAAGGAGAGGGCGGCGCTGAAGGCCAAAGAGGACGCAGAAAAGGAAAAGGAGAAAGAGGACGCGCCGGTTCCGACCACAACCCCCGCCAGCGAAGGACTCAAACAGCCAGAACGCCAGACTTCGACCCCCGTGGTGCAAAGACGCTGGGGTGGGTGTCCTGAAGGTTGCAACCACAGCAAGCACGTGCCGAAGATCCGCAAGGAATTGGCGGAGCTGAGACTCGTCGACGAGAAACATGCTGCCAAGAGCAGCAGCGTCGCCGCTGTTGCTGGTGCCCCGACTATTGCCTCGCGCCGACTCCCGCGGGTGGTGAACTATTCCGACGATGACTCCGATGACCCGCGCGGCAAACCGGTCATTGATGTCACAAAGGCGCACGATGAGCTTGTTTCGTCGCCAGACGGCACGCCGTCATTCATCACTATCGAAGACCGCCTGCGGAATCAAATAAAGTCACCTAAATTCCTCCATATCGGTCGTGACTTTGGCGGTACGCGCTCCGGTGCCAACAGTGACACTGAAATGTCGGAAGACGATGCCAGATATCGACTCGCTAGTGTTGCGGCGAGGGTCAAGCATACCAACGGGACTAGCGGCAGTGGCAGCAGCACGAAGAATGGTGAAAACGGTAAATACCTACCAGAGAGCGGCATGGGGCGCGGTGCGTTTGCCAATAGGCTTGGTGACGCGCCTCTCTGTCGTGACTGCTCGGATGGTAGCGAAGACGGTGGGGATGAGAGAGAAGAGAACGGCGATGCGGATGAGCACGAGAACGAGAACGAGAACGAGGAAGAGGACTTGGCAAAGGCGGAGAAGGAGGATCGCAGTATTAGGGGAAGTGTTTACTGAAACTCCCTCCCATTTTCTGAGAGGCGATGAGTATTGACTGTTCTCACCAGGGCTCTAAGCTTTAAAGAACGAAGAATACTGGACCTACCCTGCCGGGACAAGAGGAAAGGATTACCGGGAAATTGCTATTTGGTCTTTCTGGCACATGGGATGGATGCGTTTTACGAGTGATGATAGTAGGATATACCCGATCAAGTATGTTCATTTGCGCAAATTTGATACTAGTCTTCTACGTTTGCTTGCCTCCATGGCTTATTTCGATATAGACACGGCGGCAGTTAATTATGTTGCAGTGATTAGAAGCATAAATCACCACATCAGATGTCCATGAACACCAAATTATTACAGCTGATCTGTGTATACACGTCAATCTCTGTATGTTGTTGAAGCAGTGCGCTGCGCCCATCCAGGCTGGGTTGATTCTGAAATAGATGGCGCACATGTCGAATAGCTTTACCATAATCATCTACCTGTATTACAAACATAAGAACAATGGCCAACGAGCAAAGAATGACACGAAAACAAGAATATAGCCAGTTGTTATCAAGTGTGATCAATAGGAGGACAACTTCGTTCTCCCAGTGCCAAGCAGGACGCCCTTTGCAGGCACCATGAGAAATATCGGGAGGACTTGCTGCTTCCGGCATCACCATGTGGCCAAGATTGTTCGGTGGTCGTAGTGGTGTGGAAGCTCCGCTATAAAGCTTTCGGATCCCGCAGCGAAACGCGGGGTGGCGGCTCCGAGTAGCCTCTTCGCCCATCTACGCCCTCCCGGTTACACATCACTTGACCTGTATATCTTCGGGGCGTCTCGTTCTTACAATCAAGCTGAAGATAAGTGTACTGGAATCTGACCCACCAAGCGACCTGGGCTCAAGGACGGCTTTCGTAAAATACAGTCGACGGCTTTTACATCTTACCTGCAAACATGGCACCGTCTGCGATTTCGGAGATCTTGCCAAGCTCGTTTCCGGGCAAGGCACAAGACCAGCAGGAATCAAAGAACGGTCAGGGTCCTAGAGCCGGGCTGGAGAAGACCCCTCTGGAGGCTATCTCACATGGAACTGTTCTACCAGGTAAGTCGAGACATCCGTACTTACCGGGAAACCACACGTGATATACCTTATTTGCATCTGGGCTGTGCCGCACTTCACGGGTCGCATGTCTTTTTGTTCTACTTCGTCACGGCCCTGGTGGTTCTGTCATGATTACACCAGGCTAACGACCCAGGCTTGCCGACCTTCTCCAACTTCGTCGAGGAGCGCAAGCACATCTTGACACACATGGCGGCGACGTTCCGGTTCGTGGCCCGCCAGGGCTTCACCGAGGGCATGTCGGGCCACATCTCGGTGCGGGACCCGGAGCACGAGCACCTGATGTGGATGAACCCGCTGGGGCGGCACTTCGGGTGCCTGGCGGCGGGGGACATGATCTGCCTGGACATCGCGACAGGGCGGGTGGCGGGCGGGAACACGAGCCGGCCGGCCAACGCGGCCGGCTTCCTGATACACAGCGCCGTGCACCGCCGGCGGCCCCGCGACGTCCACGCCATCTGCCACTTCCACACCCTGGCGGGCCGCGCCTGGAGCGCCTTCGCGCGGCCCCTCGACATGCTCAGCCAGGACATCTGCAACTTCCACAACGCCCAGGCCGTCTACGCCGACTACGGCGGCATCGTCTTCGGGGCGGGCGAGGGGGAGCGCATCGCGGAGGCGCTGGGGGAGCGCAACAAGGGCGCCATCCTCATGAACCACGGCCTGCTGACCGTGGGGTGGACGGTGGACGAGGCCGGGTTCATGTTCGGCCTGCTGGACCGCGGGTGCCAGATGCAGCTGCAGGTCGAGGCGGCGGCGGCGGCCGGGCACCTCCGGAAGAACGTCATCAGCGACGAGGAGGCGGCCTACAACTTCAGGATGGCCAGCGAGAAGAACGCCCTGTACAGGGAGGCGCAGCCCGACCTGGAATACGAGTTCATGATGGCGGGCGGCGAGGAGGTGCTCGCCAGGGGCTTCGAGGCCTTGTCTCCGCTCCAGCCGTGGGTAGAAGAATAGACGGCTTGCGACGCTTACCGAATTTTGACTTTTTGAATTTATTTTTCTTCTATCGATTTGTTGTCGGTTTCATCATTTCACGCTTGCACGTAGTGGTAGTTGTAGTGCACAACAGAAAGACCAAACCAGCTTGAAGAATTTCCCACTCCTTCTGTCTTCGGGCCCCTCCCATCATCAGCCGACAGAACGTCTGGATTCAAGACACAAAAATCATGCAAGGAACTGATGGTTTTCCTCCGTTCCACTTGTTTCCACACCGGAACCACAAATAAGCAAAGTTCCAGAAGGAGAAAAAGATCCCCAAAAGAATTTATTACATAAATCCACGCCAGTCAACAGAGAACGGGCCGTCCGGCGTTCTTTGCATTTTTCTTTCCGTGCGTCCCCCCGACGGCGTCAATGTAGAGCTATACACATACGCCCATCGGGGTGCTTGGACTGTTACTTTTATCTAGAGTCAAGCCCCGGGGAGGGGGCGTGGAGGGTATTTACTGTAAGATGACTCTTGCTCATTGATTCATCTCCCTCCCCCTATGAGGTGTAATTGCGTATCATTTGTCGACCCACTCGTCGGTTCGCAAACGGAAGAAAGAAATCTGGGTGGTGTTTTGTCCATGTGTGCGGGCGTTGTGTCTCAGTTTGGCCTGCCGCTCATCTGACACGTTCTTTATGCCAGTTAGGGCTCCTTGCCGCAGCACAAGAATTTGGTTTAGAAAACCTTCTATATGTAACAATTTTTTTTGTTGGGAGATGAGGTCGTAACGGGTCACGGTCTATGTATCGGTCGTAAGATCTTTTGTACTAGAGCTTACTGCCTCTCCGGATCCGGGCATAGCAAGATTTGTATTGCTTTCCATTGTCTTTGCTCGGTAAAATAAAAAAAAATTGTGTAACAGCATGAGTATACCACAACAAAGCAGGCGTGGTGGCTGCGGTTGGAAGGTCGTTGCAGGTGGCCGGCAATGATCCGGCAATTGTGAGACCCGTGGACTGGAAGCCTAAACTACGGAATGAGGTCCCCTGAATTTTTAGATAGTGTGAGACAACATGAGAAAGAATCTTTTTCTCGTTACGTTCCCGAGCCAATTCGTCCATCGTAATGATAGAAAACTTTTCACCTGAAGGGGTGTTCAATCAGACATGGCTCGCACCACCGGTTTCGCCAAGTCTCTACGGGGTGGGCCTCAGCATAAATTATCATCATCGATTCCAAGTGCTACAGAGCCGGTTTTGCCTAGTTTTATCCAGTCTGGTCTATCCCGTATAATTAGTGTGAGTGCAATGCGAAGCACTTATTAACACGACCCCATCCTGCCTACCCGCAGCCCCATAAGGCTGCGACCCAATGTTGCCGTCAAAACCCTTGATAGTGGATTGTAACCAACCACGGGCCGCATTTACCTAAAAACGTACGAGAATTCTGGCGATTCTGGCGGAAATGGCCTTACAAAGCGAAAACTCTTTCGATTGATCATAACTTAGCGGTTTTCTCTCTAGACTCCTGGCGCTTCGACTTTTATGCAATGCTGCCTCATTCGGTTGTCGGCTCATATTTGTGCGTCCGGCGGATCCTCCGCTATTGGTAGAGTGTCAGATCGCGTGCCACAGAGGATCTGAGGCGGGTTTATGGTGTCAGTTTGCCAGCAAGGTCTTATCCGCGTGTAGCAGCCAATGCCCAACAGCAATCATACAGTAGGCAGAAGTGGAGATACCATTCCTCAGCAGACCAGCTAGTGAATCATAAGAGGGTAACATCTTTGCATAGACCCAGAAACACAATGCCCTACCATGATCAGAGCAGCAATTAATTGGAGGGACAAGCTCCGCATACCTCGCTTGTGGTCTGAGCCGTACAAGAAAAACAAATTGTTTTCGCAAGCCCGGAACGCCTTGGAACGTGGCATGGGAGGAGCCGCTCCGCTGAGTAGCAAATAACGAAACAAGACATGGCGAGCTGACCCGACAACAAGCCTGAAGGGCTGACTTTTGAAATGCCGTTAAGCAAGTTTTAGTGTGTTCTTGATATCGTGCGGAATTGATGGGTGGCACAATGGCGGAAGCATTGTGGAAGACTTGGATGTTCCTGAACAGAGCGGGTCAAGCAATCTATGCGAGGTATGATAACTGGACCTAAGAGGCCTCGAACACCGCAGCAAATGCCGTACCAAACATGACGCTTCTCGGGAACCAAGGTCCCTTGCTGTACACATACCAAAGTCACCAGAAGAAACGAAAGGTCCCCCAGAGGAGTCGCGAGTTTCATCCTGGACCTTGTCTTCCCGTGATGATCGACCCCTTGCACGGCAATCAAGTCTGATCCGACCGCGGAAGACGGAAGAATGGGTCAAATGGAACCTGAGAAGCAAGGAACAGTTGATGACAATTTACATAACCAACACCCCTCGGGGATTAAGTACTGGGAAGCCTGTTTATTTTTATTTTTTTTAATCTTTCCGTTCATCCAGCAAACTGCATCCAAGCAATCGGCGATCGATCCTGTACTCGCCCGAGATGTTTCCTTGCATGTGTGTTGGCTAGAGGTTGAAAAATGCCTCCAAGCGAGGCCAATTATGGCTGGTGGACAAGCCTGCTGCAGATGTTTGCTGAAGTTGACTGGAAAAGACCCTTGAACCTAGCTTAGACAGGCTCGTCAAGATAAAATATCCGAAATAACTGGAACCGCGGGACGTCTAGTGAGCCTTGTAAGTTATGTAATGCAGAGGTGCACAGTCATTGGCCCTTTCGATCATCTGAAACTGAGATACACAAGCCGTCCCACACTACGATCGCTGGTGGCTCATAGCGTACAGTAAACATGCCATACACACCCGGCTCGATATTACTGTAACCTTTGCCTGAGCTGTTTTGGGGGGGAAAAATGCACCTCTAGATCGAGATCTCGTCGCTCTCCCGTGCTATCTTGTGGTGCTCTGACTTTATCCCGTCTATGCAGCGAGCATTATTTCTTTGGTTGCGCCGTACTGCGACGCTGCAATTTGTTTACCCCCACGGGCGGCTTGAAGGCTCTGAACTCAATTTCCATTTAGCAAGAAAATAAAATAAATAACTGTGAATGGGAAGTCTTGGGGCCGAAGTGACGTGATAGCACATAAATGGCACCCATGGTGACCGGTACGGAATAACGGAAACTAGAAGAAATGCAAATTGGTGACGTCATGACCCACGAAAGATGTCTCAGAGTGACAGTCGGCTGCGTTCGCAACAAGGCGGTCGAGTAGGCAAGATGTGAAAATGTTCCCGGATTCTCAGTTCCATTGTTTCCTGTTTCCATTTCTGTTTCCCGCTCATTGCCGCCGTCGCTTGCACGTGCGAGCATACAACAAAAAAGAATTTCGTGGACGGGATATGAAAGTGCTGACTGGGAGTCTGGCTGGGAGGTGTCAAACTATCGCATTGACCGGCCGAAACTCAAGGCTCTGGGAGGCATGAAAATTTTTCACTACCGAGCTCAATGTTTGAAACAGTGGTTTTCCGGCTGAGGACATACCTCGAATTAGACGCCCGATCAAATTGCAATTGTCAGTGAGTACATGATACTGTAACCTCCTGGGTTGCCAGTAATTCCGATGGTATGTTGTGTTATGCACGTGAACCTGGTCATAGGAGGGGTCCCCCGGTAGTCCCGCTCCTCCCGTCACCCCCGAAGTGACGCTCCAGAATGGCCCTTCAGTTGGACAAGGGGTCACAGTTGGGGGCTAAGGAATTCGAGACCTTCCAAAAAATCTCTTGCACCTGCATAGTGTGTAGCAAATCAAACAAACAATGCAATAAGTTCCGGGTTAAGCTCAATGCGAATTCATAGTAAGACCTTAGTAAGGGGTGGTTCAGAGGGGGGCTTGGGGGGCTTCTGGATCGGGTCTTGAACTCTAAATGCCCAATTGGTATGTCCATGTGGCAGCGTGAAAATTTTTTGTTTCCCGGTTCCTGCAGTCAGGTCCCCGAATACCGGCGAAAAAGCATACGCATTGAAGTCTTGAGATTCTCAGTCCACGCAAGATTAAGCTCTGCCCTTGCAAGCGAGGCAAGATCCAGATTCTCCCAGGCACTCGAAGATTGAGTTCAGGCTACCATGTGTCTAACCACTCCGTACCTCGAATATTCCAATAAGCGTGTGAGGATGGGGGTGGACATCCCACATTCTGCCTGCACTAGCATCGAACTTAAACTCCAGCTCACCGAAACCCTCATTGCCTCGTTACATCCCAGAACTATGGGGCAGCAGACAGAGGACCGCCGAAAGGTGGTTCGTTGGCAGAACTTTAAACGCCTCTGTGAATGCTGTAGGTATCTCCCCCCACAAGAGGGAAACCGGCCAGGCTGTGAACAGGACTGGATAGGCAGAGTTTTCTTGTACCAATCTCTCGTGAAGAAATAGTGCTGGGTAGATCTAATACCCCTTATTCATATTTTTTTTTTGTCATATTGGCTTCCTGCCTGATATCAGAGGATACTATTATGTTTGTATGATTCCGCCACGATTGGAACACTTGTGTGAAGTTGCAAAGTTATATATGCCTTAGTACTCGCTGGTGTTCCAAGCAGCTGGTTGCGTAACGGTCATGAACACCACTAATTACACTAAAGCCCTGGTGCCCTTTCATATAGATGATGGTGTGTACTGCCTCGGGCTTCAGTCTTTTGGATTGAGCCTGGCGGAAGTCTAGACTGACCGGTGCTTCGGGTCTCAGCGACAAGTGAACACTTCTTCAAATCCAGGCACAAGCGTCCAAGGTTCGCAACCGTCTCAAAGATTGCTGCGAGTAATTTATGAGTATGTTGAATTGATTCATACAGTCCAATCCATTTGCAAAAGTGTTGCGCCTCTGGCACTGCTTGGATAACTCATGTTAGCCCTGGCGTGTCGGAGCGCTGAAATGACTCCATTTGGTGGGCCGGAGACGACACCGGCCCGCAGCACGGTGTCAAGACTGGAAGCAATGGATAGAGCCTTACAGTAACAGTTAGCAATTACATTGTGTATCGTCACCACTCACAATCTTTCTAGCACGGGACCAGAAAAAAATCCATCCGCGCGGGTCCAGAGCCCACCTGTCTACCAAGGTGAGCAACATAATGATGTTGATGGGGCTCATGTAGGCAGAGATAGTTTCGAACTATTGTCAGTCTGGGGTTCACCGAAACAGTTAGTGCGGTTTTGATGCTTGCTGAAGCATTTATCGTTGACTATCGAACAGCGTCGGACGCCTTTCAGTGACTGGGCGTAGAAGCCTTACCAGCGCTGCGAACCTTGCGCGCTCCACTGTTGAGTTGTCCGATCCCCACAATCTTGAGACTTCCCGCTCTGGGGAGCATTGATGACAAGCTCACTTTTACCTAATTAGGGCCAGGCAAGTTGGAGTCCAGAGCTGGTGGGACGACCAGCGGCCGAACCGGCAGTTCGGAGCTGGATTGACTCATCGTGGAGAAACTAGGCGATGAGCAAATGTTTCGTTTGAGTATGACGAGATCACGCAATAGTGGAACAGAAGAAAAGTAGTAGCTGGGAGGCAATGAACCATTCATTCACTTTCTATCCAATTGATGATAAAGACTCGCGATGGAGAATATCGCTAACCAAATGGAATCAAATGCTTGCACAATTCCATTTGTCCACATGAGTGTATCTGCTACATCCCTCACAGATATTGCCAACATGTGATGATCGAAAACGCCTTCGTCTCCCTTGACGAGCTGCATGGCCATGCAAGTGCCATGCTTGGGTAACTGATGCCACAGTCCGATATACCAAACCCAGTTCCTGTTCCCCATATGCCTGTAGAAACACAATGATGTCTTCGCGGTACAATCGAAGTGGCCCCGGTGCCTTCCCTCCGTGATACGCCCTGATAAAATAACCAATTTGAGGAAACTTGAACCGTCCCGGCCCAATAACTTTTCTAATGCTGAGCTCCGGTATATGCTTTTGTACAATAGACCGTAAATGTGTAGAGATATTCTTGTATGCCCAAGCCAAGATAATGTGCAACAAAGTAGAGAGATGAATGATGTAGACTTGAAACGTCCGAGTAGATCGTAAAAGTAGGAAAATGTCGTTGACGGGTATATTGTAAGCGCGAATAAGAGTGACGTTTCGTGAAAGGTGTGTACATTCGATGTACAAATCTAGCAAGATCGACGTCGTTGAACGCGAGCATTCTCGAAAGAGCTGGCATAGTCCCTTAGCTGTTTTCTAGCCTTGTCTGATAGTTGCTTGCCCTCGGCACCTGTTGACGATGTGCTTTGCATCGAGTTCAAACTGCTGTAGGAGCTAGAAGGTGTAAGTTGACCGGTCGACGAGATCGATTGCCGGGATAGGTATGTTTGGGATTGTGTTGTTGAGCCATAAGGCTGAGCATTGCTGAAGTCGTATGCTGGTGAAAGGTAGAACTTGGATTGCCTCCTTGAGCTTGTCCAAGTGAAGCCAGGACCTTCCAATCCAGGTGAGCTCGCAGGTGTGCTGTACGTGGTCGAAGACTTGTCGAAGTCCGATAGTCTGCATGACTCCGAGCAGTATGTAGCACCGTCTGTTTGCCTATCACAGGCCAAGCAGTATTGGTGCTCCCACGACGGGTTGTAAGACATGGTGGAGGATAGTGTTGAGGTTGTAGAGTTGATGAGATAGTGTTTTTCCGAGGCAAAATATCGCCCGACTCGAAAGCTCTCGCAAGAACCTGAGTAAACGCCAGACGCTGGAACTTTTTCAAGGTTGAGCTTGACTAAACAGAAGCCTGACTTGTTCAAAAAGTTGAGCCTCGATCATGTAGTGACTTCAGGAGATGTGCGGGAATATGATGGTATGTCCTATTATCACTCTTAAGAGTTCTTAAGAGGGTTCAGATAGATTGAGAGGAACCGAGGTTGTAAAGAGAAGATGGTGTTTCGAAGTTGACAATCGTGAATTCCGTCAAGGTGTGAGAGGGAGGGAGGAGGTTCATATGTATGAACTGCGAGTGTGGATGCGTCCTTGGTGGGCGCCTTCTCTTGCACTGGCTTGTAGGTACCTTGCCGGCTTTCTTGGGCGAGAGTGTACCTAGTGCTTGGATCTTCAAACACAAATATGCATCGTTCTCCAGATGGTGTGCTCTGGGCGGGACATGACCAAGGAACATGGGTCACTGTGAGGGTGGAGAGAGCGTGACGCTAGAAAGGCGCTACTGCAGAGGTGTGCTTTTGCATCTTTTTGTGCGACTCCCATCTTTTCGAGAGTACTGAGATACGTACCTCATCAAGGCAGTGTGGCAGTCACAGGCATGGGCACATTCTGGCGTGTCCGGCTGTGAGTGCCTGGGGTCCCTGAGAGATGCCTGCGGGGATTCTGCAATCGTGATTCGGCGCTAAGCTTTGCAAGAATTAGCGTTGCAGCATGCTTGAGCGACACTGGTGTGTGTCATGAGAGAAAATTTTCTGGTGTCCGTGAACTAGATGGGGTGGCCGTTGGAGAGGTGTGTGGCCTAGAGGGTGTGAAATAGGGGGTGTCCCTCCAAGCGACGATCATTGAGACCTTGTCGCTAGCCCAATGCCAAGCCGAGCTGTGTGCTGGGGGGTGGGGCATGAGCTGGACTGCAAGGGATGAGCGCACACTGAGTTGGATTGCAAGGGATGAGCGCAGACATGAATTTCCAAGGTTCGCTCAGCCAATCTGCGTTGGAAAGTGTCGTCTAACATCCATGGCCGATTCCGCCAAGCGAAGAAAATTCTTTGATGGTACAATTACAGTCATCCCTAAAGACCACTCTGTCTGATCCTGTACTCCGTAGATATCTCAATGTCCCTGAATGGCGATGTAGGCCTAAGGTCGCCTCTGTCTGCGCAATGCCTACGTCCGCAGAAGACAGCCATGTCCACTTGCAAAGCAACGGAGAACGGATAGTGTGTGGGCCCGTGGGGGCTTCACTGAGAAAGCAGATAACAAGTCCACGATCGTCCGCACGTATTAATTTCAGGCTTCTGAGTAGGCAATATGGCGTCAAGGTGGGAGAGTGTTACACTATGCAGCTTGTATTCGCAGCGTATTGTCAATCGGCTGTGGTTGGAGAAGTGGATGTCCATTTTCTCACGGCGCATAAATCAAAGGACATCAGCTGTTCCTCATTTGACGACATGCATCGTGCTGCAATCTTGCATGGAAATGGAGGGATGAGCATTGTTTCGACAATTCTATTGGTTCTCAAGATTCGAGCTGGTGTATAGCAATTTGAGGAGTCCGTTTAAGTGAACGCGTGAGACACACCAAAGTCGCACGACCCTCCCGTTGAAGGTTTGATACAATAGTATAAAATAATATAGTGGGCTGATGCTCAGTAGATTCATATTATGTGTTTGGGTAGATACTCACACGACAACGCCGGACGACGGGGAATTTTCTCGGTGAGTTGTACATTGTTGTCAAGACTACCAGCAAGATATTCAATTGTGTTGTGTTTTGGCAAATTGATTATCATGTGTGCTTTGCATGTCTAGATGTTTATTGACGGTCAAAGATAGTGCTGCAATGCATGATGGTGCACTTGCTACCCTACATGCATCGAGCAAACCAACCGCCTACACAATACTGCATGGTAACTAATTGAGCGTCGAGTGATGGGTAAGCATGCGTGGCAACTTTTGGCTTAGTCCTTGCGGCTTTTGTAGGATAGATCTTGGTCATTTCTCAAAGTTACGAATAAAGCAGCAGCACCCAGTATTGAGTATGGTACTCGTATGTGACGACCGATAATGAGTAAACTGCACGCCGTCACAAACACTGGCTTCATCTCCCTATCGAACGTGTAACTGACAGCTGGACTGTTAGCCGTAATCTCTCGTGCCTACCAATGGAATCCCCGTGCTGGGCAGTTTCCAGCAGCCTCCGCCCATAACCTCCCACACGGGATACCCAAAGAGGTTATTCGTGGATGACCTGGTGATCCATCCAATGGCAGAGCACGAGGCACACCTGCCGTATGGAGCACTAATTTGGGCGCCCTGGTTATGCTATATGACGAATCTCTTCCCGTCCGTCAAACCAAGTGCCGAAGAACAATGAGATATAAGAGACAATTCCTGAGACAACATAGTTATCAGATGCATTGATTGAGGCAAATTCGATTCAACACTCGTAATAATTCGTTGCTTTGGAGATTTTTGATGTGATAAAAAGAGGGCACTGAGAAAACGGGCGCTGCGCAATGCCTCAAGAGGAAAGATCGCCTCCCCCGCGGGATCGTTCGAAGGGTCGCAAGCGAGCGGAAGATTTCACGACGCTAATGCTTATGAAGTTTAGAGTCATGCGGGAATGGTTTAGCTGCTAATCAGTTGTAACTTCGACACAACCTGGGGCTGGGATGGCGACACTCCTGCATGAGCACACCACCCCCGACAAGAAATCCGCGAGAATTGTCTGTACGATTTCAAGGATGGCACATAATAGCATGATGCTGCAATGCATTCTGGTCTGCACGAAATGGCTTAGCTGTGCACAACCCATTTGCCGCTCGTCTTTCTTGCCACTTTCCACTTTCCCGTCCTACGCGTATACTCGCGACTTCAGATGCGCATCGTGAAATTCCCACACACCTTACATTAGATGGTGGGGACAATGCAGCTGAAGCAGGCAGGAGACCACACGGAAGCTTATCCTCGGGAAACTAGGGACGTTGGAACAACCCCTACAGTATGTAAAGACCCTGAGTTTTGGGTGATCTTCTCCATTGCCAGTCATATGAGGCCGTGACATGGTACATCTTCTTTGGATGTCTCACGACGACTTGATGCGAAATGTACACACTCGGGAATAAACTTGTATCATGCTTTAAACCAAAGTGACGTTTCTGGTCGCCATTCTCGTGCCCCCTTGCAATTAGATCAATGCAGGTGACAGATAACAACAGCTGCGCCTGCAAAGAATCAAAGGATAGGGTGGGACAACATGGTGTTTGATCCGCGTTGCCTATGTCGACCTGGTTAGTGTTGAGATGAATGCTACACCAACCACAGCGACTAACACTTAGCCATTTACGCCGACGTACAAGCAGACTTTGGGAGTTAATACTACGATATGACGGACCAAATTTGAGCTTCGGGCAAGGGATGTGAAGTGAACTCCAGCAATGCCCTGCGGAGCAGAAGTTTTAGTAACCAACACTATTTGGCTGCCATAGTAATACTGTAAATGCCGATCACAACAACACTCGTTCAATGGCACTACAGCCTAACTAAAGGGAACAAAAGCTCCAACTGGTAAGAATGTAGGGCCGCTTGGTTTGTTTTATCGCTGCTTGAAGCAAGTAGGTTAAGAACGTTATATGTTAATTACATGGTCATTTAAATAGAGCAATCCCTCAATCGCGCATCGACGAGCTCGTCGACATACCCAGCCGAGCCTATCGTCAAGTCGCATTCCAGCGCTCCACATCTGGAACCATTGTTTTGGTAACTTATTGTTTTGCAGGTTCCATCGGCCGGGCCACCCGCGAAGTTCCTTATCTTCAGGGCACCAACAACTGCGACTGGAACCAGCGTGTCCATACTCTAAGCTATACGCATATGTAGCCGCCCCAATAAACCCCCCTATCCTATTGCTACTTTCGCGTCAGATATTGATGCAAGAACCCCCAGTAGATACGCAACCATACTCCAGGGCCTACCAGGCTGCCAGGTAGACAAAACATCAAAACCCCCACGCGCAATAGATTAGGTTAGTGGTTCCGTTTCTCCGCAAAATCTGGTATTGCCGGTCGTCCTGCTTTCATGAACAAACCATGGTTCATTGACCTTGCGAAAACGTATGATGCGTACTAAGATTGTGGGCCGACTCGTTGAGTCGAACAATGTGAGTAATCATATATGCGGTTCGGCATTTTCGGGTTGCACGTCTTGACGGACAATCATCACTGCCATGCCCGCTATATTTTAGGGCTGATTTTGGTGACACAACGTGAGGTCGGGGAACTCATTAACCGACTGTAAGTGTCTCAATAGGTGTCAATAACATATGTCGTCAACCATAACACATATTTAACGCTGCACAAGAATACTGCCATGGCGAAAATTGATCTGAGCTCCTTTTCTTTTTCTTTTTCTTTTTTTCTTTTCAACGTTTAGACCCAGCACTACGGCGGTTGGTTCCCAACCAAAGGGACGGCTCGCTACGGTAAAGCACGTCCAATGTTCGATCTCGCGGAGCTGATAGCAGGGTTTATCCCTCTATTGAATTGACGCGCAGGCCAGTCTTCAGCGCTAGTAATGACGACAAATATGGCCCCGATGGCTTATCACGTTATCACTTTGTCCCATCAACACGGCACATAAACACCAACATTACCAAGGCCCCTGCTCCCATCCCTTGAAAGTGTGGTGCGCCATTCCTGACGAGTTTTCCGACTAGTTGGGGCTGCCATGTGCGTGATGAAAGCAGCTCCTGCATTGCGGGATAGGACTAAGACTCAACCTTATTGCGATATCTCACGCTACAACATTGAGGCTGTCATCAGGCGGCCTTCTAAACTGAGCCTGAGCGTTCGGGACTTTCTCTGTGTGGTTTGAAAAGGGTGCCTTATCCAAGCACATTGGCACACAAAGGGCTGACCGAGACCGTCTTAGAT